TGCTCCATGGATGCTCCTTATTTATACTTGTGCAGGAGACAATAGAAGTGCTTCCATGGTGAAGAGTCCAAGGAAGTGCTTCTCAATATATATATATATATTAAAGCCTCTCTTCCAAAGCCAGTTGTTCATAACATAACAATAGGCACCAGAACCCCTCATTTTCGGAGCAGTACATTAATAAGTTCACCCTCCTATCATCTAAGCAATGCCGCCTCTACTAAATTTTCAATTTTCGGAGACTGCATTTTAAAGCTTTTTTTTTTTTTTTGTGTGAATACTTTTTATTAAGAGATTGCTTGCTATCTAGCTATCTAGCTTACCTGGTTACTATCCTAAGCTACAAGAAGCCAGACTCTTAGCCACCTTGGAAAGCGCTTTTCTTTGTCACCATCGAAAAGACTCTCCAAGATGTTGTCCGGAGCACACCACGTGGAGGTGGTCTGGCAATCGTGCTCCGTTGGTCAGGCCCCATGGCCTTGCAAACGCCCGCACACACACACATTTATTTACCCATTCCCATCCCCATTCCCATTCTCTTCCCATTCTGGACCGAAGGGGCTCCGCCATCGCAAGGCTCGTTAAAGAACCAGTTCAGGCTCATGCCCGTTCGGACCTACCTTAGATATGCATTGGTTATTGCACCTTGGATGTGCATTGTTGCTATGTTAAAAAGTGCTTTGTGTTGTGTAGTAAGGGGTTTTTTTTTTTTTTTTTTTTTTTTTTTTTTTTTTGGCTTTCTTATGTTTTAATTGGCTTTTTTTTTCTTTTTTCTTGGTTTTTTTTTTCTTTGGTTTTTTTTGGTTTATTTTTTTTTCTTTTTTTTTCTTTGGTTTATTTTTTTTTCTTTTTTCTTTTTTTCTTGGATTTTTTTTTTTTTTTTTTTTTTTTTTTTGTTTTCTTTTTTTCTTTGGTTTTTTTTTTTTTTTTTTTTTTTTTTTGAGGTATTTGATTCCGGAGGCGCTTGTTTTTGCCTGGATGGACTGTTCGACCTTTCTTTGGTTTAGTCCTTTTGCTGGTGGCGCCGAGCTTTCGTTACCAGTGCCTTCCAGACCACACGATGAGAAGTGGCCTGGTCGCTATGATTTGGTGTTGTTCGTGAAGCCTTGGCCATCATACCCGAGATGGGATGGGCTGGCTATTTGGCCGCGGAGAAGGCCGTCGTTCGACTGCGGGTAGACTATGAGGCCGTTTAGAGCGTGGCTGTTTAGAGCGTGGCTGTTTAGAGCGTGGCTGTTTAGAGCGTGGCCAGTTGAGTACGGCTTTTCGTTGGAGTGCAGCCGTTCGAGTATGGGCGCCTGAGTGTGGCAGCCTGGCTGTGCGTTATGAAGCCCCAGTTGCTTTAGGCAGCTTCATGTCGTTGCAGTCTAATCGTGGAATGAAAAGAGAGACACAAGCAGAAAAAGAATAATCAGAACAAGGACAGTGAAGCACAGAGTGACAGTGTTGAAACTTCAGTAAGAGTGATTGGTTTAGAGAGTGTTGCTTACCTTTTGTCTTGGTTGAGGAGGCCGATGGTCGAGGAGACCGAGGAGAAAGAGAAGAGAAAAGAAGAAAAAAGAAGAGTCAAAATGGGTCCTTTTTATATTGGTTTCTTATTATTATTATTAACGTCCGCGCAAGAGGAGAAGGGCCGAGGAGTGATTGGTTTTCAAAAGCGCGCTATACTAAGTACCTTGCTTGCTGTACGCTCAAGAGCGACCAATAAAATATCAACAAAAAAAATTAAAAAATAAAAATTAATATACGTGTCTTTGATGTCATCTGTCATATTTCATATGATAAAGAAGAGACTCTCACGATTGAAAGTGGGAATAATGCTCTGTCCTCAAGACTCATAAGGAAAACCTGTCTATAAACAACCAGAGCATGAACTGTATTGCTCTCGAGCTTGTTTACTCTTATTGATAAAGGAGATCATCTTCTTTATCCTCTTCTTCTATTTCCTTTCTTCACTCCTAACAAGAGATGGGATAGACTGTCGTTGGGCCTGTACTTTGGCAGCTTGCCGTTTTTCCAGAGTGTGGTGGAAAATAACACATGACATTCGTCAGAATACCTCTCCGCCTTTTTTTTTTTTTATTTTTTATTTTATTTTTTATTTTCATGCAATACAATGTAGAATATATTAAGATTTGAAGGTGAAACAAAGTATCAACGTTTATATATCGACCAGTAAAAGGCACACGATCGTATCGAGGAAATGACGTGTCGTATCTCTTTGGCTCTTTGAAAAGGAAAATAAGGAAAAGAAAAAAAGGAAAATGTCTGTTTGAACAAAAACTGCCGCAGCACAGTTCCCACGACAATGCATCCTATTCTTTGTTAAGGATGAAGAGAAAGAATGGGAGAAGAGAGTCAAATAGCAAACTCTACTGACAGTGCCTGATGAACCCCATTGCTAAAGAAAAAAAGGTACTCGAGCTTAATGCTGGCGAAAAATGGGGGTATGCGAGTGTTGATAAGCTTGTGCTCTGAATCCTGTCCTTTTACTTTAGTCGCGTCACACCCTTTCTCTCTTTGTTGCACACCATACAAAGAGAGCATTGTGGCTCGTGCTCTTGTTGTTGTATGTATATATGACCCTGCATATCTTTGAAGATGGTTATCCCTCCACCCGAAGAGTTTTCTCTTTCTCCACCTTGCGAGCATATGAAAATTGACGGATGATATCACAAGCGCGCAGATTACCCATTTTCAATTCCCGCTACGCCGCTTTATTTTATTTTATTTTATTTTATTTTATTTTATTTTATTTTATTTTATTTTATTTTATTTTATTTTATTTTATTTTATTTTATTTTATTTTATTTTATTTTATTTTTTTTATTTTATTTTTTTTTATTTTATTTTATTTTATTTTATTTTTTTTTATTTTATTTTTTTTTGCTTAACTCAGTGGCCGCTCTCTGTACACAGCTCAGCCGAGAGATGACCCACACAGGACGCATCCGAGTCTAAGGCTGCGATTTCAAAGATAATGAGAAGGAAAATGTCTTTATCCTCTTCCTACCACTGTACTTACGCTCACCCATATCACTCACAGCAAACAACAGGTACTTGGTTATGATGGGAAACTATCAAGCGCAAACATTTTATTTTCCTCAATCTTTGTGGATTGAACATAGCTCTAAGGAGTTGGCAGAAAAGAGCTATCCCTTCTCAAACAAGCTTGAAGACTCATTTGCGCGCGGAGCTTTGGATCCATTGATGACTTATTTCTTCCCAGCGGATGACTAGGCTTTTGCGCTTGATTGGGCTAACCGATCCTCGCTGGAGTACGGCGTACGGCAAGGGGATCCGCTGAAACCAGATGTGACGATTCGAAAGTACATTTTTGAGGCGGCTTATGCTGAGACCAAGTCGTCTAAGGACAAGCGAAGCCTACATTTATTTGTCGAAGACCAATGGAGCCTAATGAGGTTTGCCAAGGACACGATTGACGAGAACCTACGTAATGAACGGGTTGTGATGGAGATCCCTTGTCTGCAAGTGTTTGGTAAGTCTATGTGACTTATGTGGCAATAACGCGCCACACACCTTGACGAGATAAATTTTCGATATGAGGTTCTAGAACAAATCAATGCCATCTTATAGATAGATATGTAGTTACCCGCTACAGGCTCCTCTACCAGGGAATGAATAAATACCTCCATGGGTGTGGGCCCACATCTAATTCTTACTTACTTTTTCTACTGCTCACGATCTATCTACAAAATATATTTCAGTCTCGTTATCGCCGTCAGAGGTCATGATTTGAGTGGTCGTGGACATGTTCAGCCCGTTGGCATTGCCAAAGACCCCAGGAAGGCATAACAGCTCTGATTCTTTCTCGAAATAATCCATCATATTCAGCCTTACTTTGAAGCTTTTGACCGTTATGGCGATTCCTTTGACTACTCTGTATATGTGGGGCGTTAGGCAAGTTAGTAAACAGATGACTAAAGGGATAAGAGGCACTGCGTGAACAAAGTGCTTTGCGAACGAGCATTGTCTACGGTACCATATCCGTATAAATATTAAATATAACCCTGCTAATCCGACTTGCACCTACCTTTCGAGCTAATAGGGTGGTGCAGGTGGGACATACGCACCTATGACAATGTGAATAGGCCATCCTTCGTAGACCATTCAATAGAAAAAAGAGGTGAGTGGAAAGACAGAAAGTGCTGTATGTGGAAACTTATGCTTGAATGAGTAAAAGGAGGGGAAAAGTCTGGTGGAATGGAGACTTTGACTGAAACTGATCAAAGTGATTGAAGCTGATTAAAAAAAAAAAAAAAAAAAAAAAAAAAAAAAACTCCGTATACATATATTTATCATCGTCCCCGTAGTAAACTCAGGTTACAGTATGGGAGATTTAGAATACGAACCGAAGCTCCATCAGCCTGCCTCGGACAGCATCGAGGAGAAAGGTTGGTATATTTCATTGCTCTGGCAGCTAGCACTCCTACTATTGATTCCCCTGCTGTTGTTGTTTGTAATAGCTTAGAGAGACAAAGATAGTTTGATTATAACTATTAAAACAAACCCTTCAGGCTTAAGACTATATATATTATAACAAGCCTTTTCAGGCTTAAGACTATATATATTATAACAAGCCTTTTCAGGCTTAAGACTAAATACTGTCACATTGTTACTCTTTGAACTCTCTTGTTGTTTTGAATCCGGACATAAAAAGTGAAGATGTCGATGGTGTTTGCAGGATTGCCACTGCCGCTATTGCTGTTGCTGTTTTTGTTTCTGTTTTAAGCTTAGAGCTAGAATCCTTAGTTGCATAATGTTTCATACGCTTACTTTCTCTTTTGGATGTTTCCTGCTCACGAAGTCTGGGCTTTGCGCTGACCAAAGCTGTGGAGTCCTTTACTGCATCAGTCTAGATAACGCTGTCAGGTTGTGAAGCAATGAGTTTAACTGATGTCGATGATATCACTGTTGGTAAAAAGGCTGTTTGATGTTGTATCGTGAGAAGAATGTATATGAGCAGAAGTTATGCCATTTCAATCCGATTTTGCAGTTGCCTCATTATCTTTTGCCTGGGGCACAAAGTATGGTTCAGATTCCCATATTGATTCCCATATTGTTTCCAATCTAGTTACTGGACCACGTATAAACTTTCTGTGAATTCGGTTAGAATTGTGGCTGTTATAATTGACTGACTGCATCCACGACGAGGACGACGCCGCATCATCAGCTGTATTGGTATTTGACAGTGGTGTGTTGGAATTGCGATTGTTATAATTGATTGATCGCATCCACAACGAGGACGATGACCAATCATTAGCTGTATGGGCATTTGACAACAGTGCGTTGGGGCTGCAGTTGCTATACTTGAATGACCGCGTCCACGACGAGCACGACGACGCGCCATTAGCTGTGTTGGCATTTAACGACGGTGGGACCATTGGGGTATAGCTTTCCATAATATTTCTAGTACGGAAGGCACTTGATCCAGAAGTAAAGACTGTCAAGGCTTTAGTGGCATCATCCTTGGCGTCACTGTTATTGCCACCAATACTGTTGCTGATTAGGTTCGGTTGGGTCTTTTTGACAGTAGCATGACGAGGGGAAGGTCCTGAGGTAGCAACGGAGTGTGATACCATAATAATTGACGATGAGGTAGTCGCTATTGCTGCTATAGTTAAATCTATGATCGCACTTGCCGTGCTATACTGCTTGTCTTCTATTTCTCTTTGTCTTTGTTTCTTTTTATATCGTCGTTTCTTTGAGAGCTGAGTGTTATGCTGAGTAAGAGGATCAGTTTGCTATTTGACTCTCTTCTCCCATTCTTTCTCTTCATCCTTAACAAAGAATAGGATGCATTGTCGTGGGAACTGTGCTGCGGCAGTTTTTGTTCAAACAGACATTTTTCCTTTTTTTCTTTTCCTTATTTTCCTTTTCAAAGAGCCAAAGAGATACGACACGTCATTTCCTCGATACGATCGTGTGCCTTTTACTGGTCGATATATAAACGTTGATACTTTGTTTCACCTTCAAATCTTAATATATTCTACATTGTATTGCATGAAAATAAAAAATAAAATAAAAAATAAAAAAAAAAAAAGGCGGAGAGGTATTCTGACGAATGTCATGTGTTATTTTCCACCACACTCTGGAAAAACGGCAAGCTGCCAAAGTACAGGCCCAACGACAGTCTATCCCATCTCTTGTTAGGAGTGAAGAAAGGAAATAGAAGAAGAGGATAAAGAAGATGATCTCCTTTATCAATAAGAGTAAACAAGCTCGAGAGCAATACAGTTCATGCTCTGGTTGTTTATAGACAGGTTTTCCTTATGAGTCTTGAGGACAGAGCATTATTCCCACTTTCAATCGTGAGAGTCTCTTCTTTATCATATGAAATATGACAGATGACATCAAAGACACGTATATTAATTTTTATTTTTTAATTTTTTTTGTTGATATTTTATTGGTCGCTCTTGAGCGTACAGCAAGCAAGGTACTTAGTATAGCGCGCTTTTGAAAACCAATCACTCCTCGGCCCTTCTCCTCTTGCGCGGACGTTAATAATAATAATAAGAAACCAATATAAAAAGGACCCATTTTGACTCTTCTTTTTTCTTCTTTTCTCTTCTCTTTCTCCTCGGTCTCCTCGACCATCGGCCTCCTCAACCAAGACAAAAGGTAAGCAACACTCTCTAAACAATCACTCTTACTGAAGTTCTCAACACTGTCACTCTGTGCTTCACTGTCCTTGTTCTGATTATTCTTTTTCTGCTTGTGTCTCTCTTTTCATTCCACGATTAGACTGCAACGACATGAAGCTGCCTAAAGCAACTGGGGCTTCATAACGCACAGCCAGGCTGCCACACTCAGGCGCCCATACTCGAACGGCTGCACTCCAACGAAAAGCCGTACTCAACTGGCCACGCTCTAAACAGCCACGCTCTAAACAGCCACGCTCTAAACAGCCACGCTCTAAACGGCCTCATAGTCTACCGCAGTCGAACGACGGCCTTCTCCGCGGCCAAATAGCCAGCCCATCCCATCTCGGGTATGATGGCCAAGGCTTCACGAACAACACCAAATCATAGCGACCAGGCCACTTCTCATCGTGTGGTCTGGAAGGCACTGGTAACGAAAGCTCGGCGCCACCAGCAAAAGGACTAAACCAAAGAAAGGTCGAACAGTCCATCCAGGCAAAAACAAGCGCCTCCGGAATCAAATACCTCAAAAAAAAAAAAAAAAAAAAAAAAAAACCAAAGAAAAAAAGAAAACAAAAAAAAAAAAAAAAAAAAAAAAAAATCCAAGAAAAAAAGAAAAAAGAAAAAAAAATAAACCAAAGAAAAAAAAGAAAAAAAAATAAACCAAAAAAAACCAAAGAAAAAAAAAAACCAAGAAAAAAGAAAAAAAAAGCCAATTAAAACATAAGAAAGCCAAAAAAAAAAAAAAAAAAAAAAAAAAAAAAACCCCTTACTAACACAACACAAAGCACTTTTTAACATAGCAACAATGCACATCCAAGGTGCAATAACCAATGCATATCTAAGGTAGGTCCGAACGGGCATGAGCCTGAACTGGTTCTTTAACGAGCCTTGCGATGGCGGAGCCCCTTCGGTCCAGAATGGGAAAGAGAATGGGAATGGGGATGGGAATGGGTAAATAAATGTGTGTGTGTGCGGGCGTTTGCAAGGCCATGGGGCCTGACCAACGGAGCACGATATGCCAGACCACCTCCACGTGGTGTGCTCCGGACAACATCTTGGAGAGTCTTTTCGATGGTGACAAAGAAAAGCGCTTTCCAAGGTGGCTAAGAGTCTGGCTTCTTGTAGCTTAGGATAGTAACCAGGTAAGCTAGATAGCTAGATAGCAAGCAATCTCTTAATAAAAAGTATTCACACAAAAAAAAAAAAAAGCTTTAAAATGCAGTCTCCGAAAATTGAAAATTTAGTAGAGGCGGCATTGCTTAGATGATAGGAGGGTGAACTTATTAATGTACTGCTCCGAAAATGAGGGGTTCTGGTGCCTATTGTTATGTTATGAACAACTGGCTTTGGAAGAGAGGCTTTAATATATATATATATATTGAGAAGCACTTCCTTGGACTCTTCACCATGGAAGCACTTCTATTGTCTCCTGCACAAGTATAAATAAGGAGCATCCATGGAGCAATACTCAAAGTAAGCACTATCTTGCTGTGTGAACCGGCAACCTGCACTAGGCGGGATGGTGGGTACTCCTTGGTGACACACAGCTCCAATCCTTATGTCAGTCATCATCAAAATGTTTGCACCTCATTTACCACCAAACCTTAAAGTGTTTACATTGTCCAACAGACACCATTTTGCTATTCTTGCATTCTTGTTTATTCGCTGAATATCCATGCATGATTTCTTGGGTAATCTCACTCGTCGCCACCATTTCTCCTTATCTTTATTGAAAGCGGACATAATTATCCGAATATGGCAATAGTCAGTTGCTTTAAAAGCAAAAGCATCTTCCGTCCACAGGGAGGGTTGATGTCATTACATTGTCACATGAAGCAAAAGGAATAATGTACGTGAAGGTAGGGAAAGCATTGAAAGAGGGATAAATAAATTTAATGCGAAGAATTAAATACAATAGTAATGAAGGTGTTGAATCAAAAGTATTGAAGGCCCTGAAGGCCCTGTAGAGCTTGGATATAATATTTTCCTCGACACACACGTTACATACTTTTTACGTGTTGCTTATTGTTGCTCGCTCAACAAGATGGTCATAACAAAAAATAAGGCAGGCTTACCTTTGGGACATGGGCCAGAAAGGTGATGGGCTCCATGAAAAGCATCTATCAGATACTGTAGCAGACCTGAACACACTGTATTACTTTCAATCAGAAACTAGAAGGCACTAGAGTCTATGACAAGCCTGGATCCTTGTCTATTATACTTTTAGAAGCGATAAAAGAGAGAGAAGAGCGAGATGTAATGAAACGTGTGGCTACACCCAAAGATGCATGAAAAATTAATGCATCTTTCTCTATCAATTTTTTTTTGTTCCTTAAGAAAATGCGATCGCAAAAAAAGCATACGATGTGTAAGTCTGGGGTCAAAAGCCGTGGTGTGAGTAGTGTCTACTCATAGTCATTAAGTTTAATACCTTCGATGCTTTTTGCTTCGTTCTTCTCAATGTCGTATCACTTTCGCTTATTACGTCAACAAATGCGAAAAATGTCGCAATGAAAGGCAACAGGATCGCTTCCGGGCTGTCCAAGCCGACAGTTTTCCATCCACCCTTTCTTTGAATTTCATGCTGTTTCAAAATGGCGTCCAATCACTTTCATTTCGCCTATATTCGGATAATTATGTCCGCTTTCAACAAAGATAAGGAGAAATGGTGGCGACGAGTGAGATTGGGAGAATGACGCTTTTCTCTCATTTTAAGCTCGCTCTTTCTTTTTTTTCTTTTTTTTCCCTCTTCCTTTCTCTTCACTTCTCCACCTCTTCACTTCTCCACCTCTTCCCCTCTCCACCTCTTTATCTCTCCACCTCTCCACCTCTCCACCTCCCCACCTCTCGAAAAGTAAGTCTCGACGGCAGTCCTTTGTCAAATACATTCACACACGCACACACTTCTTCCGTCTCTCCCTGTGCCTCTTTATGTCATCCCCAACTCTCGGTTAACTACGACCGTTGTCTTCTCTTGCCGTCACTACTTTATACTAAACTACATACTTTTTGTCTCCGTACTATACCAAAGGCAAAATAACCCCCAAGAGCGGTAAGCAGTGAGGAAACGAGGCAAGAGAAGTAAGGTAAGGAAGGGAAGCGGCAAGTAACCAACAAAGGAAAGAGAAATAAGAAAGAGAAAGGAACACCGAGAAAGAACGAATGAAAATAAACTAAGGAAGAGAAGCACATAGGAAGAGTAAGTGAAAGCAAGTAAGAAAAAAAAAAGAGAAAGAGAGAGAGAAAGGGGAAGGGAAAGTCGAGAAAGAACAAACGGAAGCATAGCAAAGAAGTAAAGCGAGGGAAAAGAACAAACAAAAAGATATGTAAGAAATGTCGGCACCTATAAATGAAAATATGATAAGAAAGAAAAGCAGAAGGGAAACAAATGTAAGATATGGCAAGGAGGGAAGCACTGAAGAAAAAAAAAAAAAAAAAAAAAAAAAAAGAAATGGAAGCACACAATGAAAGCATAATAAGAAAGAGAAGCACAGAAGGGAAACAAACGAAAGTATAGCAAGGAAAACAAAACACACACATACAAGCACACACACAAAGAGAAACAAAGGAAGTTATAATAAGAAAAGAAAGCCATAATAAGAAAAGGGTGAAAACAAATGAAAACAACGTAAGAAAGCGAAGCATCGAAGGGAAACAAAGGAAGGATAACTCGAAAGTGAAGCGTCGAAGAGAAGTACATGAAAGTATATTTAAAAAGTGAAGAGCCAAGGAAAACAAATGAGGAAGTGAAGCAGCAAAAAAGAAAGCATAACAAGGAAGTGAAGCAGCGAAGAAAAACAAAGGATAGCATAGTAAAAAGGTGAAGCGTCGAGAAAAAAGCAAATGAAAAAATAACAAGAAAGCGAAGCAATGAAGGAAAGCGTAATAGAACATAACACGAAAGAGATGTGCCCAGGAAAACATAGAAAAGGATAACAAAAGTGAAGTACCGAAAAAGAGATGAAAGCATAACAGGAAAGTCAAGCATGGAAGAAAGAAATGAAAGCGTAGCAACCAAGTGAGGCATTGAAGGATAAAATATGGAAGCGTAACAAGGAAGTGAACCATCAAAGGCTAACAAGAAAGTGAAGCACCAAAGGATAACAAAAAAGTAACCATCAAAGGATAACAGGGAAATGAACTAGCAAAGAATAACAAGTGAAGCACCAAAGGACAACAAGGAAATGAGTCATTAGAGGATAACAAGGAAATGAACCATCAAAGCACAGCAAGAAAATGAAGCAAAGAATAATAAGGAAGGAAGTATCAAAGGACAGCAAGAAAGTAGACCATCAAGGATAGCAAGAAAGCGAACCATCAAAGGATAGCAAGAAAGTCAACCAGCAAAGAATAACAAGGAAATGAGCTAGCAAAGGATAGCAAGGATATGAACTAACAAAGGATAGCAAGAAAGTAAGCCATCATAGGATAACAAGAAAGAGAACCAGTAAAGGAAATGAGTCAAAAGATAACAAGTGTTAAAGGAATACAAACGAAAGCATAGCAAGAAAGTAGAAAGAAAAGCAAACGGAAACATGGCAAGAAAGTGAAAGCCAATGAAAGTACAGGAAAGAAAGCGAATACCGGGAAGATGTTTTTTTTTATATATTTTTTTCTTCAAGGGTAAGGGACTGTATAGGGCGGTAGGGTGGACAGTCTCAAGTAAACAAGGTAACTACCAAGAAGTCAATGAAAGTACAAGGAAGTGAAGCATCAAAGGATAACCAGTAAGTAAAGCATCAAAGGATAACAAGAAAGTGAACCAGCAAAGAATAACAAGGAAATGAACTAGCAAGGATAGCAAGAAAGTAAACTATCATAGGATAACAAAAAAGTGAACCATTATAGGATAACAAGAAAGTGTACCAGCAAAGGAGAATGAGTGAAAAAATATAACAAGTGTTAAAGGAATACAAACGAAAGCATGACAAGAAACTAGAAAGAAAAACAAACGGAAACATAGCAAGAAAGTGAAAGCAAATGAAAGTACAGGAAAGAAAGCAAATTCCGGAAAGAAGTTTTTTTTTATATTTTTTTCTTCTTCAAGGGTAAGGGACTGTATAGGGTGGTAGGGTGGACAGTCTCAGGTAAGTGAGGTAAGTACCAAGAAGTCAATGAAAGTAAAAGTAAGAAAGAAAACACTAAACAACAAAACGCAAAAAAAAAAAAAAAAAAAAAAAAAGTAAACGAAAATACTAACGAAGAAGAGAAGTAGCAGAAAAGGTTAACAAAAGTGAGGAACAGGACAAGAAAGCAAGAAAGACTACACCATTAGATGTCCGACCCTGTATCAAAGGCGCGTCTCCAGAACATTTGGACACTCTCGCTTTCGAACACTCATGAAAAAAAGGCAAGAGTATAATTATATCTGTGAATGTGCTATTAATATTTGATTGATACCTGATTTACATGTTGCTTCGTGGGAGCAATCCAGCACTTGCACTAATTATTCTTTCATATCTTTTTACTACTATTATCTTTATAACAATGAGGATGTAAACACGACCTGCCGCTGCCGTATAATCAATGGTATCATAAATAGAGATTTAATGTTTCTACTATAATGAAGTATTCTTGGTTCAGGCCTCATTTCTTGCAGACTTCTGCTTTTGGTGCCTGATATTTGTTCTTGTTTTCCTTTATCTTATAAACGAGGCATCTCTTAGATGAATATTATTATACCCGAAAAGAGGCGTCTTTGATGAGAGGACATACAAGATAGGCAAACCTTCACCTACGACCGAGTTACAACATTACCAATCCCTCTTCTGCTGAAATGACTTTCCGCCCAGTGTGGTGTCATGAGGAAAAGTAAAATTTATTATTTTAGATCTTTTATTGGCCATAATGGGTACGATCTTCATGCAGTTCTTTAATAGAAGATTGTTGGCAAATGCTCTTTTTCAATAGTTCTAGATCTTCGGCGCTAATTGTTTTTAAAATGGGGGCCTTTATGGCTCTAAGATCATCAAGTTGTCATCCCCATAACACGAATCTTTTGATTTGGGTCTCCTCTTTTTCAACAGGAAATGTTCGGGATGTAAACACTCTTGTGGTATTGGAAGGGATGGTAACTGTTATGGTTTGTGAAGTATCCATATAACAGCATTCAATTACTTAACATCCATGCTCAGAAAGTGTGAACGACAATAAAACATGTGAAACACGGAAACAACCAAAGCTGTATTTTTCTCTTACAAGTGATCCTACGAAATGAAGTGGTCCATTGTATGATGAGCGTCTTCATTTGAGGCAAGATATTCCTTGCGGTGATATACATGGGACTGATATAGTTTTTTGCTATCATGTCAGCATTTTCATTTCTCTATTTCAGAAAAAAAAGAAAACCCATGTTGGTATGCTTAGTACATCAGTACGATACACTGTTTATATTCATTCCACCAGGCCATGAATTGAGCGTATACATCACAAGTATCAAAGTAACTACGAGTGCAGTATCTCAAAGTTTCTCAAAGAAGATATCGTTTTTCAAGGATGTCTACTTGACAGACCTGCTTCTCCATCTGAGGTTTTGTCTCACAGGTGCTAGTCTTTGTTCGTTCTCGTCCTCTATTCTCCTGTCAATAATCATGAAGTCTTGTAGTTTTTCACAGCAGATGATCATAGAAGAAAATATGGAGATGAGAATTCGATTTACAAACTCGATAGTATCACTATCTAATGAAGAACAGGCTCATTACAACCTGGGACTTCATACGGAAAGAGCGGAGCGCTGAACATTGCTGTCTTTGGACCCTGACTTTTTTGCTCAAGTTGAATAATATAACGACTTAGGCTTATTATCCGAGAGCCGGGACCATATATATCCCCCCTCCCCCCTTTTCTCTCTCATTCTTGCTTTTCTCTCTTCATGTACTGGCTCACTATCAAGAAGATACGGATCCACTTGGTAGCAGAGCAAAATTTATTCATGATCGCCAGAGCAGAGTAGAAGGCCGAGTTTGCTCCCAGCTTGAGAGGAAAGCAAAATGTCGTTGCCCATAAAAGGCAACAAAATTTGGCTTGCACGTGTAGAATGCAAGCCAAGCCTAACTCTTTGGATGTTCTGATAGCTTCCTGGGTGATGAAGACATTGTTAGTTGCCTGCGCGTTTGTAGGACATTCTAGCGAAGACATGTCAGATCTATATGAATGATATCTCCTTATAAACCTCCCACCTCCACATCTTTATGATTTTTTTCTACACTTTTGAGTCCTTTAGCCTTTATTGACTTCTACAAAACAGTGTTCCTTCAATGACCCTGCACAGTAGCAAATCTATCAGATCTATCGATTTCAAAGTTGGTGGCGCATATGGAGATAGTGGTGCTCCTCAGGCAAGCAGCTAAGCCAAGGAAGCTAAATATTCCATATTGTGATTACGGCCCGCTCTCTATTCGAGAATTGCTAGCAGACCAGCAGGAGATCCTGAAAAATAGGGGGTCGGAGGCTCTGCGATACAATTGGAACGCAAGACTGTAATTCACGTACTTAGTCCTGCTGTCTAGGGACTCCTTACCGCATTATCCTACGTTAGTTGCTGGCTTAAATGCATTTGAAGTTACTCTAGGCAATATGCTGTAGGAGGGATTGTCCAACTCGAAGTTGGAATGTGAGACAAAAAGCCAAGCCATCTTTGATGAAAATCAAAAAAATCGTTCGCAAAGATCATGTTGATCCATCAATTCTCCTCACGCGATGGGCAACCACAACACAAACCCCTTGGATATCCCTGAAATTATTTCAATCATTGGTTCCTTCTTAGATCGAACAGACATCATTCGTTGCATTTGTGTTTCCAAAACTTTTCATTTTTCTCTGATCGGTCTCATTTGGAAAAGGATCAATGTCCGCGGATTAGGTCGACTACGCACTTATCGTATTCCTACTAACGAAGCACTGGAGAAGCATAAGAAATATATTGAGGAGCTTGATTTTGATGATTTTTTTGCAAGCGTGTTCTCATCGTTGCAAGGTTGTAATCGCCTCCGACTTGTCGAATATCATACCTGGAAAACTTTTAAAAGATCCAATTTAAGTGAGCTCTCCGACTTGATCAAGTCCCACAGTTCCACAATCACTGAGCTTAGACTCAGGGGCTCGAGTTTGCGGGGAGCATGGAGTGCAGTACTGGAGTGCGCTCACCTTGAAGCCTTGGTCATCTTTGAAGCATGTATACCCAACGATGAAGTCGATCCATTCTTTCAAGTCTGCAAAAAAATTAAGACTTTGATGATGCATGAAGTGCATATCGATCAGCTACCTCGCGACTTCTTGGACGAGGGGACATGCAAATATATTTTCCCGAATATACAAAGGCTACTCCTTTGGGATACCCTGATATCCTGCCCTCCACATCCGTACACATCAAAGTATTGCTTCGGTATACTCACTAGGAGATGTCCAGAGTTACGTTCACTGAATTTTCTTAATCTCGATCAGGATATCCATCCTTCACAGCGATTAAATTTTGGTTTCTACAAGGTAGTATTCCTCGAGCATCAGTTCACACTGTCAAATCTATCAAGTCTATATACAAGGGCGGAAATAAGGGACGAGGATATGGCGACACTTCTCAAACAGATGACAGAGCTACGGCGGCTAGAAGTCCCGTATTGTGATTTTGGTCCACTCTCTCTTCGAGAATTACTAGCAGATGAACAAGAGATTCTGGAGGATGGCCAAATAATGCGAAGGAGAAGAGACCAAAGGCTCTGCGACACAGTTGAGATATTGATATTCAGAAGACAAAGCGGAATAACTGATGGTATTGCTCAACCAATCTTATCCAACTGTCCATGTTTAAGGAAATTGGAGGGCCCTAATGCTACGGTGACAGAGATTGCTGATGGTGCAGAATGGGTCTGTACTGGACTGACTAGAATGAGGATTGGCCTTAAGGTTGATGTTGATCAATGGACTGCACAGGGCAAGGAGAAAAGACGCATTGTATATGAACGGATACGAGGATTGACCCAACTAGCTTGGTTCGATTCTTGGGAGTTTAGAAGGCTGCTTTCATTTCCAGGCTTGATTTGATAAGTTTGGAGGAGCCAACCTTAAGAATCTGCGCTCATTTGTATTTAGATCTAATAGACTAGCAGCAGGTGCGAGAGGTGCAGGGATAAGAATTAAAATAAAAATAAAAATAAGAGGATATAAGGGAGGACTGGAACTATTTTATCCTAGTCTTGGTATATGCACGATGGTGATAAGCGACGCCCAGATGATCAATAAATATACAGGTTTCATGAACATCGTCTTGATGAGATCTATATAAACAACAACTGTAGCTTAGAGACCAGGGGATTTTTTCTACATGTACTTGGTCCTAGCCCCTTTTTTTTTTTTTTTTTTTTTTTTTTTGGATGCGACCTTAAACTGCCAAGACCATGAATCTAATGAATCTGATAAGAATATGGCTACTGCAATAGACTGTCAGCCGAAACTTGTATGGTACTCTGAGCTGTCATTCCGGACGGGAAGGAGATACCTTAAGAATCATCGGAATCTTTATTACTGGTAACTTTTTTTTTAATCTTTTTTTATCATTTTTTTTCTCTATAATGCTAATGTTGACAAATGTTGGTAATGTTACAAAAACGACTCTTTATGTGTCGAGAGAATGAAAGGGTAATAAAACAGGAATAGTAATGGTGACAGAAAAAGAAATGAAAAAAAAAAAAAAAAAAAAAAAAAAAAAAAAGACATGAGCAATGGATTAAAGGTCATCATATCTTAAAATTTGTCGTCCAACCCCTCGACTGGCAGCCATAACAGCCCGTGGATCCGCACCCGCTGGAGGAAAAAGGGCAGCTCCTGTGGGTTTTGGAGGCAACTTTGGCGAGCGGGGCCGTGCAGGAAGTTGATGTGCCTGACGAGCCGCCATAGGTGAAGGATCTCTCTTTGAAGATTTCAAACCTCTGTCCTTTGAAAGGTTTTCAAAAGTCTTTGAATGCCCTTGATTAGAAATAACATTAGAGAAGACTCCAGCTATGGCTGCTGCTTGTTGATGCTGCTCTTCCTCTATTCTTGCGAGCTCGCCATCTTCATCCATCCAGGCAACTCCTGCAAAACCACGGCGGTTCCTTTCTGGAATTTTTGCCCTATTCACCCGAATGTAGGTTCCATCAACCACTGCACCATTCATTTTAGCCAGGGCTTGCTGAGCTCCAGCTGGTTCCACATAAGTGACAAATCCGAAATCTTTTCCTTCGACCAAGTTCATGTCCTCAATGTCACCGAATGGAGAGAACAATGTCCGAAGACTTGTTAATGAGATGGAGCTTGGAAGGTTGCCCACATAAATTTTGGTTGGATAAAACGCCGTATCCAGATACCGACTAGCGGCTAGATAAGGGTCTGTTTCCTCTGGATGATTGACAGAGACCTCATCACCTGAATATCGATCACGCCCATCTCTGTCACCACGCCGTCCACGGCTTGCACCTCTTCTACGTCGATCATTATCTTTTGCAAATGGATAGTATGGACTGGTGGAGCGTGATCGAGATCTTCGGTAATAGCGACGATGGTCTGGCGAGCGTGAGCGAGATCGTGAACGAGATCTAGATCTAGATCTAGATCTGGAATTGTATCGTCCAGAGCGATAGGAAGGCCTATAGACATCCAAGTCCTCTTCTATCCTGCGTCTTCGTCTTGGATGACTGGAAGTCAAGGGAGGAAGGAGGAAGTTTTTTTTTTTTTTTTTTTTTTTTTTTTCCTCAAAAAAAATTAGGTATGCTGATTCTAATAAGACAACCAGCATTTACTTCAAAGGATCTGGAACACTTACGCGCTCTCGTTTTCGGAATCTGAGCCTTCATCCGATGAATGATGCCTTGAGCGAGGAACAGATCGACCAAACATATCCACAACCATTTCTTCATTCTCATCAACACTTCCAGCACGGCTTCGTACATTGTGGGTCATGTCTCTTACTAACAATTTGATAGGCGAAGCGGATCCAGAGTTCCGTCGATTGTTAGAATCAGTTTTGGGAGAGGGAACAGGGGTAGGGGGAGTTGCAGTACGAGGCTTGTGTTCTTTCTTGTCAGTTTCAAGTCCTGTTGTCGCTGGGTTATCTTGTTGTATGTGTGTGGTTGATTGTTTTGCAGAGTCCTAATTACATAATACGTTAAATATACAAATGTATGACGAACCTTGTCAGTTTTTTTTTTTTTAGACTACTTAAGTAGAACAAACAAAATCAAAAAAAAGATTACATACATCATGCTTTATGTCTCCCGAAGACTGAGAAACTTGCAGGTCATTTTGGACTGCTGCTAGAGAAGATCGCTTCAGCTTTGCCTTTTGTCCATCATTTTCGAGTTTTTCATCAGTAGATGCAGGTGCAGTTGTAGGCATTGTTGCTGTTGCTGTAGGAGCCTGGTTATCCCCAATGACACTTTTCTCTTTACGTGGTCTCTTCACAGAACCTATTGCAGATCCGACAGTCGATGAGCCATCATGGCGAATAGTCAAATTGGGACTATGATTACTGCCGTTATTAGGACGAGCCACTCCAGCAATAGAGAAAATATCAAATGGCTGCGATTCTCGAGCTTTTGCCTCCTTTAGCTCCTTTTCCTTTTTTTTTTTTTTTAAAAAAAAAAAAAAAAAAAAAAAAAAAAATAGAACAAGATGTCAGTCAAGAGCACACGGATGAAACAAAAACATTTTTACTATTATTGCTGGTGGATGTGTTGGAAAGGAAGGGTTGATGGTTACATACCCGCTTCATTTGCTGAACGAGAGCAAACTTTTCTTGAAACTTTTCTTCCATTGCTGACATGATTTTTTTTTTAAAAAAAAAAAAAAAAACTTTCTTCCTTCACAGTGATAAAAGGGACGCTATTGGGTTTTGTTTCAATTTATTTAAACTGAGGCGAGATCAGTATGAATGTATGAATGAGGAAGCGAAAGAAAAAAGGAGAAAAAAAAAAGGTCAAAGACAGCAGTAGTAGAGAAGCGATGGAATGAAGAGGAAGGGAGGTGCTGTTGGAGAAAAGGAAAGGAAATGCAACAAAGCCAATTAAAAAAAAAAAAAAAAAAAAAAAGAGAGAGAGTAGAAGGACATTTGTTTATGGTAGCCACCTAGGAAAGTAGTCACAGTGCTCTCCTCTTGCCCAATCAGGTTTTAGGAGTATTGAAATTTATTGCGATGAGACAAAGTGGATGGTCAGTCCGCTCCTTTTCAATTACAGAAACACTTGTAATTGACAGGCCCCATGTTATTCAACCGATATGCTTCATTTGCCCCTCTTTTTTTTTTTTTTTTTTTTTTTTTTTTCGTTAAACCTCTGTTACTCTTAACCCCCACATCATGGCAGATAAGCAAAAGCTTTGTAATAAAAACAAAAAACAAAAAACAAAAAAATTAACATGGATCACTTTTCCTGTCTAATTACCATGTAGACCTCATTTCTAACTCGGTCGCTTTTTATATTTTTCTCTTTAAAACGCGATTTAATGTTAATTAAAATCATCAGTGTTCGTTACAGGTGTGTGTGTTGCTTTAATTTGTTTATTTATTGACTTTTTAAGTATATTTCGTATTAATAGTGTAAAGACATTGATTGATAGGCAACAAAAACAAGCTTGCAGAGATGCAGGCCTTATTGGGTGACCATTTCCAACTTGATTCCATTAGCATTGATTGTAAGTCGCAATTAGTCCTCTTTATCTTGTTGACAGTCTAAATTTATGTGTAGACCAGATCATGCTGATATCATTAAATCCTTCAGTGCCTGAACTCCAAGGATCTAGCAATGAGATTGCACGGGAAAAGTGTAAAAAAGCAGCAGAATTTGTATGTTTAGATGTCAATTACAATTGAACAAGTCGTCTTTTTTTTTTTTTTTTTTTTTTTTATTATTAATCTTAATGTTCTACTATCTATTCATTTCAAAAAAAAAAAAAAAAAAAAAAAAAAAAAAAAAGGCAAAGGGACCTGTCTATGTTGAGGACACTGGACTAGGATTTGGCGCTCTCAATGGCCTTCCTGGACCTTACATGTATGGAGGGTTTTTCCTTTTCTTTGTGGATTGTGGATAATGTACATGTTACATGCATGAATCGTTTCCTAGTTTAACAAAATTGTGATTATACTCTTTGCAAAAAAAAAAAAAAAAAAAAAAAAAAAAGCAAATGGTTCCTAGAGAGTATTGGACTGGAAGGACTGGTTAAAATGCTTGAAGGATACACAGACAAGTCTGCTGTGGCCTATTGCACAATTGCATACACCACCGGTCCTGGTTCCGAGCCTATTCTCTTTGAAGGGAGTGTGAAGGTAAGTCCTTTTATCATTTAAATTTTTTTTTTTTTTTTTTAACCTTTTTAGCAGTTGTGCCTCCATTGAGTCATCATGAGTCCATTCAGTTACTTCGCCTACTGTTATTCTCCTTCAATGCCCCGAACGACGCGTACTAAATAGACTAATGTTGTGTAATACTCCATACTTTCCTTTTATCCACTTGATCACAGGGTTCGATTGTCAATCCTATGGGACCACGTACGTTTGGATGGGACCCTATTTTTAAGCCCGATCGCCACAATGACACGTATGCCACAATGGACCCTGCTGTGAAAAATGCCATCTCTCACAGATCCGTTGCTGTTCTGAAACTACGCCAGTACCTTGAGAAGGAGCTTGAGCTTCGAAGATCGCTTGCTGTCATGGAGTAGGCAAACTACTCTCAAACGGACATTGTTCCTTTATGCAAATCTATTCATTCCTACTACATAGACACGGATGAATTACTTGTTCATGACCGATATCAATCTGGATCTCACAACTCTTTGTCAATAAAAAGATCGATGTTTCTTGCGATATGCGGTCTGATACTCTTCAAGCTATGCAGTTTCAATTCGAACAAGAAATAAAAAGCCTTTTTCTTCAAGGACACACTGGGAGAAGGAATACGATTACATCGACATTCACTACTGCTTTTCTGGAGAACATGTTCTGGCTATAAATTAAGTCTGTTGCATTTGTTGTTGGAAGATGGAATGCGGTCATATCGCGTTTTCTTAACTTTTTTTAAAAAAGTTCTTTTGTTCCTTTTTAGCGGCGAAACAGGTCCCCCTGAAAGCATTTGTGCAATGACATGTCAATAACACATTGAGTGACAGAAAAAAAAAAAAAAAAAAAAAAGGGGGTAGACCATGATGGAGAGTCAGGTCATGCTCTTTCTGTGTGTTTGTCAGCTTTCGATGTGTTGTCATCCTTTGTTTATTTTACCTTTCTTTCCTCTCTTCCTTGACCTCATTCCTTTTTTTTTTCTTCGTTCCTTGATTTTTTTACTCAAGAGCCTTCACACTCTCCTTCAGTCGACTTTAATCATATCTCTTACCCACACTCCTCACTCTCGACTAGCAAAGACCATACCAGGATGGACAACCTGGAAGGTAGACTGTCACCTGCTCTTTCACAGCACAATGAACCCATAATGAATTCCTACTTTTTCAATTGTTAACCATTCAATCGTTAACACCTTTTTTTTTAAAAAAAAAAAAAAAAAAAAAAAATAGATTCAGGTGTCCTAAGACAGCTGATTGACCAAATCGAGGGAGAGTGTATGTTGTTGTAATGAAGTGCATTTGAATAAAGAATAATGGACCCACGCTAATTATAATAGTGTTTGCTTCCTTCCTCGTTTTTGCTCCAACTTTGCATTCTTTTCTTTAGTATCCACGTTCGGTGGCGCTGGTAGAGGTTCGGATCAGACCCTTTCCGACCTTACGTCTAGCCAAGGTATGAGCAGACAGACAGTATTATCCAATCGACTCAGCCTATTATCACATTACATTCGATCTAATATTCCCAACGGACACGTTTTTTTTAGGATCATTAGCATCCTCTGGATACGAAAGCACCCGTACTGGGTCCTCTCTTTCTGTCTCCTCCAGAGCTACAATTCAGCAAACCCAACCGCTTCCTCCGCCCCCACAGCCCTTATTCTCAACATCAGCAACGTCCGCCATTTTTGGAACAGCTTTTGTTAGACAAAATCAACACGAACAACAGCAGCATGCACCCACACCATCCTCACTTGTGATGAATACTAGCTATTTTACGGGGCCTCGTGCTCCTCAGTATATCCCTTCGCCCTCATCATCCCCTGTCTCGCCAAAGTTTTCAGATACAGAAACATCAGGATTAACAACCCCAGACGAAAGCCGTGGTCGGACTAATGATGATCAGGATCCAGTCGATCCAATGGATATACATCCTAGAGCTCAATCAAAGCCTTCACCTGCGGCTAATGAAATCCTACTGCAGCAAGATCATCATGACATGAGTGAGAAAAAGAATGCTGCAGGTATCATTCCAGATGTACCTGAGAGTCATGGTATTGATGTACATTACACTGGTGTTGCTCAAATTATGCCCTCCCAAGAGCTCTTGGGAGACCACATATATTATGACGACACCATCAAAGTAGACGTCACTGAACTTTATGAGAACTTTGGACAGAAAAAGCCCATCTTAGTTGAACGATGGAACGAAAAGATTGGAAATCAGTGGGAAAACGAACAGAGCGATCCAAATGAGGAAGAAGAAGAGGATCAGGAAGGTGTCTTTGAAGGACAAGACGAGAGAAAAGGGATGACTATTGCCTTGGAAGACACACACAGTAGCGAATCCTTACCGATGAGACTGCCTGAACTATCCTTCTCTAACAATGATCTAAGCTCACTCTGGACGTCAGGACCAGCATCGCCACATGATAAGGATCTAGCTTCAGAGGATATAGGAAAGCGATCTCGTGCGCATACATTCCATGATCATTCAGAATCACAAGAACCGCAAGTAGTAGGGCCCTCATCCGATAACGAACTGGGCTTGTCGAAGAATCCAGTAGCGTTCCCCCCCAAAAAATTGTCCCCTCTATCACAGGAACTGACAGGTGATGATATCGGGAGACTTGAATCAGCGCAAACCATCTTAAAAAGCCTAACGATAGAGAGTGGAGGACCAAATGTTAATCAGCCTAACCACAATAACCATCCTCGATCAGACAGGAAGCGCCTAGGCCTTGTTATCTCCAACACCCATCATGAAGACGACTCTGGAAGCCCAGAGGGCCTTGACATGGAGTCGGAATCAAAACTACAAAATAATGCTTTGGACTTACCAAAATGGGACCTCGCACCTTTATCTCCACCAGTTGAAGTCAAGGAGGCTACTACAGCTTCAGCAACAGCATCGCCACTGAATAGTCGACGAGGTTCACTAGCTCAGCAGAATCAACATCTACAAGACACCTCTGCACTGGAGAACCAACATGTGAGCGGAATTATGTCTCCGTCCTCTGCAACTGTGATGACGACAACAACTCCTTTGACAGCTCGCGAGGCAAGGATCTTGGCAGGCCGTGAGGCTCTCCTAAAGATGTCTCCAGATCGATCACGTATCCAAAGAGCACTTTCAGTATCTTCAACCGCTTCATCATCAACCTCATCTTCTGTTGGTAGGACAGCCTCAATAGCTAGCAGAAGCGATCGTCAGGATTCTGAAACCTTGGTGGAGATGCAGGGTTCTCAACGTCGCACTAGCCTCAAGAGTCAATATAGCCGGTCTAGCCAACAAACAAAGTCTAGTGGAGGTGCTTTTGGGGTCTTCCCTGAGCGTGGGCAGCTTGAAGACATCCCCGCAGAGAAACTTATTTTCCCAGACCAGAGCATCCGTCCAATACCTTTGAAGGCATATCGAATTCGCAAGATGACCATACCAGAAAGAATTCAGACATATGCTCAAGCGTGCGAAGAATTTACACGTGCTAGAACTGGCCTGGATGTCTGGGTACTAAGGTGCATGATGCAGGATCGTCCTGCTTTGATGAAAGGTAAAGAAAAACACTTACACTTTCTTTCTGTCTTTTAGAGCTATTCGAAGCAATAACTCCATGTATGATACTTATTTTTTTTATTATTGCTTTTATAGAGCCTCCGGCTATTGTCAAAGCAGTGGCTAGCGGAACGGGTCGAATGACACCCACAAGTTTGAACTTCAGCAGTTCCTCGGTTAATTTAAGTAACAGTAGTCATGGGCTCAGCGCTAGGATCAAGAACGCTGGCAAGCGTCTCTCAGTAGACATGCCTGGTGGTTCTCATCCGAATTCCACAGAAAGCACCGGACAAGGATCAATATTCTACAAACAAAAGATCACCAAATCAGCTGTTGAGTTGGGTTCCTGGTCCTCCGGGCGAGTTCGCGGGATCTCAAACAGCGGTTCAAATACAGCTATTGTAGGCACTCCTCCCGCTCCTTCTCAAGAAGCGAGTGGTCGTCGCAGCTCGATCATAGGACCCATAACAACACCATCCCCACAGCAGCATCAGCAGCACCAACAAAACCAACAGCAGAGCCGCTCGAGTTCGTATGGTTCGTCGAATGGATTAGCAGGCATAGTTCAGGGAAAGAAGAACAACGTTGCGACGGCCAACAGTCCGCTCTCTGGATCAATCAGAAGTCGCAGAATGTCGGAGGTACAAGCTGGAAGCCAGTTGCATATGGCTGGAAGGGAATCCCCATCCAAGCAACACCTGCAACAGGCGGATATGTCCAACTCTTCGCTTTCCCACCCTGTCCCTGGAGACACTGCACAGGCATCACCTACGCTCTCATCTTCTCCAATCCCATCCCTATCCTCCACTAGCCCAGTGGGTAAAGGTCGTCCTCTTCAAAGGAGTCACTCAAGTCATTACACACGCCGCCCACCAAGTATGCTAGCTATTACAGGCCAGAATCGTCGACCGGATCTTATAGGAAGCACAGGAGATAGTGCAGCGTCAAATGTCTCCGCAGGACCCCAGTCGTCTTCGTCTTTTGGATCGGCATCATCTCGCTCAGTTACAGAGTCTCTGGACCTCAGGACTTCCGCAACGACATCCTCAACAACCCTTGGCCTGAAGCAACAGCGAGATCTCCAAGACATTGTGGCATCAGGGAGGGCAGCATCGAACTCACCTACCATTACTGATCAGCCATCAAGCACTGTCATTGGAGGCGGATTATCAATCCCATTTGCCGATGAGACAAAGAGCAAAGATGAACTTTATACTCCATTAACTTCCCCTATTATGATTCCTGTTGGAGGCTTCCCGGTGTTCAAAACTAGCCATAATAATAGTGGCCACCGTAGTAGTGGTGGATGGGCAAGCCCCCCTTCCGTAGGTGGCGGCTCATCTCGACCTTTGACTTATGCAGGCCCTTCTACGCCAACTTTGGGCTCCGCTTCGTCTTTGCTCATGTCACCCAATTCAGTATCGAGAGATCATGTGCCAGTTTCAAGTCAGCCGCAGCAGCCACAAGGAGCTGGATCGCCTGCTAATGAGCGAAACAGCACGCTAGTACCAATGAAAGACAAGGCGGAAAAGAGCAATCGATATTCAGCATCGTCATTTTCATCTATTGGTTCTTTTGCAAAGTATCAAAAGAAGTCGAGTAAAAAAGACCGTAAGAAGGAGGGCTTGGAACAGGATCATAATCAACAACAACAACAACAACCACTTGACCAGCGCTATTCTGTCTCTGCCGCATCAGTCAACCCTGTTTCAGCTAGCGTGAGTGATTACTGGACGGAGAAGAGCCTTGATAAGCTGAGTGATGTAGTTCCTCATGTTGATCGAGACCGGCTATCGATTTATCTACAAAGGGCTCAAGGTGATGAGATGGTAGCGATTGGATTGGCAATGAGCGACCTCAGATCTGGGCTGCTTTGAGAGGACACTATTATGCCTCTCATTCTGAGCTTGAAGGGAGGCATTCCTTTCGAAACCATACTCGGATCAAACGAAAACGATAGTTTCTAATAAATAAATATAAAAAAGAAAGAAAGAAATATATATTTGTAGGATGCAAAGACACCTTGAATTTGATAGCTGATGAATGGTATTAAGGGCATAAAAGGTCTTTATTCTATGGTTGTTGCTTTTGACCAGCTGAGCTCTTCATTTAGTTAGTCTCCACAATAATAGCAAGCGAAGAAGGTCTACATCATGAACAGCAATATCAAGGTCAAAGTTTATTACAAAAAAAAAAAAAAAAAAAAAAAGGATCTATAAATCTGTGGATGAAAGCAAAGGAACAGACCTCCTTTTGTGATCTACGTGTCTGTTCCTCATGCTGTGCTCTGTCGAGTGATAGGCGGTTTGGCTAACGATATCTCTAGAGTTGAGCTTCGCCCATTAACATAGGAATGGTTGTTTGTTGTCTGGAAACACGAGTAGCGTATTTTGTCTAGGTTGAGTGGTACTTGGTATCAGGTGGGAAACTACAATAAAACTATCCACGCATGACGCGCCTCCAACTGTGTTCATCTGGATAGATGCAAAGAGCCTAGCGTTTTCCGTTGTAATATTATTACTGTTGCCATTACTCGTCCTTGATAACTTATTAGACACGTCATATCTACCACAATCCTATATCCTCACAAGAAATTATTCATGTTATGTCTCTCTATCTTTGCAACCAATAGAAAAGAAAAAAAAAGAAAAGAAAGAGAAGAAAACGCACTCAAAAGACGACTTTTTGACCTGCACAAGAATCTTCACATCCTCTATTTCCCTTTGGTTTTCATTTTCTGGATCCATTTTATGATCTAGCATGAGGTAAACTCGCGATAGTTTGTCGTGGAAGTGCAGAAGTGCGCTTTTGAATTACTATTGGATACGCCATACCAATATTAGCCATTTTACTTCCTTAAAGGTTATAAGCTGCAACTGCAAAGCCTACAACATCTGTTGGTTGTTTCATCTATTTTGTCAATGTTATAATCTGATTGCTGACTGGCTTCTCCCGAAGAAATGACGTTCATAATCAATATCTCTCTCCATATCCTTTGTAGTCATCCCTTGCTGTTGCAACGCAACATTAATCACTCGTGCTTATTAGCTTTCCTATTCTTAATCACGATTTTCTTCAGCAAACTGCTTATCCAACTACTTTACTTTATCGATGATCAGCCGACTCAGCGCCATTCCTATCTCTTTACATCAGCACTTTGTCTTAACTCTCTTGCTCTCTCTTCTTTTATAGGTAATAGTGGTTACAATCAATTGTCAGAATAAACTGTACAAATTCATTGACCACTAATGGTCAATTGCTGATTGTAGCTAAAACATTCATAGACTAGAATAGACTAAATAAACTAATGCCGGCAGCAAACCATATCTTGCTTCAGAACTATTAACCTATGCCTTTTGTTTATTAGGAAATAAATACGGAAAGGTATTCCGATATCATTTACATTGTATATTAATCTATAGCTCGCAGTTAGATCTACAATTATTCTTCTAAAACACGATCTGCATGGTCTTGATCATTATCATGGGCGAGTTTAGATGCCCACTGAGGATCGCGTCCTAAATAAGGATACTGCTGAGGACTGCGCGGTGATGAAATAGTGTGAGGGTTGCGGTATTGGAATTCATTCTTGTAGTATGCTTCGTCTTCACTTAACTCGCCTGAGTTGTCTTTATGTTCGACTATCTTCTGTTTAATGGGTCCATGCCCTTCACCCAACCTCTGCTTTCGCCTTCTATAGATGAGGACAGCTACGATCAATGCTACCAAGACTAACCCTGCTACTGCTCCGCCTGCTATCGCTCCAATATTAGTATTTGAAGCCTTAGCTATAGAGGTACTTGAAGGTGATGGGTCGGAAGAAGGTGTAGGAGATGGATGGTCGTTGGAGGAAGCCGTGACCCACTCAAACTTGGTCAGGTCAAACACAATGGTCGAATCAAGTGGATCGCTATTCGGATGTTTTTCACCGCCCCAAGCTACGAAGCGATTACCAACAATACCACAGGCAGCGTGAGCCCGCGGTTCAGCTGCATCAGGGCCCTTCTTCCACTCTCCTGAATTGAGATCAAGGACAAAGATTTCTGAAGAAGGAACAACAAAGCCTGAGGGACCGCGAGTTGCAGGAGTGAAGCCTCCGAAGACAACAATCTTTGTATTATCCTCATCTAAAGATAAAAGGAAGGCAAGTATACTAATGAATAAACGGTGTATCAGAGAACTAACATCAAAAAAACTATCTTTCAATAAGGAAAACATACTAATGATCATGCAATTCGCCTCCCTTGTGGTAGGGACTTGTCCTTTCACAGGCTAAAAGTAAGCATTCAGTGAGATATCTTTTTTTTTTTTTTTTTTTTTTTTTTTTTTCCATTTTTTTACGATGATTATGAAGCACTTACAATAGTTGACCATGAGTTAGAGTCGATTCGATATTCTGTGACATACGCCGTTGATGAATCTTGTTCAAGCCTATAGCCTCCCATAACACTATTCCTGTTGCTGTTGTAAACAGATCCAATAAAGTCGGGTGTAACCACTAGTGTGCCATTACTGACAAGGCGAGTTTCCCATCCCTTTTCGAAGTCGCCAAGCAGGCACATGGTATCTTTAAAGGGGAAGGCAAAACTGTAAACTACTCCTTTTCGAGTGTCTACGGCAAAATCTTGTAGAGATCTACAGAGTCTCGGCCCTGGGGGCGCAACAAGACTCCATTCCGCACTTGCATCATCGACATTGACCCTCAGATTGTCATAAACAATGTTACCGTAAATGTAAAGCGTTTGGTTGATACCTACGCCGATTTGTTTCTGATAACTTGTGAAATTTCCATAATTGTGGGATGTCCAAGGAACGGTATCAAGAGTCCACGACGCTGCGAGGTCAACAGAGAAAAATGGTCCATTTCTTTTGTCATACGGCCCACCTTGGAGATAGAGTCTCGAGCCAATTTGAGCAAATGGCATACGAGTGTTTGCCTCAGGACCTGTCTGAGCACTAACAGTTGAGACATAGTGGAGGATCAGGGACAGGAACCTACAAAAGAATAGTGATGTAGCTCGAGAAGGAATAGGGAAAGTGGAAAAGCCAAAGGCCATTATATGCTATCTAATCCTTAGTTAAAAATAACGAAGCAGGCAAGTCAACAAGTCAACTGTGACATGAAAAAAAGATGAAATGAAGAAACGAGAATGAAAGAGAATGAAAGAGAATGCATGAGCAGGATTGCGCCATGACATGAGCCTTGTGCTCTTTGCTCATCCTCCTCGTTGATTAGACTTTTTCAATACAGCCACTTTACTCATCTAATATCGACTTTTTATTTTTTTATGTGCAGATGGACGGTTGTTCTAATCGCTGTTCTATACCCTCGTATTCTGGAGTAGGCTCACCATGAGGATCCCGACCTAGAATAGGCGTTTGCTGAGGATGGCGCGAGCTGACATTAACCAGCTGAGGACTGTAAACTGGAGTTTTGCCATAATCTTCGGACACTCCTTCCATTAAGCCATGCTCTTGCTTGCCATAGTGTTCAGGCGGAGCATGTCCTTGCTTGACATCTTTCGCTTCAGGGATCTCGCTCTTCTGGTTCTTTTGTCTCCGCCGCCTGTAAATGAACACTCCTGCAACAGTCGCTATAGCAGCCAAGGCTCCGATAACCCCTCCTATAATGGCTCCAATATTAATACTTGAAGATTCATTCTTCGTCGGAGCAGGAGCCTCAGACGTTACTGAAGCTCCTGGAGACGCGGTGGTAGTCGGTTTGGTGGGCAGTAGGTAACTCGGAGGTGTATAAGTTGTAACCCATTCAAACTTGGATAGATCGAATAACAACATTGATCCATCACCACTTGGGTTTTTAGTATTCTGGCCACCCCAGATTATGAATTGGTCCCCAACCAGGGCACAAGCAGGAAAGCTGCGAGGCGAAGTCGCATTAGGAGCCTTTCTCCACTCTTTCGAATTAAGATCCAGCACATATAGTTCAGGAGTAGGTGGTTCCGCCCATCCGGGAATGCCTCCAAAGACAGCAATCTTGGTCCCATTTGCATCTATCATTTACAAAGCGCAAGGAGGTAGGAGCATAAAAGCACAGTTATTAGAATCATTGCTCATGCGGACTACATTCACAGATATGACATGAATGAAAGGAGTAAGGAATATAGTAAACAATACCGATGGCCATGCAGTTTTCACGTTTAAAGGTTGGTTCCTCACCTATTACATTCTAAAGAAAGGTATGGACAGGAGATGAATAGTACTGAGTCAATAGTCATATCGAGTCTATAGATGACTGACCGTTTTAATAAAGAAAGTAAAGATCGAAATAAGAGTGGAGTGGACATTTACAAACAGTGACCATGAATTGGTATCGATCGAGTATTCCAAAAGGTAACCCCAGACATTGTCCATTAATCGCCTGTACCCTAACATGAATGATGCCCTGGCACTGTTGTAGACAGCACCATGAATCATTCTCTGCCCAAATAAGTCATCGGGAATCCGACGTATGTATGGAGACTGTGATATTCTTTGGTCCACACACATGCTCGTTGGCAAATCCATGGAAAAGGTATACGTCCATCCGGTCCTGAGATCCATACTAATCTCATGTGCAAAGTGAAGGCACTGCTGAGTCCAAAAAAAGTCAATCGTTCTCCATTGTGCATTGGGATTAGTAATATTGACTCGCTTAAAGGTTCCATTATTCGGGTAGTGTATCACTAAGGATCTATCATCGGTTACTGCCCAACTATCTGGGTCATTGGGGATATCGCCGAAAGCCTCAGCTGTCCAAGCAGGTGTATCGACCGACCATGATGTTGTAAGATCTAACGAGAAAACCGATGTGTTATTAGCAGAGCGTGGACCGCTCTGGACATAAAACTTTGATCCCACTTGTGCATATGGCATTCGAGTATTAGGGATTGGAGCGATTTGTGCATGAATGCTTGAGATAACCTGGAATGGAGTGGATAGAAAGCAAAGGAAGAGAAGCGGCAAGGCTCGAGTGAATATGCCAAAGGAGGACGAGTGAGAGGTCATGGTTGCGGCAGAATAACAAAGCTCTCCAAAGCTGGTGGAAGGAACAGTCTCAAAAAGGGAAAGTGTTCTCTCTTTTTTATTTTCTTTTTTTTTTCGGACAAGACAAAGGAAAGGAATGAGAAAGCTGGGATGAATCAGGTCAGGTCATGAGGAAAGAGATGTGCATTCTCTTTCTCCCATCATCCTCGCTGACCGTTGTGAATGCTCTCTCAAGAAGGCCTACTACTGTATCCCAAGCATGCAGGATCCAAATTAAGTTTGATACAACGTAATAAACAAATAGGCAAGCACACAATGTCTGTTTTCATGGACCATGCATACAAAAGATGTAACATCTCTGACACAGGGCCTCAGCTCATTTACCAACTGAAATCATCTTGCTGATTCTCCTCCATCTCGACCATACTTTTGTCTCCTCCGCGTCAACCTGTCAACGGTGGTCTTCACTTGTAGAGTGATATCAGCAACATATCTGGCGGCGCTTAGTATTACGAGGCTACTCCTTTACGGTTACGTGTAATTGATAGGGGCTCAAGTCCCTTGAAAGATCGTCAACTCCGTCTGTGCTTCCCTCAGCCTGCGACTGTAGCTGACAACAACAAAAGCAAGCGGCTATTTGTGAAAGCGAAGATGTGCCATTGCTAAAGGGTGCGGCTTCTAGCAATAACTGTCGAAAAGTCCCATCAGACAGAGCATATCAGCAATATTCATCCACCGCTTCTGAGTTCAGGCTAATAGAGGATAATTACACCGTTCTTGACGATCAGACTACATCCATATTGAATCAGAAGGGCAAACAGTAAACAAATGAATCGGCACTGGAGACTAGCAATCAGAAACAAGAAAATGTCATGAATCCAAACCAAGATGGCTCCAAAAATGATAAAGATAATTTTGAAGAGCGACGACTGGACCATCATGGAGAGAACTGGAAGGCGCACTACCAACTGACAAGCAAGTGGTATCAAGGATGTGCCAAGGACTACTTTCCGCTCGTACTGTCTTCAAATACCACACTTTCTTCAGCAACGCAGGCACCTTAAGGAATATCTCTCTCTCGAACGCTAACTCATCCTTATCATCCACTGGGTCGCCCTCTGGGCCAAGCTCTACATATGATGCAATAAAGCTCCAGCACTATCGCAACCTGTCAACCCCTGTGCAGCGACCCATATTAAAATGTTAAGGAAAAGAAGGCCATCAACTGTAGTAAGTTTGCAATATGAAGGGCTAGGACACACAGTACTAGTCTAGCAAGGCATTCGAAGCGGAGCTTGATACCAAACAGGACTTGTACAGAGGCTACTCTAGATGACTACCAAATAACTTTTATTAGCTCCAACCCTCATTATCATGAGAAGCGCACAATACCTATCAACAAAATCATGCATTTCCTGTAATAGATACCAATGGATCCTGGTTATGTTCTCGCATAGAAGCGATATCCTTTTTATGGGGAGAAGGAAAAGAAAGATTATTTCGATCAAGTGGATAGACAAGCAGTAAGAGTCGAGTACACAAGCATGCGGCGATATCATGTGTGAGGTTGTGCACGTACCATGTCGAACGGAACATGGATTACAAACTTAATTTTACAACAAAAGCGCGATGCAACAAACCCAGGTTGCAATGGGCGTGTCTGATGCATTGCAAGCGACGCTCTCTTCCTTGCTTGCATTCATACTCTAGCAAAGGTATTTGGTAGATTCTCAGTTGCTCAGATGCGATAATCGAACAAAAGCCATGATCTTCAAAATAAAAGCATACGTACTCCATTTGACCTCGATTTGGCGGCGCTCGCTCTGTATACGTTTAATGATTTTGTCGCTATTTTGGTGGCAACGGCAGTATAAAAGACATTTTTTTCCATTTTTCTCTTTCTTCTTCTCTTCTCTTCTCAACTCTTCACACTCTCCCCTTCTCATTTCTCACACAGTTTTATTTCGCTGCAGGCACCCGCTGGTTGGCCCCAGAGGTGTCCTGTTTTGACACTCAAGGTATACTCCCAGCCTTGCTTAGTCTCCCCTTTCTCTTTCTCTTTCTCTCCTCTTTCGCTGCAGGCACCCACTGGTTGGCCCCAGAGGTGTCCTGTTTTGGCACTCAAGGTATACTCCCAGCCTTGCTTAGTCTCCCCTTTCTCTTTCTCCCTCTCCTCTCGCTGCAGGCACCCACTGGTTGGCCCCAGAGGTGTCCTGTTTTGGCACTCAAGGTGTACTCCCAGCCTTGCTTAGTCTCCCTTTTCTCTTTTTCTTCCTCCCCTTTTCTTTCGTACGAGGGTTTTTTTTTTGCATTGTTTTCCCTCGTTAAAAAAAATAAACGGAGCGCGACAAGCCAGACCACCTCCTCGTGGTGCGCTCCGGACAACATCTTTTCTTTTCCTTCTGCTGGTTCCAGCTACCACTAGCAAAGCAAAAAAAAAAAAAAAAAAAAAAAAAAGATGGCCAAGCGTCTGGCTCAGACTAGTTTGTAGTACTATGATAGAAGCATGTATCGGAATAAAGCTCTGAGTATAGGGTTAAAATAAATAAACAAGCTTTCAAATCCTTTTTTATGTCTCCATTATAAATGAAAAATGTGGCAAGATGGACTAAGGTAAAAACAATACTTCGTATACGTTTCTTCTTGGAAAAAGAAAAAAAAGAAAAGAGAGATAACAATAGGAGCCTGGTGCCTTGTAGCTGTAGCTTAGGAAAGGGCGGTAACAAACAGTTGCCAGATAATAAAGAAAAGAAAATAAAGCATGGCTTTTTGGCCTGTAAGGATCTCTCGCATCTCTCTATACCTCTTTATATCTCTTACATTTTATTTCTCGACTGTCTTTTTGTAGGATACGCCATACCGACAGAGCTTCAATACCTGCGTTTCTTTTGTGTCGAAAAAGCTAGTGTTAGAAACCGATGGCTGGCTGGCTTCGCTAGGGGAAATGGTGCTCGTAATCAATCCCCTTCTGTATAGCTTTTGTATCCGTTCTTTGCTTTCGCATCTTCGTATACACTACTCGCCATCCCGCCATATCACTATTCAGCCACATACACTACTACTACTCTAAACAGCTGCTTTGCTTCGTATTATAATAAACTATGTGCTGTCTCTCTTAGACCCATCTTGGGTCCACAGGCGCCCCCCCCCCTAATGGTGGATCTGGATAGCATAGTTACATTCCCTACCTCGTCGTTCTACTCCTCTACTCCGTTTATCATTTCATAAACGAAGCAATTTGGAGCGAACCTTTGCTTACAACGGAAAAAGGGAAATGGCAAAGGGAATGAGTTCCTCACTTCTTCTTCAATGCTGTTCACTTTGGCTATCCAGTCTTTCTTCCATTTCTCTTTATTGACGCTTGACCCGCTCTCTTATCTCTCCTTCGCGCTTTTTCTTATATATCTTTGGCCATCATCATCTATCGGAGCAAATTGTACGGACTCATTGATCGCTATTGGTTCATTGCTGGTCCTAGCCAAGAAGTCTGCAGATTGAAATTGACTTGTCGCTGACAGCAAACCATAGCTGCTTCCGGACTATTAATCTAGGTTTATTGTCTATATGGAGGTAAATGTGAAAAGGTATTCCAGCACCATATACATCGTATACAGTAGATATCTATAGCTCACGCTACTAAACCTTCAGATTATGCTTCTAAAACACGATTTGCATGGTCCTGATCATGGTCATGAGTGAGGCTAGGTGTCCATTGAGGATCACGTCCCAAGCAAGGATACTGTTGAGGGCTGCGTGGTGACGAGGCGGCGTGAGGATTACGGTATGTGAGTTCATTCTTATGCTGTGGCTCGTCTTCATTTGATCTCTTAGGGTTGTCTATTTGCTTCACCTTCTGCTCAATGAGTCCATGCTCTTCACTTGGCCTTTGCTTTCGCCTTCTATAGATGAGGACAGCTACGATCAATGCTACCAAGACTAACCCTGCTACTGCTCCACCTACTATCGCTCCAATATTAGTATTTGAAGCCTTAGTTGTAGGGATACCTGAAGATGATGGGCCGGAAGAGGGTGTAGAAGATGGATGGTCGTCTGAGGAAGCCTTAAGCCACTCAAACTTGGCCAGATCAAACACAACGATCGAATCATATGGGTCGCTCGTCGAATCTTTTTCACCACCCCAGGCTACAAACCGATCACCAGCAAGGCCACAGGCAGCACTGGCTCGTGGTTCAGCTGCATCAGGACCCTTCTTCCACTCTCCTGAATTGAGATCGAGGACAAAGATTTCTGATGAAGCGATATTAAAGCCTGGAGGGCCACTAGATGCAGGGATTCGGCCTCCGAAGACAACAATCTTTGTATTATTCTCATCTAAGGGTGGTCGAAAAAGATAAATACGCTAATGAATATATGCTATGTCAGAACACTGGCATCCAAAAACTGCTCGAAATAGGGAAACGTACTGATGACCATGCAATTCTCCTCTCTTGTGGTAGGGACTTGTCCTTTCACAGGCTAAAAGTAATCAATAACAGGTTTTCATTCAGTGGGATATTAATTTTTTTTTTTTTTTTTTTTTTTTTGGTAAACATTATGGGATTTGCACTTACAATAATTGACCATGAGTTTGAGTCGATATGATATTCTGTAATGTATGCTGCTGATGTAGCTTGTTGAAGTTTGTAGCCTCCCATAATGCTGTTCCTGTTACTGTTGTAAACAACACCTTCAAAGTAGATCTCCCACAGTCGTGTGCCATTGTTGTATGGGCGGGCTCGCCATTTCGCGTCGGAACTCTTAAGCTCGCACATGATATTTAAGGGTTGAGTGGAAACGGTGTAGAACACTCCTGTTCGAGGGTCTATGGTAATGGCTCCAGGGTAGCCACAGATGTCATATATACCAGTAGGAAACTCACTCCACCTCGCACCCGCATCTGCGAGATTGATTCGATAGCCCACATTGCCACTACCTATCATGTAAAGCATCTGATTAAAGCCAAGGCCATAATATTTTTTCTCGCTTGTGAAATTTCCATAATTGTGGGCCGTCCAAGGGAGAGCACCAAGAGACCATGATGCTGCGAGATCAAGAGAGAAAAATGGTCCGTCCCTAGTATCAAACGGCCCGCCTTGGACATAGAGTCTCGAACCAATTTGAGCAAAGGGCACGCGAGTGTTTGCCTCGGGACGTGTCTGAGCACCAACAGTTGAGATGTGATGAAGGATATGGAGGATCAAGTGCAAGAGCTTATATAAGAACAGTGGTGCAGCTCGAGCGGAGACGGTGCAAATGGAAAAGCAGGAGGTCATAATAAGTAACGTAGTCCTTGGTTTGTCCTGGAAGAGATTAACTCAACTGTGACATGAGAAGGTGTGAGATGTAAGAGGAAACAAGAATGAATTTAAGAGAATGCGCAAACAGGAATGGATCATGATGCTCTTCGCTCATCCTCCTTGATTAAACTTTTCAAATTATATATCCGTTGTGATCCATCTTGTACTTGCTGTTAGCCTGCAACAATTGGCAAACAAATTGAATTGTTACTCTTTGGCAAGGAACGAAACGTCAAATTATTCATTATTTATTATGTCGAATTTATTCGCCAGGCGAAGATGGCTGTTCTATGGCTCTATATTTCGGAGCAGGTTCCCCATGAGGATTTCGACCTAGAGCAGGCAAAGTACTACTCATTAGCTGGGGACCGCAAACTAGACTTTTGCCATGGTCCTCAGGCGAGCTCTCAATCTTTCCAGAGGCATCACTTCTCTCACTCTTTTGTTTTTGTCGCCGTCTGTAAATAAACAATCCTGCAATGGCCGCTAAAAAAATCAAACCACCAGCGGCACCTCCTGCAATGGCTCCAATATTAGCAGTTGAAGATCCAGTCGACAGTTCGGGACGGGATTGCATGTCGCTCGGAGGTGTATAAGTTGTGGCCCATTCAAACTTGGATAGGTCGAACAGCAAGATCGATCCGTCACCACTTGGACTCTCTGAATTCTGACCACCCCAGACTATGAATTGATCCCCGACCAGGGTACAAGCAGCATAGGCGCGAGGTGTAGCCGCATTTGGCGCTTTTCTCCATTGTCTCGATTGAAGATCTAATACAAACAACTCAGGAGAAGACACCAGCTTTGCAGGATTAGTAGGATCTACAGTAGAGCCTCCAAAGACAACAATCTTGGTCCCTTTTGAGTCTATCATTTGTAAGAGCGTAAAGGCACAACCATTAGTAATATTGTCCATGCGAATATGACATATATGAATAGAAAAATAAACCCATTACCAATAACCATGCAGTTTTGCTCTCTCTTGGTGGGACGCTCTCCTGTTGAGTTCTAAAGGAAGTTAAAAATAGAAGAGAATCGATGTGGCTCAGTCAATTGGACTAGCAAGTCTACAAGTCACAAGTCTAAAAAAAAAAAAAGAAAAGGAAACAGGATTTACAAATTTTGTCCATTTGTCGCCGTCAATCGAATATTCTAAAAGGTATCCCCAGGAACTGTCCATTAAGCGCCTGTATCCTATCATGACTGTGGCTCTGGCGCTATTGTAGACAGCACCATCGATGATTCTCTCTCCAAATATATCATCGGTAACCGCATTGACGGTAACAGGTTCTGGTGCTTTTGAGTCCACACAGACGGCATCAGGTGCACCACCCTCGCCTTTAATAAAGCTATATGTCCATCCAGTCCTGGCATCCATGGTAGTCTCACGTGTAATATCAAGGCAGTAAGAGCTCCACAACGAGTCACTGGCAATCCATTGTGCGTTGGGGTTGGAAATATTCCATCGATTATATACTCCAGTAGCCCGATTGATTATTTGTAAGGATTTATCGTCGTCTATTCCCAAGGTGTCTGGGTTATTGATGAGATTGCCGAAATTTTCGGCTGTCCAAGCAGGTGCATTGACTGACCATGATTTTGAGAGGTCTAAAGAGAAAATTGGTGTGCTTTTTGCAGAACGCGGACCACTCTGAACATAAAATTTTGATCCCACGCGTGCATACGGCATTTGTGTATTAGGGATAGGAGCGACTTGTGCATGGGTGATTGAGATGCCCTGAAAGGATGAGGTTAGGAAGCAGAAGAGAATGAGTGGCAAGGTACGAGTAAGTATACCAGGGGAGGATGAGTGAGGGGTCATGGCCATAGTGGTGGCAAAAAAATAAAGCTTCCTAAAGCAGTGGAAGGGATGCCGTGCTGAAAAGATAAAAAGATTGTACAGCAGCACATTTGATGAGAATGAGCAAAGCAATGTGCATCCTCTTGATTGTGGTTGTGCAATGCTCTCTTCAAAGGATTCTGAGCCACGCAAGAGCAAAAAGAGTTTGTAAACAGAGTTTTCCCTGAGGTACAAACCATTCATTGGCGAATTAAATCTCATGAATTAAGATTTGCCAGTTAAACGAGCCTAGAACAATCGATAGTTCTCATGGCAATTGGCTTCTTAGTTGCTCATATTCTGAATCTGCCATTCCAACGATTCACCCTCCAGCTAATTTTTAACACTTCCAAAAGTCCCAGTATGAATCTTTGCGGACTTTATTTATTCCCTCTCAAATAACTTTATTTGGTATGATATTGTTCATGGTGGGCCTAGTCTTATAAAAGACACAACACCCTTCTGCTCCCTGATAGGCTTTCTTTTAAATTTATGTGAATTCGCATCATAATTGAACCAACCATTTCTCTATCCCTACTCTAGACCTCTTGTTGTATATCTCTCTCCAAAACTTTCCTTTCAATCTGAATTGTGATCGGCATCATTTTGTTTTATTTTCTTATTTTCAGGTAAAAAAACAAGCAGTACTTTATCATAATCAACAAGTCACCCCAATGTCAACTTTTTATCTACCAATGGTTTCATATTAAACACTTCAAGTACCAGGATGTGTAATACATAATCTGTCCTTTTAGATCTTTAGGACCTCCCTTCTCAAGTAGCTCAGGATCTTTGGCTTTCAAGGATTCAAATAGGGAGTGGTATAATACTATTTTCAGAATTTTGGTCAAACGAAGCAATAGAGTATTATACAGAACGTCAAATTAAAAATCGCCACATTCACGAGTACGAACTAGCGTTGACAGCAGTAGCTATATAGTAGTCAGTAGCAGTGTTGTGTTACAAAAAGAAAAGTAAGAAATGGGAGTGGCCATGGTTTATATATTCAGTGGATCTTATCAGTCCAGGCTTAAAAATATTCTTTCGTATTTAGTGGGGACAGTCATAACCATCTTGGTAGCTTTTTCAAAAAGTTGCAAAAGGTAGGGATGAGCATGGCATGAATTGGCTATGCGTGTGTAGTGGAGATACTGTTTAGTTTAAATTCCAGTCTGCCATCAATAGACATTTCCCCATTTATAGGACTTTAACGAAAGTACTTCTATCGACTATTTAACGTTATCCTAATAGAGGTTGCCGCACTGTCTGCCTTCCTTTGTGCTTTCGCCTTTTGAGTTAGTGGCAGTTCCTTTAATGACAAGGGTTCGGACAACTCGGAGGAAACGGTGTTAAAGAACTTTGTTGTTTTCTCATGTAATTACCCTCAAGTAGGCCAGGTTCTTGTGAAGCACATAACCGAGCAAAGGGTTTTGGCGTATGCATTAATTGAGAAGGGACAATCCATATACCTGAAGGCGATGTGTCAGTTCTGCTCACATAACATGTACAAGGATATTAAGTGGAGACAACTTACCATCTTGGACAGTAGTATCAGGTCCAATATCTGCTTATAACTCTAGCCTCTGAATACCTGCACTTTCTGAAGTAAAAACACATTATCGATAAATATCCGAATAGAAATGAAGGAACAGATCTTCGCCCTCCACAATATACGCGTCTATTCCTCATACCGCGCACTGACGAGAGGTAAGCGACTTGTCTAATGGTGTTTATAGAACTGAGCTTGGTTCTTTAATACAGGGGTGATTGTTTGTTGCTGGAGACACGATTATCAGGTTATGTCTAGGATTGAGTCGTACCAAGTACAAACTACCAAATAATCTCTATGTGGGGTGAATTGGGTTTTTGTTCATTTGTATACAGGTGAAAAGTCTTGCATATTCACTACTGTTATCCAAAATTAGTATTGGAAGACCCAGTAGTAGGGACAGTTGGATATGATAGGCCGAAGGGATTGCCAGATTAGGAGGCGTTAACGCCGGTTGATGGCGCGAAGAAGCCGTGACCTACTCAAACTTGACCATGTTAAATGTAACGCTTGTATCAAGAGTGTCACTATTCAATCCTTGTCGCCACCATAAGCTACGTATCGACCACCAAAAAAGCTACAGGCAGCATTGGCTCGTGATTCAGCTACAATAGGGTCCTTCTTCCATTCTCTTGAATTAAGGTCAAGAGTAATATTTCTGAGAGGGTAGGTAACATTGAAGTCGGAGGGATCACTAGGTACTAGATATAGGAGTACGGCCTCCGAAGACAACCCTCGTCGTTTGGGGTTTCCAATACATTCACTTTGATTTGCGCTTGTTTGTAGCCTGCAGCTATCGGGCGCATGTAGCAGAAATATGATCTTCAATCTATGCCAAAGAATAAAGTGCCATACCATTTTTTACTTTTTTATATATAAGTAGTTACTCTAATCATCAATGCGGCCTAGTGTTCTGTAGCTTCATATTTTGGAGCAGGTTCACCATGAGGATCCCGACCTAGAATAGGCGTTTGCTGAGGATGGCGCGAGCTGACATTAACCAGCTGAGGACTGTAAACTGGAGTTTTGCCATAATCTTCGGACACTCCTTCCATTAAGCCATGCTCTTGCTTGCCATAGTGTTCAGGCGGAGCATGTCCTTGCTTGACATCTTTCGTTCCAGGGATCTCGCTCTTCTGGTTCTTTTGTTTCCGCCGCCTGTAAATGAACACTCCTGCAACAATCGCTATAGCAGCCAAGGCTCCGATAACCCCTCCTATAATGGCTCCAATATTAATACTTGAAGATTCATGCTTCGTCGGAGCAGGAGCCTCAGACGTTACTGAAGCTCCTGGAGACGCGGTGGTAGTCGGTTTGGTGGGCAGTAGGTAACTCGGAGGTGTATAAGTTGTAACCCATTCAAACTTGGATAGATCGAATAACAACATTGATCCATCACCACTTGGGTTTTTAGTATTCTGGCCACCCCAGATTATGAATTGGTCCCCAACCAGGGCACAAGCAGGAAAGCTGCGAGGCGAAGTCGCATTAGGAGCCTTTCTCCACTCTTTCGAATTAAGATCCAGCACATATAGTTCAGGAGTAGGTGGTTCCGCCCACCCGGGAATGCCTCCAAAGACAGCAATCTTGGTCCCATTTGCATCTATCATTTACAAAGCGCAAGGAGGTAGGAGCATAAAAGCACAGTTATTAGAATCATTGCTCATGCGGACTACATTCACAGATATGACATGAATGAAAGGAGTAAGGAATATAGTAAACAATACCGATGGCCATGCAGTTTTCACGTTTAAAGGTTGGTTCCTCACCTATTACATTCTAAAGAAAGGTATGGACAGGAGATGAATAGTACTGAGTCAATAGTCATATCGAGTCTATAGATGACTGACCGTTTTAATAAAGAAAGTAAAGATCAGAATAAGAGTGGGATGGACACTTACAAACAGTGACCATGAATTGGCATCGATCGAGTATTCCAAAAGGTAACCCCAGACATTGTCCATTAATCGCCTGTATCCTAACATGAATGATGCCCTGGCACTGTTGTAGACAGCACCATGAATCATTCTCTGCCCAAATAAGTCATCGGGAATCCGACGTATGTATGGAGACTGTGATATTCTTTGGTCCACACACATGCTCGTTGGCAAATCCATGGAAAAGGTATACGTCCATCCGGTCCTGAGATCCATACTAATCTCATGTGCAAAGTGAAGGCACTGCTGAGTCCAAAAAAAGTCAATCGTTCTCCATTGTGCATTGGGATTAGTAATATTGACTCGCTTAAAGGTTCCATTATTCGGGTAGTGTATCACTAAGGATCTATCATCGGTTACTGCCCAACTATCTGGGTCATTGGGGATATCGCCGAAAGCCTCAGCTGTCCAAGCAGGTGTATCGACCGACCATGATGTTGTAAGATCTAACGAGAAAACCGATGTGTTATTAGCAGAGCGTGGACCGCTCTGGACATAAAACTTTGATCCCACTTGTGCATATGGCATTCGAGTATTAGGGATTGGAGCGATTTGTGCATGAATGCTTGAGATAACCTGGAATGGAGTGGATAGAAAGCAAAGGAAGAGAAGCGGCAAGGCTCGAGTGAATATGCCAAAGGAGGACGAGTGAGAGGTCATGGTTGCGGCAGAATAACAAAGCTCTCCAAAGCTGGTGGAAGGAACAGTCTCAAAAAGGGAAAGTGTTCTCTCTTTTTTATTTTCTTTTTTTTTTCGGACAAGACAAAGGAAAGGAATGAGAAAGCTGGGATGAATCAGGTCAGGTCATGAGGAAAGAGATGTGCATTCTCTTTCTCCATCCTCTCTAACTGTTATGGACACTATCCTGAGGAAGGCGAATATTCGCCCACTTCTGAGCATAAGGGGGTAGGCGAAATGAATAAGGTTATGCAATTAATTCGCTCATAGAATGGTCTGGGGGGAACCAAGTGAAGATAAATAATTACCAACTAAAGAAAGTCGCGTTGAAGAAGAGGGGGAAAGTGAAAGGTTAAGTGGAGTAGAGTAGAGAAACCAATCTTTTTTCCCACTTTTATTTTTTTATTTTTATTTTTCTTCTTATTTCCTCTCTTGCTTTGGTATTATGATGGCACGTTAGCAAGGGCTTGCTACAAAGTGATCTGTTTATAAGGTGATAAGTGATCCAGCAAAAAAAAAGGAAGAAGGAAAGAGATGCAGAGAGATATTGAAGGACGTGTTTGCATCTTTAGCCACTATCATAGGTCGGAAACAAATAGTGCGAGCTCGCTGATCACTAAACGCCAATTACTGACTATGGCTAAAAGGTTCATAGACTGAAAAGACTGACTGTTGGCAGCAAACCATGGTTTTGTATCAGGGTTATTGCTCTAAATTATTATCTATTTGAGATAAATACAATATTGCATTCTGGCATCATTCAAATTATTTAAATGTCTATAGTACATACTACTAATTGTTCAAACTATTCCTCTTAAATACGATCCATATTATCTTGATCATGGCCATGAGTGAAACCCGGCGCTTCCTGCGGATCCCGTCCCAAATAGGGGTACTCTTGAGGACTGCGTGGTGATGAGATGAACTGAGGGTTTTGGTATGTGAGTTCATTCTTGTAGTATGCTTCGTCTTCACTTAACTCGCCTGAGTTGTCTTTATGTTCGACTATCTTCTGTTTAATGGGTCCATGCCCTTCACCCAACCTCTGCTTTCGCCTTCTATAGATGAGGACAGCTACGATCAATGCTACCAAGACTAACCCTGCTACTGCTCCGCCTGCTATCGCTCCAATATTAGTATTTGAAGCCTTAGTTGTAGGGATACCTGAAGATGATGGGCCGGAAGAGGGTGTAGAAGATGGATGGTCGTCTGAGGAAGCCTTAAGCCACTCAAACTTGGCCAGATCAAACACAACGATCGAATCATATGGGTCGCTCGTCGAATCTTTTTCACCACCCCAGGCTACAAACCGATCACCAGCAAGGCCACAGGCAGCACTGGCTCGTGGTTCAGCTGCATCAGGACCCTTCTTCCACTCTCCTGAATTGAGATCAAGGACAAAGATTTCTGAAGAAGGAACAACAAAGCCTGAGGGACCGCGAGTTGCAGGAGTGAAGCCTCCGAAGACAACAATCTTTGTATTATCCTCATCTAAAGATAAAAGGAAGGCAAGTATACTAATGAATAAACGGTGTATCAGAGAACTAACATCAAAAAAACTATCTTTCAATAAGGAAAACATACTAATGATCATGCAATTCGCCTCCCTTGTGGCAGGAACTTGTCCTTTCACAGGCTAATCAACAATCAATAACAGACCTTCATTCAGTGAGAATCATTTTTTCCCTCTTTCATTTTTGGTGAAAGAATATGATATGCAAAGCGATAATGAAGCACTTACAATAGTTGACCATGAGTTTGAGTCGATTCGATATTCTGTGACATACGCCGTTGATGTATCTTCTTCGAGCCTGTAGCCCCCTATAACACTATTCCTGTTGCTGTTGTAAGCAGCCCCAATAAATTCGGGTACAACCGTTAGCGAGCCATTACTGACGAGGCGAGTTTCCCATCCCTTTTCGAAATCACCAAGCAGGCACATGGTATTGTTAGAGAGAAAGGCGAAACTGTATATTATTCCATTTCGAGGGTCTATAGCATAGTCCTGCAGGGTTCTACACAACCTCGGCTCAGGGGTAGGAACAAGACTCCATTTCGCATTCGAATCAGCGACATTGGCCCGAAAGCTATCCTGAATAACAGTCCTACCCTTCATGTAAAGCGTTTGGTTGATGCCTATGCCGTGATGCGCGTGGTCGCTTGTGAACTCTCCATAATTATGGACCGCCCAACGGACAGTATCAAAAGGCCATGATGCTGCAAGATCTACGAGATCAACAGAGAAAAAAGGCCCGCTTTTTGAACCACCTTGGACATAGAGTCTCGAGCCAATTTGAGCAAAGGGCATACGAGTGTTTGCCTCGGGACTTGTCTGAGCGCCAACAGTTGAGGCATGGTGGAGAATTAGGGACAGGAACCTATAAACGAACAGTGATATAGCTCCAGAGGAAACGGTCGAAACGGAAAGGCGGGAGATCATAACATATGAATACGGCTCTCGGTATATCCTGGAAGAGAAAGACAGCTGTGCCATAAGAAGGAAAGATGAAATGTGAGAGAAGACGAGAATGAAAGAGAATCCATGACATGAATCAAGTGCTCACTGATTAACTTTTCAATACATCCACCTTGTGCTTACCTGCAGTCCGCAACTATCAGATGCATGTAGCAAAAAAATAATATCTCCAATGGGCGGAGCTGTTGGGTGTAGCTTTTCATAGTGTCTGCACATAGGCTCAGAAGTGGGCAAATTTTCGCCTTCCTTACAGTCAACATGGACGATGGAAGAAGAAATGCTTCCTCATTCCTCTTTTCATGCCAACGTCCCCTCCACAGCTGTTGAGGGCTTTATCCCTCGGCCGCAATCATGACCCCTTACTTGTCCTCCCTCGACATATTTACTCGAGTCTTGTTGCTCTTTCTCCTCTGCTTCCTAACCTCACTTTTCAGGATGTTCATAGCGGCCCACATTCTGCAAGAAATATATCGATTTCTCTTTAGAACTCACAACATCATGGTCAGTCAATGCGCTTGCTTGAACAGCTGAAAATCTCGGCAATATCCCCAATGACCCAGATGGTTTGGGATTGGTGATTTACTGCTGTCTATATTAAATGGCTACGGTATTTATTGGTGTATTGGAGCAGAGTTCGCTGAATTGACTTATTCAAGTAAGTTGGAACAAAGGCGAAATATCCGGTGTAGCATTAACATCAGCGTTACTAGGAGGACAGGATGATGGTCATTGGTTCTATATCATCCCTGAGTTCTATAGGCTTATTCGACTAAGGAGGCCATGACTAGAAAGATAGACAGGTTAAACTTTGCTGTCTGATCATTTCTCTAGAGCAGCCGCGTGCTCAAGGATTTGCTCTTCTCCATAACTTCAACTCATTTTTTATTGTAACCATGCCTGACATTAATAAAGTTCTAATTAACGAAGATGTTGATATGGACGCTCCACCCGAAATTGGCTCAGGCTCAACACCCATTGGAAGCTTGTTGGTGGCGAATTTTGTCGTCGATACGATGGAGAATGTTGTCGAATTAGGCAACAATGCTGAACTAGATATCAAACATGCCACGATGCCTCTGAGGAGCTACAGACTTCAAAAAGAAGTGACACTGAAAAAGAAACCCTTGATGTTCCTAAGGTACAATGATGCCAGGTAAAGTTGATTAAAATTGTGCAAACGCATTACTCACATTGCTTACTTGTACACATTATACAATACCTATATTAGTATCGGCTCGTACGTCGCTGCAGCTAGAGACTTTAGGCAATAAACATCCTCAGACTTCTTCTAGACCCATCTTTGTTCTTGTTAATTACAAATCGACTTTGATAAGGAGACACTTACCTGGGCCTTGAGCGAACTCGCTAACCAGAGGGCACAGATTCAGGATGCCTTGGTAGGACAAATCAAGGAACTCAACAGTTCCATAAATAGTAACAATCAAAGGTGTGTCTAAGTGAAATCGGGATGCCGAGTACTCCAGCGAAGCCGGAGGTGGAGGAGACTGGAGTCCGCCTGACATCTGTAAATCCGGCGATTGACAATATGCAGTATCGATGGAGAGGATGGTCGTGAAAAGCTGGAGAGGCGACAGAAGAGGAGTCGTTATAAGGGGGCCGAGGCTGTCGATGATAAGGGAGTGTTCTTTGTTGATAGTGATTGAGCTCCGCGCACTGCAGATCCAGGATATGAGTGTGAAGGAGTGAGCACAGGAACGTCGTAGATTGATGGAGGAGATGACAGTTGCTACCACGCTGAGGTGGACAGAAAAGGAAGATAAAAGGAAGGGAGGTAGAGAAGATAGGAAATAGTAGAAAGGAGAATGGAAGAAAGAAATGAAATAACAACAGAAAAAAAGCTTCTTCGTCAGGGTATTCCTTCCATTTCACGAGCCACTTGGGGATTTTATGCCAAATAGTTTGTAATCCAGAATCTTTCCCACTTCATATTCTTCTTCGCCATCGACAAAATCTGGTGGCCTTGCAGATGCCAGTTCGCCGAAACCCTGCGGGAATTCGTGATAATGCCATAATAAATCTGTATTGAAGACAGGATGTTGTTTCATGTTCGAAGGTGACTCTAGCTTGTATGCGTTGTGATTTTGAACGGTCCAATGAATTTCGATTTTTACTTTTTGGAGAGTTGATTGGCGTGGGCGACAGTAATATACTCCGTATTCAGTACGGCACTATCGCCTACAACAAATCTAGCGGATGATCATATTTTATCTGCCTGACGTTTTTGGATGCCCTGAGCTGCTGCTATTGCGTTTTGTGCTTGCACCAACGTAGGAGCTTGAGTGGAAATGAAGGTAGAGATAGCCGGTACATCTGTTGTCGGCGGTTTCAGTAGGGGATGATGGAACAATGGGATGATGCCTGTGGCTTAGGAAAAAGGGAGAAAAAGCTGCGGAGGGGTTGTTGTATGGAAATCCCATTATTGGTAAGAGCAAATCCCAATCATTCTGTTTGTACGAGACATATTATTGTGGCATTTCCTCTAGGATCCTGTTAGCTCGCTCCGTCTGTCCGCCTGCCTGGGGTGGAACACTGTGGACATATGGAGTTTAGTCCTCAAGCGCTCCACTAATGTGATCTAGAAGTGTCCTGTGAATCTTGAGTCTCTGGCCGATATAATACCTCGTGGCATGCCATGGAAGAATCATATGCAACATGAAGTAGGAGAGCGGATGTTAGGATCATTCCGGATACACAAACGTGGCTGCCCGGCGATGCTAATCCACAATAGGTCATAACGATCAGAGGGACTTGTCTCGCGGCAGCGTTCCTAAAGTGATCCTAATTTAAGGTCAGGGTCCAAACTTATTTCTATCGACTTAGCTACGTTTGAAACTAGTGCCCGAGGCGATAACTGCGCTTTAGTAGCGGTTGATATCTGCACAAGGATTTTATCTTGGAGCTTTGTCTAATCAAGAAACCATTGCACTTCCTTCAAGTTATTCTGTACTAAGAGTATCCAAAGTCCTAATAGCACTGAATCCATCGATAGAGTTCCGGCTCATGACGCAAAAGCCCCAAATAGAGCAAGACTCTCAATACTATATCATCCACACTCGAATAGTGTGGCGGAGAGATTTGTCCACACATTCAAGGGCATCCTCCGAAAGTAACTCAAAGCCAAACAAGACAATTAAGATATCCAACTCTCGATGATCCAGCTCCAAATAAATACTAGAGCCGCGAGCCTGCATCATTCCACACCATCTTCATTATTATATGGACACTTCTTTGAAGGACTGATGGATTTTTTCTCCGCCGAGCCGCATCTCCCGTCCGACGAAGAGCTACAGAACAGATTGGAATAGCTCACTGAATTAATTCCTCTCCACTATTTCTGTTAAGAGTAATAATATATAAAAAGAATGCTGGAGAAATTTATGATTCATTTGCTGACACTCGTTTCTGAGGTTTAGTATACATTTCGTTTGCTCGGACAAAAAGAGAAAGACAAAAGAAGGGCTTTATTCATAGGTTAGAGTAATTAGTGGCAGTTATGACGGAGTCCATATAATGCTCCAGCTTAACTACAATAATAAACAGCGTTTAATCTCTTTGAGTCCGCACTTGCCTGAAGCATTTAACAGCTCGAGCCAAATTGAGCAAAGCGCATACGAGCATTTGCTTTGGAACTTGTCTGAGCGCCAGCAGCTGAGGGACGATAGGGACAGGGACAGGGGTATATAGAAGAGCAGAGGTAAAGCTTGCAAGGAGATGATAGAAATAGAGAAGCAGGAGACAATGATATGTAGTACAGTCCATGATTTATCCTTGAAAGGATTATTTAGACACAACGAAATAGATAATCAACAAGCCAACTGCGGTATGAGAAGCGAACATAAGGTGTAAGAGGAAACTAGAATGAAAGAGAATCAATTTACGGGATAAAGCGCTCCGCCCATTCTCATTGAGCTTTTCAACACATTGCTTTGGTCCCCTCATACTTGCTTCTTAACCTGCAGCTGTCGGACGCATGTAGCATAAAAATGATCTTCAATCTATGCCAAAGAATAAAGTGCCATACCATTTTTTACTTTTTTATATATAAGTAGTTACTCTAATCATCAATGCGGCCTAGTGTTCTGTAGCTTCATATTTTGGAGCAGGTTCACCATGAGGATCCCCACTTAGAATAGGTGTTTGCTGAGGATGGCGCGAGCTGACATTAACCAGCTGAGGACTGTAAACTGGAGTTTTGCCATAATCTTCGGACACTCCTTCCATTAAGCCATGCTCTTGCTTGCCATAGTGTTCAGGCGGAGCATGTCCTTGCTTGACATCTTTCGTTCCAGGGATCTCGCTCTTCTGGTTCTTTTGTTTCCGCCGCCTGTAAATGAACACTCCTGCAACAATCGCTATAGCAGCCAAGGCTCCGATAACCCCTCCTATAATGGCTCCAATATTAATACTTGAAGATTCATTCTTCGTCGGAGCAGGAGCCTCAGACGTTACTGAAGGTCCTGGAGACGCGGTGGTAGTCGGTTTGGTGGGCAGTAGGTAACTCGGAGGTGTATAAGTTGTAACCCATTCAAACTTGGATAGGTCGAACAGCAAAATCGATCCATCACCACTTGGGTTTTTAGTATTCTGGCCACCCCAGACTATGAACTGATCCTCGACCAGGATGCAAGCAGCATTGGCTCGAGATGAAGCTGCATTAGGCGCCTTTCTCCACTGTCTTGATTTAAGATCTAGTACAAACAACTCAGGAGAAGGCTTCAGCTTTGTAGGATTACTAGCATCTGGAGTAGAGCCCCCAAAGACAACAATCTTGGTCCCATTTGTGTCTATCATATGTAAGCCCAAGAGTGTAAGATTTTAAAGCACAAGTGTTGGGACCACTGGTCGCACGAAGAGTTGTAATAAAATTAATATGAATAAAAGGAAATCAAAAGCCATTACCGATGGCCATGCAATTTTGCTCTCTCTTAGTTGGAAGCTGCCCTGTTACGTTCTAAAGGAAGTTATGAACAGGAAACATTGGATGCGATTCAGTCAATTATCCTGTCGAGTCAAGGGAAAAAAGACATAGAACGTAAATCGAATAAGGATGTTATGGGTATTTACATAGTTTGACCATTTGTCTTTATTGATCGAGTACTCTAGGAGGTATCCCCAAGTCTTGTCCGCTAAGCGTTTGTATCCGTTCATAAGGGATTGTCTGGCGTTATTGTAAACAGCACCATCAATGATTCTCTCGCCAAAAATGCCGGAAGGAACAATATCAGGAACCGCGTAAGCACCATCTCTGTCGTCTACACACAAAGTATCGGGCTCATCAAACTCATCAATTTTATTAGAGGTATACATCCACCCAGTCCTGGAATCGATAACAGTGTCACGTACAGGACATTCAACGGGCCGCAACATTGCAATGGTTCTCCATTTTGCATCGGGATTGGTAACATTGACTCGATGATATGTTGTACCAGGATTATCATAGAGTACAAGTAAGGATTGATTATCACCTACTCCCCAACTATATGGGTCATTGGAGATATTGCCGAATTTTTCAGCTGTCCAGGCAGGTGCATTGACCGACCATGATGTTGTAAGGTCTAAAGAGAAAACCGGTGTGCTTTTTGCAGAGCGCGGACCACTCTGGACATAAAACTTTGATCCCACTCGCGCATATGGCATCTGAGTATTAGGGATAGGGGCGACTTGCGCAGAAGTGTTTTGTGCATGGGTGATTGAGATGTCCTGAAAAAGTGGGGCTAGGAAGCTAAGGAGAAGGAGCAGCAAGGGTCGAGTAAATATGCCAAGGGTGGACGAGTGAGAGGCCATGGTTGCGGCAGAAAAACAGGACATTGTCTTGAAAAGGCAAAACTTTTTTAGAAAAGTGAAGAAACAATGGATCAATTCATGCCATGACATTTGGAAAAGTGTGGTGTACACTTCTGTGAGAAGAGGTGAATATTCGCCCACTTCTGAGCCCATGCAAGCAAGGAGATTATGCAGGCACAATGACACACCAATTAAGAGCGTGCCTGTAGACAAGGGCAAATCTCTTCCGTCCGCTGGAACCTCCCAAAATATAAAGCTGTTGAGGAATAACGCATGGAACTCCTGGAAAATGAAAGTTGGCATGGAATGAACGTAATGCTTCCATTCCTTGTCATAAAATGATGCTACATGTGTCCGATAAATCCAGAGTACAAGCAAGGGCAGATCAAAGTGGATGTATCGAAAAGTCATCAACAGGATGAGCAAAGAACACCTCAGCTCATGTCATGATACAATCCTCATTATGCATTCATTCTTGTTTCCTCTTACATCTCACACCTTCTCATGTCACAGTTGAGTTAATCTCTTCCAGGACAAACCAAGGACTACGTTACTTATTATGACCTCCTGCTTTTCCATTTGCACCGTCTCCGCTCGAGCTGCACCACTGTTCTTATATAAGCTCTTGCACTTGATCCTCCATATCCTTCATCACATCTCAACTGTTGGTGCTCAGACACGTCCCGAGGCAAACACTCGCGTGCCCTTTGCTCAAATTGGTTCGAGACTCTATGTCCAAGGCGGGCCGTTTGATACTAGGGACGGACCATTTTTCTCTCTTGATCTCGCAGCATCATGGTCTCTTGGTGCTCTCCCTTGGACGGCCCACAATTATGGAAATTTCACAAGCGAGAAAAAATATTATGGCCTTGGCTTTAATCAGATGCTTTACATGATAGGTAGTGGCAATGTGGGCTATCGAATCAATCTCGCAGATGCGGGTGCGAGGTGGAGTGAGTTTCCTACTGGTATATATGACATCTGTGGCTACCCTGGAGCCATTACCATAGACCCTCGAACAGGAGTGTTCTACACCGTTTCCACTCAACCCTTAAATATCATGTGCGAGCTTAAGAGTTCCGACGCGAAATGGCGAGCCCGCCCATACAACAATGGCACACGACTGTGGGAGATCTACTTTGAAGGTGTTGTTTACAACAGTAACAGGAACAGCATTATGGGAGGCTACAAACTTCAACAAGCTACATCAGCAGCATACATTACAGAATATCATATCGACTCAAACTCATGGTCAATTATTGTAAGTGCAAATCCCATAATGTTTACCAAAAAAAAAAAAAAAAAAAAAAAAAATTAATATCCCACTGAATGAAAACCTGTTATTGATTACTTTTAGCCTGTGAAAGGACAAGTCCCTACCACAAGAGAGGAGAATTGCATGGTCATCAGTACGTTTCCCTATTTCGAGCAGTTTTTGGATGCCAGTGTTCTGACATAGCATATATTCATTAGCGTATTTATCTTTTTCGACCACCCTTAGATGAGAATAATACAAAGATTGTTGTCTTCGGAGGCCGAATCCCTGCATCTAGTGGCCCTCCAGGCTTTAATATCGCTTCATCAGAAATCTTTGTCCTCGATCTCAATTCAGGAGAGTGGAAGAAGGGTCCTGATGCAGCTGAACCACGAGCCAGTGCTGCCTGTGGCCTTGCTGGTGATCGGTTTGTAGCCTGGGGTGGTGAAAAAGATTCGACGAGCGACCCATATGATTCGATCGTTGTGTTTGATCTGGCCAAGTTTGAGTGGCTTAAGGCTTCCTCAGACGACCATCCATCTTCTACACCCTCTTCCGGCCCATCATCTTCAGGTATCCCTACAACTAAGGCTTCAAATACTAATATTGGAGCGATAGTAGGTGGAGCAGTAGCAGGGTTAGTCTTGGTAGCATTGATCGTAGCTGTCCTCATCTATAGAAGGCGAAAGCAAAGGCCAAGTGAAGAGCATGGACTCATTGAGCAGAAGGTGAAGCAAATAGACAACCCTAAGAGATCAAATGAAGACGAGCCACAGCATAAGAATGAACTCACATACCGTAATCCTCACGCCGCCTCGTCACCACGCAGCCCTCAACAGTATCCTTGCTTGGGACGTGATCCTCAATGGACACCTAGCCTCACTCATGACCATGATCAGGACCATGCAAATCGTGTTTTAGAAGCATAATCTGAAGGTTTAGTAGCGTGAGCTATAGATATCTACTGTATACGATGTATATGGTGCTGGAATACCTTTTCACATTTACCTCCATATAGACAATAAACCTAGATTAATAGTCCGGAAGCAGCTATGGTTTGCTGTCAGCGACAAGTCAATTTCAATCTGCAGACTTCTTGGCTAGGACCAGCAATGAACCAATAGCGATCAATGAGTCCGTACAATTTGCTCCGATAGATGATGATGGCCAAAGATATATAAGAAAAAGCGCGAAGGAGAGATAAGAGAGCGGGTCAAGCGTCAATAAAGAGAAATGGAAGAAAGACTGGATAGCCAAAGTGAACAGCATTGAAGAAGAAGTGAGGAACTCATTCCCTTTGCCATTTCCCTTTTTCCGTTGTAAGCAAAGGTTCGCTCCAAATTGCTTCGTTTATGAAATGATAAACGGAGTAGAGGAGTAGAACGACGAGGTAGGGAATGTAACTATGCTATCCAGATCCACCATTAGGGGGGGGGGCGCCTGTGGACCCAAGATGGGTCTAAGAGAGACAGCACATAGTTTATTATAATACGAAGCAAAGCAGCTGTTTAGAGTAGTAGTAGTGTATGTGGCTGAATAGTGATATGGCGGGATGGCGAGTAGTGTATACGAAGATGCGAAAGCAAAGAACGGATACAAAAGCTATACAGAAGGGGATTGATTACGAGCACCATTTCCCCTAGCGAAGCCAGCCAGCCATCGGTTTCTAACACTAGCTTTTTCGACACAAAAGAAACGCAGGTATTGAAGCTCTGTCGGTATGGCGTATCCTACAAAAAGACAGTCGAGAAATAAAATGTAAGAGATATAAAGAGGTATAGAGAGATGCGAGAGATCCTTACAGGCCAAAAAGCCATGCTTTATTTTCTTTTCTTTATTATCTGGCAACTGTTTGTTACCGCCCTTTCCTAAGCTACAGCTACAAGGCACCAGGCTCCTATTGTTATCTCTCTTTTCTTTTTTTTCTTTTTCCAAGAAGAAACGTATACGAAGTATTGTTTTTACCTTAGTCCATCTTGCCACATTTTTCATTTATAATGGAGACATAAAAAAGGATTTGAAAGCTTGTTTATTTATTTTAACCCTATACTCAGAGCTTTATTCCGATACATGCTTCTATCATAGTACTACAAACTAGTCTGAGCCAGACGCTTGGCCATCTTTTTTTTTTTTTTTTTTTTTTTTTGCTTTGCTAGTGGTAGCTGGAACCAGCAGAAGGAAAAGAAAAGATGTTGTCCGGAGCGCACCACGAGGAGGTGGTCTGGCTTGTCGCGCTCCGTTTATTTTTTTTAACGAGGGAAAACAATGCAAAAAAAAAACCCTCGTACGAAAGAAAAGGGGAGGAAGAAAAAGAGAAAAGGGAGACTAAGCAAGGCTGGGAGTACACCTTGAGTGCCAAAACAGGACACCTCTGGGGCCAACCAGTGGGTGCCTGCAGCGAGAGGAGAGGGAGAAAGAGAAAGGGGAGACTAAGCAAGGCTGGGAGTATACCTTGAGTGCCAAAACAGGACACCTCTGGGGCCAACCAGTGGGTGCCTGCAGCGAAAGAGGAGAGAAAGAGAAAGAGAAAGGGGAGACTAAGCAAGGCTGGGAGTATACCTTGAGTGTCAAAACAGGACACCTCTGGGGCCAACCAGCGGGTGCCTGCAGCGAAATAAAACTGTGTGAGAAATGAGAAGGGGAGAGTGTGAAGAGTTGAGAAGAGAAGAGAAGAAGAAAGAGAAAAATGGAAAAAAATGTCTTTTATACTGCCGTTGCCACCAAAATAGCGACAAAATCATTAAACGTATACAGAGCGAGCGCCGCCAAATCGAGGTCAAATGGAGTACGTATGCTTTTATTTTGAAGATCATGGCTTTTGTTCGATTATCGCATCTGAGCAACTGAGAATCTACCAAATACCTTTGCTAGAGTATGAATGCAAGCAAGGAAGAGAGCGTCGCTTGCAATGCATCAGACACGCCCATTGCAACCTGGGTTTGTTGCATCGCGCTTTTGTTGTAAAATTAAGTTTGTAATCCATGTTCCGTTCGACATGGTACGTGCACAACCTCACACATGATATCGCCGCATGCTTGTGTACTCGACTCTTACTGCTTGTCTATCCACTTGATCGAAATAATCTTTCTTTTCCTTCTCCCCATAAAAAGGATATCGCTTCTATGCGAGAACATAACCAGGATCCATTGGTATCTATTACAGGAAATGCATGATTTTGTTGATAGGTATTGTGCGCTTCTCATGATAATGAGGGTTGGAGCTAATAAAAGTTATTTGGTAGTCATCTAGAGTAGCCTCTGTACAAGTCCTGTTTGGTATCAAGCTCCGCTTCGAATGCCTTGCTAGACTAGTACTGTGTGTCCTAGCCCTTCATATTGCAAACTTACTACAGTTGATGGCCTTCTTTTCCTTAACATTTTAATATGGGTCGCTGCACAGGGGTTGACAGGTTGCGATAGTGCTGGAGCTTTATTGCATCATATGTAGAGCTTGGCCCAGAGGGCGACCCAGTGGATGATAAGGATGAGTTAGCGTTCGAGAGAGAGATATTCCTTAAGGTGCCTGCGTTGCTGAAGAAAGTGTGGTATTTGAAGACAGTACGAGCGGAAAGTAGTCCTTGGCACATCCTTGATACCACTTGCTTGTCAGTTGGTAGTGCGCCTTCCAGTTCTCTCCATGATGGTCCAGTCGTCGCTCTTCAAAATTATCTTTATCATTTTTGGAGCCATCTTGGTTTGGATTCATGACATTTTCTTGTTTCTGATTGCTAGTCTCCAGTGCCGATTCATTTGTTTACTGTTTGCCCTTCTGATTCAATATGGATGTAGTCTGATCGTCAAGAACGGTGTAATTATCCTCTATTAGCCTGAACTCAGAAGCGGTGGATGAATATTGCTGATATGCTCTGTCTGATGGGACTTTTCGACAGTTATTGCTAGAAGCCGCACCCTTTAGCAATGGCACATCTTCGCTTTCACAAATAGCCGCTTGCTTTTGTTGTTGTCAGCTACAGTCGCAGGCTGAGGGAAGCACAGACGGAGTTGACGATCTTTCAAGGGACTTGAGCCCCTATCAATTACACGTAACCGTAAAGGAGTAGCCTCGTAATACTAAGCGCCGCCAGATATGTTGCTGATATCACTCTACAAGTGAAGACCACCGTTGACAGGTTGACGCGGAGGAGACAAAAGTATGGTCGAGATGGAGGAGAATCAGCAAGATGATTTCAGTTGGTAAATGAGCTGAGGCCCTGTGTCAGAGATGTTACATCTTTTGTATGCATGGTCCATGAAAACAGACATTGTGTGCTTGCCTATTTGTTTATTACGTTGTATCAAACTTAATTTGGATCCTGCATGCTTGGGATACAGTAGTAGGCCTTCTTGAGAGAGCATTCACAACGGTCAGCGAGGATGATGGGAGAAAGAGAATGCACATCTCTTTCCTCATGACCTGACCTGATTCATCCCAGCTTTCTCATTCCTTTCCTTTGTCTTGTCCGAAAAAAAAAAGAAAATAAAAAAGAGAGAACACTTTCCCTTTTTGAGACTGTTCCTTCCACCAGCTTTGGAGAGCTTTGTTATTCTGCCGCAACCATGACCTCTCACTCGTCCTCCTTTGGCATATTCACTCGAGCCTTGCCGCTTCTCTTCCTTTGCTTTCTATCCACTCCATTCCAGGTTATCTCAAGCATTCATGCACAAATCGCTCCAATCCCTAATACTCGAATGCCATATGCACAAGTGGGATCAAAGTTTTATGTCCAGAGCGGTCCACGCTCTGCTAATAACACATCGGTTTTCTCGTTAGATCTTACAACATCATGGTCGGTCGATACACCTGCTTGGACAGCTGAGGCTTTCGGCGATATCCCCAATGACCCAGATAGTTGGGCAGTAACCGATGATAGATCCTTAGTGATACACTACCCGAATAATGGAACCTTTAAGCGAGTCAATATTACTAATCCCAATGCACAATGGAGAACGATTGACTTTTTTTGGACTCAGCAGTGCCTTCACTTTGCACATGAGATTAGTATGGATCTCAGGACCGGATGGACGTATACCTTTTCCATGGATTTGCCAACGAGCATGTGTGTGGACCAAAGAATATCACAGTCTCCATACATACGTCGGATTCCCGATGACTTATTTGGGCAGAGAATGATTCATGGTGCTGTCTACAACAGTGCCAGGGCATCATTCATGTTAGGGTACAGGCGATTAATGGACAATGTCTGGGGTTACCTTTTGGAATACTCGATCGATACCAATTCATGGTCACTGTTTGTAAATGTCCACTCCACTCTTATTTCGATCTTTACTTTCTTTATTAAAACGGTCAGTCATCTATAGACTCGATATGACTATTGACTCAGTACTATTCATCTCCTGTCCATACCTTTCTTTAGAATGTAATAGGTGAGGAACCAACCTTTAAACGTGAAAACTGCATGGCCATCGGTATTGTTTACTATATTCCTTACTCCTTTCATTCATGTCATATCTGTGAATGTAGTCCGCATGAGCAATGATTCTAATAACTGTGCTTTTATGCTCCTACCTCCTTGCGCTTTGTAAATGATAGATGCAAATGGGACCAAGATTGCTGTCTTTGGAGGCATTCCCGGGTGGGCGGAACCACCTACTCCTGAACTATATGTGCTGGATCTTAATTCGAAAGAGTGGAGAAAGGCTCCTAATGCGACTTCGCCTCGCAGCTTTCCTGCTTGTGCCCTGGTTGGGGACCAATTCATAATCTGGGGTGGCCAGAATACTAAAAACCCAAGTGGTGATGGATCAATGTTGTTATTCGATCTATCCAAGTTTGAATGGGTTACAACTTATACACCTCCGAGTTACCTACTGCCCACCAAACCGACTACCACCGCGTCTCCAGGAGCTTCAGTAACGTCTGAGGCTCCTGCTCCGACGAAGAATGAATCTTCAAGTATTAATATTGGAGCCATTATAGGAGGGGTTATCGGAGCCTTGGCTGCTATAGCGACTGTTGCAGGAGTGTTCATTTACAGGCGGCGGAGACAAAAGAACCAGAAGAGCGAGATCCCTGAAGCGAAAGATGTCAAGCAAGGACATGCTCCGCCCGAATACTATGGCAAGCAAGAGCATGGCTTAATGGAAGGAGTGTCTGAGGACTATGGCAAGACTCCAGTTTATAGTCCTCAGCTGATAGACAACACCTCACGTCATCCTCAGCAAATGCCTCTTCTAGGTCGGAACCCTCATGGAGAACTTGCTCTAGAACACGAAGATATAGGGCAGTGAGCCAATTATGATTTGAACAACCATCCATCTGCACATAAATAATAAAAAATCGACATTAGATGAGTAAAGTGGCTGTATTGAAAAGTCTAATCAACGAGGAGGATGAGCAAAGAGCGCTTGGCTTATGTCAAAGCACAACCCTGTCCATGTATTCTCTTTCACTCTCGTTTCTTCATTTCATCTTTTTTCATGTCACAGTTGACTTGTAGACTTCCCTGCTTTTTAACCGGGTATTATGTTCTCCAGCTTTTTCACTTTCACTGCCCCTTCTCGAGTTGTATTTATATTCTTTTGGGAGTTTCCGTTCCTGATCCTCCACTATGTCTCAACTGTTAGTGCTCCAACAAGTCCCGAAGCAAACATTCGTATGCCTTTTGCCTAAATTGGCTCGAGACTCTATCTCCAAGGTGGGCCGTATGACAAAAAAAATAAGCCATCTTTCTCTTGATCTCGCGGTGTCATGGTCTCTTGATACCATGACACTCCACAAATATGAAGATATCATAAGTTATCAGGGACACATCAGAATAGGTATTAACCAAACACTTTACATTTACGATAATATTTTTTAAGACAGCCAGCAAGTTAATGTCGATGATACAGGTGCGAAATGGTTCTGTTACTTCCCCCAGGCCGGGATTGTGCAGGCCCCTAAAGGACTTTGCTATAGACTCTCGAATAGAAATGGTTTTCAGTTTTGTCTATCTCTCTAACAATATATGTGCATGCTCGACCATTTTGAAAGGCATGAGAAGCCCACTTTGTCAGTAATGGCTCACTACCGATTCATCCCGGCTTTATTAGGTCTGTTTCCGATATCAACAGGAACGGTGTTATGGGGGTTATAGGCTTGAAGGGACATCAACGATTTACACCACAGAATATCGAATTGACTCAAGCCCATAGCCAACTATTGTAAGTGCTTCATAATCGCCAGAAAAAAATGAAAAATGAAAAAAAAAAAAAAAAAAAAAAAAAAAATCTCACTGAATGATGACCACTTTTAGCCTGTGAAAGGATATGCTTCTACCAATTGAATGTACGACTGCTTGATCATTAGTGCGTATTCCTTATTAAAAGATGTTTTTTTTTTTTTTTTTTTTTTTAGTTCTCTGATATGCCATTTTTCATACCTTTCTTTTATCATTAGATGAGGATAGTACAAATATTGTTGTCCTCGGAGATCTCACTCTTGTATCTGGTGGTCCCTCAGGCTTTGTCGTCCCTCCTTAAGAAATCCTTGTCCTCGACCTCAATTCAGGAGAATGAAAGAAGGGTCCTGATGCAGCTGAACCATGGGCCTACGCTGCTTGTGGTATTGTTAGTGATCGGCTCGTAGCTTGATGTGGTGAAAAGCACCCGACTACTGAACCGCTTGATTCAATCATTATGTTCGATTTGGCCAAGTTTGAGTGGGTCGCAACTTCTTCAGGCGACCATCCATCGCTCACATCTCCTATCGGTCCACCGCCTCCGGCTGACCCTGTACTTGCGTATTGGAGCCATAGCAGAGCGAGCAGTAGCAGGGCTGGCCTTAGTAGCATTCATTGTAAGCGTGTTAATCTATAAAAAACGAAAGCAAAAGCGGGGTTGAAGATCATGGTTTCACTGAACGAAAGATATTTGAGTATGAAGATTACCAAGTGAAGGTGAACTATATCAAAAGATTGCCGTGGCCTTCACGCTATCCCATCATCGCGCAGTCCCCAAGAGTAGCCATATTTGTGACAAAGCCCTCAGGAAACATTTAGTCTAGCTTATGCCCATGATCATAGCTATTCGGATCGTATTTTAAGTAAATAGTTTGAAGATATAGTAGTATGCGCTACAGGCTTCTACTATATATGACTTTCATGATACCACGACACCTTTTCGCATTTATCTCCGCATAGACAATGTTAAACATAGATTAGTAATTCTGATGCAGGTTATGGTTTGGTCCCAATGATTAATCTGCTTTAGTCCGCGGACTTTTCAATAAAAAGAAGCAGCTGGCCATTTGTGAGTAACATATTTTTTGATTTGGCAGATAATTTTAGCCAAAGATAAATAATAATGGAAGAGGGAGAGAGAAAGAAAGAAAGAAAGTAAGGGGGAGAGAGAGAGAGAGAGAGAGAGAGAGAAAAAGAGAGAAGAGAATATGTTCAAGTAAAGAGGTAGGAAGGCTATTAGAGCAGTCCAGTAATTAATAAGGCGAAGTAGATGAATAACAAACTTTCTGGGGTAGAGTAGTGATGCAGGAGAGTGAAGAACTAAATGAAGCCTTTTATAATATCCTATTCTACATCTCCGCTTCCGTTTTTTTATACACTATGTCCTGTCTCTCTCAGATTCATCTTCGGCCTTCAGATGCACATATACTTCAAAAATGGATAGTATAAACGTATTCACTATTTCGCCTTTACTCCTTTGCTCCGCTTGTCATTTCATTAGCGAACTAACCTAAAGTGGACCTTACCGCCAAAGGAGAAAGAAGATAGTAATAAAAAAGCTATTTAAGGGGATAATGAAACACTTACAATAGTTGACCGTGAGCTTGAGCCGATCTGGTATTATGTAATGTACAACTGATGTTTCTTCTTTAAGCCTGTAACCTGCCATGTCGCTATTCCTGTTGCTATTGCAAACAGAGTCGACAAATTCAGTCTCCATCAGTAACGTGCCAATTGCTGACAAAGCGAGCTTCCCATCCCTTTTCGAAAACACCAAGTACGCAAATAGTATTGTTAGAGAGGTGACAAACCCGTAAATCGCTCCTCTTTGGGAATCTGTAGCAAAATCCACTAGGAGCTCACACTCACGAGGCAGAGGAGTGGCAGCAGTACTCCATTTTGCACTCGCATTAGCGGTATTGGCTCGATAGCTATCATAGGCTCAACCGTGCATGAAAAGCGTTTGGTTGATGCCAATACAAAAGTATTCCTGATTACTTGTGGAATCCCCGTACTCGTGGACTGCTCAAGGGACAGCATCAAGAGGCCATGATTCTGCGAGATCAAGAGAGAAAAATGATACATTTTTTTGTCTTACGGCCCATCTTGAACATGCAGTCTCGAACCAATTTGGGCAAAGGGCATACGGGTGCTTGCTTCAGGGCATGTTTGAGCGCCAACGGTTGAGACGTGATAGGGATTTAAGAATAGGAATTCATAAAAAACAGCGATACGACTCGAGAGGAGGCGGTGAAAATGGAAAGGTAGGAGGACATAATATGCATGTAACACAGTCCTTGGTTTGTTCTGGAAGAGGTTACTCAAAGACAAATGAAGCAGATTAGTCAATAAGTCAACTACCGATGGCCATGCAATTTTGGCTTCTCTTAGTTGGATGCTCTCCTGTTGCTGTCCTTTTACATTCATCTCCAAACAGGCAACATGTCTAGGTCGATATTCTGAATTAAACTATGGTTAGCTGTCAAGGGGTAATCGACTTTTGGCCTGCTAAGCTTTTATAACGAGCTAACGAGCCTGACGAGCTTGAATAATTTGCTCCGACAAATGATAGTGACCGAAAAAAAAAAAAAAAAAAAAAAAAAACTACAATACCTCATGCTTCTTTCACATTGGTCACTTTTTTTTTTTTTTTTTTAAAAAAACTGCTATCACTTCTAGCGCCGCTTTACTAACCGCTATTCATATGCTGGCTAGATTAGCGAATTCGCTTCACCGAAATTGAATGGATGGACTTATAGGTCAAACCAATATGCTACTTCTTTCTTCTCTCATTCATTTGCCTGTAGACAAGTACATTTTAACTTTTCATTCCAGAGTGTAAATGGACAGGTCTAATGATCTATCTTGAATGGCTTTGTATATCTATTGCTCAAAATTTTGCGCTTTAGCAACTCTTTCTCCACAATTACGATGAGATCAGGCTGTGATGTAAGGCCTTAAGAGTCTCCAGTTGACGCGCGTGATATGGAAAGAATGACACAAAGTAGTCCAGCGCTTCTACCCACTTGCGTAAAGAATCTGGCCACACTCGAATCTCTGTCTCATCTTGTTGCCGGTGGTGGCCACCTTGGATCGTAAATCCATTCGCCCCTGTCTGAACCTGCGCTCTTTCTACGTTCCCATCATAATCAGCTGTCACGGATCCTACAGTTCCTGACACTGCCAAATTTGCTGAACCTACAGCAGGTCCAGTCGTGCCTGTACCTGTGCTTGATCCTGCCTTCCTTGGATCCTTCAAATATGCGGGTGACCATATCTGAAAGATGCGATTACTGAGTAACGTGCAGAATAGTAAACTTGCTAGCTGGAAAAAATTCTCTCCGGTCTTGATCGTACTGTAATACACTAATTGATCCACCACGTATCGATATTGGAACTCCAAATCGATCAATTTACGCTGTGTTTCTTGGGCTTCGGTGCTCTGATAATGAGGATGATGGGACGGGGGACGGTATGTTGTTAGTGGTGATGCCCTACGCCCCAATCCTAGCATTCCTGCGACTGGTCCAGATGATGGAGAAGTCGCCATAAGTGTCGTCAGTCCGCTGCCTCCATTCATCAGTAGCGTAGGTGATGAAGAGTGACATGGACTGTTCGACCCCAAGCTCGATGGACTGATTCCGCGATCAGGACCAAGTCCAATAGAAGCAGGATAAAGGCCGCTTGCTCCTCCGAATCCTATATTAGGACCAGATCCGACATTTGATGTACTGTTAACTCCTGTGAAGCAGCCGTTACTACTGCCCATTGTCACTAAGACCGCATGGCTATTGAAATCGCTAAGGAAGTTGACAACATGCTGCTCAATCATGCCAAACGCATATGAACTCTTGTACCCAGATGAAAGCTGGAAATTAGACACATTGCCAAAACTGATTCGCAGTGGAATCCAATAGTTTTCTAATGGTCTATTTCGATTGTAGATCGTGATGTTCTCTTGAACATATCTTTCCTGTTTTTTTTTTTTTTTTTTTTTTTAAAAAAAAAAAAAAATTAAAATCATTAAATATCTCGGAATTTAGCTTGACATTGGCAAGTAAAAAAAAAAATACCTTTCTAAAATTCTCAGCATTGCGCAAGAGGGCTTTCATGTTAGGTACAACACGAATTTCATGTTTATGAAATCCATCCACCATTTTGTCCGGTTCTGGATATTCCAGGTTGAAGTACATGGTATCATTGACGATTTCATATTCCAACGGGATGCCTAACAAATTGGATATTCCGAGAATCATATAATCCTCCGTGATTCTCAATTTCAATTCATCTGGACTATCTGATGACTGTGCTGTTTCTCGTATGAAGTGGCCTAAAAAATTTGTTACTATGATTAGGAGGCACTTTCACTTACAAAGTTGATATTCAACACCGATACCGTCAATAAACTACTTACCAACAAAAGAGACAGAATCTTGCCAATGCACACGAATCGCAGGTAGGTAGCACTCTGCAGTCAGAATAACCACGTGTTGATAATCTTTCACCAGGCGGCAATTGATGTAGATTTCTATAGTCTTCAACTCCATCTCGTCAGGATCGCGGTATTCTCCGTTATCGAGAGCGGCTTGGATAGCAGTAGATGGCTTTGGGAAAAACCGAATATAAATGCGGACATGGTTTTCAGATGGAACTGTCAATGTCTTGAACAACTTTGCAGATGTTCGAGATGTTGAAAAAAGAATTTCAGTACTGTCTGAGGGAGACAAGTTCGATTTGAACTATTTTTTTTTTAAAAAAAATAAATAAATAAAAAGATTAGAACTTTCATATTTAGAAGGAAAAAAAAAAAAAAAAAAAAAAAAAAAGTAGGCTAAACTTACAGTGAACTCCATTGGAACTGTCTCGCGGTTGTAAACAACCAAGCTTCTTGCAGTGTACTCAGAACCATAATACAGGTTCTTCATGTCAATAGAGGAAGAATTCTTATAGTCAATGCCGTTTACGTAAACATCAAAGACACGATTGCTGACTTCATTGCCCTTGGTCGTTCGCCTCAGATTCTGCCGAGCAACCACTTCCATTGTCACACGCACCGTCTTTGTGTCTCCTGGATTATCCACATTCTCAATTAGAAGGTATGTAGAAAACACATTGCGCACATTAGTGGCAAAGCTAAGTGTGATGGTGTGCACCGAAGATGATCCACTCGACAAGTGCTCCTCTGAAGGCGGTTCTAGTGTGCCATCTAGACGGCTGATCTTAAGCCAATTTTTATCTAATGATGAAATGGTCCTGATACGATAAGACACGCGGTCAAAGTTCGTATTCTCCAATATTATCTTGCGAAGAACATTTGTAGACCCCATATCTTGTTGCCCGAGATCTAATTCATAGCGTCCTCCTTGCGAATCGCTAGAATCGATGCGTTTGCAACCACGCAAAGAGATGATAGGATGCAATAAACTAGACTCTAAATCTGTAGAAGCTTGTGGCTGCATCAACAAAGATCCACTAACACTTGTGTTGGTCACGAATGTCTCTTCCAGTTTGTTTTGATGATGGTGTGGGTCAACACGTTCATCCTCAATTATCTGTCTCTTGTTAGGCTTTCGGTGCTCTCTGCTGTCAGAGGAGATGCTTATCAAGACACGCTGTTGTTGTCCAAGACGTGAGTTAAGGTTACGGACATATAGCTTGATATCTTCCGAGATAATTACGTGCGGATCGATCAGCTCTACAACCAACTTGAATTGCTGGCCCGCCTCGATAGTTCCACGATTGTTAAAGTCCAATGGCGTTACTTTGATTATCTCCGCTGCAGGATATTCCATAGGGCCTTCAAGAGCAACCTGGAACTCCAAAGGAAAATTCATAGACAGATTCGAAATAGTGATGGTTGCTTTCTGGGCACTTGGGCCTGATCCATCGTCGGAAATATCTCTTGATGAAGCGTTGTGTGACGAGTCTGGCGCCGAGAGGTTCTCATCATCACTCTCGCCTTCATAATCTGACGTCTCCAGTAGGCTTTTGAAAACGATTCTTTGAGTTGAAAGTGAGAACATTGATCCTTCAACAAGGGTGCCACGGATGGAAATAGATTCTGCATATCTCATTGAAGTCGAATCATCATCTGTATTAGAAGGCTTGGTTGATACCCATAAGTTTCCGAAGGTAAGTCCTTCTGTCGTGCAAAGAGCAGAAGTATCACTAGGAAGCCGCGACCCCTCTTTGGGAAATGCTCGAATGCGTACCTCGATCGATCCACGAGGACTGAGAGAAATAATACCACGGAGTGGAGAATTGGAAAACCGGGACAAGACATCTAAATGTACATAGTCGATAACATCTTGAGAAAGGGTTGCTCCAATTTCAAACCTAACATCTTCCGAGGATTTATTGGTGATCGTGAACCATGCATCACAAGGAAGAGCAGTTGAAGGCAAAGGGTGCATCAACGGAGGCAGAACAAGCTTTCCATCCATAAGTCGGTCAAAGCCCAATTCAAACCCAGTCAAAACTGCGGCCACACTAACAGACATGTCGTTTTCTGGGTTTCTGAGGTTGAAAATCTTGATTGGAAAAGTTCGACGTCCTATTTCAAAATTTTCAATCCTCTTTGGATCCAATAGCACTTCAAAGTATTCAATACCATGTCCATGAACTGTACGCCTTGTTGCCAAATTGTGTGCAGATTCAGTCCCACGGCTATTATCGCCACTTTCTGCGAGAGATAACTCCATATAAGGCTCCAAGAGGACTTCGTATTGAAGTGGGATGTCACTGGAATTTCTAACCTCGAAGCGTCCCTTAGCTCTCTCCCAAGAATTGTAATGGCCGATTTTTCCAAGTTCAATCATAACAGGTGTGACGGTTCCATAAGAGATACCAACGTTTGATGTCAGGCCAAGAACCTTGACTACTTTCTTCTTGCCTCTGTCCATAACCATCAGATTACCGGACAATGAGACATTTTCACCATTCTGGAGTCGCTCAATATCGTTAGAAGGTAGATCGGGTAATGGGCAAGAAATGAGAAGATGAATCTTTTCCTTTGGAGGCACCCGCACAACGGAGCCACAGAAATGAAACCCATCTATTCCTACAGCCTCACTTTCACCAATGGGCCAGGTCTCCAAGCCTGAATTGATGTCAACATCTTGCCAGAGCGTATCAAGCCCAATATCAGAGAGAGGAACAAGCTCCATCGTCTCATCACTGTCGTTTATGAACTCGATCCATTTCTCTTCAATATGGGCTTGTGGGTCATCAGATGAAGGCTGAAAAGAGACGTATACCGGCGCCTCTCCTCCATCCGAGTTTCTCTCTTCGTGAACGTTGACATAGACATTCTCCCAGGTAAAGCTTGGAAGGCTAAGACCTTCTCGTGGAACACCTGGCTTGACCTCCTGAATCTCGGATAGATCTTCCAGCGTCATTGGACAAGCATATCCTTGGCCATGAGCGCTTGTAAGGAGCTGTCGTGGATCAACAAAAAGTCGCACCTTGATTTCAATCTTCTGGGAACAGTTATTCTCATTAGTTACTAAGATAGTGTCCATGAATAACCCTGGCGCAGATGCCGTAACGCGAAAGCTGATCAACAAACGAGAACGGTCCGTCGGCGCGACCTCAGTCGAGTCTTGGTCGCCATAATCCTTATTATAGTCGTCTGACAGCCTCTTATCAGAGCGAGAGTGATGTGAGGGCGATATTTTATCGATATCCCAACCATCAAGGATGCCACCTGTTCGATCTAGTATGATATTACCGGAGAGAGATTCGACATGAAAATCTAATGGTAGCAGACTTGACATGTTTTGCAACGTAAATGACCCATAGACTGGCTTGCCGACTTCAGGCGTCCATCCAAGATTCAGAAGAGTGTCGGAAACTGAGAGGATCGATCGCCCAATGATAGATGTGAATTTGACAGTCTGAGTAAACACCTGCGTTAACGTTTCCTCCATCTCCTTTGAATTGCTCGCGGCTGAGACCAGAATTTCTTCTGGAAGCGAGATTGTAAACTTGATTCCTCCCACCAATGTACGACATTCGCTATCTCGGTCTTTGTTTACTGCGCCAGAAACTGTCGTAGTTCGTCGGGCTGTGCTTCCACCAGCAATTCCCCCAAGTAAATTTGGCTGAACAGCAACCCACACAGTAATCATACTTCGTTTTTTTAAGAGTGTCTTTGTGACTTGACCTTTCTCCGCTTGCTCATCAAGGTATATTCCAACCTGCTGCGATAAGTTAGATGCACACGCAATATAAATGTCGTCATCAGTGATATTTTCAACCAACAGTGGCGTAACTTGTGAATACTTGCGGCCCGTGTCGACATAACAATGTCCTAGGTCTAACGTAGCAGAATCATCCACGGAAGGGAAGGCGAGGTACTGAGCTCGATGAGAGAAGCATGTGAACACGTACTCATAAGACTTGTTGGTGTTCAGGTTGATCACTTTGAGAGAATCGTGGAGTCGACCAAGATCGGAAGCAGAATATTCAAAGGTGATTCTCCGAACCTCCTTCGAACCTAAACTTCCTGAAAGCTCGCTTTCTTCAAAGATAAAGCGCGAACTATGGCTAGGAGGCTGTATGAGCTCGATTTTGAAAGGTAAGCAATCGTCACTAGAATTGGATAGTGTGAAATAAAAACTGCTCTTTTGTCCATGCTCTATCTTTCCACCATCAAACTGTTTGGGTGACAACATAAGATGCTCTGTGGGTGAGCTATGCTCCGAGGAAGTATCACTTGTAGCTGCATTATTTGAAGGTGCCTTCATTTCAGGCGAGATAGCATCCAATCTAGCAGAAGCATCAACCCCATCAGCACCATGCTTAATGGCCTTCTTCGCAGCCTTCTTTGCGGCTTTAACATCAGCAGCGTCTTGGTCGATTTCATTATCCAAACAGACGGGGGTCTTGCACTCTACAGTTGCATAGAAAGCAACATCGCGACAAATATCCCGATTCTTGTGCTCATGAACATAAATTTTTCCTTGTAGCCGCAAGCGATCTTTTTCAGTTGTGCCTACAGGTAGAGGGGTCTGATCACGTACGGCTGTGAAATATACAGAGACTGATTTTGTTTTCCCGCCATCCAACGTGAAAACAATCGAGTGGTCAGTTCGTTTGAACTTTGGAGTTTCTTTGGCTGCTGGAGCGATGACAGTGGTAGACGATCCAACGGTATGGGCCCCGGCTCCTTTGGATTGAGAATCCGCTATTGGTGAGTCAATGAGATCTGTTTTCGGAAGCTCAAAAACCTTCTCTTGTGTGGGAGTGGCATCATCCGCTATTAATTTGAATTGGTTGTAAGCCAATCTCCATGTTAGCGAGATAGAGATAAGAAAAAAGATGCATGGATATAAATAAATATATACAGAATTCAATCTATTAGTATTTCGAAAATTACCTGATATATTTGAAGTTGCCGCTTTGTCCTCGACACCGCCTTTTCGGAGTAGACTCAGCCGAGCTGTCACCTTTAGAACCTTATCCTCTCGGCCTTTCCTCTTTGCAATTTTGAGCTTTTGTTCCAAAATTTCAATCTCATCTTCCATCTCCTTAGTGACAATTGCTTGACCAAGAGGATCATCTTCCATGGTAAAATCAATCTCACCCCCATAATGGTGAGATTCTGTCGAAAGGGGCATCATTTCATGAGGATCCACACGGACTTCAAACGTCCTGGTTTGCTTGGTAGAGTTAGTCACAGTTATGCGCCTAGACTCAGTTTTTCTCCCGACATAACAGACACCAAAATCAAGCTCCTGTGTATCGATAGAGAAGTGCTTGGGCTTACGAATATTGGCTTTAACACTCAAGACCCGGCTACTGTCTGGATCTTGAACATTCTCGATAGCTAGCTTCTCATGAAACGGTCCTGAGAGAGTTGGCTCAAACATAAACTCAACCTCTTTCTTGCTGTATCCGCGTACGACACCGCTCTTTCCATTAATTAAGTGGATATCACCTGAAGCAATCGAGCCAGATTTACGAATGTGATAAAGCAATGGTTCCTTGCTTCGATTTTGAATGACAATTGTCTTTGTTCGCCTGTCACCCTTGTCCATTGTACCAAAATTGATGTTGTTTTGACCAAGTTCCATGATGCTCCTTACGAGAGATGAGCGAACTACAATCTCCCGTAATGGAATTTGTGTGAGATCGCTATCAAGTAGTGGCCGAAACTGCGGGTGACTCGCTACGGTCTCATGGTCGAAGTCAATTAGCCGTAGAAAGATGCGCGCATCCTGCTTTTTAGGAATACCCTTGATATGGTCGCGGAAGGTCGATGATGGCGTGAATAGGATGATGAGCTGATGCTCCGTCTCAGGAGGGACGCTGACCACTGAGACAGGCGTCAGCTCTCCAGTAGTTATAGCGTTCTGAAGCTCATGTGTAAGCTTCATTCTTTCTTTTACAAAGTGCTCTTCCTCCGAAGGCTTGAAAAAAAGCATAGCTCCACCAGGTGCAGAGTTAATATCCATTGCAGACAAAACGCTGTCCAATGATCTTTCGCTCAAAAACGAGCTCTCTGGTTGCTCCGTAGTCACTGAAGCTTGACCGCTCCCGTCATTTTGGGGCGTCTTTTGGTCATGCTGCCTTTGAGAAAGTACTGTCGATCCATCTTGTCGTTTAGATGTCCCATCACTCGCTGTAGTGCCACTCGTTTGATGCAGACTTGCATGTATCCTTTGAGTTCGATTTGATTCTGTAACACTACCACCCATTCCTTTTATAGATCGTTCGGCTGACAGAGATTTAGAACGGGAAGTTGGCTCTAAAAGCTCTTTCATGGTGGGAATCCGTCTCAAAATTTTCTTGCTTTCGCGTGGCCTGCTTGTGGCAAGATCCAGAAATTTTGCTGGAGAGGTACCCATAGTTTGTGAAACATCGCCATGAAACAGAATCGCCTTTGCTTTGAGAGCCAAGGTAGAGGCTAATGAAGCTCCTCCAATAACTCCAGATGTGCCCGATTCTGAACCCGTTGCTGAATGTTGGTCACGAGTATCTTGGCGTCGTTTGAAAAGGTTCGTTCTGGGCCCATCATTTGCTACATTGCCTACACCGCTTGCTTCAATACGTGATGACGCTGCTATTCACAAAATAAGGTATCAACAACTGTCGACTAGTGAAGGAAAAAAAAAATACGAGAGGGGAAGGGAGATAACGAAGGCAATAAACGTACCTCCACGGCTAGATATAATTGTAGGGTCGGTAGTAGGAGCGCCATTTTCGGTTTTTGGCTGCGAATCAAAGCTGTTCGTCAACATGCCATTTAAATCATTTATATTGATATGCCCGTGAGCATCGCGGGCACGTTCGTACACAGTCAGCTCACCGCCTAAACTCGTAGTGATCTCAAGAGTAAGCCACTTGCGAGTGAAATTTGAAATGGCAATAGTCCGCAAGCTTATACCACCGACTACTACATTGCCAAAATCCAAAAAGTTTGATCCACTTGGATAGAGAACCCGGTAAAATAGTGAGTGGAAAGTAACCCTATTTTTATCGATGTTAGTTGAACGGACTTCAATAATCTGATCATTGGCTCTATTGGTCAGGTTGAAAAGTGTAAGCTGTTTCCTGTAATCTGGATTGACTTTGCGTGGATAAATATCCAATTTGAGTTCCGTACTGGATTTTGCAGGTATAGTGATAGCCCCAGAAGGTGAGCAGTTCAAGACTTTGCTCTGGAAATCCAGCCGAACGGTTGCAGAGATCTCGGACTGATTTATTAATTTGATAGGCAATGATTTGAGTGCCCCGACATCCGTATCGCCAAAGTCCAACGATTTAGGCTCGATAGTCACGAAAGAAGTACAAGCTCTAGCTTTGCATTGAATAATCTTCCGGTCTTTTTGAGGGTTCTCAGAAAATGGTACAGATGATGCTGTGCCTACCCATGGCGCATACGAAACCATGATACGGAACGACTTTCGAAGTAATTTACCAGCTTGAAAATTTTCAATCGAGGAATCCCTAGCCGGTCGATAAGAGGCTATAACAGTACGTTCCTTGCCTGGTTTCAAGAATAACTCCTCGATTCGGGTCATTGACTGGTTGCCATGAACAGGAGACTTAGGTCCATGCATTTGGCTCTGGGCCAATTCCCTGTCACGTTGAGCCCCAGAAAATGAGATGGAACGTAAACTGAGGCGTTTCTTTTGGCCGACCAGCGCGTTAGAAGAATTAGTGGAATCCTGAATGCTGCTGTTTTCAGGTTCTGACTCAAGACCGTCCTCGGTTCCTTCACGCGATGCTCGTGCATGTTCTTGGTTGGCAAGATATTTTTCCACGTTGGAGTTGATCTGCAGAATATTGTCTGGAAAGAACCCCTCAGAATTAACAGGAGAAGCAGGTGCAGTATCAGGTACCAATCCTTGCTCTCGTCCACTGCGGTCGCCTTTAGTTCCTCCAGAGTCTGCAAGGCTCGGTGATATAGGAGTTTGGCCAAGGCTACTTGGCGAGTAGGCCCTATCCTCCATCCAATCACGAAGACGACTCCTACTCACGTTCAGCGGTGATGTGCTCTGCTCCAAATGATCCATATTCGCAGACGACTCCAATCTCCGAGGATTTTCATGCCAAGTTGCTGACGGTAAATCTGATTCCAAAAGAAAATTCCCTTCCTTTGTCAGGTCCTGAGAGGGCTCTGATATTTCCGTCCCAGTCTCCGTCTGGATATCAAAAACCACTTCTGCCCCTTCCACATTTAGATGGACCTCCATTGGTGTCAAGCCCGTGTTACTAAATGTTATAGGCAGTCGGGACCATACTCCAGCGCAGCAGTCACCAAAATCCATTGTATTCCCTGTCGAAATTGTGAGGGTATCCTCGCCTCTCGAAACTGCCCGGACTGTAGCGTGGATACTGGCCTCTTCAATGTTGGTGGCATCATTTAGGTTTTCTAGCAACAAATCATACAAAAAGTCACCATTCTCGACTGGACGAAAAATGACACGAATCCTGCGATAGCCGTAACTTTGAATGGGCTTTGAGCGTATAGTCCTTGAGTGATGAACCTGACCATGATCATTCACATGATCAACGCCTTCCTTGATGTCGTTTCCACCAAAAGAGTCTTCATAATCAACAAATTTCAACCAACTCTCCCGTGATGTGCTGCCAACATCCACAACGTTCAATTGCCAATAAAGTGGGATCTCACTACGGTTCCATATCGTAAAGTCTTTGACTGATTCTTGATGCGCTACACAATCTTCAAAAATGATCCCGGTTTCTCCGATATTGGAATACAAAACTGATTTACAGACTGTAGACCTGAATTTAACTGTGTGTTGATAGTCCGCCTTATTAGTTGTGATTGCAGTAGTAATGGGGTTCATTGCGATGTTTGTACTATTTAATGAAGCCTCATGTGAAGGACCTATTGTATTCTGATTTGTCGTGCCTGGAGTAACCATTACTGTGGACAAAAGGTCACTGGGGAACCCATGAATAGATGGTGGGGAATTGGAGAGTGTAATATCTGTTATAGTGGAGCCTGAATCTTCAGATTTACTTGCAGTCTTGTACCCAAAGAAGAACACAAGTCCGTTGACTTCAAAAGAATCAAAGTTGTCGAGTTGCTGGTCATTACTTTCAAACTCGTCACTTTCGATATTGCTTCCGTTCACAAGTCCATTGGCGGACATGTCACGTTGACGGTTCTCGTCATAAATCTGTACTCCATCGCCATGTGTACTACCGTTGCCAGAGCCTACATTAGCAGTGTCCAGGCTGATAGAGTTCGAGTCCCATTTGCCTCTTCTGTTCCCGCCACGCGGATCAGGAAGGAACCCAAGTATAATGTATTCAGTTTCGCCTGCAGCTATGGCCACTTCGTCGATTAAGTTGACATGATTGAAAAGTTGGTTGAATTGATGACCAGTCGCTGTCAATGATCCAGCCTCTGCAGCTGCTGCAGTATTGGTTGAGATGGTCTGCAAAGTACTATCAATAGTATCTAACACGAACCGAACATTTGAAAGGATAGAAGGAGCCAAAGCTTAGTTAATGAGGCATAAACGAATAAAACCAATAAATAAATACTTGAACATTTCAGATTGGAACATGAAGGAGCTAATCAAGGGCAGACACTCAGAAGTGGTAAAAAAAAAAAAGAGCGCTTGTAAACTCAACAACACCCGATAACCACATCCACAGAAGTTTCCAAGGATGGAGAACCAGCTCGGAATAGTCATCCAAAATGACGGTTGAGTTTGACCTCACCTGGATCAAACGGCAGGTTTTCGTTTGTCAGCTGAAAGGATATTTGCGACCCTAGACTAGATCGCATCTTGACAACAATATCAGATTGAGATATGTTTTTGATCCCGAAGCGATATAGTGAATGAAGTCCATTAAGATATACGTTATCAAACACAAGCCGATTAGGAAGGTTGATGAGAGTGAAAAGTGGGGTTGAGGAATTTGACAGGGCATGGTTGCCAGTGGTCTGTGGGTTATTGTTTGGATGAGCATATCCTGCAGCTGCAGCATAGCTACTATCACTATAGCTAGGAGGAAGTGGTGATGAGATGGGAGATGAAGACGGTATTCGATTTGAGGCTACAGCTGACTGCTGTTCTGTAGTTATTTCGGCTTCCTGTAGTTGTAAAGGGTAATGAAATGATTGATCTATTTGAAGAAAAGAATGAAAGTCAGTGCACTGTTGGAGGCAGTCCTGTTGTTGAAAGTGGACGTTACACCCATACTTCTGTCTGTCATGAAATCCTTCATACCATTGCTTTCGGCTGGATTGTTGGAGGAATCATTTCTGTGGGGAGCCATTGTTGGTGTAGTATGACCCATGATTAATGTTGAGTTTTGATACAATGTGGAACAAGAATACGAAGAATTGGTCGGTACACAATGAAGAAAAGAAATGTGTGGGAGATTACTTCAGATTCTAGAACAACTAATCAGGTGAGAGAGTTAAGCCTTAATTTAAAAAATAAAAACAATAATAAATAAATGGTAATGAGGGATCGCGTTGAAGTGAAAAGGAGTGCTCTGGACACTCCTTGTCTGCTTGTCTGCTTGTCTGCTTGTCTGCTTGTCTGCAAAGACTTTTTTCCGACCGCCTTAACTACGTCACGTTATTCAGGGAATCCTTGTTCTCGTCTTTCCTACGAGCTTCAGTCACTCCACCTACCATTCTCAACAGATTATCAGCTTTCTTATTATCACTGTAGAAAGGCTCCAGTTTTGTTGACTTCCTTGACACACGCCGTATAGCCTGCGACATCAACCCTGTCACTGCAGTGAGGGGAAAGGCTGCCTTCGATATCAGTCCCGCCTTACTTTCCTGAGCTTCGACCATCTGTGCTGCTCCAATCAAGCTACTACAACGTCGTTTGTTCTATAGCATGCTGGCGAATTTTGCAAGCACCGTTCCTTTGTCCTTGATATCCTTAGCGCTGCTTTGCTCTGGCAACAGAGCACCGGTGTCTACGGCAAAAATTTATCTAAGGGCAACGCTACGATAGTCTGTCCTACCGAGGATTGATGCGAGAGGCGACTCTAACCCCTTCTATTTGATCACACGCGCCTCCTTGTCTTTGGATGCACAAGCCTGGACTAGAAAGCCGCCTGTCCGTACGCACATAATCATGCTCCTTCCTATTACTGTTCAAACGATGCCTTGACTCCTATACTAACATTGCCATGATACCTTTGTCCGCCCATAATATCGTCCTCAAGAGCACCCACTTAACTCTCTGGATACGAATCCTTTTGACATAATACGAGGGAACTGGATGCTTATGGGGTTCTATCAACCAATCTGGTAGGCCTTTGAGTTATAGTCCGGCCTTTTACGCGTTGGTAATTTGGTCTCCTTCTATTCAGCAGTTCAAAGTGTGTACACTCATTGTCCTTAAAAAAACTATTCTAAAATTATTGAACAGCAGATGTCATCGACTTTGAGATGTCTCTTCATGAAAAACATGCCATTTATCAAGGATAAAAGAGGCCTATGAGAAAGCCATCAAATATACACATCATTTCTTCGCAAGAGCGAATGAACAAGAGCCTAAATCCATTCTACTGATAGCCAGGGTCCAAAGACGCATTTTCTTAATGTACGTGTGAGGGTGCTGGGGATACATTGAACAGTTGATGGCTGTATTTCGGTTCATGTACAAAATCAGGTCATCCATCACAAATCAATGGGATCACTTATTACACTGGTGCAAAACTTGCTTTATTTTGTTTTGGTAGTAAAATCTGGGTGATTTGAGAATTAAGTGAGGACCAACCGTTCCTTTTATGATCCCCCATCTATGGATGATGGATTTTCTATCGCCAACAATTAATACTTCAAGCACATAATGGATATATTATATTTCTTATACTACATTCAAGTCAATTGCTCCTCTACGTCTCTTTACTCAGCCACACACGGGTCACCATCCTCTGCTGTTTCGTTCTTTTTGTCGTCCGTAGTAAACGCTACAAATATTAGAAGGCACCTAATTACCTTATACAAATATGAGTGCCTAACAAGTTTCAGATGTCCCTGTGCACCTGAAGATGAAGACCACTGCCTCACCAAAACCAACAGGGAGAACTTCAAGAATTGTAGTCAATGGGGTCCATCATGAAAGTGTCAGCATAGGCTCCGCCCAGTCCTCTCTAAAGTAAAACAATGTCATAGAAGGTTGTATTTATCTAAAAAGGGAAGCGTTGCAATTGAAGGGGGATGACAACTCCTTAGCTGCACGACGGAGAGCCTATCATGGAATTAAAGAGACCCGGTGATCCTTTAAGTGCTGAAACTTACCTTTTTTGGGTCTATCAGTCCCTTCTACAAGTGCCTGCCTTTTATGGCCGGGCTAGCTTTTTACTTTAGAGAGGGCTAAACCAGAGCCCACACTCGGTTCTCACAGCCCGAAAGCGCTATGCCAAATGCTATGACAACATGTGTGTTGACGGAAGGATTTTTATCAAATGACAAATGACCCCCTAATAAATAGTTCTTGCTGGCGCCATTGCTTCAGAACTTGAGCTAATAAGTCACACAGACGCGCATTTTCAGTAGCAGCAAAAAAAAAAAAAAATAAAGGTTGAAAGGGTGTCAAGGTGCATGGTATTGCATCTTATACATGTGCAATGCTACAAAACACATGCAACTTTTGCCCCTTTTTTCTTGAGTTTTATCCCTATCCCATGGAATAACTTGATTATTGGTGTTTGAATAAGATATCACAAAATATAACTCCATGGGGCCACTCTTTCTGTTTTTCTTTTTTGGCTCCATCATTCTTTTTTTTAACAATCAATCCAATCAAACAATCCTCTCATCAAAAAAATTTTTTTTTTGCTCAGTTTCTTTTACTGCTTTTGCCTTTGCGTTTCCTGCTCCTTTACTCATCATCCATTGACGCCTCCATCGACACACCTCCTGTTATTTTCTCTCTCCTTTTTTCCCTTGTCAAGTCAGCTTACTTGCTTAAGTCTGTGACCATCACTCGTCTTCAACTTTATATTACACTTACCAATCCAGGTTACTTTATTAATCAGTTGTCCTTCAATTCGACTCAAGCGATGCTGAGCACTCCTGCTCATCCTTCGCATTCCCCCACCTCCTTCGACACCTCCTCTTCCTCTTCTACGTCCTCTAATTCTTCTGCTTCTCCCTCCAATCCACCAAAGCGCTTGTCCTTTCTTCTCTCCTCTAAACGTGCCTTATCCGACTCGTCCTCCAACATGACCATAGCAGCCAGTCAGCTGCAGCAAAATCATAACCAACAAAGCAATGCCAATCAGGCTTCCTCCCCAGGCGCGTCTCAATTCACTCCATCTACACCCCAAGGCTCTTTCACACCACCTTCAACGCGCCCACGCCAACTTTTGCACAATGTAATCAACACCCCGCCTCATCCTTCAACTCTTGCACAAACACAGCTCCACCCTCAACCCATCCGACCTGCATCCCCTACTTCCTTTCAACGAACTTCTCCACCTCCACCACCTCCACCTCCACCTCCCATTAATACCACAGGCCTCGGTAGCACTGTCCCTATTCTACCTAACCCAGCTCAAACATCATCTTCTGCCTACTATCCTCCCGTTCCTTCGGCTTCGACCTCCGCTGCTGCCTCTATTTCAACCTCAGCTTCAGTTACTACAGGAATCACGTTTGTATCCGATTCCAATTCTACTTCCGCACCAAGTCCAACGATCCATGGCGAGGGTACCTATTCCTTGAACAATCTCCAGGTAGCGCTCAAAACTTGTTGTTATATCTAATAGCATTCTCTCATCAAGTCTATGCCAATACCTGACTTTGCCTTTATTTCTTTAAATACTTTTTTTTTTTTTTTACCAAAAAAAAAAAAAAAAAAAAAAAAACACAATGTTGTATTGTAAACTAGGCCAACGTTAGTACGTTGAGTCTCAACTCGCAACAGCAACAGCAGCAACAGCAGTATCAGCCCGAAGCTGGAGAATGGACTATAGAAAGAGTGGTGCATTGGCTCAGAGCTAGGCCACATTACGCATATTTGGAACCACTCTTTGTTGGTAATACACAGTCGCATCTGTTTGTCAGATTCGCCTTTTGATTATTATATTTGTGCTCACTGTCGTGTTCTCTTTCTCTTTTTTTCTTCTGTTGATCACAGAAAATCAGATATACGGGAAGGCATTCGTAGCACTGACAAATACAACTCTAAAGACATTGGATCCCACCAGTTCGTATTATCAACGGAGAAAACTCTTAATGGAGATCAAGGATGCTGTGGAAGGGACCAGGACTGCGACATCTGTCTCTTCAGTAGGATCCAACAACGCCCCTACCCCTTCACCAGCCTCTGGTTCACCCGTCCTTAATCGCCTCGGTTCTGGCTCTCGCCAAGTGACCATGTCGCCGGGACAAGCAACGCATTCGCCTTATGCGACCGCCAATCCTATCAACGGTAGTTACACTGCGCTTCCTTTACTTCCCGAGACTAATAGCAATCACCGCAACTCGATTGATCAGGATTATCAATTGAATTCAAGGATGTATCGCTCGCCAGTGGATGAAATGTCAGGGTCCGCCTCCGCTACACCGATGGTGTTGCAACCATCTATGAATCAACACAGATCATCTATTGATACTCTAGAGCCGCTAGAGGCTCTCCCTAATATATCAGACTACTTTGCTCCGCCTACTCGACCTGTAAACTCTCCGCGACCAGTGAGTGACCCCGATCTGAGGCAATTACCCGGACGACTGCCTGCCCAGGTCACCATTGAAACGACAGAATATAGCCACAAGATACCCAACATCATGCCACGACAATCTTCTATTGCCTACTCAGTTAATGCGCTGCGCCCTAATCTCAACATTCCTCCTACAATTGTTCCTAGAGGTAGTTCCAGAGATTATTCTATTACTCATGGATTTAATGCCCTTCAAACCAACAAAGGCATGTCACCAGTTTCCCCACCCTCACCTGGGGGACATAATTACCCCCTTAACCGGCCTCAGGACGCCCCCTCTGTCCCTACAAAAAATGGGCCATCGTTGAATGAGCGTAGAAATAATCCGTCGGTGCCTCATATTCAGACGCAAAGTCTAGTAGATGCACATAGCGTCAGCCAATTGAACGGTCAACGACATCAATATGAAGAAAACAAATTGAAAACGGATGCGACAGTAGTTGGGGGTACGCTTGGATTTGGCCGTAGACCTAGTCACAAGCGCAATCATAGCAGTGCAGATGTCATTCAATATCAACCAGCATCTTCCACTACACCTGCTGCTCCAGCAGGCCCTCCTAAGGCAAGTTATTGTCGATTTAATATATTTTATTAATTAATTGGTATATTAACAGTATCCTTCATTATTTGATTATAGCCAAAGAGTATTCAGGTCACGTTGGACAACGAAAGCTTTAAATATGTTGATGTCACTGGCATTGAGAATGCTGTTATGCTTAAAGAAAGGATTTTTTCAAAAATGCGTATATTGGCAGAGAAGAACAAGTACGGAATCTTTGAAACGAGCGAACTAGAAAGTCGTAAGTGTTAACAACATTTGTTGGTATGCGTGTCATCGATTTCCGAATACTTTAGCGGAACAGATATTCATTCCAGATGTATGTATATTTTTTTTTAAAAAAAAAAAAAAATTGTTTCAATACAAGTTGTGGAGGATCCTGCAAGTCGAGGGCCGCCTTTAAGCGAAAAAGAATTGATGGATCTGGTGCAAAATGCTGATAATAAGGGCACAGTCAAATTCCTGGTTACACCCATTATACCACTTATTCTTCCACCTGACATGGATATCTTAAATCCAAAACGAAACCCAGGCACACAGCCTCAACACATCCTCTTTACGAACCAAGGCCGTAACTCACCTTTCCAAGGAGATATTGGGGGGCATCAGCGGGAGCGGACAACAGACTCAACACATCATCTGTATCAGCAGGACCCATACATGGCATTCATGCACCCTACAGATGACTTGTGGGGTTCTGTTCACCCAAATCAACCATATCCGGACCCGAAGCGTCCTCACACCACTGCCCGATATCCATTGCAAGCATCTAACGGCTCTGTCAATACTTCGCCCTTTGGATCTTATCAGCAAACATATCGATATGGTGATAACCCACATAATCAAGGAGATGAGACTTGGCTCCCTACAGTCGGAACCAACAGTGCTAAAACTTCACCACGATTTGGGCCAGTCATCAACACTTCAATGGGTAGAATACATAAATCCGGAGCTAATTCGCCAAGTGTGGATGGAAATATGAATCACTCGCCTTCTCCGCTAAGTGGTAAGCGTGTACTCGCCAGAAATCCAAATCTTTCGCTTGTCATTGGCAGCAATACCGACCAGGATGGCAAGCTAGTAAACCATCATGTTCGAAATAATGATCGGTCGGCATCACCTGGCGGATCACAAGGCTATCGACCACCTCGAATGGCCAATAGTCATGATAGTGCAAGTCCCGGTCCCAATTATTACGAGATGAACCGGGCGAATCATCCAGGGTTTGGAGAGGTGCCGATGGTGGGAGCACAGGGCTATGCAACAAACTTTAACAGCAGCGGATTGCCTGCATCGCCATTAAGCGCAGGCGCTACTAAGCGAGGCTCACTTCAGCCTGTGGTCAAATACGGTTCCTCGCATTCTAACCTCAATTCACCAAGATCCGCGGAGGCGCCGAGATCAGCCGAGGGCGGTCCACGAAGTGATATGCATATGTTGGAAAACCATAATAGTCACCATAATGAGGACGAATCGGAAAACTTCTGGGGCGAGCGACCTCCTATGGAGTTCTTGCTTGAGAATTTTGGCCGATTCTTTCAAGATCATGACCTGGATCATCCAATCATTGAGCTTCATCCTCCGGTGCCATATGCTAGCTCTCCTATGGTTCCCGCTCAAACGATTCTAGGAGCCTCTGGATCATCGAATGCTCTGAAGAGTCACAATAGTCCAGCTATGACTGACGGTTGGGGTTCGAGCTCAACCATGTCATCTAGCCACATGTCTAACTCGCCGCCTCGCTCTGGCGTTCATACAAACAACCGTGGTAGTATCATTCACAAGAAATCCATTCGTGTGGTTGCGCAAGAGGCTAAGGACAGACTCTCACGACAATATTCTGGATCTAAAGTTATGCGAAGAAAGTCGACTAAGATGTGGGGTAGTCGATTAGCCGAAGTCATGCCAACGAACCAAAATGGACCATCGGTTGGCTTAGGTATGCATGATTATGAAGAAGAATTATCGCCAATTGCCGGTTCACCTGGTGTAGTGACACGATCATCGATTGCAGATATTGTCAAGGAGGCGGCTCAGGAGCACCACATCATCCCAGAATCACCCCCTATGACTCAGGAAGCGATGTTGAGCGAAGATTCCCATGAGAATCTCCAAGTCATCTCCACCTCATCCTCAAATTCAGTTCTTTATCAACAGCAACAGCAGCAGTCACAGCAGCGGGTGATACAGGTAGAGTCAGGCAAAGTCATGGACCAGTCCCAGCAGGGAATATACCAAAATCCACAGAGTGGTACTATCAAGACCTTTCAGTATCTCAAAGGTGGCCTCATTGGCCGTGGATCCTTTGGGCGGGTCTATCACGCTTTTAATCTGGATACGTGTGAAATGATTGCAATCAAGGAGGTGGATCTACCACAGACGCTTTCAGAAAGGAATTGTGATCGCCTCAAGACTTCGGTTGAGGCACTCTTTTCTGAGATGGAGGTGTTAAAGGACCTAGATCATGAAAACATTGTTCAGTACCTGGGCTTTGCACAGAATGAGCTAACGGCCAATATCTTTTTGGAGTATGTCTCTGGAGGCTCCATTGAGTCTTGCCTGAAGCGTAGTGGTCCATTCCCTGAGGCTGTGATAAGGTTTTTTACTAGACAAATTTTACTCGGTCTTGAGTACATCCATAGCAAGAAGATTGTGCACAGAGTAAGAAGAGGCTCGGAAGACCCATAAGGTTGAACAAGCACTTTACACATAGATCCAAAAACTAATTATTCTTTTTGTTTCTTGCTTTTTTCTGCGGGAAAACTCTTTATACTTTGTAGGACATCAAGGCCGCTAATGTATTGGTAGACGAGCAGGGTGTCTGCAAAATCTCAGACTTTGGAATCTCAAAACGAAATGCGCAGAGCCAAGGAGGATATGATGAGAACGTGGGCTCGCTTCAAGGTTCCATTTTCTGGTAAACATCTACTCTTCCTTTTTCAACAACATCAATATGAATGATATGGTAATTAATTATTATTATTATTATTTTTATTTTTTATTTTTTTTCATAGGATGGCTCCCGAAATGGTCACATCCAAAGCATATGGAGCCAAGGTAGATATCTGGAGCTTTGGATGTCTAGTGCTCGAGATGTTTACAGGCCAGCAACCATGGAAGGGCTATGCGCCTCAGCAAGCGCTCTTCACGATTGGAAGTAACAATGCTCATCCACCTATTCCCGAGAATATTTCGGAAGAAGGTCAAAGGTTCCTTGCCCGCTGCTTCACGACAGATGCCAATCTTCGACCGACCGCATCTGAGCTACTTCAGGATCCCTTTGCAGTGCCACCAGCCAACTTTAACTTTAATGATTACATCGAAGGAAAAATAACAGACTAAGAAAGGCTGCGACAAGAAAAAATCGCATCAGGTCAAATGCCTGCCGTCTCAATTTCCCCATCCCTATTCTCAGATTTATTTTACTATTACTATTGCTGTCATTATCTTTTTTTTTTTTTTTTTCTTTTTTTTTTTTTTTCCTATTTTAGTTTAATTTTAATAGTCCTACCACTTTAATCAAAAAGTTGGTTTCTTCATTCTTCGATCTCTTTCCCACCTTCCCCTCTTGCACTGTACTTTATCATCATGAAGAAGAGAAACCAGAACAAACAGCTTTATCCATAAACATCCCCTCTAATCGAGATAATAAAAAGAGAAAAAGAATATCTTGTTCTCATAATTTTGTATTTTTTTTTAATTATTACATTATTCACAACAAGTCTTCTTTCCTTCCTAGTTGCTTAATTGTAGTACAATTCAATGTTCATTCCGTCGTGAATTTCATAGTCCTCCAAGGTAATGTGGTCTTTGTAAATGTTATACCTATTTTACACAAAATTATAACCAATGTTAGCAAGCAGGAAGTTTTTTTTTTCTTTTTTTCTTTTTTTTTTTTAAAAAAAAAAAAAAAAAAAAAAAAAAAAAGGACAATATAAGATACATAGACATACCATTTCTTCAAAATAATCTTCTCCCAGTTGGTTCCAGTCTGAGCGGCAATTAGTTTCTTGAGATCACCTACGGTATCATCAGGGCTATTTTTTTTTTTTTTTTTTTTTTTTTTTTTCAGGTTCAAGGAATAAAAAAGTTGGAGGGATTGAAATTAGTAAGAAAAGAAAGAAGATTAAAAAAAAAAAAAAAAAAAAAAAAGAGAGAGAGAAAAAGAGAATCCAAGTTTTGTCCACTGAATGTGATGCATGCAAGTTTTTATTTCTTCTTTTAGTGAAAGCATTGGTGATGGTGATGATGTGTTCTGGATAAATACACTTTAAAAATAACAATAACAATAATTGTGTTTGTGTGTGTGCATCCTGGTGTGTTGATGAATACATACTTGCACTTGACACGGACTTTCTTGCCGAGACGATCGTTGCAAACAACTTCAATCATGATTTTTTGAGAATTAAGAAAAGGGAAAAGGAAGTAAATGAAGCTTGAGAGAAATGTGTGAATGATAATGTAATAAGAAAAAAAAAAAAAATCAATGTCATGCTCACACATCTTTCTTTTTTAGACTGCGCCACTTTGCTGTGGCTGTTATATCCAGTTGGTGGCAAATAACCTCTTTTGCTGATAAAGTTGGATTGATCACAATGGGCCGCCTCTTGCTCCAGCCCTCTGCTACCTTACGAGCATTATATCCTATCTAGCCACTTTTCCAAATTACTCTCTTTCTTCCAGGTTCTTTAAGTCTGTCAAAAAAAAAATCATTCAAGTCCGAAAGGAAATCTTCATCATCGACAATATGAGGCAATTGGCTTTATCTTTTTTTTTTTTTTTTTTTTTTTTTTTTGGCTACACCTCAACGTCGTCGTGCACTCAAAGAAGTGATGATATTAAGTAATACCTGCCAAATGACAGATCCTCTGTGGAAGCACACTCGGCCCTCGCACGATTGTATATACTGTCTTTAAATCTTCCTTCATAAGACCTGTCTATGGGAAAATATTCATATCAGCAAATTAGCTTTCATTGATTACCCCAGCTCCCTTGGAGATGTCCCAGACGTGATATCCTTGTCAATATTGCCAAACACATTTTATATCCAGTTGAGCAAATCGCATTCAGAACATAAAAAAAAGGATATCTGCAACAAACTATTATGTAGTATTTCATTGCTTCTCGAGTACCAGTTGCAGTATATACATGTAACAAAGTTGGTCTTCCGAATTCATCATATTCCAGAATTTTTTTTTTTTTTTTTTTTTTTTGAGTTTTTATTGCAATGACTGCTCATAGCTCACTGGTAATGTAAATAGATGCCAAGTAGAACCAGATGCAATCGAGATGGTTGGGAGGGGACAAGAAATGGAGACAACTCTTTTGTTTAAACCTCCATGATCTCGCGAAGACGGCGGGTGGTGGAGCGGACAGTGGCAGCAGCAGTTGTAGACAAAGTCCAAGCACCACCAGCCATGGTCTTCTTGCATCCACGGCACTTCCAGATTCCTACAGCCTGACGCTTAACGGCATCCTAAATCATCAATATTTTGGTATAGAAAAAAAAAAAAAAAAAAAAAAAAAAAAGTCCGTCTTATAGTGAGTGACGACTGAAAATAGATTTTTTCGTATGATGAATTGACTATTGTCTTTATGTATATCCTGTTAAAAGAAAAAGAATGATTCTTCGAGCTGTATTTTGGTTGGAAAAAATAAAAAACAAAAAAAAAAGTCGTTCATTGCTGGAAGAGAAAAATAAAAATCATCCTGTATATGCCGTCCCTTAACTTCCTAGAACTATTCCTTTCCCCCTGCAATGCTTATAGAAAATTGATCAGATTCATTGTATCTTGGTGTTGATTTTGTAGGAAAACAAGCCTTTTTCCATGTCCATGCCACTTGCTGTCCCATTTTCTTTTGTAGCTATTTTTTTTTTTTTTTTTTTTTTTTTTTCCTTTTGATCTTCCTGCCTTGTAAATTACAAAATACCATTGATCCAAACATGACAAAAAACATGAATTTTTTTTATAGAAAAACAAAAGACTTACACGACCACAGAAAGTGCAAGTGTACTTGCTGTGCTGGGTGATTTCCATCTTCTTGACCTGCTTACGGAGGGAGGCACCATAACGGACACCGTATTTACCAACAACTCCGACCTTTTTAGTGCGCTTAGCCTAACAATATTCGATTCGAAGTCAAAAAAAAGATAACGATGATGTTAGAAATCCGTGATGAATCCTTGATGTCTTTTTTTTTTTCTTCTTGTTCTTTAAAGCTGCTTTTGATCCCGACAATGAAGTTTCTAAAGATTTTGAGAATGTGTTGTCATTAAAGCCCAAAAGTGGTGAAATCGCTGCTTTCTCAAATCGTTTCTTTAGCTTTAGACTTCTATAACATCCAGACTTTGCATTCCCGAGAATTTGTTTGATTGAGGACGATGACGAATGAAATCCTTGATATTTGTTCAAAGATAAAGCTGACGTTGAGGATGGACGCTTGTCGATATATATATATATATAATTAATTGTGTTGGCATAAACCATCATTCCATGTATTTTCGCTAATTCATGCTGTCGCTCCAATGGTTATAAAGGAAGAGGGAAATTAATAAAAAAACATTGACGATTCAATTTCCCGGATTGACTAATGTCTTTGACCCTTTGCTCCCTTGCAAATATTGTCACGGAAATTATTGATATCCTTGATATTGTTGATATGTCTGAATGGATGAATGGATTGATTGAGGTTGATAGATGGATATATGCCTCAATTTTCTTTGCTGCCCACTTTGACTTGCCATCTTTGAAATATGGAGTAGAAATGAAAGGAGGCTTCAATAAAGTGGCGTACAGAGCATCTAATAGGAAAAATAAAAAAATTAAGGGTCACTACACCTTTTTTTTATCTGCTCCAAAGACTCTGTTTGAGATACAAACATTATAGATACTCTGCATACTTTGGACTCTCGTTCGTTTATAACCAGTAATCAGTAACTTACAAATATAATATATATCTATATAATATATATGTTTTATTAAAATTATGAATTTATAGAATGCGGAACTATTAAGGACATTTAAAGCTTTTCAGGCCTTTTTATTTCTATTTTTTTTTTTTTTTTTTTTTTTTTACTTTAGGCAATAAGCATGACAGCAGAAAGGAGCGCGGCGATGGTGGCGAGCCCCGGGAAAGCTAGCTGATTAGCACCACTATCGTTATCTTTGTTTGCTCCAGCAGGTTCAGTTGGAGAAGCGGTGGCAGGAGTAGTGGTTGTTGTAGTAGCATTGCCTCCGATCACATGCTTGTTCTTGTTGTACCACTCCAACTGAGCAGGATACTGGTTCGTATAAAGATCCAACTCAGCTTGAGGGCACTTGCCCATGCACATACCAGTTTTGGTCATGAACTCTATCGTGCTGGGAGAGCCACGCTCGAAAGTGAGAGCAAGGGATTGGATAAAGTAAGGAGACTTTGGATCTTCGGAATAGTTCGGGAACATGGCCTTGCCAACCTCGTTCGTACAAGCAGCAACACAGGGTCCGTTGGGCTGGAATGGATAATCCATGGGTGGGTTAGTACCGGGTGAGGCAGGGTTGTTGGGATCAACAGGGTTACCACCGTTACCGCCCTCTCCACCATTACCACCATCTCCACCACTGCCACCATCTCCACCGCCACCAGCGTTCTTATTGGCATTGTACCACTCCAACTGTGCAGGGTATTGCTGAGTGTAGAGATCCAACTCTGGCTGAGGACACTTGCCCATGCACATACCAGCCTTGGTCATGAACTCTTGAGTCTTGGGAGAGCCACGCTCGAAAGTGAGAGCAAGGGACTGGATAAAGTAAGGAGACTTTGGATCTTCGGAATAGTTCGGGAACATGGCCTTGCCAACCTCGTTCGTACAAGCAGCAACACAGGGTCCGTTGGGTTGGAATGGATAATCCATGGGTGGGTTAGTACCAGGGTTGTTGGGATCAGTAGGATTGGTGGGGGGATCAACTGGATCAGTTGGGTCGGTGGGGTCAGTAGGGTTGCCTCCGCCATTCTTGTTCTTATTGTACCATTCCAACTGAGCAGGATACTGTGCAGTGTAGAGGTCCAACTCTGGTGTAGGACATTTACCCATGCACATACCAGCCTTGGTCATGAACTCTTGTGTCTTGGCAGAACCGCGATCAAAAGTGTAGGCCAGCGATTGAAGGAAGTAGGGTGATTTTGGATCCTCAGAGTAGTTGGGGAACATAGCCTTTCCAACCTGGTTTGTGCAGGCAGAGACACATGGTCCGTTAGGCTTGAAAGGATAATTCAATGGAGGGTTAGTAGGGTTGGTGGGGTTGGTGGGGTTGGTGGGATTAGTAGGGGTGGGGTTGGTGGTACCGGGATCAGTGGGGTTGCCTCCACCGTTCTTGTTCTTATTGTACCACTCAAGCTGAGCGGGGTACTGTGCAGTGTAGAGATCCAACTCTGGTGTAGGGCATTTACCCATGCACATACCAGCCTTGGTCATAAACTCTTGCGTCTTGGCAGAACCACGATCAAAAGTGTAGGAGAGAGACTCGATGAAGTATGGTGACTTGGGGTCCTCAGAGTAGTTGGGGAACATCGCCTTACCGACCTGGTTAGTGCAAGTAGAGACACAGGGACCATTGGGCTGGAACGGGTAGTAAGGATCGGTGGGATTAGTGGGAGTTGGGGGCTGTGTCGTGACTACTGCAGCGGCAGTAGTAGTGGTAGTGGTAGTAGTGGTAGTTATAGTGGTGGTGGTAGTGGTGGTAGTAGTAGTGGTAGTAACGGCAGGCTTGTTAGCAAGGTACCAAGCTTTCTTTTCTGGATAAAGCGCAGTATAGCGGTCCAATTCTGGGGTGGGACATCTGCCCATGCACATGCCAGCCTTAGTCATGAAGGCCTGAGTCTTGGCAGTACCGCTGTCATACGAATATGAGAGGGATTCAATGAAGTAAGGGGACTCGGGATCCTCTGAATAGAAGGGGAACATGGAGAGACCAGCAGACTACGAATAAAAAAAATAAAAAAAATAAAAAAAGATGTTAGCTGTGAAGACATTTCATACCATCATAGATCCAAAGTACCAAAGTTATACGCACCACTGTGCATCCGCTAACGCAAAGACCCTCGGGAGGGAAAGGGAAATAGGGTGAAATGATGTCGGTTGGAAGTGGTGCAGCAGTCGTTGTAGTAGGGGCAATAGTGGTGGTTGTGGTGGCGGTGGTGGTAGTGACAGGACGAGGAGGTGGTGAGCTGTTCTTATTAGCATTATACCACTCCAGCTTAATGGGGTAGTTGTTGGTGTAGAGAGTCAACTCTGGTTCAGGACACTTGCCCATGCACATGCCAGCCTTGGTCATGAAATTTTGAGTCTTGGGCGAGTTGCGATCGAATGTATATGAGAGTGATTCGATAAAGTAAGGGCCATACTCATCAATATCGTTGTAGTTTGGAAAGAGAGACTTGCCAACGGTCTAATAAACACAATACATTAAACGGTTGGCGCAGAGAAGGATCATCAGTATATTTGCTTAGAGGGCATAGCATGACTATCACTTTCTTTCGTTTAGAGAAGAAGCAGCATAGCTAACTATATGAGAATATGAATTGAAAGAATGAACACATACATCAGTGCATGTTGCGACACATGGACCTTCAGGCGTAAAAGGAAAGTATGCGGATTGAGCGCTGGCGGACGCGGCCAGAGAGGCAGCGATGACGACGGCCGAAACGCGCATTGTGAATTAAGAAAAAGGGTAGATGACAGTAGGAACAATCAAGGAGACCAAAGAAAAAGAGAAAAGAAAAGAAAAAAAGTAAAAAGGTCCATATTTATTAAAAAAAAAACACGAAAATATATATGACCATGCATATACTTGGACTTCAAAGAGAGCGGACATGTAAGGGAAGCCTGTAAACATAATCAGATCTTTGTCCTTGGCGCCAAATGACGCAAAGTTTATTAATGTGAGTTCTCTTTTTTTTTTAAGAAGTTGACGAATAGTTTTTGCTTTTGTTTTTGTTTTTGTTTTTTTTTTTTTTTTTTTGCAAGGAATGGAGCGCAGTGAGTGAGTGGGTGTTGTCGAAAAGGATGTGCAACGCGTTGTGGAACAATGAACTAGTGAGCAACACGTCAGATTCGGTTCTCACAGGGAGTAATGAAATTCTAGAAGCGGGCCTTGACAGAGAGAATGCACCGCAACCGATGAGCTGTTTTCGCGAGTGAAAGTATAGAAGTAAGCAGGCTAAGTACATGTAGTATATTATTTATAATACATGTTAATACAAATATTATATATGTATTGTCCGATTTATTTATTCATTCAGTAATTTTTTAGAATAACTTTATGAAGAGCTGTGGCTTTGAATGAAGGTTATCAGATTAAAAATGTTAATGTAAAAGTAAAAGGCATACATTAAACATTACAAATAAATTAAACCGCACAACGATCCAATGCGTATCAATCTTCTTTTGCCTGTCGAATGCGGAGACGGATAAAAACGGAGGGTGCGAAAGGATGTGGTGGAGAGCACAGAAAGGATAGCCAAACCATCCAGAGTATCCAGAGTATCCGGATTGTGTACTGAATGTTTTGTTGAATTCTACATACATGTATATCAGAATAACAGATGCAAATACGTAATACATTCACTCTACACGGATGGGGTGGGGATTAAATAAAAACAACAACACTAATCAACAAAAAAAAAAAAAAAAGACTCCTTTGATCATATGAGCCATAAACGAGAAAAAAAAAAAAAAAAAAAAAAGTTAAATAAATACAAGATTCCAGTTGTCGGACCCATCTTGTATACGAATACAACGCGAGGAAGAGAGAAGAGATCGAATGCTGGCGGTGTGTGAATAGACAGTCTCTCTTTTTTTTTTTTTTTTTCTGCTCTCGTGTCCTTTGTTGTTCCTGTTGTTCCTGTTTGTGTTTGTTCTTGTTCCTGAGCTGAGCATTCCCATGTATTTTTGCATGTGTCCTTGAGGCGTAATAATAAACCCTTTTTAAACTCCGTGGACATCTGATAACAAAGGTTATCAGATCGAATTTCTAATGCAATAATGCAATGCAATGCAAGGCCATGCCATGCCACGCCATATTTTGTTTGTATACAAATATATACATTTCATCCCGAGATCTCTTATATATATATAATATATATTGTTATTATTGTTCTTCTTTTTTATTCTTTTTATTCTATAAAGCTACGCCAGAGTTCCAAATAAGTTCCGACAAAGAAAAAAACTTCATCTCATCTCGAGTCGACTCTCTCCCTTCCCCCTAATTTCCCATTGGATCCTCTCTGGATCCTCTCTGGATGCCTTTTTTTTTTTTTTTTTTTTTTTTTTTTTATATAATGCAAAAGATGCAATTGGGAGACATCGTCATTATTCAAGGTTTATTACGGTCAATATAGTTTGGTCCATAGAACTTTGGAACTCACCATGTATACTGTATATAGTTGTATCATTGATTTAAACAAAACAAAAAAAAAAAAAAAAATGGCCGTCATTTATATACATGTGTATATATATCATCTGTATCATTTGTAGATGGTTCATTGCATTCATCATGTTCCTTGAACAGCTTATCATTCGTTACTTTCTTTTATTTCTAAAGATCGACCTGCACACATGATCCGGTAACCACCTTTTTCTCCCTTTTGTTATGCTAAATCAGGCAATCCCGTTTTTTTTTTTTTTTTTTTTTTTTTTTTTTTTTTTTTAAAAAAAAAAAAAAGCCTGAGTGATTCTGAATTCTATTACGGTGAATGAATCTAAAAAAAAAAAAAGGTGTTTAATAGGTTATGGTCTTACAATACTTTGCAAGAGCCGTTCAGCTACCGATCTGGCAGCGATAGGAGAGTAAATTTGGAAAACATTATATATGTATATATATGTATAAGATGTTTCAAAGACATTCTCATTCTACTGGAACAATCACGTAGAAATTAGATGAGTTCCCACAAAAAAAAAAAAGAGAATTGTATATATATAATTACTGTACTCCTCTTCAGGTATATATGCACAAATGCACTGCGCTCTCATTCTGGTTAGTCTGTTTTGGAAAGTGTGTCATCAGGTCCCCACGAAGCTTGATGGCGCAAATGAAACCACAGATGGTTCTTCGTAGATGAAAATATGCGTACATATACATATATACATATGTATACATTCACATTACACTGCTTAGTAGACTGAAGACCCTATAGACTAGAACATGCCGAGTTTTTGGCAATCCAAGCATTAGTTACGGTGCTTTGACAAAGAATGCAGAGTGAGCGTTGGGAGTGATTCCTGAAGTGAGCGGTTCAAAGAGGGAAAGAACAGAAAATCTGATAAGCTGCAATTCTTTCAAAGGCTAAAGTTTTGAGCACATTAAATAAAAAATCTTATTGGATAGAAATCAGTAAATACAATGTTCATCCCTGCCCGGAGTTTCAATCTTCATCATTACTCATAACATGGCAGCATTAAACTGAATCCCTTGGCTGCTCCAGAAATCATTTTAATTATTGGTGGTTTTCTAGGTCAACAGGATCTCATTGAATTCGCGTCTCCAAGATTTTCCACAATATACTTGTCAAATTCGTATGGAGAAAGATCATTATTGATCATCCAAAGTGTTCCCACTGGCGAAGCACCGCAGAAACACAAGAGATATATTAAGGAACTTGAGTTTCGGTAATTCTTCCCAGAAGAATACATGTCATTGCAGAATTGTAGGTGTCTCCAATCCATTGTATATGGACACTATGATTCATCTCATCCGTATTAGATTTCCAACTTGATCAAGTCTCACTGTTCCACCATCACTAAATTTACAATCATCTGTTCAAGTCTACAAAAGATATGGGAGGCGCTGCTGGAATTCGCTCACCTTGAAGTCTTGAGCATTCGTAGAGTAGATAAATTTGGCGACGAAGTCAGTCTGTTCTTTCAAGTCTGTAAGAATGTTTCGAGCTTGGACTTCTTCGAAGTAAACATCGATCAGTTGCCTTCCAACTGTTTGAATGAAGGCAAGGATGAATACGTTTTCCCAAGTGTGAGGGCACTACGATTTCGAGATGTCCTAATACTCTGCCCTCCACGCCAGCACACATCATCGTATTGCCCTGGCGTGTTGACTAGGAGGAGTCCAAGGTTATACTCATTGCTATTTCACCGCTTTCGAAAAGTGGGATTTCCAAATTATCGAAGGCTGCGCTCAAGCAACAACGGAAATGTCTGATTTCTTCAGGGCAGCATTCCTTACTCATCATCCCTTCACAATGACAAATCTGTCAGATATATATATTTCAACCACAATAAAGGGCGAGGAAATGACAGTTCTTCTCAGACAGATGACCAAGGTAATATGCCTAGACATCGCGTCTTATCAATTCGGCTCACTCTCTATTCGAGAATTGCTGACAGAGGAACAAGAGATTGGGGATAATGGATGCGCAGTACGAAAAAAAGGGAGCGGAGGCTCTACGATACAATTGAGCTGCTGAGCTGCGATTTATATTGCCGAGGATGTGGTGCTGCTCAAGCGATCTTATCCAATTGCCCACGTCTGAAGAGGCTGTAGGGACCTCCAATTAAAGTGACAGAAATCGCTAATGGCACAGAGTGGGTTAAGACTGAGCTGCTTTACATGAATTTCAATCTTGAGGTTGATGATGATAAAGCGACTGTAGAAGGCATGGAAAAGGCACATATTGCGTATGAGCGGTTGCGAAGAGCAGCTCGGGAATTATCGCGGGCTTTAATAAGAGATTTTCATTTAACATTCAACTTGAGACAAAGGATAAGCTTGGATGAACTGACTAGCCTTAAGAGTCTGTATTCGTTAGTACTCAGATCTGATAAGATTGCAGCACATACAGGAGTATAGGAGGGCAGAAAAAAAAAGACTATAATCACTCTGTCTAGTCTTGGTGCGTAGGCGGAAGTAAATCCCTATCAGCTAATTAAAACACGAATTTCTAATTGTTATTAATTATCACTGCCTTGATGATCTATATGAAAGGTGTAGGCAACAAATGTAGCTCAAAGACCAAGAAGCTCCTCAACTTAGTCTTAAGCCACTTTTAGGAGGTCATTGAATCATGCAAGCAGAGCCTTCCTAGCATGGCTCATGAAGAGGCTTCAAAAACGTTGCTTGAATACATCAGCCGAGTGTGTATATCTACAGCTTGTAAGGGCTCTATGCCCACCATCATGGTCAAGCCATGGCGGCAGGAAGAGCCCATCGTTCATCGACAAGCTCTGAAAGCCCACAGTCCTTGACGCCGAGTATGTCGATTGTTATTACAGAATCATACTTGAGTTTTTCAATCCAAAACAGCTAGAGCTGTTATCATTCTGAGATTGACGATCTTACTTTTTTAGAAAGAACATAGAGAAAGTGAAAGTGGGAAAAGTTGATCTCAAAGGGAATAGTCCGCTGCAGAAGTGCGCTTTCTTGAGTAGCTGTTGGGGCTTACCATACCAGAATTTGCCAATTAACTTACTAAAGTCATGGATTGCAGCAACAAAAGAGGAAAAAAAAAAAAAAAAAAAAAAAAAAAAGAGATGAGGAAAAATGAGCTTCCTCCCTGCACTCTTTCTGTCTGTTTACACAAGCACGTTCTCTTATCTTTCCCTCGCGCATTTTCTTATAATCTTTGACCATTACCATTTGTCGGAACAAATTATGCGAACTTATTGGTCGCTATTAGTTCATTGCTGATTCTAGCCAGGAAGTTCGCAGATTGAAATTGACTTGCTGCTGAGAGCAAACCATGGCTTGCTTCTGGACTATTAATCTAAGTTTATTGTCTATATAGAGGTAAATGTGAAAGGTATTCTGGTATCATATGCATCATATAAAGTAGATGTCTATAGCTCACGCTATTAAACCTTCAGATTATGCTTCTACAATACGATCTGCATGGCCCTGTGCATGGTCATGAGCGAGGTTAGGCGTCCATTGAGGATCACGCCCCAAGTAAGGATACTGTTGAGGACTGCGTGGTGATAAGATAGTGTGGGGATTACGGTATGTGAGCTCATTCTTATGTTGTGGTTCGTCTTCACTTGACCTTTTAGGGTTGTCCATTTGCTTCACCTTCTTCGGCTCAATGAGTCCATGCTCTTCACCTGATGTTTGCTTTCGTCTTCTATAGATGAGGACAGCTACGATCAATGCTACCAAGACTAACCCTGCTACTGCTCCACCTGCTATGGCCCCAATATTAGTATTTGAAGCCTTAGTTGTAGGGACACCTGAAGATGTTGGGCCGGAAGAGGGTGTAGAAGATGGATGGTCGTCTGAGGAAGCCTTAAGCCACTCAAACTTGGTCAGATCAAACACAACGATCGAATCATATGGGTCGCTCGTCGGATCTTTTTCACCACCCCAGGCTACAAACCGATCACCAGCAAGGCCACAGGCAGCACTGGCCCGTGGTTCAGCTGCATTAGGACCCTTCCTCCACTCCCCCGAATTGAGATTGAGAACAAAGATTTCTGATGAAGGGATGTTAAAGCCTATAGGACCACTAGATGCAGGGGTGAGGCCTCCAAAGACAACAATCTTTGTACTATCCTCATCTAAAGATGGCGAGAAAATAAAAGTACTAATGAATAAATGATATACCGGGGAGCCGATATCCAAGAATTGTTCGAAATAGGGAAAACGTACTGATGGTCATGCAATTCCCCTCTCTCGTGGTAGGCATTTGTCCCTTTACAGACTAAAGGTATTGAATAGTAGGCCTTCATTTAATGAGACATCAATTTTCTGTTCTCCTGTTTTCATTTTTCAGTAAAAACAATAAGATTTGCAAAAAGCGATATTGAGGCACTTACAAAAGTTGACCATGAGTTTGAGTCGATCCGATATTCTGTAATGTATGCTACTGATGTAGTCTCTTTAAGTTTGAAGCCCCCCATAATGCTGTTCCTGTTACTGTTATAAGTAATACCGTCAAAGTTGCTCTCCTCCAGTAATGTGCCATTAGTGACAAGGCGGCCCTCCCATCCCCTTTCAAAGCTACTAAGCAGACACATGATACCGCCGTTGTCGGGAAAATTGTAAAATACTCCAGTTCGAGGGCTTATGGTAAGGCCCGATGTGGATAGACATCCATCTGGCGTTCGCACATGAATAGGACTCCACTTTGCACTCGTATCAGTAATACTGACTCGATAAGCTGTATTGGTAAGATACTCATTGAACATGTAAAGTGTTTGGTTGACGCCTACGCCATAAAACATCCGCTGGTCTCCAAATTTTCCGTAGTTGTGAGCAGTCCAAGCGGGAGCATCAAGAGGCCATGAAGCTGCGAGATCAAGAGAGAAAAATGGTCCGTCCCTAGTATCAAACGGCCCACCTTGGACAAAGAGTCTCGAACCAATTTGAACAAAGGGCACACGAGAATTTGCCTCAGGCCTTGTCTGAGCGCCAACAGTTGAAGCATGATAGGGGACCAAGAACAGAAATATATAAAAAAACAATGATACGGCTTGAGAGGAAACGATGGAAACAGAGTAGCAGGAAGCCATGATTCAGTCTTTGCTTTGTCAACAAATCAGCATCAACTGTGACATGAGAAAAGATGATAAGGAAACGAGAATCAAGAGAATGCATGAGCCATGACATGAGCCAAGTGCTCTTTGCTCATCCTTCTCATTGATTAGACTTTTCAATACAGCCACATTTCTCATCAAATGTCGACTTTTTATTTTTTTCATGTGCGGATGGATGGTCCTTCGTATTCTGGAGCAGGCTCTCCATGCGGATCCTAACCTAGAATAGTGATTTGCTGGGGATAACATGAGGTGTTGTCTATGAGCTGAGGACTATAAACTGGAGTTTTGTTTTTGCTTGACATCTTTCGTTTCAGTGATGTCGTTCTTCTGGTCCTTTTGCTTCCGTCATCTGATAAGCACCTCTGGAACGATCGCTATAACAGCGAAGGCTCCGACTACTCCCCCTACAATGGCTCCAATATCAATATCTGGAAATTTATTCTCCATTAGGGCTGAAAGCCCAGATGCCATTGAAGGTCCTCGAGACTCGGTTATATAGGTTTTGCGGGTAGCAGGTAACTCATTTGAACTTGGATAGATCAAATAGTAGCATCGATCCATCACCACTTGGATTATGTGGGTTCTGGTTAGCCCAGATTATGAACTGGTCCCCAACCAGAGCACAAGCAGGAAAGCTGCAAGGCGAGGTCGCATTAGGAGCCTTTCTACACTCTTTCGAATTAAGGTCTAGTACATGTAGTACAGGAGTAGGTGGTTCCGCCCACCCGGGAATGCCTCCAAAGACAGCAATCTTGGTCCCATTTGCATCCATCATTTACAAAGCACAAGGAAGTAGGAGTATAAAAGCACACTTATTAGAACTATTGTTCATGTGGGTTACATTCACAGATATGACATGAATGAAAGGACTAAGAATTATAGTAAAACAATGCCGATGGCCATGCAGTCTTGACGTCTAGTAGTTGGTACCTCTCCTATTACGTTCTAAAGGAAGGCATAGACAGGAGGCAGTGGGTTGGACAAAGTCAATAATCATACTGAATCTAGAAAGATGCTTTCCTGATCGTCTTATTAAAGACAGTAGAGGTTGAAATAAATGTAGTAGGCACTTACAAAAAATAACCATGAGTTGGCATCGATCGAGTATTCCAAAAGGTAACTCCAGTTTTAGTCCATTTTGCGCCTGTGCCCTGTCAGGAATGGTGCCCCGACATTGTTATAGACAACATCTTCGACGATTGCTTTCCCATATAAGCCATCAGGAACCTCTTTTGATCCACACATTCGTAACCCGATGTGAGTATTTTATAACTTATTGTAATACAGAAATGAAGGGGTATTTTATATACATGCATGAGTGTTTACAAAGTGGGGTGGAAATGTAGTTTTAGCGCTAAAGTTGTGTTCCATGAGTTACATTGGCAACAAACGACTCTTGAGGAATTTGGCCTTGATAGAGTGTCATAGGGGTCATTTCCTGAGGATTACGTCTCGTCATCAACTGTGGACCGCGAGTCGGATTTGAATTATAGTAGACATGCTCGGTCATACTATTTCGCAGGTATTCGGGCGCACAGGAATCATCGTATTGATTGAAGCCCTTCTCTTCAGGGACACTATATCCTTGGCTTTTCCCTCTGCGCCATCGTTTGTAGATGATCAAACCTGCAATAATAACTATCAAGGCCAAGGCTCCTACAGAACCGCCTATAATAGCTTCTTTATTGGTAGCCGAAGGCTCTCCTGTTTGAGTAGGTTGTGACTGAGTGGATGAAGGCGTTTGTGATCCAGTGATGGTCTGAGTCTGGGTTTGATGAGTTTGATTGTAAATTGGAGCTGTATAGGTGTTGGCCCATTCAAATTTCGTCAGATCGAACACAATGGGCGGTCCTGAGACAACCAGATTGTCATTATATCCGCCCCAAGCCAGGAACTGATCTCCTACAATGATGCATGCTGTGTAGCCGCGCTTAATAGCTGCGTTGGGTCCCTTTTTCCAAGACGATGTAGCAATATCTAGTACAAATAACTCTTCTGAAAAGGTGCTTTCGCTGGAGGAAGTTGAATTTGGAGCCAATGGGACACGACCTCCGAAAATAACAATCTTGCTATTATCCTCGGCTATTGATAAACCAAAAGACGATGAATGAACATGGCGCAAATATTAAAGCCGTCATTAGGGCTATCCGCCACCACTTCAAAAAAGAGGATACAACTTACTGATAGCCATACAGTGGTCGGATCTTATGCCTGGGATATCTCCATTCGTAAGCTAGAATAGTGTTTTGAATAGATTGTGAGTTGGTAAGAGATTTCCATGGATGCATATCTGAGGCTTTACTCAAGAGAGAGAGAGAAAGAGATTGAATATCCGATCCCTACAAAAGTTGACCAACGACTTAAATCAATAAAGTACTCTGTAAGAAAAGCGGTTGTGCCCTGTTGCCATTCCCCATGGTACCCGCCATGATACATAATGGAGTTTCGAGCACCGTTGTACACAGCTCCACCATAACCCAAAGTCGGTGAATTGGCAGGAGTGGATGGTAGCCAATTATATTTGGTCAGGTCGAATACATTCATGGAGTTTACTCCAGCAATGTAAACCCGCCCAGTTCTCGAATCAAGTACAGGACGAATTGCTGCAGAAAATATATCAGGGTGTTCAAGTGTGGCGACAGCCCACGTGGAATTGGGGTCGTTGACGTCGATACGATGAATACTAAAGCTGATTTGATCCGCTTTGTACACAAAAAATGTTTGATTATCTGCAGATCCCGTCCCAGCTGTAAGATGGATACTTGGCGCCCCGGCGTTGGCATGAGCTTTCCATGAAGGTGAAGTGACAGGCCAAGATGTGGAGAGGTCAAACGAGATGAACTGGGAGATGGGAGTCAATACTGTACGGGAGGTCATGCGTCGACCACCTTGGATATACAGTCTTGAGCCAATGCGTGCAAAGGCCATTTCGGATGCATCTGTTGGAAGGGCTTGGCCCTGCACGAACACGTCCTTGAGGAGCGCGAATAAGGAGAAGAGAAGGGGTAAAAGAGGATTCAAAGTCGACATTATTATGGAGCAAACGTGATAAGATGATAGCAATTGAGTAAGCGTTAGAAGTGATGTGGGCCCTAGCACTTGAAGAAAAGGGGTCAAATAGGCAGGATAGGTGCTTCCCTGATTTCAGGAGCCAGTCAATGCGAGAAGAAAGAGAAAAGATTAAATTACCATGGAGCATGAAGCATTGACATTCTTCTCATCAACCTCCAATTATTCGCCCACAACAGCCATTGATGTTTGTGTACCAACGCGCCATTGGCGTGTTTAAAAATATCGCATCGCATAAGCACAAATTATTGTGACTGGCGTAAAGTTAGTTTTTAAAGTGTAAACAAACATTTTTTTTTTTTTTTTTAAAGCAATGCATTTGTGTCCATGCACACACATTAGTTTGTCATTCCTACTATCGTTCTTAAATCTATCCTGAAAACCTTTTTTTTTTTTTTTTTTTTTTTTTTTCGCTGTTCATTTATTTCTCTATTTCTCATCCTCAATAATAATAATAATAATAATAATAAAGATAAAAAGAAATGGTTAAACCTCTTGGCTTGCCTAGAGATTCTCTTGAGAGAAGACGCGGCGGTCGTGGTGGACCAGCTCCTCGTAGGGATCGTAAAGAGACCGGTGAGCGTGTCGCAAAGCGCACGAACAACAATTATAATAGCCAATACAAGAAAGATTCTACAAGGCCTAGCACTAAAAAGAATGGCGGCGTAGGAAAACCTGTAGATAAGAAGAAGAAGGGCTTCAACCCCATGGCTAGAGCCCACATGGGATCGGACGCATATAAAGGACATGGTAGGAAAAAAAAAAAAAAAAAAAAAAAAAAGATCAGTCGATTTATCTATCTCTATGTGTGCCTTCGCCTATACTCCTTGACCACTTACAAGAATTATTGTAACTATTTTTTCCATCTCTCTTCAATGCTTGGAATAGCCAAGAAATTAAAAGCGGAACTAATCCATAAGGCAAAAGTCAAGAAGGAGTACGCCAAGGTGTTGAAGCAGGAGGAGCAAAATACCCCAGAATTTTACAAGAAGGTATATAATGTTGTAGGATTGTATTATAGCATGTAGCAATCAGATTGGTGACGACCGTTAAGTCACTCTTAAACATGTTTACTATTTGCTGATGCGTTTGTATTCTTTTTTATCCTCTAACAGATTTTTGGTGAAAAAACAATCGATGATGAAGGCAATGTAGTGGCGTACAACAGCGGACAAGGTCAGGAAGATGGAAGTGATATGGATGAAGAAGAGGAAGACCAAGATGAAGAGATGAATGAAGGGATCAAGGATGAGAATGAAGATGGAGATGAAGAGGTAGACCAATTAGAATCAGAAGAAGACAGCGAAGAGCAGGATGATGACGGAGAAGAAGCAAATAATGGTAAAGGATCAACAAAATCAAGAGGAGCGAAAGAAAGTAACGACAAACAAACAAAGCCATCAGGCAAATCAGGCAAGCAAGAAGACGGAACGTTTAAACGCGCTGCAAAGCCCAATCCCTTCAAGGCTGCGATTGAGAAGCGAGAAGCTGAGAAGAAGGCTATACAGGAAGCTCGTGAAGTACGTCTTTTCTGTATTAAATATAATCCTTTTTTTTTTTTTTTTTTTCTCTTTACACTCGCCTAACTGGCTTTTGATAACATACTTATTCTAATGGGATCCTCTCTTCCCTTGGTTTTATAGAAAGCACAGCGCGAGAGAGCTTTGGCTAAGAAGGGTCGGGATGCATACTACGCGAAACGTGAGAAGACGACTAAGAAGATGCGTGAGAAGACTTCTCGTGGCCAACCTGTACTTTCCAACCAGATCAAGATGATGCTTGGAAAGATCAAGCAGGAAGTGAAGGGGAACACTTCACGTGTACCAGGACAACGTGGCAAGGGACGACCGCAAAAGCCATAAGAAATAACATAGATGAATGAGAAAAAAATTGTACAGGATTCAAGTTGTTTACTAAGATGTACTTTACCTTGAAGATAACTCCGATATATCTCGATGAGTAGCAAAGATATCCTTCTTTTTACTTTATATTATTTCTTTCATTTCTTGATCAATTTCCTTTCAGCATTGATCTCAATTCTTGCTTTTTTTGTTTTTGATTTTCATTATTTTAATTTTTTTAATTTCTTACTTTTTATTACCTGTGTATTCTCTATTACTCGATGCATTAAACAGAAACGTTCAAAATTGTTCATTCAAATGTGTTATCCTATAAAAGTTTATTTGCTTCTGTCACCCACGTGCTCTGTCGAAGTTGTGTTGTGATCCTACTCCATTCTCGGATGCTTTGTTCTTTGTCATCCAACCCTAGTGATTGTTACTTAAAGCTCAGTAGATGAATAGTCTAGAGACTGTGTCAAATAAACAATAAGGGGCTCTTCGTCTTAGAAGGAGGGCTTTTTGTAGTAGCTGTTGATACAGTCATCCGAGACTTTTTGAGCTATGGTCTATCTGTAATTTCTTTTTCTTTTTCTTTTTTTTTTTTTTTTTTTCTTTTTTTTTTTAAAAAAAAAATATCTTTTAAGGCTATAGACATTTTGTAGTTGATTGTTGGAAACAATAATGAATTTGAGAAGCATGACTAGTGAGATCCAAAGCTGAGAAACAACGAGAGCGAACGGAGATATAAATGTTGCGACAAGAGATCGAGGTAGACAAGTTGATAAATGGTGCTACAAAGCGTACTAGTGTGTATTTAGGCTTGAGGATCAATACGCATTGGAAGCGTTGACACCCTTGATTCAAGAGGCATACTTTTCGCAGTGGGGAGCTCAGTTTCGAGAAGATTCTTCGCTTTAAATAGGGATCTGGCATGCGGCTGTTGCTGTTAGGTGTTGGAATAAGATTGCACTTAACTCAGGAAAAAAAGAAGCCAAGTATGCACTTGGCGCCTTGTTTATCTATAGGCTGGGGACAGGAGGTAGGGACAGGGGGAGTGAAAAACGGTGAATGTTGGTAAGTGCAGGCAAGTGAAATTGGGACGTAATGTATTGTATCGGTATGACTTTTGCTGATTGATTTGTAATGTTTTTTTACTTCCTTGATGTACACTCTCTAATGCTTGTGTCCGTGGCACCATGTATCACAGCTGTGGCCTTGTATGGGTGGCAAGGGGTCAATAGTCGGTTGCTTTCTACGCTTCTTATGTTAGTAGGAAGCAAGAGAACTGGATCTGATCTATAAGTGAGTTGATGAAAACTGATCTCTAAACGGGCAAAGTTGTCCGTTTCAAGATCCAAGGGGCAAGGTGAACGAGACTAAATGAGACTTTTCTTCAATAAGGCCTTTCACACTTTAGGGAGAAGTAGCTGAGGTTCCATTGAAAAAGCGAGTTTGAAAGAAAGAAAGAAAGAAAGAAAGAAAAAAAAAAAAAGTAGGAAGAAATAGTAATGGTGCTCAGGCTCTCCCTCACCTCGAGGCCCTTTATTTAAGTGTCGAGTGTAAGCTAGACTGGAACCATCCAATCTCGGAAGCAGTGGAGGCAGGGCCTGATAACCCCAATATAGAAATTCATCACTCATAGCACATAATTGAACAACATCGCTTTGTAACTCCTTTTACCCCCCACAAAATTAAAAATTATTATTAAAATACGAGGTTAATGCTATTGTTTAAATACTTTGTTCATTATCGCTTGATAGAATACATGGTCTTATGTTGGTCGCCGAACTTCAGCATTAAGACTAAAAAGAAGAGAAGACAAATAGGCTGCAAGGTTAATTGTATGATTAAAGAAAGAGAAAGAAAGCGAAAGATGATGGATGAACGCCGTTTTCCTTTACTCCATACCATATCCAGTAGTCTTATTCTATGTAATGGAGTACATTTGACGATGGCCAGTCTGTATTTGGAATGAACAAATACTAGAGCTCTTTTTTTCTTTTTACTTACTTGTCAGCTGTCTCTGCATATCTCTCTGCAGCTCCTCTCCATTTGTACCATAAGTCCAGCACGACATTGATAGTATCCTCTATCGGAGTGACAAGATAGGCCGATCGCCCATCACCATTCTTTCCGCTGGTGCTTGAAACCCATTTGGCCTCAACTTTGACAGAATCTTCCAAATAGGCTCTATAATCCAATTGCTTTCCTTTCAATACTGCAGTCGTCAATCGATTGACAAAGATCTGCCAACGCGGATAATAAAACCCACGTACAACACCACTCCATTCCTTTCCAGCATAGTCTGCAAGGGGTTTTTGTCCAAGAGGACCCCACCAAGTGATTTGATTGCGCGCACTGTACTCAACATAGTCACGATATTTGATCAGGTCTTCGTCATTGTATGAAGTGGTCGCATTGTCAAATTTGGCTGATACGCGTGCATCTCGAATCCAGGCTCCCGACATGAAATGAGTGTGCGTTGACAAGATTCGGTCCACATCGCTGATACAATCAAGGATCAGTCTACCCCAAGAGCGTATACTGGCCAAATCCTTTGCCTTGTAGGCCACCACAAGTTCCCTATGCAAGCCTGGAATGACCACAGCAGCCAAGACTTCTCGGGTCACATCCACGAGGTCATATCGAAGACTGGAATTGCTCATCGGCGGATCTGGATCATCGAGGTGAATATCCATGTCTAAGAACTCTTCTGGTGGAACCCTGTGGCCCTGTTCCACAGTACTGCGGATTGCTTCACGCATCTTACTTGAAAAGGACTCTGCTATCCCAGTTTTGTGAGCTTTAGGGTCTTTGAGTAAAAAATATTTCTCTTTGACTGCTAATTGGGTTGTTGGATTAATAGGCTTGCCACTTGTAGCCCCAATAGTTGCTCCTATGAAGCTTTGGATGAAACTAGAATGCTGTTTGCCTTTGTTGGGGGATATATCTACAGATCCGACAAACTGATTCCAGGCCCGAACTACCCTTGTTTGATTGTACCAGAATTGAGTAGTCATGAATCCTGGGCGATACATATCCAGCCCTGGTGTACTGTCCATGATCGATCTTGACTGCCCTACTTGACCTGTTGTACAATTCCAAACTGTTTGCGAAAGCGTTTCCCAGGCTTCAAGGACGGTGGGGGTCGCTCGATGCGATCCATAACGCCTTCTGATGTATCCTTCCAAGTGCTTCTGTTTATTCAGTCCTGACTGTTTTAATTCCTGTCCAGAAGAGGGTTTTGTCAAATTCTTGCTATGTTCTGGGTCAGTTGCTTCCACAGATTCCCAAGGGATGTCGAAAACAATTTGATAGACATACTCATTGTTGTTGATCCCTTCCATAGTTATACCCATGCCGCGCATTTTCTTAGCTGTTTGCCGATAACCTTCAAAAGGTCCAGCCAAAATGGTATCCAACGCACCGTACATCCCTTGAGTACCTCCGAAATTGTTTAGCCTTATATATATATATATATATAAAGCCATTGCATTACATAGGGTTAGACCGTATTAATTGTTGAAAATAAAAAAGGAGTAAGTGGAGAGTGAGTTTGTATGCCTACTTACATACTCCAGCCCCATTCGATTCCAAAAAATCCCTCGGTCACTTCCCATTGCGGCCTGACTTCTGAGTAGAGGTCCATGATAAATGCATCCTTACCGCCGCCCGCTTCCAGAATGCCGTCGAAGAACGCCTTTTTTTCCGCCTGTTTCCAAATGTCACTCTGCAACAAGAACCACGATTGCATTACCCAAACGGCTTTGGGATCCGCAGCCTTTAGCGCTTTCATGACTCCATTCGTGACCGACCTAAGGCATTCCTGTTTTGTGCATACAGGGCGTAGTTCGTTGAAGAGATCGAGTAAGTAGTAGTTCTTGTCTGTTGTTGGGGCGAAGCCGTGTTTTTGATATAAAGTCGACTGTGTCTGAATGAACCGGCTAGTCAGGTTTGCAAAGAACGGTTCTGTTGAAGAGATGAAGGTATTGCGGGAGTTGACTTCGCCTAGAAAGTCCCAATCCGAGGCTCGGTCGAATTTAATATGTGGAAACTTTGCAGGAAATTCGCGAGGGACAAAGCCATTGAAGGATGGTAGGATTGCCGTCATATTGAACTCGTTCATTCTCCGCATGATACTGAAAGAGTGATTGATAAAAAAAATAAAAATAAAAAAACAAAATATCAATGATTTTTGCTCCTAAGTTACCGAATCAACTGTGTTGAACAGTGTAGCAAGCGTTCTTCGAATAGCCTTTAATTGACATACTGTCCCTGTAGCTGCCATTGGCTATCAATCCAGTCATGCTTGAATCGCGTGTCGTTTGTGACGCCCCATGATCCCTGGATGTTACCCATACGCTGCCAAGCCATGAATGCTGGGCCTGAAAAAAATCCATTGAGCTCCTGACGAGTCGCTCCTAAGCTTTCATACATCTCGCGGAACACGTATTCCTGACCAACCATTGCAAGTGCCATATTGACGCCATTGAGCATCATCCAGTCTAACGTAAGAAATAAATATATAAATAAAAACCAAGTCAAACAGCTGTATAAAAGCTATTTTCGAGAGTGTTTTTTTTTTTTTTTTTTTTTTTTTTAGAGGATTATTCCATGTTATATGTTACCTAGTTCTCGCTCCCAACGCTTCCAATCCCAAAAGGCAAACGAGTAACCGAAGGTGACAACGTTCATATAGTATCGCCATGGTACAAAGCTGGCTCGAATCACTCCCTTGCCTTCAGGATCCTGTATGGCAGGTGGAGTATTAGGTACATCCATGAACCGATCTCCACTCCATGACATCTCTACTTCACAGGCATTCCGAAGATAGTAGTTCAAGCCAGCGCCCAAGCCAGATAATGTAGCCCCCTCGATCATGATAGTTCCATTGTCTCTATTCGAAACCCGAAAGGTATCATGAATGTTGGTTGCAGAGGCTGGTGTTAATCCTGGTACTAATGTGAATATAAAGGTCTCATGATAAGCTGGCGGTAATCGGCGCTTGACAAGGTCGTAGAGAGGCTGCTCTGATATTGAAGGGGTGGCAGTTACGGCACGTTTTTTATTATTGAAATGAGGGTGGTCCTGTTCGCTTTCATCAAGACGTAGCGTTGCATATGATCCTGTGGAGGAAGACAAAGGAGAGTATTGCTGAGAGGCTGATCTTTGAATTGATTTCCATGATGATTCTTGTCCGGAAAGAAGAATGGAAGCTGAATCCTTCAGTGCATGGACTTGGGTGAAGACTTCGGGTCCAGATAAGGAAGCGAGATATGTCCAACACCAGATGAAGAGAGTAGCGATGAATATACGTGAATGTAATAACCTATAGATTAGAGCATTCCTGAGGCCATGCTGATGCTGGTGTTGTCGCTGTTGTTGTTGCAGTGCTAACGGTTCTGTCGACGGCAGCTTGGCGACCATGTCCATGAGGCGTTGCCGCTCACAATTTTTACTCTATTAGACACTTGTTGCTTGAATATAAGTCTATGGGAGCTGAAAAAAAAAAAAAAAAAAAAAAAAAGTTTTCGTTAGATGCTTTGGCCAGTAGACATTAGGATCATTTAATCTGTACGTTGATGCTTAAAAGGAGAGAGTTTCTTCCTTTTGAAAAGTAGTGGTAATAATAGTAGCATTCGTAACGGCAAGCACAAATAAATAAACAAGAGCGATTAGAGATGAAGTCCAGGGCAAAGACGCCAATGGAAAAAAAAAGGGAGGGAGGACGAGAGCCTTTTTTTTATTTGTTTATTTGTTGTATTGGTCAATTAAATCCAGTACATTCAGTACATTCAGCACATTCAACACATTCCAACACTTTCGCTCATGTACGCTCAGTCCAGATGTTATTCATATCTTCTGTCCTCCACGTCCTGTCTTTTTTTTTTTTTTTATTCAACTACCGTTAGAAAGAGGATCCCTTTCCATCACTGTTTGTTAGCTTATTGTCTACTTCTTTTATGCTTGAATAGTGAATAGACATTAATGACATGAGAGATATTCCCGCTGGTCTTTAGAAAAGTAAGTGGTTCAAGTTGTGGTGCTATATAAAAAAAGGTACATTTTTACCTGTTTCAAAATAATAAAATAACAGTGATTATAATTTATCAGATATAATAACATGCAACAATTAAAGTAAAATACAATGAGCAAAGGAGGAAGAAGGGAGGGGAAATGAGTAGGTGAGAGAGTGAGGATTGTAGTGATAGGATTTATAGAAAGAGCGAAGGAAAGAGAGAAAAAGCAATGCAGTTTGAAAAAAAGAAAAAAAGAAAAATGAAGGAAAGAAAGAGAGAACAGAGCAAAATGAACATCGTCTGAATGCAACGATGCTTTAACAGTTTTTTAGATTCCAATAATCGATTAAAAAACGAGGACCAATGCCCAATCAAAAGTCTCTGTTAAAGTGAGCACAAATTATTTTTTTTTTAAAAAAAAGCTTCAGATCCCTCTTTTTGCCAGGATCCTTGTGTTCGTGTTCTTTATTACCATTGCTGAACAAAATCCAATCTCCAGACACATTCATACCTTCTTCTTTCTTTCATGGTCCCCAATCTGTGCAAATAAATGTTTATTTCATAAAAGTAAAATGCTAAAAAGATTATCTTAGGAATGTTTATAAAAAAACAAAAAAAAAAAAAATATGCATGCTCGATTATTTGTTGACCATCTAGTTCTTCTCTGCTTGTGACAACAGGTATTCTAATGTGTAGGTATTGTCGTTGCATCTATAAAGCAATAATAATATAAAAGGATACCTCCAGATTAGCAACATTGCCATTTCAGAAAAGAAAAGAAAAAGAAAAAGAACAAAAAAATTGGACATATGCATGCGCGTAATCGAAATTAGGAAGACTTACACTTTAGCTAGATCCTCGTGCAGTTTGCCAACACCCTTCTGTAGCCCTCTAAAGACAGTCAGGAACTCTCCAGAATGGTCCTTGAGATACTTGCCATGACTAACCAGTAGATTCGTACACCAGATCAAATGAAACTCTAAATGGGGTGAATCCTCCATATAAGATGCAATAAACTTCATCAGCCTCTCCAAGTACTTTGTCGGCAGCTGTCTTGCTACTAGCTTCACATCTGTTGGAGGAATAGCTTCATAACAACGCTGGATGTATTGCCGCTCGTTCAAACGGAATGCCATCACCAATGCCTTCAAATAATCCCTCTCGTCCAGTGTCTCCAGAATAGTTTCAGGCGTGATATCAATCTCCAAATCGAATGGATCAAACATCAAAGTATCATCCAATGAGTAAATCAACAACCCTTCAGTCGATGCAGCAGCCCATGAGCGACCTGTAGGCGAGAACCTGACGGCCTTAGTACGGATTTCCGGACGGACATTTCGCTTGGATAGATCTTTGGTGCCGGGCAAAGCATTATCACGGCGATCTTCGAGATCACTGTAATCATCATCATCATCAATCAAATCCATAGCACCAGCTTCAGTCATGTTCTTGGAGTTGAGAAATTCGAGTGTACCATCAAAGGATAAATTTTTAGAAATGATCCATTTCTTGACGAGGATAGTGGATTTGATATCATAAATACAGACATATTTACTATTGCCTCCTCCAATGATACATGTTCCATCTGCAGTGTAACAAAGAGAATTAAAGTGCTTGCCCGAAGTCGAGTTCTCCGCTGTCACTTTATCCTCTGCCTTGCGCCCACCAGAAATATCACGACGCCCATCAATCGTTCCTGTTTGAAGTGCGTCATCCACATTCCAAAAACTGAGCTGACCATCTAGAGTTGAACCGCAGAGCTCCTTACCATCGGGACGGAATGCCAAAGCCAACACTTCAGACATATGTGTGAAGCTCTCAACGCTCTTCCCGCGTCCAAAGACATCCCATGTGCGAATAGTGCGATCCCACGAACATGAAGCCAGGAAATTGGCCGTGGGCGAGAAGGCCAGACCAGATATAGGGGCAGTATGTCCAGCCAAAATATCCAACAGCTTTCCAGTCTGAACTGACCAGACAAAAATCTCGAACGTGTTTTGTGATCCAGCGCAGACAATCTCGCCACTGGGGTCCACTGCAAGTGACGAGAACTGAACTGGAGTAGGTGAGGTGAACGTCCTAAAATTCCTGTAACGGACTAGATCAAATGCTCTGACAGTACCGTCCAATGAAGCAGAAAAGACAATCTGGCCGTTCTTTGCAAATTCCGTGGCTGTGATACGGGAAGTGTGATCTGAGAAGGTGACAAAACAGAATCCGGAGATGGTGTTCCAAACTTTAACTTTGCCATCATCGCCTCCAGTGACCACACTCTGTCCATCCGATGAGTATGAGAGACAATTCATGTCATAAAAGTGCCCCTGTTGCTTCAAGACATATGATTCTGACTGCCACTCCCAAACCAAAAGCTGTCCCAATTTTGATGCTCCAAATGCCAACCATTCTCCTGTTCTGTTGATCGCTACAGAATCGATTTTCTTTTGTGAAATACTACAGCAAGGAAGATTTTGTGGGGTTATGAAATTGTTATATATATATTGATTTGAATATAATTTTGTCAAAAAAATTAAAAAAAAAAAAAAAAAAAAAAAAAAAAACTTTCCCTACATACCTTAGCGTATGAATATTGTTGAAAGTTGGGAGCTCCCAGATACCGAAAACGCCGTTCGAGAATCCAACAACCATCATACTCGAAGAAGCATGATAGGCAGCGCAGACAACCTTGGCATGGTCCTGATAGAAAAAGTGCCTCTGCACTGCAGTCCACCTCCGTGGGACTTCATCAATTTCCATCGAGTTGTCATTCCCTACATCATCGTTCTCATCTTGCTGTGTCTTTGGGGCGATCGATTGGTATCGCCATTCAAAAAGTGCGCCATCCTTGCTAACAGTATAAAGGGCATTCTGCTCCTGTGTGAACCATGCTCCGATGACTGAATCTCTATGTCCTGAAAGCGTAAAGGGAACGAATCCTTCGATGGGGTTGACGGAGTAAATACGTGCGCTCATGTCTTTTGAGGTTGTAACAAAAAATTTTGAATCTGGTGCCCACGAGATCGAGATCACATCGTCAAAATGACCAGTATAACGCCTATGAAGCACAATAGGTTGAAATTCGCGATGAAACCCTGGCGTCTTCCAGACTTGGATCTGCTTTCCATGTGTTGCTGCAAAGTATTTGCCATCTGGACTGAATTGAATGTCATGGACTTTGGCCTTGAAGTTAAAATGATGCAAGACAACCTGACGGTGGTAATTAACGAGAATAGCACGACCATCTGCAGTTGCATTGAGTATGATTATAATAATTAGTCTCTAAGGGCAAATTCTTTTCAGGAGCCGAGAGAAATGGATCTTTTCTTTACTTCGCGAAAAGCACAAATCAATTATTCAATACCTTCATCCACAGATATCAGGAGAGTTGAATTTGGACTAAGAGCAATTCTGTCAATGTTTTTCCTGTTTTCATAGGGAAATGTCGTAGCCTTGTTGCTATTTAAGCGGAGAGAGTTAGCGATCAATAGAGCAGAATGAGAGGAGAGGGGTTTTTTTTTTGTTTCTAAACAAATTATGTGCTCAGAATGCAACATGTTTTGCGTTGACAGCATACTTGACAAGATCAAATACAGTGAGCCTATTTCCGACAGGACTGAGGATTGAATTGCCATCGGGTGTGAAGATGAGGTTCCCCTGCTTGTAGACAGTTCCACACAAGTTTGAAAACTATATAAAGTACGAGCATACATGCGAACTGTTAGGTTTGTATTAAAAATAAAAAAAAAATTCAGCTGAGAAATAGCACTTTCAAGGTTTAAAACACATGCCTTGAAATCCGACTTCATAATGTATGGATAGACAATGTTAATGAGCAGAGCACAACAGGGCAGGAGAGGATGTCCAAGTAGAAACAAGGAAACAAATGGCTCGAGGGTAAGAATAAGTCGGTATAACCAAAATGAACCTCTCTTTTCCCTTCTCATGAACTCGAAGGCGCTTTTTTTTTTTTTTTTAAGCCACGAGTTTGTTTATCTGAATATTAAATGCCATGTTGGGAAGACTGCTTTCCTATTTTCCATTTCATTAAACTTAAAAGAACTCTCAATTTTTGGTTTTATCACTATCACTTCAATTCTCGCATTCCCATAATTTTCACACTTCAAGAAATGACTAAACAGAAAGCAAGTGATCCAGTGACCCACCTCATTGGGGGTGCAGTGTCTGGATTAAGTGCATGTGTCATGGTCCAACCACTCGACCTGATCAAAACACGACTACAACAACAACAACAAGCCCACCTCGCGTTTATTAAACAAAGAGGACAAGCAGGTCTAACTATCGCGCCTCTTGAGAGGTAAAAAAAAAAATAAAAAATAAAAAATCGCCACCTGCATAAACTCACTTGCTCTACCTTGCAAGCAACCCAATCTGCAATACAATTTATCCTATATCCCCTTCTACCATACACTACTTATCTCATTTCTAACGGCATTAGTACCATCTGGAAAACAGTTTTCGGGATTGTTAAAGAGGGATCTGTCCTCAGCCTCTGGCGTGGAACTCTGCCCACTATTGTGAGGTAATTTTATTATTATTAAACAAGCAAGACGATGGTCATTCTATGTATACTCAGGCTTATCTTAACATGTTCATGTTTAATTTCTACCAGAAATGTTCCAGGTTCAGCCATGTACTTTACGATCTTGAACGAGACGAGAACTCTTCTGGCTCGCCGGAAAATCAATGGACTAGATCGGGAAGATACATTTTCGAGCAATAGCGCACTTCCCAAGCTGAGCAATACTGAGAATCTGATTGCTGGTGGTGCTTCGCGAGCTGCAGTCGGCTTTGTGATGATGCCAGCAACTGTAATTAAGGTTCGATATGAGGTATGTTTATCATGCTGCGCTTAAATTTTTCGGAAACCTACACAGAATGGCCCGATTTTTTTTTTTTTTTTTTTTTTTTTTTGACGATCTTTTCCGACTGCACAGTAGCTGAACGAAATTCGAAAAAAAACAAAAAAATATCCATTCTTTGTATAGAGTAATCTTTACAGTTATAACAGCATGGGTAGCGCATTCACATCAATCTTCAGAAAGGAGGGTATTCGTGGACTATGGGCTGGTTTTGGAGCAACTGCCATGAGAGATGCTCCTTTGGCTGGTCTTTATGTTTTGTTCTATGAACACTCTAAATCTAAACTTGGAGGTATGTTTATGTCCGGTCTAATGAACCGTAAACAACTTGATCCTGTTATAGTGCTTATTTTTAAATCTAGAGAACTCATGTTTGCCCACTGTTATAATACTGTCATCCTGGAATACAGCAGTAAAAGGCACATCATCCTTTTTTGATTTGAGCACACCTACTATCCATATGGTGTCAGGTATCGCTGCCGGTTTTCTTTCTACCACTATCACCCATCCTTTTGACATGCTAAAAACTCGAATGCAACTGAAACCAACCGAATACAGGAATGTATTTCAAGCTGCTCGCAAGGTCCTCATGGTAAGAGTCGTATTTAACGCAGTGATAGCGCTGTCAAGTGATTTATAGAATCATTTTCAAATCGTTAGATAACTCAGCTTTTATATTTGTTTATATGTTTGTTCGCTTATAATACAAACCTTTATTAGGAGGAAGGTGCAATTGGATTTTTAGATGGCATTCTTGTACGAACGATACGCAAATCAATCCACTCGGCTATCTCTTGGACTGTATATGAGGAAGTTGTACGGTGGCATCTTAATCGTAATGCTGACCACATTGTATAAAACTTATTACTGTACATTATTTTTAAAATAAGGAAAAGAAAAAAAAAAAATAGTAACAAATATGCAAAGGATATGGATAGAGTTCTGTGTCAAATGCGCAAATACATATTCCATGCATATAAATCCTGATGCTGTTTATGTTGAATACATTCATTTAATTAGAAAAAAAAAAAAACTTCATTTCTGTTTTTTCATTACAACAAAACAGCTCTTACAGGTTACAATTCCTTCATTCGAATAAAATTTGCAATGAATGATATCTAAACTTTTAGATCTGAAACTTTCTTTTTTTTTTTTTTTCTTTTCATGTTCAATTAAGTTTATTTTTTTTTTTTTTTTTTTTTTTTCGAAGAACGCGATCTTGCCGTACAAAGTTCATTGCTATTAGAATAACATTTCAACAATAGGGCAAAATTAGCCTGTCTCGCAACGGTCTAAACAATTAACGCGCAGGATTAACGCCGCTATGAGCCCCTGGCTGTGATAAGCTAGCTATTAGTATACATAGTTATATTTAATACAGTTCCTGGAAAGGCTAGTTTAAAACTTTAAATGTCCAATTAGGTTCTTAAATATTTGCTTATACACACAACCGCGATTCATGGTTGACGGATAACAGCTCATATTTTAGATCATTTGATGCGATGTGGCCAATCCCATAATATGATTCAGTGATAGTCTCTGACACCCTCCTATAGCAAGCTAAAAGCCTATACCAACAGGGGATTTAGTGTGTCGGAGTCAGAGCGCACTCTATTGAGTAGGGAAATCAAAGACGAGGAAGTATAGAAGGACGTTGTGCAACAAGATCGAGAGGATAGCTAGGGTTAACGAGTCGTATTCTACACAAGGAAGTCTTTAGGCTTGAATACGCGTAAGGGATAAACCTTTATATATACTATAATTGCAAATGCTCTAAGCTTCTCATATATTAAACACTGTGATCGTTCATTTAGGCAAAGGCTTGGATAGCACAGCACCCATCGCACTTTTATAGTAGTTTTCTTAAGGCTGCGTCAAACAGGCCCCACATACTGTGAGCAGTGGGTGGTACACTTCAATAGGGATTGTGAGGAAGAGGGATATCGGAGAGGATCACTAAGAATATGTTACATATTGAAGTGTATAAATTTTCTAAATATTGCAGTCTGTAGACTATTTTTCTGTATCCTAGCCAGACTTTTTCGTACTTTTCAAAATTCAACAAATGTTTCGCTACGCTGCCCACAAAAGGGTTAGGTGGCCCAGCTTCGCTTTCAAAAGCAATAATGCTGTTAAATTCGTTTCCTGGAATGCTATCCATTTTATCCTTTCCATCGTCTTCGTCTGCCATGGGTGCTCCTGAGCCTTTGATCCCTTTAGCTTCATTTTTGCTTGCAGCCTGTCCCTTGAGACCACTTGCGGGTCGTTGCCATGATGAGTTCCTTGGTATCAAGCCCCTTGACTTGAATACGAAGTTGAGGCAGGTCTTTACATACCTATGAAAAATGTTCAATTTAAGGCCGAAAACGCTCGTCAAGCCATCTTAATGTTTTTAATTCGAAGATCAGAGAGCTTTGGCGTACAATCCAGGTCAGATGGGGCAAGTATATCCTCTAGTGCAAAGGCCGGGTGTGATCCAATGCATCCGCTGCAGCCACAGATCCCTATGTCCAGTCTAAACAGGGCACGTGGGTTTCTTTGGATAAGTTGGAGGGCCTGACGTTGACAGCTACGATTGAGCTTGAGTTGGATAGCAAGTTGCTCGATGTTTCGGATGCTAGGATCCCTAAAAGGTTCAAGGTCTGACCGTTTCCAGAAGCCCCGGCGAATCGTGTTGTCTATTCTTGGCGATGATATGTGGCAGTAGATCTGTAATTAGACGCTGACTTGTGAGGTTGACTGTACTCCATATCCTAGGAGTAAACTTGGTGCTCTGTGCTTTTGAAACTTGACTACAATTGATCATATCCCCCGGAACAAGGGCTTGATGGATTGGAGTTCTGATCTCAGACCATTGGCCCGCAGGGGCTGTGGTGGTAGAGGTAGAGGTAGTGATGGATGTGACCTGCATTGACTGGTAGTATAGAAAGCACCTGAACTTGTGAGTGCAATTTCAAGTCGGTTCTGTTAATTCGTGGGGGCGAAGAGAGAAGGGAAATGAAAGAGTAAGGCGAACCAAGGAAGAAGCAAAGAAAAGAAAAAAAAGAAGTATGCATAGGTTAGGAGTTGCGAGAAATAGATTAATCCTTTAATGGGGACTTTAAATAGTAGTGAATGTGAGCCTGCCCACACGAAACAGAAAGGGAAGAAAGAACAGTCTTTACCTAGTGAACCATACCTTCCCCCCCTCCCATTCCATTACTACCATGCGGCTTTGCCATAGGCGTATAGACTCATATGCATACACACGTACTGATAGGCTGTCACTCCCCTGCATTGTTTCGCCACAAAGCATTTAATTGGGAGCCATGGTTGTGGCCACCAAATTAATTTTTATCTTCGTGACTGGTATAGGTGACGCATTAAGTGGTTTATTTTTTTGACTTTTGTAACTCACATGTAAAAGTGGCATGGGTGAAAAACTAAACTGTTGAAGAGAATCAATCATTTCTTTGCTGTGCGATTGGGGCAACACATCATAATCATGAGCTATAACAACCGCTTCCTACTACTCGGCCCCGAAATCCTCCTCCAGATTGGCCTCCAACTTTCACAAAGGGATCTTGCGCGATGTCTACGTGTCGACAAAATATCACACGCCATCCTCTCGCCGATACTCTATCGCAGGATAGTCGTTACACGTACAGCGCTACCACGTCTTGCAACGTATCCGTCTGATCCTGTAGTTCTCGAGCGATACAAGGATTATATCCAGGAAATTGAATTCAACTCTGTATTCCCTTATGAAATTCTCGTCCTCAGAGGATGCCGAAGGCTACGCACTATTGAGGCCAATTTTAGCTTCCTGGATGGGAATTGGGCTGTCCATGGATTGATAGCCTTCTTAACGGCTCATGCACCAACTATTCAATGCGTAACGCTCATTGCTCCTTCAGGGAATGATTTGTTAAAAGGCTCTTCGCTCTGGAACGCGCTATCAAGCTGTGCTCATTTGACGATTCTGGAGTTACAGCGATTTTCAATACCATCATTTAGGGACGAGCCTCGATCCGAACATATGAAGGCCCTTGCTAGACCTTATTCACTGAAATTGACAGATATGGTTCTTCAAAATCCAAAAGAACAACTCATTCCGGACCAGATGCCGTTCACGGGGGCACGTGAACTTGATTTAACAGTCAATGTTGGGCAGAAAAACATCAAAACAAAAGAGCAGTTAGATGCAGTAACTCGCGATTCTTGCATAGCCCTTTGCCCTGTCGACCAGGCGGCTTTAATTCGAAATTGTCCTAATCTTGAGGCGCTTCGCTGGAGTTACGATCTTGCTATGACTATAGACAAAAGTTATGCTGTAAGTCAATTTTTCCATGCCCTTTGTTTACAGCCTTTCCCTTTGGATCGACTAGAATCTCTGGACTTTTCTCATATCCGAATGCGTGATACACACATGGCGCGGCTTTTAAGGCGGATGACGCGATTGAGGAGTCTAAAATTGAGTGGCACTGGGGTTGCGAGACAAACACTTTTGGAGCTTATGAGGAGCCGTAACGTCCATTCACGGAGAGAGTGCGATGATGATAGCAACTACTTCAACTACCATAATACCTATATCCAGCTACAGCAACAATCATACGTAGAATTTGGTGACGCATTCGAACGCGAAGCATCAATCGACTATAGCAATGAACCTTTCTATTCCGATATTAGTCGTGAGCCTTTTTCCGATACCACAAATGAATTTAGTGCTGAGATCAATCGAGGCGCTGAACATACTTCCGAACGAAGACCTGAACCTGAACCTGGACCTGAGCCTGGACCTGAGCTCGTACTCAAACCCAAACTCGAGCCTGAGCCTGCGCCTCAATCCGAGCTTGGCATTAGTTCTGAGTTTGGCATCAATTCTGATCTTGGCTTCAGTTATGAGCTTGGCATCAATTCTGAGTTTGGCGCCAGTTCCGAACTGGGAAATGAACAGATGAGTTTGGAAACCAGCCACGAACCTACTCTGGGAACCAAATGTGAGCCTACCTCAAAAAGCAATTCATCTAATCAGCAAGACGAGCCCAGTGTACAAAATCAACACCATGATCCTAACCCACAAAAGCAGCAACATGACCCCAGTCTCCAAGGACAACGTAATCTCAACTCGCGTGATAAACATGGGTCTAGCCTGCAAGACCAATATGAATTCAACCCTCAGGTTAAACATGAACTCAGCCCTGAAACCAAACATGAGGTTACTCCAAAGGTTAAAGATGGGCAAGGTCCAGAAACCGAGCATGCAAATTCAGAAGGCAGATGCGAGCTTACTTCAAAACTCAACATCCAAAATCAGGGTCAGAATCAGAATCAGGATCAGAATCAGGACCAAGACCAGAATCAGGACCAAGACCAGAATCAGGACCAAGACCAGAATCAGGACCAAGATCAGATTCAGGACCAAGATCAGAATCAAGATCAGAATCAAGATCAGAACCAAGATCAGAATCAGGACCAAGACCATAATCAGGTCCATGATCAGAGCCAAGACCAGAGTCAGGCCCAGGCTCAGGACCAGGATCAACCATTCCAACAGCATATTCAGCAGTGGACTCAACACTGGCTGCCAGAGTCATTAGTAGTACCAATCATAGCACCGCCTCCTAGACGGTTTAGTGATTCCCTCGAAATCTTGATGCTTGATGGGTGTTCGAATGTGACGAGTGGAGCGATCCGAACGATTCTGACCAATTACCCAAGTCTGACAACGTTTTGGGCAGGCAAGATCAAGCTTGAAGATTATTTACAAAATCAAAGGAGGTGGGCTTGTGTAAGATTAAGAGATCTGCGATTGCACATTCAACCAAATCCATTTGAAGAAAACCACCACGACAGTGGGATCGCAGAAGGCAGCAGTAATAATAGCGATAGCCAGCATGATGATATCAGCCAAAGTGGTAGCGGCAATGGCGCTAGTGTTGGTCCAGAGACGCGTATTGAAGAACAACTTTCTGTCATTCGGTCCCAGTTATGGATGGTTCCTGAACTCAAGATTTTTGAGGTTTGTGGAAGACGAGTGGCTCCTCAGTCTTCCATTTGAAAATAAAGTCCAGTATTAGAGAATAGCCTGTCGCTACAGTTACCAAGATACAAAGCGAGTGAGTTCAGTCTTGTTACCTCCAATTATGTATAATCAGATGCCAGTCTCTGCACTTAACGCTATTGTTCGCCAAAATAGACACATGCACGGGTAAGAAACCTGCGAAGATCCTGCATGGTAGAGATTGGTGAAAAGATACGGCATATTTGGTCTTTAAATCTTTTTTTGTAGGGCATTAGACTGTTGCCTCCTTTCGTACCATGTATTTGTTCTGCATCAGACAACAACCCTACTCATTAAGAGTATTTTTTTTTTCCTCCTGCAGGGACACTCACAACTTTTCCATCACTGTGTTGCACCAGTTCGATATTCCAGACGTCCAGACTAGGCACCCTGTTGCTTAAGAGACTGAAGTCACTGTTCATACCTCCAATTCTTCAATAGTAATGAGAAAAGGTGCTTTATTAGGAAGTGGACGAGGTGTTTTATGCTTACTTGAAAAAGTTGAGCAACTGTGTATTCGTCAAAACGGAATATCAACGGCTGATCTAACATGAATTGTATACTATAAACAATGGCTTTTTTTAATACTACGCAGTGTCACCCAACGAGAAAATCTCTTTTTCATTCGCGCTTTTTTTTTTTTTTTAATCATTTCGAAGATGAATATGCTAAAGGAAACAGAAAACCACAGCTGCGCATCTCAAATGATCAAGTCATTCCTTACTCATTTCTCCTCAGTTTCGGTTTCAAAAACAAGAGAAAAATATCAAAAAACTGCTCTCAATCAAGACATCCTTCGTATCGTATTTTCGTTCCTGAACCAATCTTGTCTTCGGTATTATGTATCCTTGGTCTGTAAAGAATGGGCTGAACTCGCGCGCCCCTTGATTATTAAGTCTCTCTGCTGGGAAGCTCTTATTCCTGACGACCCGACAGAACGAGCTACGCAATTTCAGAAAGCTGTAACAATTAACGAGCTTACATGGATGCGTGGATACCGGGCCCGGCGCAGCTCCGATCCTTATGTCCGTATAAGCATCTATCAACAATCATATGACTTTGACGAAGAAAAGACAAGATGGGGAGATTTAGTTGATGTTTTGCAATCGGTCGGTACTGACAGCAAAGATCGTTGGAAGCCAAGAATACAAAAACTCGAAATATCCGCTGCCTTCTTTGTTCCAGTTTGGCCTATTCCACTAGCGCTTGGAGCCTCATTGACAAATTTACATATTTGGGGGTGTTTCAGCCAAACTGTATTTCCTTGGAGGCTGTTCTTAAAGTCATGTCCAAAGCTTTTGCATCTTAATCTGCGTTCTACAGCTCTTTATGGTGACCCAATTCAATTGGAGGATCCCCAGAATGGCATTATCAGCAACTTGGATGATCCTAGATCTGATAATGGTTTTGTTATGGAAGTCTGGTCTCTGCAAACATGCATCCTTCAAAGGTTCACCTTGAGCAAATCGTCATTAAACCCCTTCTTGAGTGCCTGTCCTGAATTACGCATGCTTTACTTGATCGATGTTATACCATTTACAAGACCTCCGCCACAAGACCCCGTCGCAAAACCCGTTCATTTGTTTGCCAGGGAACTTTTCGAATATATTGGCCACGTATGCGCAGAGCTCTGTCCCAAGATTCGGTCTCTTTGCATTCCATTACCGCTTAATGAGTATGGTTCCCGAGAAATGGGAGGGATATGGGGACCTGTCTCAACCATATCTCCAAATGTCCAGCAGCAACAGCAACAGCCTACAATCCAACTGCAATCACCTCACTTTGCCAACATCGATAGCTGGGGGTTTGCGGTAAAGAACATGCACCTGAGGACATTTTCATTTCTGCAGGAATGTCAAATTCAAAATCGCTTGACTTCTTTAGAGATCTTTGGAAGCACCCCTAGGAATATTTCATTTAATCTAGCGGACGAATTTATGCCATATGGGCCGGAGGCCGCTGTTGGGAACCTGCTTCATGCATTCATGTGTCAAGCTCCTAATTTATTGCATGTCAAAGCTCGGGAAGTCAATGTTGAAATCGATTTCTTGCACCCGACACGCCCTTCGACCCTTTATTCAGGGTCTTATTCATTGGGCACCCTCAGTAGAACAGATGGCCAGAAGCGACCGATTTGGGCCTGTCGGAATTTGCGGACTCTCCATTGGAAATTTGATGAACGTCAAGCGGGTCATCGGCCTGGATTCGATCGAATGAGGCTCTCTAGGATGCTATTTGGATATATCAGTCGGGTCTGTCCCAAGCTCCAAGATCTCTCGATACAGAGCGACATTCTTGAACTTTATGCGGAGGGTGGGCTATGTCTGCTCTCACGGCTGAAGTGTCTTGAGCGATTAGAACTAATCATATCTAGAAGTGAGCAACTGCTCGAAATCCATGACCTAGACTGGATTCAACGAAACTATGTATACCAACATGATGACAACAACGATAACAACGGTACTACTTTAACATCGGGCCTGTATTCGACTCAAACTACCACTACATCAATATCAGATCACACTACAAAAAACAATATTAGTCAAACGGAAAAACATATCCTTGCGGCTATCGAGTCTGATAATCAGTTAAAAACTCGCCTACAGCCGCGCTCTCAGTCACAAACTCAAACACATCGATATGGACGTAAGCTACTGAGAAATGAGGGACACCAGACTTCTTCAATGATTGATGGAGTAGATCTCCAGCATTTGGGGGAGATTGGGGATATTACGAAGTACTTTGAGGAACGACGATTGCAAAGGAATAAGTGCCTCTGGCCTAATATGGAGTATTTTCGAACGTGTTTTATATTTCTTTCACGCGAGAATACGTCAGACCGCAAGTGGCCACAACTGATGAAAATACTTCGACCAGATATTAAATTTGAATACGATCTGGGTAACTACTAAAACGCAGAGGTGGTATATGTATATTCTTACCATATTGGCTTTTTTATAAATAGGGGATAAATCATTATTTATGAAAGATAAATATAAAAATGAAAAATGGACATTACTGATTACTGTCAAATCATTTTTAATATGGAAAAGAGATCTGAAGTTGCTCCACAGGAATGTAATGCTTTGCAAGGTCCTTCAGAAAAATTTTCTGAGTGCCTATATTTTAGGCCTATCACGATATGTCAAAGTAATCAACGCTCGTTTCGATAGAAGAAAGAAAAGGCTGTTTTCCTTAACGGAACTTACTTCTATAATGAAATAAGAGATAAAGAATTGGAAATACTGTGAAGTTATCAAGAGTACTTTAATGATAAATGAATATGTTACTTTCGAATTATTGAATCGATTAGAGAAGTTAAAAGGAACTAATGTTAATTTGACGGATATCCTTAGAAGCTTAAGCTACGCTCAACGTCTATGGGAAAATAGTGCCCTCTATATGACTCAACTCCAAACAACCCCATTACGTCCAAGATATACCGAAGAACCTGAAAGAGGTATTATTATTATTATTATTATTATTATTATTATTATTATTATCATTAAAATTGGATATTAAATTGGATTTAAAATAGAAACAAGACCAATTTCCCAAGTTACACCAAAAACTAGCAGGACCATTGCCCTCACCTCCTCACTCTCCACATCTTTTACGCCAGATCCACCATTATCATCCTCTCCATCATCATTCTCAGCAGTACCAACACCATCATCGTCATCGTCCTCAGCAGTGTTTTTGTCGTCGCCATCATCATCAACAACTTCTTCCACCAATAAAAGGCAAAAAACGAACTATATAACCGAGGAGCCATGGCACAGTCTTACGATCTCTTTAATTAATATTGTAAGATAAAATTATGCATATATTGGATATGAAAACATACGATATGTACAGGTTTCTAAGACAAATGCCGTACTTATTTGAATGGAGAAAAGAGCACAACTTTCCTAGTGCCCTCACCCATGATAATTCCTGTCCATGCTGTGCTATTGGATCATGCTGTGAAATCCCTCCAAGCCTATGAAGCCCAACCACTAAAAGAGAAAGGCATTGTCCTGATCAAAGACGCCCAGTAATGTTTTACAAGTTTGCTGTAACTAACGTGTTTCTACCAGAGGGTCAAGCTTGTCGCTCTTTTTGGTTAGTCATTTTCGATTATAAGAATTTTGTTAAGTAAACCATTTATATTTGAAATGTCTAACCAAAAAGCTTGGCCCTCTGGTTTCTACTCATATTAATACATTACCAATACTAATTACGAACCGTGTTTTCTATTTCTTAAATACCAGGGTGGCTATGTCGTGTGTTTTAAACACAATGCTGAAACGGGCATGTGAGCATTTCAGTCAATCAAAAAAAAAAAAAAAAAAAAAAAAAGAAGTTTTACTCGAGGATGCAAAATCATTGAGTATCATTGCAGATTTTGAGGATCACCCTTCTTTACAATTCCTCCAGAATTGCATTGATATATTAAGAGAAAAAGGCGTGATCTATTTAAAAAAAATAAAAAAATAAAAAAAAAAATAAAAAAAAAAATAAAAAAAAAGGTGATTGCAGATCGTGGTATTATCAATGGAAAATATCTTGATGAGGTGTTGCCTGAATGTGTCCGTTGAGGACAAAGTACTTAAGATTCTTAAGTGCCTGTAAGTTTCATTTTGCTGTTTCAAAATCCAATTTACTCAAACTCGAATGCTCTTACTAAATAATTTTTTCATTTTTTATTTTTTTTTCTATAATCTTCGATGTGGATTTATTATCCACCCGCCGTTCCTGACATGATCACCCTCGGAAAATGATTGTCTTCATGTCTGGAGATCAAAATTTGAGGTTCTAGCTGACAGGATTTCATTGCACATGTAATCCTTTATTTATTTATTTTTTCGTTGACTCAGCAATATCCTAAGTATCGTGTTTCGAAGTATAGAGGACAGAAAGTACTAAAGGCGTCAAAGATCATGAGAAAAATGCAATCTGATGAGTATGGCGATATCAGCGAGACTGGAAGGGAAGTCCAATGTCTCTTTGTTTTCGATGGAATTAATGTCGAATTCAAGTCACCTGAGATTTGTGGTACCATTCAGAATCGCAAGAATATTCGAATCCCACGTTGAGATTGGTGACAGCGCCAAGCTTATCTTAGTTCTCTTTTGTAATGGAAGTATAGGAAAGAGTCTGAAGCTTTTTTTTTTTTTATTTGTTTTCACTTTTTACACGGCACTTTATTCAGATATACGTTTCTATCATAATACTATAAACTAGTCTGAGCCAGACGCTTGGCCATCTTTTTTTTTTTTTTTTTTTTTTTTTTTTTGCTTGCTAGTGGTAGCTGGAACCAGCAGAAGGAAAAGAAAAGATGTTGTCCGGAGCGCACCACGAGGAGGTGGTCTGGCTTGTCGCGCTCCGTTTATTTTTTTTAACGAGGGAAAACAATGCAAAAAAAAACCCCTCGTACGAAAGAAAAGGGGAGGAAGAAAAAGAGAAAAGGGAGACTAAGCAAGGCTGGGAGCACACCTTGAGTGCCAAAACAGGACACCTCTGGGGCCAACCAGTGGGTGCCTGCAGCGAGAGGAGAGGGAGAAAGAGAAAGGGGAGACTAAGCAAGGCTGGGAGTATACCTTGAGTGCCAAAACAGGACACCTCTGGGGCCAACCAGCGGGTGCCTGCAGCGAAATAAAACTGTGTGGGAAATGAGAAGGGGAGAGTGTGAAGAGTTGAGAAGAGAAGAGAAGAAGAAAGAGAAAAATGGGAAAAAATGTCTTTTATACTGCCGTTGCCACCAAAATAGCAACAAAATCATTAAACGTATACAGAGCGAACGCCGCCAAATCGAGGTCAAATGGAGTACGAATGCTTTTATTTTGAAGATCATGGATTTTGTTCGATTATCGCATCTGAGAAGCTACCAAATGCCTCTGCTAGAGCATGAATGCAAACAAGAGAAGGCAGCTTGTAATGCACAAGACACGCCCATTGCAATCTGGATTTCTTATGCCGCACTATTGTTGTAAAATTAAGTTTGCAATCCATGTTCTGTGCGGCATGGTACGTGCACAGCACAACCTTACACACGACATCACCACACGCCTGTATAACTGACTCCTACTGCTTGTTTATCTTCCTCTTTAAAAAGATATTGCTTTTATGCGAGAACTAGTATAACCGAAGTTATTGAAATTTGAGCTTAAATGTACTGAATCAATCCCTTGGAATCAATCTGTTATATTTCATTATAGCACCCACAGATGCTACGAACTATGGTATCACTGAGTGTAGTCACTTCAAAAGAGTAGATCCGTTAATGCAATCCATTATAACTCTCGAGCATTACTTGGCTACTTTTCAATCCCTATTTTGTCGTTAAGAAGGGAGGGAATGTGTGCTTGACACATACTTATGACATAATGCTTTGTCTCCTGTCCGCAGTACCTGAAGCGTTAAAGAACTAAAATAAAATACTATCGGGGACCGCACACGCTTTTAAAACATTAATGGCTCATGTGGTAGCTGAAAGTATGCAAACTTGCGAGAAAAAAAAAAAAAAAAAAAAAAAAACCTGATTTAGCCGAATCCGTACCTCTAAACCAGATAGCCATTGACTCGTAAAACCATTTAACGGGCAAGGAACATTATAGATCGGAACGTTTATGTTAATCTGTTAGAAAGAAAAAAAAAAAAAAGAAAGAAAGTTTATTTAGCTCTCTGGAGCGCATTCGCTTGTTTTTTTAGATTCTTTTCTTTTCTGCTTATGGTATGCTGCTTGTCGCTCTTGAAACTCACGCTCATCCATCTTCCAGCCGATCCAAATCTTCCCAGTGATACGAGCTTGATGTAGGCTACGCAACGTGCTCGAGTCAACTTGTTGCATGATCATGTTATTGTTCACTTCATCATCACTAAAGCTGTAAAGGTCATCCTCATTACTTTCTTTGATTGCACTGTCATCGTCAGGATACTCCGATATCCCTTTTCCTTTATCATACTCTTTCCTAGTGTCATCGCTATCACAGCCTTCTTCCATGATAGCGGTTAGTATCTCTGACCCTTGTTCATGATAGCCTTCCAGACGGCTTCCGCTAAAATCCCAACAATACACGCCTTCTCTGCCCTCACCAGACCGTTCACAGAGCGTAGCCACGAGTGTCGAATGATCGGCTGTGACTGCAATGTCTAACAGTGTTAGTGGTACTGATATGGAAGTTGACGGAGACACAGATGATTGCGACGGCCGCGTTCTAGCCCTGAGGGATTCACAAACCTGTTGACCCGCTATCGCCGAGTCATCTGCAGGGCTGCTTGAACTAGAGGCAGCATGGTCACCACTGTCATTTAAATGAGTTGACTCCTCAAGGTTACGAGAATCCCAGGTATCTGTGGGTGTAAAGCGGTTGTGCTGACCAACTGACATATCTGACGCGTGTGTTGTAGTTTGGATATGTCTTCCATAACTCGAAACTTTCGATTTCCTGTTGCACCTTTTAACAGTGTCCTCCAGTTGTAGGTTCTCTAGGATCGATGCAATGTTTCCAGCCCGGTACAGGTTCTGTGTCGGTAAACGTGGGATCAGTGAATAGAGTCTTTCGCCCGTCCTTAGATCCCAGACGTTGATGCAACAACTCATATGCTCATCTTCTTCTATTGAGGAAACATCTCGGTGTGAACGCTGGTCTAAATCATTCCAGGCGTCTCGCAGATGGGATCGTTGAGCTGTTGTTTGTTGCTGCTGTTGATACTGGCCACGACCTCGCGCTCTTTCTCCTTGGCTCCATGCTCCACGGCCGCCTGTCAGCAAAAAAAAATCTGTCATACACATTTTCGAAGGTTGATATAGTCCTGGGATCTCATAAACCAGGCTTCCTGTTGCCAAAGAAAATACAAGCACTGATCCAGAAAATTCTGTGGAACATGCCACCAGAGAATCGCCGACACATATATGTTCAATACCAGAAACCCAATAATCCAACCCAGGGGGAGCTGTTGAGGCAATATAGGAGGCAGAATGTATAGTACCATATGAAGAAGACGATGAACCCGGCCCTGGGTGTATATCCCAAACGCAGAGCGTAGAGTCCTATATGTAGTACCATAATTTAAAACAAAATATGGTTATAAATATAGAGTGTGTATAAATTTGGAAAGCAAAAATTAATAATAATGATATAAAGAAATATATAAAGGATTGATAACGTACTGCATTGCCGCAGACCACCACTTTAGAATTCATTCCAACACAAAGCACTCGGCGCCGTCCTCCAGTTTGCCAATGTCGAATGCATTGTTGCTCAGGATCTTGAATTGCCATATCCCAGAGCCTTACGCTACCATCCATATGTCCTGTGACAAGAAGGGAATGAAGGGGCGACGAATAATGGCAAAGGATATCATTTGCGGGCTCAGCACTTGACGAGTTTGTAACAGGCGGTAAATCCGATGATCCTGTCGGCGCAACAGCTTCATGATATATTACATGCTGCTGTTGACTGAGTGGTGCCTGCACCTCTAGTGGGTTTGTTGTTAATGATGTATCTAATATCCCATCAGAATTTCTGTCATGACGAAGCGCAAAGACGACGCGATCATGTTCGAGAGGGTCTTGAGCCATAATATTGGGTCGTTGCCATCCAGCACTATGAACATGCCCTCCTATTGTATGGGGTCCATTGGTATCTGTTGCAGGAAATATAGGGTTTTGTTGATGGGCAGTTGTGCGCTTCTCACGGTAATGAGGGTTGGACCTAATCAGCGCTATTTCAGAGCCACATACAGTAACCGCTGTACAAATCCTGTTTGGTATCAAACTCCGCTTCGGATACCTTGCTAAACTTAGTGCTGTCAGTGCTGATCCTTCATGTTGCAAGCCTACTACAGCTGATGGCTTTCTTTTCTTTAAAATTCTATAAATGCCTCGTTGCGCTGGGGTTGACAATCTACGATAGTACTGGAGCTTTATTGCGTTGTATGTAGAGGTTGATTCAGAGGATGATCCAGCGGGCACTGAGCTAATAGATGAGTGAGAGATATTTCCTGAAAGTGCCTGTGTTGCTGAAGAAAGTGTGGTAATTGAAGGCAGCACGAGTGGACAATAGCCCTTGGCACGCCCTTGATACCAGTTGCTAGTCAATTGGTAGAGCGCCTTCCAGTTCTCCTCGTAATGATCCAGTCGTTGTTCTTCAACATTATCTTCATTATTTTTAGAGTTATCTTGGTCCGGATTCATGATATTTTCCTGTCCTTGATCGTTAGTCTCTATTGATTCGTTTGCTCGCTGTTTGCCTTTCTGATCCGATGTGGATACAGTCTGATTGTCAAGAACAGAAAAAACATTCTCATTTAATCTGGATCCAGAAGTGACGGGTGAATATTGCTGAGTTGTTTTTTCTGATGAGACTTTTTGATAGCTCCTGCCGGAAGCCGTAACATTCAGTAATTGACTATCTCCGCCTTTACAAACGACTGCTTGCTTTTTGTTGCCAGCTACAGTCGCAGACCGAGGAAAGCACAGGCGAAGCTCGCGATCTTTTAAGAAGCCGAGTTTCCATAGACCACGCGCAGCCGTAAAGGAGTAGTCTCGTAATGCTAAGTGTCGCCAGAGATATTGCTGATATCGTTTTGCTAGCAAATACCACCGTCGACAGGTTAGCGTGGCGGAGAGAAAAGTACGGTGATCGAGATGGATAAGAATTAGCAAGATGATTTCAGTTGGCAAATGAGCCGAGAATTCTTTGAGGCTTTGGTCGTATGTCATAGATGTTACATCCTTTGTGTCCATGAAAGTAGATGAAGACATGACATATTATGCTTTGTTAAGATGTGATGTCAGCAATGCAAGAATGACGATGAAGAGTATGAAAGTAAGAAAAATGTCTTGGGCAAAAACTAAAAATAAAGGGTGGGCACATGCCACGTGTTTTCTAGCTGACCTGACGCGTCTTTCAAGCTCTTCATGTTCTAAACACAAAGATAGAGAGTTTTAGTTTTAAATGGCTCAAAAACACATTCCGATGAGTCCTTTGCATAGCATCAACAATGCATTTGCGTCTCTTATATTGATACTATATCAAATGTTACTGATGATGCGTAGGACGCATAGATGAGAAATCGTAGACTGGTTCACTTGCTACGGTTCAACTCTTTGTCAGGTCTGAAAGATTGACTATTTACACCAGCAGAAAAAAGCGTTAGGATATTTAAAATGGAGCGACCCAAGCGCAAAGAAAGGAGGACAAACTTTAAAATGTGGAGAGAGGTCATGCTGCACACCCCCAAACAACTGGCGCTTGACACTCGATGCTTGACGGACATGCTGCTTCTATTCTAAAGCATCGTCAGCTTTGTGGAGCTCTGGTAAAGGATTTCATACTTTTAGATAAGACCGTGAATGGTTTTCGGATGAAATCTGTACAATTCTAATGGAAACAAGAGGGCGAGTTCTATCAGACTAAGCTTTCTTTTGTACCCATTTGTTCTGTTTGTTTGTTTATTGCTCTTGCTTACCATAGAGATGAGTGGACACGACACCTCTCTCCCTTCTATTCAAAACAAAATTTGTCTCCAACCTCCAAGTCAAGTGGTCATTAATACTCTGTTTCTTTCTCTCTTTTTTTTTTTTTTTTTTTTCCTTCTTTCTTTCTTTCTTTCTTTTCTGTTGTGAAGTCACTAAGCCTCTCGCTATTACACAAGGAAGATGGCCGTCGACACTTCAAAGTCGCCTCCGCTATCGAAATTGCAAGGACTTCGCAATCGACTTTTCTATAACGACCCCGCAAATGAAATCGACCTTCAACCACATATTCAGGAGAAGCTCGTCAAGAAATCAGAGCTCTGGGGATTCTTCTTGTTCGGTTTTGGTTATTACTCTTGGGCGAATGTCTGTGCCTCACTTCTACTCCCAATTCTAATCCAAGGGGTTGCACGGGCTGCTTCTAGACTCGAATCGGATCCATCAATTCTCTGTCCAGATTCAGATTCAGATATCCCGGTGGGTGACCGATGCCTAGTACCGTTCGGTTGGATTAGAGTGACACCCACGTCATATGTCTTGATGTTGAATGTAGTGATGGTAATATGCACCATATTCGTCACCTTGGGTGTCTCGGCCTTGGCTGATCATGGTTCAATCTCCAAAAAAATATTGGTTTCCTTTTGCACCACATTATCAGCCATGGCATGTTTATTCTTTATTAGTCCAATGAAACCTGAAATTTGGTGGTTCTGCGGTTTGACCTTTGTGATTGGTAAGCCTAATGCACTAGGCGGCATCTAATGCTGCCTTCACCCACAACTATATTCCCTCGACTAATTCACTTTTTTATTTTTTATTTTTTATTGCGAAATGTTGGAAAGCCGGAATCTTGAACAATGTCACCCTTAATTTTTATGATGCATTGATCCCAAATCTGACCAAATACCATCCCGATGTTGTGCGAGCCAGACTTCGGTCGGGCGAAGACTCTGAGGAATATATTGATGCGAAAGTCAAAGTCCAGACTTTTCTTTCAGGCGGCGCTTCTGGCGCTGGCTATTTAGGCGGGTTGCTCCTTACCATCATTATAGCAATTATCCTTCTGTTTACAAACTCTTCCCTTTTAACTGTGGGTTATTGTCTGGTTTTGGCTGGTGTTTACATTTTTTTCTTTGTGTGCCTCTATACCAAGTTTTCTGTTCAACGCAAGTTCCCTCCTCTACCTCCCGGTTCGAATGTGCTCACATTTGGCTATAAACGCGTTGTCAAGACAGTCCGAAAGGCTCGGAAACTCAAGACACTCTTTTCCTTTTTATGTATTTGGTTGATCCTTGGCGATGGCCTTTTTGCTACTTCCAATATGGTTGTCCTTATTGCTCAGGGCCAGTTGCAACTTGATAGCTCGTCTTTAATTATTGCGGCGCTAATACAGTTCATTTCCGCAGGACTTGGTATCGTCTTCTGGATTTGGATACAAAACTCACGTGGACTGTCTCCACTCAAAACTGTCATCATCAACTCCTGTCTCTTTGGCCTCATCCCAGTATATTGTCTCTTGGGGTTAATTGAGGGTTGCCCCATCGGCTTGAAGCAAGGGTGGGAGCTGTATATGCTTGCTGTATTCTTTGGTGTTTTCCAAGGAGCCATTTACTCCTCAAACCGTGTGGTTTATGCGCAGTTTATTCCATTGGGACATGAAAACGAACTTTTTGCACTCTATGAGATGTCCTCAGTTAGCTCCTCCTGGATTGCACCTTTGGTTTGTACCGCCATCATCGAACGATCAAGCGTTCGCCATACATGGTGGTTCCTAGGATCTCAATTCTTTATACCTGCCTTCATGCTGCTCTTCATTAATGGTAAATTGAAACAGATGGAACAATGACTCGCTCTCGACAGACTTGATATCTATTTTTCATTTCTTAATCGTCTCTTTTTTATATAAATGATAGTGGAAAAGGGTCGATCAGAAGCTACAGCATTTTATAATGCAGAAAAACAGAAAATGACACATCAGTTTGAAAATTATTCTCAAGAGCCAGAACAAGAGGACAATATCTCTAAGAATGTCTAGTCCATTACTTGCTACCTTGTTGGTTTACTTTTTTTTTATAAATTAATAAAGCTTAATAGATATACAGGCACTCCAACAGTGAAAAAAAATGTATGTAAGCAAACAGGAGGAGAATACTGATCAAAAAGTTGATGTGCTTCTTTGTTGTCTGAACATGCCGTCTTGAACGGGGGCGAGAAATATTTTTTTACAAATCTTTGTTTCCTTTTTGTTCGTCAATCACCGTTAGTTGTGTGGTATTCACGAACATGCATCAACAGCTGAAGCGTCTCTTTGATTCCTGTACATGTAGAAACACAATTTGCATCGCGGCGTTTTTTTTTTTTTTTTTTTTTTTTTTTTTTTTGTTTTCTAGACAATTCGAATCAAACAAGAACCAAAAGACAAGCATCTAACGGAGCCTCCAAAAGAAATGTAAACTTCATTTTGCAGACAGCTTCGCCATAGTTATAACAAATCCCTAGGAAAGAAACTCAAACGCGTCGGTATTTATCTCGCTTCTGGTATTGTAAGTTCGCATATCATGTTGAAATCTGTATTTCTTCATGCATATATTTTGGTAATTGATATCGATATCAAATTCACACACACACCAAACGGCCGCCAAAACCAGCACTCTCTCTCGCTCCTGCTCTCCATCCATACACAAAGTGCTGTGCAAGATCATCAACAAGTCACTGAGCAGCAAGAAGAGAGTGATTAAGTAGCTTTTACTTCAAGCAATAAGCACAAACAATAACACCTCTCCTATTTCCTTCATTAATGCCGGAACTGAGAGCCAACGAATGTCTCTGCTTTAATGCAAAAGTACTGGAGTTGTTGAAGCAAAGAACGACGTCTGAACCTATTCTCTGATAAAAAAGAAGAAAGAGGAAAAGACACTTTCTTACTTTTGTTGTTGCTTTTGACAAGGATTTAATCACCTGTTTCACAACCAGTTCCTACACACCAAGTCAAATCTGTCCATGTATTCACTACAGGAATGCAGTGGTATAAATTTGTGTAGAGTATTTCCATGCATACTCTGCAGTCAAATGCTCCCTATTCAAACTCCCTATATATAGTTCGATGTCGAGAAAACTAACGAAGATATGAGTTGCGCTGAGTTTTCCTTGTAGGAGGACAAAAAAGTGAAAAAATACTCACTTTTCTGGGTATGTGTACCTGTCTGAACAGACCCTAATTGACATTCTCTAGGCGAACGAAGATATCAAGCAGCTACTAGAGTGCATTCTACCTCTTGACAGCCCTTCCGAGACCGCAATATTGGAATGTCTACAGGGAACAAAAGGAGGACATCGCATGGTACATGCTCCCTGCAGTCACAAAACAAAGATATAACTTGGTTCAAACTCAAAGGAACGATTTCTACCACCAGCTTTGCTCTGAATCTACTCGGTTATAACACAACCCAGACGAAGAGACAGCGGCAGTCTGACGTAGATTAAGAAGACCCCAGCCAAGGATTGGAGCTTTCTCAAGGATTCCCCGACACGACGTGTTCAAAGGCAAGGCGCACATGACGTTAGACACAAGCATTGGGTGCCGGCACACCCACAAAAAATCTGTAAGTTCTGTTTATTTTCGTCTCCTGTAGCCTTCTACCTAATCTTTTGCCCATGGATTTCTGGACTAACTCTAAAACCTTACAGATCGACAGATGGACTCCATATAGACGACTGTTCGTTGTGGGAGCGTTGAAAGTATGCGGAAAACGGGAATCATTTATGTTTTTACAAGCAACAGACGTAGCTTCAAAAAGCTCGCCTTCAAGGAACAAATCCTATATCCTTCGTTGCTCAAAAGAGGCAATGCTGCCTTTCCTGTGCCCCAAAGCACGCCACAATCCTATTGAAGCGTTCAGCAACATTATTCGCCTCATGGTTTGAGGATTAACAGACTTTCAGTCAAGTTTTATTGTTTTGAATAATACAGTTAATCCAGTCCATTTTAAGTAGTCCCTCTGGATGGCAGCTATTCAGGGGATGCTATCCAATTCCGCTAAATATGGTTAAATTAAGGTAGATTTGGAAAACCAATAAGCATCGAACAGTTGTCGTAGATTATGATGGAGTCGCTTGATGGTTGATAACCATATCATGGACACTGTAGAAGATGCCTCCATCCTCATCCTGCTTCAATGGCGGTCATTGCACTTACAGACTGAAGCTTCGACCAAATGAGCATTTTTCAAATTGATGGATGTATCCTTAGGTATTTTAAGTTCCATTAAACTTTGTAGTTTCCCAACAAACTCTAGGTTTCTTCACGCGTCCTTTCTTGTTGCCTAGGCATTTATTTATCCTAAGGCCCCCTAAACTTCGTTTGATTGCCTTGTATGCCAGTGGGCTCATTTGGTATATGGCAGACCCTTTCAAATGGCTGCTAGATTCATTGATATTATCTATTTGAAAACCACACGGATACAGCATGCCGGTCACTTCCGCTGAATGAGAAGAAAAAAAGATCTCGCATACTTTCAAAAGCTGGAAATAGCCTTTTTTCATCATCTTCATAACATAAATGCTAGTCCTTTATATTCGCCTCTTTTTTTCATCTTTCCTGCTTTGCTCTGTGTCATGCTAAAAGAGTGAGCTTTGCCATATGCATGTTCATATATATATATATATATATATCTATATCATGATCTCTGTAGGCATTTGCGCCTATGCGGACGTAAGCGACTGTTTTATTATTCGGAGAAACTTGAGCCTGCAGGGGCACAGTCAAGGAGACGGAACTTAAACAACACCTCCGCCCTGCGGTTGAGGAATTTCCCGTTGCCCAACAGAAAAAGTAGCAGGTTATAAAGTCGATTTTAACGCTTTAATGACAGATGAGTGAAGATACTGCAGTACCACAATGGAGACAAGCATAAAAAATAAAAAAAAAAAATAAAAAAAAAAATAAAAATAAAAATAAAAAAAAAAATAAAAAAAAAAAATAAAAAAAAAAATAAAAAAAAAAAATAAAAAAAAAAAAGAAAGAATGAAAGAAAAGAAAAGTGAAATTCTTTTTTTTGTCATCATGGCTCAACGCATGTGGATTATACAGCCACAACTGATCAGGTAATAAAATGATGAACATGGAATCTTGGATCATCTTAATTATTTTCCTCTTTCCGTCTTTTCCAGGCACATCGCACTCCATTCCAACCTTTCTGAAGTCAGCGGGACGGCGCAGTCCAATTGCAGTCACAGCACTCACACTTCACTTCGTTTCACATGTGGATTCTCTCTTTATTTTTATTCTCATTTCTCAACGATGGTTTATTCGTGCAGGGTCAAGTCGCTCCAAAGGATGCGGCAGAAATGGCCTTTGCACGTCTCGGCTCAAGACTCTATATCCAAGGTGGTGAATATATGCTCACTCAATCGCAAAAGGAACCTACGTCCCAGTTCTTCTCTTTAGACCTCTCCACATCCTGGCCTGTCAGCAATGTACCATGGCAGGCTCATACTGATGGGCCAGGCTTCCGTCTTGCGACTGCAACAGGATCACCCAACAATCAGACGTTTTACGAGTATCTTGTGAATGGCAATAATTTATATGTCTATCAGATCAATGTTGAAAGCCCCAATGTTGGCTGGAATGTCACGTCGACAGCTCCTCCTGAAACTCTCCAGCAAGGAATTCGTCCTGTTCTCGATCCAAGAACTGGGCTTGTTTACATTGCTGGGACGCAATATCTATGTGTGCTCAATCAAGCCACGCTTACGTGGCAACACACTACGATCCCTCCATTTATGCTGATACAACGGTATTATGGTGGAGGTGTTTATAATAATGCTAGAAAGTCTATTATGTATCATGGAGGATACAATAATTTTTGGGACTCAAGCACTTATATCACAGAGTACTCTATTGATATTGGTCGTTGGTCAAATTATGTAGGTGTCTAATGTATGATCACTTTTCCATGTCTCCACACCTTTCACTGAGTTCTACCCACATTCATAAATCCATTGCTGAATAACAGTTTCCTCAAAACATTATTCTAGACTACACATGGTGATATTCCGAGCCCAAGGTCTGATCATTGTATGGCTATCGGTAAGCTGCGTCCTTTATTTCATAGGTCGAAAAGGAGTCACCTTCATATTACGTCTACTGGCGGCTTCCCTACGTGCCTTCTACTCATTTCCAGCTTGTTTATCAATAGATGAGAGTGGTACCAAGATTGTTGTTTTTGGAGGCCGTGTTCCATTAAACCCCACCTCAAGCCTGCCTAGTGATAGCACTTTTTCTGGGGATTTGTACGTATTGGACATTGCCTCAAGAGCCTGGAGAAAAGGAGCCAGCTCGCCTGTCAGACGCGGTTATGCAGCATGCATTGTTGTTGGGGACCAATTTGTGGCATGGGGCGGGCATGACGAAAGTATAATTGCATCGGGACCACCCATTGTGTTCGACTTGACTTGGTTTAGATGGGTTGACAACTACAAAGCTCCAAGCTACTATCAATCCTCTAAACCATCTTCCAGTTCATCTAAAACACAGATGCCCTCCATTACTCAATCGTCTCCTATTCCAGCACACAAACCTTCGGCCACCGACGTGGGAGCCATTACGGGAGGGGTTGTGGGGGTGCTAACTGTGATTGGTATTACAGCAGGTGCGCTAGTGTATAAGCGGCGGCAGAGGAAGAGAGAAGGATATGAGCTTAACCAAATGATAATCGAGCAGGATGATTTTAATTCAGGTGATAGTGCCAGTGGGTCGCTCCTAACAAACCAATTGACAGCCCACAAGCCAAATGCAAACCTGAGGGATCAACTTGAGCATCATATCAAGGCTGAGGTTATCTGCCATCAAAATCAGAACCAACCCGGTAACCCTCAAGTGATGCCCTCGACAAGGGCTCGCAACCCTCAAGCACCAATCCGTTTAGGAGGAGATCCTCAAGGATTGCCCTGATGCTGTACATTATACCCCATAAACTTCGACCTTCTTGAGAATGAAAGAGTTGCGGTAATAGCCACATAGGTACAATTAAACAATAGCATTAATGTTATGTACTGATACAGATAGCTCAATTAGTTTATAATATCCTCATCCCAAGAAGATCTATCGAACGTAATGGTATCTACAAAATGATTTTTATTGAATTTGAGCCCTCAGTTCGAGTCTACAGTTTGGAAGCTTTTTTTTTACACGCGGCATTGGTAGTCTTTGAAAAGAGGATATTAGCAACTATTGTTTCAGATTCATTTAACGGCTCCACTTGCGAATGATCCATCTACCTGCTTACTTTAGACCCATCATGCTCAGGAGTCGACAGCATACATTAGAGGGCGGCTAATTGATCCAAAGAACAGAGCAGTACATGGACAAGCCGCTTTTTGTCAAAGGATTGAAGACACTCGTTCGATACCCATCTAGAAGACGTTTGGATCGACATACATGTGACATAAAGATAAAGGCCTTGGACAGCGCTGAATGGGACAATGACATTGAGTTTGGACATTCAAGAATCTCTATTGAGAATAATATTGAATAGAAGGCTGAAGAGAACATGACACAGCAACAGATACTGTTGGGACGACGTGAACTAACTGAAAGAACTATTAAATACCTGAATGGAATCCTTATCAGGAATATAAATGATCGCAGTGGGCACCACCGCCCAATCATCTTTTATTATATTCACTGATATCGATGAGTATTCATTAACTAAATACTGACAGCTTTGTGGCTCGACAGGTGCATTCGCCTCAAATTAGAGTTTGTCGTCAGAGATCTAAAAGACCCTTTCGGCATGAATCAAAGTTAATGCGTGCTGTGAACATCAGGGCGTAGCAAGGGCGAATATTCATCAGATTACAGGGTCTGATTCACAGCCACAGCTGGAAGAAAATTGTCAATTAAAAAAGGAAAGAAAAGAAACGAGCCCTTAGAATTAATGCATACGAGATGCACCAGATTATCGAGGTTACCTTGTTCTGTAATACTAGAATGAGTGAATACTATGCGATAGAATGAACATTAGACACATTTCCAGGCACTTTCCTTGGTTGTCACTAAAAGTACAAATGCACATACTGTTTTCAATATCACAATTCAATTACCGTGACACATGCACACATGGCTCTGATATCAGTTGAGTACTTGTGGTCTAAGCAACTGTAGTCAAAAATGCCCAATGAGCAAAGAGCACATCGCCGTTCTCATGTCATGGCATGATCATCTTGATTACTTATTTTTTTCCTACTGTCCATTCCTCGGATTGAAAGGCTTCGCCATCAGTCTCTTTCAGAGCGGCGTCCACACAATCCTGCTGCCAGTCTTTTTTTTTCTTTTTTTTTTCTGTTTATCATGGCTTATGACAATTCATTCCCTTTCACTGTTAACCCGACACTTTTGATACCTCTACTATGCTCCTTATTTGTATCCTTCAATAATACCCCGCTCTTATTCGCACAAGGCCAGGTCATCCCTGTTGCGAATACACAAATGCCCTTTGTCCGAGTTGGCTCGAGGTTGTTTGTACCGGGTGGCCCGCAGAATTCCAATAGTGGCTCATATTTCGCTTTGGAACTCTCAAAGTCTTGGTCTGTTGACACAGCAGTTTGGACGGCCCATGATTTCGGACGTTTTGTTAACGAAAAGACGTATTATGGTGTGGGTGATAACCAAATGCTTTATATGTTCCCTATTGATGGCGTCGAGGATTACCGAATCGACCTCACAGACCCAAATGCGAAATGGAGTGTTATGAAGACAACTGAGCCCTTGGAGTGCGCCATTTATATTCCAGTCATCGACCCAAGGACTGGATTGATCTATAGTGCTTCAAGTAATCTCTATGGTGAGAGCATATGCGTCTTTGATCGATCTACACAAACATGGAAACTCAGCCAGGTCAGCAATGGCACATTAGCCGAGCGGAATTATGACGGTGCAGTTTACAACAGTGCTAGGAATTCTATCATGTTTGGCTACAGATCAAAAACACAGGGCGTTGTAATAGCAGCGCACATTACAGAGTATCTTATCGATAGGAATTCCTGGTCCTATTATGTGAGTGTTTTTCTTTTTTCCTAAAAAATCGAGTCGACAAAGTATATGACTAAAACATAAAATCTATTCATATTCTAGTTTGTAAAAGGACAAACTCCTACCGAAAGAAGAGCAAACTGCATGGCCATCAGTAAGCTACTCAGCTTCTATTTTGATTTTGATTTTTAATATAACGTATAAATATCAATAGCGTTGGCTAATGGATATCCTATTTCTCATCATTAGATGATGACGCATCCAAGATTGTTGTCTTTGGAGGCCACACCCTTAACGCTGACATTTCCAGTGCCACTTATTCTTCAGAAATATTTGTATTGGATGTCAATTCAAAAGAATGGAAAAAAGGACCTAATGCAAATGAGCCACGAGGATATGCTGCTTGTACTCTTGTTGGGGATCAATTTGTGGTCTGGGGTGGAGAGAGAAATAGAGCCGAAGCTCCCTTCGGATCAGTCTTAGTATTTGATTTAACCCAATTCGCATGGGTCACAACTTACAAGGCTCCAAGCTATCTACAATCGCTTGAACCTACCATCATATCGTCCACAGGGTCTCAGGGACCTTCATATACAACACTACCTGGTCCGACAAGTGAGCCTTCGACTATGAGCATTGAAGTGGTCATTGGGAGTGTAGCAGGAGCCTCGGCACTAATAGCCCTCATCGGTGGCATGCTCTTTTACATACGACGGCGAAAGAGGAGTGAAGTGTGTGAAATAGTTGATGGGAAGATTGAAATCGAAGATTGTTACTCTACCAGTATACCCGAATTTGAAGGGTGTGACAAGATTGAATACGCCTTTAGTGGTAATCGTCAACCTTTTACTTCCCAGACTGCAAAAGTTACACATAGCTCTCGTGAGCAAAACTACCGGAAGAAGGGATCCCAGCTGTAGCCATTTTTTTCTTTTATCCTTGCCAGTAGATCGTTCTCTGGAAGAATGATTTTAGGCTGGCTTGCTGAAGTACGAAAACTCCAATAGCATAGACATATCCATGTACATTACAAATAATTACATTTTACACAAAAACCATCATAAAAAGTAAAAACGGAAGCTGAGCTTCATCTATACATGTACATGTGAAATAAGACCAAGAGCCCGGGTTTTGCTTCTGCAACATGGCTCCAATAATAGTGCCATTCAAATATCAAAACAAAAAATGTGACATTTGCCTAAAAAGGCAAATGTCATGACTTTTCGACTATTGCGTTCGCAGATGGCAAATTTGTTTTGATATTTGAAGGACGCTAATCAAGGTTACAAGATTATATGCATTGCATGGTTACACATGTTGGTTAGGGAAGGTTCGCTCTATCATAGTAGTTGAGAGCTCATTCACACACATACATTCTGTCTTCTTGTCATCCTCTTTTTCAGGCACATGCAGTAGTTTCTTTCTCATTCCATCTCGCATTCTTTTTTTTTTTTTTTTTTTTTTTTTTTTCTTGAAGCTTTCTCTAAGATGGCTTATCGAATTTTCTTCAGGATGGCTTATCATACTTTCCCACTTCTATTTTTCTTTTGCTTCTTATTCTCACCCCTCTGGAATGTCTTAACAATTCAGGCACAAAACGCTCCCGCAGCCAATGGACATCCCGTATATGCTCGCATCGGCTCAAAGCTCTTTGTCCAGGGTGGTTCACACCTCGAAAAAAACAGCAAGTTTTACTCTTTAGACCTCTCAACGTCCTGGTCTGTTGATAAAGCTCCTTGGACACTCCAAAACTTTGGAGTCTTCCCAAGCGATCCAGGATACACCGGTGTGGCTGATAATCACACTCTTTACGTGTTTAATGGAGCAGGCTATATCAGCTATCATGTCAACTACAGTAACCCTAATGGAAAATGGAACATACTGAAAACAGTTGAACCCCTGGATTGCAATCTCTACTCTCCAGTTTTGGACCCAAGGACAGGGCTGATCTATAGTGCTTCTGCTACTGATGTCGGCAACTCCGTATGTGTGTATAATTCGACTACTCGAGTCTGGAAATATAGCTATGATATCCTCAACGGTACATTGGATGATGACAATTACGATGGTGCTGTTTATAATAGCGCTTCAAAGTCCATCCTGTTTGGATACAGACGTTACGAGGACGAAGCGTTGCTGTACCTCACAGAATACGTAATCGACTTGAATGCATGGATACAGGTTGTAAGTGAAAGGAAGTACATTCTTTTACTAAGAAAAAAAAGGATCTCTGAAGTATTAAGGTCTCTTCGTTACTGATTCGAAAATGTGATTTTAGCCTGTAACTGGACAATCTCCAACCAAAAGAGGATTTAACTGCATGGTCATCAGTATGTCAAGCCCTTTCGTACAAAGTTACTGGTCCATGGTTGATTCAACGAAGAGCTTTTGTGAGTTCTTTCTACTAACATTCAACCAATTCCTTGTTATTGTGATTCGCGCTATTATGTTACTGTACTACGATAGATGAGGATGCCACCAAGGTCGTTGTTTTTGGCGGCCGCACCCCCAAACCTGATGATCCTTTACATCTTTATGTTTATTCTCCAGAGATATTTGTGTTGGATCTCAAAACGAAAGTATGGAAAAAAGGACCCAATGCGCCTGAACCGCGCGCCTATCCTGCTTGTGCCTTGGTTGGAGATCAATTCATCGCTTGGGGAGGTGAACATACTACGACTGAGCTTGCAACAATCGCTGTATTTGACGTGACCAAGTTTGCATGGGTCAAAAACTTTACAGCTCCCAGCAAGCCACCATCTACCACAGCTTCTTCTATGGATCCTTCTACAGCATCTCAAATGCCTTCATCTACACCCACATCGTTATATCCAGAACAGGAAAGCGAATCTTCAGTCACCAATGTTGGAGCCATCGCAGGAGGGATAGTGGGAGCCTTAGCCCTTGTAGCAATTGCTGTAATTGCATTGATCTACAGGCGACGAAAAGAACAGGAGGAGAAGACAGAAAATTATGACCATTTTGATGGCAAGGTCATTGAGCAAGGAAACGCTTCCAGTATGAGTCAAAGCCCGCCTGCATATGAAGGATGCGACAAGATCGAGCTCCCCTTCACTGGCCACACTCATCCTCATGCCTCTCAGACTATGGCATCAATGTCTACACACACTCTTCATGACCAACATTCTCTGAGACAAAATCCTCAGTAGCCGCTCTTCTTTTACACATGGTACAGTGAATTGTCCACTATACGGACAGCTCCTGTTAAAAGAACGTATAGAACACAAAAACCCCTGCAATAGCTGTATACTTCCCTATACTCGTGTACAAGACATGTTAAATAATAATAAACACTATCTACGATACCATACTAAGATGCCACCAATACAACTTTAGCATCCTGAACGTACGTTCTCATCTGGAGGGATTTTCTAAGCAGATTGTCTACAGTAGTTTGTGGAAAGGGCTCTCTTTCTAAGCGAGACGCGTCGATCCTACATTCCTCCCTAGAAGTCATTGTGTATGCAAGCCATGGCGTAGTCTTCAATTGACATATATTTCTGTTGACGGCGTGGATTATTCTCTCGCATTTTCAATCGTTGCATTCACGAACCAGGCAAATCCAGATTCGAAAATAAAAAATTAAAATAAAATAATATAAAATTCTTTCCAAGTCGATCTATTGGCTCAGGTTATTGAAGTAGTCAGTGGACACAGTTCAGCAATACAGCATATTGCTCATCTCACGGGAGATGGGAATCCATCTTAATGATTAGAGTCTCGGAGAGCTCTTTTTAAAGCGTCAGAAATCACTACCTTGATAATTGCTATAACTTTCAATTTATAATCGTCAGTTTATAATTTAATCTAATCTAATTGTATCTATATAAAATCTATGCTGTTCGTGCTATTGTATTCATGTCTGTCTGAAATCCTGTAGTCGTGCAGTCTATATGCCACTGTTCATTGTATATATGTATAAGCCTTTTCCTTTTTTCTAACTTCTTGAGCTTGCTCATGGCTTCTAAATTTTGGGAATGTCTGTCGGTATCTTGAGCATTGAAACTGGAGATTGCGAGACCCCAGTATATTACTTTCTGCTGATGCTAATCGTTCTGGGACCACAGCTCACATTGTTCTCCAACTCTTGGACCCTCGCCAGTTGGTGATGATCCATGTCACATCCTCAGGTTGCATTAGTTTATGGTTGTCATCTATGAATTCAAATCGATCCAGATTCCTTAGGTTGATTAGCTCGTCCAGACCTGCCCTTAGCCTCAAGTCCAGTGTCCGTTTCCCCTCGTATCCTGAACTGTAATAACCTTTCAAATCGAGATATTGTAGTTGGGTCAATTTGCCTAGCTGTTTAAACACAGCGCGTTGCTTTGCCATGCCTTCTGCTGTCTCCCGATCAACATCAGCCTCAAGGTAGATGCTCAACTTGACAAGATCAGTACTGACCCACTCTGAGCCATTGGCGATTTCTGTCACTGTGATTTTAGGTGCGGTCAGTTGCTTTAGGGATGGACAATTGGATAAGATCGTTTGAACAATACCATCCGTCCTAAAATTCCGTACATTGAATGCCATTGTCTCGACTGTCTCACAGAGCCTCCGCAGCCTTTTCTCTTGCACCATGTGTCCATTATTCAATGCCAATTGTTTGTCTGCTAGCAATTCACGCATAGAGAGTGGACCGAAATCACAACATGGGACATCCAGTCGTTTTAGTTCAGTCGTTTGTCTGAGAAGTACCGCCATATCCTTGTCTTTTATAGTCATCGTTGGGATAGATAGATCTGACAAATTTACCAGCGTATAGGGTTGTTGAAGGAAAACTGCCCTGTAGAAGTCACTATATGCTTGTTGAAAAGGTTGGTCGCTTAGGTTGAAAACATCGAATGTCAATGCATACAATGTAGGACATCTCCGAGCCAACATACCAAAGCAATATGCTGATGTGTATGGATATGGAGGGCGGATTATTAAGACGCCCCTAAGATTGAGCGTACGCATATTCGGGAAAATATATTTGTCGTTGTTATCGGTGTTAACAATGTTGTCGACGGTGACAGTGGTACTGTCAGTGTTATTGGTATCATCAGTGTTGCCGCTGCTATCAGTGTTGCCGCTGCTATCAGTGTGATCACTGCTATCAGTGTCTCCGCTGCTACCGGTGTTGCGGGGTAAGAAATCGGTAGGTAGCTGAGAGATTGATACTGTACGCAAGTCCAAGCGCTTAACTTTCTTGCAAACCTGAAGGAACAGGTCGACTTGATCATTGCCTATTTGAATATTGAAAACATCCAAGTAATTGAGATTGGTGCATTCCAGTAGTGCCTCCCAGAGCTCCCGTGAGCTCGAATTGCTGCAGCAAAAGCCAGTGATCGTGGAGCTGTGGGTCTTGAGAAGGCTCGAAATGTGACTCAGTTCGGACGGATGCCATGACGTTGATGATCTCGCCCAGTACTCGACAAATCGAAGACGATCGCAACCTTGTAATGACTTGAATTCCTCTGGGAAGGAATAACGGAAGGTAAGCTCCTCAATATATTTCTTGTGGTTCTGGAGTGCTTCTTCATTAGGATAATCAATCTGATCCTCATAACGAGATCCAAGGACGATCCTTTTCCATATGGACTTTAGCAGTGTATTGTGAAAAGCCTTGGAGACGCGGAGACAGCTTGGGATATCTTTTCGATCGAGGAAGTCGCCTACAAGCGAGAGGATTTCTGGAATGTTCAACGGATTCAACTTCATGGTGTTTGTAATGTGGAGAGATGATGATGAAAATGAGGTGATGAATGGGAGATGGGAGTAGCTCTTTTATATGCAGGCCACTCAGTCAAAAAATAAACTTTAATAACTTAAAAACTTTAAAATTTGGCCCAACTTGCAGAGACCAAAAAATTTCTCATTTCCCCTGAAATGAGGCTGCCTAGATCTGATAAGTCTTCTTTTGCTTGAATATATTTTTATCACGATATTTCCCGACAAAGATAATCATGTTGAGCGTACTAAAGCCACGTGGTGACACATTTGAGTAAAAAAAAAAATCCCTCATGGAGATATACTAACAGCAAATACATGAATGAAAGGCCGCTATCAATAAAGTGAATGTTGTGCTGAAGAAAAGTATACAGTATACTGAAGATGAAGAGGAATGGTAAAAGGATGAAATGTGAAATCAACTTTTAGTCAGTTTTTAATCCCTCCAGAGTAACAAGGTAGTACTAAAAAAGAATTGTCCCACGACTTTCTTTGAATGGGTGCTCAAGCTCTCAGCTGCGCCTATGATTGACAGAAAAACAACGTTCATCAAATCACCCTGCCAGTCAATTTGCCCAATTTTTTCTCTGCAATCCTATCGCTTGATGAGCGTCACTTAGGAATAATAAACGCTCCAGTGATTTTTTTTAGATCTACAAGCTCATCTGGTCCAGCAGAAATGATTTCGTCTTCTCATTGAGATGGAACAGCCATTTGAATCTCCTCTCTTTCTGTTAAGTTTAAGACATTGATGAATGAAAAATTATAATTGTCTTTCGCATCCCGTCAAATGTCAAATGTCAAATGTCAAATGAAATGAAATGTTTATTGAGAAAATATCGCATAGCCGCAAAAGTCTCTTGTAATTATGCAATTCATCTATTACTTCTACCATTTCTGATCAAGCTCTTTCTCTCAGTATAATCATTCAAGAACAGATCCATTTATACCATTCACGATTTCTGTTATTGTCAAGTCTTATTATTATCCCACCATCATGATACTCATGACCTCGATCGAATCACAGAATTGACTTGTTTGTTCCATTTTTGCCTCATTTCTCAGAATCCATCCAACAGTCCTCCGCTGTCTGGTAATAGTTCCTGAGGAAGCCCAAAAATGGAACCTAAGATCAAAAAAAAAAATAGGATACGAGTTATTTGCTGAAATATAATGACTATGTTTCCCCATCACTTATCAAAGGATCTAATTAAACATAGATTCTCAAGTTGTGCAAAATATATAGATACTCTCAGCTTTTGTGATAATGCCATTATACATATGGTGCATCGTGCAAACTCAAGGGTTTCGAATAAGCTCAAAAGAACAGACCGACTTTATTGTCTTCTCTTTGAATGATAAGATATGGGTGTTAGGGCACGCCTAAGTGGCAAATGTGGATCTAGATTTTTCAAGCGAAATTGAGTTTCTTAAGGAGTGGGACTATGAAACCCGATCAATCTAGGATGTCGAGGATTCTAGTGGTGTCTCATCAACTAGCTTGACAAGTATATTTTAAGCTCATATGTGGTAAAAAAAAACGAAAGCGTTCAGTTACGTGACTCCCCCTCATTAGCCGGATTGAGAGAGCTTTCTCGATCCCTGGTTTCGGGGGAGTGTATTAAGGAATGGATTTCATTATGATGATTCTCTCGATACGCACAATCTGTTGCGATAACCCATGGTATTAATTGAGGACAAAAGCACACTTTTTATTATTGGAGGACATGTGTTTCAGAGGCAATTGACTGAGATTTTTTACATTTTTAGTCTATAATGCCACATTATTTTTTCTCTTTCCTTTACCAAAGAAGACTAGACGCGATCATCACTAAAATAGCCGAGCCACTTAAGTTCATCCATTGACGTGTATGTCCTGCACCGGATGGATCAGAACCGGATCCAAAGTCCTTTGGCTCCGTTGAAGTATTAGGCGTGTATTGGCTTCCCCAATAATTCGTGACCATATTAAACACTGCTGGGCCATCCTCGTTGTTTGATCCATTTTCGTTATATCCTCCATGAATAATCAAAAAGTCTCCAGAAACTGCACACACAGCACCAGCATAGGCTCGAGAAGCATCTGGCAGCCTCTTCCAGATCAATGTCGTCGTATCCAACATGTAGACGTCCTTCAGAACTGATAAAGTATTACTGCTATTACCGGTGGCATCTCCACCAACAAGAATTAGTTTTTTACCCCCATAGGCTATTAAAAAAAAAAAAAAAAAAAAAAAAAAAAACTTCGGTTAAGCCTTGTTTTTGTCCCTTTTTGATATTGGGAAGTTGCCAATAAAGTTTTTACCTGAGACAAGGCATGTTGAGTCACGGTTGGAAGGAACATCTCCAGTTGTTTTCTAGATTAATCCATGAAGAAAAGGTTTCTAAAACATGTCAAAACAAGAAAAATAACGTTGCAGCATCACTCATTTGATTTTTGTTGAAGACATACCACTTCACTCCAAGTCTGCTTGACAGTATCATATGTCAAGAGGGGTGTCTCCCCTGCTGGTGTATTCCATTCATACATAAAAAGTGCCTTCTTGGCACTACTATACACAGTCGATACATAATGATCAAATGATGGACGACCCTCCTGCTCTTTGTACTTGAACGTCATGGTTTTCAATTCCAGCTCTGCAAAATACCATGACGTTGGCTTAGGAACTTTGGTTATATCCGTCACATTCTCAGGCAGAATAGGCACACCAATCCCATAGACCACCCCTGCATCTGTATCCAACGTTGCACTTCGTGTGAATACTCCATCCCAAGAGAATACTGAATCCGGCTTAATCAACGACCATTTGTCTGTCTTGATGTCATACCGGCCAGGTGCGATATCTAGAAACAAAACCGAGGCATTGTCAGGCGTCACCACAAGATTGGTCCTCGCTCCAACAGTGATCATGCCTGGTGGTAACAATCGCTTTTCTAATCTCTTCCATGGAGCAGTATCTGAGGTCCAGGGGACAGAGAGATCTAGAGACAAGAATTGGTCATCTACAACTGTTCCTGGAGCTGCTGGTGCTGCACTTGGATTGATAGAGACGGGTCCACGACCATCATCACCGCTACCACCTCTTCCTCTAGCATCTCCAGCACTGACAAAGAGTTTTTGATTCTCAGAATATGCATATTGCATAAATATTGCAGGAATTGGTCGCTCTACATTGCTGTCAGGCGCAGCATCCGCAGTAGCCTTTTTGTTCGAGGCCTGTGTAGCCAAAGCGACGACGAACGATAGTAGGCAGAGCCGAGAGTAATGCATTTTTAAGTCCAATAAGAACTATGATCACTGAAACTATGCTGAATGATGGGAAAAGAAGAAGAAAAAAAAATAGAATAAAAGGAATAAAAGGGCAGAGATAGTCTATATACGATAGAGGAGAGGAGGATTGTAACGGGGCAAGAAATGTGTAAAGAGGAACAAGAGAAGAGAGAGATAGAGAGTTTTTGAAGAGGTTTAAAATATTTTCAGAAACAGCCTGGGAAGAACCTTGACCTTATTCGCCGCAATAAAACAAACAAAATAGACGTGCATGAATTCAATTTATAAAGTCGACTGACCAACACCACGGTATATTAATATCTTTTTTTTTGCTCGTTGCCTCTTTCTCTCTGTTAGAGCCCAATATCTGATTCCTGTCCTTGGGAGACAATAGACCTGTACTGCCTGCTGCTAGTGTCGATTCTTGATAACTTTCTCAATCGAATCAATCCACAAAAAGTACCCTCTCCAAAAGCATTCAATGTGAATAAAAAAAGCTGTATGTTTAAAATCACATCTTTTATAGTGTTTATAGTCTAATTCAACTTGCTAGGCGTAAAGTCTAAATTAATTAAACTTCTCAATCAATTTTCACTGCCACTTCTCTCCAAAGCCCACAAATGGCCTTGTACTTCGCCCACAAGGTTCAGTAATCCCTCTCGCGTCTGTAACATCCATTGTTTTGACTTATGAATGCGTTCTGACCTCTCTGCTGTAGTCATACCTTCTCCTTCGTCTACATGGTCTTGTTGCTTTGCCGAAATAGTTGCTGTTACTACGGCATGATGCGAAATTAGAGAAGATATCCGTTCCAATGCACCTCGCAAATCCTGTTCATTATTGTAATTTTCATCATCTTTCTGGTGGCGCTGAAGGATGTCTTTTTGCTGCGTCCCGCTTACCATATCCTCCTTGCTCTCTACAGATTCATTAGATTCGAATTGTGATTTAATCGCTTTATCTAGAGATTCTGCCATTATTTCCTGATCCATTCCTTCAGGACTAGTGACTAACGCTGGGGATGCCAGGATCCCTATGCTTCTGAGCGGAGGAGCTTGTTTTGGTGTATGTGGCGATGATAAATGCGCTTCACTATTAGCGGAATCAAGATTATATGTTGGTTTGTCATCTTGAGTCCCATTATCTGATGTCTTCAAATTCTCTTTGGAGGAGGCTAACGCTACTGATGAGCCCGTCTGCTGCGTACCCCCCTGTGTAGGCAAATATCCAAGCTCCAATAAACGTTGCCTAGTACGCTCGACTTCCTTTGAGTAGTCTTCAGACTTCAATCCAGGGCGAACGATGCTTAATGATAATGGTCTAGTGTTATCATTCTCCTGCCCATCGCGATTGCCTAGGCTTCGTTGCTTCCACTTCAAAGCAGCCATGTTGAGTGACTGCAAGTTGAGCCGCTCTTCCAGTGGACGATCAAGAGCATCTGACTCTTTCTTAGGTGCTGAAGCGCTGTTTTTATCTGAATTTGAGAGGTCGCCCTGTTTTTTTGAATGATCAAGATGTCCGTGTGGGTCCTCAGGTGTGGGTGTTGAAATGGCCGCATTCTCTCGGGGATCATCCTTGCTTCCCGCCGAAAGTTTCTCTTCCCTTGCGCTCTGGACTAATCCCATCATCACAGACGCGGCATGTGCAGCTAGGAATCTAGTACTCAGGCTGCTTCGAGTAAGTGTGTTCGGACGCATGCTCGTCATTCGGCCATTGGGCGATGTCACTTGGTAACTTCCTCCAGATGCGGGTGAATCCTTCATAAACTCTCCTTCCCCAAAGCTTGTGGTGTCGCAGCTTAGGCCAATATTACGACGTTCTCGTGGAGATAAAATCTCGTTGTCACTACCAGTGTCGCTGACGCTGTCATCTGCATCATCATCGTCTCTGTCGGGCTCCTCTGACGCTCCGGATTCATCCGCAGGCTCGTTTTCGCTCCCTTCAGTAGTAGCTGCCATTGCCATCTCGTGATCCTCTGTGCCGTCAGTAGTATCCTCACTCATTTGGGCTGGATCACTCAAAGTGCCCTCACTAGGCTTCAAGCTTAATGCTGACTTTAGGAGGCTTTTGCTGGAATGACGAGTTGGCTTATCTTCAATCCCGGATTGTGTGTCATCGCTCAGTAGAGAATCATCATCCTCCCCTGGAGCAGTTGGTGGGTCTTCTTGCGTATAGTCACTCAAGACTTGCCTCGATGATGGCATATCCTTTGCTTTGACACCATCCATCTTGAGCGTCTTCTCAGTCGGCACTGTCAAAGATGTGGCTCTAGGTCGAGGATTGCTTGGAACCAGAAGAGTACTCTTATTAGGCCTCGGACTAATTGAATGAAGAGACAAAGGATTTAGTCCTGGAGATTTGCGGGATGAAGGTGGAAGCGCAGTCTTTTCCTTTGCAACACTCTTGTTCGAGGTAGACTGCTCCTGCAGAGTGCCTGAGCGGGATGGAGCAACTGAAGGCTGCGAGCTAGAGCTGTGTCGGGAGCGAGAGGTCGTTGTCTTTGAAATAGACGCAGTGACTCTGGCTCGTGGCCCTGACGCCCTCCTCACTGAGGCTGCAGTAACTGGTGAAAAGCTCTCCTTTGAGGTATCATCTCTCTGCGAATCTTTAGTGACATTATGAGTGACTCGTTCCGAACTCTCGTCTGGCTGCACTTCACAATCCTCACTAGCAAGGGATGTCGTAGAGCCTCTGCGCGAGGACACAAAGTGGTCACTGGCATAGGTACTTAGCCTATTACTTAGCTTTTTCGCTCTTTGGGGTCTCGAGCTATGATTTGTTGAAGTATTGCGAGCTAGTAGTTTTTCGGCTGTCTTCGTCTGCATATAGCTGGGTAAGGTGATGTTTTCTTGAATTCGGCTTGTGATACGCTTCACAACTTCCTTGGACACTCTCCACACCAATACACATCCGTCAGCACTAGTGGAAATGATGCGCTCATAATTACTCATGAACTTGAGACTTGTTACTAGCTCTGAATGGCAAACCATGTGTGCAAGACATGTCCCATGAAGAAGGTCGTAGATCCTGATTGATTTGTCGCTACCTGATGCCGCGGCGATAGTTCCGGTGGGATCCAGGCAGATATGTGTCATGCTGCAAACCTCAGCCATACCAGCTGTCATATCGTCACCTTTGGCGTCAGCTTTGAAAGACCTGATAGGTTTCCCGGTTTCCAGACTAAAGACATTGAATCTCCTATCACCGGCAACCACAGATATTGTTTGAGTAGCATCGTGCATCCCCATATCATAAAATGTTGCTCGTCCAGGGGCTTGGTGGTAAGGCTGAAAGGATAATCCATCCTCTATCTATCAATGACATGAATGTTCAACAAACAAACGAGGCTGAAAGTCAGTGCGACAGGCTTGAGTGCATTTGTGTGACCATGACAAGGTTGTATTTCATAAACGTCTTTCTCACCTTTTGACAATTACGGAAGACAATACTCTTGTCTGCACCACAACTCATCATACGTGACCCATCCGCCGTGAATCGTATACAAGTGATAGATGACGAGTGATCATCCAAGGTCTGAAGTAATGCATAATCGTTCCGGATGTCAAATACATGCAGTAAACGATCCCTGCCAGCAGTCGCCAATAGGAAAGGCGCATCTTTCAAGGTTGGATCCGTGAAATCAATGGTTAGAATCTCAGTATCATGCGCTTCCTGATAGGTTACTTGCTCCAGAGTTAACAGATCATGCACCCTAGGTGTGATTTAAATCTATATTAGGCACGTTATCTCTTTTAACACGATTGTTAGAAAAATTATTTTTTAATCTATTGTAGTGGCAACTTACCGGAGGTTCCCCCCCTTATCTCCAGAAGCCAAGTAACGCCCATCGGAGCTAATCCTGATAGTACGGATCCCGCACTCTAAAGGAACAACGTTGTATCCAGGCTCCATGCCATCTAAAACGCGACAAAGAAGATGTGAGGTCAGGTTTATAAACTCGAATGAAACCCTGGGTATGCCACATAACTACGGCTGAAGAGTAATACCTTGGATTTCTGGGACTTGAATCCATGCCTGACACTCCCTATCGACATACAGAACACGCAGGACCTCCTTACTTGGATGTGATGAAATCTGATCCTTTTCCTTTTGTTCGGATAATGGAGGAAATGAAGACATACTGTCATCCAAGTTCCAGAATTTAATGGACCCATCTGCAGAGTATGTGAGGAATGTATCTGCGGGAAAAGGATTTGTTGCGGCACCATCATCTGGGGGTGATGGTAGGACCTATTAGGAACCAGAGTTTAGTTAACACAGCTTAAACAAAAAGAGTAAAAAGAACAAAAAAAACTCCAAAACTGCCCAATGTCTTATTCGTGTGTTGAATTATTCACCTCTGCACCCCAGACACAATCAGAGTGGAAAATATGGCTTTTAGAGACAACCGGGTTGCTATAGTCATGAATATCCCACACGTAAAGCGAGCGGTCGGAGCAAATACAGATCAAAGTGCCTGAGGAAGCATCATATTGAGATGCGAGGACGTCAGGATAGACAGGATTGGCTATGTCATCTACTTGTTGGTTTGTTTCCATATTTCCAGCAAAAGTGCCTACGGGTGAGGGCTTTGGCAAGGTTCCTATGTACTCTAATGTCTCAGGTTCGAATAATCTGGAACAAATAGTAGAATAGGTCATATTAGAGGCTAAGAGTAGATGCAGAATAGGGAAATGATGGGCACTATTAAATAATGTGGTACTTACCTGATGATACCGTCTGAGCAAGAGCAGATAATTGCCTTCTCGTCTAGATTGAGAGAATATGCGCCACGGATATGGAGATCAATCCATTTTTCTAATGCACGCCCTTCTGAAAACAAGCAGAGGATGCCGTTTGCCGTGATCGCATATGTGTATTTACTATCTCGACTACAGACTACATCTACAAAGTTGCCATGGCGAAGCTCTCCGAGAATCCCTGACCGACCGTCTAGAACTTGCGTATTGGGCATTGATCCACTGAGCTAAAAGCGACGAGGCAATTTATCAGTTGTATGAAGGAAAAAAAAAAAAAAAAAAAAAAAAAAAAAAAGTATCTACAACTATCAAGTAGTGGATGTGAATTTACCCCGCCTCGCTTATTTGACCCGATATTCAAGTACCAGAATTTGACATGCCGCAAGCCAGCCGTGACAAAGAAGGAGCCATCGGGAGAAAATGCCAAGGCACTAACTCTTGTAGTGACTCTGTTGCTAGCAATCTGTGAGCTTGTTCTCCAGTTCCACACGTGTATGTAGCCATCATGCTAATTGAAGCCAATGAGACCAAACATTCGTAAGAGCGATTAACATGAGAATGTTGTCAAATTGAGCAACTGAGCATCAAAAAAAAAAAAAAAAAAAAAAAAGATGGATAAAAACCGTTTATATCACAGTACCTGGAAACCTAGCGACACAAGATACCTTGAGGTGGGCGCAAACTGGACAGCTTGTACGCCAAACTTGTGTCCTTGAAGCTCACCGACTAAGGCTTGTGAAATAACGTCCCAGATCAATATCCGTGGCTGATGTCCTGTCTACCACAAAAAAAAAAAGGCGTTATAGCAAACATAGATAATCAGTATTTGATTAATCAACCACAGAGATGGCCATATACATCCTCTAAAAATTAACAATGACGCGCTGTATACCTCTCCAACCGCTAGGTACTGCCCATCAGACGAGAAAGAAAGACAAGATATTGGTTTTGGCTTGTTATTCTTGGTGCTGTTTGAATTTCCAGAGGGACCCGTTCCGTCAGACGATGACATGGGCATCAGACCAGCTAAAGGGTTAATATTCGCGCCTGCCATTGAGTTGTTCATCCATTGAATTCCATTGCTGCTTGGAGTTGTTCTCGGTGACTTTGAGCCATTTCCAGCTCCCGAGTCACCTGAGGAAGATTGCTTCTTAAGAGTTGAGGTACACAAGAGGCCAACCTGCTTATTAAGCTTATGATTATATAGGACAACGACACAGCCTGCCGCATAGGCAACCAAATCGTGGGTCGGATTAACTGAGAGGATCATGGGTTTGTTCGTTGTTAAGCCCAAGACGCGCTCGAGCTTGATCTAATCACATCCACCACATTCCACCACAGGAAAAAAAAATCCCACTGTTAATTTTTTTTTCTTTTTTACTGCTGTGCTTGTACCCAATAAAAGATTTAATGCAAAGGGCGCATACCAGACATTCGGTCTCCTTGCGCTTACGCCTCATGGCAGGACTGGTCGGTGCTGGGCCAGATACTCCATTGCTTTCGGAGGCGGTATAGTTACTCGAGGGTTTTCTTGTTGCCCGCAACATATTACTTTTCTTTGTATTGAATGAATTAACAATTAAGAACTTGGAATTTTGAAAAATGGTCTATAATGATGTTTGAGAACAATTCAAGTTCATTCCTCAATACTTTTAATGCGAGCTCAATCAAAGATGGAATGAAGCGAGCAAAAGAAGAAATGGAATTAAGCCAGAAAAAAAAAGGATGTTTTTATGAAGGCTTAAAGAAGTAAAATAGGGGACATTGACTCAATAGGAATAAGATGGCGAAGGAGAAGGAAAGGAAAAACAAAACAAAAAAGAGAGAGAGCATTTTCAAGATTAGGTCAATCCTGGTGCAATTGGGGGTTGGACAAGTCAGTCTCAAAGGCATTTGTGTTATGCACTGTGTTCAATGTCTCGGTCTATTTACCATTTTCTTTGCTCCATGTTTTTTTGAGAGCAACAGCTTCAAAACAACCATCCTTGTTGCTCTGTAGGGCATGCATAGCTGGTTGATCGAGACTCTGAAGTCTGTGCAGCTCCCGCGTAAAAAAAAGGAGCAGTGCAATGGTCTAATCATACTTCAGCAAATACTCCGCAAGTCATTGGTGAATTTTATTTATTTTGAGGTTTTGAGGTTTAAAAAAAAGAGAGCAGACAGAACAGAATCCAGTCTGTGTTAAAAGAGGAAGATTGAAGAGATATACAGGCTGATTCAATAGCACTTCGGTTATGAAATGGAGCATATCTTTATCCACTAGAAGATCCTCGGTTGATTTAATCCACAGGATTCATTAGGACTTCGGAAGATATTAAGAATATGCCTCTACATTCTCACAAATAAGACGTCCAACAGAAAGGGATTGAGTGCTCGTCAATTGTAAAGTTTGGGATGCAGATGGAGCACATATGTTCGAAAGGGAAGATGTTGCCTTTTATCATTAAGCATCCACTCATTCGAGTTAAAGGCGAATATGATCCTCAGATCAATGATGAAACACAATCGAAGCCATCTCTCATCTCATTTTTGCATTGTAAGCCGTGTAGCACCTTAAAAAAAAATGAGGTAATACGCAGATCTCTTTTCTAAACTCTATTTCGGAACAAGATCTTCATACAGCAGGAGAAACAGTGCATTGTCTTTAGTCTGCTAGAAAACTGATTCAAATATATTTGGTGTATTTCATATCCGACTCTGCAAACGCCAGTTTAAATTGCTTCAAGCCATCGTCTATTGCTAGCGGCTCCAACTGTTTGCCATACATGTGATGTGGAATATATCGGCAAGAAGCAATCGTAACTGGTTTTTCCAGTATTTCTTTTACTATCCTGTTAACGACTGCTGTGGCCCCCAACAATGATATCCTTACAGGAAGCGAAAGCCTTTAACATTCTCTTACAAACCTATCGCTGCAAAAGAGCTGGCCCTTACTATTCCTGCTTTAATTATCCACTTTGGAGACCTTATCTCCTTTAAATGCCTTCTTACGCTAGATACCTTTCTTGGTTTAGATCTTTTGATTAGAGTATCTTAAATATGGGAGTGCATCATAACGATGTATCCAGAAGCAGTATAAAAATCAGTATCCTTTTTAACTTTTGCTGCAGTAACTCACTTGCTTTTGCAAAAATAGCTTACCGGTATTTTGCTTTTGAGATGGTAACTTGCCAAATTCTTTTACTTTTGCTGCCGTAGCTTTCCGGTTTTATGGCTTTTTGACTTTTGCATATGCATAGTGGAAAATCCATTTCTCTCTTCTCATTGTCTGCTTCACAATAACAGCCCCGATACCTTTGCTGCCTCTTCCTGTGCCTTGGAATAAACTACACTGACTATCCTCGCCTTGAGGACGACTCCACAGCAGGGTCATCTAACAATGTGCCTGCCAACTTTATTCAACCCATGCGATATCCTTTGTCCTATCGAAACCTTAAGAACCCTTTGAGTCCAGACAACAAGCTGCACAAGGCCCCGTCGGGCATACCGCTCATAACGGATATCCTTTTAGCATTCTTGAGAATGACTTATTTAAACGCTCGATGAAAATTCAAGAGATCTCATCCAAGACTCCTAAACGTAAAATGATTATCTAAGCTCTGTCGATGCTGTATGGGCATCCTGAGGCGTCCTTGGTCAGGTGTTTATGATTGAGCCTCCCACACGGGCTTTACACTTATTATTGGCTCAGTCAAGGAAGAAAGTCTATTGATCCAGCATTCTATTTTATCCAGAACCATTAAAAGGCACAGCCGGTGACAATTGGTCCGAAGAATACAAAAAAATGAATGCACTAGCTGACAAAATTCGGTCCGTAATGCGTACATGTACATCAGCCACGCATTAGTAATTTAATTGTCCCTGTGCTTGTTCCAGCAGAAAACTGGTATCTTCGACTTGGGAAGCCGACTTTTTGATGTTAAGTTGTATCATGTAACGCATGATACGTAAGACATTGTTTCGTCGTTCTCGTGAGAGTTCATTGCAGCTACCTTAATGTCAGCGCCTTGGTATGCTGTACCGCTCACGGTTTTGTCGGTAAGACTCCATTCCTCCTACACATTTTTTTACTGTAGCATTAGCAAGAGGATGGGAAAAAAGGAAAAAAACAGACATACAATCTCTATACATACTCATTTGAACCGGGTTTTGTCAGTAGTGTTATCATTTTTCGTACTTTTTTAAGCCGATAGTTGCCGACTGTGCGTGATAACCCTTTTGGATAAAATGGAGGGCTAGGCCATGGATTTCCTTCCGTGGCTCGATCAATTATCGCGAGTGTAGGGTCCGGACAGGAGGTTCTATCATAAATGTCCGACCAAGGACTCCTCAGGATGCCCATACAGCATCGACAGAGCTTGGATAACCATTTTACGTTTAGGAGTCTTGGATGAGATCCCTTGAATTTTCATTGAGCGTTTAAATAAGCCATTCTCAAGAATGCTAAAAGGATATCCGTTATGAGCGGTATGCCCGGCGGGGCCTTGTGCAGCTTGTTGTCTAGACTCAAAGAGCTGATAAAGTTTCGGTGTTTGTTAGTGATGATTAGCTCGAGACCGAGTTTGTCGCATGGCTATGGGTTCGTGAGTTGAGCAACAAACAAGTAAGAAGAATTATCTAAGGCGTTGAAAAGGGATGTGTGAGAGTCATAAGGCATTAAACTCTCCCTATGAAACTATGAAGACCACATAGACAGATATTCCGCTCTTTGGTATTGCGTTAGTGGCGGACAATGCGATTCTAAATTGCCTTTGACATGGTATTTTGTGAACAGTGAAGAAAAAATAAAAATAAAAATCATCAATCAACCGACAATTGATTAAAGCAAAAATTTTCACTGTGAGATTAAAGACGTTATTCCTAGAGGTCCTTTCACAGGAAGAGTCATGACTCAGCTTAGCGGCCCAACGTCTACATCTGCAGTGGGGGGACATCAGCTGTTAAAGCAACTAGAGCCAAGTGGCGGCTCAGGCAAATGTAATGTTCATTGCTTTTATGAGGCTTGATGTTGTGTCACCCGAATGTCAACTCTCTTTCATCTTTGCATGGCATATTGATCCCAGAGAATGATGAAGTGGTTCAAACGCGTTATCCGTGAAGAAAAGTGGATGTTTATGGGAAGCAAGGAAGGAACAAAGCATCGTCACTACGAATTCGGATATATCGGGTGACTACAACCATTAAACTGTTGAACGTATTTCTTAAAAAAAAGGCTAGCACGTCATTGAAAGGGCAATGCAAATTCATTTATACACTGTTTATTTGTTTATTTTTTCTTTTGCGGTCTGTGAAGATGATGCTCGGTTTCGTGTCTAGCTTACGTGAGAACATTATTATTATTATTATTATTATTATTATTATTTCAGAAATCTGCCTCATGGCGCAAGGTTCGCCGTTGTATACAAAGAAAAAACCCTTTTGCTTCCATGAATCTGCCGCATAGCCGCAGGCTATTTCATAGATGGATACAAATATTAAAAAACCAAAAAGAGGAGTGAGAGAAATGGATGATGCCATTTTTTTTATGTGTTTGTGTGCTTAACTGAAGTGAGCAAGATCTCGAATAAACAGTTTTAATGGATATAAAGACCAATACCTGGTGTGTGTTTGGGAGCGCGACTGTGACAGGAATGTGGGGTTGCTAAACCATGGGTCACTTTAATACACAGTCTCTTGAGGATAAGGTCTGGGCGTAAAAGATTGCCTTATTAAAAGAGCCAAAGGGCGATGGCAAAAAAAAAGAACTCATTCAGTCAGCCATTCAATTCCGCCTGTCCATCCCCCTTTTCCATGTAGATCCTGCAGAATAGAGCAAAGCAAACATGCTTAATCTTTTACTTGAGTTGTGAAATATACACACATGGATGGATTATTGAAAATTCGTTGTTTAGCAAAATGGAGTCATTGCATCTTTGTCTTCATTTGTTTCCTTACAGCTTCACTTTTGACTTGTGGAGTATTAAGTATTAATCGACCGTTTAGTTGAGCCTTTTTAATTCTTTACATGTCAACTAGCTTGGTTGGTTCACTTGAACGAAGCAAAATTTCCGATTTACTGCTCTCTTTGAAATAAGATGATAATTATAAAATGCCTCGCACAAATGAAGTTACATATATAAGTAGGTGTATTTATGAAGAGGACAAGTCGATTTGGGCTGGGGAAAATGGCAACATGTACAGGGCCGAAATGTCTGCTTGAGTATTGTGGCGTAAGTGACAACTGAGTATAGTTTTTCCAGCCCTGTACAGATTTCGAGATACCTCTTACAAAGGAAATATCACGTCCGGATTCTGTCTATAAACAAAATCTCATGTTTTGGTTTGTTACATTGGGACAAATAACCGATCATGATCACTCCAATGTTGCTCACCTCCTCTATTACTCTTATTCTCAGTCATTTATTCTTTCTCTCTCTCTTGCTCTCCTCTCGCTTGTTTGTTTACGTCGACATGCACCCTGCACCCTACCCCTACCCCTACCCCCTGTAGAGACTATCATAACATATTAACGGCATCGCACTGAGTTGCCCGCAAAGAAGAGCAAAAAGTAGAGAGTTGAGAAGAGAAAGGGAAGGGCGCTGATTGTTGACATTGTTTCACTTTCATGTTGCTATAATTTGCATCTTGGTTCGTGTGCTACCAACCCCCACATTGTCTTTTAGCCACCGTCGTTGTCACTCCTACGACTCTTCCTGTCTCTACTCGTTCAAGCTTGATAAACAAACACGTTCTCACGTTCACACAGCAGTTGCTGGGGAAAAAAGGAAGGGAGTGTTGGTTCATTTAGAGCGTTAAATTTTAATGTATTGCATCAATGCACATGCAAATGTACTTTAGTTTTAGATTTAGTTTTGGTTTGGGACCACAGCAGGGCACACATATTCCTCAACACACAAATGTTGATAATGTTGCTTCGAACACATCAGCAAGTTAATGTCAGTGGTGCATTTTCAGGTGGAATATCAAACATGTGACTCTTCTCATATCTTTTTTTACTTTTTTGCGATCGGTCTGGTCTCAACACTTTTTCTATTATTTCTAACTGCAGGGTTGACCCTGACATATTCAGTCCAGAAACCGTAAAAAATAAATAAAAACCGGCTGACCAACCACAGCGAGCGACGCACCTGACAGTCGAGAAACTGATTCATTGGCTCTGGTTTGCCGTTGTCTATGTGTCCAATGCTCAGTTTACATTTCTATCTGTCTCTCTATCAATCTTTCTATCAATCTTTCTATCTTACTCTATATCTGTCTGTCTATCTATCTTACTCCAACAAAGCTGCATGCAATCCTTGTTCTGAGATGTTTGCTGTCACTTTTGGTTGCTAGCATCTACCCTTTTTCTCGATCTTAGACTCTAATAGTGAGTACAGTATTGGAATTGCAAATGTTTGTTGTTTGCTGATGATGTACCCCCTGCATTTGGAAAAAACGATGATCCTGTTAATGATTAAACATATAACGATTCATCAAAAGGATATATTCCTTTTACTTTTAGCTACAAGTAAACCATTCCATTGATTGTCTTCTTACTGTTTGCTCTCGAGATGAAATGGCGAGGCAGTGCTCTTTCTCTTCAACCCATGGATGCTCATTCTTTTTTTTGTCTGTTTGCATATTCAACTGTAGCACACAAAAAATTAAAGACGTGGATGTCACGCACGTACATGAACACATTTAGGCAATACAACGATGCAGAAAATTAAAAACGGCATCTTGTTGGCTCCAACAGCATCTCATCTTAAGAGAAAGAGAGAAGAAAATAAGCAAAAGAGTCAAAAAAGTAGGAAATATGTACGAGGGATAGGATAGGATGGGACAAGGCAGGGTAGTATAACATGTAGAATCGCCTGCGAACCCAAAACCCTAGACCTGAACCAGGCCGGACCAGACATTAATGTAAGATCATTATTATTTATTATTTGACTTAAAAATATTTATTCTAAGAAAATAAAGAACTGAGCAGAGCAGGGGTTATTATTATTTCATCTCATGTATACATACTTTGAATGTTTATTCTTATATATTTATTAGTATTATTTTCCTAGCTCTTTGACATGCCCTGTCAGTTGGCTGCTGTCTGTGTCTGTGTGTGTCTGTTGATTGTTTGGTGTTTGTTGATGCTATTTGTTTTTCGCTCATTTTTCTGTGCCATACGCACACGAGAGTATCTTCTGCAGCTTTGTTTGGTACAATGCATGTATTCCTTGTCTCTTTATTCTTGACCCTTTTTTTTTTGTATTCAATTACTCAATTCCTGTTTGCCCTTTTCTTGCGACACATCAATTAAACACACCAAGCTCATCACTAATGCCTTGTGTTCTTCATTTTTGTTCTTTAAGACAACATTCGAAATATAAAGTCTCCGTCCTTTGGGACCATAAAACTCTCTCTCTTTCTCTCTCTTCAAAGAATCTGACTTTTGTCTGTCCTTTGTCTTCATTCTTAAAATTATACCCTGTCTTCTACTTATTCCTATTTTTACTCTTATTTTTTACTCTTCTACTCTCTTCACTATTCCTCTATTCCTCTTTCACTCTCTCCACTTATTCCTCTCCCACTCATTTCATCATCAATCTCCTTTCTAATCTTTTCTCTCTTAAAATCTAATCCTTCAAAGACGTAGCACACAACGTCCATATTTATTCATACTTTGTGTTAAAGTTATGCAGTCGGCCACAAACGTCCCCTATCCAGCATATATCATTTCATCTAAATCGAATTCAAATACAGCAAACTATCACAATCACGGTCACGAAGAGAACCAGAATCTACTGTCATTACCAATGTTCTTGGATACACAGATGATGACTTCACCTCACCGGAAACCGCAGGCCTATAATCAATCGTCAGAGGTGAGTGCAAAAAAAAAAAAAAAGCACTATGTGACCTCAAACTTCTCCAATCCTACTTCATAATTAAACAAGGGAAAACACCAATACGAGACGTGGCATGAGATGATGAAATTAAAAGTATTGAGTGAGGATTGTGAGAATAAACATGAGTGTAGAAGGATGGGAGATCGATCAACAGGTTGATCGGAACGGGTACATTCAGATGTGAATATGAGCATGTGTATGCTAGTGCAACGACTTTTACCCCTGCATCCCTGCTGGATTATGGCCAGGGTTACTAAGAACATGTTGCTCCATGTTTCTTTTCATTTTTTTTTTTTTTTGTAAAAAAAAAAAAAAAACAGCATGATCTACCAGAGAACCATCTGTATCATGATGCACTGGACACTGGGCCAGCATCATCAGAGATTGCCTCTCTTGCGTACCATAGCTCCAAACCTGACAACAATGGACTGCAGAGCGGAGATCCGACTTTTGTGGCGTACAACCCATACCCAAGCCCACCTGCAGGCACAGGGTCCGTTGAACACAGCCCTACAAGGTCACCGTCCCCAACAGCATTGACGCCATCATCACGGCTACATTATAAGACACATTCACCTTCATATCCACATTCATTTTCAAATTCATTACCTACTGCACAGCATCATGGCTATTTCTCACAGCCTATTATGACCACCAATATTCCTCCCCCTCCAAAAGAAGCCCTCCCCCAACCTCCTTTGCAATTAGATCTATGCTTCTCACAATCTTACTCCGCTAATCATGCTAATCAAAAGCAACAACGGCACCAACAGCCGCCGCATTCAGCTCCTGTTGTTACCTCTTTTCCATCACCATCACAGCATAGGTTTCATTCTCAACCATTTTCTCCTCAGTCCTATGAGCCCGCAAGTCCTCCTGCATCGGGAATAGTGCCTTCTCTTCGCAGTATGGGTTCACAAGCGAACATGTCTCAAAATATCGACAACACCGCATACTGTCTCCATGCTTCGCTATCTAGTTTGTCCTTGACGCCTTCTGTAAACTCACTTGGACACCAGCCCGAGCTCACACGTATTGCATCTAACGGCTCGGTAAGTTTATAGTTTAAAAAAAAAAAAAAAAAAAAAAAAAAATACCGGGAATAAATTGTTCATCCTTCCCTTCTTTATCTCTTTTCTATTGCATCCGCAGAATTCTTCCATCAAAAGACCTGCCAGCTTAACTAGTAGACACACAGTGCCAGTAGTCAAGGCCGTAATGGATATCAAGACAGCTGAAGTCCTCTCATCCTTGACATTTGAAGATATGCCTCGTTGCTATGTGGTTGCACCCCCGATCGTCGCGTCGTCCTCAGGCCCTTTCACTCCCTTTCGTATAGTTGCACCTTGTCAAGCCCTCGGTGTTCGTGGCCAAAACACTATCCACTTTCCGGAACACCAGGGGTATACTGTCAACAATGCTGAAGAAGTGATGAAGACTCATGGCACCGTCTTGCAACACTTTGCAAATCTTGCGTCTTTGTTCGCCGGTGCAAGCGACTCATCATTTGGCAAAAGCCTAGGCAAACATGCAGAGAGATTTTTGAAAAATGTGAAGCCTACAACTCGCGTGCCTCTCATGAAGGACACTAAGGAGCTGAGTACAGGTGTAGATGGAACGAGCGTACAGATCGAAAAGTTTATGACAGAGCATCTGCATTTAGAGAGTATTGCTCAACTGATGCGCGACATCACCAAATCAAATACAGCTTCTGATTGGGCTGGTGGGTTACAGAGGATTGTCTCTCCTGGCACAGGACGGTCGATGTGGGTCTGCCAAGATTGCTTTACTGGATTACAATTAGGGCGATATGAATGGAATGATGAACAGGCCAGTCTGGACGATCTAATTGGATATCCAGATAAGACTGGAGCCAAGAGCGAAGCACATTTACTAAATGCAACCGCAGTAGACGTGTATACACAGATGATCCGTGGACAGAGTCGGATCAGGAACGCCGTCATCAACATCTTGCCAGCATATTTTGAGGCACCAGAGAGAAAAGCGACAGCTATGTTCTCGGCGAACCAGAAACTGATTCAGAACCTGGCAAAAGTACTCACAGAGGCTCATTTGACCATGGTGGAGATCAATGCAAATCAGACACGCGATTCCGAGCTTATGGACAAAGACAACATATACTTACACGTCCGCCGACTCTTCAGTTGCTACCAACTTGAGTATGTCAAGCTCAGTGGCCTTCCCTTCTTGCTCCGTGAGAAACTACCCGGTTTTCTCGACCATGCCAAGTTTCTGTCTTTTGATGGTGTCCTGGTTGATAATGACAAAGCTGTGAGTAATATGAAGAAGCTTATTACAGAAAACTCAGATATGGAGCACTTGGCCCTCACAAGGGCTCAGATGACCAGCACAGGCCTCAAGGTTCTCTGTTCCGCTCATAAAAACCTACGCCGAATCGCTCGCCTCGACCTTTCAAACAACAGGATTGATGCCGAGGGAATTAAGGAGCTCGCGAACCAAGTCATGCCCACGTCCCTTGACCTTCGCTTCCTGGATTTGAGTGATAACCCCAAAATTGGAACAGTGGGTTGTCTCAGTTTACTAAAGGCGATTTGGCCTGCATCTTCTCATGCAACTAGACAAAAGAATCTGGTGTCGCTTCAATTGGCCAACACTGGGTTCTGTGACGAAGCTGCTAGTCAATTGAGTCGTAATATTGATGGTCCCAGTGGCATTGGAGCCTTATACAACATCAATCTTTCTGGGAACCAAATCACGAAACCTGGCCTTCTCGCTCTTATGACATGTGTCTCTCAGAATGCTCATCAGTCACCTCTACGCAAGCTCTCATTGAGTCAACATGTTAGCGCTCTCAGTATCCCTGGCGCTATGGACTATGAGGTCGTCCACTTTTTCGGAGTCCACCCAACATTGACACATCTGACACTCTCGAAGTTGTCACTGGGAATGGTGGCGCAGATTGTGAACCTCAATAAGTGCTTGATTTCACTGACAGTGGACGATGTAGTCTGCGTCTCCCCACAAGATCCTCACTTTGCACTGTCCTGCTTCAACAGCTTATGCCAAAGCATTGCGTCCAATACGGTCATGCAAGATCTTAAGATTCGATCCCCATGGTCGTTCTGGGCCTTAGCATTTCAATCTACAGGTGCAGCTCCTAACTCGAGCGAACAGGAAAGCAATTGGCTGGATGCAGCAGGGTGGATGGCAGTGATAGAGAACTCGCTTCAACGGAACACAGTCCTCAGGTGCTTCCAAATGCGTGGTGTGACCAACTTTGAAGAAGAATTGGTTTTGGCGACCGCGATGGCACCACCTTCGATAACAAGCCCAGGATCCATTTTCGGTGGGTCGCTTGGACGGTATGGCGGATCCGGTATGCTTGGTGCAAGCGAGGTGGCGAGAACAGATGGCGAAAGCAAAATGATGGCTCTTAGTCAGAACATCCGTATGTATCTGGAGAGGAACCAGGTACTATATTATGGACGCAAACACGGGATTGAGGAGCAGCTTATCAACCAATATTAGTGTCATGTTGTAAATAAAATTCATTTATTGAGACTACTTTGAATAATAATAATAAATTATAAAAATCAGTAACTTTTATTAAAAAGGAGGGAGTTATCGCCATCAATGGCTTTTGAGGCGAGTGATCGAGGGTTGGATGGGACGTTTTGAGCCGATGCAATGATAGGCCATGATAATCAAATTTGCACGTGATAAGTGATACCCATCACGCGTAACTTTTTTAACTCGCATGCATCTCTTTCACAAACTTACTTACTCTACGTAGCACCTGCAAGACTGTACTCAAAAAGATGTCAGCAAATGCTTCAGCAACATCAAGGCTATCTGTGATGAGTATGGCGGCCTCTTTACCTAGTGTAGGAGGGTACTCTTCTGTAACATCGTCCATCTATTCAAAACGCCCTGCTGCCAACATCTTGGAACGTCATCTGAACAAGACGAGAGGAAATGAGGTATTCCAAAAAAAAAAAAAAAAAAAAAAAAAAAAAAAAAAAAAAAGGAATAGAGGGATTGAATAGGAAAATAGGACTGGATTGATCAAGGAAATATTTTGTCCGCATTACGAGCAACTTGTCACACCAAGGCTAATATATAATTCATTAAAAAAAAAAAAAAAAAAAAAAAAAAGGTTAGCGTGAACGCATTCGCATTCTTATTCTCAGAGATGCTTCAATATACTCAGAAGCGAGTCCATGGTATCCAAGATTTAGAGAGAAAGTATGGGTTTATAAAAGAATAATATCAGGCCTTTGAATGAAGATACAATTTTTCTTCTTTTGCTCATGTCCCTTTTTTTTTTTTTTTTATTATGATCTTGTTAGACTCAATGAGTTGGGCTATAGAGTTGGTATCAGGGCATTGGATTTGTTAGTATGGCGGGATAAGAACAGCAAACGTGAGACTCGAGTTTTAGGCATGCTCTACTTTATTCATACAACTGTTTGGAAAACTATGTTTGGAAAGCAAGCAGATTCGTTGGAGAAAAGTACTGAAAACGAGGATGAATGTAAGCTTACATCCCTTTTTCCTTATTTTTATTTGTGCTTGCTTATTTAGACAGATTGTTTATGTTTATTGTCTATTGAGCCAATATAGTTGAACGCATACTGAAAGCATTATTCTATTTTATTCTTTTATGTTCCTTATTGACTGGTTGGGCAATGGCTACAGATATGATTTCGGATAACGACCCAATTGTCTCAAAATTCATCTCGGTACCCAAGGATGTGTCACAGCTAAACTGTGGAGCATTCATGGCAGGAATAGTTGAGGCTATCATGGATGGTTGTCAATTTGTAAGTTCCCGAATTGACTAGAGGGACCACTTTTAGTGAATGAAATCCCATTAGCACTTCCATTAATCCCCCCCTTTTTTTTTTTTTTTTTTTTTTTTTTCAGCCTTCACGTGTGACAGCACATACTGTTCCAATAGACGGTTATCCTCTTCGGACAACTATCCTAATTAAGCTGGACAAGGAGGTGTTGGATCGTGAAGAGCAATTGAAGTAATAAAAAGAATAAGCTCTATTACTATAGAGTAGCGATATTGTAAAGTAACGGCTACCACAACATTGCTGCATTTGTCCGGATTATTCAATAATTTTTTCAGTCGGTCTGCTACTAGGGGCAACCGATATAAAATGGTTGGCTCAGATAAAGTCTGTTTGACTCATCAGCTGCTACAGCAGCCAAGTGCATTTTACCATATAATTTCCATTTTATTTTTGAGAACAGGCATATGGAATTTGCTGAAGACCAACATATTTTTTGGATGGCTCCCAGCGATGTAAGAAATGCAATTATCACTTATCTTGACTGAGATGCAGCCTGCCTTCATATCTGGCTTGCTTCCAAGCTATATAATACAATGCTCTCTTTAGTCCACATATGCTTCACAGTTGCTTCAAAATACATGCATGACCAGACGTTGGAGGAACAAAATAGATCAACTACTTCATTCCTTACAGACAACGATCCGCCCAGCCATCCATATGCAAGATTTTGACCAATTGTTCACGATCCATGCCTTATCTTCTGGTTGCATCTGATAACCACTTCCAGACACTAAAGTTTCCGGATCCTTAAGGTTGACTAGTTCACTTAAACATACTCTTAACCTTAGATCTAATGTCTTCTTTCTTTCAGTCACTCCATTATACCCTATCAAGTTAAGATATCGTAGTCGATTCAATAACATTTAGATAATCAAGGTTGGTGCATTTCAGTAGTACCTTCCATAGCTCCTGTGAACCTGAGGTGAAGCCGTATGTGAACCTGGCGACTGTGGAACTATGGGTTTTGACGAGGTTTGAAAGTTGATCCAGCTCAGGTGATGAGAGAGAAGTGTCTATAAGAGCAAGCCACATTTGCCTTTCAGCACGTGCATATGCACTTGAACTTTGTCCTCAGGCTGGTGACGAGCCTACGGCTTCTTTACTTTTTTGGCCGTTGTTTTTTTCTTTTTTCTTTTTTTTATTTTTTTGTTTGTCCTCGGGGAGTTGTTACTTTGGGCAGAGAAAAGCCTTTTTCCCTTTCAAAATGATCTGTGAAAAAAAAAAAAGCGTGATTGGTCAACCCCGACGGGCTTTTTCTGAAATGGTCATGTGATCATAAATTACAGGGGAGACTTCTTTCCAGGGCTTCGCCCAATGCTGTTCTGCTTGCACAGTAAGTTGATGATCTTTGTCGTACTGCTGTTAAATACTTTGAATATGAACTGTCATTGATGCGACCTTTTTATTTTTATTTTTATTTTTATTTTTATTTTTTTTAATTTTAATCTTATTACACAGCCCCGTTTTTAATACTTGTACTTTGTAGAGTAATCTTTTGGAGACACAACCAGACCTCGTCCTTTACGAGCGCCTCTGAAGACCGTTTCAACAATATCAATCAATTCCTGTTTACTGTCCAGAGCCCAATTGATCTTGTTATTGTTTCCTGTTCCTAAATCGACCATGATATGTTTGTTTCGGAAAAAGAACATCGTTGTGCAAGGATCGTAGAGCTCGTACATCTTGTTAAAATCGGGTACTTCAGTGATGTCGACTAGATAAATGACTGCAAAGTTTTTGATCTTTTCTGCAACAGAGTATAGGATTTCATCCATTTGCATACAAGTTGGGTCCCAATCTGTACCAAAACGGATGACTACGACTCGATCTTCTTCAGACAGGATGGCTTGATCGACTTGCCAGCCATTAGTGAGATGTGGAAGGAAATAAGACTATTTTATATACACACAAAAGTTAATAACAAAAAAAAAAAAAAAAAAAAAAAAAGAGTAGTTAGTATTATTGTTGTTATTAGGGTATTGATGTCAAAAAAAAAAATAAAATAAATAAATAAATAAAAAAGAGAGAGTGAGTGAGAGAAGTTGATTAAACGAAGCACACATTGTTAGTGTAGCATTGTTTGTGAGATGGCGCAGAGGTTATGTTCATACCATGGTTATAAGCTATGTTTTGCGATGTAGATGCGAAAAAGCAGGAAAGGGGAGAGAATGTGTGCGCGTGTGTATGTTGAATGGAAAGAGTAGAGTAAGAATGGTACGTGTGAGTGTGTGTGAAGTGTTTGGTTGAACAACAAAATTAAAGAATGGCTAATGTTTAAGAAGTCCTGTTACATCATTAGTTTTTTTTCGAGATCTCTCTCGCAATCTTCTTTTTTAGTGATCAGAGATACTTTGTGGCTTTGTTATGGCGGCCACTGATTGGTCGGCTCCTTAGAGCTCCCCTGTGGTGCGAATTTTCAATGGGCTGGCTATGGGCTTTTGCTTTCTTTATCTCTTGCCAAACTTCTAGCTTATTCAGCTCGACTTGTCCATTATTCAAAGGTCGCATTGGCTCATCAGCACATCTCCTCTTTTGAGGCCATCTGATGCCATTGCCTCCTTCCTCTTCTCTTTTCTTTCCTTCCTTCCTTTGCTCATTGTCAAAACAGGACATTCGACATTTATTCACTCATTCATTATCATTCATCACCATCATCATCGTTATCATCATCATCATCATCATCATCTTGTTTACTCCTTTTAATTCTTTATCCTCTCCAACGGACCTTTTCCCCCTTTAACTGGCGCTGCTGGACCAGCTCCGAAACTTTGTTCACCCTTTTTAATTTCTTATACACAACTTGGGCCCAACATGAAAAATAATAGCGCTGGTAGTTTACCATATCATTCTGCGTCGAGTCCAAGGCGGGGAATCTTCTATCAGGCTCGTCGTTTTAGCCGTGGAAGAGCACTACTTCTCGTTTGTCTCGGAGTGATTACTTTGCTCGCTCTCACTCGTATCTCCAGCCAAGCTTCTTTTTCTTCTTCATATGATTCTCAGACATCCGTTGACGAGTCCGAACGAGAGTCTACGACGGAGGCAGAACGGGAACAGATCGTGAAGCAGATCCTAGAGACTAGGAAATCTGCTTATAGTTTTGAAGATTTTACAGAGGAAGGGCTAGTTTTAGAAGAGAATGCTCATTTGCTCCCTGCGACTGCTATCTTACTGGGCTGGAAGAGATTAGAGGGACTAAAGTTGATCGTCAAGTATCTGGCACGGTATCCGTATATTAAAGAGATCATTGTCTGGAACAATAATAAGGAAATCCGATTGACGAAACAGGATTTTGAATTCGATTCCAGTTTTGGGCCTTTACCAGAGTTGCAGGTCTACAATGGCAAGGAGAATTTACATGATTTTGCAAAGTACATGTCGTGCTCACTAGCGAAATATCAGCATTGTTATTTCCAGGACGATGACTGGCTCAATACACATATGGATGCACTTTATACCAACTTTTTGACCAGCCCCAACTTGATCCATACCAACACCTTGCCTTTGATCCATATGGAGCATCGTCGATGGACATTCACAAATCTTGGTATGTTTGAATGTATGCATGTGGTGTACATGTGTGCATGTGCACAAGCTTTTTTCTTTATACATGCATGTTTCACCCTGACTGTTGGATTGGATGATGGTCCAAGCTCCCATTTCCCTTTTTTTTTTTTTTTTTTTTTTTTTTTACTGAATTTGAAATTTGAAATTTATTTTCCGTAATGTATTTCAGATTATAAGATGCATACAGGATTTTCATGGATGGGTACTGGTTCTTATGTCCCTAGAGAAAAAGCGAAACAGCTATTGGAACAAGGAGGCAATAGCAACTTGGCCAAGGATCGGCTGAAGGTGATTGACATGTATTTTTCTATCTGGACGAACCAGTATCCATATCAACTTGTCAATTATCTTACACCACTCGATCAAAAGAACGGATGGAGTACTGACGGTGCTACTGACCACTGGGCGATTGTCTTCAGGAACATGGTAAAATTAAAAAAAAAAAAAGGCAGATGTTTCACATTAGATAAAAGTATTGTGACCAATAATTTTCTTTCTTCTTGTTGAAAATATCTAGTTGGATGCAGCAAGTCGTTTATACTCTGCATTGGTGGCAAACCCCGAGGTTTCTGAGAAGGATTACTTTCCACGAGATGAAGAGCAGCCCTTTATCAATGAGCGTCATGCACGGTAAGTAAAGAGAAGGTCTTTTAGAGACCAATGTGGAATACAAAAAAAAAAAAAAAAAAAAAAAGGAGTAGTTCTTAATTCCGTTGCGAAATGTATATACGTTTAGATCGCCGTGTTTCAATGATAAATGCCTTTTCAAGACCAGTATGGATCCATTCCCAGAGCCAAAAGAAGTTGTCTACACGGGTGATTTGCAGACGATTGACGAACAAAATGCAAAGTTCTTTGAGCTCGAGTACCCCAGCAACGAGTTCTTTAGCAAGTATTCATACATCCATGCTGTTGACAACAATCCTCTGACATGCTGGAACAGTTTTAAAAGTAAGCTTTTTCTTTTCTTTCTTTTCCTTTTTTATTAACAGGTGCTGTGCAAATGACAATAGTTGCTTATACAATTCTTTCCTTCCTTCCTTTCTTCCTGTAGTTCCACAGGCAGGAGACTCCTTTGGACTACAATTTGTGAAGACGACGCCATTGCGCAAGTTCACGATTACATCTTCGAAACCATTGGGACATTTGGAGGGCAAGTTTACGGTGATGGTATCAGACCAAGCAGGGGCTGAATGGACAACATGTCATTATTCGACACGGTTTCCATTTTCACATACGATGGCCTTGGATATCTCATGTCCTGCAGCGCCGGGACTTCCTAGAGGCACTGCACATAATGTCAAGATTCAGTTTAATCAAAATCTAGAGAAATCTTTGGAGATTTGTGGCATGGATGTGGGTGGTATAGTTCTTTGAATACTATTTTTATTGAAATCAAAAAGTTTAAAAAAAAGGGGGGGGGGATAAATAGATGTTATAAATAAGTAATGATTACAAAGGATAGAAAAAGGATAAGGAATAAAAAGGAAAGCATCATTAAAAAAAAGAAAAAAAAAAATATTGATTGTGTCATCGACGCGTTTTAGATGTAATGTCGTTCAATCCTATGCTCTTTCCCTTCCTTTTCTTGCGACCTTTTCCTTTTATTTAGCGTCTACACGAATACCAATGATGGAAGAGAGGAGAGAGTATTGGAGCATGAATAATGAAAAGAAGGAAAGAAAAGAAAAAGAGAGAGAAAGGAAAGGTTGATCGTAATGAAAAGAAAGGAAGAGGGGAAAAAGGGAAGAATCAGTAGGAAAAAGAAGATCATTGTATGCATGAGTGCGTAATAGATGGACTTGAATAGTCCCAAGTGAAAAGGACAACGTGGTTTGGAGAGCGAATCATTATTTGAGATGGGGAAAAAAAAAAAAAAAAAAAAAAAAAAAAGCAAAAAGGAGGTTAAGGAAGCATGAGAAAGCATGGTAGGAAAGGAATGTGTTGTGGAACTAAGGATGGACTTTTTTTTTTTTTTTTTTATTTTTTTTACGCAAGGATAGCGTAAGTGTACAGTGCATGATGTTCAGCCCCTCGATCGCTGATTTATACATGTAGTTTACGCAACAATGCGATGATTTTATTGACAGAAAAGAGATCTGTGAAGGGCATCTGCAGTCAAAGATTGAAGAAGTGCCTGCATTGCATTGGATTGGTGTTGCAGAAAGAGGATAGTTAAGGGATAAATAAACCAACGATCTTAATGTTTGTCCCAATGAAAGGCAAAAAATAAAAAACTAAAGATATAAATAAAATAAAAGTATAAAAGTATATGTGTACGTACAAAAATAAAGTAAAAAAGAAATGGACCAGCAGAGTTTTAATAAAAAGATTTAAAAAAAAAAAAAAAAAGTTGGACATTTGGAGAGGAGGAGAAGGAGAAAGGGGAAGAATGAGGAGAAGGAGAAGGAGAAGGTGGAAGAGGAGGAAGAGGGAGAGAAGGAGGAAGAGGAAGAGAGACAGGGAAAGGTTTTTATTAAAAAGATTCATGCATAAGAAACCTGGATCTAGCATCTAGCATTTCAAAGCGATGTTTGCAATGCTCTGGTTCCGTTGTCAGACTATTGTCACTGTCAAAGCGTTCTTTTTTAAAAGTACATTTAATAGGACATTTAATTCAATTTGACACGTCCAAACAAATAACATGAATAAAAATTAAGGAACCAAATGGCATACACTTTTCACGTTTTCTTTTTACATTCAACATTCAATTCATTCAATTCATTCAATTCATTCAATTCATTCGTTCATTCATTTCTTTTCATTCATTCCTAATCTTTTTTTTTTTTTTTTTTTTTTTTTTTCTTCTTCATCGCTCTTTCATTTCATTCCATCCAAACTTCATGACCTTACTAAAGACAACATAGACGACGACTCCAATACTTGCTATCACCGTTAAATTGTTCAACATCGGTTATACACTCACACATACTTTTATCAGAATACATTATCATTAAATTAAACATTTATTACCCACCATCTTTGCTTCCTTTGCCTTTTACACCTTGACATCCAATCTCACTCTTTATTCAAACGCATCTACACACACATCCATTATGGTTTCTGAGGGATATACCTTCTGTTACTATGTCTCTGGTCATGGTAAGTGAGATTGTTCAAAAAGGATCGCAACTGCTACTCAGCTATACGATAACACGATAGATAAGGAACGATCCTCCGTTGAAACAAGTCTCATCAACATATGCTATTAATACCCAACAATGTCTGGTTTCAACAGTGTCAGTGGCAGTGACAAGGGGGGAATAAAACTAATCAAAGCCGTCTCCACCTCTCAATCATACACAATGGTACTGCACCACACCTAGGTTTTGGTCATGCAACAAGAGTGAATCAGATCATCACAGAGCTCCTAAAGTCACCCAAGTTGTCCTCTACAACTTCAGGATCATCCCCATCTATATCTACATCTTCCTCTTCCACTACAGAGCTGCAGGTCAGCTCTTCTTCTTCCAGTCGCCATACTATCTACATTGTCTCAGATGCACCTCAATTTATCTTTCAGGATGTAATTGCGCTGGGCGCAATCTACAGGAACGCAAAAGTCGACGCAGGCGTCGTTCAGCCACTTGTAAGTCAAACCAACTATTGCTTCAAAAGCAAGATGTGATTTTTTTTTTTTTTTTTTTTTTTGGGTATTTTCGGAATTCAAAAGATAGTAGTAAAGAAAAGTCTTGGTTCTAGATTAATCGTTGATTATGCCATGATTCAGAAAACAATGAGGGCGAAGACCCTTTTTTCTATTGTCCAAACGCAACCGTCTTGCATTCGCTCAGCAAATTGATCTAAAAAAAAAAAAAATTCCATGCATTCACTCTCCCCTGTTTTCTCTCATGAATTTTTTTTTTTTTTTTTTCTTTGTACCACCCCCATCTATTCTTTGGATCAACTTTTCGTTTATTTACCCGCCAATTTATTTCATTGACATTGTTTAGGCTTATTCTGTGGACAGAGAAAAGACAATTGAAGGATGCAAACAATTCTTGTCGCGACGTGATGAGATGATTCAACTTGAAGTTTCCTGGCTGGCCCAGGCTGGGATTGACTGTGTCCTTGCCGATGCCCCGTTTTTACCATGGTAAGGTTTCAATAAAAAAAGAAACGTTTGTTTCCGTTGAAAAATGGTTTGAATATAGTTAAATGTAATTGAGCACCATCCAATGATCTACCGCAAATGGTTTGCAGCACAAGCAACAAAAAAGATAAGAAAGAGAGGAAATTGAGCACAATTGGATCATCTTCTTCCTCTTCGCCCCCCTTTTACACCCGCACCCCCTCCGTTGGCCTTTTTGTTATTATTATTATTATCATTATTATTCTTATTGTAAAATGAAATCAACACTTCGTCTGCTCTCACTCTCACTCTCTCACTCTCTCACTTTTGATTTTCGTGCTCACTGACTCTCTTGCTCCCATTATCATCTCTACCACGGATAAGCGGCTATTTGTCTGTGTCTGGGTACATCATCCCACGCAAAAAAAAAAAAAAAAAAAAAAGTTAATGAGTATGAGCATCAGTCAACACATAAGGAGGACCCAGCACTAGAGCCTTTCACATCAGTTGATTATTATGTTTATTTTGGAGCAAACTCGAAGTATAGACTTTCACCCGTTGCTCATTCTGTTCCTCACGCTAACATATCCTTTTCGTCAATTTATTTGATTTTCTTACATAATTAGTGCTGCTGCTAGCGCTTACGGCATTCCAGCGATTTTGATCACAAATTTCACATTCGATGAAGTGTATCGGTTCCTGCAAGAGGGCGATGCATTGGATAAGGATGTGATTGCGTGTGCAGATGCAGCATTGGAGGATTACAAGAAGGCGTCTTTGTTACTTCGATTGCCAGGATCGATTGATATCCCTTCATTTGGAGCTGAAATCCTGACCATGGAATTAGAAAAGTCTGCATCAACGCCCATCATCACCACTTCTAATAGCAGTGCTAGTCCATCGGCCATGTCTGGCCTTGATGAGGCAGAAGAAGAAGAGACATCCTATGAAGATGCTCAAATCGAAGGACATTTTATTCAAAAGAAGAAGCGACATTTCTCTGAGGAGCAAGAGGATGCTGAGGAGTTTTCTTTGGGAACATCGATGGAAGAAGCCACACCTTCTGGAATTATGTCTCCTGCGAATAGTGTCCGCACGACTGTCTCTTCACCGAATATGTCGCTCGTCAATAGTCGTAGCAACAGCTCCTTCCACTTCACAAGCTCTTTCTCCTCTTCCTCTTCCTCATTACCTTCAACATCCACTTCTTCTTCTAAATTGAATTTACTTACCCGAAAGGCGATCGATGTCCCATTGGTTGTTCGTATGGCAGTCAACACGCGGGAATATGTATTGAGATCATTAGGAATGGATGAATTGACAATTCAGACAAAGAAAGTGGCCCTGGTTTCATTTGGAGGGCAACAATTGAAAGAAGGATGGGGTAATCCTTTACCTGAGGGCTGGATCGGAGTCATCTGTGGGTTGCCTGCTGACTATGAGTTACCTAAAGGATTTTATAGAAGTCCGCATGGTGTTTATGTTCCAGACTTGACACGAGCTGCAGACATTGTCATTGGCAAGCTGGTAAGAACTTTTTTTTATTTTTTTTTTATTTTACTATTTTTTTTCCTTGTCATGGATTAAAAAAAAAAAAAAAAAAAAATCCAATTTTAATTAAACATGTGTGTGGTTTCATTTATTAATTTTTACCCATGTCTGTTTCAATGATAGGGATATGGAACGTGCTCGGAGTGTATTGCGCATGATAAGCCGTTAATTTATGTGTCTCGACCTCAGTTTGTGGAGGAGCATGGGCTAATCAAAATGATGAGGAAGCATGGTCTACCTGTGGAGATGACGGCAGATGAATTTGAGGATGGACATTGGCAGCGCGCGATTTTGGAGGCTGATCGACAGAAGCAGGAGGAAATTGAAGAATGTAGGCGTTATGAGAAAGAGGGCTGTAACATCATTAGCAGCAGCAGTAGCAAACGATCGCGTTGTCGATCAACTTCAGTATCATCGTTATCGACCTTTGGACCCAAGGGACCAAAGATGGTACGGTTGTCTCCACCTGTAGAGGAAGAAGGCGAAGAGACTGAGGAGAGGACGTCGTTGACCCTGAATATTTTGGATGACAGAAGTGAAAACTCTGATAGACACAAACATAGCGACAATAACGGCAACAACAACAACAGCAACAACAACGGTGGCAACGATAGCAACAACTATAATAACCAGATCATTAACCGCAAGAAGTGGATCCCCAATAATGGCGGTGAAGTATGTGCACAGTTGATAGAGAAATTTATGGAGCAGTTGCAAGAGGCATATCATAATCAAGTAGATGATGGTGATGACTAAATGTCTCCCAATATTGGAAGATCATATAAGAAAAAATAAAAATAAAAATAAAAAAAAAAAAAATAGAAAAAAATAAATAGAAATAGACCTTTTAGAATTCTAAACAACGTTCATTGGTGCCGATGGCTGATGTGTGCGTGGCTGAACACATTGGACTCTAATTTTATTACAATTGATCCTTCCAATTCAATGAAACGAGCATTGCTGTGTTACCCTAACTCCGAAAAAGAAAAAAAAAAAAAAAAAAAAAAAAAAAAAAAATCAGCCCCAACCAAGAAATGTGTAGCATAGTTACTTCAGTTAGAACATTAATACTAATTAGACTTGAACTCGGGTCGATCAAAAAAGCAACGGCTTTTGGAGCCAGCAAGGTCAGAGGCGAAGGAGAGCATATATATAAATATAAAAATGTAAAAAAAGAAGAATTGATACGATTCAAGGTTATATAACGAGCAATTATTGATAAGAGTAGAACTAATAATAATATTCATTTACTTTTGAGGATGAGCCTTCGTTGGAATGAAAAAAAAAAAAAAAAAAAGTTGTTTGCACTAATGTACAATGGTGCCATTGTCCCATGGCCATGATAATGGTAATCAGGCACGAACGCAGCTCGATTTCCTCGAGAGGGGACCAAAGATTAAGACAAGGATAGAAAGACAGACCGAGTCTTTTAGTAACACTGGAAAAGGGAAGAATGAAGGGATGAAGAGAGATGGGGGGGGGGAATGAAATTTTAACACCGGAATAAAGTAAAGTTGTCCCTTGTTTGCTCGTTGACCCCCACCAAAGTTACACATGAGGTCATTAAGCTCCTTCTTCCTCTTTTCTTTCTCATTGCCAAATGACCATTGCATTGCATTTCATTTCTACTTTTCTTTTTTATTAGTTTTCTTTTTATATTTCTTTCCCTTTCTCCTTTCACATTAACCCTCTCTCTCTCTCTCTCTCTCTCTCCAGTCACTCCACTCCATTTTCCGCTATCAATTGGACTGAACACATCCCCCTCTTATAACTCTATCTCTTCTACCTATTTATCACACTCCTTCTCTTTTTTCTTCCCCCCCTTATTGACAAACAGAACAGAGGGATTCCACTTTAATTAGTGATAACAACAAGGAATGGCTCCAGTGCATGTGCCCTCCATACTCTCAACTCATTCTGGTCATCATCGTATCTTCATTGGTCCTGTTATTCAACAAACCAATCCTCAGAACGCCACCAATGGTTTGACCTCCAATATCTCTTCATCTTCTTTTACTCGACATAATAACAACGCAAAGAATTCAAAAAGAGGCAACATTAATAGTAGTAATAGCCATAGTAATCAAAAAAGCAGCAACCATCATTATCATGAATCAAAGTCCAGTTCACAAGCACCTAAGCCTTGGTGGGATCAAGGTTCTTCGTTTTTAAAATCACATCTTTCTTTACATCATCAGCTTGATCAACAGCAGCAACGTAATAATAACAATCATCCGACAACAACAACTTCTGCAGCCGCAAAAGTAGGTGTGAAAGCTGCCTCAGTTGGGAGTAAACATATTTATGATAAAGCTGCCCGTCGTCCAAATCCAGCTCAACATCAGGCCTCATACACCTTTAGTGATGACACTGATAGCTGTAGTAGCAGTGACAATGAGGATGGAACAGAGGATGAACAAGATGGAATGTATGACAGTGAGGATGAACGGAAGGATTATGAAAACGACCGTTTAACATCATCATCAGAAGGAGATGGAGAAGATGACCACGATAATATTCACGATCATGAGTATGATGATCCTCATGAGGATGTTATGGATATTAAAGACCCGCGAGACATTCAACACAAGGACAATGACAACAGATCACCAACATTTGCTAAGAACGAAGGTCAAACATTCAAGAAAGCAAACTCTTGGTCTTCTGCAGAATCAGTCTCTGCACGCGTTGGGCCTAGTCAGGGACCCTCAATAACCAAGGAACAGACGTCTACGAAACAGAATGGAGCCCTTGGTGATGCGATATCGATTGCAAATACAACTGCAGCAGCTGCAGCCACAGTGCTTCTCCCTGGGATCAACCAGGACGATATTAAAACAAGAAGTAAAGGCAAAAACAAGAAGCAGCAACAACCATATGCAACTGATAATGACCATGATAATGGTGATCAACATGGTGATGATGATGGTTACCATGATATCGCAACAGATCGAGCTGCTGCTCTTTCAGAAACATCAACAGCAACACGATGGGGCTCCAGTAAAAGAAGAAAACGAACAAAAAGTATGCGGGATGAAGGCGAACCCAATCGACTGAAAAAACTCTTTGGTATAGGGCCCAAAGAGAAACAACATCACCAGGGCAGGATAGACGATCCAGACCTTGGATACGAGAGTGACGGATCGAGGTAAGGAAGTTTACATGACAAATCCATGCCACCACAACACATGGTACACACTTGAATTCATTTAATCCATTTGATTGCATCATCAATCCAACCACATCGTCAATTTGTTTGTTTTCCTTTTCCTGGCTTGTGCACAAATATCGTGTTCACTCCCCCTTGACTCCTCACTTGAATGTTTTGAGTTTGCGCATTCTCCACATTTGACACAATCACAAACAACGTGCCTCAACAAGGCGCTTGCTCTCTAGGTTTGAGTGCCCCTATTGTCTGTTATCTCGTGCACCAGCTGACTATTTTTTAAAAAATAAAAAATAAAAAAATAAAAAACATATAGAGTATCACGACCACATCTTCCTAGACAAGCAACGTCAGGGGCATTGACACTTGGACATTATCATGGACACGGACATGTAAGCCACCATCCTGTCCTTGTTGGCTCGCCCATGTCATCCGAGATTGACTTACCAGGTAGTGGTGGTGGTGCTGTCTTTGTCAGCTCACCAGTCTCCTCAATATTGGATGGCAAAGAAGGCAACAACCATAGCATGACCATGGAAAGTTCTGACAGACCCGATCCATCCCCTATCCAGAAACTACCTAATGCTACTTCAACAAACGACGCTATGTCAGGGCACCTGAGCCCTCAATGGAGACCATCTTCTATCCATTCTTTTTCATCCGCAGCCTCCTCACCGTCTTCGCCCTCTAACTGCCAACCGAAGCGAGGCGCTACTTGGATGACAGCTCGAGAATCGCCGTCAAGTTTAGGTGGACGGGATGATGGGTTGCTATTAGACCAGAAGAATGTGATTAAGGAAGAAGATGAGGAAGAAGATGAAGAAGACGAGACAGAGCACGGTGTTGGGGCGGATACAGATGGAGATCATTTCGAGCTGGCAAGGATGATCAGCCACGAAAGCAACTATGTTGATGCGCCGAGCTTGATGCAACAAGACCAAGCAATTACGACAATAACAACATCAACATCAGCAGCTGGTCGGAAGAGTTCAGAGGTGAATGAAACTTCTGACCCCTCATCAGAGAAAGCAGCTAAATGTCTAAATGTCTCTGTATCGCTGCCGCAGCAGGCATCATCCTCTTCGACCCCAACAGCAGCGACAACAGAAAAGGAACCATTTTCAACGACCCTCGACAAAGCTAGCACACGATTCGGTCGAGCGCTCTTAAATAGAAACCTTACTGGACTCAAGAGACATGGTGACATGCCTCTACAACCTATTGGATCGATTTGTTCGATTGACAAAGATTGTCAGGGATCGCTTCGACATCGTTCAAGCGACGCTGAAATAGGTATTCACCAAGGGCCTCCCAAGGTTGGGAAACATGTTCGATTTTTGACCAAGGTCCAGTATCATATTGCAGGGGGTTCGACCCGTCAATCAACTCGGCTATGGACGGATGCAATTGTAAAACAGGACCGGATGTTGGCTCGTAGGGAAGTGACGCAACGACCAGGACCTCATGTGTTCAATTCAGACACAGCTCGCCGTCTGGAACGACAGAGCCAAGGATGGAAAGAATGGTGGTGCGTAATGAAAGGGCCCTCTTTGAGTTCCGTTGTAATAGCTGATAATAAGAGGGAAAAGGTTTCAAAAATTAAGAGAAAACGGTCCAAGAAAAGGATGGAGCGAGTAGAAAAGGGTCGACTGGAGTTTTACTATAACCATGTAAGTTATGCTTATGCTCAAAAAAAAAAAAAAAAAAAAAAAAAAAAATCTATTGTTCAATGTCTGATGATTGATTTTTGTTTGTTTGTTGGTTGGTTGGTTGCTAGAAAAAAATCAAGGACACCGTCATTCTATCTTCTTGTACAGCCGTTTCTGTGTACTCATCTCTGGATTACTCGATTGCAGTAACACAAAACTATCCAGAAGCTATTGGGTTAACGGTCTATATCCTTCGTCCCCGGACCATTTCATTGGCCTGTGCATGGTATATGGAAATCTACACATTACTCAATGGTACAGCACCGATTCCCAAATTTATCGAGCTTGCAGTCCCGGATTTTGATGTCAAGATCAGAGTCCCTATCCCTGAAGATTCTGAAACAGAGACAGACGACGACGATAATGATGATGAAGGCACAGATAATGAAGAAAGCGAAACTTCTTTAAGTTATACATTACCAATACAAGGCCCAAGAAGAGAACCTCTACCATTGCCTTCTTCTATTTCCTCACGACCTGGAATCACAGAAGGTCCTAATACTGCTGATAGAAATGCTGATGATGAAACAGGAGAGGCGCCTTTAAACAGCTTCAAGACTGTGATGTCCAGTTTCCCGGATCGGAATACCAACAGCAACAATAACATTAATGACATTAATCCCAGGATGGCGACGAGGACATTTTATTTAACCAACGATAGAGCTAAACCACAGTTGGTAGCACCAAATCAAGTGACGCCGAAATTATTGAGATCTCATGCTCTGTCACTTTTGAAGGATGTTCCTGATTGGGCTGAAGTTGTCAGGATGTGGCAAGATCCTACACAACATGGAGACGTGGCTCTCTGCTGGAAACGATATGATCGGATTGAATGGATCTATTGGGGAGGGCAAAACGAACATCGAGTCTTACCAGAGACGGATGATCTTCATCTTAGAAAAGATCATATTGGATTTGCAGATGGGTCTGATTGGTCCGGAGGGATGGATGAAACCGTTGTAGGGCCTCAAATCCTGGACAAGGTATTATAAAAAAAATCCTTGTCAACTCAATGTCAGTTTATCGTAACATTTCCTTTATTAACCTTTTTTTTTTTTTTTTTTCCTTTCTCTCCTTGTTGTGTTTCTTCTTTTTAATGATTTTTACAACTATGGAATAGACTCATGTGCTGGAACTGAGGCCGATTACACATTATCCCAGCAGGGCTCGTATTCCAGCATGTGAAGGAGGAACATTTGGTGGAGAATTGCATGAACCTGATCCGATCGAAGGTTATTTGGTCCGCGTCAGTGCATTTTCAGGGAATCCTCTTCGACGCTTCCGCCGATTGTATTTGACCTCTCATGACCATATGCTGTTCTATACGATCCCATCTGAATCCCACAGCCCGACCATGTCTCACGCTTTAGCAGGAGGAGCAGGAGAGGCAGCCATCGATCCAGCAGCCCTTCTGTTCTGTATTACACCTCATCGATCTGTCAACCCGGATCATAAGGATATGGCGCAGAGTCGATCCGTACGACGGTTGAAAGCTCAAGTGCGTGCAGCAAAAGGGTTTATTGATCTAACAAAAGTCGACAACGTCAGAGTCCTGACAATTCGAGAGTGGGAAGCAGTACGGCATTTGCCTTATCAAAAAGACAAAGAAAACAAGCAAATGGAGAAAGAGAAGCAAGGGAAGATCGAAAGATTAGGTAAAGCTGTTAAGCATGCAGTGGAGGAAGTTAAGGAGGCCAGGGACAGAACTCTAGAAGCACGATCATCACAAGATCAGCAACAGCGGGATCAGCAGCAACCGCAAGTGATTTTGAGAGAACCCGATAATTATTTTTTCCCAACGACTGTGACTGAACCTGTCGATAATTCGGAGCCTGGACCGTCATCATCACGGCAATCACAACAAAAAAATGAGGGGGATAATGTTACCAATGGCAAGCACCTAGACTCATCTGAACCTATGTCTAATTCTCTGGATCAGAAAACGAGCACTGCTGCATCATCAATTGCAGCCAAGAGTAAAGCATCTTCCCAATCATTTAAAGAAAACTTGCACAAATCAGCTACTTTCGTAGCAGACAAGCTCCTTCTTAATCATGGTGGCGATAGCGATGATTTATATTTGGATGAAGACAGCAATGTGTTTGAGATTGAGATGCAAAACGGACCCTGTGTTCGCTTCCGGGCGTTCAATGCGGAGGCAGCACATCTATGGTGCCAACAAGTTCAGAAGCTTGCAGAATATTGGAGGTTACGACGCCATTTAGATATCAAGGATCATATGCATGTGGCCCAAGCCAACTGCCAACTAGCATCCAGTATGGATGATGATGAGAAGCAGTTAGGAGGAGCCAGTGTAGTCGAAGCAGGAGGGGATATGATCAAGGACTGGGATAATGATCGGGCAATGGCATCACCCCATATTTGGAATTGGTGCGTCGTGAATGGATGTCGATCAGTGACAAAGTCCGGGATGGTGTACTTCAAGCCAAAACTGCATAGAACGTTCCGCAAAATGTTCTTGGTCTTGACAGAGGGATTTCTTATGCTATTTCATCCTCATCGACGATCCACGACCTCTGGTCGTCTGATCCCGACAACAGCGAACAAGTTATATGCGATACATTCATTGACAGATATCTATGTCTATTCGGGACACTTTTCAGATGGAGACACAGCTCATGGAACCAACGATGAATCTGAGCGATTACCAAGATTCTTCCCTGATGGATTGATTGCAGACGATCCGGACGAAGATTGCACTTTTTCGATTTGGAGAGGCAAGAGGAAAAAGATGTTTTCTAGACGAGGTGCAGTAGCAGCAAGCAAAACGACAATGATGTCTCCGAAATCAGTCAATGGATCATCGTCTAAGGTTTTTAGCAAAATTGGATGGTTATCCAATCTGGTAAAAGATGGAGTTGTTTATGGAAGTAATCCACAGAGCTGTAGTGTCTTCCGAGCGAGATCACGTCCGGATTTGGAGGAGTGGGTCTATGCGATCAATACAGAGATTGAACGATGCGTTCGAGCAGAACGGCGAAGGGTCCGACATCGTTTGAGATGATCGGAGAACAGTACGTACAACATAATACAATGCAATATTTACAATCCAATCAAATCCAATCCAATTAAATCCAATCCAATCCACGATATTGTATTTTTTTTTTTTTATGAGACACATAAAACGAACTTATAAGTTGGGCGAATTATTTCGGATGAAGGAAAGACTATATGCGTTCCCAAGATCTTCTGCAGTCCTAAAGTAATTAAACAATTAAGCTCTTTGCCAGTAGGATAAAGGCATCAAGACGCGGATATCCCCCTTGATAAATCATGAGCAGGACAACGTATTGAAAGACTGAATACAGCTTATGTAGCCTTTGATACTCCTTGATGTAAATAAGCTGAAGGGATGTCTCCATGTGTGGGATGTGAGAGGGAGAAGACGGTGATGTTTTCATACCCGAAATGATGGCGTACTTCATGCCCAACGCCAATTTTTAAGCATCAGAGTAGAATAAAAAATAGAGACAGGCAGACCCCATTGATCCACGTCCATCCCACTCAATTCCATTGCATTCCACCGCGCTCAAGGCACATTGCGAGTCATTTCGTAAGGTATGAAGGCTTTGATTACTTAAAAAGACTTGATTGGTAGAGTTCTTTCAAGCCAAGAACGTTTTAGGTTGCGAAACCTCTGAGCGTCGAAATGGGGGGTTGGGGTGAGCATGATTGACGGTTTCATTATTGCAGGAGCATTTGGAGACAACTGCTTGATAAAGACATAGTAGAGTAGTATAGATGTAGTATTCACCAAAGTTCATTGAATGAAAAGATGGTCATTGTCTGGGTAGCTGTTGCTCACAGTGCTGTGGTGGACTAAATACATGGCGCAAGTGATCCAAACTTCTCCAATCAATTCAGTCCTCAGTCGAATGCGCCTTCCTTCCTTTGAAAGGTGCTCTTGTTCGATATTGATGAATGGGGGGAGGATACACATTTTCTTGATGCTCTCAACAACTTTCTTTTTTTTTAAGCTCTATAAACGATATTGGGGAGGTGAGTAGGGAAATGAAGATGATGGGTCTGAATATCAAGTGCATAGAAAAATAAAAACAAACAAATGAACAAACGATATGAACACGAACATGGATATGAGCAAGGACATAAGAACATGAGAGCATATGGGAGAACAATCAATTGAAATAACATTAATGATTAATGATGCGCACTAATTTTTCATTTCGTGTCGTTCTACCTCGTGGTAAATGTCGCTCTCCTTTTTTCTGCCGACTTGTCGCTAAGAAAGAGCATCGAGGACAAAAGAACAAGGTCGATCTCTCTTCCTCTCTCCCTTTCTCTGTCTTTCTCTCCTTTTCCTTTTTCATTATATTATTTCGTATCCTTTTCCAAACTTTCCACTTTTTTCTTTCTTTTTCTACCATAAACGCGAAAGCATAAGCACGTTTACATTCAATAGTCGATTCAATTAACAAGTTCTGCATTTTGATTCAGATGCCATTGTTGTAAAGATCATCTTTTTTTTTTAAAAAAAAAAAAAAAAAAAAAAAAAAAGGTATTGTCAACAAATTGATCTGACATCTTGTCCTCATCTCTGATGCCCCTGACATGAAAAGGACAACATGCAAGCATGGAAGAAGAGAGGAGGCGATGCTGTGTAATGTAGCAAAATAAAGTATTTTGCAATGAACAATAAACGAATGGGGCTGTGTTTGGTCGATGAGGACGAAAGAGAGTGAAGTGAAATGTGGAAAGAAGTGACAAAGGAAAAGCAGAGAATTTTTTACACTTTTCGGCACAGGAACTGAAGGACACATTATGCTCCATTTCCCTTGCGAACTATATGAACTTGGTCTCACTGACCTTCTTACTAATCCTTCAAAACCATGGATGGACATTTGTTGTTGTAACGCACAAACTTCAAAATCAGTTCCTCAGCCCTCTCTCTCTCGACTTCCCTCATTTTTGTCTGTGCGTTTAAAAAAAGATGGGCGTTGCGACTTCGCCCTTGGGACAAAACAAGACATTTCTGGAGACAGGCACATGCTGTGCATATGATCCAAATGAGCGTTATTAGTGACGCTTCATTATGATGACGATTTTAAGGGTTTGGGAAGTTGGTGTGGCGCAGCGGGAACCTGTGGAGCAAAGAGAAAGATCAACAATTGCTCACCAAGGCCGTCCTATCCTTTTGTATTCTCACCCCTCAAAACAATCCGGACAAAAGGATAAAAGGACATGGCATTTATCCATGTAGGGTCTTCTTCCTTCTCTTAACTCTCTACTCTGCTGAAGGATTCCCTCCTCCTCATACCAATCCAACCACGTAATAGGAAATAATTAATGCAGCCCTGATTCCCTTTCATCCATCAGATCAGACCCGGACACATGAGCTCTTTCTCTCTCCCTCTCTCTCTCTCCACTCATCATAATCAACACTCGATACTATTGATCATTATCCACTCTTAAAACAATCATCTCTCGAATATCAACAATAAATTCATGTCTTCTTTACTCATCCTTATTCCATTTTCTTCTCTTTCTTCTTTTCCCTCTTTTTCTCTTATACTCTTTCCTTTTTTCTCTCGCTGGATCTCTGGAACGACAAGAAGGGGGAACGGATTTCCTATTACATCGAGTGGACTACGAAAATAGCTCTTTTTTTTTTTGTTTTTTTCCGAATTGTTTGATCCAACCACATCCACAATGTTGTCCGCAGAGGATGCGGCCATTGCCAATTCTTTGTCCCAAACCTTGTTTCCAGGGGCCTATGCGCCCTTCCCTGTCTCGTCAGCAAGTATATCCGAAGCATCAGCATCAACAAGTGAAGGAGAAGTTGTTTTCGGAAATATTGTCACCACAAGTCGCGGCAATGAGCAGACGACAACCACGACGACGCCCATTGTAAGCAGTAACGATTATCATCTCTTTTTTGATCCTTTGCATATACACCAAGTCCAAGGCCAGAATCAACAACATCGCAATAATGGAAACAATGGTATCAAAAGGGCCAGAGAATGGACAGCAGATGAGCTACAGGCGCAGTATTTGGATGAAGTGGAAGAGTATCAATGGACACAAACTATGGCTATTCGGGCCATGCTTCAACAGCAGCAACTGGGTGCGCAGGCGCACCCACAGACCTCAACCATGTCTCAGACGTCTCATCTTCAGCCGCCGCAACATCAACCCCAATATCAATACCAATACCAATATCAATATCAAGAGCAGAGCGGCATCATTGGATCTGCTACAACTGCTCGGCAATATCGTAATCAACCACTCCAATCACAAAGCCGGCCTTTGAATCAACAACAACAGCATCAACAACAACTTCAGCATCAAGAACGACATCACATGCATAACAACCAAACGACCATCATCCCTCTCACTTTACATTCTCAGTCGTATCATCCACCTCTAAGACAACATCAACAAACATATAATTATAATAATATGCCAAGAGAACATGTGGTCCCAACGATGAGTTCAGCTCCAGATATCGTGAGAGCAATGGGATCTAGTATCCCAGCTATTACGAGTATGAGTCTGAATACGGACACAACTATGAATACAGCTATGACTACGAGCGCTACTGTTGCTGCAATGCCAAGTCCTGTCTTTGGCGTGACTTGGAGCGGTGATGAAAGCACAGCTCTACTATTACAACAGCAACAACAACAGCAGCAGCAACAGCAGCAACAGCAACAGCAGCAACAGCCATTACAGGCCAATTACAATGCTTCAGCGCAGCCACCGACGCTATCATTGATTAGCGGTGGAATGGCCAATAACAAGAGCAATAGCGATAATAGTGACAACAGCAACACCAACCCGAACTTCAACAACAGCACGCTTCTTAACTTTAACCATATTCCACAGCAATATGCCACATATTCAATATCTTCTCCTTCGCCTTCGATAATGTCTGCTACGGGAGAACAGCAAGAATCTAGATATGGAAATGTGTATGGATATGGGGGTCTAGGGATCTCTGCTCCTGTACCCTCCATCCCTAGCTTTCCATATTTTCCACCGGCTATCCAGGTAAGTTAAGCATGCATAACAGAGGTCCTTATAGTATTCAACTATGTGTTTCTTATTACAGAAAGACGAATTATGGTTATGTTTGCGCGCCAACATATTTTTATTCGACAGTGATAAACACAAACACAGAACACAAACACAGACAGGGGTGCAGGGGTGATGGAATTTAGGGGAGGCCAACCTGGTAATTTGTTATATTTTTAGAAACACACAAAAACAAACTCTAAATTGATCAAGCAACCCAGTCAATTGCTTTCACACGCGCCTTTGAATTATGGTCGAGGCCTTTTCATTGACTATGGCATTGCATTGTGAACAAACATTTTGTTGAAAAAAAAAAAAAAAAAAAAAAAAGAACCGCCCTTTTTTATTCTCCTGTTCACTCCTACTTCCTACTTAACTTGATGTGTTTGCTCTCAACACAATATTATCTGTTATTATTACTTGTTATTATTACTTTATTGCTTAATGAATTCCCAAAAAAATAATTTCCGGAAAAAAGAATGCATAATACATCTTGCATACTACCCATCCTTTCCTTCAAGATTAAAAAAAAAAAAGTGGAGAGAATGATTATTTCAACCACGCGGGAATATGGTTTTGTGCATGCATCCATATTTATGACCCGGCAGGCTTCTTTTTGTTGTATTTGGCTGTCATTCTGGATAACTTCGTTGTTTGTTTGTGTCAAACTTGTTTGTTTTGCCTGGTTAAAAACGATCTCTTATTTTCTTTGTGCGACCTTTGATTAACATCAATGTTTTCCTCTCTGTAGAAATACTCGCCCGAATTGAGCCCCAGTCTCTCAGATAGAGCTGGCTCCTCAACATCTTCAGGAACAGCACCTGTGTTTACGTTTGCGTCTGCGAAAGTAACAGAGGCTTCTGCTGAGACGACTGTTGAGAGAGAAAACAATAATAATTCAAGAGTCCCTTTGTCATTATCATCATCATCGCTGCCTTCATCCTTCAAGCTGAAAAATCAGCCGACAATGACAAATGTCCATGCAAGTGCGAGTGTGAATGCTGCGGCGTCTGATGATATGCCACAAGTATTATCTATGGTTGATATGGATACTCTTAATACAAAAAATGGGATCACAACAGATGACAAACAATCGTTGGCCGCTCTTGTGCTAAAAGATACCATATCTTGTGAGAGCAACAGCAATAACAGCAACAACACTGTTGTTGTTTCTGCTTCTACTAATGGTAGTACAATTTCCTTCGCCAATTACCAAAGCCAAGCACAGTCTTTTGAATCTCTTCAATCCTTTCCATCACACCCACAACAACAACAACAACAACTGCTCAACCCATCTTCTTCATTTCAGTCTCACACTCCACAAACTCAAAATCCAGCCTCTTCACCACCATCCTCGTCTTCCATTTCATCTATTCCCACCCTCTCATCCACTACATCAACCACTCATACTAACCAATCCAGCACCACTGCTACTTCTACCTCTACTTTCCACTCGACCACTGCTTCAACTTCAGCTTCAACCTCTCCCCCAGTAGTTCTCGACACTTATAAAAGACGTGAAGGAAAAACCAACCACACTCGCAAATCGGCGATTTTGCGAGTGCCCTTTCCCGCTAGAGCACCGCCACCGCCTAAAAGTGTCGCTCAACTGGAGGAAGCAATGATAGATCTCAAACTCTATGACTCGTGCTTATTCTGGGGAGGCGCTGGAGCTGTCAATCTCAAACCCGAAGGCAACTCTTGGGATGATGATATGGTGATTCAATCCAAGGATCCAGCCTGGGTCAGGAACTCGGTTCAACCACCCATTCCAACTAACCAAGAGTTATTAATTCTGCCGCCGATCGCCAAAATCGAACGGTCGATCGAAGTTTTTTTCCAGGTAAAAAAAGAAAAAAGATCATCCATCATCCATGCATTTAGTGCTTGCCTCACATGTAAAGCATGTGTCTCAACTGCCTACTACTGCAAGCTTTTCTTCTTTCAATACCCCTTTTCTCCTTAAAGATCTTCGCCCATGGCTTTTTTTGCTCCAAACGAAAACATCAACAAAGAAAATTTGGATATAAGATTCAAAATACATAAACATGGTTTTGCACACACTCACTTCTTATCGATTAAAAAAAAAAAAAAAAAAAAAAAAAAAAAAAATGTCCGTTTTATTTATTTAGAATGCACATCTGTTCCCTCCTTTCATTACACCCTTGATCGTCGAGCGTGCTACTCAAACGAGGTCTAACCAGGTCTCCCGCATCCTTCTCAACACTATCACTGGTATTGCCATCCGCATTAACCCTGATATCGAGAACACACCCGCCCCGTCCTTACTGTCAAATAATGCATTGGCTCCACAGAGGAGTGCCGTCACTGCAACAAGTGCAGCTTCTTCTTCATCCCCTGTCCCCACAGCGACCAACAAGATACAATACATGCGGTACTTTAAGCGAGCCTATGGTAATATCTAGCACTCATTCTCCATAGTTTTCTCTTTGGTTTTTTAAGTATCTTTATTGTGTTATGAGCTTCCTAGCTACAAAATCATCACCCATCTCTCTCATATGTTTATTGTTTTTTTGTTTGTTTTTTTTTTTTTTTTTTTTTTTTTTTTTTGTAGGCCTGATGGCACACCTAGAAGATAACCGGAGCACATACTCAACTGCGTATTTGCAAGCAACATTGTTGCTTTGCTATGTGTATCCAAAACCACAGCTCCGGGTAGAGCTATTAAAACTGATGACTGAAGCGGCCTTTTTAGGTTTACATGTGGATGCAACTCGGTGGATGCCGAAACCGATTGTGATCCAGAATCGTTGTTGGTTGTTTTGGGCGTGTTACATGTTCGATAGTGTTCACCATGTAATTCGAGGTCATCTTACTCAAATGGATGATCATTATTTGGAAGCACCGTTCCCACAACTGACGGAGCTGGATCATGATGAAGGACTTTGGACTCGATGGTTTATGGTCAAAGAAATTAACCTGTGGAGGATAGGTCGAAAGATTCATTCATTCTTCCAGACAGGTCTTCAACGGATGGATCAGCTTATTGAAACCGGAGGACTGAATGACTCTGCTTTCAATTATGATGTCAGTGCTAATCCCACGACTACAAATTCACTAAACCTAACAAGTATCCGAGAGGTATTGTTGAGTGGCGAGCATTCAGAGGCAGAATTGGTTTTGGCTCTCAAGTACTGGTTAGATGATTTACCGCCGAGATTGATGGCACAATTGGATCCTGCAAGCATGGATCTGATTGATCCTAGAGTCAATGGTCGAGCTGTGGGGCTACAGGTCGTTTACTCTATGTTGAAGGTCCTGTTGTTGTACCCAAGTATGCTGGCAATCGGAACAGAGTTACTTTCATTAACCGCAGTAGCATCCGTTTCTGACAACGGTGACAATAACAGTAACAATATCAACCGTAGTAACAATATCAGCCTTAGCAACAATGATAGCAGCATGGATAGCCAAGACGAGCCATCTGCTGGTCAGAGCTCGTACTTAGAACTGGAACAGCAACAGCAACGAAGACAACACCAACATTTCTCAAGAAGGCAGGCGTTCTTGGATAAGATCATGCAATGTGTACAAGAGGCAGATCATATAGTGACATTGGCCATCATTGTGTTGGAGCGATACCCCGAGAGAGCTAGAATGTCATGTCTGGGTGTAGCATTGGATTGGTGTCTTCGAATCTATCACAAGATCATCTTGGAGAAACCGAATGCCAGGCCAGGTGGCGACAACTCTCCCAACAGAAGTTGGAGCAACGACAATAACGGCATCAATAGACAGCCTCAGTCGAGTAAAATGGAAGCAAATGTATTCTCAAACAGACTGAAAGACCGCTGTAGAACGCAGTTGAACAAGGTCGCAAAATTGCTGGATCAGTTTGAAGGATTGGATCATAAACATTATTTCTCGTGGTTGACAATTGAGCTAGAGTCATTGGAAGAACATCAGAAGGCAATGCGACGAAGAATTATTGAAAAATGCCTAGAACCCATGACAGCGGCGACGACAGCAACCACAAGTGCTGTACCACCAACATCTTCATCAACTAATCTTGCGAGGATTTCTCTGTTGAACCAACAAGGCCTCTATCATGCTACTGCAGACTTCTTGGAGCAGCAGCAGCAGCAACAGCAATCTGCATCACGGCCAAGGTCTCATGATTTGCAGGCGATCATTAGAAAGCGACAACAAATGGGTGTCTATGCCAATTCAGGTATCAGACCGAACGGCGGTAATTATACACAAATGATGCCAGGTGGCACACTCTCAACATCAAGTACCAGTCCTGGCCACGAGACATCAGGAAGAGCAGGAGGTGGAGCAGTAGCAGTAGCAGTGACAGAAGGAGCCGCAATGAGCACGACCACAATGTCCGGATCTATAATGTCTTCATCCGCAGGCGCTCCTTCGCCTTCTACAGATTCCTCAGACACCGCATCGCCCTCTGCAGGGAGCGCTAGCGGTATTGCCATGTCAAACTCTAATACTTCCGGAGCAATCTTTACTGGGGATTCTGAGATTAAGTCCTCAATCCCTTATTCATCTGCTGCTACAGTGATGAATAGTAATGTAATATCAATGGCAGGGATTGGACCAGGAGCTGGTTACCCGTCCATGGAGCTAGCTGCACGTGATACTGATATGACTTCACTAAATCAATATCAGCATCCTCAACAACAGCGTCAACAACAACACAATCATCAATATCAACAGAGCCAACAGGGACATCAGCATCATTTGAATGGAGCAGGTAATTTATCTACAACAATGCCCCAGGGGTCATCTGTATATCACTTTGGGTACCAAGCTCAAGCACCTACAAGTGGAATAGCGACCAGCGCAATTCAGACCCATGCGTTTCCTGCAACAATGGCGATAGGATCATCTTCAGGGATAGGAAGGTCCATCTATTCACTAATGTCGCCAACATCCGGCCCGGCAGGTGGATTCTATGGTATCCCTACCTCAAGCATGTTAAACTATCCCCCTCCTCCTATGATTGCATCAAGTATGACTGCCACTAGCCAGGAACAAAATTCATCACAATCATTGCCGTCAATACAGCAACAACAACAGCAACAAGCACACCGTCAGCACCAACAGCATTCTAGTCAGCATAGCCAGCATTCTGTTCTTCCGTCATTAGACTCAATTTTCGATTAAAGAACGAAAGAAAAAGAAAAAAAAAAAAAAAAGCTTTTCATCCCGTCGGCAGATGGATATTCTATTATTATTCGGATCAAGTGTATGTCTATCCTTTGTATAATCATACTGCGATAGCTGTAGTCCTAGGTATTGTTCGGTCTGTATAGGGTCAGTTAATTTTTTGCTGTGATCTGTAGTTATTGATTATGGCTATTGACCATATACATTGAATAGAAATATGTAGGTTGTATAGTATTGTTTTTTTAACAAAATGCATTTTTCTCCAGGAAAAAAGAAAAGGAGAGAGAAGCAAAAAAGACATTAAAGGATTTGTCAAGATTATCACGCGTAGCCACTCCCTGTTTAACTGCTAACTGATAGATAAAATTATGGCTATACGGCGATATAGCTAAAAGGCCCAACAAATATTGGGACAACTTCAGACCACAGGTGGAGATCGCTATAGGTAGGGTAGCAGTTGTGCTTACACCTCACAGCATAACTATCAGAAGTAACGAAGTAACAGGCTCGAAAGGGTGTTGTAGCTGGCCATATAAAATTAACTATAACTATTTTGTTTTCAGGTTATTTTGTATCTACTAATTGGGCCATTCTGTCGAACCACAGCTAAAGAATCTTTGCGCAAAGCCTTATAAGCTATAGACGAGCCCATCTCACCTAGGAAGCACCACAGTCAGGCCTGTAGGCTAGGTTATAAAAGCCAAAGAAACTTCCTTCTCAATAAAGTCTTCAGTTTACCCATAAGTCTTAAGTTTTCTCTATGTGTCTTGTTCTTGACCTGCAGTTTATCTTGCCACTTATCTTTTTCCCTTTGCACAACAAGCATTTGTCTTCCGGTAACTCAGTTTGTGAGCTCACCTATGAAGCTCCCATTTTCTCTTTTGGAATCCTATGGCGCTGTTTGTCGTCAAGATTATTTGCCTCCATTTTGTCTTGTTATTCTTGTTGTGTCTAGCCTCTGCCCCTTAATCAAAGATACACCTATTACTTACAACAAGAGTCCACGTGATCAAAAAGCTCAACTCAACCATTTGATGGAAAAAAAAGAGCGATTAAAAGAATCCGACATGCTACACTCTAATCATTCCCATTGCATCATGGACAACTTTAAATTGAATCCCTTGGTTATTCCAGAAATCATCTTAATCCTTGGTGATTTCCTCGATGACAGGGATCTTCCATGCTGTATCCGCGTCTCCAAAACTTTTTACAATACACTTTCTAAGACCCTGTGGAGAAATATTAACGTTAAAAGTCGGTGGCGATGGCCTTGCAATCCTTCAAAGGAAGCGCTACAAAACAACAAGAAGTATATTGAAAAGATTAGTTTGCAAAACATTATTCCAAAGGAGATCATGTCATTGCGAGGATGCGATCGTCTCTACTCCATCGAATATGAGAGGGAGCGACATTTAAAGATTCGGCCTGACCTAAGAGGTCTTTCGGACCTCCTCAAGGCCTACAGTTCTACAATCAGAGAGCTTAGTTGCAATGGTATTCCAATTCCACAGGGGTTTTGGCAAGTACTACTGGAATGCACCAACCTTAGTCTCATAAAGGTTAATGAAGTACTCATAAGCAGTGGTGGCGTCGAATTATTCCTTCAGTTATGCAAGAGAGTTAGGAACTTAGACTTACGTCTCGTACGGATCTCTCAGTTACCTGCCGACTTTATTACCGACAGTACTGGAAAATATATTCTTACAAATGTTCAGAAACTAGATCTCGGCCCTGTCAAGATACTCCACTCTCCATTTCCATACAAACCGTCGTATTGCATTGGCACATTGGTTAGAAGATGTCCAAACTTACGTTCATTCACATTTGATGACGAGCCCTGGAGGCCTGGACAGCGAATTCCCTATGATTTTTACAAGGTAGCATTCCTTCAACAACCATGGACATTGACGAATTTATCAGAACTAACGTTTCCACACCATGTCATAAAGGATACAAGCATAGCGGCAGTCCTTAGGCAAATGACGGGATTAAGACGACTGGAGGCTCCAAATTGCGATTTTGGCCAGCTCTCTATCCGGGAATTGCTGGCATCTGGACAAGAGATTATGGATGGTGGACATATCGTTCGCAAAACAAGACTTCGGAGGCTTAGCGATACAATCGAGACAATGGTGATCAATGAAGAAAACCTTGAGACCGATGGGGTTGTTCAAATGGTTCTATCGAATTGTCCACATTTGAAGAAGCTCACTGGGCCTAGAATCACGGTGACAGAAATTGTCAAAGGTGCAGAATGGGTTAGTACTGAGTTGACTGAACTGAGCATCTTTCTTGAGGCAGATATTGATCAGGGCACTGAAGAAGGCATGGAGAAACAGCGTATTGTGTTTAGACAGCTTGGAAAATTGGCTCGACTACATTATTTGAACTTGACAGGACAGGATCAACGGTTTAGGAAAAGACAGACGCTGGACTTGAGGCTAAGAGCAGGTCTGGATGAGCTAGTCAACTTGAAGGACCTGGAAACATTAGAATTCAGAAGTGACTATCATCAACAGATGCAACCAGAGGATGCGACATGGATCGTGAACAATTGGCCAAAGCTTAAATATAGTTACCTCCATGGTCGTGTGAACAACAGACAAAGTATACACGATCGGGTAGTTGGTATACTTTGTTCTCGCAATACTCAGGCAACTCGATTCTAATATGGTTCCTGTTGAGGCCAATGGATTATGTATGTGTATCAGAACATGTATTGATTGTAAATTTGCGCTTTGGTATTGAGAACGTAACTCAACCTTTCTCGTTCATATTTGCCTTCCAAGCGGGAATTACAATGACAATGACAATAATAATATCGATAAAAAAAAAAATAAAAAAAAAAAAAACTCATTGTGATTGTTTATAACATATTATTGAGAATCTCGACTTGATCAAAAGAATTTTATAAAGCTTATATAATGTAGGATTGGAGGATAGAACTTGAGTCTATTGAGAGAGTAGTGACTTGAGCTCCGTTTGGGTGAAATGTATGCTATCATGAAGATATTATTGATATTATTGCAATCTCTCTTTGTAATTGGTGAATTTAGCTTCAATGTCCTTCATTTACTTGTAATAAAGGAATAAATGGCAAAAGTCCTGCTAATATTACGTTGAAAATGATCTCTCTGTATTCCAGTCATATTTGACCCTGCGAGCCATGGGTATGATATGAGCTTTACATTTACAATCCCTCCTTTCCCTTCTCTGAACACAAAGTTAAGTACTCCTCTTGAAACGATTCATGGAATATGGGCTTCTTTTTTTTTTACCAAAGTGCATTTGTCTAAAGATTGTAAGGAGCGGTCTTCCTTAAAATTGGCTTCATAACTATATTGTAGAAAGCCTCAAAGATCTTCGGATGAGGAACTAACACGCGATCTCAAGCAAGGAATGCATTGACTTCATGTAAAACTCTATGTATATTTATTTAGCATCTTAACGCTGTGCCGACTATGACTAGGCATTTTTTTTTTTTTTTTTTTTTTTTTTGGAGTTGAGTTAAACTTAAAAACCACCAATGACAAGCATCACAACGATCCCAAGGACACCTACAGCGGCTTTCAAATTGCTCCTTGGCAGTGACAGTGCAGAGGATGGTTGGAATAGGTCGGTTGGGTTGACTGGCGCGGGCTTGTACGAATAGTGATTAGTCCATTCTGCTTTTTCGATATCGTAAACCATCAACAAGTTGCTAATAGGACCATCAGATCCCCCTCCCCAGACAATAAGATAGTTATCCGAGACGGCACACACATGTCCATATCGTGCACCGCCCACAACCCCCACATTCTTTCCTCGTTTCCAGGTCATTGACTCGACATCATACAAATAGACGTCATCCAACAAACTGGCTCCTTGGTCGGACATTCCACCGAACAAAACCATCGTTCTGCCTTCATGTGCTGGAACAAAACATGTGCTGTCTCGTGATGAAGGAATATCACCCTTGGTTGTGAGCAAGCTCCAGCCAAGCTCAGGGCTGTACGAATATAGGTCGTTATTCGTATTATTCGTATTATAATCACCACCACCAAACATCAGCATCGCTTTCAGAGTAGGTGCCCAAGCTGCTGCATAAAAATGTCGGCCCATCAGAGCTGGGTGCAAGCCCTCCTTTAGGAAATCTGAGCTAGAAGCATTGTAGACTAACATCTCGTTGCTACCATCTAGAAACCCTCCGTATCCATTAGGGACATAGATAGCTCCTGTATCTGGATCTGTAGCTGCTGCAAGGCCACGGCGCTCCGTAATATAGTATTTTTCTCCAAGTGATTTCCAGGAGGAGGCAGCAAAGTTATATGAATAAGCCGTTGCATTCGAGATGATAAACCAGCTCTTCTTGTCCTTCGTAAGAGCTCCAGGCGCGGCAAGAGTAGCCAAACCGCCAGAAAGCTTCTTGAATGGAGGATCTTGAGATGTGCTCCAGGATTTAGACAGGTCCAATGAAAACATCTGTGAGCGATCCAAGCGACCTTGATGACCACCAACAACATACATGGTCTCTCTTTCGATGAAAACACTGGAGGAGTATATGGTCTGCTCGGGCTGAAAGGATTGCAGCTCTGGTTGCTGAGCAAGTGTGGTCTTCATGACAAAGAGATAGAGAAGACATAAGCCGAGGCTTTTCTTCATGGGGAAGAAGAGAAATTGAGAGAATATGTTCATCATTTGTGACCTAATAGCTGATCGTGAAGAAAAGTGTAAAAAAAAAAAAAAAAAAAAAAAAAAGAAGAGGAACTGAAAGACGAAGGCAAGGAGGGGAAGGAAAGAAAAAGATGGAGAAAAGAGTCGAGAATATGCAAGATGGATTGCGCCCTCACACCCAAAATAAAGTCATTAAGGTGGTGCTTCGCCATAAACAAAACTGGCTTTGTTTTTAATGTCCAACAGAAAAACAAGAGCCTAAAAATACAATGTTATAATTCATCTGTATTGCTTTATTGCTCTCCATTCCATTTGAAGGAGTGTATGAATATTTATTAAGTGTGTGCTGCGAAAAAAAGGCGAATTAATCCTAACAAGGGATTTTCTTTTTGTAGATGAACGATGATTGTCTTCGCCACCTTTTTTTCATGTGAATCATTTATTGTATTAAAGTGCTCAGTTTCGATCTTCTACTTCACAAGAATTAAGCGGGTATGGTTCGTAAGAGCCCTGCCTTGCATTATATTCAATCTGTCTCACGCGTCGTGTTAAGACTCTCTATACCTCCAACGGTCTCACTTGCTGTAACTGCCTTAATTTTGCAGCTTGTAATTGGATACTCCTGGCTGAAGAAGGGTTGTCAATCTGAACCTGGCCTTGAGCTAAAACAGAGGAACCTTGGACATGAGGAATCACAGGATGGCTACTATTGCCGCTATTAAGGAATGCGCTCTCGACGCTAAGATGATTGGGCGATTGACTGCCTTGGCTTGGCAGGAAAGGTCCCGTATGGTTGACATTCCCATGATTGATATCCTCGATATCGTTACTCTGTCCAGGAGGAGCTTCAGATTTGCGGCGGCGGTAAAAAACTATACCTGCAGCTAGGATAACAACAGCAGCCAACCCACCTACAGCGCCTCCAATGATGGCCCCCAAATTTGTATTTGAGCTCTGACCACCGTTGGTGTCACTGAGACCAGGTGCCAAATAGAGTGATTCTGATGGTTTTGCATTTGGATTTGAAGCCCCCGTTGGAGAATGATTGAACTCTGTCGTCCATCTGGACGTGATCATGTTATAAATGATTGTTGTGTTCAATTTGACATCATCAGGGCCACCATCTCTAGAGGTAGATCCTCCCCAGACTACAAAAAAATCCTTGCTAGTAGCACAGGCATGGTTCATGCGGGCACCTGTAAATCCAGCATCCGACCCTCTTGTCCAGATCATGGTCGATACGTCCAGGATATAAAGGTCACCCAAAACTGTGTCTCCTTCGCCTAGACCGCCAAACAGGATCATTTTTGTCCCTTTATAGGCAGGAACGAAGCAGGCACGGGAACGAGGTGGGGGAAGATCTCCTTTGACAGTTGGCTGGCTCCATCCTTTTGCAGGATAATAAGCAAAAAGACTGTTGCGAGGATTTCCACCATTGCTTGAAGCCCCACCGAAGATGAGCATGGCCTTGATGGGTTTCGCCCATCCGACGGAATAATAAACGAGTGGCACCAAGGGAGTGTACATCTCTACAATATTTTCATAACCTGTTTCAGGTGTATAAATTATCATATATGTCCTATCAGGTATAATAATCAATCCCTTGAGGGATAAGCCATGCAGTAGATAAAGAATCCCAGTCTCAGGATCTATGGCGCCTGCAATACTGCGAGTAGTACTGACCGAAGGGATCGAAGAGAAGGGTGAAATTATTCTCATGGCCGCAGTCTCGATATCGTAGGCATAAGGCTTCCCGCGAGAACTCAAGTACCAGGTCTTGCCATCCGAGGAAATCCCACTGGGGATCGCGGCATCGCTCAGGCCGTCTCCTAGTTTCTTGTAAGCTGGGCTGGAGGCACTCCAACCAACTGAAAGATCAAGCGCAAATGTCTGAGAGACCATTCTTTGTTAGAATTAAGCCATCCTCCCATGACGTACAAGACTTGGTCTTCAATGAAGGCATTAGCTGGTGAGTAGGTAGCATTAGGTTGATAAGATTGTGTGTGGATTGGAGTGAGGATGGAAAAAAGGATGAGGGGATATAACATGAAATAGGCTTTTTGTGGTTCGGAAGCAGTGGGAATGAGTCGCATGATGAAGAATGAAGATAGGTTAAAAAAAATAAAAAAAAAAAAAAACGCCGTGAAAGGGTTTGTGCAGATGCTGAAAGATCCAAGGCGGGAAGGAATAGGGTAAAGTGGCCAAGGAAGTAAGGTGATAAGTGATAAAAGAGGAATGAGGAATGAGGGAAGAGCAGACATTCCCTTCTTTTTAAGTCTTTAGAAGTAATTAAAGTCATGCTCATGACTGAGAATGTTTGGATGTATTGGCCTTGGCGAAGACCATTTTGTCACCGCTCTCCACCAATTCTTTTTTTTATTTTTTATTGCTATGCACAAATTCAACACTTGTCCCTGCCCCTGTCTGTTCCTCTCTATTTTATTACTTATTTTATTTTGTTTGTTTGTTTACTCTCGACAATCAAAAGTAATCTGACGCGTCTGGCGTGCCAAACATTCCAATATTTGTTGGTACCCATCATTGGTTATGGAAGGATTTTCCCGGAGGTCGAGTGCTTTAAGACTATTTCCTTTCAATGCAAATGATACAAACTTCTCTGCACCATAGTCGTCGAGATCATTACGGGGCAACGCCAATTCTTCGAGCTTCCTTAGCTGTCTCTGCATCTTTTGATGCCGGTCTACGAAAAGCCCATTAAGCGAAGGTGGCGTGAAGGCAGCTCGAGACACACACAGAGCCTTAAGTATTGTAGCATTCCCAATAAGCTTAGCCAAATTAGCGGCTGAAGCCTCAGTATTGACCAACACACCGTCCAGTACCAGCCGCTTCAACTTTTTACAGTCGATCAAAAGCTTGTCCTTTTGAAGGAGAAGCGGCACACCAATGACAGTTAGATACTCCAATGTTGAACATTTTAGAATCTGGTCGAAGCCCTCATACAGCTGGCCTGTGATTGTATTGCACCGAATCTCGAGACTTGTGAGAAGTGGTCGTTCCTGGAGAGCCTTCCCCAAGCCAGAGAATTGTCTGCAGATGGAGTTGAAAACGGTAGGATCGGTTTCTCTTCGATCTCGCTGCTCAAAGTAGCCTGGTAAGACCCGGACAACGACTTTCTCGGCCACAGCACTATTTCTAATCGCCTCGGTCAGGACCTTGGCAGAAACAAAGTCCTTCAAGACCACATTGATCTCTTTTTCATGCTTACTCAGCTCTTTATAATCCTCCACAGTCGTATGATGCGATCGATCAATGTGCTTGCCATTCAGAAGAAGGGCTCGACATTCGGCACAAACCCAAACGAATTTATGTCCGTTTGCGTTATAGACCGACAGGCGCGAGAGATCCCCTGTCGTATTCTGATTGTTGTCCGTTAATGCAGATAATAGGAGATACTTCATAGCGATTTGTTGATGAGAATCAACTAAAGATTGGACCCTATACATGTCTTGGAGGCTCAAACCAACTATATCACTCAGATTCCGGTTACCCAGCAACCGCAGGGTTTCTGTCATCCCGGAGGTGAGAGAACTCGTGGGTATCCGAGGCCCCCCAGAAACCGCACTGGCCATACTAGCGCCCTGAACTACAGGACTGAAGATTCTGCCAATACTTCGGATGGCACCTTGATGGTTATGAAGGATATTCGAGGGGACCTTGATTGTATATCCACTATGAGCTGTCAGATGGACCAATTTAGCGTCGTTGCTGCAGACAGAGGGACCTTGACAGGGGATCAGGATCTGGAAAGAGTCAAATGCACTAGGTATCAAAGATGTATCCAATGGTGGAGTTACTACAAATAACATCGGTATGTTGTTATCAGACGGTTCAGCTATGATTCTCAGACCTCTTGTCGCGAAATGGCCACTGATAGTGGACAAAGGCCGTGGATTGGCTGCTGCGTTTGTGTTGCTATTACTAGTGCTGCTGATGTTGATATTGCTGCTGCTGCTGTTGGTATTTATGCTGCTGCTACTGTTATTACCCATACCGTTGCTTCTTTCGGCGTTGCTATTACTGTTGTTGTTGTGGCGATGGTGGTGGCTGTTATTGCTGCGTGAATCCCTGCTATTAGTACTATTGCTACTGCTGCTACTGCTACTACTCCTGCTGTTACTCCTGCTGATACTTCTGTTGCTGCCTCTGCTATTATCCCCAGATATGGGACAATCTTCTGCGTACAACAAATCAGTGTTGTCCTCATCCCTATATGCATCATACTCTAGCGCTTCCTGGTGCGCAATCCTTTGTGCCATGAGAATGTCTTTCTCCTCCTGTGTCAAGACTCTGGCAGAGAGTGAGGATCGGTGTCGAGTATGCTCTGATGATTGGTACTGTTGTTGTTGCTGGTGTTGTGGCCTTGATGACCATGGCAGCTGTTGTTGGTGCTGTCGCTGTTGGTATGGTGGCCATGGTTGCTGTTGTAGTAGTTGTTGCTGCTGTTGTTGTTGACCAGGTATGTACACATGTACGGTAGTCTGACTTTGTCCAGAGGAATGCTGCGTGATAAAATGAGGCATGTGAAATAATTTAACAAAAGAAGAATGTAATCGAAAAAAAAAAAGTGTTTGTGTAAAATATTTCCTTACTCTCTTTTCATCGGTCATAGAAAGGAGAAGGGGCCCTTCCCAATGTACATTAAAATCATGTTCCTATCCATTTCGTGCTCAGATTTTTTATTTTTTTGCTTCGCCAGTCCAACTGACATGAATGAACCAGAACATGCACAAAAAGCAATGTCAGAGGTACATACGGATATTGTCCAACAAAGTATTCAGAAAGGACATCCGAGAGATATTTTTTATGCGCTGTCCATTACACCATCATAGTTTTTTATTTCTTAGGCTTCTTGGACGTGTGAATTATTCAGTTTGCATTGACTAACATCGGAAACGTTACGTGAAATATTTGGCCAGCAACACAGGTTGGAAAGATATAAACATGTTTGGATTTATGCTCCATTAGTCTGGAGCTGTATTATTCAATTATTCAATGGCTAATCTGTTTTTTTTTTTTTTTTTTTTTTTTTGATTGAGTGAATCTCAGGAGTCAGAAAAAAATAATAAATAAAAATAAAATACATCAATACATTTTTTTGTATCTGCTCGACAAGGAGGATCCTATAAAAGCACCTTTCAGGAAGAAGACAACCCAAAGAATGGGCCAAATATATAAAAATCTCAAAAAAAACCACCTGACGCGAGGCCCGAGACCACAAAGTCTGCACAATAGCCGATGATAGAAGGTGAAAATAGCTCCATCATATTGCCAGGCAGCTTTTTGAGCTTGCTTATTGTATCAGGTTTTGAATTTACGGCAGTAGTAAAGCGGTGATGACACTTATCGTGATGATGTGGACATGGCATAAAATGAGGAGGAGGAGGTTGTGATGGGTGAAGTAGGTATGGCCATGCGAAGGGAAATGATGCCACTGCCATTGAATAAGGCGGGGGTTGTGACGGTGCTGGTCCCAGTGGCCAACTCATAGGCGCTGGTGGGTATGTATAGCCCGGGTAAGTAAGATGCATGGATAGTGGCCTTGACACTGGCACAGGCTGTGGCATCGGATAAGGAATAAATTGCGGCGGAGCTTGGCCCCAGATGATGGTCGTACGTGTATCACCATGTTGGTGAGTAGTAACAAAGTGGTTCCAACTCATTTTGTACTGTTTTTTTACTTCTGAAGATCAAAAAAGGTGAAAGGTTGTGGATGAACTGTAGGTCAAGTGGATCGAGAGTTTTTTTTGATGTGAGAACAGAAAAAAAGAGGAGACGATATACGATTTTATAAAAAAAAAAAAAAAAAAAATCATTTGGGCCACTCTCCACTTTGTTTGGGATTGATTGGACAAAAAGAGAAAAATAATAACAGCTTCGCCATGTAAATACATGCCTAGATGCATGCATGCACTCTCCATCTTGGAAGATGCAATTGGGTTGACACAAACAATCAACAAAAAAAAAAAAAAAGGTCAGGGGAAGACGAGAAGATTGTGACACATTTTGTTTGTTTGTATAGTCGCTGCCGACAACCCCTGCCTGACAAGTTGGCACAAAAGAGAATGGAACAACGGGAGATGGGGCCGAGACCCAATTGAGTGTCTGAATTGCAAGGAATTGCCCAGAACGCACAACTTCACAGTACATGTATACTTAATTTCCCAAAAAAAAAAAATGAACTGCCCAAGAACCGAAAATATGGAAGCAACGGAAGCTAAAATGATGTGTACGGGAGGAAAAGATGCAACGGAAGAGGGGACAAAGCCTCGAAAAAAAAAATAGTATACATATATATTTATATATATATGTTTATAGTAAAACTTCGTTGACACTTTTATTTCGCTGTAAAAATGTTCGTTTCTGTTTCCTAATTTATCTTTTTTCTAGGTCACGCATAGCTTTCATGTCAAAAAAAGCCATTTGCCTGCTTAAAAAGATTAAAGTTTAATCCTATAACGCGCTAGTTCTTTTTCTTTTGTGGCCACAAACCCTATTGGGGTAAAAATTGCCATAAAATTTAACGCGGGTGTAAAAACTGGCTTGTGGCAGCAAAGCGCTCATAGCGGCATTGCTTTTCGATCCTTTGATATCGGCCTTCCCCATACTGAAGCAGCGTTGGCTGCTCATCCACTAATAAGGGGTGTGAGCCGCGTATAGACCATCGTGAGACAGGTTAGTTTTACCCTACTGATGAAATGTTGCAATAGTAATTGGACTCAGTACGATTCATTCGGACAGTTGGTACCTGGATCTGCCTGAGCAGGCAATGGTCCAAAGCTGCCGTCCGTTGGGTTATGGCTGAATGCTTCAAAGTCAGAATCCGTGCTTGAGCGCGACGATTACCGCCTTTTATGGTTTTTAGTTGAATACGAACAGATCTTTGGATCCTCAGTCATGTTACCAAGGGTGCATTTGTGGAGCGGAAAGGCTTCATGACTGTTCTGCAATGCCAATTTCGGATATTAGTCAATATAAATCCATTGCAAACGAATTTAGTTGCACGGGGTATTGTCAGCTGTAAATAGCCTTGCCGCTACAATCACTTGAGATTATGTCCATTGTTCTATAGATTTGTTCGAAAGAACAACATCCCCCTTACTGAAAGCCACTTCAAGATTGGCAATTAGTGAAGAGCTTGTAGAGCATGTTCGTGTGGCTCTTTGGCCGCACAAAAGGCCTGATGGGCCGCGCCAGCTAAATGGACTCAGCTTTAAGCTTGATCGCCTACTATAATAGTGACAGGAACTCATCCCAGATATAGTCCTTACAAGCAATATAAGTACACAATAATGTCCTTTGGTCGAATTTAGTTTTTTTTTTTTTTTTTTTTTTTTTTTTGGAACACATAGACAGATTGGGCTCCTGCACAATTTAGAAAGAACCTATCCATTATATAATGTCATATTTCGACACTGCCACTAAAAAAAAAAAAAAAAAAAAAATACTTCGCAGGGTAGACACCATATCTCAATTTCTTAATAGCCATGTTACGACTAAGTCTCCATCAATCATATCATGTACATATAGCAAGGATTGAGGCCTAGCTGCACCATATACCAAGGGCTGAGGGAGTCGCCATTAATTCTGGCTATTTCCTGTATCAAAGGTTATCATCGAGGTCTAGAAGGTCATAAAATGCATTTATTTTGGAAATCTTTATTTTATTTTTTTACAAACAAAGGAAGTAAAAAAGAAATATTCTTTCTAGTAGCAATCTTCACCTCAATATATTTTACAATACAATTTAAAAAGGTGATGACATCGCTGCTTCCAAAGTTTTAGCGCAGGGGAAGGAAATTGGACAAAAAATAAATGAATTTCCCACTCTATCGCTGACTAGATGGTACAAGGCATCTTTGGATCTCTTCCTTTGTTCCACATTCAATGCCTGTTCGATCTGTATTCAGCTCCCGGAGTCTCCTCTCCTTCTGTCTTAATAATGTCAGGATCGCTCGACAACCTGGATTGCCAATCCTTGGATTGTCTGAAATGTCCAAATGGGTCAAATTTAAACCCTTAAATGCCATCGTCACAAACGTTGTTGCCGCCACGACATCCAAATTATTGTCTGCCAGACTCAACTTGACCAGGTTCTTAAACAGCTTCTGGTTCTCTTTGTTTCTTTCTGAAAACAATGTATCCAGTGCTACAGGTGTGAAATTCATTCGATTCAACTTCAAATAAATTAGCCCTGAGTTGCTCATGATCAAATGTTTCAAGTTGCTAGCTGTCTCTTCCGTATCCGCCATCACGCCATCCAGGGTCAAGGTCGTAAGCATCCTACAGCTATCCTTAGGAAGTGAGCCTCGTAAAAATAAGGGCATGCCCACGATCGCCAGCTGATCCAGAGATGAGCATCTGAGCACGCTCTGTAGATAGACATATATCTGCCCAGTCCTAGACTTTCCATGGAGCTCAAGTGATTTGAGTGAATGACGCGGAATAGCCTGTGCGAGATCGTCAAACAGTGACTGGGTAGAACGAAGAGCTGCCTGATGAGAACGCGAGGGCGCTTCAAAGTATTCAGGCGCGATACGGATGACCAAATTCTGTAGTCGAGGATGGCTTCGAAGCGCATTGGTGAAAATGATCAATGAAGCTGAGCTCCTGAGCAACACATTGGCAGAAATATGTCTCTTTGTCAATGTCTCATAGTCACTCATCGTGACATGATATTCACCCGTAATGGGTTGACCCTTCAACATCATATCATAGCATTCCTTGCAGACCCAAATGGTCGTTCCGCCCCTCAGCACAACGCCATTCAACTCTCCTGTCATACTCTGTGTTGGATCTGCTGCAGCTGCAGCTCGAAGCAAGACTTTCAAAGCCTCGCGCTGATGGTTCTCAGTTGCAATGTGTTTCTCGTATACACTTTCTGTGTCAGCTCCTATAGCATTAAGACGGCCTCTGTTTTCTATGTTTTGAGCCATTGATGCCGCTGTGGCTGCTGTCAATGTTGCGCCTAGGTCACCGGGTCCAATAGCGCCTGGCACGATTCCCTGAGCAATGGCGGCTGCGCGGGTGAAGTATGTCAACATTGTCCCAAACATCTTAACCGCATCCTTATTATTGTGCAAGAAGTCATTCGGGTTCTTGATCACGTAGCCGTTATGCGATGTCATATGGAACGAGTTTTCATCTCCAGTCATGGTCGCTGGTCCCTGGCAGGGCAATAGGATACGGATAGGCTTGTATGGTCCTCTTACGAGCGGCTCTTCAAAAGTTGGTGCGATCAAGAACAGTCGAGGAACATCATCCTTAGAATCTGAGAAGATCCTGGTTGAAACCGTCGAGTTTTTCTGTAGACACATACGCACATAACGAGGGAAAACGTTGTGAATATTACTATTGGTGTAGGAGCATGTACAAAAGTGGTCAATTTTTTAGTTAATACAAAAAAAGATTTACCGGAAGTGTTTGCGCACTCGTTTCCGAATGATTTTCGTAGCTGTCCAGCATGGTCTTAATCATCTTGGCATGTTGTAGTTGTTTTTGAACTAACTGTTGTTGAGCACGATGTTCTTCGACTGTTATTGTTGAGCCCGACGACTGCGCATTACCCCCAGCACCGCCTGTTGCTGTTGTGGATGATACGAGTGTGGATGATGATGCGGGCTTGTAAGGAGCTGGTTGATAAGCCTGCTGCTGGGATGCGCCGAGCATGTTGGGAGTCGAAAAGCTTTGCGTCGGCTGAGGTGGGCGATGGTTTGTCGATGAAGACGTCGAATCTGGATGAGAATAGGATGCTGTCGATTGTGCCGGGGTCGTTGGAGCTGTGCTGGAAGATGAGAAAGAGTGAGTATGGGCCGGAGGATGGTAAGTTGATGTTGGACGAGATGTCCTCGTAGACTGAGCAGGCATCTGCATCGGTGCGGGTGTGGGCGGTGCTGGTGATGCGACGCTTGAAGGTGTAGAGACGTTAGTGCTTCTGTTGTCATGATTATCAGGCGTCGGAAAGTGGGCCTGCGGCACTCGCGAGTCTCGCTTTGAAGACAAAGGCATAGTAGTAGTAGCAGTGGTGGCGGTTGTGGTGGATACCCGCATATTTGCGAAGCTGTCTTCGAATGTCTGTGGGTTTCTTATAGTTGATCCCATTTGTGGATTACGAGGACCTGATGGCAGAGTCGCCGCTGCAATGGTCACTACTGGATCTTGAGCCTGCTGGACCACTGGTTTTTTATCATCTACAGTATTAGATAACTTTGGAGTGGACATCTTGATCGATTCTGGAGAAGGGATCCCTGCAGCCTTGATAGGCTCTGTTGCGACGGGTGGATAAGATATAGGTTTTTTAGCATCATAAGGGTTGTGCTTGATGTCTGATATTGGGAAGGGGGCTGTTGGGTACTTTTCATGGAAAAAGGGCTGTGTCAATAATCCATGACTGACTGCCGGAGAACTATAGGCAGGAAGAGGGGATGGATGCGCATCCATGTGGGGTGTTGAGGGGACAGGTGGGTACTGATGTGAGGTCTGCGGAGTGCTTGGAATAGGCATGGCTTGTGGATACTGGTGTTGGATTTGCGGAGTGTTTGCAAAAGGCCCAGGCGGCGGGTACTGGTGTTGAATCTGTGGGGTACTTGCAACAGTGCCAGGTGGCGGATACTGGTGCTGAATCTGTGGGGTATTTGCAATAGATCCAGATGGTAAATACTGATGCTGAACCTGCGGGGTACTTACAACAGATCCGGCTGACGGATATTGGTGAATTTGAGGCGTAGATGCTACAGTGACTGGTTGTTGATATTGAACCTGTGGTGTGTTTGCAACGGATGCTGGTTGTTGGTACTGTACAAGAGGGGTTGCTGCCGCTGATTGATATGGAACCTGCTGAATGGGTCGCTGTTGCTGATAATGCACCTGTGGACCAGGTTGACCATGAACGACCATAGTGTGCTGTTGCTGCGGTTGTTGATACATGGGCACTTGGACAATGGTTGGAGGTTGTTGTTGAATATGATGCACCTGTTGAACATGCTGAACATGCTGAACATGCTGTACATGCTGAACATGGTGCATTACCTGCGGTCCTGGCGCCAACACATGTTGTACGGGTATAAACTGACTGTTCTGCACTGGCTGTCCTCCAACCTGCTGGATATAGACATTGGTCTTTGTTTTGTTTGCGGTATAATCCGAGAACCAAAAATCAACGCCCATTGAAAAGAGACGGGGGCCGCGAGATCAATAGGATGAGAGAAGCGATGGTTCCAAAAGGAAACAAATATAGTAGTTAAAAGAACCGGGTTGATAATGAATAGTTCATGCACAATCTAGTGAAGTGTGCTGTCGTTGATATGATTGTCAATTATAATAACAAAGGGGTGTACAAGTGTGTAGAGTGTTTGTGTGAGGAAAGAGAGGGGAAGAAAAAGGAATGAGGAGAAAAGAAAAAAAGAAAAAAAAAAAATAAGAGAGGGCGAGGGTCTAGAAGCAAAAAAAATCTGCACTGAGAAGGTAAGTGCAGGCGTCCATGCGGCGATGCACATGTTTTTTTAGTGAATGCAAATCTTTTTGAAGATAAAAGTCGACAACTGATGTGAAATAGTCTAGTCCCGCTTTTAGTGGTCGATCTTACTTTTAAAGTTTTTTTCTGTAGGGTGCCCTTGGCTCTCATTTTCCCCTGAATAAAGTACATGAACTATATTCGAAACAAGCGGCCTTCTCCCTTTGTTAACAGATGCGATGCAAATGCAACAAATCGTATTCTGCTCTCTCTTTTAATACTTTTAATAATTGAATTCGAAATGTAATGTGTAGTATAATTATCTAATAGAAAATGAGGCGCCTATTTTTTATCTTATTTAGAGTAGGTGTAGTCATGGTTCTTGCAATTGGGGATGATTCGTGAAAGCTCGCTGACAGCAAGTGAGAAATTTCTACCTACCAGCTTCTTAGCGCATGACTCTGATGAGCAATCATTGCACTAGTTTCAAGCCTATACATACAATACCCTCGACAGTGTAGGAAATGGAGTAACAAAAGACTATCCATTGTTTTTTCCTTTATTATTATTTTATGTTATTTTATGCTATTACTTAATGAACTCAAGGAAAGTGCGTCCAGTTATGGTGCGAAGTTTGATTTCAGATTCATAAGCCTTGTTGTCGCTCAATGTCTTGAATCCAATCTTACTGTGGGGTGTCTGCTTCTCATATGAAATCGAGCTCTCTGAACCCAAGGCGGGGACCACTTTACTGTTTCCAACCATTGTTGAGAGATCAAAGCGCCCCAAGAACGAGTCAGACACGGTTGCGTCCACAGTCCCAGTCCTACTAGACGAGCTCAAATTCAAGGTCTGGTCCTCACTCGCAAGTTGAATCAGGTTTCGAACTGTACCTGTGTTGGTAGAAGTGTCGATTTGTAAATGGCCTGGCTTCTGAGCCATGGAGCCCGAGGATTTCGCCTTTGCGGGCGCCACATCGAGCTTGACAGACCCTGTACTTGCCTGGACCAAGATCCTATGTGGGCGGGACTCATTCTTGCCCACAGGATTAGTCTCCACTCCGACAACAACATGTCCAGTATTAACGACGACTTTGACATCCAATGGCTCCCGACCATCATCGCTCGCGGTCTGCACTGACTCAATCTCGGCATTTCCAGCGCTAACATGGGTCGAAAATTGATCAGCATGAATATTGTCCTTGGTAATGACATTGCCAGTAGCTGTAACTAGGTTCAGTTTGTCGAATTTAATGTTATCCAAGTCATGAGCATTGATCGAAGTCACAGCACCCTCGACTGAGATGCTGCCATAGCGCTTGTACGATTCCGGAACAATGATGTTGATGTCCACTTGGGCACAAGCTCGGTATTTGTATCCGCCATGCTCGACATAATGATCTTCAAACCAAATCAGCGCTTCAGACAGCTCCAATGATTGCTTAAATTCGAGGTGAACACCGTGGCGAACAACTTCAATAGCATCACCTCTATTGCTATTGTCGTCATTACCACTGTTTCTATGACGTTTATCGCCTTCGTCTCCATCCTCATCTTCGCTGAGAGACGCTTTGGCGTAGAGCTCAAATGTAGGCTTCTGAACTGCTCCCGTGTATACTTGTACACGCGAACCCATAGAACCTTGCCCGAATTTCAGTTGAAAGTTGGCTGCATCTATATCGAACACCCAAGGCTTTTCCCAAGTGTCAGCATGCTTCAAACAACTGTCAGGGTAGGCAATATTGGATCTATCACTATTGTTATCGGTGTTGCTTCCTCTGCCAAAGGTATCAGGGTCTTGATGCTGATGAAAATAATTGTTTCTACACGAGTGGAAGAAAGTGAAGTAGACAAAACCGAGGACCAAGAGGAGAAGAAGGTGTCTCCGAAACTTTTTACGCCTGGATGCTCTCTCGCCTATTTAAAATGGGTAGTGGAAAGTAAGACTTGATTTGTCAATAAATTAAAGCTGACAAAACTACTTTTCATTCATATCATTCTTTTGACAATAGAGAATGACATAAACTTACACTGCGATGTGGATTGAGGATATTCAGCCTCGAGAGAAGCGTAGTTCTTTTCGTCGCTGATATTGAGATGATACTCCCCTTGATGTCGGTGTTGCTGTTGTTGCTGTTGGTATTGATGAGGATGATATCCAAGCAAAGGCTGATTCTCAGTGCCAGTATATACACAGCAGACTGGCTGGTGCCGAGAGGAAGAATGGCTGTTGTTGCATGCAGTCATATTCAAGGGTCCTTTTCTAAGTGTGACGATGATGCTGAAATGCTAAAATGTTGAAATAGGAGTTGCGAAATGAAACTCTCCAACTCTCCTACTTTTATATATTCTTTGGAGGCACGAACGGTTGTACAAAAAAAGTTCAGAGATCACTTTTTGCCAAGACTTGGCAAACAAACAATAAGCGATACGCCGTGTAGCAGAGTTCGGATGTTGTCGATGTTTGCCTGAAATGGTGCATTTATCGCAGCTTGGCCGCGCGGCGCACTGCGCGTCGAACCAATGTCAGAAGCGCGAAATAGGACATTCACACTTGGCAGGAGTGTTCGCAAGTCCTGATCACATTTACACAATCTTTCATTCCGTCTCAATTTAAACAATGAGTTTGCACGACAAAGTGATCAGGTCTTGATTTCATTCGTCATCTCCAGGAAACATTAGAGAGAGAACGCTCGAGGATTATTCATACTCACTTTTTTTCCTTACTTTGTCTTCGGAAGGCACAATAAAAAAAGCCCTCAATCCCATGCATTACCATTGTCACTTGCTCTGTTTCTTCCAGAGACTTCTATGTCAGTGCCTTCATGCCTACCTTCCCACCATCTGTCCAATATGCAACCTGTCTGTCAGCAATTGTATACTACTAGTGGGCCTCTAAATCAAAAGTGTGTCCATTTGGAGTGACAAAGGCTCTGATAAAATTGATCAAAATGATGTGAAATCACTCTGCGATTTAATGATTCTGGGACACCAAGATCGATCCAATTCAAGAGGGGAATGGCGAAGAGGAACTTGGTTTAGATATTCCTTCAAAATATGCGAAAGTAAGGTGTCTAATCGTTACTGAAGACACATATTTATCGCACAACTTGTCGTTGCTAATTCGTCTTCAGACCTTGACCATCCTGAAGATGGAAAGGACAACATCTCCAGGAATTCACCTTAACGTATCTTTATAGATGTGACTCAATGTGCTAGAGCTCTACTTCCCGCAAAACGTCTCAAATCGTTCTCACATTTGAGGACAAACACAAGTCCAGATACCGAAGATCAGAGGGTCAAGCTTGTCGCTCTTTTTGGTTAGCCCCTTTTCAAATATAAATGGTTTACTTAACAAAACTCTTATAATTGAAAAGGATTAACCAAAAAGAGCGACAAGCTTGACCCTCCGCCGAAGATGACATTTATGAGTTTGAGACTCAGTGTCTGAAATTCTGTCTCTAGGTCTTCAGTAGTCCGCTCTACGAGGATATATTTCGGCCCTTCCAAACTTTAAGGCGCCCAAGCTCGTTAAGCTTGACAGCCAACAATAACATTTTTGGTGGTAAATTGTCTTCATCTGAAGAACTTACACTTTTCAATCTCAAGCTCATATATAGCAGATATGAACATGAGAAATTTGGTGCCTATTGTTCAAGATTGGAGTATTGGGGCGAAAGATATAAACTGGGTCGTGTCTGTGGCTCTTCGTAGCATTTTGGTCATGGATAATGAAAAACAGTTATTTCAAGCATTGAGGATTGTTACCAGTGCTCCTATTCGATTCGAACAAATCGAATTCGAATGACGTGAATAGTTCGAATTGTTCGAATGATTCGAATTTAGATATCTGTTCGAAAATGAATCGAATTCGAACTTACCTTATCCGAATAGGAGCACTGATTGTTACTATTGCTGACGCTGCCCTGGCAACCATTTCACCAGAATCCAATGATGTAACTATGACCGGATGCTAACTCAAGTCATTCAACCTTTTAGGGCCAGGTAGGTTGTGTCACCACTCTCAAGGTACAAGCAAAAATACTTTACAACCTACCATGTCCGACCTCTTCACTTTTACATCTCCATGCGTCTCTTAATTTGATTCTGGCTAGTCTTCTTTTTTTTTTTATATCTTACGGGTTATCGATACCTGCCTGCTCCAAGCCATGGATACCGTGAGCTTGGCTCTGGCTCTAACTTCCAATGCGAGACCAGTAAAGACGACTTTGCAGAAGATGTATTATAATAACATATCTTCTGCGGAATCTTGGGTATGCCACTGATTTTTAAGATTGTTGATGTCGATAACGCTCCCTTGTTAGCGTTAGTAGTAATAGCTACAATAGTAGTAAGAAGCAAAAATATATTCGACAGAGTCTTTATCGAGTTTATAAATCCATTTTGGATATATCAGCCTCACCTTCGGGATGTTTACCTGTATATTATGCATATTCCAATAACTTGGGGTCAAGGGCCTTGGATGGCTTGTCTTGGATGTTCAATCAAGGATCTCATCGAGTTTAAAGAGCTATGAACGGATGAAATAGTATCTAGTTTCAGCATAATCAGCATTGCTATAAGGCAAGCTTATGAAAATAGCAGATAGTTTGTTCGATATCAACACAACGGTACTGATAATGCATCTCCGCCTGAAAGTGGAATGTTCTTTCCAGTCTCTTACCCCAGAGTACTTGATACCAACTACATGTACATTAAGTTAAAGTATATACGATTTTGTCACTTCTCAACAGTCCCGAGCGCATTAAAATAAGACCCGAGTGGTGGGTGCATCTGGCCAAAACAAGTAACTTTTCAATCCTTTACTCGTTTTTACACATCTTCACGACTACATTTTGTGAGACCCAGCTGAAGCAATTGCAGCGTTGACTGCAGTTAGTGAGTGTCAAGATTAAACTCAAACATTACTCTCTTATTCAATTGCAAGGCAATGTTTATGCTGCATAACAATATCTATTATGAATTTTGGCCGAATAAATAAACACAAATAAATGGGAAGGGTAAGAAATTATGATACATCTGTTCAATACAATGTATATACAAAAATATGTACCTGCCTCATCCAATTGAAATCTTTTTTAATTAAAAAAAATGTTGAGCGAGTGAATCGGCCTCTGAATGAGTGAGTTGAAATGAAGTGTCAAAAATGAAGAGAAAGTATATATAAATGTAAGCACTAAAAGAATGAATCCATTTATTCTCTGTGGACTCTACGATAATGATTCAAACGAGCGTCGGGTCGACTGAAGCTGGTTTCACAAAATTTACATTGAAAGGAAGACTCGCCCGTATGAACTCGCTCATGGCGCATTTTATCAGCCCACCGGTTGAACCTCTTGGAACATCCCTCATGAGTGCAAGCAAAGGGCCGTTGACTTTTGGGGAGGTGAGTGAATATGTGCTGCTGTAGGGTATATTTCCTGTCAAATTCGGAACTACAGCCTGTAATAATGCATTTGTGTATAGTCGGCGTTTTGTTAGATTTGCGACCCCTGCGTTTGGCTGTAGTCGAGCCCGTGATTGCAGGCGCTTGAGCTGGCAAGGCAGATACTCTCATCGCTTTTGGACATTCTGCAGTATTGCAGGAGCTATTGGGTGTTGTGGTGACAACGGCAGGGGTTACAATGGCAGGGGCTACAAAAATGGGAATACACGGCGATGGTGATGACGACGGCAATGTCACTACTGCCGGTGACGATGACACAGTTATAGCTGGAAATACAGCAGTGGAAAGTGAAGGGCAATCGCCTAGGCTCAATTCTGAAAACCCAAAGATTGGTGATGCCGCATCTTCAACCATATTACAGTCCATGACTTGACGCATGTGGACTGTATTTGAATCAGGCTGCGATTGAGATTGTTGTGATTCAAGGGATAGCGAGTGCCGTTGCATTAGATCATATTGCTGCTGATGTGAATGGTAGTGATTATGGTATTGTTGATTGAATTGGTGGTTATGGTGACTATGGTTTATTGAGGTTAAGAAAACATCTGTTGCCATCGCGCCGGGCTCATTAGCGACTACTGGCGATAGGAATGATGCAAAGAACTGGCTTTGCAAAATCTCCTCTGAGACGTTGTCCGTTAGGAAAGGATACGCGTCAGATTGAGTATCACGTGTGGGAGTTATACCATTTGTCCACCATTGCAGACACTCTGTATCGTTGTTGCCCACAGGGCTATGCGTAATCGATAGATAAGTGGGATCCAACTGCGAGGCATTGCTGTTGTTAGATTCGGGGTCTTGCGAGAAAGGTTGGCCTGTAATTGACGAGGCCGAGGACGATAAGAACGGTTGGTTCGACTCGTATTTGGACTTGGTGGCGGGGCAATCTCCGGAGAGAGATCGCAATTGACTATTGTAAACCATTGCAGTAATTGATATGCAGCTAGGAGAGAAAAAAAAAAGATTATGATGAATGAAGTTTTATGAAAGGGAACTATCTCGGAGAAGGTTTAATAATAAGCGCTATAGTTGGTGCTAAGGATGATGGCGATTGTGGACTGAGGATAGATCGTTTTTATTGGGACATTCAGCTAGTTAAATACTTTTTTTTTTTTCATATTTGTGATCCTGGGTCCGTGTGTGCTCAAATGTCTGTGTGTACCCAATTTCTTATTTCATTTTTTCCTCTCCAATTCAATCATGTTTATAATATGAGGGTTTGTTGACACAGGGGTGTCGCTAACATTGTCGTTAGGCAAATGTGTAAATAAAAGAGCAGCACAAACAAATAAACAAACAAACAAACATGTGCATGATCAACCAACAGAAAGTTCTAAGTGACTGTCATCGTGGCGGTGTCATTGCGTTTTTGTTTGTGAGTTAAAGCTCAGCCTCGTTCTATCCTTTCTATCCAGATTAAATTATGCATCCCCATGGTATATATATATATATATATATACAGTATATGGTATTCGTCTTTTAAGTGTGTCGGGAACATTACTTGGTAATGGATAGCAGCACAAAGGCACATTTAGTGTCCGACTCTACGACTATTATATTATATATACATATACTGTAATAGTTTATTAAGTCAAATTCCAGTGTATGCCCATTAATAGGCAAAATGTTTCATAGGTTTCACGTACAGACACAGAGACACAGAGGTTAGAATTCAGGCACATGTCTTTTCACTACATCTAACTGAAAAGTAGAAACTAAAAGTATCTTTAGTTACACGCGCGTAGCGCGCTCACAAAGCGGTCTGATCTGATCAACACCTTGCTTCATACAATTCTTCATTCCCGCATTCCATTCCACTCATTCCACTCATTCCTCATCTGTACTCATTCCGTACTCAAAGGAAAATAACGCGCTTGAGGGAAGCTAACAATTGATCAAGCTCACTAAGATAGCGATTGAACAATTGAAATATGAGGAGAGTATATTCTTGAACTGGACTTGACAATATGAGCTAAAAGTATAAAACCATGTTCGCTTACATTTTTCTTTTTTATTCTTTTCTTTTATACATTATACATCATCGCTATTTATTACGATAACCACTACTTGCAACACTTGATCGTACTCACAAATATCTACCCAATTCCCTCAACAAAAAATATAAAGTAACCTATCAAGATGCCCCGCACTATCGCTTCTTCTTCTTCTGGCAACGCTGCCTCTTCATCAATAAACTCAGGTCCAAGCGGGACCTTCTTCGAATTTAGCGTGAAGCAAGGGAAAGAAGGAAGAAGTGGCTATGCACGAAAGGCTAAGGAAGCCAGAGATGAAAAAGAAAAAAGGAGAGAGATCCGCGAGGGCAAAAGAAGGGCCTGTTCTGTAGGCGTCCACAACGTCTCCGAGGAACACACCCCTCGCAAGCGGATCTACTCCCAAGACACGATTATCGGTGCAACAACTGATAACTCTTCCAGCCACCTTCAGTCGCCTTTTTCGTCTGAAGAAACAGCAGAGCAGAGAAAAACCTGTGCTAACCATGTTCTCGAATCTCTCCTCGCCAACAAGAATCCCTCAAAGACATTGCTGCAGTACAAGACATACTTGAAAGCTTGGCAGGTAAGTTTATTATTTTGTTTATTTGTTTATTTTATTTTTTAGGACAGTCAAATTTTTTTTTTCATGCTTCGTAATACAAAATATGCAAATACAATATAAATGATAGGTGTTCTGCAGCACAAGAGAAAAAGGGGACTGCAGCGTTGACGCAAGAAAAATGTTAAAGTTTTTCGAGGAGGTTGTTTTCAAGCGCACAGTAAAGAAATATATTGATTCAAACGCGGGATTCAGTGGCGTCGTTGGAAAGGCTTCATCACAAGCGGCCAGATCAGTGTTAGAGGGCAAGCTGACTCGCGAAAATAAGAGAAAACCAAAGGCTTGGAAAGCAGAGACAGAGGAAAGTATTTTTCAGGATGTTGTCCATGAGCTGGAGCAAAATTATAGCCAACGTAATTCACAGCCTTATGAGACTCCGGCATTTGAGGGGTTTGAGGAAGCCTCCCAAGGTGACAAAGACGATGCAGGAAGCGAAGACGAGGAACAAAATCACTCGCAACCAGCTGAAGAAGAGGCCCTCATGTCTGCTGAACCACAAGCCCTCATGGTCTCCTCCATTGCGGAAAGAGCAAAAAGTAAATCTAGTGTAATCATGTAACCAAAATAACCTTGTTCAAAGCTGTGGCTCACTCTTAATTGACATTCTGACACTTCATTTTAATCCAAATATAGTTCTTTCGCATCCGCAAACTGATGAGACTGGCCGAAGATTCATCTATGCGCCTATCTCGATAGAAACAGTGGATTGTGCCAGGAAGGCATTAATTTATCTCTACAAGGAGCAAGCGTCATCAAAGGTGGATTGGCCAAACCCTGCACCTCATCCGCGCAAGGATATCCCGCTGAAGGAGGCTATCGAGGAATACGAGGGGAAACTAGTGTACGACACCTCATTCCAGGGATCGACGCGCACTGATACCTGTTCTATTCGCGACCCCTATAATGAGAAGCAGTTCATTCGGATGGCCCTCCATACGTGGGGTATGAAGCCAATGCTGCGGCTAAAAGGGAAGCGAGTGTACCATGCGGAAGGTAGATTTCAATATATGCGTGAGCGCCTTTGCATCTTGGCACGACACCATATGCTGCTGCGAGATGAAGACATTCGCAATCTTAACCTATCTGATGTGTTCAGTATCATGTCTTCCCATCCGGCAAGTGGGTCCCAGCCAGCTCTCGGACTTACGTTTTGCATATCTCGTGGCAAAACAAATAAAAAGGGTGTTAAGCTTTATGCAACCGCCTTTCGTCATAAAGTTTTTTACAGGTGTACTGTAGGAGCGTTTGGCTTCTACATGTTAGAACGATTTATGGTAAGAGATTTGTGCCATTCTTGTCTCTTCTTACTGCAATATAGGTTATGTACTTTCCTAGCTCGTTGTTAAATGTTGGGTCGCGTACCATTCCTATAATAGCTGGATAAGGAGGATGTCCCAAACTTCGCTGATCCTGACGATTGGTACAACATCAAGCTTTTGGTCGCGGCTAGTACGATCGAGAAGCGCAACGCAGGCCTTCGCAAGAATGCTGTTGCACCAAAGACTCAAATCGATGCCACAGCTTCTGTGATGCGAACCTGTGGCGTTTATTCGACCAAGGTCACTCACGCCGGTCGACACGCAGGAACATCAGATGCGTACCGTCTGGGCTTAGGCTTGGAGCATATCCGTCACCTTGGGCGTTGGGTAATGGGACAGATGGAGAGTTTCTATGCTCCAAAGAACCCCACCACTGGCGCGTTTTATATGGCTCATTTCAACAAGGAACAGGAACCTTATATCCTTGAGCGTAATCTCGTTATCCCTGACTTGGAGCTGCAGAGGAAAATTTTCCCTTGGATCGAAGGGAACTTTAACAGCAGCGCTAGAGAGAATGAGGAATGGGTCAAGGATTGTAATGATGCTATGACAGATGTAAACCCGGATCTCATCACGGAGGACGACCTGCACTGGGGAGGCTGGCAGGAGCGTATGCGCCATTCGACAGCGGCTAGGGATCAAGATGAAGAAACTACGGGAAGCTCCGCCGCAACGGCCAATAAGCTCATGAACAGCGCAATGATTGATCGAAGAGCTTTCCTACTATTGCTGGTACAAATGAGGAGAGTTATCCTTCAAGACGCCGTGCTGTACCTGAAGCCTGACAGCAAAGGAAGGACTCTGAGCAATAAGCTTTTAGAATCACTTCCAGAAATCTTTGAGAGTCAGCTGTTCCTTGACTTTCAGAGAGAGCTCCTTCGTGCGATCGAAGTGCATCAGCAGAGCGCCAATGTTGTCAATCCATTAGTCCCAGTTGACAAACATGTGGTCTCCAACGCGCTAAACAGCCTTAGTCACCAGAATGCATCTCTTGAAGCAGCTATTGCTCGGCAAGGAGCACAAATGGCACAGCAAGAAGCACAACAAAGGGCGCAGTTGTCTGCCATGAGCTCAGAGCTCGCGACGCTAAAGCAGCAAATGGAGATAGTGATACATTTATTGCAGGATCCGTCAGCTCGCCAAGCTCCAGCGCATCCCTTGAATTCAGCCGGTCTTCTTGGGCCATATCCCCATACTATGCCAAGCTATCCTGCTCTGCGCAGAGTCCCTCAACAGCAGCCGTTTGCGACGCGTCCCCCACAGGTACCTCAACAGCACTCATCGCTGGTTCAAGCTCCTCTACATTGCTTCCAACGAGCGCCAGAGCCATCGCATCACTCGTCCCCAGGCCCCAGCTCATCAAGCGCCACTTTCAAATGGAAAGCAGACCGCGGAAAGCTCACAGTGGCAGATGCTTGGGATGAGTTTCATGGGCCCCTTGCAGCATTTAAAAGATTGAACCCGAGTTGGCCAGTGAATACATCAGACCAAAGGGCCTACAATCGACGATATGAGTTAATTAGGCTGATCAACGAAGCAGCACGAAGGGAAGGTCGCAATCCTGAAGACATTGTTGCTGAGTGGTCACAGGCAAATGAGGGAAAGACTATTAACTCACTGTTGATATCCATGAAAGCTAGGGAGCAAGAGGATCCTGAAGATGACCAATAAATGACAATACACTTCCCAGGTAGGTAACAATAGCATATATAGAAGCATGTACGATAGTAACATATATAATAATAGATATAGTAATAAAATACTAAATGCATTAATTGCTTTGCCAAAAAAATAAAATAAAAAGAAATTGGTATGTTTGTGAGTCGCGCGTTTGCGATCCGTTTGGCGTTTGGTAGCGTCTAAACGCACTTTCTCCTCATTTCCGTTGAGGGAAATAAATGGCGAATAGTATGGAGTATGGATAAAGGGAATGTTAGTTTAGATTAACTTGACCAGATGTGGTCTGTAAAAAGTTAAATAATACCAGAATAGCAAGGTATCTGAAATACTAATGATTGAAAAGGAAGGAATATACGCCGTTTTCACTACATTTTACGCATTCTGTGGTTTATATTGACTACATTATACGCACTTTGACTTAAATATACGCCAAAATGGTTACACAAACAAGACACAGAGCAGTGACAGTCACATTTCAAGACACAGAGCACTCCCTGTCTTAATATTGATTCAGATTCGCTCTATATACTGTATATATTATAAAATAGCTATTATGCACAGTCATCTGACATGCTTTTTTTTTTTTTTCATTACACCATCCACACCAAGCAAGCCATATCTGATTTATTCAAAAGTCAAAACATACAGGCTGCTTCTTAGAATACAATTGAATTAAGCCACACAACTCTAGCCACCTTGAAAAAATGTTTGTCAGTGGTGATTGAATTGAAAATCCTAAACCGAAAGCCATGAGAATGGCGTTATCAGAGATTCTCCAGTGAGTGTTGCATTTGACTACTCTTTAGAATATGATTAGACTGAGCTTATACAAGCAATTTAAAGTGTACTAAAGTCTCAGGCTTCATGTCCTTCTTCATTTCTTCAACCACGTTAAAAAAGCGTGGTTGGATATGAAAACCTTACTCAGAAAGCCAAAAATTCATTGTGATGATATTGAACATGCATGTCCGCGACCAAATAAACTGCATTTGGATTTTTATTTGTTTGGAAAGAGAGAGGGCAAATGGCGTGTATATATTTCTCTTAAAGGATACTTAATTGTTCAAGTGACCAATGTAATGACGATAAGGCATGTCAGGTTACACATGCGGGAAAAAAATTTATCTAACAAGCGGAGAAGGAATAGAAATCTAAGAAAGGCGAAGGTTTATATAAATTTATTCGTAAAGTCCACGGAAATGGTTGAAGATCTTAAAAACATACCCCAAAATAGACTCACCCGTTTATATGTGTTGTTTTTTTATTCAAAAACACAACTAATAAAGATCGTCAGCACTTTCCTGTCCAGCTGGCATTATTGCCCATATATAAAACATTGAAAAACGTGCGACTACGAGTCCGTTGCTTTATTATTATTAAATATATATGCTATTATTATTTTTTTAAGAGAGAACTATAGTCTCGTGAGCTTTTGATAATGACCAAAAAATGATCAGAATAATTAAAACTTGGTTCATACTGTTTCGGTTGATCACAACCTGAAGTGCCTTTCTGAATAACCTCGCAAGCTCGCCACACCTAAGTGGAATGTAAAAATCAGTCGTAGACCTAATTCAGTCATCAGTTTAACTTTAAAAACATATAAGGTTGTGACCAGAATAACCAGGCGATCAAAGTGTTATTTTGGAAAAGGAAGAATTTCATGCTGAGTCTACTTCCAACAACTATGCAAGGATGACATAAAACTCCGAGATGCACAAAATAATTCTCCCACCTTATTATGCAAACCCAATTCCTAAAATCATTGTGCCACAACATGAATAGTCTAGCTGTTTCACTCCAATTGGATATTAAGATCCATATCTTTCACAGCACAGCAGCACAGCATTTGTTCTTTGGAAGCTACTGTTTTTTCTTTTCGTCACAAACATAGGAAGTATATATTATATCATGCTTTTAGCTAAGCTCTTTCCGAAATAACTGAGCTTGCAGATCGGAAACAATGGTGTCGAGACATTCTTTCTTCTATTTATATTTCTAGTTTATAATTTAATGGAAACGAGCCAAACACAAAGCATAGGGCACATAAGAATGTTGTTGATTCCCAGCTGTGCATGAACATAAACTGTTTACTGTGAGATAAGTTACATCCCCTGAGTGGCTGTGTGCAATGCATGCATTTCCTTATTCAGCAGAAAAGAACCAAATTATTGCACACATTCCCCTTTTACACTCCTACTTGCATATATTCATTTGATCTAAAGAACTCCTTTCCACTTAAAACGCATATTATATTATATGTTGCAAATGGCAAAACAATAATCTTGAAAGCGGCCTAATGAATAGGACTGAAATGTCTTCCGATGCCGTTTATATCCCATGGTCACTCTGATGATGAGGAAGTACGTCCTTTGTAACACTTCCGACTCGCTAACCCCAAAAGATTTTTCTTGTTGAACTATTCAAAGTCGGGTAGAACAAAATTTATCCATCCTTATTGAAGATATACTTTTGGCAGGGTGAGTTTGAGTTAGGCTAAATTGAGAGATGGGAAATTTCTTCTGCGTTGCTGCAGTAATACAGGAACCACGTGTGACTTAGGCAAGGTAAAATGACACTGAAGCAATGCTTATTTTTTCTTGAACGATGAACTTTTCTCCGTTTATTTCTAAAATATTAAGCTGTACTTATGATTGGATCAACTTGGGTATAAACGGTATTTGCTCGATACTCGCTTTTTAGGACGCGACAAAAATAAAAATTACTTGACAGTGCTTATGCGTATGTACAAGCTACTCACCCATTCTGCTCAGTCGACAATCCTGGCATAAAAATAACCAAATTTGATATCGTGGCTTTGCAACATTTATATTCAAGTATAAACAGTCCCATCAAACAAAGACTAGGCAACAGATCAGCACCATTATAGTCTCAATCGTTCATTCATCCTTGTCCCCTGTCCTTGTCTTCATTCCAAAATATCCACGCTCATTACCAGGCGGTCTCAAGGAAAGGTAGAGAGCGGACCAACTTTTCCATAGCACAACTCGATCTGAACAAGTGTTGGACAATTCATAATATTCTCCCATGCAATCGGTGGTGAGGTCAGTCAAACCGGGATCATCCCTGAGTAGAGCCATCCACAGGCAAAACAATGCCAGTGTACTACTACAGCCCACAAGGATGAATACAGCCTTCCAACAACGCTTTACAATAACGACAGGCTCAGCAGTATGTTCTAATACAAGTGTTCCTACATGTTCAAACTCAGGATCAACAACATCGTCTTTAGGCACTGGTCGGGCACATTGGGCTCATCGATGTAAGGAGTTGTGGTGTTTATTCATATTCATTAGACTTGATGGCTTTCAACTCTAATTTTGTATACTTTATTGTTAGCCTATAGCACACAACAAACTTTTGAGGGGGCTTCAGGATCATCATCATCTGTCACTGTTCAGGAACTTGAGCAACTCTTAGCCATAGGCGATTTTGCAGGATTTCAACAAGCATGCGTTGCAGTAACCGCTACTATTGGTAGCAATAAAACCGCGGCCACTAAAGAGCTTTTTCACTTTCTCTTAAAAACACTTGCAGAGCAACCCAAGGCGTTTGCTCCGCTTGCTTCAACAGCATCGATTCCTACTAAACAAGATGATACTTTTGATCCGCTCAACAGCGCTATTGGAATCCTAACAGACATGGGCCGTGAAGCCAATATGGGGAGGGCTGCTTTACAGCCTGATAGATCAACCATATTGCTGTTACTCAAAGTCGCAACTACATCTCAAGAATATACTAGTCTTTCCGCTGCTCGAGCGCATTGGCAGTCTGTGTATGCACTTGTAGATGTAATTAGACATGGTCGCTTGCCCGCAGTTATGTCATTAGAACAATGGGAATTGCCCGATTTGAACAACGTTGAATTGGACCAAGCTTTATGGAAGGCCATGTTTGAATGTATACAGTCAGCTTCTTCCGCAGTCATTAGAGAGAATAATACATCCCGGCCTGTACAATTCCTAAACGAGTTAAACACAATGAAGTTTTTGATGGCGGACCAACTAATTCGACTTGACAATGTGGTGATGGATGACGGATTATGGGGTTTTGTTGTTCAGGTATTGCTTTAGTTCTAGGGCAGATCGCTGCCTATTTTTTATAATGCTTAGTGGAGGCAATTTGGATCGACATGTCTCACCTCAGTGATTCACTACTAATTTTTCGGTGGTGCTGCTTATAAAACTATAGGCACTTGGAGACTCAGAATCACGAGAGCGACTTGAAAATATTTTACCAAAGCTGCATGCTATGGATCCTACGAGCGCCGAACTTTACTCTAATATTGCAGAAGCTCTTGCCAAATGTGGATCTATTGGACGTGCAACCGACATCATGCATACGCTTTCGCACACACGCGATACGTTGCCCTCTATTGGGCCGTTTGTTGCACTGGCCCGTCACCATGCTAAGACTGGAAACTATGAGGCCATTCGACATGATTTCAAGGTTTGGGTAGATAAAGGACAAGCTTCGGACATCAATCAAATCCGACTCAAAGATATCCATCGGTCCATGATGTCCGCCTGTGCAATTACCCTGGATAGGATAGTGAACATGGTTTCGACGACGACCAGGCACCGACAGATGAATACACTGCCAAAAGATGTACTTCCCGCTATTACTACTCCGCCTCAGTTGAGCTGGCTACAATTTAACGAAGTAAAGTATATATGGCGCCAGAGTCAGGAGGCTATGGAAGGCATACCCAAGGACGAGTGGACTGTGGAAGACTATGATACAGCAGTCCGCATCACTACTAGATTGAATTTGCTACAACCACATGAATGGGGACTACATGATTATGCGAGGAAGTTGTTCATTGAAATGAAGAAGGACTATAAATTGAGACCCCTGAAAGCAACGTATATCACTATGATGGAAACAACAGCCAGAACGCGTGAGTATGGTGTTTCCCGCGAGTCGGGAGACACTTTCCGGAGGGTTATGAGGATCTTTGAAGAGATGACGTCTTGGGGAGGCTATAGTGTTCAATCGCCACAAGATTTTGGGCCATTAATTGAAGCCTGTTTTGGAATGACGTCTCATTCGCCCTTTGTGGCGAGTCAATGGATTCACTCGAACCAGTTGTATACACATTTGGAGAAGCAGCTAAAGTTTGTAGAAGCTAAAATGCGAGATATCCTGGAGTCAAATGGAGTTAATCAACGAAGCGGTGATAACAATAATTTTAGAAGTGGTAATGGTTTTGCTCGATACCACGACTCGACAACGATGGCGAACGTGTTGGCTGGTCTAGCGCGTGCGGATAAGGTAGATGAAGTCTTGAAGCGGTGGGAGGAGCTACCACTTCAAGGAATTGAGCGAGATACCAAATTGTATCAGACGATCATTGGAGCTTCACAGGGACAGGATAAACTCGCACGCTATGTTCTTCGGACTGTGCGTTATCAAATGCTGAAGGAGCAGCCAGTAGTAGATCTGACACCTGAGGTTTTCACGGGCTTGCTAAATTGTTGTATCCGTGCACAGGATCCCATCTCAGCCCGTAGCCTGATTTCACAATGCTCGACTTCGGGTAAAATCCAAAAGACTGCAGAATGGTATATACCAATGGTTCGGGCATGCCTCATGTTGGAGGGTATGGAGGAGGAGGGAGGGTTCTTATTGGATGAGATGAGGAAGCATGAGATGAAGATGGGCGGCTTCTCAGGATCATTCTATGAGTTTTTGATGGACTATTTCGTCATGAAGCGACAGGATTATCAAGCAGGACGAGAAGTGTTTAAGGATTTTGTGAGGAGCGAACAAAGTCGTATCAATGAAATACTGACCGCGCACGACAGTGGCATCAGCAATGGTCGCCTCCAGGCCATAGGAGATGAAGAAGACATGAACTTATTGTCGACGACGTTATCGGATTGGTTGCTGACAAGGCAGGCCCAGAAACTGCAGATGCCTGTTAAGCATTTGGTTGAGCGAGTGGAGATTTCACAACGAAGTGCCTCGATGCTGAATCTTTTGGTTCTGTCACATATTCGTGAACGGACTCAGCTTTTGGAGCATGAGAAACGATCTGGATTTGTTTCTGGAGCCAAGGATCGGCTGAAGGACGCTCAATTGGTAATGCATTATTTGGTGGATGGAGGACGTCAGTACTCGATTAGTGAAGAGAAGAAGCATGTGGACTTGGATGGATCGACAATACCCGGGGATGGATTCTTAGTAGAAGCAACACCGACACAGCGAGACTCGTCACAATGGTCAGGATCATCATCAGAAATTTCCCTCGACTCGTCACTTTTGTTCCATTCACCTACAGAGAGACTTGCTTATGGTGATCGCAACAGTCATGGCGATGATGAGTCTATGACACCTGGTCGTCTCGTGTTTGTTAATAAGTATGTGTTGGGCGAATACATTGACACATGCATTCGGGAGGGTTCGCCAGAGATGCTTGCTGAGGCAGATTGGGCGCTCAACACGGTGATGCCTAGGGTAATTGGGCGAGCTAGGATGGTCAGGGATGGACAGAGACTTCGACAGGCTCTTGAAAGTGCACAACAAAGGCATGAACAGCAGCAACGATTACAACAACTGGGTTTGCAACAGTAGCAACATATAATTCATGGAGATGATAATCTAGGCACAGCTCCGATACATACGGTTCAACTTGGAAGTGAAAAGACAAAGTAGAGACGAAGCGCTAAGAGCGTACAGACAACAACTCAAAAAATTAGACCCCATTAAATGTATTGTAAATATTTTGTTTTTAGTGAATGCTGTTTATTAAGTTTATATATGTTATGAGAATTACGGAAAATTGTAACCCATGTATTATTGTTTTGCATTGTTTTCTCACATTTCTGTCAGATGTCTTAAAAAAGGATTTTAGAAGCCATCAAAAATGATGGTAATGAATGTTAGTGTTGATGGAGGCGATTATTTATGATGACGACGATGACAGTGTTGCTATTGCCTGTTTTTCCATTGTTTTACGTTCGTAGCTTGCATGATCTAAATTAAGGTTCCTTAATTTCGTCAGTGAGGAAAGGTCTAAAGACGATAACGAAAGACTTTGTATCACCAATTCTGTGTCTGCATTGCTAATGCTGTTGTTAAAAAAGGCACCATTTTGGGCGCTTCCATTGAGGCCGTTATGGAGACTGCCATTGCTGTGGCTCCTTGAAAACTGTCGTAAGCATTCAATCGGTGTTTTAGTTTCATATCCGGCTCCAGCTCCAGCTCCAGCCCTGCCAACAAAATCTGTCGTTCTCGTTGCTGCTGCTGCTGGTGATGACGGTAAAGACGAAGGAAGGGCGACTGGCTCGATCATGCCATTGATACTGAGGGTTTCGAGACTAGAACAAGCCCATGGCTCTTCTAGGAAGAGAAGGATTTCCTCTACTAGATCCTCCATGGAGATGGTATTGATCATCAACCCATGATTCCAAGACAAGCTGAGCTCCTTCAATTGCCTCAACGAAGCTTTGAGTTGTCGAACACAATGAACTTCTCTAACACGATCAGACCCAGTTGGGTCAGAGGATACAGAGGGATAGAATGATAGGGTCAAGGACTGTAAAGAACGTTGTTGTCCTTTAAGGGCTTGTGCGAGGGCATAGTTGAGTGTGGCCATGTCTGCAGAGAAAGATTCAAGATGGCGACAGGCGTTGACCAAGGCTGCCAATTCGTGGTCATGTAGGAAACATTGGTTCATATGGACTCCAGAATGAGAATGTTGCAAACTACCACCTATGCTCATGCCTGTGCTGCTGCCGCTGGAGTGATTGGACGTGAATTTGATGCTGCTTAATTCTGGACAGAACTCTTGAATGTTCTGAGAAAGTCGCTCGATTTGAAATTCTTTGCTACTGTTCATGTTCATGTTCATGTGACCGGTGCCATTATTATGGGAATGATGGCCTATGTATGCTACATTCAATGGAGCTGGCGTTGCCACAGGAGATCTCGTCCTCGACCCTGTAAGGGACAATCTTTGGAGTCGGGGACAACATCTGACAAGGTCCACCAGGGCTGGACTTTCAGTTCCTCCAAAAGCGATATGTAATTCTGTTAGATGAGGTAATTCCAATCCTTCGATTGAGGTAACTCCTTCCACAGCCGAAGACAGTTGTAAGTTCGATAATTTGCTGGCATTGTTCCTTAATACTTTGACAAAGATACCCTCTCCAAGACTAAAACCCGATGTTGTCAAGACATCCAAATTTCCAAGGCCCATCAATGCTTTCAATTCCAACTCCCATTCCTGTTGTTGTTCCAGAGTCTCGATTCGACGATGGTATGGTCCACCCCAGACAAGTCGTTTCAGGCCAGGGTTGGTCACTAGTAGCTCTCGAGACCACTCTTGGCCATATACAGTTGATAACTCGATCAAATTGTTACAACGAAATGGGCCCTTGAAAGGCCCAGTGTTGGAGATGATTCGGAAGAGATGAGAGTATTTGGTTAAAATGGCGGCAGGAACGTTCCGCATCCGGAAGCCATCATAGACAAACCATAAGATGGGCAGACAAGTTTGGCGAAACGCGCGTGAGACTTCTGAGCAACGAAGAAGAGACAGAGGTTGAAATTCACGATGGAATCCTTCCCCTGACCATAAAGGGATGAATTGGCAAATACGGGTCAGAATCTCAGGTAGGTCCAAAGGTGTAAGTTTAAGACTGGTGCCTACGCTGGTCGTGGTTCTACTACTGCACGGCAGTGATGGCGCTACTTGCGTCAATGGCAATGGTCTTAGGTCGTCCATATTGAATCAGCTTTTATGTGAGTGCAATTAAAATAAAATATAATAAAACACAATAAAATAGGTATAGATAAATACTATAGGTTTAATGGGTTGAATGAGAGAGAAAAGGAGATGAGAAAAGATGAATGAGATGAGGAAAGCTGAATGAAGTGGGCAGAAGTGGAGAAGAGGAAGAGAGAAGGGTGGAAGGAATAGCAAGTTTAAAAGAGAATTGTATCCGTGGACATAACATTTTTCCCACCTTCGACAGCATTTTTACATCTTTACTCTTTACTTTACCCCTTTGCTAAAATGACAAGCCCATGGTCTGTGTAATAATAATTATATTCCATTACAATCTCAGTTGAACCTGCCAGAGATGGAAAAGTGTGGGGTACTTGCCAAAAGAAGCACTCTGCGACTCTCCTAAAAGGGGCTTAACGAAGCACGCAAAAGAGCAAATTGTTTGTAGGCAATAGTAAACACAATTACCCCACCATGGACACAACTTCTGTGGTCAAGTAATAATGCCTCTCTCTTTTTTTTTTTTTTTTCCTCTCGCACAGTAGAGAGAGAGGAGAAAGAGAAAGAGATTCAGCACATTTGACAGCCGGATTGTAAAAGGTGACTAAGGAATAAAAAATTCGACTGGCATTGCATTGATTAATAAATTCTGTTTGTTTGCTATTTTTATTATTTTTCTCACGCATCTGCAGTTCATCAATTTCATTTAAAAAAAGCATTGTGGGCTGACTTTTTATGAGTCTGGAGATGAAATAGAATACAAATTACTGTTGCTTCTTCCTGCGGATAAACAGACGCAAAGTATTATTGACTGGAGCCTTGTTTGCTCTTTTACTCAAATAACACATGGAAGACAGCCATCTATTGTACATTTATCCATGAGCAAGTTTCTTTCATCTTTTTTTTTTTTTTTTTTTTTTTTTTTTTTCTGTTACTGTGGTTTTGCACTCGTTATGATTTAAAGATGACCCACACAAGAAACTAGTAGAATGAACCTTTTTTTTTTTTTTTTTTTTTTTTTGAGAAAAAAGACAAAGGTGTTTTCAAATATCAATGGGGGTCTCCTTGCTACTTTATCCGCTTTGCTGTTATCCTATTTATGCACATCAAAGGCACAACGGGCAATCAAATTCGCCGCTTGAAAAAAAAATAAAATAAAATAAAAAAGCTCACTTCAGTCATTATCCTCATCCATCTCATCCATTACAGCATGCGAAACTAGGATATCATCTGGGGTCTGAAGACATCCATTATGAAAATGTGAGAACAACGACTATTGTTAACTCTCTCTTTTTTTAAAAGAAGAAAAAAGGTATAGGCAAATAGTGTGGAGGTTATGGGACGAATGGATGAGACAACGAAAACTGAGTGTAGACAAAAGTGAAGAAGAGGAAGAGACAACGGAAAGGAGCAGCAGGTTTTAAAGAACATTATTCCCACCTTAAATAAATGAAAGGGTCTGTGTAATAATTTGTGGCAGCCAAGCATTCAGAACCTTAGTCGTATTCAAAGTTACCAGCTCGTAGTAGGAGATCAACTCGGCGACCGGTCAGTCTCACCTTCTCCAACTGTCTTCTAAATTCAGGTATAGCGGCTTGGTAGCTCTGCAAAAGAACGAATGCCTCATGTACTGTATCAGCTTTAGACAACCCTCGCTCAGGATCTCCAGAGCCGATTTCCATAATGCCACAACCTCACTTTTCAGACTGACGTGCTTCCTCGCTCGATTAAAGTGGTACTAGCTTGAAAAGATGTCAAGAAATGATGAGCGACTAAAAAAAATAACATAGCTGTATAATATGAAGTCCTTCTTTACAGATGAGATACGAGTCGTAACATAGGAGTAGATACAGAGACATCATTACCTTGTATCGTAAATTAAATGAACATCTGAATCTCTAGACGAAGATCCTTGGGCGGTTGTGTATTTAGTTTGTCTATGTCATCATGACAAACGTCCAGTGTCGGTTCCGCCACCGCAGGGGCCTTGTTATAATCCCAAGCACACAAGTCCAATATCCTTGGCATCACAACCCTCACATTTATCGTAATAAAGTATAAACAATGAACATGTTTTTTATAACAAAAATCTACAAATCCCAGTTCCTTCAAGTCTCTAAAAGAAGGCTCACCTAACCCACTAGTACTGTGAAATCGGAATTGAGAACATTGCGTTATATTCAAACAAAATAAAAATAAGAAGACAGCAACAGGTAAAGTAGATAGATACCTTGGTGATGCAGGCGACCAATAGTGTAGGCATAACCCCTCGATCTCAATCAATGGCAACAGGAATCAGAGTAGATGTGGTGGGGGCAGAAAGTCATGGCCGTAAAAACAAGCGATTTTGTGAGAACAGCAAACAAGAATGGTGGCACCTCCACCTAATGCATAATAAAAGATCATGATGCTTAATTGAAATTCTATAAATGTCATACCTTCATCTACCTCTGACTTGCTGTCAATTCAGAATCATCAATGAATGTTTATCACCGGCAAAAAAAGCCCACATGTGCATTAAAACCCAAAATTTCTTTTCGCCGGTGAACTTGAATGGTGCAATGTATTCCTGATCTTTCAATGGAAGGTTAGTGTATCCCAATATCAAAATATTGGCACGTCGCTGGTATACTAGGCCAGCGGTGGTGCACCGTACCAAAAAAAATGTTACACCTGTGCAAGTTACATCTGTGCAAGATTCACCAGTGGAAATTACTGCTAATGACATTCCATTTGACTTTGGATTTGACCAAATTTCGCCTGCAATCAGACAGAAACTCCTGTCTCCTTGACAACAGTTTCAGTTTCACCATCAATGAGTAGTTTTTGATTGGTAATTTTCAAAGCATGGTTGTTCCGAATCAATCTTTCCTCTTCGATTCTGGTCAACTTGATTGGAATTGGTGACTGATAGACATGTTCTATTTGCAATATCTTTGTCAGTGAAGCGAAAAAGCGACATGAAATTGCTTTGAGACATGCCTTTTTTTTTTTTTTTTTTTTTTTTTTTTTTTGACTGCCTATCAAGTGCCAGTCAATATGCAGGTTGCTTTGCTTGTCATGAGTACAGGATAGATACAAGAATAACAGTGTCATTTTAATATGTAAATAGAGCAAAATCAACAGAAAATCCTGTAAATGACGCCATATCCAGCTTAAGTCATGTAAAGACAAACTGAAGGCCACCGACGTCGCAGCCACCTCTCGCTCGGCGAGGAATAATGTTGCTTTGATGCATCTACTGGAACTAAAGATGCGGGGCTACTATTAATTAAATACTTTTATGTGAAGGAAACGAAGGCACTGACATATTATCTTTTGCAATGTTATATTTGAAAGACCCCTAACAAATGGAAAGTATAACGGGCCAGGAATGTTGGGCAATAAAGATGCATGTATAATAGAAAACAAACAATAACTCAGCTTGCTCTAAATAGTCCCCCCTCCTTCTTACTGTTTTCGTTGATAACCCGCCCTGTATTCTTTCTTTTTTCAATATGCCTTCGACAAAGCGAGAACGTGAAAGAAATAAAAGTAGTGTCTCAAGAGAAAAAAAAAGTAGAGTTAAAGAAATGCAGAAAAAGTAGTGATGAAAACAAAAGTAATTTAACGACAAATATGAGAATGAGCTTTCCATCAGTATAAGTCAATGCATAAAAGAGACAGCACTCTGTTAGATATTATCGTAATAGCCAGCCTGGCTAACATGCCGCGAGCTAAATCTGTGTGCAGCTCATGGAGCCACGACTACAGTTTGCCTATTTGGCGTATCTGACTTACGCAGTGAGATAAAACCTTGGTTTGAAAGGTTTACGCAAAAGAAAAAGATGTTACACAAAAATGAACCCTGAATGGAGCGACGCAAAAAGTATAACAGTCACAATGTGCTTCTCCATCTCATTCCAGCCCACATGTGCAGTATACCTCATCTAATTGACACTATCATTAGCACCTCATTCCCTCAGATACTTCGCCCACTTCTATTGGTAGCCTCCACTCCTAGACCTTTGGCCGGTTTCGGGGCCGTTCAAGTCTCTGATAGCCCTATTATGTGATATTCAATTTATTGAAGAATTGACTTTAAAATTATATCAGAGGATATGAAGATGCAGAAAATATCTAAGTATTTAACCCACTGTGTCATGCCAACCGGTTTGCTCGCCCCTCAGGATAAAATGTAAGATCCACCAATATATGAAAGATCGATCTATAGGATCTTAAGACCAAGTCCACTTCAGGAATCTAGGACAGATTCTCTCACAATCTCTTTTGAATTTCACATTCAGAATACATGTGGATACTTTACGTGGTGTTTTAGAGAACGTTGGGAAACTATTGGTGTTGCATCCGCCCTTCTTTTCATTATTCATATCGGATCGAGACTTGTTCGATAATGCAACGGCATATCACGAGAAAAAAAAAAATCAGTTTGCCACCAACTTTGACAGCATCCTTTTCGTGATCCTGTAATTGGGTCATGGCCCCTAAACATCAACAGAGTGTAATCGAACAATAGAAACGTATTTAGATGCGTGGATGGTAGCAAAAAGAGGACCTGTGGTCATATAATCTACATGGATGTTGTGATTTGCAGCAATACTTAGTGAATGGAAATACGTTTTTTTTTTTTTTTTTTTTTTTTTTTAACAAAAAAAACTGAAGCGTAACACTCATTACTCATCACAATGGATGGACGCGTGTATGTGTTCAATACATTTATTGCGAGCTGGAACGATTCCAACATTCTTGAAAATAAGGATTACCGCAAGAAATAAAGTCAAAGGGGCTATGCTGGGTAGGCAATACATTTTGACGGAATTAAAATTGTACCGGTAAAATTTAGTTTTTCTGTGGCATGGTAAAAAAAAATATTAACAGCGCAGCGGTAGGTTGCAACAGCGATGTGTACGGGAGACAGGGTGACAAGAATAAAGGGGGAATGCACTCCAACCAATGATGAAGACTCGCCTCTCAACTAATTCATGTCGATAGATACGGCAACCCTTAGCTCAAAGGATGTGGGGTTACTGCTTTTCTCTAAGCATACTCGTGTATACAGTATAGGTGGAGGGTGAAGGCAAGTTCAACCTGAGACCAAGAAAATAAAAGTAAAAACTGTGCTCCGCTATGGATCTGGAACATCAATGGCATCAACAGATGAGAGATTACAATGCTATGCTGGATTGGATGTTAGGCGATCGGGAATAGACAAATGGACGCACATTCAAAATAAAACTTTAAAAAATAAATCGGTTACAACGCTTATTTTGGCCAAAATACTTAAACACGCATTGGCAATGTCAAGTTGCATCCAAGTATAAAAAGAGATCTCAGTCTCCCTGTCCACCCTCCATTTGCACCACTCTCCTGCATCCTCCTTGCATAGCACTAAAAGAAATTATGCTCCCGTAGCTCGACTTTCCCCTCTAGTTTACTTATATATTCTCCTTCTTTTTCGTTTCATTCCTTCCTTCTTTCTTTTTTTCTTATATATACCCCATTCGTCCTTCGCTGTCCATCCCACTTTTTCAACAATACAGCAATATACCCTTTTCCCCTTTTCTCTCCTTATTTTATTACCTTAGGAAAAGCCTGTATTCCATTACACCGTATCGTTATTATAGATTATATCACCCATGTCTGACAACATAGACAACTCTCCACAGCTCCCCTGGTATCGCCGTCTGAACCAGACGAAGGGACTTTTGCTCACCATTGTCTCCTTGGCTCAGATGCTCGATGTCATCAATGTTGCCAGTGTGACAATTGTGCTTCCTAACGTTATGCAAGATGTTGGGTTCAAGTTCGATCAACTACAATGGTATAGCAAAAAAAAAAAAAAAAAAAAAAAGTGCATGTGCGCGCTACACAACTCTTTTATTCTGACTTTTTTTGTTTATGCAACCGAAAAAAAAAATCTTTTTTATTCATGAAGGGTATCGTCCGCATATGCTTTAGCATATGGTGCCTTCCTATTGTTAGGAGGTCGCCTTGGTGATCTATATGGTCATCGTAACATTTATATTCTTGGCGTAACATGGTTTTCGATTTGGTCTATTGTCAATGGCTTCGCTCAGACACCCGTGGTCATGTCTGTGGGCCGTGCGCTGCAGGGTATGGGGGCTGGCTTCACTGTCCCTAGTGCTCTGGCCATCCTTACCACTACTTACCCTGTTGGACCTGAGCGAAACAAGGCTCTGGGCATCTTTGGAGGCACTGCTGCTGTCGGCTCTATTGTCGGTGTCCTCCTTGGTGGTATTTTGGGTTCAACAATTGGTAAGAAAGATATGGATATTTTATTTGTTGCTGGATACCATAAAAAATAAAGCCTAACAACACACTGACCTGATCCACTTATGCTCTCACTTTACCGTTAAAAAAAAAAAAAAAAAAAAAAAGGCTGGAGATGGATGTTCTACATTACTGCCATTATTGGCTTCGCTCTGGTTATTTTGGGGATCTTAGTTATTCCTGCCGAAAAGGCTCAAGGCAAGGTAGAAGATCGTCGCCTTGACATATTTGGCATGTCTGCCTTCACGATTGGTATCGTTTGTGTGATTTACTATCTCAGTGAAGGCCCTGCAGCTGGTTGGGGTTCTGCCAAGGCTTTGGCTCCTTTCTTGGTCGGCATTGTGTTATTGATCGCCTTTGTAGTCATTGAGTTCAAGATCGATTACCCGATCATGCCCCTTCGTATCTGGCAATCTCGTCGATTCTTTTCCTCTTGTGCGACTGCGACAGTCATGATGGCAGCCATGAATGCTCACTTCTATTTCTCTGCACTTGTGGTTCGAAATGTGCTCGGTTATTCCGCTCTCAAGACGTCAGTAGCTTTCTTGCCACACGGTATTGGTGCTATTTTCATGGTTGGTCTCTTGACAGCTATTAATCCTTATCTTCGGTCCAAGGCTGTACTTGTGGTCGGTTGGCTCTTTATGATTGCCTCAGGTGTCCTCTGGGCCCAGATTAAGGCCGAATCAAACTATTGGGCCACTGTTTTCCCCTCTTTGCTCCTGAACATGGTTGCAATGGTCTGCATTTGGTTAACCTGCCAAATTAATTCAGTTGCAGATGCTGCAGATGAGGACCAAGGTGTTGTTGGTGCAGGTAAGAAAAAATTATAAATCATATTTAGCACAGAAAACTTTATTTCGAGCTTTGGCAATGTTGCGAACAATAGCATCTGTTCAACCAGTACATCAGGCCATCTTTCCCGAATATATTTTTAATGTTGTGTATCTGTTACCTTGATAGTATACAACGTTTTCCTGCAGATCGGTGCTCCCATTGGAATCGCCATCTCTAACATCGTTGCTAACAAGAAGAACTCTCTCTTTGCAGTGGGACCTGAGCTCTTACCAGGCTATCGCGATGCTCTCTACTCGTTTGCGATCATGGGTGGTGTGGGTTTGGTCGTCAGTTTAGTCTTGTATCCCAACAGAGATTCCGTCAAGCCTGCTAGCAATCTTGCTAATGCAGAGGTTGGTTCTTCCTCCTCTCTGGATGAGCATAGCACCGCTGCTGGATCAGAAGACAAACTGCCAAATTATTCGACTGAGAAGGTTTAGGGTTGCGTTGGGAGATCATTGAAGGCTCTTCTTGATTGCGACGTGAACATTGCGAAGCACAACATCATTTGTATCATTTATTTTCACCCAACTATAATCAAAGTATATAATATATTATTTCTGTCACACCTCAATATTATCCACGAACGTAAATAATTCGGCATTTCGCATTCCTTCTTTCGCCCCAACATTGAATAAATATCTCTTAATCATCATTGATCTTTGGCTGCTTATCTCCAAGCAATACGGAATTTGTCATTGTCTTTGGATCAAATAATCCTCTTTCCCAGCACAGCAGTAGGCTCACATTTCTATTCACCCATCGGCTCTAGTTCTGGTCATGGCTCTACCTTTCCCCTGGCAGAGACCCTTTAAAGGAAAGATGTTTGATGCAAGGGAATAAAGAGCCTTTCAAGAACCAAGATAAGAAGGATAAAATGTGCTCAAATTGTTTGAAAGGGAACAACCTATAAAAAATAATAAAGTTACACTTCCAGGAGCTTGCCTCATGTATAGCAAACACATTTTACATGTGTTGTGTATTTCCCGTCGCCGAGGTCATTACAAATTTTGTATTAAAAAAGTACAGAATTGATATGTAAAGGGAAGAATGCACTTATCTTTGTTCCGACCATATTTCATGCACCTCTGTATCCCATGCAACACTTTTTATTATTATTATTATTTTGTAGATGCTGTGTACAAATGCACACAATTTTTGGCCGCATGGCCGCAGATGGTGATACACGTGGAAAAAGATGCGAAAAAGCGCGTCTTCTACCAGCTTTGACGAGCGTAAAAAAATAGATCCGCGACAAGCAATGTATATATATATATGCAGTTGATCTCTCTCTCCATGCTGTGCCACTTTGCATTAGCGTCCTCCAAATAACTCAAAAGGTCTGGATTGATCAGTGCTCTGAATCGCCACAGCAGCAACTTCCTAACTCTCATTGGTGAATCGTCAAAAGCCTAAATCCCCCTTTAGCACAATCCAAAATCAATTGAATTGCTACAGATGCCAACTTGTGCTATTCTCTTATTCCGTTGGCCTTGACGGCTTGTAAAGAATTCCTGTATAGCATATAGCATAGTATACAGACTAATAAAGGTACAACCTTCCAAAGTCGGGACCAACGTCTATGCGATGTATTTTTACCATTCATCTTGCATAGTTTCATCATGTATTGGTTCGGACAGCATTCCTACGCGGTCGAATGACATAAACCAGTGTTATTAACAATAATATGATACCTTTCTTCAAATACTTTAGACAGAGAACTGTACCCCAAACAATTAGATTTGCTGATTTAGGTATTTAAACATATCTATTTCGAGATCCATTGTGGGGAAGAAAAGAAAAAAGAAAAAGAAAAACAACGGCTGGATTACCTAAAAAAAAAAAAAAAAATGAATACAGAAGAAGGGCCTTTGATGCTAACAAAACACTTCAATCTTACTACCCAAACTGAAGAGACTTCCTTTATAAGATGGCAACAAACAAGCTCGCTAACAGAGACGCAGGACGGATAGAAACGGAGCAAAATTCATTTGACCAGCTATGTAAGGCTGACGCTGACCAAGTGGATGGCAGAAAACATGGGCAAGTAGCAACGTCTTTATAAGTGGCAAGGGGACTCCGGTGAGTAGAGCATCTTTACTTAGCATAAAAGCCCTCTGGTAGCGTTAAGGATCGGGCGTCAAAACTGGGTATGATATAGACCGCGATCAACTACACAATTATGTTGGAGGAACATAAGTCAAGTCGAGGATATTTTGGCCCAGAAGACCTTTGTGTAGTTTGTGAAGCTAAACAAGGTCTGGATTCATATTTTATCATGTACATGCGCCTTTTTATTCATAGATGGGTCTTCGAACATTAGTATTATGGTCGCCATAGAAGTCCTGAGCTTAGAGTTATTGTTGTGGCCCTCCTACAGCCCCCAGGGGGGCATCGAAGTTCTTATGTGAATATGTTTGATTGGACCATAATGATGGGAACCACACCCGCCATTGGTGTCAACAAACATGTTTTTGTAGTAATGTGTGATCTCAATGACAGCAACCAACGCTTTAACCAATTATATCCCCAAAAGTGGCACAAGTCAAACGAACAATATACGTTCCACAATAAAGCGCCTGAACGTCTAGGTCAGCAACGAGCACATGCTTTTGTCGTAGTTCTGTTTACCTTGGCTCATCTCAACTTCCCTCATGTGTGTACATGCGATAACTCATCACTGAATAATATCCCAATGCTTTGTCGCTTCCATTCTTTGGCACCTTTACCCGAGTCTACCTGCTACTTTTCTAGCTTCACACTTTCAGCATGTCTCGGCTGTTCTGTCAAAGAAGGCTTCAATAGTAAACACTTGTATACCTTTGCCCAAATAGGCTCGAGGGTATAAAGGGTTTCACTTTCCATGTTTTACAAAATCCTGGCTTGAGTCTTTCCAGATTATCAATGATAATAAGGGCCTAAATAACAATCAAACGCTTTTACATATTTAAACAGCAAACTTTAATCACTATTGGCCCAGATGAAGCCAACTATGTCCTTGCGCTGCGGGTTTCCGTTTCTTTGCCATACCCAAAGATAAGGTTGGCTCTAAACAGGTGGGCAATAGTGCCTTGCGTATATTGTAATCTGACCGTTTTGGACTGGAAAAGCAGTTACGACACCATCAATAGCACACTAGATGACACCAATTATGGGGAGCTATCCATACTAGCACAGGATCCATTATGTTCGGATTCAGAGATTAGGAGGACGTAGATTGACAAATCTCATAGAATGCTTGGTCGACTTGAATGGGCGGTCAAGCCTTATGAGTGAAATAAAACACTACCTTGTTCACTTGAAAAAAGTCAAACGACTTTTTGTTCTTGCCATGACCTCCTACTAGACCAAATCGCATCTTTAATCCTTTCAGCCTATAATCAGAGCATGATAACAAGAAAACTACATCTGATAGAACGGTGCTTTTCTGATTGAAAAAAGAAGAAAAGAGATTAAGTCTGCTTAACGAGAGCACTAAATACCTCTATATCGCTTTCGGCAGCTATAGCTCACATCCGTTGTAACTAGGTCCGTAACATGACCGATAAGGACCTTTTTTCTTTCCTTTATTAGTACGAGTACAATGTCGCTTTTAACACAGGAAACATGTACTGGGAGGCTTTATCCACCATACAAGATCCTGAAGTAATAATTCAGCTTTTATTTCCTTGAGCATGGATTCGCCAGTTGCTTTAATAACACGCATATTTGTGTCATAGTGTTCTGCGAACAAGATAAATCCCCAACGACCAGTATTTTGCCTAGCCACCCATATATGTCATTTTCGGTCAATTGTTCAGGTCCATGTTGCTTCTTCCGATTGCTTCTGCCGGCGTCCATGTTCAGACAGCAATGTTCTCAGGCTCTTCAGGTAGACTAGTTCATCCAGACCTGTTCTGAGCCTCAGGCCCAGTGTTCGCTTTCTTCTAGCCACCCAACTATATCCTATCAATTTAAGAAACTGTAGTCGGGCTAGTTTGCCTAGCTGTCTAAGCACAGCGCGCCATTTTGCCATAGCTTCTGAAGTCTCTTGATCTATGTCGGCCTCGAGGAAGATGTCCAAGTTGATGAGGTCAGTGCTGGCCCATTCTGCACTATTAGCAATTCTTGCCATCATGGTTTTAGAGCCAGTCAGGTGTTTCGGACGTGGGCAGTTGAATAAGATCGCTTGTACGATACCTCAGACCTACTACTTCGTGTATTGACTTTCATTAACGTAACCGACTCATAGAGCCTCTAGGGCCTTACTTCTTAACACCCTGTGTCCATCTTTCAGGCCCTCCTGCTTAACTGCTAATAGTTCTCACATAGAAAGCTGGCCGAAATCGCATCTAGATCTTTTAGCATGGTCATCTGCCTGAGAAGTCCTACTATATTCTTCTCCTTTGTTTCCACATTAGAAATTGACAGATCTGGTATATTCGTCAGTGCGCAAGGATACTGGGGAAAGTCTTTTCAATTATAGGAATTTTGTTAAGTAAACCATTTATATTTGTAAGGGTCTAACCAAAAAGAGCGCAAGCTTGACCCTCTGGTTTCAACACTAAATTTGGGGAAATAAATTCGTCCGCGTTGTTGGCCAAAAAGTTACCGGGAAGCCGAGGGATTATCACTATACACAAGCACAAGACCCTAACTTCCTTGAACAGCTGAACAATGGATAAACTCCATCACTACTCATTTGTACTTCAGCGGCACCTGAATAATTAAGATTGGTACATTCCAGTACTGCCTCCTATAGCTCCTGTAAACTTGAGTTGAAATTGCATGTAGAGTCCTCGCCAGAAAGTCGCTGACAAATATATAATTCAAGAGGTTATCTTGATTGAGAAAAACGCCAATACGCGAGATGATTTCTGAGAGCTCCAAGAGGTGATGATTTTCATAGTGTGGCATTTGTCAGCTATGGAATCTGCGATATCTAGATTCCTCTACAACCGATGCCACTCCTTCGGACTCTGCTGATTGATTAGGATTGTTTTTGAAAAGTTTCAAGCGTTTTAGACCTGAGAGTTCTGTTTCCTACCATTCGCAATACGCTCGAGGTTGGGCATCTCTTAGTAAGACAGTATAATATTAGCCTCCTTTTTTGGCGTCACTAAATGTACAAAGATTTCATTCTTCTCTCTTCTCCATTTCATTTTAAAATGGAACCACACCCATTACACATTCCGGAAATAATTGAGATGCTAGCCTCATCTCTCACTCGAAAGGACCTCGTAATCTGCCTCACTGTCTCGAAGACTTTTCATGATACACTAATCAGACTTGTATGGAGAAGCATCGATATTAAAAGCCACCGATTGCAACAACGGAAGAGGCTTCCTGCTGGCGAAGTGCTTCAGCGCCACAAGCATTTAATTGGAGAACTTCAGTTTTCTGGCTACTTCCCGAAAGAATTCATGTCTTTACGAGGATGCAAGAGTCTCCGGATCGTGCGGTATCTGGTGCGAGGGAGGAGCACTCTTGATATTAAAAGGTTGAGATCCTTTGTAGATCTAGTTAGAGCCCATAAGAACACGATTCAGGAGGTTGAATATGAATGGGACATAGGGGAGTCATCTGAGCTTTCAGATCAGGATCTTTGGGGTGTGCTCGTGATGTGTCCCAATCTTAATATCCTGACTATCCATAATAAGCAGATAAGAGGTGAGGATATTGATGCATTCTTTCGGGTCTGCAAGAAACTTCGATGTTTAGTCTTACGCACCATTATATTTCTGCAACCACCTACTGATCTGTTGGACCAGGATAACGATGTTCTCCTTTCACGTATTCGCACCTTGGAGCTCAGTAACGTCATAGTAGTAGATCCACATCCACATTCCTCAATGTATTATCTCGGAATGCTTATTCGCAAGTGTCCAAATATACGAACATTGACATATGAGACAGACTGTCTTCAGAGTATTCACTCGCAGGAGCAGATGAGCCATGATTTCATTAAAGCAGCATTTCTACAAGACCCATGGACACTGCCCCACTTGCAAAATTTAATTTTAAGACGAGTCCCCTTCAGCGATATAGAAATGGCGGCCGTTCTTAGGCGGATGACCCAACTTAAACGGCTCCAAGCACCATATTGTGAATTCGGACCACTTTGCCTCCAAGAGCTTCTGAGAGATAGAGGACTTCAGGACTCGAAGGACTTGAACGATGAGGGAACCAAAGAGCCAAGACGATTCTGTGATATGTTGGAAGTGCTTGAATTCAACCAATACGCTGTTGAATCGAGAGGCATGACACAGGCGATTTTGTCGAGCTGTCCACAGCTTACAAGTTTATATGCAAGCAAAATTACAATGACTGAAATTATCGATGGGGCAGAATGGGTTAGTACTGAGTTGACAGAATTGATTATCGACCTTGAATACGATCTTGATACTCAGGAGAGGGAAGGGGTAAAAGCAGAAAGAGAAACCGAAGAAGCTTTGGCACAGCAACGCATGGTTTATAACCAACTGGGCAAGCTGAAGAGATTAAAGACTCTTTATTTAACAGGATCTGGCGATGATGGAAAGCGGACAGTGGACCTTCGATTGATAGCCGGGTTGGATAAAATGGCGGGCCTGAAAAATCTGAGACATGTAGAATTCAGAGGCGATTTTCATCAACAGATCCAAGCTGAGGATGCGAGGTGGATTGTGAACAATTGGCCAATGTTAGAATACTTGAATGGCAATATGAATAAGGACCCGAGTAGGCTGCACTTGTTGTCTGAAATATTTGATGCAAATGAGATTTTATACGACATATCCAGCAGTCCTTTCCACGTGGGTTTTTAATGTTACCCCATGAAAACTGTGGACTATAATAAATAACCTCACTATTTATTATAGTCTTGTATAAACGGTCCTGACCTATATCCTCTCTATACTCAAGCGGTATAGGCGCAAGCTGTTTCGTGGATCATCCTTCCACATCCGGGATCATCGTCACTACATGACATATATATATTTGTATATATTAGGTGAAAAAAAAAAAAAAAAAAAAAACACCATACCACATTAGGGTGCCACAAAATATTTGTGCATTGCTCTGTTGCACTGCAATCTTTTGTAACATTCATGGATTTAGTAGTTTACAGTCGAAGGGATAGGCCCACCCATAGTCCATTAGTCGGAGAAAGCTCGGCGATGAGAGGCGACGCCTGGTTGTTCTCCTCATTACTGGAGCACTTTAATGTTTCAAGAGTTTACCATTAAGAGGAGAGGTCAAGGGAAGGCTACAAGCCTACAGTTCAAATGGTTAGGCGTGGATGAGTTCACTTTCACTTCGAGATAAGGGCCCAAAAGTGTGCTCTTGAGATCGATGGGTTCATGTTCGCCAGTTTCCTCCCACGAATACTGATCATTCTACTGGAGTCTCCTTATATTCATGATCTGAATCCCTAGAATATTCAGATTGTGAAATCCTATCCACAATCATCAGCCACTCCATCCTCTCCGATTGCTGGTTTACAAGTATTAAAGTATGTGATTATATACCAAGGATTTCTTCGGGAACGCTCTCTTTAGTACAAGAGTATGGCGCTTTTTTTTTAAAAAAAAAAAAAAAAAAAAAAAAAAGACAAGGCATTCAGAACGGTCGTACCATTGTCAAGCCCCGGGAGAAAAAGATTAAGAAAATTGTTTGTTACACAGTATGGAATGAAAGATTGGAAGGACTCAGCGCATGCATTGTTTACAGACAAAGGTGTCTTTGTTTGTCAAAAGCCTGAAGTGTCCATGACTCTCGCCAGTGAATTAGCCTATTCTTAGAATTTCTTCCGAAAGAAAGATAAAAAGGATATTTACTCTTACCCTAAAATGTGTAACAACAATCAACACTGAGAGACTAGCAAAACGCACGTGTCGTAAAAATTTTAAAGTTAGCCGCAGATCCTCTTTTTTAAAGAAAATGTGCCGTACTTCAATAGTTGTCCGTGAACTATCTGAGGCTTCTTACTCTTACCCTCGAGGTTAGAGACCGCCAAGATTATCGGCCCCATGTATATGATGAATATCGCAATTACATCCCTTTTTTTCTTGGATCAAAATCATAAAAGAGGGTTGGGGCAAACATCAATTCGGATATGTTGATAAACATATAGTTTTCTTCAGGGCTAAGTTTCCCCTACTTTTTCTTTGATGTTGGAGCAAAATTTGCCCTAAGGCAAATGCATAATAACACCACAGCCCAATCCTGCATGCACATCACCTTCACTTGTTTCTGCTTCTCTCTCTTTCTAATCATACCTTACATCTCTCTCTTTCTAATCATACCTTACATCTCTCTCTTTCTCATCCCAATCATACCTTTACATGCTTCCCTCCACTATCATAACTCTCGTTAGCTTTCATACTCTCTGAATGAGACCATCAATTCTTCATTCCTCCTTTACGAGGTGCATCTTCACGTCGATCTTGTACGTGTCTCTGGTAGCCGGTATCCATGCGCAACCTTTTGGACCAACCGTATTATCGAGCTCGACCAGTGTATTCATCGAGGGCCAAGCCCTATATGTCTCAGGTGGTGCTGATAAAAATAATACGCCATCGCCACAAGCTTTCTCGCTCGATCTTTCCACTCCATGGAGCACCTCTAGGCCATCATATCAAAAAATATCCGATGGCGGTCCAGCGGATTATGCACATCCGAGCGCTTTACTAGCAGACAAACAGAGATGGTACATTTTATCACAAGATAACGTCTATTTCTACCACATACCCACGAAAAAATGGCATTTAGTTGGCAATAATACCAGTTTGGCATCGGAATATTACCTAAGTGGAGCAGCAGACCCAGAAACAGGCATAATCTATATTCCAGGTGGATATCTCGATAAAAACACTAATGTCCTGATGTCCTATTCTACAGTAGAAAATCAGACCTACTACAACACAGATGAGACCAACCATCCAGATCTGGCAAATCTTACGGATAGTTCAGTAGTGTGGTCAACCGTCTCGAAGAATTTGCTTGTTTTTGGGGGCTTTATTTCAAATATTCCAAGGAATAATCTGTATGCATATAGCCCTGGGAATGGATGGAAAGGACTGAGCGCCACGGGAGATATACCTACGCCGCGTGGATCGGCCTGTCTCGTCCCCGCCTACAATGGCACCAAGATGGTCCTGTTTGGTGGGCAAGTCGATAGTCCTGATGGTCCTGCAATAAATGATATATATATCCTCGACGTTGGTAGTTGGGCCTGGACAAAGGGCACTCCTTATTCTGGTGATGGTGCTGGGTCTGCACGCCTTGGATCAGCATGCGCTATTACCAACGACCTCTTCATCTCCTGGGGCGGCTCCTCGAATGGCAATATCGCCAGCCCATTACTAATTTATAACATTAAGGAGGGGCGGTGGGTTGAAGACTATTCTCCTACAGTCCAATCTCCCACAAATCAGTCTCAATCTCCCTTAGCTCAACCCTCCACAACCCAAACTACTCCGCCAGAACACTCTCCCAAGCCTAATCTGGGGGCTATCATTGGAGGAAGTATTGGGGGCGTAGCGGCAATCGCGCTTGTGGTTGGGCTCATTATGATATATCGCCGCAAGTCAGCCTCTATCAAGGGATCCACGCCCCCGCCCACCTCCCCTGAAGCCGGCACCATAGAGAAAGGAAACTCATCAAATCTCCCCATACCAGTTGTGGAATCGCAGAAGGAAGAGATTAAGGACTATGATCCATTGATGTTCAGTAATCAACAACAACGTGGATCGTATATACAGGCGTATGGCCCATCAACATCACTAGTACCATCGCCTCACGTGTCTTTTCCAGTGCCAACAGCAGATGGCCTAGCGGTACAAAATGTTGTGCCGCTGCCCTTTCAGCCAAACAGCCATCCTCAGCCAAAAATGCAGTACACGCCCTATCAACCCAAGCCATTTGTTCCGCCGAATGCAGTTCCAGGTTTATCCCCAGACAGCAACAAAACCTTGCTTTCGCCCCAGCCCAGTATAATATCTTCTGCAAATGCATCACCAGGCTTGTCCTCAGAGCAGCCTGGCGACTATATTGATCGCTAAATGGTCATTATTTTAATACCCTAGTTTTACGCAATTGATAGCAGAGTAGATAATAAAGAAATGTATATATTTTAAGATAATAACAATGATAAAATGACTTACTAGTGCATGCTTAAGGAAAAAGACTAATTGATAGCAACCAACATTGTATTTTACTGCGCCAAAAAAAAAAAAAAAAAAAAAAAAAAAAAGATCCGTGCAGGCTCGTACTTAGTGTTCTAGGCATGATGCAGAGAGCCTTTCTCAAAAAAAAAAGTGCATCTTTGAAAACCTTATCCTTACAGCAACTACAAATCCAACCTTTCCACGCCTTGATGCATCTGATTTTCCTTTCTATTGACCCCATGATGAGTCCAAGGGTAGGAAATCTACAGTCGCTCTCGTAGACGGCACAGTCCAGAACCGCTCTTTGTAACAGACCAGGTAAATGATAATAGCAATAAAGCGATTTTCGCCGGTGCATTTTTTTTTTTTTTTCACCAAAACTCAGATATTTTTTCACCAGTGGGCCTGGTTGGTGCGATGCACCATTGGTCTACAAGTAGCACTGTCATGTACCTTAAAACGAAAATACCCTAATCCGCCCTTGGTACAGCAGAAACCACCGACGTCGAAGATTTTCTGAGTGGTAGTTCACCATACCGAAAGCCTTGCATCACGGTGCAAGATCCACCGGCGAAAACCACTGGATGCAAGGGATACAGTGAGTGGTGGAGATACGATAACTCTACCAGGGGTAAGCCGACTGATTTCGGGATCATTGCTATTGGACCAAAGCCATGGCTAGTATATGTCTACTATGCTCTTCGTGTCTACATCAGATGAGAAAGGGGGTCAAGGTATACCAGTGTTCTTAATTATATCCAGATATCTCATAAATAATACATCGACGCGCGGAGCATATCGTAAACACAGGCGGAGATGCGCTTTCTGATTCGCACCTCTCTGAATATCTTCAAGTCCGTAGAAGCTAATACAATAAAACTTTGATGCATGTTGTTGCTTTTTATTTACAATTGTTTACATGTACAATGTACACGCGTCTTGACTGGATTTTTGCATCTAGACCCAAATGTTTTGGTTGTGCATTGAGCTCATGATGGTGAGCCTTCTATTCTTTGCTGTTAAACAGACAAATCTTTTCTTTTCGGCATTTTCTGGTGATCTCGCCAGCGCTTTTGCCTTCGCTTTATATAATATCGTGCCGCTTCTCCTTCTTTTTTTGCGCCTTCTTTCCTTGCGTACCTCCTCCCCTCCTTCCAATCTTTGCTTCACTCGTGTTGTCATGCTGTTGATCCACACTTCTTACCCCTTAGTTGCAGCACCATTCTGCAGGCTGGCTATCCTGTTCATATACTCGATTTCGGTTCTTACTCCACTATCCATTCATGCACAATACTATGAGCCTATGCCGGCCTACGCCAGCAATAGCGTGTTTATAGAGAGTAAGGCTATGTATGTCCTAGGCGGCTATGCCCACAGCGCTTTACCATCAGATCCGATCACAGCACAAATGTTTTCACTTGATTTATCAAAACCTTGGCGAGTAAGCAATCCACTATATCAACGACTTCCAGATGGCTATGGGGGTGTGCGGTTTCCTGGCGCACTCATGAAGAATAACCAGGAATGGTTCGTCCTCATTAACACTACAACATACAGTTATAACCTTGGTGCAAGGATCTGGCAGCGACATGGACAATTTCTTGACCCTCCAGGCCTTGGGCTAGCTGCTGCTACAGACCCTGTCTCTGGCTGGGTTTATATTCCAAACGGACACTATTCTCCCACTACAGGAAGACATCTGATGGCCTACCATCCAGAAACAAACGATTACTTTTATGAGGAGCCCCAGCAACCAGGACTTCTTCGAGTGATTAATTACATGACCACTTGGGCCCCGGGAAGGAATAGCTTGTTAATCTTTGGTGGATCTACGATCGACACATCAATAGCTCATGATGCCTTGTACGCTTATAGTAAGCGAGGTGGATGGGAGGTACTGCAGGCTAATGGAATAAAACCCTCAGCTCGACGCTTGGGCTGTTTTATTCCTGCATATTCAGGCACTAAAATGATTCTGTTTGGAGGCCAGGGAACTGGAGCATCAACATCGGATAGTGGCCCTACTCTCGGAGATATCTACATCCTTGACGTCGCCACATTAACATGGACACGAGGCGTTGATGTTGGACCGACAGGAGCACGGGCCGCACATGTGTGCGCCTTCAGTAACGACCAGCTAATTGTCTGGGGAGGTTTTCCTGTATCCAGCGCCACTATCAATCCCATTCTTATATACAACCTCAAGACCTCAAGGTGGACAACAGAGTACACCACCGGTTCTAGCGGTCCCACGCGACAGAGCTCCACCGACCCGCTCTATGTCCCCCCAACTGCAGCCTCATCTAGTGATAGCCAAAGTTCATCTTCCAATCTACTAGTAATCATTGGTGCTATCGTTGGCACTGTGATTCTATTTGCTCTGATTGGGACGCTGCTTTCGCGTCATAAGAATAATAAGAGACAACAGAAGTCTGTTGCTAAACTTAATGGTGAGGTCGAACTGGTGGCTCCACCAGACGTGGACCCGCCTGTAATCTTGGTCGCTCCCGAGCCACTAGCTCAGTCCCCATTTAGTTATCACGCTATTCCGCATCAGGCGCTAACCTCACCAGTGCAAGAACATGTACAGGTACAATCGCTACTACAGTCACCAGTGCAAGTACAACCGCAAGCACCGGCTCAGGAACAAGGACTGCAGACGCTTCCTAGCTTGCATTCTGACCAGGTTCAAGCATCACAATTAGTGCATCAGGTACCAGTGACGCCGCAACATACATGGTACAACTCAGTCCAGCTTCTGCCAGCGCCCCAACACCAGTCGATATTTGGGCCTCTGCCGGGGTCCCAGCCAGATTCTCAAGTAGGGCCCCAGTCCGAGCCATCGCACCAGTTTCAGTCTCAGCCGTCGCACCAGTTTCAGTCTCAGCCATCGCACCAAGCTCAAGCTCCTCCAGTCCTCCAACCACGGCCTCAGTCAGCGCTCCAAAGCCAACCAGGGGCTCAAGCAGAGCTACAGTCTTCTCCTGCTTCCCCTGCTTCAACCATAGTTCATAGACCATCTAATCCTCAAGAAGGATTTGTAGACCAGCCACGAACACTTGCCCCAGAAGCCTCCACTTATGTTGACCCTGAGGAGCAAAGAGCCCTAGAACAGCAGCGGGCACAGGCTGATATGATGACTCGCCAACAATATGCTAGACTTGAAAGACTAATATCTGAGCAAAACATGACTGGTGGGGTCACTACGAACGCAGCGACATTCCCTAGCCCCGGCCCCTCTCAATCCTCACAAGTAGGCTAAAGCGTAAAAAAAATAGCCTTGACTATTTAGAGTAATAAACTTTTAACTATCTTTGTGCAGAACGCGTTATTCTACAGAAAGTATAAAGATATACAATTCAGATGTGCTTTATTAATTATCAAATGTCAAATGAAAGCAACTTCGATGAAATGCGCCTGCATTTTAATTAATCAAACTTGCAACTTGAACATCCAGACTTGCAGCCAGGAAAGTAGCGTGCAGTACTATTCCGTGGTACTAAGTACGGCTGATGAACATTGGAAAGACTTTCTTTTTTTTTTTTTTTTTTTTTTTTTTTCTATTCAATCCTTTGCTGTTATTTCGGTGAATAATTGAACAATGCACATAAGTAATCGAGTCCATGGCCTGCGCGATAAAGATTAGGTAGTCTTTTTTTTCTTTCTTCAGTCTTCGCCATCGTTGTGATGCATTATTCACCCTCTTCTCTCCTTCTTTTCATTCCTCCTTTACTTGTCTTATAGCTCGTCCTATCTCCCTTTTCTTTACTCGAGTTTTCTCATGCCATCGAAATACCTATCAGGTGTTGCGCCTACAGCGTTATTAGGCAAATTGACTGTAGTAGTATTCACATTATTCATTCTTCTTCTCTCTCCAATCCTCACTCATACCCAGTCTTACACACCCAAGCCTGCCCTTTATAGCAACAGCGTGTTCATAGAGAATAAGGCCTTATACGTTCTGAGCGGTTATGTCCTCAACGGTGGCAAAAAATATCATCTTACCAACAAAATGTTTTACATTGACCTATCCAAATCTTGAGCCCCCTTTCTAACGACTTCCTCCTGAGTACGCAGACCATACGATTTGCGGGCACTCTCATGAAAGACAATCAAGAATGGTTTATCCTCATCAATGATACAACCTACAGCTATGAATTTGCAACCAACGGCTGGAAGCGGCCTAGTCATAGCTTATTTTCCACCAATGGACACGGGCTAGCAGCCGCTGCTGATCTACGACGGAGGATGTCTATATTCCAAATGGAGCAACAGAAGAGTATTTATACGACCAAAACCAACAGCCAATGATTACTTACTTATTAACTTCATGGTTGTGTGGGCACCAGGATTAAAGCGCCACAAGAAAGGCGAAAAAAATCAAGCTACTGTTTCTGGGGATGGCGTGAGTGGCGGACATGGGTTGGCTCTATAAGAGGTGAGCCGGCTGTTATTATGATCACCCCGCAGCCATTGCCATCAAATCGAAGCCATGGTCAATATATATATGTTTATTATGCTCCTCAGCATCCGAATCAGGTGGCAATGCCGGTATCACAGCATCATTTCAACATGCAACAAGCTGTGTTACAACCTCGGCAATCATGCCAGAACCAATTGCTTCAGCAGAGCCTTGGAACAACAGCGATTTGAGGCGAAATGTTGACTCGCGAGCAATTATCGAGATATGAAAGGCTGTTTTCGAACCAAAATGGAAGTGTGAATGCTGAAACAACTGCTATTCCAAACGGCATCTCTTGATTTTCTGTTCCAAAGTGGAAGCTACTATTACTACCATTGCTACTATTATGATTATGATTATGTATTATTATTGTTATTATTATCTATTATCTATTATCTATTATGTACTAAACGTGGGTTTTTCTTCTTTGTCCTCTCAATAAAAAAATAAAAAAAACAAAGGAGGTATGCAAGGACGGACAAAAAAGATGAGACATTGTAATCAAATTGCTTACCTGTTCTCTCAACTGCATGACCAAAGCTAATCTTTCTCAAAACATTGGAAACTGTAGAGCGCTCCCTTCCAAGGGACAGTGCGTAAAAAACCCCTATTGCACTGAGGTTCAAAAAAGAACCGAAGGCAAAGCATTGGATCAAAAAATAATAACTTTATTTGTTTTGTAGTGCACAGAGAGCCCTGTCTCTGAATCATTTTCCCCTCTCGCCCCTCTGGTCTTCACAAAGATGCAGGCATCCAATGGACGGATCTTCTCAGAATTTGAACTAATCATCTCTTCATACCACCATTTGTTCTTTTTCCACTTCTTTTGCATTCTCTCATCATCTTTTTTAATCCATTTCTGATTTGTTCTCAGCATCCTGTAAAAATTCAGTGGCATCAACTCTTTTATCCTTCTGTGTCTCCTCTTTTCCTGCCCCCACGTTTTCTTAAACTTATTATATGCAATAAATATTGACCATTGTTGTAAAGACTGTATTCAATTTTAATGAGGCCAGACATCTCTCCATTCCGAGCAACATGGCTCCTTTCCGTCCTTCTTCTTGCCTTATCTATTATCTCATCTCTCTCTCATGCCCAAACACAGCCTCCGTCTTATCAACCAAGACCAGGGTTTCTATCAACTAGCGCATACATTGATGGCCAGACCATGTATGTCCTCGGTGGCTTCGGAGGAGATGATTCTCTAATGGCTCAGATGTTTTCCATCGACCTTTCAAAATCTTGGAGCACCTCCAGCCCTGCTTATAAACGCATGGCGGATGGTATCACGGACGCAAGGTTCACTAGTGTGCTCCTGCCGAACAATAAGGATTGGTTCGTCATCTCTAATAGCACCGTATATCTCTACAATATACCTTCAGGAACTTGGTCGACTGTAGGGAAATACAACACTCTCAGTACGAGCCATGGTCTAAGTGCAGCAGTCGACCCGGAAAATGGGAAAGTGTATATACCTAATGGGTATGTCTTTAGCAAAGGTGGAGGAGGACCTGTTGAATTGATGGTATATTCAACATCCGACAAAACAGTTCAGCACAATATCATGACTTCAAATCTGGTTCAAGTTATCAACTTCTCTGTAGTTTGGGCATCAACTTTGAAGGGATTGCTTCTCTTTGGAGGATCTGTAATCAACACGCCCAACACTCGAAGCGATCTTTATTTCTATAGTCCAGAAAGTGGTTGGAAGCTGTTGACGCCTAGAGGAGATATCCCCACGGCTCGCCGGCTAGCATGTTTTGTTCCTGCGTATGGCGGCACCAAGATGGTTCTTTTTGGAGGTCAAGGAGATCCCGTTCCACCTGCTCAGAATGGAAATGCTCAGAATGACATTTATATCTTGGATGTGGCAACCCTAACCTGGACTCGAGGGCCGGACATTGGTAATAATGGAGGACGTGCAGGACATGTGTGTGCAATCTCCAATGAGCAGTTGATTTCTTGGGGTGGACTAGGTAACGATGCTTCGAGTGATAATAACACGTTCGTGTATAACTTGAAGACCTCATCATGGACAACAGAGTATATTGGGACTTCGGGGTCCAGTTCCACAAACTTAGTGCCTATCATTGCAGGAAGTATTGGTGGTGTTGTTCTGGTTGCGTTATTAGTTGGGGGTTTCATTTTTTACCGTCGCAAAAAAGCCAAGGAACAAGCTGTCAAGTCAATTAGGCTTTCCAAGCCATACATCTCAAACCCTACACCCTTCGAGTACAACCAATATTCACCACAGTCGCCGCCACATTCACGGCCACAGAGTCAAGAACAACAATATCAGCGTCAACAACAGCGTCAACAACAACACAATTCTTATTATAATGATCTTCCATCAGAAGAAGAATATTATCTCCCTCAGCAGCATCCATCCCAGTCATACAATTCCCATGGTCAGTCTTACGATCAGAATGACTATAGCTATGATGATTACAACAATTATACCTCTCCAAACGAGTCTTATTATCGCCAGAATAACCAGACTGCACATAATCCTTACAGACACCGTTAATTGTAAAGCATACCTTGAGTTTGGAAAAAAAAAAAATAAATAAATAAATAAATAAATAAATAGACATATAGAATAAAGCTTATAATAAACTGTGCACAGTATACATGTACTACATCTGGATAGCTATGGTTATTAAGCAAACGGATATACCCATGATTTCGCTTGGAATTTATACTATTCTTCCTCTCCGACAAACACGGCGCTTATCAAAAGGATATCACCGTTTGTAATCCCAAGAAGAATATATGACAGTGCAGTTGACAGTTAGTCCTGAGTTGGACTCTGACAATGACTTAACATCATCACCATTGTCCTCAATGTCTGCCTCCTGTACTGTTGAACATAAATGCGATTGCTGGAGGTAGTGGTCTTCGTAATTTTGACAATACGATTGTTGTTCTTACGGTTAAAACAGTTACGAGGTCAACATTGTCAATGTACTAGCGTTACTGATGATCTATTTGACGATGAGAAATATGATAACAAACAACAGCCCCTTATTTCTGATCAGTCTGGACCAGTTATATGTTTTTTATTTTTATTTTTTTTAATGAGGGTATCAATTATTATCAGGAGAGAAGCATAGTTAATTCTATCATAAAATTATATCTTATGACCATTGTAGCCGAAGTTCTTTCAAAGTAGAGCACTGGCATAGTTTAAAGAAGGGGCGTGGAGTTATCAGATCTCATGAAACGGACTCAGTTTTACCAGACAAGAATCCACAAGCAGTTGTGTAAATTGAATGAACGCTACAACAGCCAAATGAAATAAAGGTGAGAAGAAAAGAAAAAAAAAATTGAGTTGAAGGAAACAAATGAAAATAACTAGTGAGGAATGAAGCCAAAGCTAATCCTTGAGGGAAATGGTTGTAAACTAAATAAACGTCAAGTTGCAAAAAAAAAAAAAAAAAAAAAAAAAAAGAGTGCAGTCAAGTCAAGCGGAAATGATCCGCCAATAATTTTTGTGTCCGGCGCGTCAAAATCTGGTGATTTCTTTCTGCTATTCCCAACTCTGAGGACGTCGTGAAAGTTTTCGTGTCATTTTCAGAAAGCCCATGCAACCTGCCTGTTTTATCGTATAGGTAGAAATTAATTGATTATAGGCAATGATGCTACCAATAGAGTCTATAACACCTTTGAAATTGAGGTTCATGCTGTGCATTAAATAAATTATGATAAAGTAGTTTACTGCTATTAAAGATCAAATGAGTATGTTTATACAGCTTTACTAAGAGCGATCGTCTCTCCATCTCCGCTTTCGCAAAAGTAAAATATCTGTAAGCATGGACCCATTTTCTAAATGCGACCCCTTTTTTAATAATCTAGTACATCAAGAGCTGGATTCTCAGGTAGCCCTTGACCTTGGTATGAAAATCATTGCGCTTTGAGTCAATTGCAGCATCCGTCTTTTTTTTTTTTTTTTTTTTTTTTACATTCATCCTGGAGCAGCGGAAGAGGGAAAGTAACAAGTTGCTTTATATACGATGCTAATGTCCAAACGAAGAGAAAAAAAATTGCGCAGATGTAGAGTAGAACACTTTTCGCTTCATGGAAGGGTAGTAAATTGAATAATGTGTATAAATGTACACCCTTGAGTACAGTAGAGAGCTATTAAGTGGTTGAGTTAAACACTAAAATAAATAAGCACCAGTAAGGTTGAGCAAAGTGAACAGTATAGACGGAAAATCATGCTTGTTGATGTCAATATCCGAGGATTCTTTTTTTCCATTGTAGCGCATGCCCAATAAAACACATTTGTATCACTCACGATGTCTTCTGCGCCCACTGATCGCAATCTCCACTTTCTCACCTCGCCCCAGCCCCCCCAGTCCTCTATCCCTCATCTCCTTCTGTAATTATTAATGCTGTTGTTTGTTATTTACATGTTTTTCCGCCAAGGTATAAAAGCTAATCCTTTTTTTCACTGGCTAAAACCTTTTCCGTGCTCAATTAATCATCTTTACCAAAAATAAACAAAAAGCATTGAATAAAGTGGGATTTCGAAATTCTCCTTGGTTAGCCTTTTAAAGCTACCCATATCCATGCAAGTTATCTTGCTCCACATTGAGTAAAGCCCCATTTACACCTCCCATTCACACAACGGGTTAGAAATACTATTATAGATTGTATAGGACTATCACTTGAACAAGTATATACTTCCATGTCAGCATGATGGAATGATGATGAGAGGAATCCTGGTAGTCCATCAGCTAATGTATGATGAGCTGAACTCTACTCCTATGACTCCTTAAAAAAATCTCTTGTTGTGATCATCTTATCCTTGAACCACAATCACTGCGCAAGAAACTTTTTTGTTAAAAGACACGTTGTCCTTTAATAACTGGTGAGGATTACTATTGAAAGGATCTTTATTGGGCTTAGTGCCTTGGAAAATCTATCTCCCAAACAACCACCAGATTTATCCATTTGTGTACGCCCAAAACATGCATGCTGTAAGGAGGGAAGCTAAAGGGTAGGCGCACATCCCCAAGTGTCAAGATTGTCAAAATGAAAAAATATGGTATAGTCCGTTTCATTTGGTCGCGATCCCTTATATTTTTTGAATACTCTCAAGTATATTGGCAGCCAATTACCTCGCTTGTTCCAAGTTCGTCAGGCAGTGAGATGCCACTAAGGCCAATTAAATTATCGTTTTTAGATTAAAGATATATGGGATCGCGACCAAATGAAATGGGTGATATGTATGATTTTTAAGCACTTCCCTCTTTTGTCCTCCCTTTTTGTTCAAACGTTTATGACTTTGAGATGGAATCAAAGCTCAGCTTCACACAGAGAGGAGAAAAGTTCATTGGACCAAGCAACCTTAATCCTTAATCCATTCTTGCTCATACTCAGTATGGTCTATATTACCGCTTCGACAATACGGCTGTTCTCCGCTTGGTTTTTCTTTGTAAACATTGTCCTGATTTGGATACGATCCAAAAGTCCGCCGCCCTCTCTTTCTTTCCTACCTACTTTCGATTGCTCATCGAATGCATACCTTCAATTTACACCAATCCCTCTGAGCATTACTTCAACCTGAGCACACCAGACAAGTATTGGGCGAAAAACCCTATTACTTTAAAGAAAAAAGTACAAATAGAGCCATGTTTTCCTCTTCCCTTTCGATCCTTTTTCTGTTTTTCTTTCTATTTTCTATCATTTAGACCAGCATTTCATTCCTTTTTACATCATCATTCATATATATTACTATACTCTTAATCCATTTGCATTGTCTGTATCCACTGCTATTCTCAGCATTTTTTCCTCAACACGTACACCATATAATACAGCATTTACACGTTTTTTTGTCTTTATATTCCTTGCTTAAAATTTTCGCTCTGCCTTCAATACTGTAATTCTACCACTCCAAATATAATTCCTTTGTTTATTTTATCCTTGATATAAGTATTTGCATATTTAAGGAAAATAAAAATAAATGTCGCCGACAGAAGACTCGATCGATCAGCATCACCTAGATGCTTCCAATAATTACACTACAACTCCAGCAACGGAGCTCCCCTCCACACTAGCCATGACCTTTGAGAATCCTTCCTCTGCAAGTCTTGCCGTATCTTCCGGCATCACTCACACGGAGCCTTATCCTCAACACGATCTTGAACGCCAGTACTCGCATCATTCTCATCATTCAAAGCGATCACATTTCTCTAATCGTTCAAGGCCCAAGGTCCCCTCCGTGATCTCTGAGAAGCTTGAGCCCAAAGATGAAGGGGACCAGGCATCGACTGATATTGAAGATGGCGATGATGTTAATCAAATGCCCGATCCAGCCATGGAGGGCAAATTGCTCGACTATCCCGAGGGTGGCTTTGGATGGTTAGTTGTGCTTGCATCTTTTGTAGTCAATTTTTGGGCGTTCGCACCTAATATCACGTTTGGTGTCTACCAAGCCCATTTCTTGAAGGAAAACACTTTCCCAGGAGCCGTTGCAACTCAAATCTCATGGGTCGGTAGTATCGGTACCGCAGCCATGTTCTTACCAGGGCCCTTCGTAGCGCCTATGACTCGGCGTATTGGCCTTCGAGCGGTTGTAGCTGTCGGAATTGCGATTGCATCCTTAGGCTTCATTTTGGCCAGTTTTGCTACCCAGCTCTGGCATTTATATTTGACACAAGGCCTCATGTTTGGTGTAGGTGGAGGACTGGTATTCTTCTCTTCTATTTCAGTCACGGCACAATATTTTGAGAGACGACGTGGATTGGCCAACGGCATTGCAGTTGCTGGATCGGGTATTGGAGGATTGGCTTTAGCACCGCTTACAAGGGTTCTAATCGCGAGTGTAGGGATCCAATGGTGTCAACGGATTATTGGATTTGCAGTGTTGGGCTTCATGGCTGCCATTTTTGTATTCATTCGACCCAGAGTCAAGACGGTAAAGAAGGGTCCCATCTTTGATCTGTCGCTATTCAAAGCTCCTGGATTCACCATGTTACTCCTAACTGCATTCGTTGTTACTTTCGGTAAGTGGTATAACTTCACACTGTTAAAGCTGAGAAATACAGTAAAAGAGCGATTTTTTTTTCTTCATACACTTATGGTATTTCTACAATAACAATTCTCACTATTAGGCTACATGGTTCCCATCTTCTTGATTCCAACCTACTGTCAAACCGAACTCAATCAACCACCAGCTACTGGGGCCAATTTGATCAGCATGTTTTCGGTAAGATAAACAACGCTTAAACTTTTTTTTTTTTTCTACATTCATCATAGTCTAATAGCTATCTTTTGATAATTTTAAAGGGTATTAATGCCGCGTCAAGAATTATTTTGGGTGTTGCTGCTGACAAACTCGGACGAACCAATACATTATTTACATGCTGTTTCATGGCAGGACTCTCATGTCTCGCTATCTGGTACGTCCCTTCAGTATCTTCCAGTCCATAGCATTGTTGATCTTTCGACAAATAATTTCTTAACATCATTTTTTTTGTCGACAATTTTAGGAGCGTGGCTTCGAATCTTCAAATTTTGACTGGATTCATGGTTGCATATGGTCTCTTCGGTGGAGGGTAAGTAAAACATCTACAGCATGGGAAATGGAAACTACAATAGATTCTAGGGGCTGATACTTAGATTTTTTTTTTTTTTTTTTTTTTTTTTTTTTTTGGTGACATTAGATTTATCAGCATCTTCCCTGTTGTTGTTGCACAAGTTGTAGGTGTCGAGCGTTTATCATCTGCGCTCGGAATTCTTTACTTTGGAAACGTTGTTGGTAAGTGTACTTTTTCATTTAAGCAGTCTAAGAGAATAATCTACACTTGAATGAGCCGTGGTTATAACCATGATACTTATTTCTCGCTTTATTTTATTTTTTTAATCATCTCCTTAGGTAACTTGCTCGGTGCCCCAATTGCTACTGCCATTATGCGCGCTCAAGGCGGCAAGTACCTTGGAGCGATCATGTGGGCAGGAATTACGCCTGTCGTTGCTGCATTCTTTGTGCTCTTCATTCGCTTCCGTATTAATAAGAAGTTCTTCGCCATTGCTTAAAGCAAGAAGCCATAAAAAGTTAGACTCCTTTCATCATTTATCACTTTATACATTTTCCTCATTTTCCTGCATACTATGTAAAATATTAAAAAATGGTAGATTGCATTGTTCACAATAGTAATAAAAATTACAAATTACTCCGTCCCCAATGAACACATCACCTCATTAACATGATTTTTTTTTTAAAAAAATAAAAATAAAGAAAAAAAAAAGACCTCTTTGAACGGAAGAAAGATAGTACACATAAGATTTAAAGAAAGAGTTATGTGAATTATTATTATTTTTTTATAGAGGGAAGGACAAAGAAGATGGAATGTGTGAAAGGTTTTAGAAAAGTCCTTGGTTGAATACGTCGCAAAGTTGATAATAGTAAAGGAAAGCTGTTTCCCGAGGCGTCAGGCATGATTGAAGCAGGAGTCGCTCAGTGTGGCGAAGAAGCATTTCAGGCACAGAGTGGCAAGACAGAGTTTTTTTTTCTTTGCAATTATCCCGAATTCTGAAACAGGGCAGGGGAAATTTATTACATCGATTGCCAATTCGTTTGTTTAAATGCACAGGACAGACCTTATTTCAAAGTCTGTGATCTCTTCAGGGATCTCAATGCATGACACACATACCAGACACAACGTAGCAGCTTCTTTTTATTGTAGTTGAAATTTGGCCTACAAACCATCATAAACATCCGGTTCTTCTAATTCTTCTTTTCTTTCTGCTCTCCTTTCTTTCATCCTTCTTGTCCTTAGCTGGTCACCTAAACTCGCACTCAGTTCCTCACGCAGCGGACACACCCTCCCGCTTTCTCTTTTCCATCACTGACTTCTCTTCTTCCTCCATACCCTCTCACATCTCCGCAAGTCCTCCCACATCCTTCTCACACCCTTCTATATTCTCTCGCACCTTCTCTTACATCTTACGTCCACCACGCATTCATTCGTGCAAACATTCAAATAGCCCCGCATTCATGCCTTCGCGCACTCACCCATTCAACCCTCTTGATTAGCATTTGCGTTTCCTCTACATCAGCTTAACGCCCCACTGTACATTCCACATGCTCGTCCCTTCCTCTTGCCATACCCCTTCTATTCCCTTCTTGCTGATTCTCTTGCTCGCTCTCACATCCATCCTTCCAGATATCACCCATGCCCAAAAGTTCCAACCCGTCTCCACTGGTGGGCCTTCTAATTCGTTTATCGAAAACAAAGCCTTATATATTTCTGGCGGCTTTATCGATACAGCTGATGTACCACAAACATTTCTAATTGACTTGTCAGTCTCATGGAGCACATCCAATCCATCTTTCAAGAAGTTGCCAGATGCACCTGCTCGACTCTCCCACTTACCCAGTGCTTTCTCATCAGATCTTCAAAGCTGGTTCGTTATGGGACCAACAGTTGGGTATGTCTACACTCTTAGAACCGCCAGTTGGACCTTATGGAAACCAGTGGAGAATAATCTGATGATGTTCAATGTTCCTGCAGCAGCAACAGATCCAGACTCAGGGGTGGTATACATCCCCAATGGCCAGTATGATGTTGCGACCGGTAGGACCTCAATGCTTGGTGTTCATTTGGCAGCCAAGACGGCTGACTTGATCATGATGGAGCCAAGATTAGTAGACACGACTGACTACATGCTTGCGTGGACCCCAGCTCTAAAGGCTATGTTGTTGATCGGAGGGACCACAGGCGTAACAGGAAAGCTCGATTATCTGAACTTTTATTCCTTTAGTACTACAAGTGGCTGGGAGGATCTTACTCCCTTAGCTAAGGGTACCATCCCTCCACCACGGATAGGAGGCTGTCTCGTCCCAGCCTACAACGGCGCAAAGATGATCCTTTTTGGAGGATTTGCCAAAGGCAAGGCTTCAACCATGAGGGACATCTACATTTTGGATGTCACGACAATGGAGTGGACCAAGGGTCCCGATGTCGCTGCTGGCAGCGAGCGTGGACAGCCTGCGTGTGCATTCTCAAACGATCAGTTCATCGCCTGGGGGGGTATGAACTCCAACTCAGCGCATCCAGTCAATAACACAATTGTATATAACATCAAGACCAATACTTGGAGTACATCCTTCGTATCTCAATCTCAGTTGGTACCAACAGCTTCGACAAAAACTCCCAGACAGCCATCTAGGCCCACTTCATCCCAATCGCATGCTCCTTCCAACCCTCTTGCCTCCGATCCAGCGAGCTTAACAGAGAGTGAAAAAAGTCCTCACCTCGGCGCCATTCTTGGTGGTGTGTTTGGTGCGCTCTGCCTCATCGCTTTGGTTGCAAGCGCAGTAATATATAGTGCTAGACGTAGACGGCAAGACTCCCGCTCCGACAAGCCCATTCGCATCTCCAGTCTCACGCCTAGCAATGAGGACAATGGTGATAGCAACAATAACAATAACAACGGTCCGATGCCAACGTATAGGATAGAAATGGCTTCTGCGAGTATGTCTACTCTGAATGCGCATGGTGCCTTACCTCGGCCTTACAGCCCTGCTTGCCCTCGATCCGTCTCCTTTGAGTCTGCCACGCCTACAGAGTCGCCATTGCCACCACTGCCATCGCAGCAACATTCACAGAATATGACCTACCTCACCCCCAATACCTTGGCTGCATCTTCTCCTGCTCTTCCATCCTATAGAGCCGCGCCTCCATCCTACAGAACTTCTCCTGCTAATTCTCCGTCGTCTTCTCCGTCGTCTTCTCCGTCATCTTCACCCTCCCTCTCTCCATTGAATACGTTTGCAGCAGTGCAGCAAGATGTAATTCCACAACAGCAGCAGCAGCAAAATGTTGTTGCCGCTCCGTTTGCGTTTGCCATGGCTGCTACGGCCCAGTCGGATCGCACTAGCTGCGACAGCAAGAAGGGAGCGGAGAGTGACTCAGAGATATCAAATCTCGACTCCAGTAGTGTCATTTTCAGCGACAATATTATGCAAGCATACCATGTGCCCCGACCTTATTCATTTCATCCCCGTGCAAGCATCGTTCGAGCCAGTGTACAAAGCTTCCAAGCACCTTCTGTCAGAAGATCCACAATCTCTTCCATGTAGTCAGATACTATTTATTGTAAATAATAAATTTAATATGCATTTAGACGAACATGAATTACTCCATTTCCTTTGCCTTTTACAAAAAGTAATTCATCCACTCGACATTCCCTTAGCATAAATAACCTCATATCTTGCTCAAACAGGCTCCTTTCGTCGCTTATGTGTGTCTAAGACCTTTACGCTGCCTCCGTTGTATTTAGACCTCAGAACCTGGGTGCTCGTATCTTTACTTGAATGATGGGCAGTTAGTGGTTATACTGAGACATGATTCGAAATAAAAAACTATGTGTTGATCACAAATGTGGAGCAAGAGTTGCTTGGAACTAGATATCGCGATCATGGTCGAGCAAATTGGGCTGTGCATACTTCGCCTGACTGAATCGGATCGCCCAAATGACAATAAAGCACGCTGATGGTCAAAGATTTCAGTTGCAGTATTTTTAATCACATCCCGACAGAAAGACACATCTTTTCAATTCCTTTCATTCCATTCCTTGACATGCAATTGTATCCATTCGGCATCCCTCGGGTGCTTGACAGCATAGTCTCTTATCTGGACCGAGTTGACCTCGTGTCCTGTGTGCATGTTTCCAAGGCTTCCATGCCATATTTATCGAGTATATCTGGAGAGCTGTCAACATCAGATCTCTGGGTTACATGCTTCTCCCAGACAATCAGGCACTTGAGAAGCATAAGCATTACGTTGAGGAACTTTCGTTTCAAGGCATTGTCTAAAAGATATTTTGTTCTTACGTGGATTTATCCAGCTCCGAAAGCTGAAAACCATGCCTACGATATTACAACACTTTGAGGATGTTCAGCATGGCTTTTCCGAGTTGATAATTACCCACAGTTCCTCGCTTCAAGAGTGTCATATCAATTTTGGCTTTGATCCTTCGCGTCCAAAAGCCAGAAATTTCTATAACGCGATACTTCAATGTTCACATCTGAAGAAACTCAGAATTTGCCGTTTTACTGTCCGCCAAGGAAATTGGCCTGTTTCTCCGAGTATGCAACCAACTTGATTTAAGTGATGTGGTCATTCCTCAATGGCCTGTCGCAAGCCTGATTGGAGGTCTTGAAATAAACACCGATACTTCTGGTGATCCATTGACTCCCAGCCCCAGTTCCAGTCCACCTTCTGCTATCACTTTGACAAGCCTTCATGAATTGAATCTCAAGGATGTTGAAATATCTGGTACTTTCCCATATTCTGCGGCCCACAGTTTGGCGATATTGGTTCGAAGCCGTCCAAAGTTGAGATCCTTCACGTTTTTTGGTTCAAGTATCAAGATCAACAGCCTTGGACAGGATGGCGCTACTATTTTCTGCAAGACGTTAACACAATATCCTTGGTTATTGTCACATGTGGAATCATTATATACTCCTCTTCTCTTTTGTAAGGACAAGATCTTCGCGACTCTTTTGAGAAAGATGAATCAGCTTCGAGAGCTATATGCGATGGGTAATAAGTTTGGAACTCTCTGTCTCATCGAATTAATCAAACCCAGAGGACCATTAGGCGGAGGAATTAGGCTCTGTGATACGCTTGAGAGGTTGAGCATAAATACATTCACGTCTAAATCTGATGGATCAATCCAGCTAATCTTGTCTAGCTGTGGACATCTCACTATGCTGGAATCAGGCGGAATTACGGCGACAGAGATTGTTGAAGGGCTGGAATGGGTCTGTTCCGAACTAAGAGATCCGGCCGTCTATCGCGCAGCTGATGATATTGACATGGAGAGTGAGGAGGGTATGGCGAAGCGAAGCAGCGCACCGTGTTTGACCGTCTAGGCAAACTGACGAAACTCCAGAGCCTTAACTTGACTGGAGCGGTAAAGCTAGATGGTAATATTAAAACATTAAACCTGACATTAAAGTCAGGTCTGAATATGCTGGCTGACTTAAAGGATCTGAGAAACTTGGGATTTAATAATGAGCATCGTCAGCAAATAGGGGTGGAAGAAGCGAAGTGGATCACCGAGAACTGGCCACACCTACTGAGGGTAAACGGCTGCGTAAATGTGGATCCAGCTATCGCTGTGTTGATTGACAATATTTTTACTCGCAATGACATAACTCTTATACAATGAACATGGCTTTCATTAAATATATTTCTAAAGCTATATGAATATAACGCATCGAGCGCGCCATTTTCGAGGCACAGCATATATGGGCAGAGCATGCAGTTATTATTCAGCTCGCGTCTTTTTCTTTTTTCTTTTTTAAATAAAATCGCTTTTTGGCGACATAGCTCGGAGATTCATGCAAGCTATTGAGTAAGGGGCATTGGTTTTTAACTAAAGAGTGTAGGAGGCAAGGAGGTATGTGAGGAAAAGGATGAGGGGTCCACAGACCGTACCCAAGGAAGATTTGGTCATTTTTTGTCAATAAGAGAATTGTACATATGATTCTAGCTCATGTCGCATCTGATGATGTGTATTCCATAGGAGCTACTCGGACTGACGACGCGTCTGGCGCGCGCTTTGAGCACAGAAATAGGGTAAAGACTTCTCCAAAAACCATTCCACATCATCTTGACTGTCATGAACAGCATTATACAACCCCTGGATATTGCAGAAATCATCGCGCTTGTTGGCGACTACTTGGATAAAAAAGATCTCCTGCAGTGTATCCTTGTTTCCAAAGCTTTTTACAAAACGCTCATCAGGCCACATGGGGAAAGATCACTGTTGCTGGATGATTTCCCCCTTCTGTCGGCGAAGCATTGCAGAAGAATAAATGTATTTTGAATAATTTACATTAGGATGCTAGTACCTGTTATTACAGGGATGCGAAACATCTACAGTCACGCGAAATAAATTATTGAGATAATAAAATTCAAAATGGTCTACGCGATAAAAAGCAATTGTCTTCAATATCTCCCTTTCCCATTATCCATATATTAACAATTTGAAATAACCATCATGCCAAAAAAACCTGGATATCGAGGCTAAAAGCATCATCATCGAAATGCATCTCGCAGGCCTGAAAGGCGTGGATATCGCATTGAAACGCGGCGTGAATCTATCAACAGTTTATCACATTATCAAGGTATATCATGAAAGAGGAACCAGTGCTCGCGCCCAAACCCCAGGACGTCCAAAACTACTGAGTGCTCGCGACATCAGAAGCATTGTGCGCAATAGTAAGAGAGAAAGGAGGGTTACTCTTCAGGAGATCACCAACTTATTGCCCAAAAAAGTGAGTAAGAGGACAGTTGAAAAGGAGCTGCATTTCTTAGGCATTTTCAGCCGGGTTGCTGTCCCTAAACCATTCTTAAGCGCAGAGCACATAGAGAGGCGGCTGAAGTTTGTCAAAAAATATAAAAAATGGTCTATAGAAGATTGGAGTCGGGTAGTTTGGTCTGACGAGTCATCCTTTGAAGTTGGTGCGCACTTTCGTAAAATAAGAGTTTGGCGCACAGCACAGGAAAAGTACGACTACGGTTGCGTTGCGCCTACTTTCAAGAGTGGTAGGACATCCCTAATGGCCTGGGGAGCGATTACAGCGACCAGAAGGTCCCGGTTGGTTATATTTCAACGAGGGCGTAGGGATGGACCATCTTTCGTGGAAGATGTGTATAAATGTGAGCTAGCCAGGTTTATGGCTGAGGTGGAGGATGGTATTCTCATGGAAGATAATGCACCAGTCCATACATGCAAAGTTGCAAGGGAATGGCACGAAAATAACAACATCTCAAGGATTCCAGACTGGCCTGCATGCTCTCCAGATTTAAACTCCATTGAGCACGTGTGGTCACTTCTCGCGGTTGCACTTGATAGACGCACCAAAGGGCCAAGAGATCTCGCTAGCCTCGGAGCGGCTCTGGTTGAGGAGTGGGACAAGTTGCCACAAGCGGAGCTGGCTATCCTTGTTAACTCCATGCCAGAAAGGTTGATAGAGGTGAAGGGGGCCAAAGGAAGGTACACTGGTTATTGAACCCGCGTAGTACTTCTCTTAGTCAATTAATATACCCCAAGAACTTCAGTAAATAACCACAATAGCCTTTTCGATAAAATTACGAACTTTCATGTTGATTGATAAAGTCTTTGTGTATGCTGCATATGAGCTGTTTGCCCAGATTATTCAAAAAATGTAAATAAATATTCTTAATTTCAATAATTTATTTCGGGTGACTGTACAGTACATGCCTTCAAGACGAATGATATTGTGCAAGTAATCTTATCTAGTTGACCATGCCTGAAGCAACTGATAGGACCTGAAATCACGATGACAGGAATTGTCGGTGGTGCAGAATGGGTCAGCACCAAATTGGCTGACCTGGACATCTATCTCAAGGCTGATGCCGATCAAGGGGCCACAGAAGGCATGGAGAAACAGCGCATTGTGTTCAGACAGCTAGCCAATTTGATCCAACTACGCTCTCTTAGCCTGGCAACATGGCATAGCTCAAATGAAGCAACACGCACTGGACTTACAGCGAAGGGTTGGCCTAGATGAACTAGCTAGCCTGAAGGACCTGGAGAAGTTAGTGTTCACGCGCGATAAGCATCAGCATATACAACCAGAGGATACGACATGGACCATAAACAATTGGCCAAATATAAGAGAATTGAAAGGTCGCCTGAACATCAACCTAAACGCGTACTTTGATGGCTGAGATACTTCATTCACACGAATCCTTGTCGGTCGTGCCAGATTTAGCGATGCAGCCGCTTACAACCAAACAAAATTGTTTCAAGTTGCATCCTCTATAGTAACATTTGTGTAAAGAAATCAATGATCTATCAAGGTTGCTTATGATTAAAAGCATTGACGATAATGAGATCTTTGTTCAGCTTTCCACTTAAGGATGGGTATTCGACCACTCAACTACTACCTATGAAGCATTTTTAAAGGCAGTATGCGGAGAGCCTGAAATAAGGCGTTCTGGACTCCCTTTTTATTTAGGAGACTTTACTTTTACATGGATGCCATCGTCTCCGATTTCTCCAAACAGGGTACTTATTTATGCTTAAAAGTCAGTTTAGCAAATCTGAATTTCGAGCAACTTCAAATATCGCCATGAATAGCATTAGAAAAAACAATCATTAAATAGTTTATTTAGTCATCTAAAGTACAATGGTAGTCGTTTAGCCATGTCAGTGCTATCTACCGAGCGCCATGGTGTTGTACTGCTGCACACTTCTTGGTCTCGACTCGATCACAGATTTCCTGTGCTATGATCGCAATTCGTTCTTCATTCTCGAGTCGATTTTCGACCGAAAGTCGTTCCATATCTTCCTTGACACAGCGGACCATCTCTCCGAGCTCCTTTCCAGAAATCTGCTTATCTCCTGTTAAACTCTTGATGATGTTGGCAACACTGACTTCGGCTTTAGGAATATGTTGATCAGATGCCTTCGGCGTCTTCATCCCGAGCAGCTTCTTCTCACCAATCGTACCCACAAACACCAATCGGTAAGGATAGCGTGTTGATCCATTATCTGAAAGCGATGCATTCTCCAAAGGCTCCCACTCTATGATCCTTCCAGAGTCAACCGCACGTGTCCCATTGAGTCGGTCGTAGGCCATGGTGATGTGTGGTGTAGATTCATGTACTGAAACAAGATGACCAAGGTGCTTTAGGTCAACTTGCGGGTATAGCTCGTCTCCTGCTGATTCATATGATGCATATGCTGTGCGCAATGCATCGAGACTCGAGTAAATTTGTCCATTTGGCGCTATAATCTGGAGTTGACGTGTGTCCACATTGCTTTCCTCATCGGTATTAAACTCTTTTACTTTTAAAGCCCATACTCGTCCTTCAAACTCACCGAGCGCCTCTACCTCCACCAATACAGTCGCATTCAGTCCACCAACTGACTCCAGGTGCTCTTTACTAGCAGATCCGAGACATAAGGTGACATGTAAATCATCAGGTACAACCCACTTGCTTAAATCCTGTCCTCGAAGCATACTTGGCCGCTTAATCCATTGAGGACACTCTATTACCGCTGTTGATGGATATCCATTAGAGTATTCTTGAATACCGAGCATCTGTTTCATGATACTTTGTACAGTAGCTGAAAACATGATGCCTGTGTACCTTACAATATCGGTGAGCTCAATCTTGCGTCTAATTTGTGGAACATATGTCTCATATGGATCCCAGATGTTCAGGCCCTCCAATTCAGGCCTCGTCTTGGGAATAGCACCAACGCCCGGGACTAGGAATGGTCCTCCAGATACTTCAATGTCAACTTGCTGATTGTTAGCCTCAACCATAGCCAGTACTAAATCGATCTCACGCTGCGGATCCATGAACAACAGAGGTTCCTGCACGACTGTGATGTCAAAGTTATCCAAGAGCTTTTTTTCTAGCCATTCTTGCCCAACTTGACGAAACTTTGCGACCTGACAAGGACGATCGTCCCAGAGGAACATAGATCGAATGCTGGGGTATTCGAATAATAGGTTATACAGAAACTCATGTTTTGTGTTAAACGTATGGACTTTGAGGTATCGTTCCACGGATTGAGGACCCCCATTGGTAGGTACAGATGCGAGTTTGCTCTCTATTCGTGCGACAGTCGTAGGCTTAATTGCGATAAGATCAAAATCCAGTCCCTTACGCCCAACCATTTCAACGAGCTTCTCTCCAAATGTGGGTCCATTTCTTCCAGTCAGGAGAACCGTCAAACATCCTGGATCTTCCGATGACTTGCGAACTTCCCTGACCTACAAGAAAAAATATGTAATAGGGGAAAATTAAAGGGTCAGTGTCTGCATCCCGATAGTGTTGTCATTCCAAGATCGCGTTGATGCACAGCACAGACACAGATGAGCCCAAAAATAAATAAAAAATAGAAAAAAAAACATTCATCTTGTATGCACTCCTTATGAGTTGCGTATGTTTTACTTCATCTCTTTAAATGTATCCATAATCACCACAAAATATGTATCAAAAACATTTGGACTGAATTAAAGATGACGGCGCCTAAAAGGAGGGATGCCAATTTCCGCCAAAGTACTTCATGTCTTCATTTTGAACCTGAATTTTCGTCTTGAGACGCATCATTTTTCTGTCATATGAAATCATCGAAAATGAATAAAGGGGGGGAAAGTAGGAAAAACACTTACAATTTCTTCATTCCACCATCCTTCCCAGCAAGTTGCCTCCACCTCCGGTCCAAGCTCCAGTGTGCCTGGATTGTGCCACCACCCTGTACCACAGTAGTTCCAAGAAGTCAAGATCCCTAGAAACGATGGATCCCAGAGTGCAGGATTCGGCAGTGGAGACCGAAACAATGTATGATCAAAATCGAAAACTTTGACGGTATGGAGCTTTGAAGTGTAGTCTTGGTCAGAAAGTCGCTCGGATGCATAAACTACTGCAGGATGGGTCGCTAATGAAAAAGATAAACTTTCTGCTGCTATAATAGAGATAGAGGAAGACTCCTTTCCATTGTATTTTGGTAGTTGTGATGGAGATTCTACTGATGGTTCGATTTTAGTTGCATGCTCATCTTCTGAAAAAGATGTAGATGTTGATGTGGATATGGTTGTAGCTGCGGAGAGAGCAGGGGATTGAGAGGGGGTATCTAAACAGGGTGTTGACGGTGGAAACATCGGCGTGCGTGGAGGGGACATTGAGAGTGAGGGTGAGTGAGACAGTAGAGGTACGTCCTCGGACGTAAATCCGGGGTGGTCTATAGAGTGGTGACAACCAGTTGGCGTAGAATCGAAACTTGCTGGTACAGTAAGTAAGCTGGCGTCAATAGCAATGTCAGCAGAGTGACCATGACCGTTGTTAAGAATTGTAGGCATTGTTGTAGTGTTGAGTGCAATGCAATGACAATGACAATGCAATGCGAGGAATTGGCGAGGCGAAGAATGTGCAAGGTGAAGTTGTAATCAACTAAGAATCCAAACAGAAGGAACAATGGTAAAGAAAGTTTTTTTTTTTTTTTTTTTTTTCAAGGAGAAGACAGTAAAAAAATCAAACTAGTTTAAATCAGTCAAGCCCGCAATTTATCAGAGTCTATTTCAATCCGAGTGTATGATGACCCTCCATCTGGCAATTAAATTTAACTTTTTTTCTTTTTTATTACATCAAGCACGTGTCATAAAAACAAGATCAATATCCGATCCGGCAACTTGTACATAATCCCAAATCACCACTGGTTCAACTCTTTAGTTTCTAGCTATTTGACGGATATGCCAAACTTGGCCAGCAAGCACCAAAAATGCATTTGGAGCTCTCGTAAAGGGCTGTGGTTTTTTTTTTTTTTTTTTTTTTTTTTTTTTTAATTTACATTAACAATTACATTTACAAAAAAAAGGGAGCGATTTTTTCACAAGCTAAATAAACCCTTTTAAACACTCTTTTGTCTAATTAGCCCAAACGCTCTAAACTCTTCGGAAGGGCACAAAATGGAGACTATCTCACACTTTCATTTCCGAAACATTATTTTTTTATATACGCACTCCCACTCGAGCCTTTAATGTAATTTATGCAGCCCTTGCAGGTGATTTCTTTATTGCATTGTTTGATTCTCATTCAGTAGATAGCGTTGCAACTGAAGCTGTTGCTGGGATCTCTGTTGATCCACCTTTCTCTTCACTATCCTCTCTATGACTATTAGTGTTATTACTAGTCTCGCTTCTTTCTTTATCTCCATTTTCTTTGACTTCTTCATTATACCGAATATACCCTGCTTTATGCTTCATGGTAAATTCACGGCCATCAGTTCGTTCCCGATATGTCCTCTGAATTAACTCGTAAAAGTACTTATAAAACCACAACATATCATCAAATTGATTCGTATACGGACCCAATTTCTTAGACTCAATCCATTCCTTGTGTGGAGTAATGGTTTTGTCTGCGACAGCATCCTGATCTAAAGAAACTGAAGTCCACGAATCTTGTGGAGTAGATACTGCTGAATCAGTGCTTGAAGACTCATCTATCACTTTCGTTGTTCCTGACGCTAATGAAGCTTGATTTGATGATCCTGATGACATGATGGGTTCAGGTACATCTGAGAGATAAGTCTCATGGTATTCCCGCAAAAAGTAATAGATCGCCTCAATCGTTGCTAAATGGTCATCTGCTTTCCTCTGATGCCTCCAGAACAACGTTTCGTGTGGTGCAATAGTCACTACATCAAATTCAAATCGTATTTGACAAAAGAGAGAAGATGGGAAGCATGTGATCATTTCTGTGAGTCGTATCCTGATATTGTAGAACGTACGGTGGCCTCATGAAAGCTTATAACAAACATTCAAACATTGCATGATGACATCATTTACCTCGCTTCATCCGTAATAACGGGCTATTGCTCTTAGACATTTTGTTTGCCTGGTCCCAAGTTCCATCAATCACTACTAGTTTGTCGAACGAAGCAGGATCAATCTCGGACAGACGCTTGGCATCCTGAAATGGATCAGAAAAAAAAAGAGGGCTATATTAGCATATAAAAAAAAGGTGAGAGAGAAAAAAAGAGAGAGATACTTACCGGGCTTGGGAATAGTAGCAACAGTCGATCTACGTCCTCATATTTTGGCATACTTTTCCACCCATACACCTCAACATCCTGTGGTGCTAATATTTTGGCATGTAACGCTGTAGATTTCCCATCTCTTTCCTGCTCATGTTTGATTACATCAATCTTAATAGGGAGCTTCAACTGCGGAACAGACCCCTTGGGACAGTTCACTAGGTTGAGACACTTGTTGCAAAAGTAGCGAACATTCTTGTTGCATGTTGGGCAATGCTTTTTTTCAATAGTATCGAGTACATCAGTCGACGAGATGTCAAACTGAGAAAATGGTGAAGTATATTTTTTATGGTTCGTTCTGGTCGTTGTCCCCTTTGAATTACATTCATTCATGTCTTTGATGTTTGCCTGGGAAGCCATGTTTCCATTGCTTTGGTATAACTATAGAGAATATGAGGTTAAAGTACTTTCATTTGTCAAAGCATTGTTTTGATCAAGAGCCAGTCACATGTCACTTTTTAGTGGCAAAGCTATCTGGAAATATATTTGGACATTCAAAACCTCTCCAACTCCACTGCAAATGTTGTAACATTCATTACTTCTCCCGCAACTCTCGTAGCCCCTCCCCCGGTGCTCATGGCTGCTGTATCTGCGGCACGGTACCCACCACCATTTGCATTAGAGTGCTGCCCTAATCCTGCTGCTGCAAAAACACCAGCCCCGCCTCCTACTCCATTGGCAATACCTCCTTGCCCTGCTACTTGGCTCCCAAATGATCGGAAGGTGTCCAGTAACCGCCTACGAGTTCCTTCATTGTTACTGTTGCTACCACTGTGTCTATCCCTATTTTGGCGGTACACAACCCTGCGAAGCTGCCCCTGTGAATCGACTTGGATTTCAACTGGTATAATCGGAGGCGGTAGTGAAGGGCGAGATCGGGCTGCCGTTTGACGAAATATAGATGAAGAGCCTAGAGTTGGCCGCATATGCCTCTGCCTTTGTGAATGAAGGATCGAGCTATTAGGTCGGTTTATCTGGTGAAAATCGGCGATTGAGCTGCTCGCTGGCATGTTATCATGAGGTAATATAAAAGTATGGTTCCCCGCTTCTGCACCTTCCTGCTGCTGCTGTTGCTGCTCAAACAGATGCACAATGGAAATGCCTGCAGTATCCGCGGCCTCCTGTACAGCCTCGATCATGTAGCCATCCAATTCACCTGGAACAATCGGCCTTAACCCCACAATATCCCCATTTGCCTCCACATGAAAATCAGCAGTCTCAAACAGTTCTGTCAGCTCCACTCCAAAGCTTTCTCGATGTTGTTGTCGGATGCATTGAAGTGAACACATCCGATAACGGACTGGGGTAATCATTCTGGAACTACCCACAATAGCAGGCTCGAGAAAATCAATCCATCCAGAGGTACACATCCGGCGAGAACAGTAGTCGCATAGAGTCATCGGCCTCGATAATCGATCGATCAAAGCAATAGGTAAAGGCGATGTTTCCTGGTCGAGGAGGCGGTCCATCTTGATGGGGCGTGCCTTCCTTCTTGAGGTGATCTTGGGGACCCCAGCGTTGACAGTCGAATGAAATGTAAGAATGGAGCTACTACGGCCGGGTATAGACATCTGCATCTGCATAGAAAGCTGCTGCTGTATTGTAGAAGGGGGCGGTGTACCTTGATCTACCTGCCGTGCTCTTTCCTGTTGGCTTCTAGAAGACCTCCAGAATAAGGAAGATGATCGAAGGACCCGAGGTGAGGATTTAAGCCGCTTCATTTTGCCAGAGCTACTCTCTGAAAAAGCATGCCCAGCCACTTGGTAATTATGTTCAGGGATCGAGGTGGAGGCAGGAGGATGAGAAGAAAGCATAAAAGACGAGGGGAAAGACGAATCCGAAGACGTTGAAGATGACGATGTAGATGATGAAGAAGTTGAGGACGGTGATTCAGTTGAGCGCGATGACGGAATTGTAGAGGTGCGTGCTGGTTTGGGCTGTGGTTGCGGATGAACAACGGAGCAGGTCCGGCTGAAGAAGTTATAGCGACTTTTTTGAGGCGTTGTAGAATGTAACATAGAGGTGGCTGTCGGCATTGTCGATGACCTTGTCATGCCTAGGTCCGCTATAAGGGGTATCAATTGCACAATCCCCGTCCCTGAGCCATCCCCAAGATCCTGAGACCCCTGTGGGGCGGAGGTCGAAGGCGAATGAACAAGGCTCGGGGGTAAGACATATTCTCTTTGTGGATGGCATAGCTCCAGGACCGCTCTTGAAGCTAGCTCGAGCAATGAAGGTGGCTGCTGACTGAAATAAGAGATCCCATACTTGACTGTTAGTGGGTTTTCTTCTAGGAGTAGACTGTGAATTCCCTGCATATCCTTGTATATACTTGGCAAGCACTCAATATTGTTTCTTCGGCAATCCAGTTTGTATAGCGAATTGAGTTTGGCCAAAGCAGCCGGTAGTGTTCGCAGTCTGTTTTGTACAATACCCATCTTGACGAGCGATTGCATGCTCTGCATTGACTCAGGTAAAGTCTCCAGCTTGTTGTCATTCAAGTTTAACCACTCGAGTAGCTGGAGCTGCCCTATGGTAGTAGGGATTTCTATAATCTTATTGATAGCCAAATTTAGACGGCGCAGGGACTTCATGCATCCAAGTTGGTCAGGCAAAGTCCTTAGATCATTGGTGTGTAAATCCAGATTCAAAAGATTCTCCCAAGCTTCACATAACTCGGCAGGCAAGTTTTGGATATTGTTAACGCTCAAGAGCAAGTGCTGCAAGTCTCTACAGTCTATCATCTCAATGGGCAAATGTTGAATTCGATTGTAAGATAGATTCAAGGACACTAACTGTGTACACCGACCGATTTTGGGGGAAATTACTGTAATTCGGTTCTTCTGTAGCAGTAGAATGTTGAGAGACTGCATGTTGAATATACATTCCGGGATAGTGCTAAACCGGTTCCGTTGAAGATCCAGTGAAGTCAACTTTTGCAGCTTAGAGAATGAGTCCGGGAGACTTGTAAGTCTAAAGGGCAAAATAGTATCGATAGGATAGTAAACATTAAATGCATCCACAAGTATGCGTATACAAGTTAACACGCACAATATAATAAACTTGATACATTATTTCTCATTTGCAAAAGAAAAAAAAATAAAATAAAATAAAATAAAATAAAATAAAGCGATTGAATACTCTTCCAAGCTTTCTCTATCCTTACGTGTTGCTGGCGAGAGAGAGCCATGTGAGGTGACTGAATGTAGCGATAGGTTCGGGCGGTTCTTGGATCCGATTATTTGCAAGAGACAATTTTTGAAGTAACCTCAGACAGGCTAACTAGATGATAGAACAATCCCACCACAACAGACAACGTCAGTTTTTTTTTGTCTGTCTTTAATCTCTATCCGTATGTCTGTCAATCCATAGCTATCACTCCAGTCAATGACTCTCCATGCAACTTGGTGATCCCAGCAAATTGGTTGATGCTCACACAGACGTATGTATCTGATTGACAGGGAGATTTTAAAAACAAAGTCGCGCAAATACTGCATGAACGCGTCATCCGTGCGCTGTACACGTTACATTCAGATTGTGATTGACAGCCCAACGATCCTAATCCCGACTACTCTATTTTATTTTACCTCCGGTGGCACAGACGTCAGTAAGTTGTCTCTTAAACTCAATTCCACTAAATTGGTCAAGATTTTAATCTCTTGTGGGATCTCTGCTATATTGTTTCGACGAAGCAGCAGCTTCGTGACATGTTTATGATGTTTATAGATGTCATCTGGAAGATGATGTAGATCCCGATCGCATAATATGATTGAATAAACGTTTCCCATGGTGTGCTTTTTTCTGTTTCTCGTTTATATAGTTGTCAAGTATGTATGTAAAATAGTTAAAGACATGAGGTTAGTGATAACGATAATGATGGCGATTGGAACGATCGAGTTGGAGCGAGATAAAGGACTGGAGATAGATAAAAATGTATATATAATTAGTAAACTAGCGTTGCAAGTGAGGTCAGATATATTAATGTGATGCCGAGAAGAAATTATCGAGAAAAGAGAGAAAAGGAAGAGAAGGAGAAGAAGGGAACAAGAGGGAGAAAAAAAGATATAAACTAGAGAATAGTCGTAGATAGGGCCTTCAGAAATAGAAAAGTAAAAAAAAAAGACAGTTAAAGAGAATGCAAGCAAAAAGGAAGAGGAGAAGCAGAGAGACAGAGGGGGAGAGCTGAGTAGATGGTAGGTTGGATACAAAGGAAGAGCATGAGCAGGGATCAAGATCAGGCTGTAAGGTTAGTACTTTTGGAGACTGATAGATCAGGCATTAGTAAAAAAAAAAAAAAAAAAAAAAAAAGGTGTAGGTAGAGTCATAACAATGCAAGGTGATGATCTAGCCTGAATAGTGAGTACTTCATTAGGTTCGAGGAAAACTGGAATGTTTGTAAGATAGTTATGGGTGAATATACTAAAAGAACAAATAATCGTATTCTTTGGCCACTATTCAGATTGTAAGCGCGTCTGCGAAGTAACAGTATGAGAAAAGGCGAACACTTTAGAGATTACTCTGCCACTAATGTTGTTAATCATTGCTCTTTTTGATTTTGCTTCAAGATCTTTCCTCCACGCCATGGTTTGAAAGAAATTTAATCCATATTCGGCAGTCAACAAAATGGGGCTGGGGATTGGGAATGTTGTTACTTGCGTCTTTTCTAATCCACAAAATAAAAAATAAAATAAAGAATGAAGGTCTGAAGGTCAAGTCGTAATAACCTTTGTCCTCTTATCAACTCTGGTTAGAAATGATAACAAAATGCTCATTTGAAAGCTCATTAGCTTTCTACGACAAATTTCCTATCTGGAAATGCTCCTCTTTTTTTCCTTCTTTTTTCTTCATCTGATTGCGATTCCTTTTGCATAATGCTGAAATAGGCGACAAACAGAAGTGATTTACCACCCCTTCAGTTTTTGTATCCCATTTATCACCGCGGGTTACCTTTTTTTTGCCTGCATGTGGACGGTTGCAAACGGCTTTTCTGTTTTAAAATGTTATTAATCTCAAATTCGTTCACCGTGGAATAAATAAATCAGTTGTTTTCTATATCCTAATAGTTCTTATTAGAATACCTTTGAAAATGGCATTATCAAATGAATAGTGCTAATGCCATCATCCTTGTAGCTAAGCTTTGTTTACTTTTTTGATCATAGCTATAATCATTAGCAATGGTGCCTGAAGAAAAAAAAAATACGAAATATATATAGAAAACTAATCTGTTCATATATTCCACTGCTATTCATCTTTAATTAGCTCAATCTTCTATTTTCTGTCCTATGCTGAGGCATTCTCCTTAGCCTTTTCTTCCACAACGTTCAGCCGTGGTACATTACTGGCGGTGGCGGAATCGGCCTTCTTCTTCGAAGCAGCAGCTTCCTTGGCGCGCTTCTCTTTCTGCTTGTAATACTCATTCTGAACAGTCCTTGTGCGGAGGATCTATACATCACATGCCACATAACACACCCGCATAAAAAAGCAAAAGGCGTCAATACTAACAGCAAATGAAATTATTCCATCAACGTCACATATTAAAACATGGAGCCATTGATGACTTCAGAATCCAGTGTTCTCTTTCTTTTTTTTTATCCTGTCGTTGCCAAGTCTCTTTTCGATCCCTTACCTCCTTGCTGTGGTGAAGACATTCAAGGTAGTCGTCGCGCTGGAGAACACACTCCTCGGGTTTGTCAGCCAGAGCGTAGCATTTGTGGAACTCTTGCCAGAAAGGATAGCATCTGCTGCGTCCTGTTTATCATAGATTCAACAAACGAAGTCGGCAGAGTGGTGTGGGTGTCCAAAAATCAAGGTCGAGTGGAAAGAATAATGATAATAATGATCGCAGGGGATGAACAGTCGTTCAAGGCAAAAACATGTTACAACAGGTCCAGTTAGAGTCAATAAGTTTATTATAAATCCGGTAACGTCGGAATTTCGGATGTTTTGAGATGAATGAAAAAAGATAGTTGAGGCACAATTGTTAGTTGGACCAGTTTCTCCATTGCATTTGTGTACTTCCATGCTCTCCATTGAATACGATCGTTTTTGTTTATTTTTTTCTTTGCAACTGTCTTACCACCGCTGTAACCGTATCCAGAGGCCATTTTGATGTCAGGGTGGTGATGTGATTTGTCGGAAAGTGAGAATGATTCTTTACAAATAAATACAAATCAGATCACGAGAGTACAGCACAATCTTGGCTCTATTACGTCACTGGAAACAATAGGAGTCGCACAATCTTGGCCCAAAAAACAAAGAGGTTGGCTGATTTATTGCTCTTTCTGTCTTTTCGCACAGTTTATTCAGCCTTGAACACCCATTGTATCGATTACATTACTCAGATCTGCTACTGAGTCTTGCATATTCTTTAATGTGCACCTTCTTTTTTGCCTATTATATGCTATATGTCCCAGCTTCTTCCACAGGCCCATAAATTCTTCTTCACACTCTTCGAACCCTTGGGCAGTGGCCTCTTCCTTCTCTCTCTTCTTTTCTTTCTTCTCCTTAGCTCTCATCACATTCAGCTTGCGTAGTAAAGCTAGCGAGATAAAGCTTTCAAGAGGGGACCCAAAGTCGAACTCTACGTGTTTGACCTGATGTTCAATACGTGAAGGGACAGCGGTATATTGAACATCGAAGCCGCCGTAGGTCCTTGACACCAAATACATGTTCTTGCAAAGAGTTGGGGCATGAACATAACTGAAGAAGGCCCCTCTCCACGTCCGCGGCAGCGGAATATTCTACTCCAGAATCTGCGGACAGCTTTACCACGAACTGTAAGGATTGAAAGAATGATCAGAACCCATCCAAATATAATCCAACGCGTGTGCCTTCAAAGCCTTGAACCAAGACTCCAGAAGGTTGTTTGTGTCTACGTGCTGGTATTCCTATTAAATGAATTAGAGTGTCAGAAACTTAGATTCATCGAAGTAATCATTTATAACCGCCGTTTATCTTAGCTCTCTCACAAAACCACCCACCTTAATCTCTTTTCTTTCGCAAGCCAGTTCTTTTCCATATAGTTAAAGAAAGCTTCGATTCCGTGATTATTAGGATCATAAAATTGGTCCTTGATTTTTTCCCCATATTCCATTTACTCTTCGTCAGATCCTAAACAGATAGGCTAAAGAGTCACTATCCCTTTTGCCCTTGCCCTTTTTATTCCTCAAGGACATAGCGACCCTCCGTGTGGAGTCCACGCAGGCTCTCAAACTGTTATCCTCCATAACCTGTTGAATATAATAACGAGGACCTTAAATAGGGCTATCGGCAAAGGGATTATTTCAACTGGAATTTCGTACACCAGGCAATCAGATAGCTTTTGTTGGCCCGCAATCATAATAAAGCACGTAAATATTGTACATGTTGCGGTGTTTTTTTTGCCACCTATTTCCATATTTTTTTTTTAGGTTTTTTCTGGAAAATAATCCTGTTAATCGTGATGCATTCATGGATAGCCTTGAAGAAGCTATTATCGAAGGGAGAGGAAGTGCCTATATCAGGGACCTCATAAATAATAGGATAAACCGCGAAAGGCAAATGGACAAATTTGCCCGTTTTACGGTACAAGGGATAGGCTAGTTGATTAAGTCCAGAGAGGTATCAAGGTCTTAGCCTTTGCGCCACTACCTCGTAATTATAAACGTTTTAGAAGAAACCCATCAATTATTTATATCATATATCAACGCTGCCACTAAAAGAAAAAAAAAAAAAAAAAAAAAACGCGTGAAACTTTAAGCATCTCGCATACTGGTTTGGAGATCACGTGATTAGCAAGCACTGTGTGACGTAGTTTCGTATACAAATCTACAACCTTCTTTACTGAAAAAAGACTACTCTAGACGATGCATTCATATGCCAAGATTGTTCAATTCCTGTTATGGATAAGATGCTTTATTTTGGTAGGAGAGCGATCCTTCTTACTCACAACTGAACGATCAAAAAGAAAAGAGGAAAAAATACTCCAAAAGAGACTTCTCCACATATGTCCTGAACTGGTTGCAAATAAAAATGAGTCGCGCGCCAACCCCAAGAGTCGATACCATTTAACGGTAAGACTTCTGGTATCTGTTGTTCAAATAAGAAATGAAGATGTAAATGTTAGAACGCCTGATTAAAATTTTCAGACCATTTGATGCAAAAAAATATAACAACCCATGGAATTTACCTGGCACGGGCACCAGCACCACCGAACTTCTTGGGTTCGCAGCGACGGGGGTCAGCAACGAGAAGAGTACGATCATACTGGAGGAAGATCTGCTTAAGCTCGTTCTTGGAGGCCTCATCGACGTACTTTTGATAGTAGGCGACAATGGACTTGGCAAGGGCCTGACGAATAGCATAGATCTGAGAAGTGTGTCCACCTCCCTTGACGCGAATGCGAATGTCAACGTTAGCGAACTTGTCAGAGCCGACGCGGAGGATGGGCTCGTAGACCTTGAACTTCAAGATATCGGGTTCAACAAGCTCAAGAGGGGAACCATTGAGGCGGATGAGACCCTTGCCGGCCTTGCAGTGAGCAACGGCAGTGGCGGTTTTCTATAATCCCGTCAAGCACAAGACAATAACAAAACAATGCTATGGTTAGGCTGCCTGTTTGATTTTAAGATTATTCGCTGAGCAGCTCCTGTTTATGATGCGATGACCTCCTCCTCCCCCAGCAGACTTCTGCCTGTTCCATCTTTTGATTAGTAAGCTTCGGGGAATGCTTGCTGATATAGCCCTTAGTTGCTGTCAATCTCATTGTGTGAAGCAGACATATCATATTATACACAGGCGACACCTTGTTCTGCACTTTATAGTCTCTGCTGTCAAGTCCTGTGTTATATGTATAAAGCCTTTAGAATATAATTATCATCGCCTTTGTGTTTTGACTGTCATGTGTCGGGTTAATGCTGAATCATTGATCATATGGTTCTCTATTGCAAATTCTCAAAACATCTTGTCATCTTCAAGTTGCACTAATCATGGCCTTCTTAAGTAGCAAGGTTGGTAGCACAAGAAGCATTCATCGAAAAGTTGATTGCGTATTGATTCTGCTCAAGATTAGATGAATATCCTAAGTGATCATAGTCTCTCCATGTAAAATGGTGTCCATGATATTGCTTCTCCTACTCCTTCGTTAATCCTGCTCCTCTTATCACACGTCGATATATTTTTTATTGCCCCTCCTGTTTAAATATTATGAGAAAGACTTGCCTTGCGGCCGTAGCACTGAACACTCTTCGAGTCGGACATAATGAACTAGATTGAACGAAGACCAAAAAAAAAACGATCAGAAAAAAAAAAAAAAAAGGCTCATATATGGATGTTGATGTTGATCACTAAAACTTGAGGTCCTGATTATTTGAATTTAAGCGATATTGTCATCCTGCGCAATCTATCCATCAGGTCCACACTGACTCATAGTTTTCAAGATATATTTCCTGGTCTTTTTTTTTTAAAAAAAAAAAAAAAAAAAAAAAAAGAGAATTCTTGAAGTGGACTTCTCCATGAGTAAACTGAATTAAATATCTGGTAGGATTATGGTGATGATCGATTGTTGATGACATATGGATATAGGCTGTTGGATGCATACATCATGTCCATGGATGCGTTTATGAATAATCATATTTAGCAGTCTTCCCCCTCATTGTGCATTTACGCCAATTATTACCAAGTGGAATTGAAAGAGGGAATCCAAATTAATGTCACTGGACACATAAATCATTCTTCTAGAGTGGCTTGGGAAAATCCCTCATACACTTTCACTTCCCTTTGTCGGGTCTTTCTTTTTGCGTGTCTTGCATGTCATTGTTGTGCACGACACACCTTTGTTAACGACCATGTCATTCATCGCCAGAAGAGTATGGCCATTGGCCCAAACAACACCTAGCAAAACCATTGCGCTTCCAGCAGTCTGGGCGCATCATATACATATGTCACCTATCCGCTTTCGTCCACTAAATCTCAATGATAGCAGTACTTCACAACCAACACCACCAGAATCGTCTAACCATATCAAGACTGAGCAGGCTTCAGGCTCCATAATTGATGAAGATAATAAACCACCAACAGAAGCAGAAATCCAAGCTTGTGCTTATGATTTCCGTATGTCTAAACATAAAATATATAGTGGTTAAAAGCGATCTCTTTTTAAGAAAGTCCAAGCCGTTCTTTTAACCTTGAGCAAATCACGCTGGTTATATTGTTTGATCTTAGCTTGGCTCTATGATGGGGCAAATTATTCGGCCAGAATACCACATTACCCTTACCCAAAAGCGCCAAAGATCTGGTCTATCCTTGGCCTGGTCCCTCAATCTATCCAATACATGATCTGTAAATCAGCTTGTGAAAGGATGCTCCGTAATAACACCTCGCCTGAATACTATCCGGATCAATTCCTTCAAGGAGGTGGGTTGTGATCATGATGACTACGCTGTCATTTGTATAAGAACGATCATTTTAAGCTGACGCAATCCTTACCTATTTCTCTCTCTCTCTCTTTTTTTTTTTTTTTTTTTTTTTTTTTTTTAGCTGGACTCGCTATTCATCAATTGATACCATTACTCTCAACAAATGTTAACCGTGACGCTCTCACCAATATGATGTCGCAGGAGCTGTACGACTGCTACGAAACTGAATTAAGGCGACAAGAAGAAATCCACTCTGAATTGTCAATTAAATTAGCAGCTATCCATGACGGTGTAGTCAAGGATGTATGGGTCCACTTGGGTCCCAAGTTGAAGAGCGGGTCGACTCGAGGGTTCATCCGTTGGAGATGGCAAACCTTGACCATTGCTCTCCGAGCAGCCACCGATCAGATGTCATCCAGAGATCAAGTTGCACGGATGATGATGGAAGGTGTACAGATCAAAGTGGACGTTGAGTGTAAGTGATAACTACAGGATGATGCAGTATGGACCATTAAAATCACTATTGGCCTATTGATACTAAGACCTCTATATACAGTCGATGCTTCGATCGATTACACTGTCCGATCAAAGGCTTTAGGAACAGATGTGATTTCTGACTTTAGCCGGAGACCTTTGCTAGTGCGCTTTGAAACACCTTTCTTTGAGCCAGCAGAGAAGATGGTCGCCTCTAGGAAGATGTCCCGACCAGATGAAGCACCTATTGATTGGAATTGGCGCGTCTCAGATATCGATTACCTGCTGGAACAGGACTTTATTGAGCGTCGCAAGAGGGAAGATATTGAGGATGAGGAGCATGCTCAACGCGAGATGGAACAGTAGTGTAGTGGACGTTGACGAAGCGATTAAATAATGCCAGGGAAAGACACAAAAAAACAAAGAAAGAATAGAAAAAATATCTTTTTTCATTATATACATTCTATTTTAACTCTATCATTCAATATGGGCATCTTATTCTTGTTAAGTTGGTTCGACCGTGGACTCTTTAGCTACTGCTGTTGGCACTGCTGTTAATGTGCCTGATGTTGTTGGCATGGTTGATACGGGCGGTGCTGTTGCTACTATTGCTGTATCGAGTTCTGCTGGAGTACTCACAGATGTAACTGTAGGAGGCATTACCTGGCTGTTAGGGATCAGATAAGCAGAGATAAGCATGCCTAATACACCTAATCCTACAACGCCAAATAGGCCGTTCCGATAACTCTCCATCAAAGCGTTGGTCGCTATCCCTGTTTGATGATTATCGGCACTTTTCACAGTGTTTTCTGAGATAACTGTGACAATCGCCAAGCCCAAAGGTGCACCTAACTGCATACCTGTTGAGTACAGCGCCCCCAACGACCCCTTGATCCTCCTTTTGAGCATCTTTTAGTGCTGTGATCTGCACCGGCAGAACTGAAGTCCCCAATCCGGCAACATGGATCAACAACCCAAGGAACGGCAACGTCCAATATGAAGTATTTGTGTTCACAAAAGCAAACATCAGAGCTGCCCCACACCGAAGCATAAACCCTGTCAATATGAAAGGCTTGAGGCGACACCTGGGCAAGATCTTGCCTAGGATTGCGAATGCAATGATTGCACCAATACTGTGTGGTAGAAATACTAGTGCGGTCTTCATCGAATCGTAACTCAGTACGTTTTGGAAAATCAGAGTCGAATAATAAACAAATCCTTGAAATTGACCCTGCAAAAATAGAACAGCCAGAAACGCAGATGGAAAGCTCTTGAGATGCCATATTCGGAGAGGCATAATTGGGTTGCTCACCGAGCGTATTTCCAGCCACAGAAACACACCCATCAGAACTAAGCCTGCCGCCAGTACGGGTAAGGTTTGGGCAGAGCCCCAACCGATCGCAGGACCTGTGGAAATGTAATAAATGATGCAGATTAGACTGGAAGTCACAGTTAAGGCTCCTGCGACATCTATATTGGGCTTATGATCGTCTTTCTTCTCCACTGAGGTTGGTAATGGGATAGCCAGGAGGCCAAGTCCAAAGAGGATAAAGGAGAATATTGCAGAGAATCGAAAAATCCAGTTCCAGGTCATGGACGCAATCAAAGCACCAGCGAGTAGGAGACCGATCACAGCTCCGGCCGCACCGAATCCACCAAAGATTGAAAGAGCCCGTGTACGCTTCGGTCCTTCAGGAAATGTGGTAGTGATGATACCCAATGCTGTTGGAACACTCATACTGGCGCCAATCCCTTGTAAGGCTCGCGTGATACAGAACATAGCAGGAGTGGTGGAGAAGGAGACAACGAGGGACCAAAGACCGAACCAAATTTGGCCGATCAAGAAGACAGTACGATGGCCGTATATGTCTCCAGTACGCCCAGCGAGCAACAAGAATCTAAAAGGTAGGGAGTAAGGATAGGAATCAATACCAGTAAATTCTTTGTAAAATTATCTATGGAAAATAACACAAATTGTCAGTATGCTTACCCTCCGAAGGTGACGATATAAGAGCTGATGATCCACTGGGTGGAGAAGTTGTCAAAGCCAAGGCTTTTGGATATGTCTACTAAAGCTACTGCCATAGCAGATCCATTCACTATAAAACAATAAAAAAAGAAAAGAAAAAGAAAAAGAAACATGAGTAACAATGTTGTGATACATGAACCAAAGTCGTGGTACTAGTGGAGTGTCTTCTTACTGATATCAATGAACTGTGCTATAGACACGATATAAAGCATTAAAGGTGCCGTCCTCCTCCGGATCGCTGATATTTTGGTTTGGCAGGGATGATCATTGGCAACTTCAAGGTCCTTGTTGCTAGAGCCCTGAAAACTCTGTTGTTTCTTTATCTGTTGTGGATCATCATGGTCAGGGGGCATGGAGTTTAAGCTGTCAAAATAGACAACTTCATATTTTTCTCCAAAAGCCTGCTTGTTCACTACGCTTGCGACTTCAATTGGATCGTTGTTGTTGTTAGGCATGTTGGATGCCCCTTGTCTTTGCTTTGGATATATGGATGTGTATCTGTGTGTGTAAGAACTGTAATTATGTACTGTAATAATGACGCGAACTGTGGAAGAATGTGAGCGAGTCTCAACCCAGGACAAGGAACATCTTGATCAAGATAACAAAGTGGATTCTAAATTGAAAGGAATGTTGTTAATAAAAAAGAAATGGAAAGACAGTGTGCCTGGACATCCTTCCTTTTAAGAGAATTGAAACAAGAATCAGTCCACGAGGAGTATATTAATCCACTTTTAGAAACTAAGGTTCTTTGTTTGGTAGCTCCAACTACTTCAGTCATCTGGGTGTTTCGATTTGAACCCAGGGCTGGCTCACTTTCTTAACACATTCTAAACCGCATTTAAATGTCGGACTTCGCCCAATGGACCACATGGAGTACTTCACGTAATCTATAGTCTAAAAGCTATCACCGAGTCATGTACACAATAAAAACTCACATTTACAACTAATTATACGACATAAAAATAATAAAATGGTTTAAATTTACAATCAAGCATTAAATAAAAATATAAACTGCGGAAGGATTTTTGCTTTAATAAGAAAAAAGTAAAGTGAACTACAGATATCCTGCATTTAAATTTACTTCTTCTTGTTGGCCTCCTCCTCCTCCTTGGCCTTGCGACGGGCCTCACGAATACCGTGAAGGCGGGCAACGGAGCGAGCCTTGCGGTGTTGCTCGTAAGCAGAATGGCTCTTCTGCTCCTCAGTGATCTTGCGAGCCTTCTCCTTGGGCCAGATCTGGTTGACAGGGAAGAGAGGACCAGACAACTGGGTTGCATTGGAGAGGTCAGCAGCCTGAGCGTCACCAGCCTTGGCCTTGCCAGCCTTACGGGGGAAGACGATCAACTTGGCCCTGTATGCCTTGAGACGCTGAGCATTGAGCTGGAGAGACTCCTCAGACTTGTTACGACGGCGGTGGTCAACCGAGATGCCGATGGAGAGAGCCTCCTTGCGACGGATACCAGCAGCCTAATCAGGAGGAAAACATCAATAACCAATACAAAATAGTGTAAGAAGAGTTAGCTTTCAAGTCGAAAGTAAGTTTGAGGAGAATAAGGTACTTTATTGACGGTTTTCCGTCGACATGCTGTAATAAAATCATGACTCGTTGTTATCCAAGAATTTGCTGATCCAATACAGATTTCCAAGAGTTGAGGAATTTGCAAAGTGTATTCGTCATGTGGTAAATCCAGTGTTGACACGCTCATCATTCGACTGTGTCCTTTTAGTGTTTGACAATATGCTGAGAATTCAATTCCAGATCTTGTATTGGTAATAATCCAGCTGCCTCCGTATATAATCAATATGATAAAAAAAAAAAAGAAAAAATTACCTTGAGCTCCTCAAGGGTGAAGCCACGACCAGCACGGAGCTTGGTGTTGTACTTGACAGTGGGGCAGCGGACAGCAGGGCGGATCAAGCCATCAACGGGACGAGGAGCAATGCGAGCAGCCTTTTGGATGCGTGCAATGCGTCTGGTCTTCTTGCGGCCAGCTTGGTCCAACCAGACCTTGACGCGGCTCTGCCAGTCCTTGCGGAAGTGCTATTTATCAAATAAATAATAAAAATTCGCAATGGACAGATAGTGAGTATCCTCTGAAACTATTCTTCAATGACGATCTGATCCTTGCACCCAATATATCCTCTCAATTAGCTTATTTCAGAAGAAACAATTTGCCACAGTCTATCATCTTCAAATACAATGATGCCGAAGCTGCAAGAAAAGTGGAAAAAATTTCCGCAACAAGGGTCATTGTACAAAGAAAGATCCAGCTTCAGTGGGTTCGCACAGCCAAAGATCCCCCACTCTCTCCAATCATTCCCATAAAATAAAAGATACATACGTTTCCGGGCAATTGGTTGTTGTGCTTCATGGTCTGCAAGACAGAAAAATAATCCAGAATCAAACGGATCCAGGGGTGACGGTTTCCAAGTCGATTTTAAAAGTTTTCCATTTGTCATACAATTCAAGTTCCCGTTAAATGGTGTTCGTTTTTTTTTTTTTAAGAGTCGAAGGAATGGAAGCAAAAAAAATAAATAAATAATAATAAGCAGAAAGTGCACTGTCAGTAATAGATTCTGTTGGACATTTTGCAACTCAGGCCATCGATGCTTCCTTTAGTCGGTTGTTGGTCGTTGAAGCTGATGTTAAATTCATCTTATGATGGCATGGTAGTTACTGAGGTTAGATTCTGACAATTTAGTCGGTTTCAATGTTTTTTAACGGATTGATGCCATTAGAACATGTTGCAAAGATTGATGTATACGATGTCTAAATAGATCGTTTTTTTACAGGCGAACCGTCATTGTTTTCTCGAGCGCAAATGGATCCTGTATATGTGCTTCAATCTTATCTCCATTATTTTCCTGCTTGTTGTATTCATGATGCAAGGTCATCATAGCGCCATAGTGCAACATCTTTTTCCTTGATAAACTAAGGCTTCCTGCTCCTTGATCTCTGTAACAACAATCATAGCAGATGAAGGCAATGGTTGCGAACACAGTTTTTTTCTGAAACACGTTGATAAGATGATGGATCGATAGGATGAATGGATCCAATCCTCTCTATTGACAATGGATGCTATGCCTCCCTCTCTCAAATAAATTTTCACACAATGTACCAGTCAGAAGAGATTGGAAAAAAGGAAGATCTGTTGTGACCCACTTTGATCCCATATTAGAGGCACAACGAACAGACTCTAAAATCACGTGGTTCAAATCACATATTGTCAACACTCAGCTAAACATTCCTCCTGGAAACCACAACCACACCCTTATCTCAATAATAAATATGTCTAACGAATCCAATGCTCTCAAAAAAAAAAAAAAAAAATTAGCGTTACTGTTTAAAAGATCCATCGCTTTAAGACTTGTGAAAAAAATGCATCTTGGCTCCACTTGAACGGTAGAGAAATTAGACTCCTGTGAGATGAATAGATTGAAGATTGCATAATGCAACCTAATTTTTAAACTATCCAGCATCAGCATCCATGTGGGTCGCAGAAGCATGAAACACAATAAGTGGTAGCAGACAAGATATAGATGAATATAATTATGGTTGATCTATATTACAAGTTATATATTTATTATGGCATAGGCGAAATGTGGTATATTTGTTTAAACGTTTTTTTTGGTTGTTTTATGTTTACAAGTACATTGCGTTAGGGGAGAGAAGAAAGGGAACACGAAAAGTATATGTTTATACTGTTTTTAATCATCGTCGTCATTTAAGGCGTTGTTGACTTGTCGAAAGTTGCTAGAAAGCTCGTGTTCATTAGCAAGCTCTTCCAAGGTTTTACCCTTAGTCTCAGGGATAAGGAAGGTGACAACCAAGCCAATAAACATGAAAATGGCAAAAATCTGGAGAAGCTGGGGGATGTTGTTGTTAAGGCCACCACGGTCTTTAAGATGAGAGAAACCAACTTGGGCAATGATAGCCCCCAACTTGCCGGAACCAGCAGCGATACCATGGCCAGTCGAACGATATCGGGTGGGGAAGACCTCACCAGGAATAATGAATGTGGTTGCGTTAGGGCCAAAGTTTTGGAAGAATTGGGTGGCAGCAAAAAGAAAAATGAAAAGAGGGACCGAATGATCCTTGATTGGGTTGTAAGCAAAACCGAGAATACAGAAGAGGATGCATGACATGACAAAACCAATAATCTGAATCTTGATACGACCTAGGCGCTCAATCGTGAAGACAGTGACCCAATAGCCAGGGATGGCGCCGAGGAGGACAATGATGATCTGACCGACAGCTGCATTCCAGCAGGTACTGAAGTTATCGCCCTCGACATCCGAGAATTTGATTGAAGAGAGAATGAAGGAGTTATTCAGACCAATGCCGTAGAAGGCAACGTCTAAAGCGAACCAGGCCATCGAGGTACCAAAGAGAATCTTGAAGTTCTCCCACTTGGAGAAGTACGAGCAAAAATCTGAGAAAGAGCCCTTAACGACAGCAGGATTGGAGATAATACCCTCATTGGCATCGTCCTCGGACTGGAGGTGGTTGCGGCTCTCTTTCAAGACATTAGCAACATCACGTTCAGCTTTGTTCAAATTGTTCTCAATATCCAAGACATAACGTGGGGTCTCAGGGATAGTAAGACGGAAGTAAACAGCAACAAGAGCTGGAATGCATCCGAAACCAATGAGAAGGCGCCAGACATAATCCAAGTTCTGTGTGTTAGCAATAATGCTGTCTTTAAAGGCAGCAAGGAGGATTAGGGTAACAATACCCGTGGTCAAGTAACCAAAACCTTGCATGGCAAAGACAGCAGCCATCATGGCTCCACGGCGATTGGTGGTAGCAAACTCAGAAGTGATGACAGCAGACAAGGGGTAATCACCTCCAATACCGACACCGACAATGAGACGCCAGATGATCAATGCAGCAGGTAATGAAAGAACATATCCATTCCCAGAGAGAGACTGACCAAGGGTAGCGACAATGATAATCATCAACTCAACACCATACATTTTTTTGCGCCCAAGACGATCGGCAAGGTAACCGAAGCCAATTTGGCCAATGAATGTTCCAATGGAAGCAGCGATCTTAATACCCAAGTCCAAATCAGAGGGGAGCGCACCATTGAAATAGATCATACCAATCATGGGTGTGACCAGGTTGATGGCGAAAAGATCGTATGCATCAGTGAAGAAACCGACACCAGCAACAAGGCATGCACGAATGTGGAACCAACCAAACTCTGCATTGTCAATCTTAGCCAAAGCCTCACGACGACGCTCATTGAGTTCATAACTGTCAAACTTTGTGTTGATATTGTAGATAGACATAATGCCTGGGGATGGAGGGAGTGGAGGAGGAGGGAGGAGTAGAGGAGGAGGGAAAGAGGGTGAGGGTGAGAGAGGATGGAAAAGAGGGTGAGAAGATAAGAGGATGAATAAATGATAGACTGGCCGAAAAGCTTTTATCAAGGGTTTAAGGTCAGAAAAAAAAAAAAAAAAAAAAAAGTATCAAAGATTAAGGGATGAGGATTTATAAAAATAAGAACAAAGTGGTATGCAAGGTGATCACCTTGCAAATATCCAACAGAAATTTGTACTGGGTGCGTTGCAGGCTTGTCCAGCGAGAAAGAAAGAAAGAGCCGAAAGTATTCCCTATTGGATAAGTATAAGGGATCGCATGCCAGAGAACTAGGAACGTGGTCTAGTTGACAGGATCAAAGCTTTTGGTAAAAGAAGTGACTGGTCGGGAGGGTTTTTGAGTGTAGAGAAAATCGGACCACGAAATAAGAAATTAGATGGAGAGACGGACAGAAAATAACTCAGTTAGACACAGACAGTTAAATAGTGAGCACCCAAATAAATAAATAAATAAATAAATGTCCTGAAGTTCCATTAGCAAGCGTGATAGAGATCCACATTTGATTGGCGTAGGTGCTGTTAAGGTTCGAGCCCTAATGGTACATGTACCAAAATAAGTAGATGTCTACAAAAGTAGCCGTATCAAAGATCATTTAGGGAGATTTTCTTGCAAATTTGGCACTGCCATGCGAAAATTATAAAGAAAGATCCTATTTGAAATCCGACTCGACTCTTCTGAAAGAACAATACCCTTGCCGGCGACGAACATTCTTCTACCTTTATCTCGTTGTATAGTTTATTTTAAGAATCTTCACTCAGGGCCGATGGGAACATGATTATTTTCTACTATACATGCAAAAAGGTTGCTGAGAATGAACCACGCTCTGTAGCGACAAAAAAACCTGTGCAGGGTCCAGGTCATCAGATCTGTTCGATCAAAGCACTGTCAACTTGCGTCTGGATTGAAAAATTAATTGGATGATGCATGCGTGAACATTCTATTGGTCATATCGTCTATTCCCAAAGTGTTGAAAACGAAAAGTCCAATTTGGATGTTATAAACTTGGGCAGCTTTCATTTCTACATTTAACAAATTTTATTATGCACAGCCCCATTTGATCTGTTCATCCTCATTGTGGAAAGGCATATTCGGTTAAAATCCAGTGTATCAAGAATTACAAAAAAATTAATAATATTGTTATTATTCAATTACTATATAGTATACACTGCAGATAATGATATGATTAAACAATGCCTTTTTTTTTGTTGATTCTTAAGGCTTGGTCTCCATGACAGAGTCATTCTGGGTATGCTGCGACATGAAAGTTCGCATCCTCTCCATTTCCAGTTCTGAAGCTGCACGTACAGTAAGAGGCTTCATCGTCCTGCGCTTGATAAATTTGTAAAGGTCGGAAAAGAGAATGAAAAGGACCAGAGCGGCGATAACGAACCCCCATTCATAACTGATGCCGGTATGCTTGAAGACACTGCGGTTCAGACCTGGAATGTAAATACAAGGAATGACAACCAGAGCGCCGATGACCAATGACATCCAAAGCATCTTGTTGTGACGTAAAGTCTTAAGATTCTTGAAAGACCAGCTACTTGCACGGAAACTTCTGCAGTTGATGGCGTGAGCCAGGAGTAGGAGTGTTAGTGATGCATAAGCAGTAGCACGTGCGCGGAAGACACCTTCGCATGCTTCGGAGTACTCCCTGTTGCACGAGGACCCAGTCTCTCCTCCCTCGAACCCAAAGAGTACTACACAGAAAACAGAGAAGCAGAGTGCACCCATTGCCAAGCCATAGACAAAAGTATCCATGATGACCTCTCGTGAGAACAATCCTTGTTTAGCCGAGCGTGGTGGTTCGTGCATGTTTGATTCACTGGCGGGCTCGAGACCGAGACCCATAGCTGGAGGGGATGATGTGATCATGTTCAAGAACAGAATTTGGACAGCACTCATAGGGAACACGGCCTGGCCGTCATCATCCTTGATGGCCAGACCAACAATCAGGACAACAATTTCAGCAACATTGGTGGACTATTCGGAAAGTAAATTATCGATTATATGAATGCATGTTAGATGATAGATCAAGAAAAGTAGAAAGCTATACCATTCAGTAAAAAAGCTTACTTACCAAGAGATGAGAAATAAATTTTTGAATGTTGGCAAAAATACGGCGGCCTTCAGCAACAGCATGAACAATGGTGGCAAAGTTGTCGTCCGTCAATACAATATCTGCCGCCTGCTTGGCGACATCAGAGCCTGATTGGCCCATAGCAATACCAACATCAGCAGTTTTAAGCGAGGGAGAGTCGTTCACACCATCGCCAGTCATAGCAGCAAAGAGGTTACGGCGGTGAAGCGCAGCAATCATCTTTACCTTGGTATTGGGTGAGCAACGAGCGACCACTCGAGGAAGCTCGATAAGCTTATCGACTTCCTCATCAGACATAGAATCAAACTGGCCAGCTGTCATGATAAGTGGGTTGCCCTTTGTAGGAACATCTGAAGGAATGATAGCAACCTCCTTAGCAATCGCAGCAGCCGTCGCAGGATGATCACCAGTCAACATGTGAACGCGGATGCCAGCATCGTAACATTGAAGCACGGCAGGGCGGGATTCTGCACGAGGAGGATCATAGATACCAACAAGGCCCAAGAAAGTCATATCCTGCTCAACCTCCTCACGAACCAAGTCGTGTACCAAATCAGTGCCAGGGGCAGCCTCGAAACGACGGTATGCCAACGTCAACACGCGAAGGCCTTTGTCAGCAAGGATATCAAGCTTCTCTGTGATCATAGTTTCGAAAGCCTTGCGGTCCATACTACCCTTTTCGTTGCTCTCCTCTGACAGAAGGATCTCATTATCTCCATTGCGATAGCGAGTACAGCAGCCAATGACCCGTTCAGTGGCGCCCTTCAGGAAGATAAAGTGACCACCAGTACCATCCTGTTGCTCAGGAGCCTGATAAAGGACAGACATACGTTTTACAGAAGAGTCAAATGGAAATTCAGCGATGAGCTTGAATCCCTGTGATAACAATTCAGGTTTGGGAACGCCTGCTTTGTATGCCAGAACTTGGAGTGCAATCTCTGTGGGGTCACCAATGGCTGACCATTCACCGTGAGACTGTGGGCGTGTGGTTTTACGAAGCTCAGCCATGTTGCAGAGAGAGGCTGCTTGAAGAGTACGGAGGAAATGGTTGCTTCCCTCGTCGTTCACGACGAGTTGTTCCTGAGCATTGCTTTCACTAGCTCCATTCATTTCGCCTTGCTGGTAGATCTCACCGTCAGGATCAAAGCCAGTACCAGTGATGCGGTAGTATCCATCACCTGGAAGCCACATACGGACAGCAACCATCTTGGATTGAGTAAGTGTGCCGGTCTATTCGTACCAATCGACGATAAAAGTGGTTAGAACAATTGTCCTAAATGACTATCTCATTAGAAGCTGGATTGTGGATATAGAAGAAATTACCTTGTCTGAACAGATGTTGGTAACAGCTCCCAAACTCTCCAAACTAGAGAGTCGACGGACAATGGCCTTGACTTGAGCCATTCGTCTGACGCCAAAAGCCATGGTTAATGTAACGACAGCAACCAAACCCTCGGGAATCATGGCAATGGCAACAGAGATGGCATAAATTGCAACCTCGTTACTGTACTTGAATTTGTGTACGGCGAATACGATAATTACCAAAATAATGGCAGCTAGGAAGATGAAGTAGGCCATCTTGTTCAAACGCTTCTGAAGAGGTGTGGTTTCGCTACTATCGACATTCATGAGACTAGTGGCAATCTGACCGATCTGGGTCTTCATGCCTGTGCCGATGACAATACCCTTGGCACGGCCCTTGACCACTGTTGTAGAGGAAAACACCACGTTGAGACGGTCACCGAGAGGCTCATCTTCCTTCTCGATAACATCGAGGTTCTTCTGAACGGGAAGAGACTCTCCTGTAAGAAGTGCTTCATCAGTTTCGAGGTTGAAAGTTTCAACAAGTCGGCAGTCGGCACCGATGACATCTCCATCCTCAAATATCATGATGTCCCCAGGAACAACCTGATTGTTTGGGACCGTGGTCCTATTCTCATCACGAATGACCTTTGCGGTAGGCGAAGACATATTCCGAAGTGCCTCCATTGTTTGCTCGGCATTGTATTCTTGCCAGAAACCAATAGCCGCGTTCATAATGATGATAACAAGGATGACGGCACCCTCTGCAAAGTCTTTAGTGGCAAATGACAGAATCTAAATATATTTAAAACATCCAAGTACTTTTAGTCTTCCTTGCTTTTGTTTGAGCCAGTTGTCTATAATGCAAGTCAAAAATCATGTAATATCTGCTAGCTGAAACTATCGGTCATACAGATACAGCTGATCTCAAATTTTATCACTATGACGACCACAACGTTAGGTTATGATTGGCGGGAAATGGAAAAAAAAGGTTGCACTACTTACTGTGGCAATGAGCAGAATCACTACAAGGACATTTGCCAACTGGCGCCAGAGCACCTTGTACCACTTAACGCCCCCATTCCCTTGAAGCTCGTTACTGCCATACTTCTTGAGGCGTTCTGCAGCTTCTTGAGAAGAGAGACCTTCGTGAATGTTAGTGGAAAAATGTTCGGCTACTTGTTCGACAGTAAAGGTATGGAAGGGAACCTCTTTCTCGACTTGAACAGTTTTGCGCTTTGCCATTACAAATCGGAAGTTGAAGATGCTTTGGAAGGTATTCGGAATAAGAAGTTAATGTGAACGATGCTTTTTAAGAGGTAACTGTGTGTATGCGTATATATTCGGATGCAATGGTGGTTACAGCAAGAGTGGTTAAAGTTGATGGAGTGTACTTGATCAGCTATTTCAATTGCGTAGCAATATGCAGCACAGACTAGAGGAGTGGAGAATGGAAAAGTGGAGTGAAACGGTTGGTATGATTTTGGTGGTATATACTAAGTGCTGATAGATACTCTCGATGAGATAAAGATCCGGGTTGTTGAAGGAACGGAGAAGAAAAAGGAGGAGGCAAGACAATGATTGTATTTATAAGAAAAAAAAAAAAAAAACGACGGATAGCAACGCCTCGAGATAAGAGATCTGGCGATGGTTAGAGCGGATCGCGCTTCCCTTGTTCTTAATTGAAGTATATATTATATCCTTCGTTTTTTTGTTTTTCCAGGATGCGAGCATTGGGGCGCAGTGATTGGTTAGTGGCATTCAGACACCAAAGAAAAGGCAAACAATACCGGGAAATACAATGGCATAATCATTGCTCTAAGTTTTTAAGTTTCTAAGTTTTAAAACCTATTGAATCGGATCGTATAAATGAATAAACGCATCTATTACAAATATATATATAGTAGCATAAAGGGAACCAGGCAGCTTTGCCTTTTTTTATACATTTATTTAAGGTTTGCGTGACAGGCGAGGATCCGATGACGAATATGAAAAAATGAAAAGGCTAATCACGAGAACATCTTCCAGTGCATGGAACTTTCCTTGTGGACTGAGCAAAAGCAGGAAGACCGTTGTTCCGGCAAAGCACAAGCAAATTCGACCGACCACATTGCCGTGAGCTAGAAGCTGGCCCGGTCAATTGCTTTTGCCGCCGTAAAAATAAAAAATAAAATAAAGCAATGGCTACTCTCTCTCATGTAAAATCTTGTTCAATCCACATAACCCGCTGTTTCATCGATTTCATTAGTTCCTAAACCGATTAGCGTCATTAAATCTCTCCTAATACGAGCCCCAGGTAGCCCAAAAAGGAACATCACTGTCCAACCTATCTACATACATCATCATATGATCATTCTGTTCCACTTTTCTATCTCTCATCCACTAAGATGTTCAATCGCACGCGCATCCTTGCGTCTCTGCGAAGATCAAAGGGGAAACAGGGAATATAAGAATATAAGCTTCGTTTCTTGGTAGTTTGACTAAATAGCAGTGATGACATATTAAGCTTTTTGATACAACATGAGACGTCACATCAAGCCCGCACGGAGCGAGACTAATCACACCATTGTTGGACAATGGTTGTGTTGTGCGCACGCAGTGTGCAAACAAGGACCTTTCTTTTCCTTCCAAGCTTAAGTCTAAAGTTCACTAAGGAAAATAGTTTGTCCAGTACTATGGTCTTCCAAATATATATTACAGGATCGCACCTGTGCTTTTGTCAGAGCCTACCAATGTTCTCATAAAATTAACTGGACCTTTTTATATACCGTTTATTCTCGAGACAGATCAAGGTTAAGTCTCGATTGTCGACCATTAGAGTGGTTGTCACCTCTTCCCCCATTTGTTGGGATAAATTTCCTTGTTAATCAGGAACTGACCAGAAATGATTTTACATTCAGCATTGTCATCTCACATATTCAGCCTCACTCAGAGCCTACAGACATGGGCTTTGTCGACTTTTCTTTGCCCTAATAGCAAAATAACAATCTCTTTATTACATTTAGGATTTAAGTGTAGGGAAAAAATGTTATATGTTCAAAGGCTCTTAATTATTACTCCTATTCTTGCGTTTTATTAAGATGGTTCATCTAAACCTTCAAGGTCCCTTTGACCCTTGGTTGTTCTCCCTTATCTGGTCAATCCCAAGTGAGTCTTCCATTATTGTAAAGCTATGTTCCAACTTTATAAGTTCCAAATAACAAGGTGTGTCGGGTATTGATCCGATTCAGTTGCAGTTTGGAGATTAGTGACAAAGTGTCAGCCTGTGATAGCCTACGAATCTCGTATTTGGCAGCTGAATGTTCCACACCGCAGCATAGTCGACTCTTACTTTAGTTTCTCAATGCAATGCACCGATGCATCTGGACGTCGAAAGATGTAGCGGGCACTTTATGGCTGAATCCTCATCAATTTAAGCCTAATGTCCCAGCCAACTACAGCAATCGGGACCAAGAACGCAATGGGCTGGGAAATTCAGGAATTGCGCTGCAGCCAACGTTTGGATATTTGTTGTACGACATCAATGCACTGCTTTTTAAGAATAATCCGTAAAATTAAAACAAAACATAACATTGTATAATAGCGCCAACTCATTCCGCTCCAAGGATTTGTCACTTAATCTGTCATTGCGCCTCGGAAGAGAGCTCTGGCACTCGGCCGGCCATATGAAGTCCATTTTAGTAGCTCCTAGGGGAAATAGACCACAAGGGGCACTTAATCACGAAAGCAGAAGTGAGTCTAATGTGAAGGTGAAAAGTATACCAGTTTTTGGGGCACTGTGGACTTCTCGGGGGTCTTTTTTTTTTTTTTTTTTTTTTTTTTTTCGAGGATAGTTCAGGTATTGATGAGATATTCAGTAATCCTTTTGCAGTTGGATCAATCATGACCACAAAGATAATTAGGCCCAGGCTAGACGCTGGACGATGATCGTGAGAAAGAGAGGATAGATGTTGTTAGAGCTACAATCTTAGAGATGACAAATAGTATATCTGACATCCGCGAGCATTCGTTTACCAACTTTTGAGAATAAGTAACATTTCACACTTTATTTTGCTGTCTACGTTTAATTTAAAGTTAATTCAAAGTTACTTTGATCGAAGAGCGACTCCTAATAAGGAGCTTTCCTGGGATTGTTACTGTTTTCTTTTTCTTTTTCTTTTTTATTTACTTGGTTGACCAAACCAATCGACCCAGATATCCTTTGTGAGGTCATAGACGATAGGATATAAATGTTCTTTAGATCCCCCTACTGTGCCATTAACTTTACCACCCCAAGCAATGAAAAATTGCTTATAAGCTGTGCATGCCATATTACGGCGCGTCTGTGAAGCCGGCTGGCCTTGACGCCAAGTAAACATAGACTTGGATGTTGGATTGAGATCAAGGAAAAAAATTTGATTGGAATCATGAGGCGGGTTCCCATGGCCAGACCCACCAAATAATATGGCTCTGTTTCGCAGGACATCTAAAAAAAAGGGAAAGGAAGGTAGTTGTAAATAATTCTCTCTTCATTATTAAGATGTAGGAAAAAAAAAAAAAAGAAGAAGAAGCATACCTATTGTATGACAGGCTCCATAGATGTCTTGCGGTACATCACCTTGAGTGGTCTAATAAACAAATTCTTTTCTTAGGTCCATTTGTTCATATACTAATTTTTAGTTTCTTTTCTTTTTCTTTTTTTTTAACCACGTTACCACGGATGTCCATCGATTCTCTGTAGGCGAATATAGCGCGATATTGGCAGCTGATCTATTCGGAGACAGGTCATTTGTTCCTCCAAAATACAGAATTTGTTGCAGACTCGTAACCCATGCTGCAGAAAAAAACGTCAGTCCCAACACCTGGGCTTCTTGACTACCTTGTTGCGTCGATAACGGTACTGAGGCCAATGTATCCGAATATGGGTCATACACAGTCATACTGTCCAAGCGCCAAGTGTTATAGCCTCCAAGGAGATAAACCAGCCCAGAACGTGGATCCATCACCGCCTCAATCCCATAACGTCGAGGCACCAATACTTTGACATTAGAGCTTGTCCAACGTGCTGTCGAAAGCTTATACCGGTTAACAAGACTGTTTGCTGGGTCTGTTGCTGTTGCCTTGAAAGTTAAAATCGAGCCCTCATCAAGGTTTGAGAAAGAAGAGGAAGAGTTCATATCTGCTTGACGCAACAACATCCATGAGAGGTTGCGCGGTACGTACAGAGTCCTGTTTTGTGGAAGCACTGATTCGGGTGGAACTCCTGTACAAGTATGGTAAAAGTTTTTGGGTCCTGGCCGTAGTTTTTCCCACGCTGGACATTCTGTCTTCCAGGCCTTGGATAGATCAAGGCGATAGAACTGTTCAAGGTATTCTAGATTTTCAGACTGTCCGCCTTGGATGTACAGATAATCGTTTAGAACAGTATAGGCAGGCGCCCATACTGCTCGTGGGAATGGAGCAGTAGTACAGAAATTAGACTTCGGAGAAAAGGGAGAAGGGTTGCTGCCATGAGAATTAACAAGAAAGATAGCGCAAGCAAGATGTATCAGTAGTAAGTATATCATGATATTAATAGTAGAAAGAAGGAAAGGACGTGTACATGATGAATAGAAATGGATGCTTAAGAAAAATTTGCTTTCCAACGATTTCTAGTATAACATGGAATGAATACATCGTCTGATATATGCTTGGCCAGTGTATTTAAATCAACATTTGACTCGTCGAGGTTCCTAACCATTTATGTTGCCATAGTTGTCAAAAGCATTGCGTTGTTAGGGTCCTTGGCTCAATCTGTAGGCAAGGGCGATAATGCCTACGGCTTTGGTCGATTCCCATTGCCATTTACGACCTGCACTCCAGTTTCTCTACCATCCTTCAATTGTCAGCACCATAGTCCCAAATAGGCGTCCAATTATTCAATGATAAGAAACAGAAAGAGTTGGTATTTAGCTACTTGGGTGTAACATGAACGCGTCTCAAGTTGTTATTAGATAATAGGTATTATTTAGCATGACAACACTAGGGAACAAAAAGAACTACAAGCTAAACGATGTTTGGACTAAAGGTACAGAAAAATAATGAGTGTGATGAATGGATGTGAAAGCAGTTTGCCAAAATACAAAAATAAAAATGATATGACATGAAGAAATATATAAAAGCACTTAAAATCTAAGACGATCCAAACTTTGCATTCATATTCGGCCTCATATTTGATCCAGCAGTTATAGCCGGCAATGGCATGGCTGGCAATATTCCTGGGTGCGGAGATGATGCCCCTGAGGCTACTATTGCAGCATAGGATGGTGATCCTGGGTCCGCAGCTCCAAACGAAGCCTTTCTACTCGTGTTGACGGTGATGGGTGGTGGCAATACAGGGTGATGAGCTTTTTTGCCTGTGCCAGTTGCCATTAGCTTTGCGTTCAACACACGCAAAACTTCTTCTTCAGGAGACCGTCCCCTCGCTGTGAGAGATGCATTTGTAAGCAGCAGTCCATTCCTGTTGCTGGAGGATGCAGATGAGGATGCACTAGGCGTCGTTGCTGCCTCGACAGTGACAGCCCCCACATCTTTTTGATTTGGCTCATAGTTTGACTTGGGGTTAGCTTCGTCCTGCTTCACAGAATCTGCATAGCTGAGCCCTGAAGGGGGTGTTTTAGCGGAGACAGCCTCCACTGAGGGTGCTGACATTGGTGAAAGTGGAGGATACTGTGAAACAGCAGGTGCAGGGGAGGGTTTGGGCAGCGAGTCAGTTGATGGTTGAGTGGCGCTCCGTGTCCGGTCAAGCGTTGGCTCTTGACCAGCAAGAGCAAGAGTATCGCCAGTTTGCACAAAAACAGAAACGCGTTCGCCTGAACCCTCCATTTCAACATCCAGCGGGCTTGCACTATCAGCTCTGCGAGCATTATATGGGACAACCTTAGAGATATCTGCACTCGGATCGACAGGATCATCATCGTCATCATGTTCCAAAGGCTGCCTTGGGGCATCAAACAAGGATCCACCTTCCTCACTGTCATCATCACCATTCTCTGACCAACGAAGCTTTTGTACTTCCTTGGATCCCAAAGCCGCTGAGAATGATTTTTGCGAGCTGTCTCCTGTCTCATCTTCATCTTCATCAATCTCACCATGAACATAGTCCCAGCTAGTCTTGGGTTTTCGGATCTCTTTGCCCGACACAGTGAGTTTGTTGCCAACCATGACCTTCATGCCAATGCCAAGACTATTGCGATTCCGTGGTTTGTTGGAGATACCTTTTGTCTTTGCAGAGTTCAAAAATTCCATACTGTCATCACTACTCTCCTCATCACTTTCACCCTCTTCTTCATCGTCATCATCGTCATCATCATCCTCATCATTATTATCGTCACTGTCCCCTTCTCCTTTCAAGAATTTGATGTCCTCACTATTTTCATCTTCCTCATTGATAGTCGAGACCTGGCTCCGATCCGCACCGTTTTTGATGCCGCCAATGGAGGATGATGATTGCTGCTGATCCTGGTCCTTTTTCTTTTTCTTTTTGTTCTTTGATGATTTTTTCTTCTTCTTTGGCTTGGGGAGCTCAGCAGGACCGCCGGCATAGATTCGAACATCACGGTCTGGATCTTTCTGCAAGATCAGCAGAGTCGTCTGAAGTCGATCGGAAATATTTGCTGATTCCTTGCACAACCCGCTTTCGATAATCCAGGTAATGACTCTCGATACCCAAATACGCACATTCACTACATTATCCGTTGCAAGTTGCTCAACTAATGGCAGCAAGAAATGTTCCTCGAAATCCTCGATATCAATTCCATAGTCGAGCAGTGACTGAATAATTTGGACCGCAACAACACGAGATCGAAAACCACCATTATTGATAAACTCAATTGTTTGTTGAACCACTTGCTCTTTGATGGTCGTCGTCCTTTCCTGCCCAGAAGTGTTTGTTGATGAAATAGATCCATTTGTTTTGGTAGCACTATCAATCTGTCCGGCTTGAGAGCTATGTGGTGGGTTGTACAATTGATTTGTCACATCTTCCATATCAAGGTCCTCCCCCTCACCAAAGGATCCCAACACCGGGCCAAGATCTTCGCTATCTTCCATGACCACATCGTTATCTTCCTTCTCTTTCTTATGGACAACGGGCCCAACGCGTGAACTGACCTCCCAAAGAGCAGGAAATGACATGACTCCTGACTCACGGATTGTTGACACCCCATCAGTGCAGGCTCGTATACTCAAGGGCATCAAGTATTCTAATAAATCTTTTGCTTCTGCAATCTCGCATAGTGCCGGTAACTGACCGGCTAAAGAGTCGCGCAGACGCCAGTTACTGGATCTCTCCAGTTCTGACCAAGCATTATAGATATTGCGAAGCGCATATGACCGACATTGTGGTGAAAGACACGAAATAAACTCTACAACATGCCCAATAACACCTTCTTTGACCTCGTCCTCTGCCACTAAGCAATCAGAGAAAGCCACTGCAAGGTCGCGATCAGCTATTTCAGGTCCAAGAATACGAGCCACTTCGTGGAGCGAGCAAGCTAAAGACCTCCGGATTGGAGACCTGAATGTCGCAGCCAATTTCATGTATACAGGTTTCATCATTTCCCATTTTGACCGACCAGCAGTCAAAATAACAGCTATAAAAATAAAATAAAAAATAAAAAAAGTATCAGCTTTGTCACAAATGATCATCGATTAAAAGAAAAATAAAAACTTATTCTTCACTTACCAGGGAAACTAAAAGCGCACATTACGGCTAATTCATGCTCATTCATTGGTTGCTGTCCCATGTTTAAGAAGTGATTCAAGAGGGAATCTGGGACTTTTCCCTCTTCAAATCCAGCAATAACCTCACCTAGGACTTCCATAATGGAGTTACGAACACTTCTGCTGACATCTACTGAATATAAATCGTAAATCTCTTCCACCTTCTTGGTCTTCATCTCTACGGGTAATGATGATACGAAGGAGGCAAGAACCGTGCAACAAGCTCGTCGAATATGCCATGTGTCATCATGCACGAAAGTATCATACAGTGGTAGTAGCTTGTCAATCACTACACGTTGATCCACAACCTTGCATAGTGTCCCTAAAGCAATCACAATTTCCTAAATTGTATCAACAAAATAGAATGTCAATTTCTAGGAGAGGTGAAAAAAAGCTTATACTTTGCTTAAAAGTCACTATCTCAAAAAAAAAAAAAAAAAAAAAAAAAAAAAAACATACTTTGCGAACAAAGAATTGAGAGTTGCTCATAAGCTTTTCTAGTTTAGGTAGTACAATCTGAGTACACCTGTCTTTGCCGAGAGTTTTTGCCAACGAAGTCAATAGCTAAACACGGTAATTAAGTAAGGATAAAAGAGTGTTAATACTAAGCGAGTTAAAGGGAGTAAGGAAGCACTTGGCAGTATCCTATTCATGCTTTAATTGGACTAACCACAACAACCAGCATCTTTCCAAGTTCTGCTTCCCCATCTTGATCGGTTTCGCCGTTCATGTTCAATCCCTGTTTGAGCTCTGAAGCAGATGAATTATTATAAAGTTTTTCTAACCCTGCAATGACTCCATCCAAAACCTCGCTTTCCAAGAGATCCTCGCGACAGTTTTCAGCCACTGAGCGGACAGCCTCGCGAGTTTGATGTGCGATTGCAGCATTTTGGTCCAGCAAAAGATTAATGAAAATAGGAGTGAAGGTATTATGTGCCAGTGCGGCGGAATTTGATGGTTGATGTGGGGTGTTGGCATCCTTTGTCTCTTTCTCAGTATCTGTTAATGCTTTCTCATCCGTGATTATCGCATTCTGTTCCGATAAATGGATTAAAGAAACCTTTCGTTTGTTAGCTTTTTTTTTTTCTTTTTTTAAACAAAAACAAAAACAATAACAAGTTCAGAAAGATAAAGAAGCTCGCGACTTTTACCTGATAGAAATATAAAACAATCTTGTCGAGTTGAGACGCCAGTGATTCCCTGACTGATTCTTGAGAATCTGCTGAAAGCTCACGAACGATAGGGACGATGGAGGAGATGGCATCGCCAATATCCATGGATGGCAACAAGGTTACAACCTCTCTTGCAAGGAAGGCACTATAGACGATCAGTCAAGGTTGCAAAAAGCGGAATTAGCTCCCGTTATGGTTTATCCATGTTTTTTTTTTTTTTTTTTTTTTTTTGCCATCATCTCCTCTACCGTTGAGGATGACCAGATTTCATACCGATGAAAGTCATAATCACTCTTGGAGAGCAGACGCGCCTTCTCTACTGGAGGCAGTTCTGGATCGCCAAACATCTGAACCACATCCGTATCGACATTCAGCTCTCCATTACTCCTCTGACTAGGCTCTATTAGTTCAAATCAGAATATCCGATACTTTTAAGGTTAGTATTAAGCGTACTATAGTCTGACTTCCATAATGCTTTTATGTGTCTGTGTGTTCTTATGTCCACTGAAAAGACTTAGATATCGAATTGCTACTTACCTGAACTCATCTCTGCTAGCAGTGTCTCCGTGTCAATCACATCATACGAGTCATCTTGTTCGTTTGAGAGTTCAAGGTAGGAGAGATTCTTATCTTCCTGATCTAGTTGTGTATCGTCCTCTTCTCCACCAAAGTAAAGACCAAGATCTAACGAGTGAGATCCCATTGTGAGTGTTAGAAAATACCATAATATCGCTGGTGTGATCGCACAAACAGGTGTGACATGTGGGGTGAGGTTAACAGATTTCTGGTAAAGGGAAAAAAAAATCCAAACGTCCATGTATATATAAATAAATAGATATTTATGTCCTGTTGAATAGTATGCTCATCATCCAAATGATATTAAAACGACTCTTTGTCTCATCCTATTCTCTACTCCTGCGTCATATAGCCATCCAGATTCTTCCTTGCTATGTTGTCTTTGCTCCTTATTTCAATCCATGTAATTATCCGATGAGTTGTAACGGAGTATAGAAGAAAAACAAAAAAGGAAAAAAAGAAAAAAAAACCCAGAAGATTATGTCTTCACACAATTAAAAGTCTTCTAGTTTTGGGATCAAAGTATCATCTTTGATCTATTTGCTGCTCCTTGATAAAGATGAAGACTGTTCGCATCACTGTTTTTTGCCATAGTTGCTATCTCATTTCTCTCTCACTTTACTGTATCCTTAACTACCCATTATCTTTTTTTTTTTTTTTTTTTTTTTTTTGGCGCTTGCTTGACCAATTCATCATTAACACTTTGCTTGGTCCTGAATACTTGTTTGATCCAGTCTATTCGTCCCCCTCCTTTTTTTTTTTTTTTTTTTTTTTTTAAAAAAAAAAATTTAAAAAAAAAAAAGATTCTATGATGTCTTTCTTATTGATTTTGTTGATCATTAATCGCCACTTGTTCAGTCGAGATAATATTTGAAATGAATATTTTTTTTTAGAACCCGATAAAAAGAAAAAAACATTGACAGATCTAATGTTCACGAGGCAATTCCGTCATAGTGTCATAGTGAATAAATATCTTTGATTGTTGGGCTGCGTATTACTCAAATTGTTTAAAAAAAAGATGTAAGGAGACATCAATTAACAAGGGGGTTTCCCTTGCTTGGCTTTGTCATTCCATGTAATAAAGATCCATGATATACTGTCTTTTTTTTTTTTTTTTGTTTGTTTGTTTGTTTGTCCTGTCCTGTCCTGTTCTGTTCTGTCCTGTCTTATCCTGTCCTGTCCCGCCTTGCTCTGTCCTATTAATGAGCAATAACAGTTCATCACAATTGTTAAATTAATTAATTCTTACCTGCCATGATGTTGCTATTTTTCGTTAATCTGTAAAAAGTTATGCAATGAATGTAGCTCGAAAAATGGAGTAATTGTGTCAAATAAAGTGTAAGAGATTCAGGATGGAAGCAATGAAGAAATAAGATTAGGAGTGAAGAGATGTTGATTTAGGAAAAAAGAAAAAAAGAAAGAATGGAAATGCGTGCGTATAAATGTGGGCTCAAAGAAGAAGTGAAGAAAAATAAGGGTATTTGGTAGTTACGAAAAGAATGAGAAAGAAATGAAGGAAGAGTAGAAGGAAAGAAAGTAAAAGAAAAAGAAGACAAGTAATTAATACGATTACATGTAAGAAGCGAAATGGGGTCGTAAAGGATTCTGCTGGCTGCTCACTCGATAAGAGTGAGTTACAGAGTAAAGAGAGGAAGAAGAAAGAGAAAGAGAAGAGAATGAGCAAGGGGCGAACAAGAATAAGGAAAAAGAAAAAAGAGAAAGAGAAAAAGAAACAACACCACACACGCACACATATAAAAAAAAGAGAATTGGATCAGTGCGTTGTAATTCGTCAAATGTCACTCTAAAAGTCAAAAATTCTACTCGATACTCCCACAAGGCTACCAAGCAGGGCTACATGTAAACGAGGGACCAAACCACGAACCATGTCTGTCGTTCCCGTCGCCTACCCACTCCACCCCGACATTTGTAAAAGAAATATTTTTAAAGAGAGTGTTCAATTGGGCATCTGCATGCATCTCAACCATGTTCCTGTAATAAAAAAAAAAATAAAAAAAAAGGGTGCATCATTTTATTTTCCGTCTGTTTCGTCGATGAACACAAACGTATCCATTTTTTACTCCTCGCTCTTGCTCTTTCTTTCTCTTTCTCTCTTCCTCTCTCTCTCTCTCTCTCTCTTTTAATATATTTTAATCTCTTATTAATAATTCATTCGTTTCATCAATGTACGGCCTGACATATTTTTATTTTTGCTTTTTACTTTTACTTTTTATTTTTATTTAATTAAGTGACTGGATTGGATTCAACTGGGATTGGGGGAAGACCAGATTGGATTGATGAGATGGTTAGTATTTTCCATCTTTTCTTACCTTTCTTTCCTTCTCTGTTCCTGCTTCTTTGATTTCAACCAAGGTTCTCTCTATTTCTCTCTCTTTCTCTCTCTCGATGTATTTGATGGGCTCTGGACCCCATGGTGCTCAGTCGTCTTGTGGTGTATATACATGTATCCTGTTCAATGCACCAAAACAACGTGAGAAAGTGTAAAAAAAAAAAAAAAAGAAAAAGAAAAAGAAAAACGACATTAACTGGGCTGGGTGCACTGTCATTCTGGTCATGGCTCAACGCACACATCTTTATATAAATATTTATATTTCCTTAGAACATCCGCCACATTGAACACAAAATAAAATTAATTCCAAGTCAGCTGGGGTTGTTTATAAACGTAATTCTCCTGACGATCTTACACAATATCATAATTTAATTTATTATAGACACAATACACGATCTTTTTTCTTATCCTAAACGCTCTCCTCTTCCTTGGCCCGCCGTGCCCGTTTGACCACTATTCATTGTATCCGCCAGAAAGCTCCGTGCTTTCAATCGCTGGGTCACAAGCTCAATCTGCTGAATATGCACTTTAAGCATTGATGCCTGCCCAGCTCTGAATGAGTCTGCTCCCACTCTCTCTCCTTCACCTTCTTTTGGCGCCTTAACTGTCTGATGATGATGCTGGTATTCATCCTCAAAAGTCGCTCCTACTGAAGCGCTGAAAATCTTCTCACGCAAAACCCCCATGTCGGCTTCAAAATTGGTCAATTTGTAAAGAGCACCCTCGATCTGCCCAAAAATCGCTTTGCGTTGTACATCCATAGATTGTAACAATTCCAAGTTTTCACGATATTGTTCACGCTCCACTTGGTTACCACCTAATATAGTCCACAGCTGCGCAAGAATCTCGTCATTTGCAGTCTTTTGTTGCCGATTCTCCTGAGTTATCAAGTCGTTGATAGTTCCTAATGTTTGATCAAGTGTATCCAGGCTAGAGAAGAAAATGAAGAAACAGGCTAGATATTAAAAGAAAGAAGAATAGTATAAAATAAAAAAATAAAAAAAAATTCGAGGAATCATCTTGATTCGTTTACCCCTCTAAAACTTCTTTGGACCGCAGAATAAGATCTTGGACATGCTTACGACTCTCATCCATTGTGGACTTGTACAATTGCTCTAGCTTACGCTCAGCCTTAACTTGAATCTCTAATTGATTAATTAACAAGGTCAACAATTTTAATATCTCTTGGTATCTTTTTTTTTTTTTTTTTTTTTTTTTTTTTCAGCATGCGATCTTATATATTTAATTCAACCATTACAGTCAGTTGGGACTGAACTGTCTCCCCCTCTCTCGCCTTATTCTTACCATTGGTACCTGAAAAAAAATCTGAAACCATATCCCACATTCCATTTTTCTTTTCCAGTTGCTTCTCCAAACGATCCAACTCTGCAATCAGATACCTATTCCGAACCACCAACCCATCAACACATCCGTTCGCTCGAGACTGCAAAAACTGCATGTTTCTAGCCGTTGCCCCAGCTCGGGAATGAAACACTTCCAATAACTGTACCAGCATCTCTTTTGATTGATCTGGTAACGACGAATGCTTCACCACCACCTTCAAATCCACCACCGCCATCTCAGAACGTTTCAATAACAAGGGTAAGGGCAGTCCTCCGACCCGTGCATGGACATTCAATCCATATGGATCATCCTCCTCCATTTCATCCTCACTACCACTATAACCCGAATCTTCTGGAATATCATAGTTGTCATTCATATCCGGTTGCCCAAATCCTTCTCCGTAATAATACTGTTGCCCACCATCCGCGTGTGACGTCGCCGTGGTCGTCGCCGTCTTCGTAGTCGTTATACTTCTTGTTCCTGCTGCCGCTCCCCCTTCTTTACTCTTACGTCCAAAAAGGCGTTGGCCTTTACTTTTGATCTTGTTTTTGATCTTTTTGGGTATAAACGCTGGATTCAAGTTATTCATCGAATTTAAAAGTGTTAAAAGAGCCGATGCATTATCATCAATGACGCCTGCAAAATCAGGCACTTGAAAGGTATCCGTGGCTGCTACTGCTGGACATGGTAACATCATGGGAACCAACGGAACTTTGCATACTGACGCGAATATACCTCTGCCCAGTGCTACTACTATCAGAAAGACTACCACGACTGCCAGGACCAGTGAAAAAATTGGGCGAAGTACCAAAAAACATCCAATGATTGTTTCCCACAGATAGCTCATTATCCCAAAGAGATATTGGCCTAGTTGCCGTGCAACCGATGCATCCCAATCGGCATATTGCTGTTGTTTGTGCTGCTGCTGCTGTTGGTGCTGCTGTTGTTGGTGCTGCTGTTGCTGCTGCTGTTGCTGCTGCTGTTGCTGCTGCTGTTGCTGCTGCTGCAGTTGTTGTTGGTGTTGTTGTAGTTGCAGTTGTTGTAATTGCAGTTGTCTATATGGCGATGTGAATGGGGACGAATTAGACGCATTCATGCCCGAAGGAAACTGTGGGAATGTTAATGAACTTGATCCTAACGATGCATCATCGTTGTCTTGCCTGTTCCTTCCCCTCCTCCTGACTCTATCTCTGTCTTGAGTATCCATTAAATTTTTCAAAAATGCAAAAAGGCCAGATGAGCAAAATAAAAAAAAAAGGTAACAAATAACAAAGGACGAAGGACTTCATCACCTGATTAATTCGTCTTAAAAGGGTTGTGGGAAGAGATGATTCTCACCATAACGCTTGATAATATCATGGAAATAAACGGACGATCAAAGCTGTGGGAAAGATGCAGCTTTTTTATATTTAATTTATCTTTATTATTGCAAGTGAATCATCTACAAGTTGGAGGAAAGTTGAATGGCGTTGTGTGAAGTGTAGTTCTTTTTTTTTTTTTTTTTTTTTTTTTTAGACCATTGAGTCGACCAAGGAATCACGCATGTCCTCAACAATCGCACTTGGACCATTATCCTGGAGCTTGAAGACGCCCTCAATCACTGACAACTCTGTTGCAGTTGTGTCCAGACCTGCAAAGGCACACCAGTCATTCACCAACAACCCTGCTCCAATGACATCCGAACCACGGTTCACAGTACCGGCGACCAGGGGCACCTGAAGCAATGATGACAATTCATCCTGATCTTGGATAGAGGTATGAGGGTGAACTAATCCACCTTGATTACTCAACGCACAATAAGATCCCACCAATACATTATCTGCGATCGTCTGACGGAATACCTCAACCTTCAATACGTCTGCAATGATCTCTTCTGTTTCTCGATCGATATCTGGGTGTACCAATGCAACATAGTCGTTGCATACAATAACATTCCCTAACGCTGAAAGTCTCTCCTCTACACGTTGGATCGCAACACTATCGGGCAATGAGTTCCTCAAGTGTTGAAGTTCCTGGTCCGTCGTCGTCGAAGGAACCAAAAGACCATGCCTGTTGCCAACACAGAGACGACCAATGATACGAGTACCGGCAATGCTAGTATGAACAATAGGGATAACATCCTTCAACTCTGCTTCGAAGACACTATAATGAGGTTGGAGTTTTTTTTTTTTTTTTTAAAAAAAAAATATATATATATATTGCGTTTTTAAAACCTTGATATGCTTACATTCTACAAAAAAACAACAATAATAATGGCAATATTAATCATAATCATAATTACCTGTAAAAGTTCTCAGAACCACCAATGGCAACTAAGCAGTAGCTGTTAGTGAGCATGGCAAAGACGCCAATCTCGTTATTATTTTCGAATTGAGCACCTGAAGAATAAGAAGTAAGAAACAAAATAAGGTCAATTGATTTGTAAGTTTTCTTTCTTTTCTGTTATAGTAGGACATGCGTGTTAAAAAAAATCGACCATCGTTTTATTGATACTGTCGAGAATTTTTTTTTTTTTTTTCTGTTTGAAGCAACACAATGTCCTTAATGTTGTCCATTCCACAAAAAAAAAAAAAAAAAAAAAAAAAAGATTAAGCCAGTGTTTATGGCTTGTAAAAAAAAAAAAAAAAAAAACTTAGACCTAAACTATCATTGATTTTTTTTTTTTTTTTTTTTTTTAGTTTTTTTGCACCTACGAACAGCCATGACGAAGAAGAATGAATATGTAAAGTAAGTAAATGAAGGATGAGCAATGTAGTGAAAGAGTTGGAGAAGGAGAAAGAGTGGGTGGGTGGTTGAGTGGGTTGAAATAAATAAAAAAAATTACATATTTGTCAATGGGCCCATAGACCGCAGCAGTGGCTTCTAGGATTTTTTTTTTTTGTTGTTTGTGACTTGTGTGCTGCGGATGTCCTCTGCGGCATGTAAACTACCTTTTTTTATTTTTTTTATTTTTTTTTTAGCTTCCTTCTGAATGTAAGAGTTTCTACAAAAAAGATACGTCAAAAGAAGCAATACGTAAATGAGCCTTGTCATTAATGGTGCTTTTTATTTTTATAATAATAAAATATAATTGTTGCAGTATATATGGGTGTTTATACAGCTTCTGAAACCAAAAAGGGTAAAAAAAAAAAAAAAGTGTGCATTAACCGTCATCAGAGACTGTAGGGCAAAGGTGGAAATGGATGCATGATGGATGGTAAAACTGGCTTAGTATGAGGAGATTCATGAAAATGCAATAACGAGTGGACTTTTTCTTTTTCTTTTTTTTTCTTCTTCTTTATCTCTAGTTGTTGACGACAGCAATAATAATAAAAATGTAATACCGGCGTCCTTGCTGTTGCTGTTACTGTTGCTATTATTAATCGACTTATCGTCGGGCATACTCGTCATATCCTTGATGTTGGTATCCTCCTCCGACATTAGAAGCAGCATATCCGCCGCCTACATTCGGAGCCGTATATCCACCTCCGACATTTGAGGCTGCATATCCACCCCCAACATTACCATATCCGCCTCCAACTTGCGATTCCGCATAATCACCACGACCTGCGTATGCATTGTCATATCCTCCATGGCCATAGTCTTGGTGATCATATCCAGTTTGATGATCATATCCACCGTGAGCAGAACCGCCATATCCATCATGAGCACCATATCCAGCAGCTTGATCATTGGTATAGTTGTTCGAATCATAGTATTGCTGGTTATCCGCGGGCAATGAGCCTCCGGCGTTGTATGGAGATTTGGCAGGTGCAGGCTCAGAAGGTTGATCTCCTAGGTTGCGCAAGAACACAGTGTCGGACTCGTAGCTACGAGGGTAGTCCTGATAATCATCGCCACGAATCTTGGATTGGAAGTTTCGAGAAGGCTATAACGATGTATCCAAAAAAAAAAAAAAAAAAAAAAATAGAGTCTGGTCAATCAACCTTGAAAACATGGCTGGAACAGAATAATGGATAAATGGATAAATGGACAAATTTAGAAAATGATACTGGACTTACAGAAAGCTTCCACTTTCGGAAAACCCAGATTCCAATGGCAGCAGCAATGACGATCGATCCAACAACAATACCAGCAGCGAGAAGATCACCTGATGAGCCACTCGATTCCTTCTTGGTTTGTGTGGGTTGGGCTGCTGATGTAGACCCTGTCGGTGACAAATTCGATGATGTACTTGCACCGGGTACGAGAGTTGTTGGCTTGGGTTTAGGAAGGCCCGGATTGGCGGAATTGGATGTATGAGGCGCCGCTGTTGGTTGAGAAGTGGGACCTGGATCAACAACACTAGGAATGCCAATGATAGGTGAAGTGGGTTCGCCTGCTGGAGTGGTGGTGGCAGGCGTGGTTGCTGCAGGTGAAGTAGCGGGTGAGGTTGTGGGATTTGAAGGATCCTGTGATGCTGAAGGTTCTTGAGCATTCACAGATACAGCCAGGAGGACGAACGCCAGAAGGACAAGTGATGATTTTTTGAACTGCATTATCACAAGTTTAGACGCTAAAAAAGGCACAGAGGAAAAAGAACCGTTAGTTAAAAAGTTCAAAATGGTGCTTGTAGACAGTTAGAGGGATGAAGATGGGAAAAAAAAAGAGACGAATCAAAACTAAAGCTTCACAAGAGGGACGGAGTTGGATTGATAAACTAACATGAGACAACCATGTCTATTGCAATAAAGCAAAGACAACCTCAGATCATGTGTCCGTCACATTATTATTCAGGTTTCTCGCCCATTATCCTTCTTTTATATTGCTATTTGGCTATGCTCCAACCAACCGACCACAGTAACAATCAATCACTATATGGCACAAACATTTTTTTTTTTCCCTTGATGAAAGAATGTACGAAAGTTGTGTTTGTTTGTTTTGTCCTGAAAGAAAAAATAGATAAGTGTAACGTACAGAGCAAGGGTGCAGTAATGGTGGCGATGACACTGAAATTGTGAAATGATGATGGGGCATGGGACATGAGACAAAGAAAGGATGCACATCAGACATGTACTAAAGAAAATTGGTCTAAAGGACCTGGTCTGGATGGACAAAAAGAATTTATAGGTCTAGATTCTCTATTGAGGTCAAAACAGCCTTTCCAGCAGACTAACGACAGATCATTTTGAAAGAACGAGAAGAGTGAGAGAAAGAGTATAGGAGCAGGTGATCATGAGGAAGGGAATCATATACCTTTAAAGTAATGAATCTAATTGGAATGAAAAACAGAAAAAGAAAAAAAAAAAAAAAAAAAAAAAAAAAAAAAAGGAATGAAACTAAGACACAAGATTAAACAATAGCTATTATTAAAATAGAGAGAGAGAGAGAAAGAAAGAGAGAGAGAGAGAGAGGAGGACAAAGAAGGACAAAGAGAGAAGGAGGAAAGAGGGGAAGAGAAATCAAGAGTAAAAGGAAAGGAAAAGGAAAAAAGGAAGGAAAATAAAAAGACAAAACGACTGTCTGTTTTTTGCCCTGCCCTGACGGTCTGCAACAACAATTTCTCCCACCCAAATAAAAATAAGGTATAACATGGAACATTGACAGAGTATATCTTATTCGTCCTAAAAGAATATACTTTTTACATGACTACCCAGCACTCGTTGTTTATCCACTAATTAATACAAGATTATAATCAATTAACCTCATGGAAACAAGGCCAAAGAAAAAATAAATAAAGTAAAAAAAAAAAAAAAAAAAGGGGGGAGAAGAGGAAGGCTGCACTAGTCAAAGTCAGGCCAGGTCAAAGTCTGAAAGAATTGTGAAGAGTAACCATGAAATCTAAATTTGGCATGCGCGAATCATATTGCTGAATGATAATTGCAACGACAAATTGGGACCAGGGCACATTGCACGCATACGATGATACATTGATTCACAGATGCTTGAAGGCACTGGGGGCAGAGCAGACAGTAACGATGTAGGTTTCATTGAACACATGTACAGACATGTATACAAATGATATTTGGTATTAAACATGTTAGACATGATCAGTGGCGCAAAAAAAAAAAAAAAAAAAAAAATTTAACTCAATAATAGCTCTTTTTCCTTTTTTCTTCTCTTTCAAACATGAATGCATATAGAAATATAAAAATATTTATATACTTTTAAGCACCTCTTTTTTATAAAAAAAACTTTCTCTTTGACCATCTACACGCAAGGAGACTACTGTACATGTCTATATTGTTACAGGTATTTTCTTTCCTTCCTGTCTTCATGGGTTCATGCATATGAGCAAATAGTCAAAAGGTCCTTTTTTTTTTTTTTTTTTTTGCAGCAATAACCTATCATTCCTATGACACAAATTACCAAGGAGCCGCAACTAGCAATAGGAAGCTTCCTCTATCCACCCTTTTTTCCACTCTCTAGTCCTTTCATCTTTGTGTTTTGGATCCAACCAGGTTCAAAAATACTCTTTCAAGCCATTGAAAAATCAATCTGGTACCCCTATCTTTCGTTTTTTACATTAATATTAATGCCATATCTTCTTTCTGGTACACCAGAAAATAGACTTCATTTTCTTAAAGTGCGGCGTAAAAGTGAAGTAAGGTGGTACGAGTGTAATGACAATAAATGTTTTTTTTTGGTCCTTTGGTCTTTATTACGCCAGTGGCTGTGCAAGAGAATCCAGAATAACTGGCATCGACAATCTTATTGTATACAGAAGCATATGTTTTAATAGTTAGTTATGCTTGATAGAAAAACAAAAGCTTTTAATCTACAGAATGAATAAACAACAAAGAAAAGATGCCAACAAAAAAAGCCTTTTTTTTTTTTTTTTTTTTTTTTTTTACAAAGTCTACCACCATGTAAAGTAAGGCAAATTCTTCGTCACGGGCTCAATCCTCTCGATAAGGACTACACGCTGCTCAAACAGCTCCCGTTCTCGTTGTCTTTGCTTTCTCAGTTTACGCTCTCTCCTTGCGACTTGACCAATTCCTCCGACTAGCAGATGACCATCGAAGCTTAATCCTCTTCGGAGTCGATCTGCCCATCTAGGTCGCTCGCTTAGACGATCTCTTTCTCCTCCTCTTGAGCTTGAATCACCACTGTTTTTGGGCGACGCCGACGACGAGACAGCCCCATAGCTGCGCGAAAAATATCCTCGACCGCGTTCTGGTTCTTGATCTGGTGGTGGTGCTCCATGTGTGATAATATACTCTGGTGATTCGAATGGATTCTTAACATCAGCTGACTTTTTGGTTGGAGATGAGAGCTGCAATAGACTTGTTCTTGCCGCTTCGTCATGGGTACTATTCACTCCTTTGACATTATTTGGTGACACCGTGACAGAACTATCGAACCTGATGGTTCCTGCACCTTGTTCAGTCCTACTTCGACGATGGTCCCTCTTGGATGAATCCAAATCTGCGTTCTGGCTCGATGAGGTAGCTTTAGATGACTCCCCCTCGACATGAGCTATTTCGCTCATTCTGCGTTGCCGGCTCCGTCTCGATCGCCCACCACCTCCTTCGCTCTGGTGACTCTGGCGGCGCCGTTGACTTTGAGCAAGAGTTTGTGCTGCTTCAGGATCTGTGAGCGTCATATCAATGGAGACCATACCCGGAGCCGCTTGCGTTTGCAGAACGTTGTGTGAACGGTCAGATAAAGCCTGCTCCTCAAGTTCTCCTAAAACATCATCATCTTCATCGTATGAGAATGCGTCATAGTCCTCATCCTCGTCCTCATCCTCATCCTCATCCTCATCCCCATCATCAAACTCATACTCTCCATCACTGACCACCTGTCGCAGACTGTCGTGCTTATGTGGCTGCGAGCCTCTATCCCCATTATTGCCTTCGTTATCCATGTTGATCACTAAGTGCGGCAAAGACCCCTTCTTGGATAACGAATGCAAATGCTGATCATGCGATTTTGCAAGGAACGGTGTTCCTTCGCCAACAGCTGTTGATGACATCGAGAGTGTTTTTACATTGGATAATCGATCGCCGATAGTCACGATACTACCGTAATGACTATAGCTACTGCCTCTTCCAGAAGGATCCATCATCATAGCCTTTGGCTGTGTGCTTGTATATGATTGTCCATATATACTGCTCCCTCTGGCGCCTTCTGTACCACCTCCTTTCATGGTCAGCCCCTGTTGCTCTTGAAGCTGTTGCTGGTATTGCGTCAACATAGATGCTGTTATTCCGGCTTCCAATGTCACCTCCTCATCCCACACTACCAAGGCTACACGTCGACAAAGATCCATGGGCCCCTGATCTAGATTCTTGAGTGTTTCCACAATATTCCATCCTTGTCCTTTCATGACTGCCATCTGCTTGTCAAACATACCCTGATCAAAATCGGTATCAATACTGAACAATCTCCTCAAATCTGCAATTGTGTCTCTCCACCACATAGGCGAAGAGAGCAAAGGTAGGAAATGATCGCGTGTGGCTTTAGTAAAAGGCTGAGCGATCAACGCACGAGGTAAGAAGAGCCATCCATATGGATATGAACGCCAAGAGTCAGGGTGTTTAAATGGAAAAGCCAGACCATTGTCAATGGCTGCTACGTGGATATGCGTGGATCCGTAATATGACTCAATAGTTCCTGGGAGATCCGTCGGTGTCATCTTACTATCTTTGACACTTTCATTGGATGATCTAGCTTTGGGTTGAACAGAGCTTCTCCTTCCTGCTGCTTCAGTCTCATCCTGAGTTGCATGGTCTTGCAGCGATTCTATACCAAATGGACCTCGGGAGAGGCTTGACCGTGGCGGCGTTCCCGGAGGCGTGGCCAACATGCTGCTACGGCCTGTTGCACCGCCTAACGTTTCACGCAAAGAACTGCTTGGAGATCGATCGGAACGGAGTCCTAATAAATCAACTACACGTGAGCTACGGCGCGATTCTTCTGCCTGTTGTTGGTTTTGAAGATTGCTCTTCTGACCTCCTGCATTCTGAGTACCCGCAACAATCGAGATCCCCTCCTTCTCACAATATCGAATCATCCAATTATCAAGTCCGCGGTCTAGTTTTGTAAACAAGATGAGGATATTACAAGGCTATGTATCAATTTACGGTCCTACAATGCGTCATATCCACAACACCACCCAACTTGCTCTACACTGCTGCACCATCGCTTTACCTGTGTTGCGGATAAGATAGTCTAAAATAACCATCTTCTCAAATTGTTCTCTAAACTGTTGCTGCAATGCTGGTGTCCAATTAAAACCAGGTCGACCAGTCCCTTGATTAGCTCCACCTACAAAGCCACTATATGCTGACCCTATAGTATCGTTATGAACGCTCGCACCATCTGTATTGTCTCTATGATCCTGGTGACCATTGCGTATGCTAGCTGAGGAAGAACGTTTCCCTTTTCCGTTTGCATCTTCTACAGGTCCTGGCAATGACGGTAGTGCTGATGTAGTTATAGCTGATTCTATTGGCCAAGGATGATCTCTCATAAATAGGTTCGCATCCTTGAATCCACTCATAAAGAGCTGGAAGCTTCCAACTTTATCTGGCAAAGGTTTTGCACCTTTGGTTATCTTGGCAGCACGTCTGTCCAGATAGTCATAGTGGAAAGCTGGAGAAGAAAGCCAAACAACCTCAGTACTGGGGACAATATTGAGTTTGAGCCGTCTATCCACGAGCGATGTTGCTGCTTCGGAAATGTATCCCAAATTCGGAATCAAACTAACGATTACAAAGTAAAGCATGAATGAGCTTTTTTTTTTTTTTTTTTTTTTTTTTTTTTTGAAAACAGGTTTTTTTCCATACACGTCATTGATATGATTGTCCTATCTTTACCAGCTACGCCCGAAGCAACATGGAAACAAATTTCGATGGATCCACTTTGTCCATTTGGGGTTCAGTTGACCATAAGGCTCCTCGTTCTTGGGTTTGAAAACTCCGACAATCTTGCCCTCCACGTTCCTGCAAAAGTAGGACCCTGATGAGCCCTGAGCAATTCTTAATGGCTGAATTCCAGAGTGGATCGCTTCTTTGACAGAGTCTACGATTGCAACAAATCGCTCGCTGGTCATAGGCTCTGCATGATCTGGTGTCAATGCAGGCGGGGGAGTCATAGGCTATTTTACCGCACCAAGGAAAAAAATGTATGTGCGTCAACAGTTATCCTTAAAGACTTGTGTATCAGCATTTCAGCCAGGCCTATCCTGAATTTTTTTTTTTTTTTTTTTTTTTTTTGGGCATGAAAAGCGGTATTCTGTGCCTTCTACGGGACCAAACATGCAGCCAAACGTTCCTTGCATGTACAAATGTCTGAATTTCCCAATGACAGACTGCTATTTTTTTTTTTTTTTTTTTTTTTTTTTGAAATATTTTGGGACTTACAACTGATACATGGACAGGTAAAAACACAGACGAATGAATCACTCGTTGATCATTCTCTTTACCCAGTCCAGTACTCGGTACACCTTTCTTTCTTCGGATCGGTCGTCGACCCCAGCGGGAATGAGGTGTTGCATTTGCTTTCCCACCCAAGCCGATTCCAAGCCCAAGACCATCCCCTGCTCCGAGGAGTGTTCCTCTTTCTCCACTAGCTGCATGGCCATGACTGCCGATACCGCTGCCAGGGCTGCTTTGAGGATGAACCTCATTCTGTTGCTGTTGCTGTTGCTGTTGGTAAAGCGCATCTACTGCTGCACCACTGCGAGCCTGTTCCCTCAGCAGTTCCTCTGGGAGATTATGTGGGTCAGGACGAATCTCTCGCAAGACTTCTTGTTTCTGAGATTTTTCAATTCCCCGCGGTCCTGAATGTGTAGTATATGGGCGCTGTTTCGGTCGAATGTTGGCTAGCTCAGGGGCCATATTGGCTATATTGCTACTACTGTCGTGATTGCGATTGTTGCTGCTGTTGCTGTTACTGAAGACACCAGTAGTGGTACCAGTCAGAGATTTAGAGACTGCGAAACGGGCATAAGGAGAACTTGATCCAGCGTCACTCATGGCAGAGTTGCCAAGACTCTTGCGTTTGGCTCCGAAACGTGGAAAATGAAGCGAAGGTAGATTGGATGACACGTTTGATTGGGTTGACTGGGGTGCAGCTGGTGCAGACACGGTGGCGTGCGGAAATGGGCGAGTTGTATCTGAAAGCGTGGACGCAGACGCAGGCGCAGTCGAATCTAAAAAACATTGTTGGGTATCTTTCGACCGCTGTTGCTGCTCCTGTGGTTTTTGATTTCTGCCGTCATCGCTATTGTCCTTGGTTTGATCCACAGATTGACTTTGAGCACTTGGTGTGACAATGACTTGGGAGTGTGAATATCCTTGAACTGGAGGTTGTTGACCGCGGCTTTGTGGAGTGGGGCTATCACTTTCTTCATTGCTACTGTGGTGTGAAGGTTCTTCGTCTTCCTGTTGACTTTGTGGGGGTTGGTCAGAGTCATTGTTATGCAGGGGCACATAACCACCATTCTTTTTCTGCATTTAGGAAAGAATGACTAACAGAAAGGCAGGCTGATCAGTCTTTGAACTATGGTACAGGTTTGTGTTCGCTTGAGACGAGTTGTAAGAAATAGTACTTCTTTTTTATGTTTGTGTATGAAGAAATATAAGCTGAATTGATGTTGTACGAACAAAAAAAAAAAGAAGAATGAGAAATGAATGAACGTGAAAAGAAAAAAAAAAAAAAAAAAAAAAAAGGTAAGAGAAGTAAAAGAAGTAACGGAAAGAAGAAGAGACTTCAAACGAAACAAAATGAGGTAAGAAACATTCAAAAAAAAGTTGGTTCCGTTTCCTACTCCTACTTTCAAGAGTCCACACCCCCCCCCTTTTTTTTTTTTTTCTTGCCTGCATGGTGCAGTAGAAGCATGAAATAGTTAACCGCACCAAAAGGAGCAGAGGCGAAGCATGATGATGGCCCACAAGATGTGATTCGACCCAAAGAAAAAAAAAAAAGGGTGTGGTGTTATTCACTTCCCACATGATCCTGTATGTGCTGAGCAATTTAATGTACCCATTGACAAAAATATCAATAATATGATTTATATTTATATTCCTGAATGTTTACTTTGAAGTTTGCCCATTACAAAAAAAAAAAATAGAAAACTATTAACCTTTGTTGGGGGGAGAGAGGGAAGGTGTTTCAATGAGCCAAGCAAAAAGTTGCGCTGGCACGTAATATTCTTCGCCAACATCACCCTCCTTCCTCTTTTCTCTTCTTCATGTGTTACTCTCTCTTTGCTTTTTTTCTTTTCTTGGCGAAAAATTAAAATCGGTGATACATAGCCCACAGAGCACACATAGCACATAGCGTTGTGCATGCAGACAAAGAGACGTTTACTTTGGATGGAAAGTGTTACAAAATGCTATGCAGGTGGACAGGTGTGTGGCCAAGGCCCAGGGTTCACGCGCACAAAACGCGCTTTAAAAGTCACGTGCTACGCGATAAGGTTGCACACACACACGCCTCCATCGCCCCCCCCCCCTTTTTTTTTCTTTTTTTTTTTCTCTTTTCTTTTTTTTCATCATCTCGTAATTCCACTTACTCATCTTCAACGTGCAAACATTTCATCTCAATCTTCACACTAATCGATACCAATAATGGTACGTGCTACTCGAATGCGTTTTTGTTTTTTTATTTTCTATTTTTTTTATTTTTTTTATTTTCTTTTGTTCTCACTGGTCTATGCAGCTGTCCATTAACAAATCTTTTAACCAATGGGGGTCCTTGATGATCTTTTTTTCTTTTTTCTTTTTTTTTTTATTTTCTATCCTTTTCTTTCTCGATTGAAATAGGCTGCAGCAAACAAGGATCAGACAAAGGGTAATGATACACAGAGTAGACAATAGAGGCACTTTACTTTATCATGGGATCCAAAATAGACCGACAATCTGAAAACGATATTTGGAAAGAACACCTCTCTCTCTCTCTCTCTCTCTCTTTTTTTTTTTTTTTTTTTTTTATTCAACAAAGAAAAAAAAAAAGAGAGAGAAAGAAAAGAAAAAAGAAAAAAGAAAAAAAAAGTTACCTCGAATACTTGGAGAAGAAGGCAGAGACAGGAATACTCAACTTACATCTCGACTTACCTCTAATTTTTTTTTATGACTATGACTATGACTATGACTATGATTATATTATTAATATTGGATCCCTCTTTTTTTTTCTTTTCATACGTTTTTAGTACTCAAGGATGCGTTCAACTTGTTTGATCGCAAGGGCACAGGTAACGTCCCCACTAGCTCGCTCGGTGACTTGTTGCGCTCTGTTGGTCAGAACCCTACTCAAGCTGAAATCCAAGAATTGATCGCCCAGGCTGATCCTTCAGGTATATTACATATTTATATATATTTATACGTACCTGTATATTTTTTTTTAAGCGTTGTTCAGCCTTAGTAGATAAAACAAGTAAAATAGACTTGTATTATCTCTTGAAACTAACCAAATCGCACTTTGATCCAAAAAAAAAAAAAAAAAAAAAAAAAAAAAACATGATTATCCATAATGTTTATCAATGTTAACGAATATATATATATATAGGCTCCACCATCATGAACTTTGAATCTTTCACAAAAGTCGCGTTGCGCCCTGATGGATTTAAACCTGCAGGAACGGCTGCAGAACTGATTGATGGCTTTAAGGCATTTGATCCCAATAACACCGGGACTATCTCAGCCACAGAACTTCGCCATGGTATTTAACAAAATATGTATTTTATTTTACTTTTTTATTTAAAAAAAAGAAAAAGGAAAAAGAAAAAGAGTTCCTAATATATTTTTTCCTCCTCTTTTATCTTCTTCCTGGACATTGTTGCATGCTTCTAGTTTTGACAAGCATGGGCGAGGTATTGAGTCCGGAGGAGATTGATGCCTTCCTTTCGGGCGCTGTGGTGGATAGCAATGGAAATGTCAACTATGAGATGTTTGTCAAAGACTTGTTGGCATAGATGAGGATGTTCAGGGATCGTACTATATGAAGAAGATTATATATACATAGATATTCAAGGAAGAAGCATGGAAAAAAAAAAAAAAAAAAAAAAAAATATAAAAATAAAAAATGAAGTGTTGAAACTATCAATTCATTAAATTTGTAGAAGAAATATGAAGAGAAAAAAAAAAAAAAAAAAAAAAAAAAAAAAGGAGCACTTCATCTTTTTTTATTATTATTATTATTTTCTGAAAAAAAAAAAAATGAAAGATAAACGAATAAAAGAAGTATGTTATGATGGGTTGACAAAAGTGATGAAAAAGTGATATGTACATGCACAAGTTGACCAAAAATTGAGGCAGAAGGTCAAAAAAAAAAAAAAAAAAAAAAAAAAAAAAAAAAGAGAAGAGAACAAATGAATGAAAAATGATTGGTTAAACAAGACTATGGATCTTAATGTTGATCATTGTAATAGGGAGCATAGGACTGCGGATGCTGTGGAAGAGGATGCCCTTGCTGATGTGGGTGAGGATAAGGAGCATAACGGGGATCATGTTGATAAAACTGTGGATCAACATGTTTCTGCCCATTGTCCATGGTTGGGGGCATCTGATGATGCGAAGGACGCTGATGATGCTGATGCTGATGCTGGTGCTGGTGCTGGTGCTGATGTTGATGGCGGAAATGGGGAGGTACGGACATCAGGGACTCATCATCGACTTCGACAATACTTTCATCATCAGGAGCCAGGGAAGGTGGTGTAGAGGACATTGAGGATGCGGAGGATGTGGTAGAGGTGACGGAGTGTCTCGTACCCATGTTTGTCATCCTACCATGGAGCGTCGGAGGACTCATCATTGTTGAAGAGGGCTCCTGTTTCATCACCACGCGCTCAGGCATGGGAGGAGGAGAGATCGAGAGCGACTTTATTGAGGGGGGAGGAGAGGCAGAGGCAGCAGTGGAGGGACCTGTGACAGGCTGGCCACGCTGCTTGACATACATGCTGACAATCGGATCCGGGTCAGTTTCGCCATGACCCTCAATACCCATAAGAATGGAGGCTGCCTCCATCATCTGGACTTGTTGATGCTTGGTCAATAAGAATTTGGCAGCAGACTATAAAAGGCAATTATGATGTTCCATGATTGGATTAGTAAAATTATAATAAACAAGTAAGGTTTTTTTTTTTTTTTAAAAAAGATTTTCAAAATTCGTTACCTTCCAGTACATGGAGTGCTCCCAGCGATGCTTTGACAAGGAGGTAGAATGTTTGTATAGTTTACCGCAGTCAGGACACTTGATGGAGCCGATAGACTCTTCATCTGGTTGTCCATTTGCAGGTTGACCAGATGTGGAATCCAAGATGATCTCTCCATCATTCTCGTCTTCGTCCTCTACGACGGGTGTCCGTTGTGTTTCGGAGGCGGGGGGTACGGTTGAGATGGCAGGCTGTTGAGGTACGGGGGGGAAACGTACTGGATCGACCCTGTCTGGATAAGCTTCTTGAACATACCGAGGAGCGGTGGTCGAGAGAGAAGGGGAGGCATGTCTGGGTGAGGGTTGGATAGGATGTTGAGGAGCGAACGGAGGTTGGGAAAGAGAGTGAGATCGAGAATGTGAATAGGAAGGAGTGCGTGAGTGGGATCGATGGGGAGATGTGACATGATATGGATGAGGATGATGTGAGGGACGCTGATGAAGATGGTGATCTGAAGGAGGAGGAGGAGGAGGTGGAGAGATGAAGGAGGAATGGTGCTGAGGAGGAAGAGAAGGAGGAGGAGCAGACCATCCATGGGGATCTAGATTGGGCATACGTGGGGAAGTACGATATCCGTTTGGAGGGGACTGATGGATACTGGACATTGACTGGGAGTGTGAGCGTGAATGCCTATCGATGTTTACGGATTCTGGTGGGGCCATCATGGAGACAGGGGGCGGAGGATAGGGAGCTTGGTGGTAAGGTGGGAATCCATCGTGTGGTGGCATGGGAGGAAACTGGCCATGTGGAGGATAGATACCCGAGTTTGAGCGAGAGTGGGACCTGGAGTGGGAAGAGGCTCTGGGTTGAGGGGGATATGAGTGCATTGGGTGCGGGTCCATGTCTGGGTGTGGGTGTGGGGGATAAGGATGCTGTTGTGGATGGATGGGGAGCGGTTGGTATGGCTGTTGGTGCATTTGGTTTTGGTGAATTTGATTTTTGGTTTTGATTCTGTTTCTGTTTCTGTTGGCGTCGATGGCTCGTGTGAGTGTGCGATCAACAATAATTAAAAAAAATAAAAAAAAAACGATTTTCTATTTTGAGAGCAAGAACAAGAAGTATAAAATAGATTAGGGAGAAGAACAGACAATAGCACTGAAACGAAGGTTCAAAGAAAGAAAGAAAGAAAAAAAAAATAGATTGAGAAAGAGATCAATGATGCACAGAAAAGGATTCATCAGGATGGAAATCACACTCGAACGATAATGAATCGACTAAGCTTTGTAATGCATAAAAAAAAAAAAAAAAAAAAAAAAAAAAAGAGAAACAAGACTAAAGAATAAAGAAATAGTCGCGCACCAATCAAGATGAACAAGTGTAAATCATGGTCAATGGAAGAAAATATGATGATTGCATCAAGGACGGACTAAAAGAAGAGGTTAAAAAAAAAAAAAAAAAAGACCGCGCAAGGGTTCATTGTTGATGATGGCGCTGCATTGTCTTGTGAATGTGCACAGAAGGGAAGAGAAACAAGAAAAAAAAAAAAAAAAAAAAAAAAGGGGGAAGAGGGCGGGAGGATCGCACTTTTTATCCGTACAACAGGGACACAGTTCAAGACCAAAGAAAAGACAGACAAAAAAAAAAAAAAAAAAAAAGAGAGAGAAGAGAGAAGGAGGCGACGCACATACACGTTTTACAATAGACAAAATCCAAAAAGGATAGACAAAAGAGATGTGAGGAGTGGAAGGGAAGGATGGAGGAGAGAGAGAAGAGAAGAGAAGAGAAGAGAAGAGAAAGGAAAAAAAAGGAAAGCGAATGCATATAAACAAACAAAACAAAAAAAAAAAAAAAAAAAAAAAAAAAAAAACGGTTACGAACAGGGAGTGAATGAAATTAAGTTTGATATTCAGTTTAAACAAAGATAATAATAAAGAAAGAAAGAAAGAAAGAAAGAAAAAATATAAATCTGTATAATCCGATTGAGTCGAGTTGAATAATAATAAACCAATTTGAAATTTTTAAACTACCCACAGCACAGTTTGAATTGAATGTCCAAACGTAATGTGTGATCAAATAATACAAACATTTCTCTCTTGGTCAACAACAACAACAACAACAAAAAATAAAAAAAACTCTAGGACCCATTCTCAAATAAAGTCATGCTCTTTGTTGTTTTGTTTGGGTGGTTGTTTGACCAAACTAAACATCAAGATTTGGACCACCCATCCACACCCGTCTTTTACATTCTCTTTTCAGACATCTTTAAAGATAATGATAATAATGATAATAATAATAATAATAATAATAATAATAATAATAGTAAAAAAATAAAAAAAAAAAAGCAACGCATTCAAGTATATACTTAAAATGATGGTCATGGTCATGTATAGTTGCCATGGATTAAGTAATGATCATCATGATAGCAATAGTAATAAAAATAATAATAATGATAATGATATGAATAACATATACATAAAAAAAAATAAAAACAAAAAAAAAAAAAAAAAAGTAACAGTGGTAATAACGATAATACTGATAATGATAGTAATAAAAGAAATGATTAGCAAGTGGAATCCGTCATGAGCACTCACATACGAATGAAGGAAAAAAATAATAATTAAAAGACAGTGATGCGAGACAGAGCGAAGACAGAGCAAAGGAAGAAAGAAAAAAAAAAAAGCTAAAAAAGGGTTGATGAGGAACAAGTGATGGTGATGGGTGATGGTGATAAGAGAATGGAAGAGAGAGAGAGGGGACAGGATCCGATGTATGAACTGTTGGGTTGGTGAAATAAAACAAAAGAGGAGAGGAGAGGAGAATGAAAGAATGAAAGAATGAGAGAATGAAAGAAAGAAAGAAAGAAAGAAAGGAAAGAGAAAGAGAGAAGGAAAGAGAAAGAGAGAAGAAGGAAAGAAGGGCAGGAGAGGAATAAAAAAAAATAAAAAAAGAGCAATGATATTGATGAGCAGAAGAGAAGACAATAGAAATAATAATATAAATATATAAAATAAAATAAAAACACCGCAGATGCAAAAGAAATGCAACCCACACACAGATAGGCAGTGTTTATGAACCAAAAACCAAATTGTGGACAAAAGAAAAAAATACTCAGCACAAACAAATAATTAGAAAAAAAATTTAAAAGGGCATTTTTGGGTGTCTGTCATGCCCCCATCCCTTCTCCCTAACCCAGTTCTGATAACACCAAATTATAACATCCCCTACCATCCTTTCCTTTTAAAAGAAAAAAGAGAAAGAGAGGATAAGAGAATAAGAGAAAAGGAAGATGAAATAAAGAACATGGCAGTCTCTTTTGGCTGTTGTTACTTGTGCAGAGTATTAAAGAGCTTAAACATGAAATACCTTTGTCAACAGTTGAAACAATGAGCAATGAACAATGAACAATGAACAATGAACAATGAACAATGAACAATGAACAATGAACAATGAGAATAAAAAAAATAAAAAAAAGTGGTGATGGTGGTGGTGGTAGTAGTGGCAGTGGCAGGAGTGAGGCAAAGTCTGATGTGAAAAGTGGACTAGCGTAAAGATGAAAAGGGGGGGAAAGAAGAAGAGAAAAAGACAACGAAAGGGAAGGACAGAAACTAAAAAAGGACAAGAACAAGAAGAAGAACAAGAAGAAAGAAAGAAGGATGCATCGACTGACTGACTGACTGAATTGATTGTTTTAACAAAAAGTCTAAACTCTGTTTTACTTTTTTTTTTTTTTTTTTTTTTTTTTTTACTCATAAAAATCAAATCATGCAAGTGATGCGATAGTTCCTTTTTTTTTTTTTTTTTTTATTTCGCGCGCCAACTGATTTTTTGGGATCTCTTCTCCTTTTTTATTATTGATCCTTTTATTTGGAATAAAATATAAAATATTTGCATCTAGAATGCATATCATTGTGTTGGCATGAAAGAACCATTTTCAGCAATCACATGGACCAACGTACTCTTCATCCCATACACCCTGCCCATCCATTCTCCCCCTTCCCCCCTACTTTCTGGTTCCAAAGCTGATCCTCTCCAAGGGACATTTTATTCTAACAATCTTTTCTTTTCTTCTCTTTTCTTCTCTTTTATTCTACATGTCATATTATTATATATAATACAGCTGTATTAAGGATATGAGAGCCTGAGAGCCCTTGAAGAATAACATGTCCATGTCCATGCAACAACAAAAAAAAAATTTTTTTTTTTTCAGGGCACACGTCTTCCTTTTTTAATTCTAACAGACTTTTCAATCATTTCAATGTGATAATGTGACGGCCTTTTCTTTTTTTTTTTTTTTTTTTTATTGTTTCGAAACTCATCAACACTAATCAACTCATCAAACAACAACAGCAAGTCATTCATTCATTCATCCCCCTTTTCTTTTCTTTTCTTCTTCTTTTCTCCCCTCTTCTCTATCTAACCACGTTGGAGTATGTATCGCCGCCGCATCAAGCGACCTCCTCCTCCTACCTTTGGAGAGACCCTTGAGGAATTAAAGTACTCCATCGATGAACACGGTCATCTCATTGACGAGTCAGGTGTGAAAATACAACATACGTACATCTTGCACGTACTTTTTTTTATTTTTTTCTCTTCCTGAAAAATAATAAAACCATATTAAAATCCATGTCCACTAAATCCTTGCCCTCATCATCATTCGTACAATCATGAACCATTAGGGAAACAATACGTGTTTGATTTGAAGGCAAAGAATCGAGAATATCAGGAAGCCCATGCTCGCGCCTTGGGAGGTGAGTCTCATCTGCTTGGCCTTCTTCCATCCTATCCACTCATCAATAACCAATTACTATCCTTGCAAAAAAAAAAAAAAAAAAAAAAAAAAAAAAATTACAAATCTCTTAAAAAGATGCTATTATGCGAATCATGATCAAGCGCATTGAGGATGAATGCGGAATGGTCAAAGCAACCGTACCTGTGGATGCCGAAGGAACTGATACTCCATATGCCCACATTTTGATTTCGTATGTACACATTCATATTCATTCATATTGACCCTGATGACAGAATGAATCCATCTATGCTGTAAATGTTATTTAAAGCTTTCTACCTTTTTTTTTTTTTTTTTTTTTTAATTTTTTTCCCTCCCTTTTAAAGGAATGATGCCAAAGATTGCAAGCGTTTGCTGGTCCTTGTCGCGTCAACAAATGAGTCGTAAGATCACTTTCCCTGTTTGCTGATCCACGTTAATCTTTGATTTAATTGGACATTCTCCTGATCTTTAAAACTTTTTTCCATTTGTCTGAATGTAACATAGTCTTGGCTCTTGGTCGCGTCGATTGCTCGCCAATCATCATGTCGAGGTATCTTTTTTTTTTTTTTTTTTTTTTTTTTTTTTCCTCTCATTCCCCCCTCATTCCCCCCTCATTCCCCCTTTTTTTTTTTTTTTTTTTTTTTTTTTTTTAATTTAAAGATTGGTCTGACAATTGACAGCTGACAGTCCGACTTTTTTTTTGCAAAATAGATTGGATCCATGCTTTCTGTTGTCCGTTGGGCTCGTCAAGAAGGTTTCGGTGTACTCATAACAAATCCCAACACCCATTTCTGGGTCGACGGATGCCCTTCAGTAAGCTTTCTGATCAATGACCAAACAATCTCTTTAATAGTCAATGCTTGGGAAAAAGGAACATTTGACCTCATCACTTACTCCTCCTCCTCCTATCTATCTATCTATCTATCCATCCATCTATCCATCTACAGCTGACACTCCCCATTAATATAAAGAAACAATACAAGATGATCCCAAGTATGTTTAGCAAAAAAAAAAAAAAAAAAAAAAAAAAAAAAGTTAATATTTAATTTAGCCTTTACTACGTGATTTCGCTGTCCACTAAAAAGGAGTTTTGGATTCACAATTTAGACTCTGGAAGCCCTGAGGAACATGTTGACTATGTCCTTCGCCAATATGTCCAGTAAGTTTGTTCACCGCCGAGCATGAAATCCCTGCTTAACAATCCCTATTGCTATTGCAAAGGAAAAAAAAAAAAAAAAAAAAAGTCTTTTATATAGACAAACAATATATATTAAAAGACAAATGCTGTGGTTCTTGATCTTTATAGAACCTTTGCCTCGCGCGAGATTTTCTTTATCGCTCACAAATATGGCGGTCATGCACTGATCCAGGCTCTTCATGAACAATGTAAGCCTTCTGAGGGTTCAAATCGCTGGATTGAACTGTCTTCTTTGCCCTCGATGATTAAAGATTTACTCACTTGTTTTATAAACTATGCTAGTTGATGCATTTAAGGATCGTGTCTCTGCCGTTGCCGTCATTGATAGCTCTCATACCATTACTCCCTATCCGGAATCCAAGTTCCGGAAATGGCTGTCACTGGTAAGTGGGATAATAATAATAATAAAAAAAATAAAAAAAATAAAAAAAAAAAAAAAAGAAAAGAAACATCTCATTTTAATCATTACACCTTTTAAACTTTTTTTGTTTTTTTCTTTTGTAATCACATAGAATACTGTCACGTACATGCAATCGGAGCAAGGAGAAAAGGGTAAGGTCGAGTTTCGAGAGATTGTTGGCTGCAACTGTGTTATGGCTGGATCTCAGGAGTTTGATTTCACGATCGTGGATGCGATGCCAGACATATTCAAGTTCTTCCAAGCAAGAAAGGATCGGGATAACACCCTGGAGAAGCATATGAATGAAATCGTGCCTTTAAGAGAAGATGATCCTACGACTGCCATGGTCGCGTTCGACGCGGATGATGGGGTTGATGATGAGGCTGATGATGAGAATGTTGACGAAACCGTTGTCGATGGTTAAGCAGTACTGTTCTCTTGTTGGAAAATAAAAAAATAAAATAAAATAAAAAAGCCAATTTTACTAGCAACTGTTAAATATCCAAATCTCATACATTTGAACATAAAATGACGTTTTACCCAAGCTCGTAAGCACTTGACATGAGCTTCTTTATCAAACATGTGTCCAATGGCTTTGGTCTTTTTGTGTGCAGTATTTCCTTCAGATTAGAATGTCAATATTCCAGTTTATTGTGGATTCGAGGGAGCTTTTATATACATGTATATATATATATTTATGTTTGCATTGGTCCTAGCTGTATTGCTTTGGGGGGGAGAGGTATTTAAAAAAAAAATGGTTCTGGCTCTCGGCGAAGCGCTCGGTTTGGTGACAGACATTGTTCCATCCAATGGTTGCACGAGTACAGATTTTCCCTCGTGTCAGCTTTTTGGCAATAAAATCGTTTCTTTTTTTTTTTTTTTTTTTTTTTTTTTCCATTGTCCATCTCATTCAATAACTTTTTTTTTTTTTTTTTTTTTTTTTTTTTGATATTATTATTATTATTATTATTATTATTATTATTATTATTATTCCTTCCCAACTTTCAACACTCATCATAAACAATAATGGGAACCGATAGAGTATTTCAAAATCAACGACAACATCGAGAGGGTCTAACCACTACCTCCCACGACTGGACCATGGTCAAAGTTGGTACACTTGTAGAAAAGCAAAAGCTCGTCACCATGTACGCCAATCCTTTCGACTTTTTTGAATTCATTTCTAAAAAAAAAAAAAAAAAAAAAAAACACACACACACACACACGCGAGACAAGGAATTAACCAACAAACTCATTCAACTCTCCTTAGTGATGCTGATGCCACTGTGGAAGATGCTTGCGAGGTAAAATGAGGACTCGGTTTACTGCTCCAAACCCCAGAAAATAGACAATTATTTCTACCTGCATGAGTCATGGATTTTTTTTTTTCTTTCTAAAGAACAACGGCAGGATTGTCTCACAAGGATATTCAACTTGATTGTACAAATAAAAAAAAAAAAAGAAAAAGAAAAAGAAAAAGAAAAAGAAAAAGAAAAAGAAAGAGTTGATCTGATCACTGATGAACTCTGGATGTTTTTCTGAATGATAGGTGTTACTGAACAATGGGATCACGTCTGCGCCTGTCTATGATAACACCAAGAAGATGTATGTCGGGATGTTTGACTATGGAGACTTGATGACCTACATTCTATTGTTGTTGAAAAAGATGGAGGTTCCCCTTGAGGATCAAACCATGGAGATGCGTGATCTGATCCAGCGGACGAGCAATAGTCAGAACGTCCCTGTAAAACTGGCTTCTGGTTAGTCATGCCTATAACCTTGTTCTATCCTCATGAAACATTTCAGAACAACAACAAACTGGTTTTTGCAGACTAACTTTTTTTTTTGAAAATTTTCTAGATTTGTCAGGCAAAGATCCATTTTGCACAGTCATGGCAGACTCTAGATTAGGGGCCGTGGTGCATGATTTTGGTACAGGAATTCATCGCGGTAGGTCCCATGTGAAAGTCTGTAGTTTCGTGAAAATGGTATTATGATATTATGAGCATCAAGAAAAAAAAAAAAAAAAAAAAAAAAAAAAAAAACTGGCATTGATCTCTATATCCTGTGCTATCAATAGTGGCTGTTATGGATGCGGAGGGCAATATGAAGGGCATCTTGTCTCAATCATCGACTCTGGACTATTTAATGCGTCATGTAACGTTTATAACTTGGACAATGCGATTGTTATGCCTGTGTCCATATATTTTTACCGGGATTAGCAAAAGCAGCGACCCTTAATGCTTAACAGTCCTTTTGAACCTTTTTCTCTCATCCCTATCAACTTGTAGCTGAGCGAATATCCCCAGTTGCAGCCCGTGATGCAAAAGAGTGTAGGCGACAATAACCAATTGCATTGGTGTAGTTGAATTGAAATGCAGAAACTGAAGACAATCTTTATATATATATAGCTCCAACAATGTGGCCTCGCCAGTGGCAAGGTCCTATCTGTGAACGGTGAAGAAAAGGTCTTGGATGCTCTGGTTTCAATGAGTACGTTAAATATGTCTAGAGATGTAATTACCCTTTCAATCACCATTTGTATATGTACTTATCATGAGCTCTTTCGTGTAGGTACAAATAGTGTCTCTTCCCTTGCAGTCCTTGATGATCAGGGTATGCTTTTAGGCAACATCAGTATGACTGATATCAAAGTAGGTTTTATGCTACCTCTTTTTTTTTTTTTTTTTTTTTTTTTCTTCGCTTTGACTTGTTCCTGAAATGAAAAACTTCTATTTCTCTTATTAGCATATCATGAAAAATTTAAGGACATCGTGGCTGTGGATCAGTTGTTTCCAGCTTGTCTGCAAGATCCGATTGTCACAAGGTATCGAAAACGGAGAGGTAAATGTGAAGAGTTACTTTCGTGTTTAGATCCTCGAAAAGACAAATTAAGACGCTACTTACATGTGACTAACTCGTAAAGTCTCAATTTTTTTTCCCTCCCTCTGAAACAAATATAGGACCAATACCCCATTCTTGATGTGAACGCAAAGTCCACTTTTGGTTACACACTTTCGAAACTACAGGCAACAAAAGCTCATCGCATGTGGGTAGTGAACGATAACGGGTGTGCTGTTGGTGTTGTCAGCCTGACCGACGTATTCCGCGTCCTGAGTGGATTAATCGATAATGATGAGTAAAAAAAAAATCACATAGAGCTACTCCAAGCGGCCAGGTACATAGGCGGTACCATCGCCAGCGTTGGAGTCCGGTGATTTTGTTCAATTATTCTATATTTTGTGTCCCTATACAAGACCCATGTAAATGAGACAGAAAATAAATATTGCGAATAATTGGATAAGATTAATTTTTTACCAGCGCACTGCTTATTTATACTCCATAACATTTAATATGGTGATGTGTAACGACATTTCGATCCCTCCCCAAAAAAGAGAGCTTTTTCTTTTTAAAGAATGCCCTAATGCCCAAATGCCCTTGACACTAGCATTTATTACGGGAAATGAGGTGTACCCAGGGATGCATGGTGGGTAAGCAACACGTTTAGTGCATGTTGCTTTTCTAATGGTATTCATGTGACCCTTTGCTCTTCCTTTTTACCTTCTTTTCTTTCTTGTCTGCCTTCATTCATTTGTGTCCTCATTCTCCCATCACCCCTTCATACTTTTTGTACAAATTACATTGCATCTCATCCCATTCAATTCAGGAAGAAAGTGAGCAGGACGCCTTCCCACATTCATTCGAAAACAACCTCATCTCATATAGCAAAGTGTTCACCTTATTACTACCATTATTATCATACACTTCACGTCCTCATAGCATCTAGCATATACGCATTAGACCACCCAACTCCAACTCCCACGCCTCACAGTGTTATCCCTGTATACACGCCAAAGTTTTTCTGAAACAAAACGCTGTGCGACAAATAAAATTCAGGAACAAGGAGCAATCTTTCACCGCAATTCCCTTTATCCCTTTAATATCTTCTATACACCCATCGACTGGGAAACCTCAAGAGATGCCATCTCCAAATTCCCTGGCCTCATCGCGGCCTATAAACTCTTCCTTGCGTCGCTCAAGAAGATCCATTTATCTTATTGTCGCTGGATGCTTGATGACATGCTTGTCTGTGGCTCGAGCCGATATCCTTTGTTCTTCCCCCAACTCTGGGTCGTTTGAAGCTGGACAGCCCTTGGTTTTAGATTGGAGTTCGGATGCTTCCTCACCAAAGGTCGCAGATATCGTATCGATGAGGGCAACCCTCGTTTGCGACACTGGAGTATCGATTGCAAACACAGAGATCACAACGTGGGCATCCCCTTTTACCTGGACTGTACCCAACGTTGGAAATGCCACCGTTCCTGGAGGAACCACAGGCACATGTCTGAACAATTCATTCCATGTCTTCTATGAGGGTGAATACTGGGCCGTACGAAATTTTTTCAAGAAAAGCTACAGAGCTGAATGTAAAAGCATCACCATCTTGCCTGCTCCTAACGTTACGCCAACGACCACCACCTTGGCGCCCACCACCACCACCACATCAGGCACTACAAGTAGACGAGCCTCAAAATCGGCCTCAACCTCCGCTTCACCTGAATCCACTGACCCATCCACTCCTGACAGTGAGGATTCTCAACCAAAGACGTTTGTCATTGTGATCGTAGCTATTGTAAGTCGCACTTTCTTAAAAAAAAAAAAAAAAAAAAAAAAAGAGTTTATATTTGTTTCAACTATGTTCCAAGGTTCTTTTTTTTTTTTTATTTTTTATTTTGCCTTCGGGAAATTTTCTGGTGCTGACATATTTATCATTATAAATAATGGATAAAATATTTCATAGATGGCAGGACTGGTACTATTTCTGGTGGCGTTCGGGACATGGTGGTACCTTCGTAAACAAAGGATTAAGCGGATGGAAAATGCAATCATGCCTTGGTCAAGCCAGTCCAACAACCAGTTCTCCAAAGTGCCGTCAATGGATGAGGGACATCGCGATGCTGGAGTTTCTAGCCCTGCGACCGTAGCTGGTGTTGTTAGTGGCGCTGCCGTAGCAAGGACTTACACTAACAAGCCCCAACCTCAGATACCACAGCCAACCCATGGATACTACCAAGAGGGTGGTCATAAAGGTTATGGTCAACAGGGTGCTGGAGGAGGATACGGAGACAGCAACAATGGTTATGATGCCCCACCAGAGGATGAGTATTATAATCCGTACTATGCTCAGGGAAGAAATCAAGGTTACGGACAAGGCCATATCCCTGGAGGCATGAATACAGCAGATCAATACCATGCTGGCTCGTACCAGCAATCGTCCCCACCACAGCAACATCATCCTGGATATTTTCCACCCCCACCCCCCGTCAACGCTAATGCACATCCAATGAGTCCATCCGTAAATATGAGTCCCACATCAGTACCTAACAACATCACCACCACGACCTTGATTAGCACTGCTACCACTTCCTCAGGACGATCACCACAGGCTATCTTGCCTGAGAAGGGTCATCCAGTGGAGGAAAAAGGATATCAGGAGATTCCCATGAGGAACCTTGGTCCAAGCTCATAGAAACCATCAAAGACCCTCATTCTACCCTACTCTCTCTTTAATCATGACAGCTCTTTTTTTTTTTTTTTTTTTTTTTAAAAAAAAAAAAAAAAAAAAAATGTAATTGTATCTCCTGTTCTGAAATGTAGTAATGTCGTAGCACTTTTTTTTATACATATTTATTTATTTTACTAATAATATTGATTACAATACGGATCGATCATTTCCTTTTAAATGAATGAGGAAAGAATAAGAAACACTTGAATGCCCAAAGATGAATAAATATAATACATAATGGCTCTGACATGCGCAAAGACCCTCTCTGCATTTTTATTGCATATGAAGGCTGAACTTTTTGATTGGCAAATCCCTTCCGTTCCTTTCTTCCCTTCAACTTTACGGTCTATCATAACGAAATAAACATGATGGAGGGTGGGGGTGGTTTTTTTCTTTTTTTTTTTTTTTTTTTTTTTTTTTTTCTTCTCTGGAAGGCATATGACAAGCTCAGCTTCAACAGAAAATTTTATTGTGTGCGTGCATAATATAGCCCGTTTCATTTGGTCGCGATACCTTATATTTTTTGAATACTTTCGAGTGTATTGGCAGCCAATTAGCTCGCTTGTTACGAGTATTGTTGCAAGTCCGTCACGTAGTGAGATGCCACCAGAACAATTCAATCATCGTTTTTAGATTAAAAATATAAGGTATCGTGACCAAATAAAATTGGCGATATATACATGTTAAAATATACACCCAAAACTAGCGTGATCCTAATTATAAATCGCAGAGAAAAAAACAATTGTCGAGATATCGCTTCTTGACATGTAAAAAGAAAAAAAAAAAAAAAGTGTAGGGGGGGGAGGAACAAGCTTTAACATTTGAGGTATGGGTTATAGGAATAGTCAGTAACCAGAAGAAGCTTTAATAATACCAAGCGTTGCTGTGGGGGGGGGGAGCGAGTACAGTACATGGACAATAGAACAATAGAAGATGATCTAGAGGCGATGAGCAAATGCACTTTACACGTCAAATTTTTCTCGTATATACAGTTTTATACACAATGAAGGGTGTAAAATATGAGCGATGCTGATAGGATTTTATACGCTTGGGTCAATGATCAAAAACACCAGATGAAGGGCTCTCAAAAAAAAAAAAAAAAAAAAACCAAACAAACAAATAGGCGATTCAGGATAAAGTATTACAGAAAAACAGAATTACAGCACAATGAACACGACCGTTTTGTTGAAGAAAAAAAAAGTGGGGGAGGGAGGCTAAGGACAATGGACAATGAAAATAGCTGCTTTTTTTCTCTCGTCTTAAAAGATTAACAGAAGACGTTAAGAGAGACCGAGTGAAAGAGGAAGAGGAGAAAGTGAGACAATGAAGAGTAAAAAAGCGTAACATTCCAGAGTGGAGAGAGAGGGGGGGGCTGTAGGTCTACTAAAAGCCCTAGGTTGCACCTTGACAATTTGCCAACGCATGTTTCTGCGGTGATAACAGGAACCTTAACCACGAGAGACATTAAAGAGTGAGAGCCATCCATCTGGTACGGACATGAGAATCACAAGAGCGAGCGGCGCTGCAACCAGTCCTTTTTTAATCCGTTCCTCTTCTACTGCATTCTTTTTATTCGATTCGTTCTCGCTTTTTGCTCTCCCCCCCTTTTTTTTTTCTTTCTTTCTTCCTCCATCTTTCCTCCTCTCTCCCACCTCACTTCTCTACCCTCTCCATCAACTCCCCAGGACCATCAATTATCATCGGAACTCCGACTTGCTCATTCAGTCCGTTCCTGATACCAAAATCTTTTCTCTCTCTCCCTCCATACCCTAGTTCACTTGCTCGCCTTTAATCGTTTCTTCTTCCCCTTCCTTTACTCCTCCCTCGTCAATTGACAGTAATAAAGACCACTCTCTCTAATGCCTAATTAATTTACTCCAACAAAAAAATGACCTTCACAAAGAAAAAGTCATTGGCCTCAACGGCCACACGACTGCTCTCGACTGCGGCAGTGATCGCCCTCCTCTCTTCATCAACGATGAATGTAGTGGAAGCCAAAATCACCTGTGAATCACCCTCTTCTGGATCTTACAAAGTTGGAGACTCAGTTAGCCTATCGCTTAGTGATAATGGTTGGTGGCCCAAGGCGAAGGATATCCACTCGGTCACTGCAAAAGTTAGTTGCTCTGGTGGTGGCGAAATTGCATCATTTGGAACTTCGAATGGTGGGTCATGGACTATCCCCGAGAGCGCGTACAGCTCATGTAATGGCCAAATCTATATTGAATATTCTGGCAAAGCCTATGATGTCTTGCATTGGGCAGCTGTCTGGAAATATACCGCCACCTGTGACTCCATCTCCATCTCGGCTCCACCACCGCCTCCCCCTCCTCCTCCTCCTCCTCCACCATCACCACCACCAACCAAACCTCCACCCACCCAACCACCGACGCAACCACCTACACAGCCACCTACACAGCCACCTACGCATCCACCCACGAAACCACCAGTGGAACCACCGGTAGAACCACCAAATCCTTCAAATCCTTCAAATCCGGATCCCCCAAAGTCTAGTCCAGAAATACCCCCTACTCAGCCGACTCCAGCACCTATCTACACAAGTACGGTCATATCCGGTACATCAACCATAATTGCAATCTCTACAACTGCCCAGATCACTGGAGTACCCACAGGAACATCCACGACTTTTGACCCTAATGGAACTCAACTCCCTGGATTGCCACCGATGGAAAGACCAGACACAGAGAGTCAAAAGTCTTCCAACACCAATGTGCCTGCGGCCGCATTGGGCGCTGTCGGAGGCGTCGCCGCCTTGGCTTTGATTGTCTTTGGGTTGGTCATGACTAGGAAACGCAAGAGGATGCGCCAGGAACAGCAAGACCGTTCCGACCTTGTAGGAAATCTTGAAAAGCATGGCTACGCCTATGATTCAAACATGGTCACTAGCGCAGATGATGCTTCCATGCCGAGCTTACATCATGCCTATGGTTCTTCTGCCTCTGGACTCTATGGCGCTAATAATGGCAGTGGTTTTGGTGGGAACGGGAGCGGATACGGAAACGGAAACGGCTATGCACTGGCAGCGGCCGGCGCTGGCGCTGGTGCTGCTGCTGCTGCTGCTGCTGTTGGTGCAGGAGCCTATGCCCGTGATCACCAAGGTGCTGATCCTAATAAGCGTATTAGTGATCAGAGCCTTACACTTTTGCCCTTCCCTGTTCCCTCTGCTACCAATGAGGCTCTAAAGAAACAGTATGACCTTGTGAATCGATTGTCAGTTTCAAGTCAAGAATCATTGGATGGACCTTCTGATGCTGGGGCGATTGCTGCGGCTGCAGCTGCAGTAAATCATCAGCTATCATTGAAACAAGAATTTGAGGAGGAGGAGGCAGTTGCTGCTGTTCTTGACAAGTCTAGTGATGATGATGATGACGAGGAGCTTTATTATTTGCCTGTCGGCTCTCCCAGTCAAACGTATCTCTCTGCCCGTGACTCCCCAGTGACGGGCACTGAGAGTGTTGTGGCTCCCACAGGGACGCGATCATCCATGACTACTTCTGCTTATGAGACTGTCCCCTCAGGATCCGAAGCCTATGCCGACTCGCCTGCCATGTCGGTCCAAAGCTTGCAAAGTCAAGACATTGCTGTGCCTTCTATCCCTCCCTCGGACTGGCGATTGACAGGATCTGGACGGCCTGAGAGTAGCCATATCCGAGAGTTAATTCGAAACGTATTGGATGATGATTAATAAAGCTCTTTTTTTTTATTTTTTTTATTTTTTTTTATAATATATTTGTATGTGTCCCTTTGGAGTCATTTCGTCAGGGTGTATGATTATTAAAGTTCACCAAAAGATTTTCCAACAACTTTATCTAAATTGTTTAATTGGATTATGACACTTGGTGTGCCTGGAAATGAGGTGGGGGGGGTCTGCTGATGTAAAAAAAGGTTTATTTCAAATATTTGGTCATAAAAAAAATTTTTTTTTATGCATATCATACAAGTTTATTGAGAAAAAGATTTTTTTTTTTTTTTTCTGGGAATGATAGATAATATATACAAAACAATACCCACGGTCGAGTCTATGTAAAAGGAAAAAATAAAAGAGGGAAAAATAATAATAAAAAAAAAAAAAAAAAGGTGATGGAGCCTTGATATGGTAGGAAGATGAAGAGGAATGTGACAAAGTGAAATTATTATATTTAAAAGTATGAACCAGGCATGTCACCCTCAGGGGTCTTGGGGGGAGGCTGGAAGAGTTTTGAACCATAGCGCACTGAAGGAAGTCTGTACATTCCACGACCACCCTCCTTAGCCTTCTGCTGTTCGCCCTCCTCAGCCTCTTCTTCTTCAAGAATACCGTTCTGGAACAGATTAGGAGGAGAAACGACAGTGGGAGAAGCACCACGAGAGTTACGGCGGGAGCGGGAACTGTGCGAGCTTGCAGTGCTCTGAGAACTCATTCGTTTGATGGATTTGGAAGGACGAAGAGGGCGAGCACCAATATGTTCTTCATCTTGTGAATCTTGCGACTGCTCTTGCAGTTCCTGGAAAGTCTGGATGTTATTAAGCATTTGCTGAGCACTATGTCTCTTGATCTTTCCAAAGAAAGAGTCTCGGCTGGCATTGGTCACAAGGCGACTAGCCCTCAGCTTGACAACAACCTTTTCCTCAGTATCCTCGGACACAGGCAAGGTCTCCTGAGAGTTGTTACCACGAGCATAATATCCAATAGTCTCGGCACCGTAAGCAGAGGTAAAATCAAGGTCATCGTAAAACTCTTTCTTGGGATCCAGCGCGCAAGTAGAGGCATTGACCAGGGTAGGGCTTCTTGGAGGGTAGTAACCAGGCTTCTCAATGCAACCACGTCTGGGTGCAACTCGTCTGGAACGGGAACGGTAAAGCCAAAGACCAGCAATGGCTACAAGAACAAGCAAGGCGCCAATAACGCCGCCAACGATGATTAGAGTACGCTTACTCTCATTAGGAGCAGAGCCCGAAGCAACGTAATTGGTTGTCCAAGCACCGGCCGACAAATCATAGATGAGTGCAGCATCAGCGATGGTAGCAAAAGAGGCGCCACCGATGACAATGAGTTGGTTGTTGGAGGCAGCACAGGCAGCACCTCCGCGGGCGTTGTCCAGTGCAGCATCACTGCCTTTGGACCAGGTCATTGAAGCAGTGTCGAGAATGTAGATATCGTTGAAGGCCTTGTCTTCCGTAACCGAGTATCCGCCAAACAGGACCATCTTTGAGCCGCCATTGATAGGGACAAAGCAGGCTCGGCCACGCGCAGAGGGAGCAGTGCCAGTGGTGCTAACAGTCTTCCAGCCATCTGCTGGACTGTAGGTATGCAGGGTATCGGTAGTGGTTTGACCGTCAATCAGGACCATACTACGAAGAGAGCTGCTCCAGGCAGCGGAATAAAAGGTACTCTTGCTCAAGCTAGAGTGCATCTCAATGTGATGGGCCTTGGCAGATTTGGGATCTACGGTCAACATCATGGTGGAATCCGAGGATGCATTCTTATATCCATTGGGGACGTAAACAATTTCAGATTCAGGGTCTGTGACAGCTGTGAGCCCGATATCATTGTTAAGATTGTGAATTGAAAAGTCCTTTGACCAGGCATCTGTTTCAGAGTTGTAGAGGTATCCGGCGTTGCTAGTCAGAACAATCCAGCTACGACCATCTGCAGAGGAAGCGCTGGGCATGTAAGGAGAGCTAGGTCCATCAGAAAGCTTCTTGATGGCAGGCTCAGCTGTGGTCCAAGAGACAGACAAGTCGAGTTTAAAAGTAGGAGGGAAAGTAATTTTTGAAGTGGTGTCCGAGACTGCATCGTCGACAACGTACATGGCTTGGCCATCGACGAATGCACTGGTATATGCTCCAGTATTAACTGGAAGATGAACTGCTGCATGAGCAAGACAGGACAAGGCGGTGAAGCAAAGAAAGTATGCGAGTATTGTTGAATGCGGGGCCATTATGCTGTATGCTCAGTATGAATATGTATAAAGAGAAAAAAAAAATAAAAAAAAATAAAAAGGAAATATAAAACTGTACAAGTTGGGACTGGGGGATCCAGAAAGGATGTGGTGATGGTAGTAATAAGTGATCGCGATGATCGTGATGGAGAGGAGGAAGAGATGGGGGAGGGAGGAAAGAAGTCGTAAGAGGAGACGAAGAACAAAAAGAGGAGGGATGAGTCTTTTTGTTTGAATATGAGTTGAGTGAGAGAATAAAAAAAAAAAAATCGAGAGAAGGGGAGGGGGGCAGGAAAGGAGGCCATCATATATATATGCCTCCAGGTAGAAGAGCAGAAGCGGCTGGCAGCCCTAATATGGACCCATTGATGACTAGATGGAAACTATAGTAATTTAATATAATGGATCAATGTGAATACTCATCTCATTGGTTGCGTGTTGATTAGACTATGGAATGTCCTAGTGTTTAGGCAATAGTGTTTCGTTATTTGATTTGAATCTTTGGATTGTTTGTGTCTGATCACGCCCCTGTTTCATGTTCATATCGCGACTAAAATCTTTCTTTTCTGCCAATGCCATAACCCAAATGCAGGTTAAATGCTGTAATATTTTGTATTACATTTCCACAAACCAAACAGTCCTCTTTAAACTGGTCCAGGTGTAATTTCATGCATGGTGTAATGTTGTATTACTGTATATACTTGCTGTATTTGCTGTATGATTGTGTTACTGTATAAACTGTACAACTGCGTTACTGTATAAGTTATATACTATATACTGTTTAAACCGTACAACTTTGTTACTGTATAAGCTGTATAAGTTGCATAACCTGCATAGCTGCATCTGTTGTATTCGCTGTATATGCTGCTGTATCGTCCACGCCACCCACTTTTATTTTGGAAAAAATTACCTTGGTCTGGCACACAAAAGGGGTGCTACAAAAGATCTCACATGGGAGGCAATTTAATCTGATTTTTTGGATTTCCTTTTTGCTGACCACACGTTAAATTCATGGTCTTGTACAGAAAAGGCATTTAGTGCCGAAATTGCCAGTAATTAATTGATGGTGATACAAGATTTTTTACCGCTCCAATAGCATTTAAGCTTCAATTCGCTGTCTCTCCCTCTTACTCGTTTCTCCATCCCAGATCAACAAAAAACGTCAGGTGCAGGGGCAACAAAAAAAAAAAAAAGGGAAAAAGTTCACACACCAAAGGGGGGCGAAGGTGGAGTGGAGGAGGGAGGGGGGGGGGACCATCACCTCATTTTTTCATCGTTTCGCTCTACTACGACTTATTGCTCTCGACAATCTATGGTAATGCTAATGCACACATACACACGAGCCAGTAAGAGGAGAACTGACGTACTTCAGTATCAGAGCCCTAAAACATGGCATGTGTAGATGTGCTATACTAACTCAGTATACACATATCTATATCCTCATCATACTCTTTTTGTCCGAAGGGTTTCCCGTCTGAAGATTAATGTTTATTGAAAGAAAAAAGAAAAAGAAAAAGAAAAGAAAAAGGCCTGGCCCCAATCTCATATTAAGGACATTCGTATCGTCTGTATAAACATGAACAAAGGGGCATCTTTCCAGAAAACTGATTGATTAATCTGTAATGGTGAACAAAAAAAAAAAAAAAAAAAAAAAAGCAGGTCGGGTACTGATATTGAATGCATATGACAAAGAAACCCTAGACTAATGTTGTTTAAACATTATTACGGTTTTATTATGCAGGGTATTAATTTTTTTTTTTTTGTTTATTTTTCGTGTTTCCAACGTGCAACGTTTTGGTTTGGGTCATGATCATGATAGGAGGAATTCTTCGTGTATTTTACAGGAGGCGGGGCACAAGCGTGTGTGTGTGTGTGTAAGAGGAAACGCAAGGGGGGAGGGAAGAGGAGTCTAAACTAAAGTGGTCTTTGAATCTGCATAACCATAGGAATATGTTGTCTGGTAGTCGTCAAAGCTGGCTGGATAGTGGTTTTGATAGATCTGAACAGGTTTTGGGACGCGTCGGTGGTAGATGGCATAAGCAATGATGCCTAGAAACATTATCCCTCCAAACACGCCTCCGAGCACAGTCCCGATTTGGTACAACATACGAGAATGACTATTGGCATCTATCGGTGCAGGAGTATTGTATCGAGAGACCCAAACAGACCTCTCCAAGTTGTATACGATCGTAACTTTACTGGGAGCCGCATCCTGGGTAGAGTTACTTGAAATCCCTCCCCAGACAATAAAGAAGTCGTTGGAAATGGCACAGGCAGCAGAATCGCGACCATTTGCTTCGTCCACATTAGGTCCTCTTGTCCATACTAGCGAAGCTAGGTCCAAGACATAGATGTCGTTAAGGCTTCTATGCTCTGTCCTAGAGTACCCACCAAAGAGTACTATTTTAGAGTCGTCATTCATAGGGAGCAGACAACTGGAGACACGAGGAGATGGAATATCGCCAGTAACGTTCAAGTGGGTCCATCCATCGGTGGTACTATAAGAGTAAAGAGAGTCGGCCGATTCTGAAATGAAAACCATACTCTTACGAGAAGCGCTCCATGCTGCAGAATAAAGAGATGATGTATTGAAACCCGACGGCATCGGTACAGATCCAATTTTTGTAGTATTCAGGTTTACAGTCAGCATGGACATTTGGTTTTTTTCAATGTGTCCATTTGGGACATAGATCATGCCAGTCTCTGGATCAGTGATTGCTTTTAGGCCCATTTCAGAGTTGATTTTGCTATTATTGTGTAGAACTGTACTCCACGTCGAATTCTTGATATCATACAGGTAACCAGTTCCATTTACGAGAGCGAACCAGCCCTGTCCATCAGCTGTGAGTGTACTAGGCATGTCCCATGAAAGGGGACCATCGGGGAGTTTCTGAACAATAGGGTTAACCGCGTCCCAAGATTGTGAGAGGTCGAGCATGAATGTTTGTGAATTGACAGATTTGTCTGCTGTATATCCCCCAAGGATATATAGTCCTTGAAGTTCTTTAAATGCGCTGGCGGATGAAGAGACGACCACTGGTTGAAAATCTTGAGCGTGGACAGATGGACTGAGGAAGAACACACTCAACAAGAGCATGGAGATATGTGCAAGAATAAGCATTGTGCCGCTGGAAAGGGATTGGATGATAGCAAGGTATTATTTAATGTCGTCACAGTGCGAATGTGACAAAATGCAAATAAGAGAGAATATGGAAATATACAAGGGGCGTGCGTAAAAGAAAGACAGGTAAAGAGGGTACAAAAATAGAGATGGAGAAAAAAAAAAAAAAAAAAAAAAAAAAAAACGACAGAGAAATTAAAGGTTAAAGGTCATAAAAAGAGGAAAAAAAAAAAAAAGTTGAAGGAGAATAAAGAAGGTTGCCAGGAAGGATCGATTGGTTTTATACTATTGGAATTATGACATTATTCTGGCGCCTACAAAAAGGTAAAAGAGGATTAACATTCGCCTCTGGCAAACAGACGCCCTTGGTCAGCAAATCACCACAAGAAAATCAACATCAAATCAACAAGAGCATCACTGAGAGCGACGAAGTAGAGTTGAAGAAAGAAAAAAAAACAAAAACAAAAACAAATCCCTTTGAATATCTGTTTAAATTTATGTGAGCATCATGAAAATGCACTGGAATGTGGATTGTATGACAAATGCACACTGCGATGAGAAGAGTGAAAAATGTGATACTGGCTTGCCTCCTTGTGTGACCTCCTTGTTTCATGTTTGTACTTGTTTTGAATTTTCTCTCGTCGCATCATAAAAGTATATATATATCATGAATACCATGGTTCTGGACCCTGGCGCTGAGCACACGAGAATTTAATATACATATAAATATATACAATGCTTGCTGTTTTCATTGCTAAATGGTCACAGGTTGGCGCAAAGCAAGAAATTAAAAACTTCAGTGTACAGCGCCATGTATTCTAGCTATTTAAACATATTTGCCCTTAATGTCAATTTATTTATATTTATATTTATATTTTTCTTTTCTTTTTTTGTTGATCCTCAAACAAAAGAGACCATCTAGGCTCCGTATACTCATAACCGTGATCAACATCAAGATTTATGTTTAATAGAAAGACTACCTTGCGATGCTGTTGCTATTGTTTTGCATTAATTCCACGCGTAACTGCCCTTCCATCGCCAAGACTTGATCGTTCAAACAGAGAGTATTTGACCGATCCTTTTGAGCCTTGGATGGATGATCCAATTCTTGCTCTTCATGTATATTCGCGAACAATTCTGGCCATTCATGTTGGAGGATCGCTAATGTGTCATCCATCCGTGCAAGCGTTGAAGACAAATCCTCACTAGAACGAGCTGGTCGGATAGGATGGTTCCTTACTCTTATCGTCGTATTTCTACACTCTATTGCGCTTGCACCTGCAATTGTTATTGTACTTGGAAACACACGCCCATATCGCGATTTTTTGTCTGGGCGTACGCGTGAATGAAAAGAAGGTGACTGTGATGAAGTTTTGACTTTTACTTTGCCAGAAGCGATGATCGGAGGTTGTGTTTTATGGATTAGTGGAGCACATAAGATGATGGGGCTCGACTGCTGTGTATTATCCCGTTCAAATGCTTTATTGGTGCACTGTCGCTTTCGTGCCTTATATCCTTGTCCCGGTATATCGGTGCTATAGTTTTGAATTGTTTGGTGGATGGAGTCAGAGAAGGTTGAGAGCGTTTTCTTTTCATGTAAAGCAGTTACTTCTACTTTGGTGCTTAGGCTTCCGATGGTGTGGTTGCGAGTGGCTGGTTTATTTGTAAGGGTGGTATTTAATGGATTATCAATGCAAGCTGTGCTAATAATGATAGGATCGACAGTGCCTGCGTCATGGTCGTGCGGGTGTGGATCAGGTACCTCACTGGGCTGGACGCTGGTCGATATGAGTTTTGGAGTGGATAGATTACGACGCAGTGATGGCGAGAGAAATTGTGTTGTCAGTTGTGGGGGTGTTACAGATGTTGCTAAAGAAATAGAAGCAACAGGAGGAGGGGGAATTGAATATGATGGTGGAGGCTGAAGAGTAGATGGTGAAATGGGCAGTGAAGGTGATGAGAGCTGTAGAGTTGGTAGCTTATAGAAGGCCTGCAACCTTGGTGGGGGAGGAGGTGATGCTTGCCGACGATAAGTACGTTGACTATTGGTCTGCGACCAGCTCTGCTTGGTTGTTGGTGAGGCTACAGGGCCCGGCAGTATGTCTTTCTCTACATCTTTAATCGGCAAGGGCTCAAGAGTAGATATTGGTGAAACTGATAATTGGGACGATTGAAATTGAGGATAGAGCTGGTGCTGTAGGTCATCAATGTGAGCCAAGAAAGGCGCTGAAGTGGTGAGCGTTGTTGATACTGGCAAACAAACACTTGACAACTGCTGCCGCTGCTGGTGTTGGGCATGAACATTACCAGTGACACTCATCACCATTGCAAGCTTGCGAGATAGGTCATCGACAGTGTCATGAAGCGTGTCCACGGCTTTTACTAGCTCCTCATGAGTCATTTCATCTGCTGCCCGTGGCTGGGTGGCACTCTGAGCCATTAATATAGACTTTAGTTCATCAGATACAGTGGGAGTATTATTGGGGCAGAGTAGGACGCTCGAAGACGGCATGAATGGTTCATCAGTGCAACTCTTCTTTGAGATGCTCTTGAGGTCACGTATATGGCTATTCGTCGGCGGAGAAGGTCCTAAAAATGCAGACGGACAAGATCCGGTCTTTGTCATGCTTACAATTGACCCCCTCAATCTTTTGATTACATCGCTTGAATATGATAGTCCCCAGCCAGACTCGCTTCCTGAGCCCTTCGCAATTTGTATTGGGATATTGGCTGAAGTAGGAGTAGGGGTTTGGCTTACAGATGATTTCTGTTGATTATGCTGCTGCTGTTGCTGCAATTGCAAATACTGAACATATTGCTGTGGTAAGGATGTAAGCTCGTGTGGTCGCGGCTTGGAGGATGTCCAATAAGCTGGAGGTGGGCTTGAGGGCATACTACCAGATCTGGCTCGTGTGGTACCCATCTCTGAATTGTAACTGGTGTTGCCTGAGCTTTTGTTGCTCTGATGATCGCCCATTGAGGTGCCTGTCAAGAAGCTGTCTGATTCTTTGGGATCGCGATGATTGTCCAGTTCAGTTAATTCATGGTGTAGATAATTCTGTTTTTCCTGGTGTTTTGGTGGCCGATCCTTCTTTTTACTCTGGGTTTCTGGGGCCACTGGCGATGGGGGAGGTGGTGGATAGTAGTAAAGTGTTGTGGTTTCGAGTTCCTCACTGCCGGAGACGGTAGATGAATCATTTTTCGCATTGAAGCTTGAATGCAAAGTGGTGCTGCTTGCAGTCGATGTGGCAACGTAAGGCTGAGTCGAAGCCTTGGGAGTGCCTTGTTCGTTGCTCAAGCTGAGAACTGATGTTAGGAGACTGTGAACGGAGCTATTTCCACCACCAAGCCCAAAGATCGACCGTGCGATTTGCTTCTTGTTCGGAGGTGTGGCCAAGATTGAGGATGATGGGATGTTAGTATGCAATGCAGGTGGCGGTGGTATGTATGGTAAATCCGTTGAGGAGCCTGAGGTAGTAATTGAGGTAGATGTCAAGGCAGTGTTTGTGGACCTGGACAGTTTGAACAGCTTGGTCCAACTTTTAGTCTTCATTTTGATGATTAATTATAATGGAACTAGAGCCAAGATCAGAGCTTTGGAAAGTTTTAAGGAAGAACAAGATAAAGATAAAAGAGGTTGAGGAGAACTCAGAAGGAGCTTTTTTTAATGTTCTTTGTGAGAAATGCAGATCAATGTCCATTTATTTATCCTTCATTTGTTACACATGGGGTTGATGCACTTTTTATACATTTTTTTTTTTTTTTTTTTTTGCATAAAAGTATGAATAAAAAAAGATGCCTTCTATTTCAAGCATACCCACAGGCCAATGGAGACATTAAATGAAAAGGGGCGATATGCAACGGCTAGTGTATGCATTTTTGCAAATCCTTCCTGTCTTTCAAACGCAATTGTTATCTTTATTATGTTGTCTGTTTTTTTTCTTTCGGCTCGTGGCTGCACATCCTACAATTGGGTTACCGTACTTGTTGCTCGCTCAGCCATTTAACCATCCATTACTCTTACCCGTTTCAGTTTTAGTCTAGGACTCGGAGAGCGAATTATGCACTTGTGGGGAGTATACTTGTTTTTTTTTTTTTTTTTTTTTTTTCTATGCATTACACAAACGCGTCTGTGACTGGCGCAAAGAACACTCCAGAAAAGTAGCCAATGGTGCACACATAAAAAGGCAAGACATCTCGAAAAGAAAAAGATCTACAATTCATTCAATCTTACACATTTACTTCCACCTATTTATTCATCATGAGCGACCTGAATATCCCTGAAGACTACCTTCCCGTTGTCGATGGATTGCTTTGGAAGAAGATCCTTCGTGAGGGTTCTGGCGATTCCCCCACAAAAGGCTCGAATGTTACTGGTAAGGGCCTGAATTTCAGTGTTTTAGTGTATTGAACAGCAACGGTAGATATGATAGACAATGATTATTATACAAAAAATCACTGGTTTTTTAAGAACGCACAGTAAACTGCATTCTCACCTTCCATGCTATCATGATCATTTACCTTTGAGATTAGTTCATTATGTTGGAACGCTCTTTAGCAACGGCGACAAGTTTGACTCTTCGCGCGACCGTGGCTCTCCTTTCAACTTCAAGCTCGGCGTTGGTAAGACATTTCTTCAGAGGTTGATGATTCAAACATATCAATTGCAAATTAGCTGCTTGAGTTAGAAGCCCGATACCATTTTCCTCATCTCTTTTATTTATTTTAATTTATGCCATTCATTAGGCCAAGTAATCAAGGGATGGGATGAGGGTGTCAAGACAATGAAGGTTGGAGAGTTAGCAGAGCTTGTGTGTGCTCCGTCATATGGTACGTAAACCGCCTGGTCATCTTTTTATTTGAGATAGAATGAAGACATTGTGTCTGATATTCTAAAATTTTATTCGTGGATTAATAACCAATGTCAGCTTACGGTGAACACGGAAGCCCACCAAAGATCCCTGGAAATTCGACTCTTAAATTTGAGGTCGAGCTGTTCGATTTCCAAGAGGTATATATCATTGCCATATTGTTCATTCTCAACGCGCTAAGATCCATATATCAAACTCTTACACATTTCTCTTTTTCCTTGTTGGTATTATATTTAGTCTGCCGATAATCCCAAAGCTAAGTTGGCCCTTGCTAAGAAGAAGAAGGACCAAGGAAATGAATCATTCAAGGCAGGAGATAACGCGACGGCTGCAAAGGCATATAAGGAAGGTGCTGATGCACTTAAGGATTTTGAAGGCGCCACTGAAGAACAGATTCAAGAGGCCACGCCCCTCAAGGTAGCTCTTCTCGCCAACTTGGCTGCTGCTTACTTGAAACTGAACGAAAACGGAAAGGCTGCGGAAGCATGTCTGCAGGTATTGTCACTATGCTTTACTTTTAAATTATCGATTTTGATTTCGTTCCGTAACATATTGCTCATACATTTTCTTTTTTTTTTTTTTTTTTTTTTTTTTTTTGTAGGCCTTGAGCAGCCAACCCGACCATGTTAAAGTCACCTATCGTCTCGCACAGGCATATCTGGGATTGAGTGAGTTCGAAGATGCCAAGAAATATGCTCAACGTGGATTGGACCTTGCGCCTGGTGATACTACGTTCACAAGTTTATTGTCTGTGATCAGCTCCAAACAAGCTGCCTTCAAGAAGAAGGAGAAGGCTGCATACAGCAAGATGTTCAGTTAAAAATCTACTGCTAAAATATTACAATAAAGACAAATTTACTACAAGCCACGGAGGTGAGGTTCTCGTTTCAACCTTCTTTTGCAGGGAGGGACGAGCTGAGCTTTATCTGCTTCTCTATTCATTAGTGCTCCATTTTGCATCAGCCTTTTCACTTTAGTTTGTTCAAAACACGATAAACACTTTCTCTCTTTTTTTCTTTCTTTCTTTCTTGCTTTTCTTTTCTTTTCTTTTTCTTTTTCTTTTTTTTTTTTTTTTTTTTTTTTTTTTTTTGCAAAATGTCTTCAAAGGACGACGACGTTCTTCAGTTTCTCGACTCGCTTGATACTGCGCCCACAAATAAGACCGGAACTGGCTCTTTAACTCATGACTCCGACGGCACTTCCCATGCTCTGAATGTGCCCTCGACTTCGGATGGTGTTGCTGGAAACGGAGCCAATCCACAGGATGAGCAATCTGTTCTCGACTTTCTAGACGAAATCACTCAGTCCGCTGCCTCATCTACCACTGGGTTGGACTCCAAGGTTCAGTCACCTACAGGTTCACAAGGAAAGCAATCGATCTATGACGCGTCTGCGGCATTGCCTTCAAGGTATCTTCAGCAACAGCAACAGCAACAACATCAGCAGCATCAACAACAACAGCAACCGCAGGCACCAGTAGATACAAGGTCATCGTGGCTAGGTAGCTTATGGTCAACTGCTTCTGAGGCCGTCAAGACCACACAGACTGTAGTCCAGAGTTCAGTGAAAGCGACCATGGAGAGTCAGGCTACTAAGAATTTCGAGAATCGCGTCAAAGGCTTTGTCAACGCGGAGAACATTGGCAAGATTGGTAAGTTGAAAATTTTTACAAAGAAAGGAAAAGAAAGAAAAAGAATGGAAAAGAAAAAATAACTCAGCTCCATTTTTATTTTATTTTATTTTATTTTATTCTCCAAAAGGAAACGATATCAAGTCTTTGACACTTAGTTCCATGACTGCAGTCCTGGACGTGGTAGCACCACCGATAGCAGAGCATGAAATTGTTGAGGTTTGGCTTGCACATGATATGGTTGGTTACGTCGGTCTGGAGTCGATTGTCTACAAAGCTTTCTCCAAAGTAATGGAGCAGACTGATGGCGGCGACGTGGTCGTCCATCAAGGTGCAGGCACCACTAGCCCAGGATCAGAAGATATCGCACCTGAGGATCGACAATTGAACGCTTGTGAAGGCTATGAACAAGCTGTCAAACTCGCGAAAGCCAACATTGAACATTTGGTCAAGTCACACTACGATGTAGAGAAATACCAAGGATCGGCGCCTACTGCCACCAAGAATCCCAATACAAATGCATCCGTCTGTCCTGTTTTTATGGCCATCCAGCCTTGCCGCGTACCTCGTCATGGCTTCAATGCTTCAAAGGCTGCTGATGCTTCAAAGGGCTCAGAAGGTGAAACCAGCAGTAAGGCCATGGACAAAGATACATTCCTCACATTCGTCATTGTCCTTCACGACCCCACCCATAAGCTCAATTTTGAGTCTTGCTCGCAGAGTATGCCTGCTCAATGGTTATTGATCCCTTACGAAGAGAATGAGTGGGTTGAGGATAGGATGGTGGATTGTATCCGCCTTGCTGTCGGAGTAATTGCACAGGACTATGTCTGGACGAGGATGAAGGGCGATGAGATCCAAAGACTTCAGATCTTGGAGGCTGAAGCACAAGCCAAGCAACAACTATTGGATCAACAACAGAAGCAAGAGCAGGAAGCCAAAGCTTCGGGGCAGGGTGCATTGAATACTCCTAGTGGTTAGGTAAAGAGTAGAGGGGGTTTTTTTTAATGCTTGTTATCTAGTTTCGACTGTAGCCGTTTTCATCATCAAATATAACAGAAATGTTTCACTCGAGTTTATGTGTATTTAATAAGCTTTTCTTAGTCTTCAAACTGTACTAAGGCGACTTCTTCAAAATATTTAACCTTTTGTGAATTATTATTGCTATTGTCATCATCCTCGCCTTGCATCGCTGCTGCCGTGGCTTTCTTGCCAAAGCAATCCTCCACGCAGCTGTATACTAGAACAGTGCCCCATTCCATTCCAATATCAAATACTTGAGCTCCTTTCCGTTCCTTTAAGCTTTTCTTCTCTTCTTCGGAAAGATACTTCTTGGAGGTGACATCCAGTAGCGACAATAAATTAGGCATCAACTGAAACTCAAATCCTCTAGGACCTTTACAGCTTGGACATCTAGGGATTCTGTGCGCGCTGGGTGTAGTATGCTTGGAATGAGAAGCAACATTTGGAGGTAGTAACAAATGTGCAGTACGATCCGAATATGAGAATAGGAGAGGCACACCAGGGAAATCGTAACGAACGCATTGATCTGGCCATGATTGGACGCGCTTTGTAAATTTCTTAAATGCTTTATCAACCCCTTTGGGAAGAGCCGCCTTCTCGTATGCTTCGCCGCTCCAGGTGGCGGCTGAAATGCTATCCTCACCATCCTCCTCGCTAGCATCATTCCTATTTGCGGCTTCTTCTAAAGCCATTAGGTGGCTGTATCGTTGTGAGATATCGTCGTCCAATGGATGTGAATCTTCCAAGACTTCCTCAGTAATGTAGAGGTAATATGGGTCAAACCCTACTGGATTCTCAGGCCATGTTGAAGGTTCTGAAAAACAGAAAGAAATACAAAAGTGAGGATCAGGAAAAAAGTATTTGCCGTGTGTAGAAAATCGGGTTCATTGGGTAATGGGCAAATGGGTTGTTTGTAGAATTTGCGATTTGTACGTATGTACCTTCAACAGTGTCGTGTTCCTCTTCTGATTCGCTGGATGATTCTTCTGTCGGGGTAATAGCTGCAGATGCAGCGCTTGCAAAGGATTTGATAGTAGTACAAGGTGGAGTAGTGATAGGGGTTCCAGTTCCGAACCCTGGAGGCGGTGCGAAAGGATTTATATTGTTGGTGGTCTATGTTTAAACAATATATTGTCATATAAAGGTGTCAGCCGAGGTTCAAATATAGTCTTCTAGTATCCTTTCCAATTTGACTACATTGGTAACCTACAGACGCAAAAGGATTGTTGAATGCTACGCTTGATCCACCAAAGAGTGTACTTCCCATATTAGTGGCCCCAGATGTTGCAAAGGGATTGGCTGCTAAGAGCGGCGCTCCAGATGTTGATGCTGATGTGGTGACAGGGGCTACTGAAAGCTTTGGCTTCTTTTCTAGTTTCCGTGCATATTCAGGGTTTAACTTAAGTGCACGGACAACTCGGAAACTAAGCAAACCAAAGAGAACGTTCCAATTAGTCAAAACGATCCCAGAAAACAAAAGAGATGTAATTCCGAGACAGCAGCTTACCTGCCCTCCTTGCGCATGCAAAGTCGTTGGTTGCAAGCCCATACATAGACTACACGGTCATATGGAGATTTTTCGAGCGGGACATAGGCTTGCAGTAGGAGGTACATATCCTTGCCGCATGCTTTGCATATTCCATACTTGGATGGCGCAGGCACATCTTGATCTAACCAAGACTAAGATAGTGGTGATCACAATGAGGATCAGAAATTAGACATGCTAAGAAGTAAGATAGAGATGAGTTCCAAGGAGTAAGAAATCTTGATAAAACATACTGGGATGCCGCCAATTTTTGTAATATATGGGTCTGTGTCGTCCTGGGGATCCATGGGGGAATCTGGCATGCCTAAGAGGACCGGGTCGGCTGATTTCTTTGCTGGCGCCTGTACTGAAGTTTGCGCTGCTACTGCTGAAGATCCAGTTGTTTTAGAACTCGCCTTGGACTTCTTCCCGCTCTTGTGGCTATTGCTATTGTTATTGTTATTTTTGCTGCCGCCATTGATACTGCCGAGGCCTTTCTGCCCAGCTATTGACGATCCACCAAGGTTCAAGGCCTTGAGATTCGATGTCGTTTCTGTCAGCTTATCTACTGTATTATTTTTGTTGCGGTTCCCATTTCTACTTCCATTTGCCTTGCCATTAGGTACTCCTGTGTGTTTCTTGTCCATGGTCATGGTAATTTGTGAAATGAATGAAAGAGAATATAGAATAGGAAGGACTCTTTGGTCAAATAAAAAAATTAAAAAAAAAAAAAAAAAAAAAGGTGACTGTCCTTACAACTGTTTGCACAACAAACAATAGAGCTACAAGTATATTTGTATATCAAGTTCCCGCCAACTTCTTGATTGCTATCAGGTTGACATCAACATGCAAACAATCTTATGAAGGCTAGTGCCGATAGCTGGGCCAAGCCCTCAAGAGCTTCGCTTCCTGGATGATTTCGAAAACGACTTTTATCAACAGTACATATTTTATTAAATTGATATACAAGCTATAACAGCAATAAATGTGAAGAAATGGGAAGATAAAGAAGTCCGAGAAGCATGCGAATGATATTACTATTTGTCTTCGGTTACAAAAAGCGTTCGAGAAAGTGTTCACTTGTCTTAAGAGAGCTCATGTGCTAAAAGAGTAAGAATGTAAAAACAACACACAAAATGTGGCAGAGATTAGACGGAATGCCTATTGCGTCCACAAAATAGAGGCAATACAGGATAAGGACAGCATAAAGTCTATACCATCCACGCAATCTAACGTCTGCTTCATCATCAGACTGATTCCCAGTTGTAGAAGAGGAACTCGCTGTTGTCGGTTGAGTTGAGGTTGTGCGCGAAATTGTTATGGGACGGTACGTCAGTGGATTGAGCCTCACATCCGGAACGATCCCAAGTCCGTTTTGAAACTGATGAAGGATGCTTGAAGACGAAGAACTTGGATAATACTCCTCTCCATCGTCATTGACCTCCTCCTCAGATCCTTCTGTAGAAGAATTTCCTGAGCGTGCAGATAATAACTTTTTATTCCATTTGGGATCATTCATGTCTACAAGTCGGACATAGTCAATGAATAGCCCTGATTTCCATCTAACAACGAATAAACAATCAGAAGTAAATATCTAGTAAATAGTGGAATATGCTGTGATTCCCATAATAATAAAAGATATTTGCCTATAATCTTTACCCTTCAAAGTTACGGATCTGCAAAAATACGTTTTGAAAATCACCCTCAATAACCAGATCTCCAGGTAATTCAAGGATTGTAAACCTCTCTTTAAACAGCCTTCTAAATGGCCTCTTGTGAGCTTTTTTAGAAATTTGAGAATCAGTCTGATCCATAAACTCTTGTATATTGCGAGGCTTAAAACAGATGGTTTCTAGCCGATCGTCAACTGCAGTCTTATCCTATTATATTGAGGGAAAAAAAAAAAGTTAATGCTCAGTGTATATTTCTCGGTATTTATGCAATTTTAGTCTAAGCATAGACGGGAACAAGAGATTGACAAAACCTTATCTTATAATCTATTCAATTGAATATATATATATACATACCTCAAATCTGTTGAATAGTGCTGCTCGAAACTCTGAATTGATTATCGGTGCATCACTGGTAACTTTGACTCGCCACTGGACCTTGTATCTTCCAGGGGGAACACCATAGAACACACCTTGAACATCCATCCACCAAACTGAAGAGAGCTGTGCCAATTTTCCAAACTCGCTGCTGCTACTCTCTACTATCTTCCAGTATTGGTCGCCTAAATGACAAATGTACAAGTCTTCAGCGGGAAGAACAACACGAGCTAGCAAAAATAAAAAATAAAAATTTGTGAGACCAGGGGTTATTCATGCATGAGAAGTACCCGGTCTACATCAAGTACACCTGACCCGAATCTGGGGAAACAATCTTGAGCATGACGAGCATTGTAACACTTACAATAGTACTTGTATAGTTCAATAAGTTGCCTCTTGCTGAGTTCGTTTGTTTTGCGGAGATCCACTTTTCTACATTCGCTGGGCAATTCCTTGGCATTCTTATCGACATCATCGTCACCATCTTGATCACCTCTACTATTGCTATCTTCATTACCATCATCACCATCGTCATCGTCATCATCACCGCCATCCGTGCTTCCACTTTCACTTTCTCGTCCTGCAGGATCCTGATGATTATGATAAAGGTGGTCATAATAAACTGTCCCCGGCAAGTCGCTATTACCAACACGAGTAGACTGCTCTGGTGTTGATGGCCTTGTTGAAGTTCTGGAGGAAGAGTTGCTCGCTTGTCGTGACACGTCCTTGCCCTTGGCCGCTCGACTATGACTTTTCAGATAATCCTCAAGAAGGCCTTGGCCAAATCTTTTGATAAATCGCTGGTGCCAGACATAATGGGAGTCAGTGATACTGTAGATGACCCGGTTGGTTTGGATGAAGCTGGCAAAGTCTCGAGTGCTTAGGTGTATAGTAAGCTGCATGATCACCTCTGCAGGCATATCAGTCAGAGACAAGGGAGCATTACGGTGAGAGGTCTTAACAGTTACAACACTATCATTTCCTTCATTCGAGTGGTGGGTCGAGCCTTGGTCATTCATGAATGAAACCTGTGTGTGTAAGAAAAAAAAGTGTAAGGAATGAATGAAACGAATATGTTGGAATCAGAGTGTGGGGGAGGACACTTTATATTCTTTAAAGTCTGCTCTCCCTCATGCACAACGACGCAATTTGTATCGCAGCAAGCGCTAAAGATTCACGTTGCCAAGGGTCACGATTTTAGTACACATATTTGATTCGTGAAAAACGGAATTTGCTCACTGTCAACATGTCAACAGCAATATTCATCTCTGTTTGAGAGGGAGTCTGAAAATCTTTGCAGATCTATGCAGTAGGTTACTAGTTTATTGGATAAAACTACTGGGGCCTTTCGGTGTTTGAATTATGTTTTAGAAGCCCTTGTGCACTAAGAGTTGGTTGATGCAGGCCAAGATTGTCCACTTGCGGTTTTCGGCTTCTTGGAAGACATGAGAGCGAGGGGAGTAGAACACATCGTCTGTGACTTCCTCCTGCTTGCGTGGAAGACAGTGCAAAAACTTCCAGTCTGGCTTTGCTCCACTTGACTCGATCAGCTCGGTTGTCAATTGATAGCCTGCAAATGCCTGAATGCGTTGTTTCTTTTCTTCTTCTTGACCCATGCTGATCCTATAAATATTGGGAGACAATCGAAGTATCGTCAGTTAAATGGCAGCGTAAGATTTTATAAAGAAGGAAAAGTGAATGAGTGAAAGAAAAGCTTTACCAAGTGTCTGTAACAACAATATCGGCTCCCTTTATTGCCTCTTTAGGGTCGTTGTACACTTCCACATCTGTTCCTGCAAGTTTTGCATTATTCAATGCTTGTTTCAGAATATCAGCATTAGGTTCATATCCTTTTGGTGTCGCCATAGAGATGTGCATTCCAACCTTAGGGAGCTGTAACATCAGTGAATGCAAAATGTTGTTGCCATCTCCCACCCATGCCAGTTTCAAGTTTTTGAGGGTGGTCGCAGGTGAGATCGTATGAGGTTCAGAACCCTTGGGTGTGTACAATTCATGCAGAGTCATCAGATCTGCAAGGATCTGAGTTGGATGATAGAGATCTGAAAGGGCATTGATAATTGGTACTGTTGAGTATTTAGCAAGAGTCTGTAAGAGGTAGAAAAATAAAAGAGACGTTTGAATGGGCCATCGCAATTTTCATAATACCATCCTTCGACTATAAGCTAATAGCTCTCAACATCTGGTTGAAAGCTTACCTCAATCTCTGAATGTGCCCCTACACGAGCCATGATGCCGTCCACCATGCTTGACACGACTTTACTCGTGTCAAGAAGCGACTCATTCACGCCCAATTGAATATCCTGTGCACCTAAAAACATGGCGTGTCCACCTAAACAATTGTAAAGGGATTAGTCAAGGTGTTTTCTACTGGTTTGATACCTTTTTTTTTTTTTTTTTTTTTTTTTTTTCCTTAATCACACACCTAAATACGTAACGGCAGTCTCGGTAGCAACACGAGTACGAGTTGAGCGCTTCGAAAACATTAGCGCCATGGTCTTTCCTGCCAAAGGAGCGCCACTAGCTTTTCCTAGTACTTTGGCTTCATGCTTAAATTTACAAGCGCTCTGAATGATATTCGTCAACTGTTGTGGTGACAGATCATTGTCAGTCAGAAGATGTGGTACTCCTGTCACAGAAGGTACATCAGCGGTGGAATATGTCTTAGATTGTTTATTGCAGTCCTGACTGGATGCATGAATGGATCGAGCAAGCACTGAGGCCGAGGCAGACGAGGCAGTCGAGATGGCTGTTACTGGTGCCTGAGTAGTTGCAACAGTGGTGGAGAGACGAGCCAATGATTTGAGCATGATGGATGATGGTGATGAGGTGACTATAGAAACTATAAAAAAAAAGAAGGGGGAAAGAGAATAGCGCGTATGTTGGATGTAGTGAAATACAAAGGAGGAGAGAATGTGGCAGGAAGCAGAGTATGTAGCATAAAGCATAAAGTGAAGAGGATGGGATCTCCCAGGGGAAAGGCTTTTTTTTATATCCGATTCGATCTGCCGAGTCATGGTGCATCCGAGCGCATCAATCTGCAATAACAGTCACTAATTTTGGAATTTTGAATTTCTCCGGTTTAGAGTTCAAGGGTCATTGATCATCATTATGATTGTTTATTACATCTCTCCAATTCTTGATAAATTAGCTTTATTTGGTTCTCGTTCATCCTATGCTTTTGCAGATAAACCTTCCGACATTTAGACGCGATGTAAGGCCAACAAGCACTGCAGCGCAAAAACGTTGTAAAGCTTGAAATTGAAACCAAGTCCTAGATCCAATTACTGGAGCATTGGTACTCCCAGTTTCTGCAGCCTAGATTGCAGCTGATCCTTGTCCTCCAGGGCTTGCAAGTTGTCATTTCCTCCAATTGGCTCACCATTGATAAAGATGGATGGGAATGTAGAATGTCCTTTTGCTAGCTTTGTCAATACAGCTTTGATCTCTGTACTCTTCTCTGTAACATTTTTTTTTTTTTTTTTTTTTTTTTTTTTTAAAAAAAAAGAAAAAAAAAAAAAGAAGGGGAATAAGCATATGTTGAAATATACTTTGTGCAATAGATGCGTTTTTAAGTTCATTAACTCACCCTCCAAGTCTACTTCAAGGACCTGAATGTCATTTGTGTAGCTGCGGAGGAGTTTTTTGGCAGCCATCGAGTATCTACAATATATACATTTATATCATGAATTGAAAGGTGGAGATGGCCATTATTGTTTTGTTTTGTAGTCAATAGCCGTTTTTTTTACATTGCAATTGAGACTCTAAAACGATCCCTACGGGCAATATGACTTTGAAAACACCATGATACGGTTGCTATCAATAAGTCCTTGAATTCGCTTCTCAAGTAATGATACTTGTGATGTTCCTAACCATCGGTTGTTTAAACAGGTAATAGTTTGATGGTTATTTTTTTTCTGATCGCCCAACACTTTGAATCAAGATTGATTGTATTACATCCATTCCAAACGTATCAGTACCTGACCGATGGTTGCTGGATATGTCCTGTGTAATATCCAAAGGTTCACCCTCCCCATTCAGATCAACACGGTTTTGTACATAGCCTCCTCCGCTGCCCAAGCGTTTGGTCGTGCCGAAGAATAGATAGTATATGCCGCACAGCAAAACTAACAGTAAGACAAGCCCTCGAATGCGACGTGAACGAGAGAAACCTGTCACCATAGAGACTGGTTTTGGTTTTGTCGAAAGGCCCTCCATATTTTGAATTTATTGGTAGGAAGAATGCGACAACACACTAGAATGAGAAAGAAGAATGAATAAAATTGATGATTAAAGAAGGAAAAGAGAATGGGAATGAGAATAAGAATGAAAATGAGATTGTATTAAAAAACTGCATTGACTAGCTACAGTGGTTAATACATATCCCTGTAATTGTAATCGCATGATTTATAATCTCAGGGTTATCAATCCAAGAATTCACCTAATCATCACTGCCATTAATTTTTTCAGTGTCACAGAAGATGATTTTTCATGCAAACATTCTCTTTTTTTATTTCGGTGTCGACCTTTCTATCAATATGGGATCACGAAGAAAAATATTCGCCAATTTATGCATTAAGCACGATGACGGTCCCGAGAAAAGTTGCTCAAGAAACTTGATACATTAGATCTGGCGTCTGCAAACATGGGGGCATCACGGCCGGGACGTCCACCATGGCGCATGTGGGGAAAAACTGGTCCTCCAGGACCTAGGTCGTAGTCATCATTTCCACCGGGTCCTGCACCAGCACCTGCGGGGCCTTTTTCTGAGGCAGGGCTTTTTACAATCAGTCCATTGTTGATCATTTGGATGCGCAGTACGAGCCCCTTTGCTTCACGTTCATAATCTTGACCCATAACCGCAGTGCGTTCAAAGATAGCAGAGCGTTTGTTCGTTTGCTTAGCCCACAAGATTTTTTGCTGTGAATCAATTCTTGCTTCGATCTGTCCACCAATGATTAGCGATACCAACTCCTTCTCCAAAGCAGGAACTGTGGTTGAGAAGCTCTTGGCCATCTTTGTTAGGTCAACCGTCAAAAACGGACTTGTGAACTGAACTAATGCCTTTTTACGGATATTAGTATACAGCGCCTCAACATGAGAATGCAAGTGGATGTCCAGTAAGTAGTCATTCTATGAGAAAGAGCAGAAGTACAATGATAACTCGTTAACTTTCTTTTTATAAAAAAAAAGAGGATTTCTTGTTCTATTGTCATCTTAGTGCATACCCTCCATTTCTCCATGATATCCAGACAAACCGCATAGTTGGAGTTATAAAAACCTTGGATCAAATCACGAATATGAGGCTCCAGCTCAAGGTATTGCCGGAACCCAACATTATCAATCACTAATCGCTTTAGCTCGGCTCTACTGAAGCTGGCTAATGCACAGAGCCCTCCATAAATGGCAATATCATTTGCGGAGATAACATCCCCATATTGATGACCTACAAGTTCCTCTCCAATGGAAAGGAAATCTCGCGCGGCAGAGCTGTATTTGCTTTGGTCTAGATTAGCAAGGCCCAAAGCTGCCTTCAGCTTGGCCTTGATTAAGTCCTTATCTTGCGCTATCTCAGGCGTCGTCTCTGCCTTGACAACATAAGTAGACACATGTGGGAAGTTGCCGAGCTCAATACTGACCTTTATTTTATTGTAATTGAACGAAGCAAGAGGAAGTAATGGTCAGCAAACAGATGCCTAAGGAGCATTAGAGCTTTATAGATAACCCGTGATGACTTACCTTGATAACATTCATGCACAGCTCGATGATGTGCTTGGAGGTAGTGCAATAGTCACGAGTCCGAGAATAGCATCGATGTGCACTCGCCAAGTCTCCACAGTCGTAATAATGGTTACCGAGTTCAATGTTTCCCATCTAATTAGTCATAGATTGTGTTCGTTTTAGCATATCGGGGTCCTGTGAAGGGTAGTCAAGCTACCATAGGGAAAATAGGTTGCTTCATGCAAAAAAACTTAGTCTTGGACTTACTCGAATACTCTCCTTGATAGAATTGCGCTTATAATTTTTAAGTTCACCCTCTAGCAAGTCTGCCTGTTGTTTAGCCTTTTGCAACTGGCTATCTGCCCAGGCCTTGTCAACATTCAAAAGCTCAGGACTGACATTATTGCTGCCAGGAGCCCCAGACTTGACCGCCTCGTTCAGTTTTTTGACCAGATTAATATAACGAGAAACGTTGAGAGTGGATGTATTACGTAGCTCTGTAATCGCCAGCTTCAGGGCATCAATTTGTAGAGAAGGGCAACGATCAGCGATGAATTCAAGGCGATTCACCTTAGTATGGCCTTTCGAGGATCAAATAAAATAAAAATAAAAAATCAAGGCTGCTCAGCATCGTATGTTGTGAGTGAAAACTAAAAAGGGCCAAAAAAGTTGGGTATTGGTGAAAATTACCTTTATAATTGGCAATATAGGCGTCCAAGTCCATATTGTTTGGTGCATCCACTTCAACGACTTTGACGAACCTCTTCCGTTTCGAGTTGCCATTACTGTCATTCTCTCCTGTTGCAATATTGCCACTAGCGCCACTGTCTGCAGTCATGGTAACATTGGACAATGAGGATGGTGTGCCTGCAGTGGACTGACTGTCAGGATACATATCACTGTCCATGATATTGTTCGAGTTGCTACTAACAGTATTATCTGTTTCCATTATTCTGGAATGAGGTGATGAGATGGCTGTTGTTGTATGTGTAAAGCTGCGGCCCACAAACGCGCGTTGCACTAATTTTTATGTCGTTTTGTGCTTTTGTATGTCGAAAGACGTGTTTCTAGTTCTCTGTACTGATGTAAGATACGCGTCAACTCTGCTATCACCTGTCGGTTGTTCCTTTTTTTTACGTCGATGGCGAGAAAGGGAATGAAGAATGAGGAGACTCCAGAACAAGACGCAGACAATGGCTCGTCAAAGCATTGGGCACACATTGGCTAAGAGAACGTAAGTCACACGCGTCCTCAAAGCCACTGCCAGGAATCACTGCTTTTCTGTCCAGACCTTGCAAAAGTCCTCGCTGACGGAGTAAGTGGCACCATGATAACACAGACGGGCCTCTTATCCTTAAGCAAACAAGTTGAAACATCCTAGGTGACAAAGATTAAATAATCTCAAAAAAACACGAGACTACTATATCTATTTTGCTGCTAACTCAAGTGATGACATTGGACTTGTAGGTAATGCTGCACTTTCGTCAATTGTACAAATAATACAGGTGTTGCATGGTCCAGTACCTGTAGGAGAGCCTATCAGGAAGAGATACCTATCCCTATCGCTCAACATCCTGCCCCTATTGATGAGGCGCCTTTCGCTATGAAGATAGTCCTACTCTTGTCCTTAAAGGTAACAGTTGCACCAGCTCTAATATCTCCAGCCCACATTCCCGACTTCTTCTCCCTTTTCTTGCTCGGGATTGAACACCTATGACTTGCAAACTCCACAGAATTCAAGAAGTACAATAGAGGCCTTTGATCGAAATAGCAAGTGCCCCTCGCTGATGAAGTAGCACACGTAACTCTTGGATGATTTTTAATGCGCCTTTAATTGCAGGCAGACAGCGCCGATCACCTGAAAGCATTGAGGAAGGAAATTTACTGCTGCAATTAAGGACTTGACGGTCCCATGAACTGTGCAAAAAAAAACAGTGTGTAACATGGCATCAACAATTAAAACAAAGATTCCTTGAATCTTCTTCGGCATTCATCTCCGAGCTACACTTTCATTCCTTCCGTCCCATTTGAAGCACGTCCATACTCTTACCCCTTTTGCATCTTCCTTTTCTTCCTCTGCTAATATGACCACACAAAACAATAATAGGGAGCCTCACCCCCTCGAGTTCTTGATCGGAACATGGGCTGGCAAAGGTATTGGGTATTATCCAACAATTCCTACATTTGAATTTTATGAAGAAATCACTTTTGTCAAGGATCCCGCTGGTAGACCTGTTGTGGCATACACACAGAAGACTCGACGCGCTGTTCAAGGGGAAGGAGACAATGGCCCTTCATCTTCGGTCCCTGGACCTCCTTTACACGCGGAGAGCGGGTTTATTCGACTACCTGGCTGGTCTGCCGAGAAATGTGAACTCATTTTGAGCCAGCCTACAGGTACGTGTACTTTGAAGTTCAAGTTGATAACGCTGCAAGGATACAAAGCAATTGACTTTCTCATTCATCTGTTTGTTATCATTACTATGAAGGCGTAGCAAGCGTAGAAGTCGGAACAATTAATGGATCAACCATTGATTGGACGACGACAGGTATTGTCCGCTCTCCAAGTGCCAAGGTAATCTCGTATTCTGAAGGCATGTCAAAAGATGATCTTGACTTTCTCGCCATTCTCAAACTTGTAAATCGGGGGTTTTTTTTTTTTTTTTTTTTTTTAGCCACCTCATGTCACCCAGTTTACTAGGTGAGTATCGTGAGAAAAAAAAAATAAAAAAATAAAAAAATAAATGCATACCGACTTGTACAAATTAACAGACCTATTCCTTGATCAAATAAAAGGAAATGGATGATTGATCCAGCCAACAAGACATTTTCGTATCAGTTTTCAATGGCCACAGAGAACACGCCCCTGCAACCGCACCTTGAAGTCAATCTTCGCAAGGTTGAAACCAACGCATAGAAATATAAAGAAACTAAAGCCGAAACTAGAAATTTTTCCCTCTTTCCTTCGCTTTCTCGCACCATTTTATTCGTTTGTCCTCTTCATTCCATCGCAATTCACTTTTTTTTGTCAACCATCAACAAGAATAAACACGAGAAAATGCCTATGAAACTTGATTTAATACTGGACTCTCTGCCATACACAATCCATCGCTTCTCTCCCTCCACTCCAGCTTCAGCGTATTTACCGTTGGTCGACAATCAAGACTGGTACAGCATCACCAAGACCCCTGATGAGATCTCTCTCGTTATTTCTCATGACTGGACTGATATCAACAGCGATCAACTAATTCCTAACTGTGAACACAAGGTCTCGCCTGATTGGCGCTGCTTCAAAGTTCAAGGCCCATTGGACTTTAGCTACGTGGGCATCATGGCTAATCTGAGTGGAGCATTGGCAGAGAACAAGATCTCGGTTTTTGTAGTCAGCACCTATGACACGGACTATATTCTAGTCAAGAAGGACAAAGCCTTGGATGCCAAAACAGTTTTTGAATCGATTGGGCATTCTGTGCTTGTTCTATAGCTTGGATTATATTTAGTTTATATCTACAGTAATTAATGCTTGAAAGCCTTGTTTTGTTTATGACCATTCCTTGCTTTGACTATGACGAAATGTAACCACTTGGATCGATCCAACCACCATAGCCCCTTGGACAATCCCCAGTAGGTCCAGTTGACACCTGGCTTAACGAGTCCTCCTAGTCGACCCAACTGATTGTCAATATAAGAGGCCAGGCCTGAGAACACAAACTCCTCAATACATTCAATCTCAATATCCACAAACCCTGCATCTACCAGATCCTGTTTATAAGCCTCAATGGTCTTCATATTAGTTACAGGGACTTCGATAGCACTAAACACAGCATTGAATATTTTCTGACCAAAGCCTGAGGTTGGAGCGGGTCTCGCAAGGATCATATCTGCTAAGGCCAGACGACCTGTTTCTGGCATTAATACAGCTGCTGCATTCTTTAGAAACTGTACGCGTGTATTATAATGATACGCTGAGTCAATAGAGACCACGTGTGTAAAATAACGCATATCTGAGGTGTCCGAAGATTCTGAGGAGCTTGAGAACTGGGGCTGAGAGCGAGTAAATATATCTGGGTTGGCTTGGAGAAACGCAGGCAGCTTTGAGGCATCCGCGACATGCAATTGAATGTCTGTTTCTGGAGTTTGGGTGCGTCTTATCAATTCCTGGGCGGCATGGTGCTGGATCGGCTCAATGGTAATGCCAGTGATTCTGGCTGGTCGGTAGAGTTGAGCCATGTACACATCCTGATCTCCACAGCCGAATCCGACATCTAGCAAAAGAAATAATGCATTATTTAAAACAATTGGATCAGTTTTTTTTTTTTTTTTTTTTTTTTTTTTTTTTTTTGGCGTCTATTATCATTTTATTTTATTTTAATTTACCGTTACTTACCAAGGATATGACTGTCCCGTCCAATGTCTAAATGACTAGTTAGTTTCTCAACCAAAGCCTTGCAAGCATCTTGAAATCGCATTGAAGTTCTCGTCTCTTTATTCCAGTAACCCATGTTGAACCACCACCCAGTAACCTCGAGATTTAAGAACGCATGCTGCAGTCCATACATCACCCTTTGATTCAGCTGTGATTTAGCAGCCTGGCGATCTTTAATATTTTCGCCATTTGTGTGAATGATATCCAAACCAACTCGATCGGGATGCCTAGATGTGAGTCCGAAAAGTTCCTGTAGACTGCTAGCCATGGGTGTCTCCGCATTGAGCAAACCGGCAAGAAAGCCGAGGAGGATGGGAGCAAATGACCCTATCCAAGATTTGTTCTCTAAAGGATATATCATTACGAGGCTAAGGCCAGCGACCAGGACCATAAAAAATTTGTTCATGAGGACAAGCCAAGTCAATTCAACAATAAAAAAAAAGAATGGAGCGGTTAGTAGTGAAGAAAGGAAAAATAAATGAGATGCCATGCAACTCGACTTTTTTGTTTTTTTTTTTTTTTTGTGAGTTCGTTCGCTTAAGGGCAAATGCGCCCATGCGCATAGCTGTTCCAAAATGGCGGTACCTGATTTAAAATGGGCACGTGCAGGCTCCGCCACCAACCGATTTTATTAAAATTTACTAAAAAAAAGTTTTGCAACTTACTTGAGGAGGCTGTGGATCTTTGCTTCTTCTTTTGCACAGAACTATTGGATGCTGACTGTTCTCGTTTATCTTTTTTTTTTTTTTTGAAAGACCTTTATCACCACAATAGGAGTTGCAGCTTCAAATACCATTGTATTCATAATTTCCATGATGTTTACTCATCAATTTTGGTATTTCAAAGGGCCATGTCCGTTTAAATGTAATGGAGCGATTTACTTAAAGCAGCTCTCACTACAGGAGATAGCATCTGTGCTTCATAAACCATGTACATCTTGATAAGGACTGATACAAGGCAACAAGCAAACATAGTCCAAGCAACAGGGCCGTATTTTGAAAACAGATTACCATTTTTTATTATGGGACATAGAAAGCCTCGATCATGTTACGAAGGCACAAAAATTAGATGTCTAAGCAGTTTAGAGCCCCCTGTTTGTGAATTTACTTTCTTGGTCGACCACGATTGCTTCCAGCCTTTGGTTTTGCTGGAGCAGCCTTCTTGCTCTTATTACCATTAGATTCATCGGCTTTTCGCTTTTTATCCGCAGACGCTAATGGTTTGAAGAAGCTATCCAAACGACCCTGCGTTGCAGACTTGAGGTTCTTCTCCAATCTTTCACATCCTTTGCGGACACGTTCCTCGCTAAAACCTTTATCCCTGACCAAAAAGTCAACCAGTCCTTCGACATCAGGCGACTCCCACTTGATCTATTCACAGAAGAGAAGAAAGCTCAATAAGGGACAAGGTATTTCTATTTTTTTTTCCTCTACAAAAAACATATAGAATGCATGGTATGTACCTCAATGGTTTCTGGGTCTGTGACGATGGGGTTCAAGAACAATTCGCGTGCATCCTTGTAGGGCCAGTCCTCAGGGATGGGGTAACGTTTTTGATCAATATTCTTTAAGATTGTCTCTATATTTTTGTGCTCTTTGATCAATGAAATTGCGCGTGCCGGACCAACATTTTTAATCGAATCACAATAATCACATCCTAACAAAATACAGAGGTCAACAAACTATTGCAATAATAATAATAAAAAAGGAGGTTTGCGTTAAAGTCTTAAAAATAAAAAGAAGTCCACCTGCAGATAAAAGAGTCCTATACCTCCTCCATTGTAAAGTTCAGTCCTTCTAATGTCTTTGAGAGCGAGATTTCACTGATAGGCATCTTTTTAGCCTCACTATAAGTTAAATGACGCAGTAATATAGGCGATCCAAAAGTCAATGTGTCCATATCTTCCGACCCTGCTGCGTAAACTTTTCCTGCCTTTGCGAGCGCGGCACATTGTGCTTCTGCTTCACAAGGTGCCTATTGAAACGAAAAAGAAGAAAAAAAAAAAAAAAAAAAAAAAAAAAAGGTTAGTTATGAGTATCAGTAACACAATTAACGATATCATTAATGCCAGGTTGGGTTCCTGATCATTTGAGTCTGGACAGTAGAATGGTAGCGACACCATTTGTATTATTAACACTTACCTCGACGTAAGGGATACCAAGCAACCTCAATAGCTTCTTGCATTCTTCGTTATGTTCGCGAGTAACTTTAACTGTACGTCGGTTGAACTTGTCGATAGCCTCTTGATCGCCAATCTCCTCTGCTTCCTCCTTGCTGGCAACAGCTTCCTTCCTCTTCTGACTACGCTTGGCCAACTGATGGTAATAAAAAGAAAAGAGGAAAGGAAGACTGTGAGTGTCATAAGCAAAATACATTTTCATTCTTGCAACCAAGCTAGACGTCTTACCTCTCCGGACTTGAGAGTAGGTGGTTGGCCATCAAAGACATAAACAGGTTTGAGACCATTGTCTACCATGCGCAGCGTCCGATAGAACATCCCCATCAAGTGACTGAGAGCAAAATATGAAGTTAGATGATATATTATATCTTTGTTGTCTATTGGCAAAAAAGCATATCATTTTCCCCTTTTTGGTTACCTTGTTGTCTCTCCTTGCTCATTCTGCAAAAGCTGACCGTCTTGCTGACGAACAGCGATCATGAATTGGTAAATGGACATGGAGGCATCAATGGCGACCTTTCGTCCAAAGTAGTTCTTGATGTCGTCCTCCTTGATGGCCTCCTTAGCATTGTCACCAATGACCTTGGACAGTCCGTGAATTCCCATGGCAATAGATCCTAAGTGGAAACGAGCGACCGAGGAATGAAAACTGAATCGAGGCTTTAAAAAGATTGTCTGTGTGGAACGACAGACTTGTTGGACAAGGCTCTTGATGAAGGTCGTTGTGAAAATATTATTAGTGTGTAATGGCCACAACTTTTGTCACAGTCAACAACTGTAATAATGATTTGTGAAGCAGAGAGGTGTAGACATGTCTTTCTTCTATTGACAACAAATAAGGTTATTTGGTGGCAAAAGTGACTTTCTATATGGTACAAAACGATCAACATGCAAATCATCGGAAGTTTCATGACATCAATCACATAAAAGACAACTTTGCTTACAAATACCATGGACTCCTTCACTTTCAACTCCAAGAAAGTTCTGACGCTTGTACTTGTCATTAATAAGGAAAAACAAAAGGTACTGCAAATAAGTTTTTTTTTTTTTTTTTTTTTTTTTTTTGACAACGAGGGCCCACGAGGTCCTGTAGGATTTATTTATTACAAATAAGACAGGTTGACAAGCTGAAATGCTGATCAGCTCAATCGTATTAAAATTATTTACAAAACCTTTTAGATCCTCCTTGGATATAAGAAGCGAGGCTTTGGTGCTCATCTCTGGAATGGGTATGCTTTTTTCTTACATACTTGTACCCCTTTGAACCCCGAATGAATCATGAACTTCATTTTTTTAGTCGTTATTTTTTTTTTTTTTTTGTTGTTTTGGTTGATTATTATCCTGTACAGGTTTGGAGGCAAGGTTGAACCAGGCGAAACACCTAAACAAGGAGCACTACGCGAGCTGGAAGAAGAAGCTGGCGTCACTGTCAAACCTGAAAGCTTGACTAAAGCTGGTATTCTACTCTTCCTCTTTGAGAACGATCCTATGGCCTTAGAGACCCATGTCTATAAAGCCTACGAATACGAGGGCGAAGTTCGTGAGTAAGTCTTTTTTTTTTTTTTTTTTTTTTTTTTTTTTTTTTAAACTATGCGAGCTTGAGGTTGACTTCTCACGCACTTTGATCTACTCCCGATGAGAACTATAGATGTGATGAAATGAGGCCACAGTGGTTCGATTTCGCAGATATTCCGTATGATCAAATGTGGGAAGATGACACTGTCTGGCTCCCTATGCTTCTCAAGGGCCGCGACCCTTTTTTTGGCAAGATGTACTTCAAGCGCAAGGGACTTGAAAATCCCACAGCAATTACAACTACCGCTGCTACTTCTGTTCCTGGCGTAACTAGCGGGAACGTCTCTACAACCATGACCACAGCATCATTTACAACTTCACAGCCCAAAGGCGGCCCTTTTGCCATGTTTGATCACCACTTAGACCTTGATCTCCCACGAGTGCCATGCGAAATTGCTTTTGATGGCACAATTGCATCGTATGAAGACTAGATTGGCCTTAGATATCTTTCTTTTATTAAACAAGAAAAGAAGCTGAGTTTATATATTTGTTATTTTTTATTTTTTATTTATTTTTTGTTAATTATATTACTTCTTTTTGGTATAAATATTCACTAATGAAGTGGAGAAAAAGTCTATCTCATTTTTTATTTTTATCAATCGAGCTCTTACGCCTTGCCACCAGCTGCGATCTTGAATACTAAGGCACGGTATTTATTATGGATCTCGCGGACAACTTCCACAGACTCTTGGCCATTGGTTACCCAGGTCTCACCAGGGCGTTGGCCCCAGACCTGCGTCTGCCATTGAGCTTCACGCGCCAACCTCTTGCTCAAGTAATCGTCCGGATTAAAAGCAGAGTTTGATAAGACTGCCTCCTCCAATTGAGAAATGAACAACTCCCAGCGAGGTAGGTAGTACGAAGTCAAGAGACCGCCCCATTGCTTTGATGCATAATCAGGCAATGCGCCTGGGGGTCCTGTACCCTCGGGTCCCCACCAGGTCACCAGGTTGCGAGCATTTGATTCCAAGAAATGTTGGTAACCTGCCTTTGTCGGCCCAGGCTTCTCAAACTTGATAAACTTGTCCTTTTGGCCACCTACGGGATCGATTGAGGTCTTGGCTTCGTTCACAAAAGAACCAAATGAGAAAGCTGGGTTCGTGTTCAACACTCTATCAGCGTCACGGATCAATGCAATGAGCTGGCGACCATAGGTTCGAATCTTATTAATATCCTTGGCATCGTATCCATCAACAAGGGATTGATGCAATGCGGGGAAGACTGTAGCTAACAAGACCTCACGAGTTGTATCTACAAGATCAAACTTGAATGACTTGGGGACATTGGCATGGTGCTCCTTAGTAGCGCTCTGGACCAGTTGATCCCAGGCTTCGGCAACAATCGTCTTGTTATACCAAAAGACCGTACCCAGCCAGGCATCTGGGCCAGTGATCATATTCAACGCTGGTGTCTTCTCAACAAATGATTTACTTTGAGACAATTGTCCTGACTGGCAATCCCAAACGGTCTGACGCAGTTTATTCCATGCATCTTGGACCTTGGGTGTCGCTTTTAGGCCATATCGACGGCGGATGAACTGCTCCAAGTGCGAAGCTCCATCGATGGCCTGCTTAGGATCATGCCAAGGCAATTCCAGTGTCGTCTGATAGATGTACTCATTGTTATTAACGCTCTCGGTCGTCACACCAATGCCCTTCAAGTTAGCACTGTACTGTCCATATGCCTTATAAGCAGTCGTGAGAAGAGCTGGCAACTTTCCAAACAAACCCTGAGCGGCACCGTAGTTGTTAAGACTATGTTTCAAGGGAAAGAAGCAAGAATTTAAATGAATGTGTAAATGATTGAACAACAACAACCATAAGAGCGCACAGAGTATAAAAGGAGACTTACGTGCTGAAGCCAAAGTCATATCCATAGAATCCCTGAGTGGACTCCCATAGTGGAATGGAATCCGAAGCCAAGTCAAAGATAAATGTCTTTCCATTGGCCTCACGAATGCCCTCGAAGTAAGCCTTTGTGGCCTCAGGGGTCCAGACAGCTGTATTGGTCAAGAACCAACCTTGCATTACCCAGACTGCATCCTTATCCGCCGCCTGAAGAGCCTTAGTTACACTCGTGGTTGTGTCCTTCAAACAAGCAGGAGTCACACAATCCGGAATCAGCTCGTTATACAGATCCAAGAGGTAGAAATGAGATTGGTAGCCATCGTATAGCTTTTGTTGCAGCTGTAAGAACTGAGTAGCCAGAGTTGTGAACAGGGGATCAGTTTGCTTTACATAGGTAACATTCGTGTGCTCCTCTGGGAAGAAGGACCATTGGCTCGAATTCTTGAAGACAGCCTCTGGGAACTTGTTAACTAGGGCACGGGGCGTGAACGCTTGGAAAGAAGGCAGGATGGCCGTAATACCTAGCTCTTGGATGCGACGGATGATCAATTTTTGAAGGTCCCATTGAGCATCAATCCACTTGTTCTTGTAGACCAGCTCATTGGCAGCACTGCTGTTGAGTAACTTATGAGTCCAGGAGCCTTGCAAGTTGCCCATACGCTGCCAGGGCATATAAGATGGGCCCGTCAAGAAGCTATCGATCTCCTCATCTGTCAAGTTCAGGTTACGGTAGAATTCGCGGGCGATATATTCTTGGCCGACCATTGCAGGCAACAGATTTATTCCATTCAACAAAATCCAGTCTAGTAGTAAATAATTGTGGTAGCACAGAAGAGTAAAAGTGTTAGACACATCGTGGCCATTAGATTTAGAGGTGTATCAGATGACAAGTTCCTTATAGCCCCTTACCAAGCTCACGCTCCCAGCGCTTCCAATCCCAGAACACAAACTGGTAGCCAAATGTAACCACATTGGTATAGTAACGCCAGGGAACAAAGCTTCCGCGGACATGTCCAGTAGTCACAGTCTGGTTTGTATCCAGTTCCAGGTCAGGGACATGCGGAGGAATAGGGGGCAACTCATCAAAACGGTTGCCGCTCCAAGTCAACTCGACCTGACCAGCTTGATCCAAGTAATACTTGAGGCCACGACCCAAAGCAGACAATGTGGTACCTTCGACCAAAATACGTGGGCCTTTAGAGGTGCCCTTCGCCAAGTTCGAAACGCGGAACACATCATACTTGTTGTCGGGCGTGGGAGGAGTAATTTCCGAGATCAGTCGGAAATCGAACGCGTCATGGTATGCACGTGGTAATAGACGCCTCACGACCCCCTGAAGAGCTTGTGTAGACTTGGATGGGTCTGCAGGGGCAGCAGTAGCTACGTTGATAGAGGACATTGCTTGGAGGACTAGCAGTACTGCTACTCCAAGTGAAGCCCATGAAAATGAGCGACTTTTTTTGCTCAGCATCTTTTGTGCCTTTGAGGTGCTTTAATGCAAGAGGAAAGATGCGATAAAGGGCTTTTTTTTGTAGGGAATGAAGGGTGTATGGAAAAGATTAGAAGCGTTAATGAGACTAAGGAACGAGGCTGCTTGGCAAGGAAAAAAACCAAAAAAGAGAAGTGATATTTCCTGAGGTATTTATATACAGTTGAATGAAATAGAAGCAAGTATGAGCTAAATCCTACGCTATATGGTGGATGTTTGAACCAAGTATGAGTTGGATCGGCGCATTTCTTTTTCTTACTTCTTTTTCGTATGTGTGTGACATATTGAGGGAGAGCATGGCGGTATGGGCCCACTAAACCCTGACGACTATTGTAGCAAGTATGTCATTTGCGAAAGAAAATGCATATAACTACGGCGCGTTTTGTTTATCGAGAACTGAAACGGGGGCTCATGGGAGAGAGAGAAGGGCGAGAGATCCTGCACGATAACGATCACCGAACGGAATGTTGACCGCCGTTGAAGCAATATAGTCAGCCGAAAAGAAGCCCGCCTTGACTAGACTTTTCTAATTGGTTATGAAAGATTCTTTACAAAAAGAATCTTTTTGGAGTGAACATCTTGCCCACGGAGATTTTACACAAGAAAAAGTAAGAAACAACTCAATTCCATTTACTTCTCCCTCCAACAGAAGAGCCCTGCTACTTTGGTAATACAGGCACATGCACGTATGCTCTATAATATACAATACAACATGTTGAGCGGATCTAGAGAATGTTCTTGCAGTTTTGCCTGTCCTCCCTCTTTCTGCGCATGCTTGTCTTCATCGATTAACCTGTTTCTGTGTGGCAGTGCACAACAAAACCGCGATCAATGAAACTTTAATTCACTATCTTGCATAAACTTTATTTGCACTGCCACACACATTGTGTCTGAATCTCAGTTTTAATTCAAAGAGCCAAAGATCAGATGTGTCCTTTTTTTGTATTTGTATAACGTTATAAACGCATTCATAGAGGTATCATCTAGGCCTGCATAGGCTCGCTGGCCACTTGTTGAGTGAGCAAACAAAAAGAAGCATCACATATTGTCATATATTTTATCAGAAAAAAAATTTGCAAAACAACGCGTAGCAAACTAGATCTCTAGATCATTAATAGATTAAGTGGTTGGTGTTGTTTCTACGTATATATTGTCTGATTGGTGAGAATCCCATTCCGAGCGCAATAGCTTGGCCCACGATTGTTCGCGTCCTTGGGGATCCATCCGTACTTGACGCCATCAAAGTATGACCAGAGTGGGTTAGTCTCTGTCTTGAAATTCCAGTAGAACCAACCGGCTCCCTGTTCAAACGCATCTAGTTGTGCGCTGAAGTAGTCGGCTAAGAATTGCTTATACTCTTCAGAGTACTTTGAGGCATCATTCTCGTCCGTGCAGGTGCTGGTGGGGGATTTGGGTTTGGATCCTGGAAAAGTACCATCCCAACGGTAACCCATACCAATACCGTTGAGGTACGTCGCGCAGTCGTTGACAGCTACCGAAAACTCGCCAACCATGGTCGGACCAAAGTCTTTGGTGCTCTTGGTTGAATCAGAACCCCAATTCTCGCACGCGAATTTGAGTTGAGCAGACTGATTCATCATTATCAAGTTTTGGTCAAACATGATATATTGATGAGCATCTATATTATTTGCCACCGAATTAGTTAATAAAAATAGTGTCAACTTTTTGCCAACTACGTCATGCAATGAAATAAAAATGTGAAAATTCAATTACCACATACCGATCATCAAACGGTCAGATCCTTTCATGAAGCCGCTCCAGGCTTGAAGGCCTACAAAGCCATCATGGATGATGGCCCATGGCCCTTTTCCAGTGCCTGTTACCTCTCTGACTGTTGCAAAGGCTTGCTTGTACCACTCCATCACCTTCTCGGCGCCAATAAGATAGGCTGCAGGCTCGTTCAGTAAGCCCATGATTGGACTAACATGAACATAATCTGGGCTAGAAAAGAACGTCGCCATCTGCTGAAGGTAGAGTAGGGTCCTCTGAGCATTCCCCGTGCCCATGGTTCCATTAAGCCAATTGATCTGTCCGGATCGTCCAGAATGGTTCCAGCCATTTTGGGACCCTGGCGCAGCATGTAGCTCAACCATGACGCGAATACCATACTTGCGAGCCCATTCAATGCCGCGAAGCAAATATTTCCAGGAAACATTAGGCACATAAGGTTCATCCGCGGTGAGGTTGCCCATGGCCCAAAACCCGATAGGAATACGCACGTGGTTCAGTCCCAGATCCTTAAGTTGTTTGAACGTGTCTTCGCTGACCCAGGAAGCATAGTGGCTCTCGAGCAATGCCTTGGCCCTCTCGGGCCCCAAGTGTGCACAAAGCGTCCACTCATCTACTACCCCAGCAGAGATGTATGGATTGAAGAGGGAAGGCGTGATAAAGGGCTCCAAGACTAACCATCCCCCTAAATTCACTCCCCGCATCTTGACAGTGCCCCTAGCATAGTCAAAGGGCTCATTTAAGGCAGGGGTATAACTGTTAACTTTGGCTGAGTTGTCCGTCGAAGGCGTAATGGCGGTATCAGGTTGGATAAGGTCTGATTTTTGGGATTTATTCTTTTCCCATGGCTTAATAAGTGCCAGTGGTATTGCGATTGCAGCTGCAACGATAACAAATGCAATGAATATAATGAGGCAGAGGTATCGACGGAAACAAGAGCGTTCACTCTTTTTCTGTGGCCCCATAATGAAAAAAAGGAAAGGGAAAGGAGGAAGACGAGCTAGTAGGGTATTATCAAAGGATAGTAAAGGAGAGCTATAGGATGAAATAATAATGCGAACAAAAAGCGAGAAGACTTGGAAAAATCCATAAACAGGAAATAAAAAGAGAGAATGGTGACATGCAGCAGCCAGTGACCGAATGCACAATCGTTGACATTGAGGAGCCTTGACGATTGTGATGGGGGAAAGATGCAGGTAGTTTTTTTTATTAAATTGAAGGTTTGAATTTTTTTTTTTTTTTTCTCAGGAACAACCCTAATTGGTCAGCAATCAGCGATGATGTGAAAATGACATTACTCCAGCCTGAAATACAGTCTTTAACACTTGTACAAACAAACAGGCAAACATGCATTCAAGGGAGGAAGAATGATTTACTGAAAAACATCACCGAGTAGAAAATAGAACAGCTATATACAATAAAGTGCTTTGTAATGACTTTCTTTGTTATGCTTCAAGTACTTAAAGCTTATGTCTCCCTCCTCATCAACTTCTTCATTTTTCATCAACTACTTGGCGCGTCTGACTGTATCGAGGTATGCATCATGGCCTGAGCCTCTTCGCTTTGAGGAGTCCATCTTGTCCATAATATTTTCTCGATAGTAGAGTCCTATCACCGCTCCTGCCAAAACACCTTTTTTTTTTTTTTTTTTTTTTACGACATACCAAAGAGACAAAGTTATGATAAAGTTTCTCTGGGCAGAAAAAGGCATAAAATACAACAAAAATTTAATAGATTAAGGTTCGTTGCAACCATACCAAGCTGAATGTAGTTCTTGGACTTTTGTGGCAAAGCCTAGAGAATAAAAGAACAACAGAAGCGCGTCAAAATTAAGTAAACTTCTTTTTCTTTTTATCTGTGTTTCTCTCAATCGTTTCAGTAGAGTGTCTTTCCTTCAAAAGATCTCCTTTTCTATCCTATCATACTTACCCTGTATTTGTCCATCATGGAGACCATGTTGGTGATAGCTATCTGATTGTGTCGATTTGATCAGAAAATAAAATAAAAAGGACACGAGCAAGGAAATATGTGAACAAAATAATAGTAATGAAGCTCAAGATGATGAAAATGTAAGCTGCGTTAACGAAGTTTTATTTTAAAAATGGAAGAAAAAAAAAAAGAAAGGGGAAAAAAAAGAAAGCGTGCTTTTTATGCGGCGAGCTATATCACATGAGGTCTAACTTTATTGAAGGATTTCACGCAGCATGCTGTCCTTTTCTTCTTGAGCAAAGTTACATGCACCATTCATGACTCTTGCGAGAATGATTAGAACCAATACTGATAGGCTCTCGTCGAGAAAGTCGCCTCTCCACCTGGGATGCCCGATACTGCCCCATGAGATATTCCGCTCCAAATAATAACAGCTTTTTTGTAAGTGAAAGAAAATGTCGTGGAAATGTGTTAATCAGCGTCACCATGAACATATTACTATGATTACAAAATGATGGGCTACGCAGCTCATGTTTGATAATTAACGCTTCCTTACTACAAAAGCTGTGACAACGGCGCAGATAGTCCAGAAATATGAAACGTCTGTATTGGTCGACAAAGAAAAGAGGTTAACATTCAAATGGTATTCATTTAAAATCGGCAACGTTGCATATGCCATGTTCGAGCGTGCTTACGATTTTTTAGTTCAGGGAAGTTTTCAAAGTTTGTGCCGTAGACTGATTTGACCGATTTGACCAAAAGAGAAAGTTAGTATCATTTCTCTTTTTAAGCCACAATATTACAACATTATGCTGCAAAACTTCTTTTTTTTTTACCTCCTGCCACAAATGTGATGGGTAAGAAGATAATCGACACCAATGCCAAACGTCGCATGGATTCGTTTGTATCATATGCGATAATGTTAAAGATCTTTTAAAAAAAAAAAAAAAAAAAAAAAAGTTAGCATATCACTCCTCTCGTCAATACAACTTTGATTTATCCTTGTCTCGCATTGTTCCATTACCATGTCGATTAATTTCTCGCAAAGCGCAAGCATAGAATCAATATCCTCGACCATGGTGTTACAGTGATCCATTACATCTCCCATATACGTCCTCGATAGACTTGATAATGGGCTTCTCTCATCCTTGCCACGCAAAGCGTGGACAAGTGTCTGAGTGGGTGCTAATGTACGCTTGAGCAACGAAAGTTGTGCAGTCATCTGGTGTAGTTCTTTCGTAAACTTCATCCTTGGTAACGCTAATACATGTGTTTCCAACTCGTTGATCTCTTGTCGAAATGCATCTGTGATGGGTATAGCATGATCAACAATCCCGTCCATGACTGACTGCAATAGGAAACTTGCATCATTATTTTTGCGTACGATCGAATAGTCATGGGTCAGTCGTTCGAAAATTGGCGCCACCACAGATCTGCCAGAGACTTGGAAAAGCGTGATCAGAGTACCGTCCTGCAATAAAAACATTGTGACTTGCTCCATCTGAACTCTGTGAGCTCCAGTAACTTGGTCGAACGGATACTGATGACGGTAATGGTCCAACTTATCCAGTGGCATGCGTTGACCTAAAATATCAGGATCTACCCCATGTTGTACTGATGTCGGATCAACCTGTCGGAGTTCTCCATTTTCAAGTTCCTGCATCAACGTCAAAAGAGTACAGGCGATATATGTTTGCTGAGGATAGATATCAACTTTGGTTCGTTGTGGAACATGTAATAGGTCTTCTACAGCCAAATGATGAAGATCTGTTTTTTTTTTTTTTTTTTTTTTTTTGCTCAAGGTTAGCATATTGAAGTGTAAGTATAAAAATATGAATAAAAGAAAGAAAGGAAAAAAAGAAAAAAAGCTCTATCAGACGTACTGTATTTTATTGAGATGGCTTTGATGACATCCCAACTCATTCCATTAATATTGATCCATCGAACTTTTGACCATGCTGGCCTCTAACGGTGTATAAAGGTATTTTGTTATTATCCCAGCCTCATTATATGATTAGAATTGCTATTAATACGTAGCGAGTGTTCTACTTACTGGTTGTCGTAGCCATTCTAAAAACTCTTCATTGTTCATGCTTTCACGCTTCGTATACTGAGATTGGTTCAAATCCATAACAGTGACATCAACCACACACTAATCGAAATAGCCTCAAAGGTTATTAAAGTTTAAAAATGAAAAATGGCAAACAAGGGCTTTACTGAACATACCTCAATACAGTTGAATATGCTATCCATGTCCGAAACATCAACACCTTGACCTCTCGTCGCACGTGCTGATCCAATCATTGAAACGAAAAGTCATTCAATTGGGCAGGTCTTATTGCTTTCAGGTTGTAATGGATTGAACAAGAAATATTTGTTTATAGATTAAGAACAAAAGTTACTTACAAGCGACGCGACGAGCGTGTACAATCTGCTGTGTTGCTCTCCTGAAGCGACTGAGGCTGTCAGGAAACGAAGTAGTTCGAGTGACATCCGTGCCTGTGGGCGATGAGGGTGATACCTTGGCTGTTTGATTTCTATCTCTACTACTATCCTCTGGACGCAGTTCAGTAGGTGATTCGTTTGTGAGTGGCAAGCCATTGCTCCCAGAAGCGGTGCCGTACGCTGGCAGGTCTGAGATGATAACTGCAGGTCCTGAAGCAGCACCTGAGTCATCTACAACACTGCCATTATTGCTATTTCTGTTAATATTGCTATTGCTACTGGCAGAGTGAATGCTTTGGTGAAGCATTTTCGGTGGCTTTATTGGTTGATCGTCGTCTTTGATATGAGAGTAGCTGTATTGTTCACTCATACTCCGAAGTCTCTGGAGTGAGATGGAGAGGCGTCTGGGGGTAGTGGATTGAATGTTGGAAGAGGAGAGAAGGGAGGGGAGGGAAAGAGATAAATCAGGGCCTTTTAGGTTGATGATGATATAATAATTGATGTTTACAGGATGACGAACGGTATGCTCCTTGTTTTTGCGCCGTGGACGTGTTTGCGTAGGAGAAAACTGGCAGTAATCAAAATCAATGAAAGAAAGAAAAAAAAAAAAAAAAAAAAAATTGCGAATGAGAAGAAAGAATGTGTCTGTTCAAACTGTTCAAGAAACAAAAAAAAAAAAAAAAGTATGCTATCAAACTTCCATTTCTCACTGCAAAGCCCTTCTGTGTTTGGTTGCACAGCCCGAATAAAACGAACAGGTGAGCAGGGTAACTGGCACGTGATATGAGAATATGCGCGAAACCTTGTTTCCTTCTCTAGCCTGTGGGAACTCGCTCCGTTGAGAGTGTCCGTGGATGTCAATTCAGGTTTTCATTACTCTGCACGCGTTCCTCTTCTTTTCTTCTTTCCTTTCTCTCTGCCTTGCCTCCATTAACTCTCCTTCAATTAACAAATATTTTTTGTTCATTCCCATTGTTCACTATGCTCTCTGCTGTTCGTCGCGTTGCCTCTTCTAACCCTGTTGGTCTCATGAGACCACTTACCTCTTTGACCAAAACTTCTGCATTCTCGACCTCATCTTCGTCTTATGCTCCCATCAACGTCAAAAATATCACTGTTTTTGGTTCGGGATTGATGGGTGCAGGTATTGTCCAAGTTGCCGCCCAGAATGCCTTCAATGTCACCATGGTTGACTTGAACACCGAAGCGCTCAAGAAAGGTCAGGACATCATCAACTCCTCACTCAAACGTGTTGCCAAGAAACAATTCCCCGATGATGCAGAGAAGCAGAAGGAGTACATTGACAAGACTTTGGCTCAGATCAAGACCAGCACTGATTCTGAGGCTGCCTCCAAGGACGCAGATCTGATCATTGAGGCTATTGTTGAAAACCTGAAGACCAAGCAACAGCTGTTTGCCATGTTGGACAAGGTTGCACCTGAGCACACTCTGTTCTGTTCCAATACCTCTTCGCTGCCCATCGCAGATATTGCCAAGGCTACAAAGAGATCAGATCGCTTTGGAGGATTGCATTTCTTTAACCCTGTCCCTCAGATGAAGCTTGTCGAAGTAATCCGTACAGAGTCTACCAGCCAAGATTCATTTGACTCTCTCGTGGATGTCTGCAATCGCATGAAGAAGACCCCTGTTTCTTGCAAGGACACTCCTGGGTAAGTGATGGTACTAATCGCAAAAAAGAAAAAGGGACACCTTTCTGACTTCCACATGAGTATGGTCAATCAGAAAAAAAGCGACTGCTAGAGTAGATCAGCATGTGAAGATTTTCACACAGATTAAGGGCTCTGATTTTTCGAACGATTTACTCACCCTGATATTTTGATATCTTTTAGATTCATTGTTAATCGTCTCTTGGTTCCCTACATGATGGAATCGCTTCGCATTGTCGAACGTGGTGAAGCCACTCCTCAAGATGTTGACATTGCCATGAAGCTTGGAGCTGGATTCCCCATGGGCCCCTTTGAGCTTGCTGACGTATGTTGATCTATATCATATCCTATTAATTTATTTTAAAAGTTGGTTTTCTTTTACTCATACTCTTTTTTTATATGCGCTGTATAGTTTGTCGGTTTGGATACCATGAAGTTCATTGTTGACGGCTGGCGTAAGGATGGTAAGATTGACGCCAATTTGGTTGCGCCTGTCAAACTCCTTGATGATTTGGTTGCCCAAGGCCACTTAGGCCGCAAGTCTGGAAAGGGTTTCTATCCTTACCAGGGTGTCGGAGGCAAGCAGTGAGGAAGTGAGAAGATAAAATAACAGAAGGAGCAGTTAACAAAGACAGTGATCAACTTTGCTTACTCACCAAACAAAATAGAGTCAATAAAAAAAAAAAAAAAAAAAAAAAAAAAAAGGTTTATATGCAAAATTGATAAAAGCTACACACATTAATAATCATTGAGAAGATAGGTCCCCAACCCGTCATAACTCTATAACATGAATCTATATCGTTCCTAATTGTCAGGTCATCGAGGAAATTAGATCGTCAATAACATTTTATTGAGATCGGGCTCTGTCCTATAGGCTCGTCACCAGACAGGCTGGGAAATATTGGCTGGGACAAGAGTTTGGACACAGCCTGTCAGTGAACGTTCTACAATATACAAAAGCCACTCAATTATGTAACGAATCTATATAACTGCATTGAGAAAACGTACTGTCCCTTTAATCCACTCAGTCTCATGAGCAATTGAAGCTAGCAAGTGATTTCAGCAGTTAGACGATTTTGTTTCTGGGTATGAAAATGAATTCATAAGAAGCGCCTACATTTAAAGTTGGCAAACAGCCTCGTGAAACACCTTATTGACGTTGCTCGTGATAGTTATTGTCGTATACACTTTATATACTGCCTTAAAGCTTTGGGCTGCTGTAACCGTACAAGTACGATCCCTCATGGGTCTTATTTAGATAATGAGCGGTAGCTCTTTTGTCAACGAAGTCCATCAAGTTTCAGGATGTAAGTTGTAAAACTCAATCTCTATTTTAATATATTTTTACACGTTAGGGCATAATGAGAGCTGTAAGCCTCGTGACAAAAAGATTATTTTACTAAGCAATGCACTTCATAAAAAAAACTCTGGAAAGTAAAAGAAGGAGCCCAAAATGCTCTTATTTCCATCGGCATAAAAAGGTCGGAGACAGGGTTAGGACACTTTAAGAAAAGGGGCACATGCAAAAAAAAAAAAAAAAAAAAAAAAAAAAAAGAGAGAGATTTGCGACGTAGCTGTCTTGTTCTTTGTGCGGACCATTTTTGTACAACCATGGATCTTTTCAATTGAAAAAAAAAAAAAAATGTTTGTAGAACAGACCGTTAGGCTTTTTTTTAAAAGTATTTAATAATCAGTGGTGCAAATTTGTATCCAAATAAATAAACACAAACGTATATCTATATTATATTATTCATATTCCTATTAAAAGCAACAACTTTGACGTTTATAACGGCTATTGGTTCATGCTTAGATCCTCTCATTCTTGACTCTCCCTTTACACCCCCTTTCTTTCATAAACATCCCCAACTCTATCAGTCGTTTGTTCTTTCTCTCACAACCGTCTCCCTTCTTCTCCCTTCTCTCTCTCACACACATTTCTTTCTAAGGACTTTGCATACACCTCTGTATTTTTTTTTAGACATATCCTTCCCCATTCCTTCACTCCTCCATTTCCATTTCTTCACTCCTCCATTTCTCCATTTTGATACCCTTTATTATTACTATTGATATATTTATTGCTATTATTATTTCACAGCTTCCATACCCCTAATAATAAATCATGGACAATACAGAACCAACTCCACCACGGGTGCTGATCGTGGGAGCAGGCTTAGGAGGACTCATGCTGGGTCTGTTGTTAGAAAAGATTGGCATCCCATACGATATTTTTGAACGTGCTCCCATTCTCAAACCGTATGGTTAGTTTTCTATCAACCGTACAAACCTTTCTATTGTGCTTTAATGAGGCGAGGATGATAAACGTTTTGTCCGGCTGCTTGAATACCGAATCTTTTTTTTTTTTTTTTTTTTTTTTTTTTTGCACTGCAGGTGCGGCCATGGGACTGGTGCCTAATATTATGCCTGTATTTGAACAGCTTGGGCTGCTCGAAGAGATCCTCAAGGTCTCATTCCCTGCTGTCACCATGGATATCTACCGAGAAGACCTAAGAATAATTGGCTCATTGGATATTGGCGGAAGCAGTGAGCTGTAAATGATGTCTCCTTCAATACGAGAATGAGAGAAACCAATTTTTAAGGTCGTGTACTGATCAGAAAATCAAATACTGCTCTGTTTCCTTTTAATCATTCACAGCATTGGTTATGATTCCATTGTGTTCAGTCGTCCAGACCTCCATAGACTACTTGTTTCCAAGACTCCACCAGGGAGAATCCATTTGGGCAAGCGAGTACTCTCAGTAGGGCAAAGCGAGCATGGTGCATTGATTCGTTGTGCTGATGGCAGTGTTCATCAAGGCGATATTGTCGTTGGGGCTGATGGAGCCTACAGCGCTGTTCGTCAAAATCTCTACGACCGATTAGAAAAAGAGGGTAAACTACCGAGAAAAGATACAGAATCCCTGAGCTTGGGGTATACTTGCTTAGTAGGAACATCTCAACCAATGGACCCAGAAAAATACCCTGTCCTCAAGGATCCTTTCTCGCACTTTGGAGTCGTCATTGCAGACGGAAAGCCCCATTCGGTAAGAAGTACTTTCTTTCTCTCTTGCGCTCTTTCTTCTCTTTACTACTTTGTGGGATTTCCCTTGTTAGGGTCTTCTGAAGTATTTTTATTTTTGTATTTAATTCTTTTTTATTTTAAAATTTTAATATAAGATTTAAATGCAATTGTGCCTGAACCTGGCCTCAGCAATATGTTTTCCTATGCTAACCTTGTTCCGTAACTGAATTTTTTTTTTTTTGTATCCACCAAGTCTACCATTCTTACAGTTCCGGGTAATCGCATATGCTTCGGAATTGTCATTCAGTTGACTCCAGAGGAGAAGGAAGCAGTATTTCGAAACTCGGAATGGGGACCAGAGTCTCTCGATAATACAATTGCTAAAATACAAGATCACCCGATCCCTTTTGGTGGAACAATCCATGACATTATCCGTGCAACTCCAAAAGATGTCATTACGAATGTTTATCTAGAAGAAAAAATCTTCGAAACATGGACTTATAAGCGCATTGCATTATTGGGAGATGGTATGATTTTCTTTTTTTTTTTTTATCTACGTTTTACATTCATATTTCTGATATTGATGATGGCGACGAAAAAGTAAAAAAAAGACAGAGCATGTGTGTAAAACCCTAATTTTAGTTTTTGTTACACGATTTTACAGCTTGCCACAAGATGCTTCCGAGTGCAGGTCAAGGTAAATATCTGTTTGTGTGGACACAGACAATTGAGGACACGGACAAACCCTTCCTCCAGCGAATGACATTTTAGTTTTATTTAGTCATTAACATTCATATGTATTTTCAGTAGCATACACACTAATTTCACAATCCTCTCTCTCTTATTATTATTATTATTATTATTATTATTATTATTTTAGGTGCGGTCAACGCATTGTATGATGCAGTGGCTCTAGCCAACTGTATTTATGAGATGAATGATAACTCTCAATCGCAGATTGAGGCAGCTCTCAAGGACTATAAAAGGCAGCGCTATCCTCTTGCGAAGATGCAGGTTGAAGGCTCTGCAATGGCAGGCAAACTTCTCTATGGCCAGACATGGATTGAGAAATTCGGACGTAAAATGGTCTTTAGTTGGATGCCCAATTGGTTAGAGAAGACCACTCTTACCCGAGCGGCCGCCTATCAACCTCAGGCAGTCTTCCTGCCTTTTACAAAGAAACGAGGCCGACTTAACATTAAGCCCCCAAAACCATCCAAAAAGTATTTAGAAGAGCAAAGACGTAAAGGTGCAGCTGAGGGGATCGAGACTGAGATGAATGAGGTCAACGACAGGAGAGCAGCAAGTGAAGATCTTGACACGCATACGATATAAAGAGAGAAAAAAAAAATAAACAATAAAAAACAGGGGGAGCAAATGCACATGTACAGAATGGTTCAACTACTGCTTAATTGCTCCATGAACAAAAGGCATACATGTACATGTACATGTATGATATTCCATGTAGACCCTTTAATAGACTAATTGTCAACTGCAGGCGGTAAAAATATTTGCAATGCTCACTCGCATGTGGATCAACAAGAACAAGATGGAGCACCACCAATGCTCACAAAAATAAACTTATGGTGTATTGAACACTAACATGCTAATCCGAATGTAAAAAGTTAACAAAAGTAAAACACTATGATGTTTTAGAGGTTGAACAGCTCTTCACCATCTGATATTTTTTGGCGAAAAGAATTCAAATCGTTCAATGCCTTGTGTATTCTAATACTTTCGATTCTTTTTAAAACGATAGCATCTCAAGAATCAGTGTTTGAGTTGAAATGAATTCAGTATGCGAACTTGATGATCAATTCTCAGGTGGCTTCGATAAGTGAAGGAAGTAAAAAACATTTTTGTCACCTTGATGCTTGACACACGCATGGTCTTTGTGTCCATTTGCTATACCTTAATTGCTGTCATACTGATAGAGAAAGTCATTGACAAATGTGTATAAATATAAATATACAATTTAATCATCGTTTTTGATTCAAAAATAGTATATTAAAAGTATATTTGTCGACCACTTTCTGGTGAGGACTCAGAAGCAAGTTTTTTCACTTCCCGTCCAACATCGCTGCTCTCACTTTTAGTTAATTCTCTCTTTTTTTTTTTTTTTTTTTTTTTTTTCCTTCCTTCACCCATTTTTTTATTCCGCTTTTTTTTTTTTTTTTTTTTTTTTTCCTTCACTTCCTTCCACTTTTCATTTTCTACGCTTTCATTTTTACAACCCTCAAATTTTCCCAATTAATAACCACAATCATAGCAATGAGTTCATCCCCAAAAATCTTGATTGTAGGCGCCGGCCTCGGTGGTCTCATGCTCGGACATTTGCTGGAGAAGATGGGTGCCGAATACACAATTTTTGAGCGTGCCCCTATTGTGAAGCCATTTGGTATGCTCTAATACAAAAGAGACATTGAGGAAAGAGAGTGACTGCCACATGGAACTAATTTCTTTTTCTTAATGTCATTCTTTCGCCACAAAGGTGCGGCTATGGGCTTTGGAACCCCAATCATGCCACTCTTTGAGCAGCTTGGAATGTTGGACGAGCTCCTTGAGTTATCATCACCTGCATTAAAGATGGATGTTCTCAACGAGAACTTGGACTTGATTGGCTCCATGGATATCGCAGGAAGCCGTGAACGGTAACAAATTTCATGGATAATAACAAACAAAAAACATATTACTATAGGGAAAGCAATAATAGGCAATTGTATTGACTTTTTTTTTTCTGTTTTTTGTTTTTGTATAGTACCGGTTATGATGCTGTAGCATACAGCAGACCAGATCTTTATCGTCTGCTTTTGTCTAAGGTGCCAGCGGAGAGGATTATTTATGGCAAGAAGGCAGCTTCTGTAGAACAGGATGAGCATCGTGCGATCTTGCATTGTACAGATGGCACTCAATATGAAGGAGATATTTTGATCGGAGCGGATGGTGCTTACAGCACTGTCCGTCAAAGTTTGTACGATACCCTTCAAAAGGAAGGCAAGTTGCCCAAGAGCGATACAGAGTCCATGAGCTTGGGTTATACTTGCTTGGTTGGCACAACCCGTCCTCTGGACCCTGAAAAGTACCCAGACCTCAAGGATCGTCACACACATTTCTCAGTTGTCATTGCGGATAAGAAGCCTCATTCGGTATGGTGAACCCCATTTGCTTTTTATCATTAGGTTTTGATAAGCGAAGGGTTAATGGGAATATTCATGGAGAATGGGGTTATAACAGTGGCTCGTGGGCTCAGTTCGCACAAGGAAAAACGGGTTTTCTTTTGTGAATGAGACCATTCCTTTTAAGATTTGAACCTTACATTTATACTGAGCTTGCTTTATTGGTTGAATTTAGTGCACAATCTTGAATGTTCCTGGAAACAGAATATGCTATGGCATTGTCATTCAGCTTTCAAATGAGGAACGAGAGATTGCATGCAAGAACTCTGAATGGGGATCTCAATCGGTGGATGCAACGATCGCTAAGCTCGTGGAACATAAGATTCCTTTCGGAGGCACATTGGGGGATATCATCAAGGCCACTCCTCAAGATCTAATCTCTAACGTCTATCTGGAGGAGAAGCTGTTCGAGACCTGGCATCATGGCCGTATCGGACTCTTAGGAGATGGTAAGGCTAGCTGAAGCATGAGCTGAGAAAAAAAAAAAAAAAAAAAAAAGCCTAAAGTGTGGAAATAGTGCCTTATTCATCATTTACTTTTCCATGAAATTTTTTTGAGAAATAGCATGCCACAAAATGCTTCCTAGTGCTGGTCAAGGTATTTACAACTGTTCATTACTTGATTCTGATTCTCTTACAAAGCTATAAAAAAAGGTTAACTTACTAAGCTTTTTTTTTTTTTTTTTAAAGGTGCCATCAATGCCATCCAAGATGCTGTGATCTTGGCTAACTGTATCTACGATTTGAGAAACACGTCGCGTAAGGAAGTGGAGGACGCTTTGAATGACTACAGAGGACAACGCTATGAATATGCCAAGATGTCAGTTGGAGACTCTTCTCAAGCAGGAAAGCTTTTGTATGGACAAACCTGGTATGAGAGGTTGTTGCGCAAAGCTGTGCTGAACTGGATGCCCAAATGGCTTGAAGAGATCAACCTTACGAGAACCGAGGCATATCAAATCCAGGCGACATTCTTACCTCGTGTTCCTAGGAGGGGTACTCTTATGCCTGTCCCTCAAAAGCCTTCTAGAAGGTATCAAGAGGAGCAGAAGTTGAAGGAAAGCACCCCACAGGCTGCTTAAGTCACTCCAAAATTGCTCTGTAGTATACATATACCGTTTGTAGTTCCAGTATTGATCACATAATAATAAATTACAGGCATAACTCAGTCCAAAAGCCAACAGATGCATGCATTCCTTCTTTTTTCTTTTTCAACGGGCGCAGAGAAATTTATTTGTGCAACACGAGCGGATGTTTGGTATCGATGCATGCTGCAAGTGAAATGGTGCTGTGCACAATCAATAAAATCACTAAATTAGATAACGAGATTAATTTTGAAAGCTATCAGGGCCCCACCTTTTATTGCTTTCTTTTTTGTCCAGCTTTTTATATTCTACTCCACTTCCTTTCGCTCTTCCTTTCGCTCTTCCTTTCTTATTGCTTGCCTGTCAAACCTCGCTTCCAAAAAAAGGAAAAAAAGAAAAAAAAAAGAAATAGAACTGTACCCAACGTCTGCTATGAGTGAACACGACAGCACACTCAGAGTAACTATTGTCGGAGCAGGGCTCGGAGGCCTAATGCTCGGTGTCTTGCTAGAAAAAATCGGTATCGAATACGATATCTTTGAGCGTTCGAATTCTCTGAAGCCATATGGTGAGTGAACAGATCCGAGCCGTTTCTGCTATTGTCGTTAATTTTATTAATTTTTTTTTTTTTTTTTTTTTTTTTTTTTTTTCAGGCGCTGGAATGTCTCTGGGAGCCAACATACTTCCAGTGTTCGAACAATTAGAATTGTTTGATGAATTGCGCAAGATTTCATATCCTGGTACAGGCATGGATATCTTCAAGGAAGACATGACCCGGATCAGCAGAATGAACATTGGAGGACACTTGGACAGGTATGGCTAAGGTGAACATAAGTTAAATTAGGCTTTCTCATCTGGGCTATCTCGTCGACAGACTGAAATCGGAGGTTTCTTTCCATTCATTTATTTTTTCCTTCTTTCTTTATTCTTCAACTAAATTCAAGCATTGGTTATAATACACAGTTCTTCAGCCGCCCACAGGTCCATAATCTCCTGTTATCGAGGATACCACCAGAGAGGGTCCATTATGGTAAAAAGGTACTATCGGTCGGTCAAAGTCAGCATGGGACAATCGTTCGCTTTGCGGATGGTACTACTCATGAGTCCGATATTGTTATTGGAGCCGATGGAGCCTACAGTGCTGTGAGACAGAGTCTATATGAACGTCTACAGAAGGAACGGCTATTGCCCAAGAGCGATACAGAGTCATTAGAGGTGGGTTATACCTGCTTGGTAGGGACGACTGTACCCTTGGACCCGGAGAAGTATCCAGTTCTCAAGGATGACTTTGCACATTTTTCGGTTGTCATCGCTGATCAAAAACCATATTCAGTAAGAAAGAAAAAAAAAAAAAAAAAAAAAAAAAAAAAAAGGATGAGAAATGAGAGGCAAAGTTTTTTTATTGTATTGTATTTTTGCTCTTTTCCTTACAATACCCTTTCCTCATATTACATCTCTCAGTGGACTATCATATCTGTTCCGGGGAATCGAATCTGCTATGGAATTAGTATTCAATTAACAGCTGAGCAGAAAGAAACAGCATTCCGTAACTCGGAATGGAGACCAGAGTCAATCGATGCCACGATCGCACCGTTCGCTCATCACTTGACGCCTTTTGGGGGCACGATGGGCGACCTCATCGAAGCTACTCCCAGAGATTTGATCTCGAATGTGTATCTTGAAGAAAAACTGTTTGAGACATGGAACCATGGACGCATTGCTTTGATTGGCGACGGTAAAGAGAATGATAGAAAGGAAAATGACATATGATATGGAGGAAGATTGATATACAACAGACCTATTGATACCAATGTTATCATCTTTTTGATGTTGTAGCTTGCCATAAGATGCTTCCAAGTGCAGGACAAGGTATATTCATCTTTTTTTATTAAAAAAAAAAAAAAAAAAAAAAAAAAAAAAAAAACACAGTCGCCTTTTTTAACTTGTACGTGAATCTTGACATTAGGTGCAATCAATGCGATGCAGGACGCTGTGGTAGTTGCCAACTGCATTTATGAACTCGGATCCAGTACGTCACAGGAGGACATCGAGGCGGCTCTCCAAGACTACAAAGACCAGCGCTTTGTGCATGCGAAGGAGCAGGTCCGCAACTCGAATGTATCGGGAAGGTTGCTCTATGGTCAGACATGGTTCTCGAAGCTGGTCCGTACAGTCATCATGTACTTTTTGCCGAAGGAATTTCAGAAGAGTACCTTGACGAGTTCAGCAGCATATCGACCACAGGTAGCATTCCTGCCTCCTGCACCCAAGAGAGGGACCCTAGATATCATCCCTCAGAAGCCTTCAAAAAGGTTTCAAGAAGAGCAGCAAAAGTTGAAGGTCCAGAAAAAAGAAGAAGAAGAAGAAGAAGAAGAAGCCGGTCAGAATGAACGAGCAGCACATATTGTTTAGATGTGTAGTTATATAGACGTATAAGCTTGTAGAAAGGGTCAAGACGAAGAACATATTGTCAATTGTGATTAGAATTAAAAATATGTATTAAATGGCCAAAGTCTTTTTTACGTGACACATTGTCAGCAAGTGAACAACGCTAAGGTAATTGTCAAACTGTACCTAGCATCAAAGACAGATTAGTTAGTGCGCATTTACGCAGTCAAAAACCTTTTAAAGCAACGATTGCTCTTGATTTTCACTTCCCTCCTTTTCACCTTTCCCCTTCCCTCCTCGACTCTCTCTTCGTCTATTTCATTATTACTATTTCAACGTTTCAATATGACACCAGAACGCGTTGTCCTCCCTAAGAATGTTGCTCCTGAGCACTATAACATTAAGTTGTGGCCCAACCTTACCACGTTCATTTTCCAGGGCGAGGTTTCCATCAAGTAAGAACAGGCATTAAAGAATTGAAATACTGGACTTTTTTTTTTTGTTATTTTTTTTTTTCTCACGCATCAATTTTCTGCAAAATATAGTGTGAATGTTCATGAACCAACATCTGAAATCAAGGTCAATGCCAAGAAATTAGCCATCAATAAGGTCAATGTCATTGTGGGTGAGGAGAAGTAAGTTTTTTTTTTTTTAATTGTCATTCAAAAAAAAAAAAAAAAAAAAAGTCAGCTCGATTAATTTTGTATCTTTAAAAAAGCCATAAGGCAATAGAAATCAAGTTAACAGAGATCGATCAAGTGGCAACTTTTACTTTTGCACAACCAATTCCCAAAGGAAAGGCCGTTCTTCAAATCGAGTTTGAAGGAGAGCACAATGACCGGATGAATGGATTCTATAGATCTCAGTATAAAGATGCTCAAGGCCAGACCAAGTATATGGTTGTTACTCAGTTTGAGGCTTGTGATGCTCGTCAAGCATTCCCCTGTTGGGATGAACCTGCCGTCAAAGCAACCTTCTCAGTGGCGCTTGTGGTTCCTTGGGAGCTAGAGGCTCTTTCTAATATGCCCATCAAGGAAATGACATCTGTAGATCCAGCGGTCAAGACCGTGTATTTTGAAAAGACACCTGTCATGTCAACCTATGTAAGTTTTTTACATATCCCATTCGAATTGGAGCAGCACCCCTGCTTTATTTCGATCCTAATCATTAAAGGATGTGGCGATGAACTCTTGGTTGTGTGTATTATTGTCGTTAAAAAAATCATGCAATACATCTGTAACACAAGGAAAAAAGGAGATGCGATATACAGGGAACGACGCCGTCTTTTTTTTTTTAAAAAATACAAAAGAGAAACAGAACTCTCAAGGACTCGTCTACACCGTAGGGGAGAGTTGTAATGGCCTCGGCCTGGATATGAGACTCTTGTTTGGGTGCGCCTCGGAGAATTCTTCTAGTGGGCTATCCGTTTGGATTGCCTACTTGCTTGTATCTTTACCTTGTGGTATGGTTCGTTCTCGGCCATGTTTGGGTTCATGCACATCACATGGAACTTTCCTTGAATGAATGGGAAAACAAATATTTCTAGTTTAAAATGGTTCTTCATCCCTTTTGTTTACTTTCTGGTGGCTACATTTATTTCACATGATCTGACAATTGTTCGTTTTTGATTACCATAGCTGGTGGCGTTCGCTGTTGGCGACTTTGAGTATATTGAGACAACGACTACCAAGCTTGAGAAGCCAATTACATGCCGTGTTTATACACTCCCAGGACTGAAAGAGCAAGGTCGATTTGCGCTTGAAATTACGCCCAAGATTTTGGAGTACTTTACTGAAATTTTTGGTAGTGCCTACCCTCTCCCCAAGCTTGACCATATTGCCGTTCCCGATTTTGATGCCGGTGCAATGGAGAACTGGGGGTTGATCACGTATCGTACTGTGGCTCTGCTTTATGATGAGAAGACTTCAGATGCAGCTAATAAGGAGCAGGTTGCATACACGGTTGCTCACGAGATTGCCCACCAATGGTTTGGAAACCTAGTGACGATGGAGTGGTGGGAGCATCTTTGGTTAAATGAAGGGTTTGCTACTTGGGTTGGCACCCTTGCAGTCGACCACTTATTCCCCAGCTGGGATACCTGGTCCAACTTTATCGTGAATGAGTACCAGCAGGGACTCAGCTTGGACTCTCTGCGTAGCTCACATCCTATTGAAGTCCCAGTTTCTGATCCACACGAGATCCATCAGATCTTTGACGCTATATCTTACTCCAAAGGTGCCGCCGTCATTCGTATGTTGAGTAACTGGTTGACAGTTGATGTCTTTCTGGCTGGAATCCGCCGATATCTCAAGAAGCATGAGTACAAGAATGCTTCAACGGATGATCTCTGGAACGCACTTTCTGAGGAGTCCAAGGTCGATGTCAAAGAGTTTATGAATACCTGGACTCGCGTCATTGGTATCCCAATCTTGAACGTTACTGAGGATGAAGGCGTTGTCACTGTAGAACAGCATCGCTTCTTGTCGACTAATGACGTCACTGAAGAGGAAGACAAGACCATTTGGTGGGTCCCTCTGGGTGTCCATCCAAAACCCGCTTCCATCACAGACCATAACCAGACATTGAAAACGCGCGAACTCAAATTCGAGGTATCCAAAGCCAAAGGTGGAGCCAACTTTTATCTGATTAACAAAAACTTTACAGGTGTTTTCCGTACCAACTACCCGGCGAATGCTATCCGCCAACTCGGTCATGCTATCCTGGAAGGTAATCCAGCTCTGGGAGTGGCTGAGCGCGCAGGGCTTTTGGCTGATCAGTCCAGTTTGGCTACATCTGGACACAGCGGTGTGGATCGTCTCTTTGATTTGATCCAATATTACAAGAATGAGAGATCCTTTGTGTATGTATATTTCTGTTATTCACCTTGTCATGCACATGGATCTGTAGATGAAAAAAAAAAAAAAAAAACTAATTTCTTTCTTTTGAATAATTGTTCTTGTGGAGATAGTGTATGGGACCTATTGCTCAGCAAGCTCGATCACATTGCTCAAGTTTTCAGCATCAATGAACGTACGCACAATGCGATTAAGCATTTTCAACGCAAGTTGGTCAATGATCTTGCTCATGAGCTTGGCTGGGAATTCCCTGAAGGTGAAGATTACCTGACCAGCCGTCTACGCGGGGCCATCATCTCTAGCGCGGGACGATCAGGTCATGAGCCGACAGTGAAGGAGGCATTACGCCGATTCAAGTTGTTTATGGAGGATGGTGCGGATCAAGACAAGGTCTTACATCCATCAACGCGTAGGACAACATTTGAAATTGCCATTGCTCATGGCGTGGTCAAGGAATTTGACCAAGTTCTGCAATACTTCAGAACCACACCCAAGCAAGATCAACAGTCATTGTGTTTGGCCGCACTGGGAACAGCTGTCCATGGTAAAGAGCAGATTGAACGAATGTTTAAATTTGCTTTATCGGAGGAAGTGAGAGCACAGGATTTCATGTATGTTCTTGCAGGATTGTCAATGAACATCCAGGCACGCTTATCAGCTTGGGAGTGGATCAAGGGTAACTGGGCGACGCTGCAGGAGCGCTATACAGGAAACATGGGTATGTTAGGCTTCTGTGTCAAGATCCCTATTAATAAGATGGCGGATCCATCGCTTTTGACGGATTTGGAGGAATTCTTCAAAGATAAAGATACCAGAGACTTTGAGCGAGATCTAGAACAGGCCAAAGAGGGGCTTCGTATCCGCAGTAAATGGGTTGCAAGGGATGGGGCTGCTCTCGAATCTTGGCTTGTTGCTCAGGGCTACTGATGAAATAGGAAATAAACAGACAGCGATATAGTAAAGCAAGAAAGAATGACGAGCCGAAAATAAATAAGGAAATAAACAGCAAAGAATGAAGGGCTAGACAGGCTTGGCATGAATAGCTTCTGACAAAGTATATAATTTCTGACCATAATGGCTTCTTATGCGTGTTTGTTTAATTTTTATTTTGTGTGTGCGCATTGGTCATGAAACTCATCCTCTTTCTGCATATCAATTCAAGATGGTTCCCTTTTTAGGGGTGAATGGCGTTCACACGGTTATGAATGCTGTGATTGGATGAGCACTCTCCTTGAGGCGAGTGTACAAGAAATGTTGTGTACACAGCTCACTTTTCCAACATCAAAAAAAAAGTGTGGGGTGGGAGGAAAAACAATACTCATAATATATATACATGGGTTTGATGCATACGAATAGGAAAATAGAAATACATGATATTGGGCGCTTTAGTGCAGTTCAGTGTCTATTAATATGACGTGCACTTCATAAACTCTAATGGATTAAAGGACCTAGGGTCAAACGTGGGTAAGAATCCATCAACTCAGTTCGACGTTGATAAGCTGGGAATATACCGCGGAGCAAATATCAAAAGGCTCAAGGCGAAGATAACTGGAGTAAAAATGGCGAAGACAACACAAGATCACAGCGCATGGTAATGCCACCGATTTGTCCGTAAATGAGAAAAAGGGGTACAAAAAAGGACATGTAAGCAATTGAACTGTTTTTGATTTGCAAGCAAAGTAAGGTACGATTTGATGCCACAGGGAGTTGTGCAATATATTTTTTACAACCTTGCCCAATTGCTTAGACCTGTTTGAGCAAACGATATTTGATATCATGGCAAGTAAAGTAGACGAGATGAAAAAATCAAGAGGGCGAGAAGTGCATGTTGTGCGCGGGTAACCCTCGTTTTTCTTTAGTTATTATCAATATTATACATATAATATCAATGATTTGTTTGTGTTTGTGTAAAGTCAAATGAACAATTGTACCAGAAATGGCGGGATTGTCAACCCAGAAGAAGTGCGTGTTCCCATGAGAAAAAAGGTATAAAACTAAAGACATCTTACAATTAGCTCTCTATCCTCCTTTCTTTCTTTCTTTTTCTCTCACTCTCACTCTCACACACATTCATTTTAACTCATCCCTAGTCGACTCATTTCATACATCATGTGCAACAAGCATGGCAATTCCAACCGTGTAGTCCTGCCCACTCACGTCACACCCTCACATTATACCCTGACCGTCACTCCAGACCTCAAGGAGTTCACTTTCCGAGGATATGTCGAGATCAAGTAAATGCAATAGACCTACATTTTCAAATGAAACAGGAACTGGATATATGGATAGGGATAGGGACAGACAAATAACACACAGGCACACACACCGTGGGAACCACAATAGGAGCCTGTTTTTTTTTTTTTTTTTTTTTTGCTCGGTTGGAATTGCTCTTGATAAATATTTTAAATACAAGTCGTGGAAGGGATTAAAAAGAAGAAAGGATTGATTCATTGGCGCAGTTTTTTGTGTCCCTTCTCTTGGACCTCAACAATTGGGAATGAAATTTCAGGAGGATCGTGCTAATGAATAAGACAAATATTGATGTTCTTTTTTTTATTTTTCTTCCTTATCATAACATAGCATTAACATTCATGAGGCTACCAAAACCATCCAGATCAACACCAAGGAACTGACGATTAAATGGGGCCGTGTCGAAATTGATGATAAAACGTAAGACTTTTGGGCTTTCATGAGGCTTGCCGAGCAATAAAAGTGATAATTCACGCCTAATACATTTAGCGCATACTATTAGAACTATACTTAACATGTTTTTTTTTTTTTTTTTTTTTTTTTTTTTGATCCGTTAGCCATGAAGCTGTTGAAACGACTTTTGATGAGCATCGTGAGACTACTACATTCACTTTCGAATCAGAGCTTCCTAAAGGTTCTGCTCTCCTTAGTATCTACTATGATGGGATTCTTAATGATAAGATGGCTGGTTTCTATCGCTCAACTTATAAAGATACAGAGGGTAACTCTAAGGTTATGGGTGTCACCCAATTCGAGGCTACTGAAGCCCGTCGTGCCTTCCCTTGCTGGGATGAGCCCTCTGTCAAAGCTACCTTCTCGATTAAGCTTGTTGTCCCCGTTGAGCTCGAGGCTCTCTCTAATATGCCCGTTGAATCCATCACACAAGTCGAGCCCGAAGAAAAGACAGTCCACTTTGAGAAGACCCCCATTATGTCTACTTATGTAAATTATCATCACTATTGATTTCTGGAATGCATTGTTGTATGATGCTAGAGTAACATTACTAAAAATAACTTCTTGTGATTACTTAGCTCGTTGCTTGGGCTGTAGGTGATTTTGAGTATGTCGAGTCCACCACCACCAAGCTCAAAAACCCTGTTACTTGCCGTGTCTACACCCTCCCGGGATTGAAGGAACAAGGTCGTTTCGCTGTCGAAATTACGCCAAGAATCCTCGAGTATTTCTCCGAAATCTTTGGAACTGCTTATCCTCTGCCCAAGCTGGACCAAATTGCTGTTCCTGATTTTGACATGGGTGCTATGGAGAATTGGGGTCTTGTCACTTACCGTACTGTTGCTCTTCTCTTTGATGAAAAGACCTCTGATTTGCGTTTCAAAGAGCAAGTCGCATCCACTGTTGCTCATGAGCTCGCTCATCAGTGGTTCGGAAACTTGGTTACGATGGAGTGGTGGGATCATCTTTGGCTGAATGAAGGATTTGCCACCTGGGTTGGAACTTTGGCTGTTGATCATCTCTTCCCCAAATGGGATACTTGGCCTACTTTCATTGTCTCCGATGTTCAACGTGGTATTTCTTTGGACTCACTTCGCAGTTCCCATCCTATTGAGGTCCCTGTCAACGACCCTCATGAGATTCACCAGATCTTTGATGCCATCTCCTACTCCAAAGGTGCCTCTGTCATTCGCATGTTGAGCAACTGGTTGACAGTTGATGTCTTTCTGGCTGGAATCCGCCGATATCTCAAGAAGCACGAATATAAGAACGCTACTACGGACGATCTCTGGAACGCTCTTTCAGAAGAGTCCAAAGTTGATGTCAAAGAGTTTATGAATACCTGGACTCGCGTCATTGGTCTCCCTGTTTTGAATATTACAGAGGAAGCTGGTATTATTACTGTAGAGCAGCACCGCTATCTATCTACCAATGATGTCAAGGCTGAGGATGATGAGACTATCTGGTGGGTTCCTTTGGGTGTCCATCCTAAGCCTGCCTCGATCACTGACCCCAATCAGACTCTCAAGACTCGTACGCTGAAGTTTGAAGTCCCTGAGGGCCCTTATCTGTTCAACAAGGATTACAATGGTGTGTTCCGCACTAATTATCCTCCAAGCGCCATTTCCCGTATCGGAAAGGCCATCCTAGAGGGCTCGGACCTTGTATCATTGAGCGATCGTGCTGGTCTCATTGCTGACATCTCATCTTTGGCCAAGTCTGGTCACACTGCCACCAAGAACTTTTTGGACTTGGTTCAATACTACAAGAATGAGAAGACATATGTCGTCTGGGAGCTCCTTGCACAACGTGTAAGTGAGATTGGAGCCATCTTTGCAGACAATGAGCGCGTTTACCAGGGCATCCGCCACTTCCAGCGCAATTTGATTGACAACATGGTCAACAAACTTGGATGGGAGTTCCCTGAGGGGGAGGACTACCTTACGAGCCGTCTCCGTAACGTGATCCTTCGCACTGCTGGTCGTGCTGGCCACGAGGCTACTGTTGCAGAGGCTAAACGTCGCTTCGCCATCTTTGTTTCTGATCCCAGCCAGGATTCCATTCTCCACCCTTCGGTTCGTCAGACTGTCTTTGAGATCGTGTTAAGCAACGGTGGCGAACAAGAGTTCCGTCATGTCCTCAAGTACTTCCATGATGCTCCCAAGCAGGATCAGCAGGTTGTTGCTCTTTTGGCGCTCGGTCACGTCCAGCAACTTGACCTGATCGCCGAGGTTCAGCAGTTGGCCATTTCAGGAGCTGTCCGCTCTCAAGACATTCTTTATGTTTTGATTGGACTGGCTACTAACCCTAAGGCTCGCTTGCCTACTTGGGAATTTGTCAAGAACAATTGGCCTGTGCTGCAGGAGCGTTATAAGTCTTCGATGGGCCTGTTGGGTATGTGCGTTAAGTATCCCTTGGCTCAGGTTTCAGACAGTGCGTTGGTAAAGGAGGTGACTGAGTTCTTTGCGGACAAGGATACCAAAGACTTCCAGCGTGCACTGGACCAAGCCATCGAGGGATTGAACGTCAACTCTGCATGGGTGTCGCGAGAACAGGAGAGCCTTTCTGAATGGTTGACTGCAAACAAGTTGTAGACATCTTAGTTTACTTGTATGATATGTATAGCCTGTATGTTATTGAAGCATTATGAATAGAGCAGTGCCGTTTTCAGTCTGATCTGTTTTAGCAAGTCACTATTTTTTTTTTTTTTTTTTTTTTTTTTTGAAACTTGAGCAAACGAACAGATAATATCAAACAACATCTCTACTGCATCATGTTTGTTGAGCTTGCATTAACATCCTCATCCGATGCCGCTGATGGAACAGTCTATCTCTGGAACCTACATACAGGGTCAGTTCTGGGTTCATTCAAACAGAACATTACACCACTACAGTCCCTTGCTCTTGTCAACAACCCTCGCAATCTTGGCTCAGTCTTTCTTAGTGCTCAAGCTGACAAAGGAATAATGCATGTCTATAATTTTCAGAAGGTGAAGCTCGAAGGATTATTATACGAAGATACCATCCACTTTGCCCCAGGATTTATAAATTGACTAGATCTGGAAAAAGGCAGGAGATTAACTTGTAAAACATATTGTTAAATGCTAGGATCAAGTTTATATGAAATTTCCTTTGCCGGATAAATTAGTTTGTCTAGCAGCGTCTAATCGTGGTACTTATTGTGCTGGAGGAACAGAAAGTGGTCGTATCCATATCTGGGAGGTAAAAGGCAGAAAAATAATATGACCTTACGATTTAGTTATAAGAAGATTGCGCGCCTAAGCCAAGCTAATTCCACATATTTTTGATTTTGCAAGATTGCAACAGGAATTCTTCATCGCACTTTTGACGCCCATTACAGGAAAATCACTGTTCTACGGTTTTCAGCTGATGACACGGTCTTGTTTTCAGGAAGTGAAGATGCAGTGGTTCATGTGTGGATGATGAATACTATTCTGGACGACTCACAAACAGAATCACCAGCCCCATATTATTCATGGACGGACCACACACTTCCTATCACTGATATCCAATGTGGTGTGGGTCGGTTTCATGGTGCTCGTGTTGTGACATCTTCATTGGACCATACTTGTAAACTCTGGGATTTGTCGACAGGAGCACTGTTGACAACATTTTTGTTCCCAACAAAGATTCTGGCGATTGCGTTTGACCCTGCAGAGAGATATTTCTTGGCTGCATCAGGCACACCAGCATCTACATCATCAACAGCTAACGAGGCGGATTACTTGATTTATCAGGCGATGTTATATAGAGCGAAACATACCCAACAGGGGTACACAACAATTGAATCTGTGGACGGTGATTCGGGCTTAGAACAGATTGGATTGGGGGGATCCAAGAGGAATGGTAGCAAGAGCGCAGATTTGATCTTTAGAGGACATCATCACCCAATTCTTAGACTAGCCTTGAACTTTGATGGATCCGCGTTGGTCAGTGGAGACTCAAAGGGCCATTTGATGGTTTGGGACGTTGCTAGTCGACAGATGGTCCGAGATATCAAACAACACAAAGGTATTGCAACGAAAGAAAAGAAAAAAAAAAAAAAAAAAAAGGCTTTTTATTATATTGCGATTCTCATTCTTTTTTTTTTTTTTTTTTTTTTTTTTTTTTTTCACACCTCAGGTGCCATTTCATCGATCCACACGCTTCTCCAACCTGCAGATCTGTACTCCAATACAACTTTGACAGAGAAACCAAAGATTTCACCTGTCACGGCATTCAAGCGTATCCCACAGCCCCGTATTGGTGAAGGAGGACCTGAAGTCAGTGCCAACAGCTCAATTGCGGACGATCCCCAGATTATAATTGCGTCGTCAAAGACAAACAACATGAGTTGGAATAGTCGAAATGATCTTTTGGGTCAGTCTCAAGAATATCAACTTTTGGAAAGCGTTCGTAATATATTTGTAAATTCACGAACCTCATCATCAATAGGAGGAGGGTCTGTGACGGACACAAAGGACTATCAAGAACTACAACAAAAATGCCAAGAGTTGGAGGCTAGACTCGCAAGCATGATGTCTACAACCGCTCCTTCTGCTCCAACACAACCCACCATTTCATCTTCAGATATCACAGCAGCTTTAAGTGGATTGAGAAGCTCAGGAACTAAGAGGAGAAAAGCATAATAATAAATATTTTTTTCTTTAGATTTAAGGACTAGAAACTCTACATTTTCACTTATTAATATTAGTAATTGTTTTCATTTTCATTTCTTTTTTTTATTTTTTTTTTTTCTATCTATATTTATGATATGTACACTAATGTTGATCATGAGACAATGATAAACATGGGGAAGGTAATGCTAATTGGTTTAATCACCAATTGGACGACTATTTATCTTCCTACGATACAATCGCGACAAGTCTTCCGGAGATCGATTGCGCGTGGAAGAGTCGGAGGCCAGGGTTGTCTGATCGCCATGGTCATGGTCCAAGTCGATCAGATCACGATTCATGACCTCGATACGCTGTGGAAGAGCATAATACTTGATGCCGATATCCTCTACAGCCTCCTTCAATGCAAAGTTGAACTAGAAAGCGAAACACAAGGATTACAATGTAATAATAATAAAAGAAAATTAGTTCCTGGACCGATAACGAGCTTTTTGGTTTTGATTTTTTTGTTACCGTTATTGTTACCTTTGTTCTGCGTGCCCATCGGCGACCAGAGTCTTGCCAGTTACCCTTGTGCTCGATCACCATACTGATTTTCAGCTTGGAATCCATTTCTTGAATCTGAATCTCCATATCAGGCAGGAATTCTTTGCTCTCGTTTGCCAAAAAGGCACGCATCCTAGCTCGAAGCTCCAAGATCTTGGATTGAGGTGTATAACAATCGATGTTGAGGACTAAATATATTGAAGCAAGTAAGTTAATAAACCGGGACAGTTATAACGATTTCAAGGTTGTAAAAAGAAGTACTTGTTAATTATTGCTACTGTTATTATCTTTCTTACCAATTTTCTCAGACATGTTGGGAGAACGCCGGACGTTATGAATGGGTTTCTGACTGAGAATGTTGTTGGGATAATACATACGCTTTCCATCCCAAGTCACAAACATAGTACTGTTGAGACCCACTTCGCGAACATACATTTCATTGCCATCAATATTGCATAAATCACCAGAGTCATATGGGTGCTAATATCAATAGGATACAATCAAGATAAAATAGTGCCGGTTAGCATCTCACTTCATCCTTTGCTTTTCTATTAATGATCAATTGAATAAAAAGTCAAAAGAACTTACCGTGATGAACAAAAAGACTATATTTTCAAACAAGGTCTTGAGAGAATTACCAAAGACAAAGCTGAGAGCCACTAAGAAGGAGCCGATCGAGAGCATATTCTGGACCACACTGGTGCCAAAGATCGATAAGATGATCAACAACCAGACTACGGTTACGATAGTCAAGAAGATGATGTCTAATTTGCCGACCGCTTGAGAGAGGTCACGGAGAGCTGTATGTAAATCTTTGCGTTCCTTGTATATGTAAAAGATTTTTTCTTTGATCTCCCGCTTGGAAATATCACCATTGCCGTCCTTGTCAAAAATTGCGAAGGCTTCTTTCGCCTCCTCCTCTGTATCAAAGTAAAGGAAGAAATCTTCAACTACCAATTCTTCCGCATTGCCTTGCAAATTGTAGAATAGTGTCCTGGCTAATCGTTTAGCATTATCGGTTGAGCTGATGTCCTTAGATGGGGTGCTGTCAGCCAAGGCAATTCCATGTAGCCTGCGGTTGATGCCTCTAAAGATATCATTATGCTTATTAGCGCCTTTGCTTTCGCGCTGCAAACGACGGGATGTTGCCAATATAGTTGAATTACGACTGTTGTCGTTGGTATTGTTAATAGGATATTCAGTTGGTGTGCCGATAGGAGTGCTATTTGCCGATCCTGATTCTGTTAACAACATGGCCTCGCCAGGGTCCAAACTATGTGATCTCGATTGCTGACGAGAGTGACTTCCGGGACCAAAGGGTGTCATATAATCGGTTCCATCTGCAGTATTGTTCCTGCTGTGAGCCGGTCTGGGCTTTTTGTTGAGCTTCTTTGAGTTTCCTAGGCGATCCAAGACCTGAAGAGCGTATTTGTTCTCCTTAATACGGTCAGCATAGGCAGTCTGATGAAAGTTCTTGGAGATGATCTGAAGTAGGATCTTCTCAATCAGAACCAGTGCACAACCTGCGATCACAGCTGCAAGGATCTTGATTAAAATTGGCTGCCAGGATTGCTCTCCGAAGAGCGGGTAAACTACTTTGGATAGGAATACATATGAGCCCGTGCCCCAACAGGCTGCAATGAACCATTTGACATACTTCTTTGTCGCCACAAAGATCAAGAGGTTTGATTTGACAGCCTCGAGTCGGCTGTAGGTGACAAGAGAAGTGATACGGACAACGACCACAGGGATAAAATCGACCCCCCAATTAGTAATACAGACGATACACCACATGAAGGCAAGCCAAGTGAAGACTAAAACGATGGAATCTCTACGGACTTTTTCCTTTTCATAAATTCCAATGTCGACATTGTATTGTTGCATAACGGCCTCAGAGGATCCTGCAGGGGGATAATCTGGTTTAGGGACAACAGTCAAGTAGATACTAGTGAGGATCGCGGGAATGGCAACGATGGGGGCCACAATAACCATCGAGATGACCATTCTAAGGAAGGGGGAAAGTTTGCGCCAGGTGGATCGTGCTTTTTGCCTTTTCCGCTTGTGAACCTGACCATCGTTATCAATGTTGATATCTTCATCCCAATCAAAATCGGATTCATCGCTGTTCATTGCCTGCCTTGGTGGTCTAAAATCTCCTTCGATGGCTGCATCCTGTTTAAGGATACGATCGATTTCGATCATGGTCGAAGAAGGGAATGGATTTTTGTTTGAAGGACGCTTTAATGCTGTGTTATTGCTGTTGTCTAAGTGAAGATTATTATTGATGGTTTTGTTGTTACTGCTGCTATTTTGAGGAGGGAATGTATATGGAGCAGAGGGAGCAGAGGGAGCAGAGGGAGCAGATGCAGGGGTTGAATATGGGTGGAGTTGTTCCTGATCAATGAGCTCCTCTGCTGGAGGAAAGGACATAGGAGGGCCTCCAGAAGGATCGCAAGGCGTACTCGGTGTCAGCGTCATGGTCAGAGGGATGTCTAAAGTGAAGGGGTTTTGCTGAGTTAGCTCGAGAATTCTTTCCCATGGTTAAATTAAACTAAGGTATATATCTGAGTCGGAAGAAGAAAAAAAAAAAAAAAAAAAAAAAAAAAAAGAGGAAGAAAGGAAGGGAGAGAGCAATAGTAAGTGTATCGTAGGGTCCAACTAATTGACAAAGGAAGCTGTGCATGTAAGCCTGGCATGAAAGGACAAAAGGGTGGGGCAAATACGTGGATGCCAAAATGAAATAAGCACGGGTAGGAAAATCTGGTGCTATCCAATACGGTATGGGAGCAAGATACAAATAGCAAAATGTAGGATGACGGTTGTATTGCAGAGTACAAAGGGTGAAAGATGGTAGAATGAAGGACGAAACTGGAACAGGCGCCAACTTTCTGCGGCCCTTTGTCTACTTTTAAGGCTGCTTGCTGCTGCTGTTTGTGTTTTAATGGGATAAGAAGAGGCATTTCCACTAAAAAGATGATTAACATAAGTGGTTACCAATGCTGAGAGAGAACCTTTACCTCTATTGACTGTAAGCAAATTGTTGCTTGCTTCTGGTTCTTTCGTGCCCTGAGTATCCTTTTGTCTCTTGAACTTCATTATTATTATGTTTTATATGCTCGTATGCAAAAGATGTAGTCGTTAAAATAAAATAATGAAAGATTATAAAAATACTGCAATGCCTAAGCTGAATAGGCTTAGTAGGTGGTCGTAAGATGATCAAAGTTGTTCAAACGGAAATAGGAATGAACATATGAAGAGCACACAAAGGAAGAAAGAACAAAGAACAAAGAGGAACAGGAAAAAAGACAAAGAAGGATGTTTTAAATAAATAAAGCGAAGGAACAGATAATTCAATAAACAATAAACAAATAAACAAAGCAATTATGACATATTCCCTTTCCTTGGTGCCGCGCCTGGACGTGATCGAAATAGGTTCATTTGGACGCACGTATCCATCATAGAACATGTCACTTTTTCTTGAATTAAAAAAATATTACCAATTTTTTTTTTTTTTCCCTTGATTGGAAGATTATATTTGAACTCGATTCTCATTCGTTAGACATTATTAAACCAGGGCGCGGGTCCATGTTTCGCACTTTCTTCTTGTTCTCTGTTTCTTTCAGGAAAAAAACATGAGGAATTTTAAATCATTTTGGTCTATCTCACTTTCTATCGTCACCACAATAGGTGCAGTTGAAGGGAACCTTTGGTGGCCCTGCTGCTTCTTCATCGGAAGAAAAAGAACAAATCAGCAAAAGCTCCAGAAATTAAAATTCCTTCATTGGAATGAAATGGCTGCCACTGATCCGACGCAATAAGTGTTTATCTAGATTTACTTTTTGACAAGTTTCCTATACTTTTGAACGTAGAAGGGTCGTGCACCCTGCATGGCTTATTAAACAAAAGGAGTGACCCTGCACATTTTGCGTCTTTTTTTATATACAATGATTTACAGTACGTGTACATTTTAAGGTTTTATTCAAGAGTGCCAGCCTTGGTCCTGGTTCGATAAACTAATGTGTATACATAATATAAGGCGCCTCGCTGGATTGCAAACGAAATAGCCTTTGGAGACGGGATATTAATATTACTTGTAATTATTTTCGGGGCCCAGAGGCTATGGCCTGGTGCACGATAGCATAGCATAGGAGGCGACTACTTCTGTCTATCGCACATTATCCATGTATTGAGACATGAAGAAAGCATGGCAGAAATGGCAAGCAAAGCAGTTCCAACTTTAATCTTTGTGGCTTGGGAATCTTCTATCCCCCTTTCTGATTTTGATTTTTATTGTTTGGCTACACGCGAATCAAATTGTTCTCTCTCTTTCAACTTCATTAAATATAATACAAATGGTTAGTGACACTTGATCACAATCAATCCAATGGGGAGGGCTGTTCATCCATCCGTTCATCAATCTATCCATCCATTCACCTATTCAATCATTGTCCTGCAATAAAGTATCGGTTTGGCAAACAATTGATCCTAGACCATGGTTATCACTGTCTGGAGCAAAAGATTACATGGAATCTATGAATGGAAGCGTTATTAGATGCATGGATCGTTAAAATCGAGTTAGACTCGAAGGGCTGAACAGGATGTAATCAGACTGCAATACTGAATTGAAAATAGCGCTCAAAGAACGATCAATATGCATGGATTTACGGACAAGACATGTCAACCAACTGCGTTTTTGGAATGGAGTGGACTGGCAATAACAGCTGTAGCAGAATAGCAATAGTGAGACCTGAAACCAGCTGTAGAGGATTATTGCGTCTAACCTCTCACCGACACATCATATGCGCATCAATATCTTTAGGCTGCTCGTCCCGTTATCTCCGTCTTCTCTGAGTCTGGCAAGGAGGCCATTGGCACCCAGGTTCTGCCTGCTGTCTTCAAGGCTCCTATCCGTCCTGATGTTGTCCAGTTCGTCCACAAGAACATGAACAAGAACCACCGCCAGGCTTATGCCGTCTCTGAGAAGGCCGGTCACCAGACCTCTGCCGAGTCCTGGGGTACCGGTCGCGCTGTTGCCCGTATTCCCCGTGTCTCTGGAGGCGGTACGCACCGCTCTGGCCAGGCCGCTTTCGGAAACATGTGCCGTGGTGGTCGCATGTTCGCCCCTACCAAGATCTGGCGCAAGTGGCACGTCAAGACCAACCAGAACCAGAAGCGCTTCGCTACTGCCTCTGCTTTGGCTGCCTCTGCCCTCCCCTCATTGGTCTTGGCTCGTGGTCACAGAATCGAGCAGATTGAGGAGGTCCCTCTCGTTGTCAGCAACGGTATCGAGTCCTTGACCAAGACCAAGGCTGCCGTCGCTCTCCTCGAGGCCGTCAACGCCTATGCTGATGTTGTTAAGGTCTCCAACTCCCGCAAGCTCCGTGCTGGTGTTGGTAAGATGCGTAACCGTCGTCACCGCCAACGCCGCGGTCCTCTCGTCGTCTATGCTGAGGATAACGGTATTGTCAAGGCCTTCCGCAACATTCCCGGTGTCGAGCTCGCCAATGTTCGCACTCTTAACTTGTTGCAGCTCGCCCCCGGTGGCCACATGGGCCGCTTTATCATCTGGACCCAGAGCGCCTTTGCTCTCTTGGACCAGATCTATGGCACCTACCGCAAGCCTTCTGCCCTTAAGAAGGACTATTCTCTTCCCCAGCACATCATTTCTAACCCTGATATCACTCGCATCATCAACTCTGCTGAGATTCAGGGCTCGTTGAAGGCTGCTGGTCCTGCTAAGACTCCTCGTCCTTACACTCAGAAGAAGAACCCCTTGAAGTCTATGGCCGTTATGAACCGTCTCAACCCCTATGCCCAAACTCTTCGCCGTGCCGAGATCCTCAAGAAGACCCAGAAGAAGTCTACCAAGAAGGCCCCAAAGCCCTCTGCTGCTTTCCTTGAGACCCTCCACGCCGAGTAAAGTGTCTGCAGCATTTGTGGTTGTTGGCAGGGGATAGTTTCTTTAGTCTCGGGAATAAGCTGCAAATATTTTACATGAGAAGCGCTGAGATCAATAAAGCTACTCTCCACAGATAATCGAACAGATTGTTACAAAAGAAAATCCATTGTAGTTCGTGCATGTTGCTTGTGTTTTCACTTAAGCTGGCAGAATGTATATTTACATGCCGTGGCTTGTGTTTTGTTGGTTTTTTTTTTTTTTTTTTTTTTTTTTTTTATAATTATTTTATTATACAGTCGGTATAAACTTGAATAGAAGTGTTTTCCCTTGAGTCAACCAGCTGTGTTCCATTTACCCTTTGCCCCTCTTCATTTGCACCACGACGAAAACACCACCCATTATTTCATCCCTATAAAGACATTTCACACTAGGCCGATGCCAAGCACACGACCAACCAGAAAGGCTGTTTCTCAGTCGCCTGCAAAAGTCAGGCAGGCAATTCTTTCTACAAAGACACAGGCTATGGCTAAAACTCAGCCTGTTGTAGTACCCAAGAGTAAAAAGAGAACTGTTGCTGAAGCTCAACGGGACTCTGATGATGATGAGTTTGGTGAAGTCGCCATTGATATGGCCTCGGATGACGATGAAATGGACGGCGATGTTGAAGACGACGGAGACGACGATGTGGACGAATTTCCTGAAGAAGAGGAGGGTCAGGATATGTCTGCTGCGGATATTGAAGAGGATGAGGATGAAGAAGACGATAATTCTGACGGATCCTATATGGAGGGAGATAGCATCGTCGACAGTCAGGAAGAAAGCGATAACGAGAGCGAGGTAGACAAGGAAGAGGAAGCGGAAAGCGATTATGGCGATCTTGAGGAAGATGAGATTGATCCTAACTTTGGACATAATTTGAACGAGCCGCTTCCAGAGGAGAGCGAATACAATCCAATCAAGAGAGAATACCCAGAGATCGACCCTGTCTATGATAGTGATTCATCCACAGAAGAGGTAAAAAGAGTTGTTTACATTTATTACTATCTCTATCTCAGATCCTTTCATGGTGGTTGTTGTAGATGTAATTGGACTTTGTTATTAACCATCCTTTGATATTAAAATGATTGATGGGCATATAGAATGAGAATACAGTCGGTAACATTCCAATGCACTGGTATGATGATTACCCTCACATTGGCTACGACATCAACGGCAAAAAGATTATGAAGCCAGCTACTGGTGATGAACTTGACAAGTTCCTTAGTACGATGGATGATCCAGATTCATGGTATGTTTCCACTTTCAAGCTCCATTTCGATATCATTGTTCTGAAGCGGGATATTGGGGATTTACTGCTGACATGCGAAAATTACGTGAACATCTTTATCGCATAGGTTGTCAGCTCACAACTACAAGGAAGGACAGGATGTCAAGTTGACTGCAGAGGAGCTTGAAATTATCCGCAGATTGGAGGGCAACAGAATTCCAGATGCGGAGTACAACCCATATGAGGAGCAGGTTGAATTCTTCACATCAAAGACAGAAGTCATGCCCTTGTCTGCTGCTCCTGAGCCTAAGCGTCGCTTCATTCCCTCTAAGCATGAGGCAAAGAGGATCATGAAGATTGTTCGTGCTATTCGTGAGGGTCGCATTGTCCCTCGCAAGTCTGGCTATGTACCTCCCAAGCCAAAGTTTTACAATCTTTGGAATGATGCTGAAGATAAGCCAAGAGAAGATCATGTTATGCATATCGCTGCACCTAAGATGAAGTTGCCCACTCATGATGAAAGCTACAACCCCCCAGCAGAATATTTGCCAACAGAGGAGGAGATCAAAGAGTGGAACGAAATGGATAAGGAGGACCGTCCAAAGAACTATCTCCCACAAAAATATAATGCTCTTAGGAATGTACCTGGTTACGGTCAATTTATCCAGGAACGGTTTGAGCGTTGTTTAGATCTTTATCTTGCGCCTCGTGTGCGTAAGAACCGCCTCAATATTGATCCTGAAAGTTTGATACCCAAGCTGCCCTCTCCTCGAGATCTGCAACCATTCCCTACGCGTCTTGCAATTGAATTTTTGGGTCACATTGGTCGTGTTCGCTCCATTTCTGTGGATCCCTCTGGCTTGTGGCTCGCCTCCGGATCAGATGATAAGACTGTTCGTATTTGGGAGGTTGCCACTGGAAGATGCATGACCATTTATCATTTGGACGAACTTGTCACGTCAGTTGTTTGGGGACCAAACAAGGAGGTTGCTGTACTTGCTGTTGCTTGGTAAGTATTTGTATTGTGCTTGATGTATTATTATTGTACATTACATATTTCTGAGACATGTATTTTGATTATATAATGCCTCTTTTTTTTTTGACAAACTATAATGGTGTAGTGGATATAAGATCGGATTGATTTTGCCTGAGAAACTTTTTTCGCCCGAATTGACGCTTCATTCGGAAGAATACTTAAAGGCAGGGTTTTCCAACAACGCTACTGTAGAAGCGAACCCTAAGGCAACATGGAAGCAGCCAACGCCCTCTGAATATGAGAAGGGTATTCGAGTGTGGATTCATCTGCAAAAGCCAGTGAAGCAGGTCACATGGCATCGCAAGGGAGATTATTTTGCGACTGTTGCACCTGAGGCCAATAACTCCGCAGTCCTGATCCACCAACTCACTAAGCACCAGACGCAACAGCCTTTTAAAAAGAACAAGGGTGCTGTTCAGCGCGTCATGTTCCATCCTAACAAGCCCATGTTCTTTGTCGCAACTCAACGCTATGTTCGTCAATACAACTTGCAACGTCAAGAGTTGGTCAAGACCATGCAGACAGGAGTCAAGTGGATTTCATCTTTGGATATCCACCCTGCAGGAGACAATCTGATCATTGGATCTTATGATAAGCGTCTTTGCTGGTTTGATCTAGATCTGTCGTCGAAGCCCTACAAGACTTTAAGATATCACCAGCAAGCGATTCGCTCTGTTGCCTATCATAAACGTTATCCACTTTTTGCATCTTGTGCAGACGATGGCAATGTCCAGATTTTCCACGGCATGGTTTACAATGATCTGCTGCAAAATCCCCTCATTGTGCCTGTCAAGATTCTCAAGAATGTTCATGAGCGTGTTGAAGCACTTGGTAAGTCTATCAGATATCAACATCTTTTTCTGCCTGTGCGCTAATGCATTGTAATTTGTTTTCATATTAACGTTTCTGATTCATATAGGTGCACTTTGTGTGGAGTGGCACCCCATCCAGCCATGGTTGATCTCGAGTGGAGCAGATCACACTATCAAGCTGTTCTCATAGAGGTGTCAGGCAATCTACGAATAATTTAGCATACAAAAGCCCTCATTTCCTTTCCCATCTTTAGCATATTAGATCCATTTCAATACAATACATGTAACAAATCACGATCCGTGAATAAACTATTATATTTTAGAAAACCATCAATCTTTTCATTTGCTAGTAACCCTTATTTTTCATCTTTGCATATTTGATTTAAAAAGTAATTGGTGGCGTTTACTTCGCCCATGACTAGATAATGAGAAAACAACCAAAAAGAGCAGTGTATGGTCATTCCTAAGTCCACGGCGTCCCATATTTCCTGAGAGCTTCGGAGGTCAAGGGATATTACGGCATCTCAGATACAGCTGCTGTTGATTCTTAGGGATCGCACTATATTATTGTGATCGTTTGCATATGTCAATAAATGTTCAGAGTAACAATAAATGAAAATAACCCATATAATCCTATTTGCAAATGAGTAAAAATTAGAGCTTCCAGACATTTTTGGATGTTGTATTGAAATCACAGGTAATATCTTTGTACGCCCATGCAAAACCTGACTTTTATTTGTCCATGCTCCTCAATTGTTCCTTTTTTTGCCATTGCACATCCATCACCTAGTACACACAGACAATGATACCCTAATCGGATTCACATCATCCTATAGCCAAGGTGCCATGTTAATGTCATTTATCATGTCATGCCATTTTATTGCATGAAATTCAATGAAAAAACACCTTCTTAGTCATACTAACATCTTAATGCCATCATCTATTATTTTTTATTTTTTATTTATATTTTTATTTCAGCTCAACTAGGAAAAAAAATATTACTTGCACGCACTAGCAGACGTTGATACCATTTTCAATTGTTCAGTCAATTGTATACGAAATTTACCATGCATAATAGTAATACCGAGCCTCAACAATTATCAATATCGAGGGCTTCATCTCTGCCCTTACCTGAAAACCCCTCTCAACACTCACAGGTCCAGCAACAACCACTACAGCAAAAATCATCATCGTCACCTAATACCTCTTTTTCCACTTCTCCAAAGCAACTACCACAACTTTCTCCAAAACTTCAGCAAGTATCATCTTCGCCAACCCTCCCCTTGTCTGATGAGCTCGTGCAAGGCGAGGATATCAACGCTCCCACAGGTCGAAATGTAACATTGTCAACACGTATAGGATCCACAGGATCCGAGCTCATATCACCTGTGAATGAGGCTCGGAAGGGGACAGGGCGCAGAGTTCTCCACCGACCCCAGCCTTTAGATTTGGACTATGCTAAGAAGAAAAATCTTCATTCACAATCCCAACAACATTCTCTACACACAGCCCCCGTGTCCATATCTGATACTAGACCTGCCTCTAATTTTCCAGTCTCTGTACAAGCATCGGGGTCCGCGATATTACAGGGCCAAGATGTTGTCGGGACAGCCAAAGAACCCAAACAAAAGGCCAAGCTCCCCTTACTGCATATCAAAACTGATCTCAACCCAACGACTTCGTTTCGTCGTGCGCCTACGGCTTCAGCATTGAGTGGCAGTCAAAGCAATAATAACGCATCGGCCAATGCGGTGAGTGGCATTGCCAATCCATCCAACAACAAAGTTATCAAGAAGGAGCCAAGCAAATGGCAGGTGGGCCTAGAGCGGATGCTTAAAAAGATCCAAAAGCGGAAGCGAGCGCCTTCCAATATCATGTGGTATGCAGCACATTCAGCAGCAGCTTATATGTCATCGAGTGCTACCATGGATACTACTAGGCTTAAAGGAGGAGCACTAAAAAACCAATGGGAGAATCAGCGGCCGCATCAGCAAATAGATACAGATCTCGATAGCCTCTACTTCAAAGGTGACAAGCCTCCAAAGTGGGTCGTGGAGTCAGTACCAGGAGAAGCAGAAGATATGTTTTTTAGCGATGACACTGTAGAATTGACGTTGAACCTACGCGATTACCTCATCAAAGCGACTGAGGGCGGCTGGGACATAGCAGAGCTGAGAGAAGAAACTTTTCCCATGTAAGGTCCGCCAAGATATATATGTCAGGAATGTCGCTCTTTATTGAAGAATTATGCAATAGAAGTAAATTTTGTCCGACACCTTTTCTTTATACTCTACTGCCATAGGGACTACACATCCATGTTCAACAGCCGCAGGACCAGATCAGCATCACCACATGGAAGTCCACACAGGGCATCATCTCCAAATGTCCACGCCCCAGCACCAGATTCACCAGGCGCAACGTCCCAAGATTCATCCAATTCATTATTCGAGTTTGAGTATAATGCTCAGCAATCTAATATTGGCCGATATGTAGACGAGGAGCCAGGATCATATCAGTTGTTGGATTACCTTATGGTTACCTTGTCCGATATAATCTCACATGATTGTCGCTATAAGGTTCAATATCCTCGGCCCTCTCGGCCAGAATGGGCTCTGCATTCAATTATTCTCGATATCCTATTCCACCTGTCAAAAATGCTTGTACATGATCACAAGGCTATCTACGATATTGGGATGATTGCGCTCTCGGCCTTTACAGTCTTCCAGAATAATACCCTTGTCCGCCTACTGGACCTTTTGACGGGCACTATTCTACCATCCTTTGCAATTTCTAGGATGCAGTCATTTTCATCAACACCACCATTGGCACCATCGGCTTCGAACTCCCCGCTATCACCCTCCAAAATCCGTGTTCAATTAAACAATAATCAAACGTTTGCGATTCAAATTCATTCGCCTACAGAGGAGCAAGGGATGCTTGCTGCTCCTCGACGAGGAAGAAGCGGAGGGGGGCAATCTTTCAGCTCTCCTAGCTCGCATCATGTACTCAACTCAAGATCTAATCCAACCTCATTCACGCAGGCCCAGGATACGATGGATTTGCATGCTAGTTCGCTTATTTCATTCACATTAGTGTCAATGCTTCAGCAGATCTCGTTCACCAAAGCGCCTCTGCCTGTAGCGAAGCAACTTCAAAAGTCTATAGGAGATCTTTTACGGATAAAGCCCGATCTCTCAATGGATCTACTGCAAATGATTGCTGTTGTAGAAAACGAGAAGATACTAAGTCGAGCTCTAGAGGTCTTGTGGTGGATCAGTAAGCCATCCTTAGGCCATCATGTTCTTTCGGATAAATTCCTTCCACTTGACTATGAGACTGTCTTGCTGATTCGACAATCAGCTCTTCAAGAGAATATGTCTACGATGGCGGCAACGGCTGCAGCAGCTGTACCCTCCGTTGTCGGCTTCAGCCCCACAAACCTCACCAGTGCCACCGCTGGGTCGCGGACAAACACCATAAAGTCAGATGTGCAGTTTTCTCTTCGACGAGGCTCATTGGACGATCCTATAATCCCTCGGAGCAATGCAGCAGTCAGAAGCGATTCTATTGGTAGCTTTGGGATTCGGTCTAAACGTGGCCATCGTTCGTCCTTACTTCGACGATCAGCAGTATCATCAGCACACGCAACAGAGATCTTATCATCAACCATACATCCGCATGCTGCCACTGCTCCAACAGCATCTAATGGTACTAGCTCCACTCCTGTCCTTGGACCTGACTACCTTGCAGACCATGAACTATACCCATACATTTTTTCGGGACTTGAGCCGGAGAATGACCAGGATCCAGTTCAGGTAATCAATTGCGAACGCTGTGAGGCGGCCGTGAAGGGATTTGGGCTCTTTTGCTACCTATGCCGAGGAGCACTTCATCTCGACTGTTTTTATGGAGTCAAGCGGCTTGCAGGGATTGACTGTACTCAACCATGTTGTGCTTTCGACCTGGTCTCAAGGCGACCGAGGAACCAATTAATGTATCCGACAGAAGAAGCAGAAAGTAATAAGAACGATGTTTTGTATGAGAATAAGACTAATCAAATATATCGGAAACGAGCGGGCCACCATCTTCAACTGGTTAACTTATTTGCGACCTGTCTCTGTGGGGCCTGTAAACGACCTCTGTGGGGCCATCATTTCCAAGCGTACCGATGCGGCGATTGTGGACAGCTAATGCATCTAGATTGTCAAGGAACACCATTAGAGTGCGGAACTGTTACACAATCGCTGGAGCCTCGTAACTTCGTCCCTATATCGATTAGTTATGATGATTTACGACAGAGCTTTCTGGAGTTCTATCGGGAACTCATCTCTATATGGGAGATCAATAACCCTTCAGCATCATCAATGTATTCTTCCGCTCCAGGAGTGGCAGTAACGGCAGCAACCTCCATTCCTTCGCCAGCTACGCCTTTATCTGCACAATTTAAAGAACGATACTCATATGAAGAAGCTAGCTGCAACGCCAGCATCCTAATGCTACAGCTTGAACTTTTATTAACAGGAATTACACGAGAAGAAATACAGGTGCATGAATGGGCCTCGAAGGAAGAGACAGAAGAGCAGCCCACACCATTAGAGCAGGGCTTATTAATGAAAATGACTGCTTCAGGGTTTGAGTTGATAACGCTCCAAAAGTTCTTTGTAGATCTTGTTAAATCTATGCAGCAGCAACACTTTTCGTCTTCTTCTGGTACTGCTACTGCTGGTGCTCATCAGCAGCTGATGCCATTGTCATTATTTGTGGCCGATTTTTTCGAAGACACCCTACCAGATACTCTTCTACTCTTTTCGCCATCTTACTGGAGCCATTTTGCCGCGTTGGCCAAAACTATGATCAGGGAGACAGAAGCTATACACACAGACAGCCATCATCATCCTCATCAGTACAACCACCAGCAATATTTCATTTCTACGCCTACAGAAAGTGGTGGCGGCCTTTGTGAGGATATTTTTGCTCCGGACCTGGACACAGCTCAGGAACAACTATTAGCACAACACTCAGTTCAAATGAGCCATATATCTCTATCTACCATCCTACGGTTCTGTATACGGCGACTCGAATTTCATAGTCATTGGACTATGCAAGTGATTTTGCAAGAGTGGGTCAAGATGGGACTTTTAGAACGTCTAGATGGAGAGTTGTGTTTGTTTGAGGTGGACAGGCCTACCACTATAACAGCTCAAGGTTCTGGGGAGTTTTTACCTACCACCACTATTGTTGGCATACCTTCAAATCGCTCTCAATTTTCGCCTAACGATTCTTGTTTAACGCAGAACCTAGACCTACAGCAGCAGCAACAAGATCAACGCATAGACGACTTGGATACCGTTGCTGCTAGTGCTGCTACCATTACTTCTACGCTCCCTATAATTCAAACATCTTATTCCGATGCAGCCGTCGGAAGCAACAACGGTACAACAGCTATGATGCCTTCACAGAGGGTAGTTCGAGATGTGCACTGCCTTTTCCCGATGGTCAATGCGATTGACCCGACTCGGGATGTCGAGGACTTGATCCATACCATTTGGAGCTGCCTTAGTACCATTAACCTATCGATTAATGAAAGCGGGTTTCTGTTGTTGACGAGGCATTGTTGCCCAGACCCGTTCATGTCGGATTATACTTGCGAACGGTTGGTAGGATGTATCTTTCATTGGTTGCTTCTGGAGGATGAGCATTTAATTTCTATCCATAAAAACTATACATCCAGAGGGAAGAAGATCCCTGGAGTTCGAAATGACCTCGAAGAGCAGATGGCGAGGAAGCGCGCGTTGTTGAATACTATGAATATAACGCCGCCTGGTAGTGGCGATGCTCTTAACAGTGGTAGATCAGGTGTGACAGACAGCCCATTAATGTCTGGGGTTACCACAAGCTCCATGACCGCGGCAACAAACCCTACTACGACCAGTACTACTACTGCTGCTGCTGGCACTGCCTTTGCTAACGCATATTCGAGGACTAATTCGACTACTACGGCTTCAAATCTTTTTGGCGCCGTAGGATCTTATGTAATGACCCGGAAACTTATGGCTAAAAAGTTTGCGCTCCCCTGGCTTAAACAGATTATGAAGCTGGACCCAACAAGGTACTTTGATATGGTATATCGCCAGATCAGGATCCTGGAACGGGAAATGGTAGCCCAAGATGAAGAGGGCGCAGAGGAATATTTTACACAGGAGGAGATAGAGGTAAAAAAAAAAAAAAAAAAAATAGCACTGCTGCTATTCTTTGTCTCTGTTGGCGTAACTGAAACCAACATTCACCCATGGAGATTCCTTTTACTTTTACTTACCTGTATAGAGATTTCACCAACGCCAGGCAGAACGTTACCTTGAATCAATTGTGAAACTTCGTCAGGCAGGATTTCTGTTCGATATGTTCCCGAATATACTTTGCCGTTGGTTGGACAATCTCAAGGAACTGATGGACGGTATGGATGTATCGAGTATGAACTTCAAAACTTTAAACAAGCTCTTTTTTAAAGCTAGTGCCAGAAGTGGCAGTGGATTGGGACTCGGCAATGCTGTTCGGAGTGCTGACGGGGGAGGCAGTAATAGTCATAGTAATACTACCCTCAGTCGTCCTATTCTAAACGGGTATTCTGCAGCTACGGAGGTTGGTAATAGTGGTAGTAGCGATACTGGGGCTGGCATTCAAAAAGATAATGAGTGGCGGAGCCGACTGAAAGCAAGATTGTTCCATGATTCTTCGAATTCCTTTGTGGGAAATCAATCACCGATCGCTTCGGACGCTTCAGTTATTGAAGACTTAATTGAAAGTCCTCTCGATACGCTTCGAGTCATACTGAAGCGATCTCAAGGCCCAGATGAGCGTAGTAGCAATGCGACTAGGGGCAACAGTATTCATAAAGCTCTCTTTTGGCTAGATGCCATGGTTCAAAGTGGTGTCCATGTACCTGCACAAGCATTTCTGGAGTGCTGCGAAAGCCTTGTGGATGTAGTAGACTCCCCGGATATGGTACCAACAAGCAATAAGGAAAAGATTCAAAATGAAACGTCAGGAACATTGTCGGCACAACCTAAAGATGCCTCGTCACTTACTGCGATGTCTGGCCAAAAACCTTCGGCGATTAGGCAATATGTTGTGAGCGACTCTGAGCTTCTTGAGCTATCCAGAGATTTTCTCAAAATATGTTGGCGACATATCGTAACGTCTGTAAACCGAATGTCAGAAAGCGAGACAGGTGAAATTGTTGAGGCCATTTTGCTGATAAATCAAGCAGAAATATTGAGTATTATGAACCAGGATGTCGGGAACGGAGAAATTAGCAAGGATCTTGACAGGTAACATAAGCTATCTCTGCAGTAAATAGATATAGCAGGTGACAGTGGGCGTTATGTAGCCATGGTTTCCAGAAAAGGAGCCGTTAATTTGAACTCATTTTTCTTTTTTTTTCCTTCCTCCGTATTTGTATGGCGTAGTGAACAACGGTTGCTCAAATATGCATTAGCAATCGCGATGTACGGATACGGATGCCCATTACGGACTATCTTAGCTACAGAGATAGTGCCTCTTAGTTTGAATTCTAAGGAAAAGCGCAGGTAAAATGATGACGGCAGGAGTTATATTCAGTCGCGTGTTATGTCATGAAGCTATTCACGTGCTAATGCACGATTTCTACATTCTCTCGTAGCCGGCAAGGCAAGAGCCCTTCGGGAGGCAATAGCGATGGTAATTTACCGTCGCAACAGCAACAGCATTATTCTAGGCAGCCATTCCTGCTTGACCGCAACTCTGCAGTGATATCCATGCTCTTATATAGTCTACGCACTCCTTATCTCTCATTGCAGGGTGAAGCCGTGAAAGTTCTGTCTGTTATCCTGGACAATGCTCGTAGGGTTTCGAATATGGATGATTTCATTAAGAGCATACACGATGATGTGCTTCCTATCGTATGGGAAATGATCTCACCACTGAACGACCACATAACCGAGACAACACTACCTTTATTGATGCGCTTCATATCCAGACATCCTGATATATTTCAAAAAACCCTCTCGCATTACTTTAACGATCAGGACTGGGAAACCCGGTTTTCAGCACTTGACCCAGTTTTCGGACTCTTCTCCAAACTAGACGATGCCATGGTGATGAAGCTTTTCTTCCAACCAATAGTTGCGACAACCTCATTCGCAATGGGGACTATGTTGAGCAGTAAAGGAAAAGACGTCGAAAGAGGAGGCATACGCTCCCGTGACCAGCGACAGCAACAGCAACAGCACCAGCACAGAAAACGGCCGGGAGCCGACCCATTTGAGTTCGAGAACAGTGAGAGCCGTGGTACAGGCTTGAGCGGGTATGACCAGAAAGACTCAAACAAAAGCCAAGGCGATTCACTGGAGCAACACTACCTTCACCACCGCTACCAGTTTCTTCCGGATCAACTCCAGAGCCTGGGGCCCGCATTTACTTTTTTTGTTTCCTCCATGTGGGATAAGGAAGAAGCAGTGCGCACTAAAGCCAAAACACTTCTCAAAGCACTTCAGCCTGTTCATATTCTCCACGCACTTAAGGCCTGGGAACTCCATTTCATTGCCAGCCCACCACAGGCCCAGCAGATGCTCTTGAAGCTGATGACACGCTTGAACAATTACTTTCCTAGATGGAAGATAATGAACTATGGGCAAATATTTAGGCTACTCACGAGCGGAAAACTGGGCCAACTTGTTCCAGGCGGTATCTCAGACGCTTCAAACGAGAGTCACATAAAGCATAGCAGTGACGCCTCAAGTGACTGTGGGATGAATACGGACATGCCTTCGGACGATTCCAAGCACCGCCCAGTAAAGGTAGAGAGCTCGCAAACCAGAAGGGCGTCTCCTACATCGGCTTCGCCCATAGAGACCTTCGATGGACCGCAACCACACCACACAGGATTACAACAGCAGCAGCAGCAGCTGAATGAGACAGTACCCGAGCGGAGGGCATCACTTAATGTCCCGGCTGCTTTGGATACAGAGTCACCAGTAAATACGGCATTCATGCCAGCGGGCGAACCATCACGAAGTCATCGGCGTGCCTCTGTCATATTGTCTGCAAAGCCTGCTGAATTGTCATCTTCATCAGCTCTAGAAACGGAAATAGAATCTCGCGAGAAACAGTTAGCTCTCGAAGATGACATCCACTGCAGTCTACTGAATTTGGCTCTTCAGATGGTGGCCAACGGTATCGAACCTCGACTGGATGAAGTGATCCAGATCAAATACTTGGTAGTCTTTTATCTCGATTTTGAAGACTGCGAGCTTTTAAGCTTAGGTCAGGGTAAATTCCAGGTCCGCTATGGAGAGTATATTCCTCGACAGAGGATGAGCCCTTTCCATAGCATAGCAGTAGCAGCGAGCACTAAAGAGGAAGAAGGTCATAATACTATGCTGCCAAACGATCCTGGCCACGAGAATTTTGTGTTGACAATTTGTAGAAACCTGCAGCTAATTTTGGATAGGTATGTGGAGATCAAGCCGGATTATGAACGTGATCCACCCACACTTTATGACCAACTCCAATTCTTGAGAGGTACAGAAGGGGGAACATTATCTGGATCTGAAGCGATGATGATTCAGAGCGGCTATGCGACACCACTCCCAGCAGCAATGGGAACAACAGAAAGAACATTTAGCGCAACTACTGCCACCGTTTTTGATCCACCCAAGGATTCGACGCAGGGGTCAGCTCCTGATTCGCAAGAGGAGGACGAAGACAATTGGGAAACCGAGCCCCATCACCGTCATAATCTGCTTCACTTCTCTCGCAACAAGCACCGCCAGGATGACCACCACAACAGCTTTCGAAAAGATTCTTTCGGCAAACAAAATAATGTTGCTCAAAGGAATCAATACCAACAGAATAATTACTCGCCATACGGGCAGCATGGGCTGCAACCACGCTACCAACAATATCACCATCACCACTACCGCCGCAATCAGAAACGACGACTGGACGATAATACGCCCGTCGTAGGAACATATTTTGTGGACGTGATCTTGCGATTCCTTGGGTCTGAGACTGATCTGGGCGCACTTCCTGCAGGAAGGCTGAAGGACTGGCTTGAACTGTTGTTCATTGTGATCTATAAGTACATCAAAGAAGTAGATCCACTATCAGATCTCGTAGTTGTGCTAATGAAACGCATTGTGGACATGTTGGTAGTTAAGAAGAACGTGATAACGACGTCTGGAGGCACTACTGGTGCTGCTGCTGCCCTGAATGTTAATTCTCCTACGGGTGAAGAGTCGCTATCTGATGAGAGCATCCTACTGTCGATATCTATCTGCTCTACGCTTCTAAAGCGGTCTTCAACTATGACAACTGCGCTACTTTCAAGAGAAATCATGGCTATGGGGCGGTTGATGACTAGAAGGAGAGATGATCCAGGCGATCCAGTCCTGAACCGGGCAAAGAATTTTTTACATGACGCATTTGTGCACTTCATGGGTAGCGGACTATTTGTCCTCGTTTTTAAGGTAATATGGCGAAAAAAAAAAAAAAAAAAAAAAAAAAAAAAAATTGCAACGTACTTGTGCAATACTAACTCTTTAGCATTTACTGCTTTTTATTTGTGCCATCAGACTCAGCCTGCCCATAATATAGATTCATTCGGCTGGGAAGATCAAGTACATGAAGTAGATCAGGATCTAGACCTTTTTTATGTCCTAGCTACAGTCTTGGGTGAGGACGAAATGGTGCCATTGGACCCATCTGCCTCCAGTGTACGTCTGGTCCATTTCCGAGACCAACCTGTTCGTGATATATTAGATCGAGTCACAATCTTTCGAGAATTGGAGCCAGCCCAAGTGTCGACCATTTTGATCAATCTGGCGCTGTATATCGAGCGGGTCCATTGTAAATTCCAGGACCCACGTCTACTGCCGGATATGGCTCAGTTCCTGACCAAAATCACAAAATATACAGCTGAATGGGATCAACAGCAAATTCAAAAACAAAAAGAGCAGCTTCAACAGATGAGGCTAACACAAGATCAACAGCAGCAGCAGATGAAGCAACAAGCTAAAAAGCAATCTTCAAACCATTTGTTCCCAGGAAATACCTCGACAATGGCTTCGAATACGTCCTCACTCAATTTATTACAGCAACTTCACTTCCACCAACAGCAACAGTGGCGGCTGCAACCTGCATCCCAAAAGCATATGCATCTTCAGCAACAGTCCTCTGCTGGGTCGACTGCCTTAGACCTAATAGGCCAGCACACTGTGACAGCCCCTTCAGGAACTGCAGTTACACCACTCGAAGTAACAGATTCTACGATTGAGTCACAAAAAGGTACTGCCGAATCTACTTCATTGAGCTTATCTTACCCTACTTCATTGTCAGGTGAGGATGCAGCAACGCTAATAACACAACAAGGCTCTCCCTTAACAATGCCGCCTCCCAATACAACAAAGTCCTCAGCTCAGGCTCCTCCTTCTAATCCCTCCTCTACTACTGGGCCTCCTATAGCGCCTCCGAAGCCACTGTTTACAGAGCAAAAACCCAGTGCTCTAAAACACATGGATTCTATTGATCCAGAGCTGAACCTATTTGGGGGCACTGGCCATCAAAACGATACTCAGGATTCTAAGGTCTCGCCTACATCATCTCAAAGGCATCAACCTCAATACCAGCAGCAACATCTGCCTTCACACCACCGCAACCAACACCGCTCACATAACCATCGAATTCAACCGAAAAAAGTACCAGTCCAAAAAACCAATTACGTGTACCATTGGGATTACAGCAACGCAATATTAAATATGTGCTCCACCCTTATGATTAAGAACCCGATGGAAGGACGTCAGTTGATCCCAACAGTTAAGCATGTCCTTAAGCAAGCGCTCCATCGAGATAGAATCAGTGCCTCGGCCTTGGTCCGTCTATTGACTGGATATTGTTACATTGCAGAGCAGGATTTTTCTATAGCCCTCGTCAATGCTTTTGGTGAGTTTATCGTGGAGGAGCTGAGGACTTCGATCCACAATTATACTAATGTCAAACATGGCGATGAACTGGCGCAAAAAGAAGATGAGCAAGGAGCGGGGATACGAGAGGACAGTATATTTGATAGCCGCCACGGATATCGCTCATTTGGAAAACACGGCAAAGATGGTAGTGAAAGAAAGGGTAAGGAAGGCGTGGCGTCAACATCGACTGTTGGGTCAGGGGAACATGGTGTGGGTGCAGGCATCAAGGCCGGAGTAGGCGCAGCAGTCAATGTTGGGTTAGGCAACTTAGGGCTTAGTGATGATATTGGGTTAAGTGCAGGACAATACACGGGTGGGCGTGGCAGGATTTCGCCAAGTAATTTACACCTGCTGCATCATGTAAGTGCGACTATTCATGTACTTTATTTTATGCTTTCACCTTTATTTAAAGCTAATGACTCTTATCATTCCTGTACAACGATGTATAAAAATTTATTCAGCTACTTATTTGGGATATTGATCCTAGCTACAATATGGAATGGACGCGTATCAAATGGAATATTCTAGGTTCCATGCGTTTCCCACCTGGCCATCCGATCTTGTTCCCTGGTGCTAACGATGCTCTACGTCACGAGACTGCGCTGATCGTTAGAGATTGGGTTGATCAAGATTAGATAAACCTAGACACAATCAAAAAAAAAAAAAAAAAAAAAAAAAAAACATATTAATAATATAATAATAATAGTGCATGAACATGTACATAATTAATGACAATGGAATAGACAATGCTAAAAGCATAATAGTCTGACTCTGATCACATACCACTCATTCTCTCTTAATCTTTATTTTGGGCACCTCAAACTTATCAGCTCTTCATTTCATATACAATGAATCACAACTATAAGTTTTTTTGTTCAGGATGATCCAGTTTATGTATAACCCATTACAATCCGTCTGTGGATGCTTCTTCTACAGATGTATATGGCTATCGACACCAACTTTTTTTGTTTCAAAGATCATCTCTTCTCTCTCTTCCTTCTATCAGTAATCCCTTCCTCCAAAATGATCTTCAAGAGCCCTATCCTTGCTTTGACTGTTATCTTCTTGGTAATTCTTTTAGTTGCTCCTTTTACTGAGGCTACATTGAGACATGACACCCCTGCGTCCGTAGATCCTGCCTTCCGCTTCCAATTGGTAACTAGTGGAAATGCCCTCTTTATATGCCAGAGCATCCATTTAACGGTTCCGACAAGGATTCTGAATCTTTGAAGCGCAAATCTAGCACTATCAGTACTCCCAAGCCCCGGAGTAAGCAAAAAAAAAAAAAAAAAAAAAAAAGATCGGAAGAATCTCCTATTTTTAAGAGTATCTTCTCTTCTATCACTCATTTCCTAAAGAAAAAAGAAAAAGTAATAAACAGCTCAAGTTAGCGCCCTTTCATGCATTTTTGCGTCAAAAAAGTGGTAGAACGGGGCTAATGGTATTTTATGCGGTTATAACTAGTCAAACAGGGTTTTATCAAAATATGCTTCTTGTGAAGCTCCATTGCAGAGATAAAGAGTCATAATGTAAACAACCTAGATTTTGATCTATGCTCCTCACTATATGCGGGTGTTTCGATCATTCGGGAACTGGCCTTCTTAGAGTTATCTCGCTATCTGCTGAGTAAAGCTACTTCTCGTTTGTGCATATAGCCTGAAGTTGGATCTGTAGAATAAGATTAACGAACCAGAGTCGTGCTAATTCTAGATTTTGTTATTCACCCAAATGTCCACCCACGTCTTGATTGTAGTAACAATAAGACGTTTTTTTTTTAAATTGCCAGTAACAACCACTCCGACCTTGACTAGAAGGCTATGTTCTTCACATATGTTATACATCAAATCAGCCTTAGCTTTAACCAACACATCATAGCCAGCCTTGTTGGAATAAAGTATAGTCAGTCCATAAAAGGTGCCTTGGTACAAGCCAAAAGGTGCTTCTGATAAATTTTCTATGGACAAATACTATGGACGGATTACCTTGAACCTGATCCAGCAACGGCAGAAATTCAAGATGCCGCACGACAACGTGTAGACCAAGAGCAGCTCATCGCTAGCCGTGATGCAGTAGCTCCTTCTCCTAACATTCCTCCAGCAAACCCTGCTGAGATATATCAGAGAGAGCTACGGCGTTTATCCAAGCACTCCAGGAGTAGTGTCAGTCAGAATGGAGGGGCACCGTAAATGACGCTTTTTTGTTTACCCAAATTATGTATTTTTTATCATTTTTTAGTACTTTAATAATTTTATTTCTTACTGCGAAAACGGCATCTCTTCTTACCATCGATTCCCTTTTTGCAGGTGAGTTTATTTCACTATTTTTATCATGAATCCTCAGAAAACCATTAGCAGTTATTAAAGGTCTCTTCTTACCATTATCGATACCCTTTTGCAGCATCTATCTAATTTATTCTACGTCCTCGTTAGGATCACCCCAATTCTACAAGGCTTTTGCCCGATTTTTGACTTGTTATTTTCCTACTAGTTTTTAGAGATCACTAGTAGACGTATTACGACAAATGGTAGCAAAGGTTCTTTTTACCTCTATCACGATCTAGCTATTTCTTCATGTCCCTCTTCCTTACACTTTCCGATTGTACGTATTCACCTCTCTACTGTAATTATATCACAAACTTTTATTTCCCATTGAGCAAATCTTTTGGTCTTTTTACTTGTTTGCCTTTTTTTTTTTTTTTTTTTTTTTTTTTTTTTGGAGCCAAGCACCTTTTGTTTATCAACAATGCAAACCACACCCAATACCAACGCGCAAAGCATTTCAGGACCTTCCGCCAAGATTTGTTTTCTTGACAGTGACAGTGATATAAATATAGAAGCCACAACCAATCAACACTTCAGTCTTGCAGGAATAGAACGATTTGACAACAAGACAGATGCTTCAACTTGGCTACGCACTATGGACGCCCAGTATAGGATTTCCAACGTCAACGACAACTTCACGGTCCAGGTTGCTTTACACATGGATAAGGTTCCACGTGATTGGAGCCTTCGACATATTGATAACCTTGAGGCTAAGAACATTCTTACTTGGAAGAACTTTGCTCAGGACTTTAAAGCACAATTCGCTAAGACTTTGTACTACGTGCTGAGGCTTGAGAGTGTACCTCAGGGGCACTTCCATTTTTATTCATAAGATCAGAACATTGTGTGGCGATCATGACGGGTCCTTAATAAAGGGCTCCCACCTGGCAACAATAATAAAGACAACTTTGATCTCCTTGACTACAACCAATCAGCATTTTAATCTTGCAGGAATTGAACGATTCGACAGCAAGGCGGATGTTTCATCCTGGTTACGCGCTATGGACGCTTTGTACAAAATCCCCAACGTCAATGATAACTTCTTCACAGTTCGTGTTGCTCTACATATGGACAAGGTCGCACGTGATTGGAGTCTTAGATACATTGACGATCTTGAGACTAAGAATATCCTCACTTGGAAAAACTTCGCTCAAGATTTTAAAGAGCAGTTTGCCAAAGCGGATGATGAGTTCGAGCTACGCTACAAGTACGACAATTTATCCATGAAACCTAACTCAGATGTTATGGAATTTGTCCGTGAGTTCGAGGCTGCATACTACCCACTCCGTGATAAAATCCCTGAAGAACTCCCGACGAGTTGCAGATCTATGGCTCCAGCGCAAGCACTATAGAAAACATCTCACTTTGTTAAACATTCAACCACACTACATATCATCGAAACAACTTTCATCAAAACATCTCTCATCAACACCGGGACCATCATCAAGATAACGATTATGTTGTTAAATCTATCATGGATATAGATTCTCTCAGAACTCGACGTCCGCCTGTGGTAGACACAGTCACTCTGAAGCCCAATGTTACAAGAACGGTGGTAATGGTCCTCAATCATGCTATGTTTCTGGCAAGACTGATCACAGAGGCTACGCTTGCCCTACAAAGTCCAAAAGCAAGTCCGTCAAGTCTGAAAATCTACTAACATCTAGCAACTACAAGCTCATGCTGTGGAGCTTAGTGAGATGTTTTCTGTGGTATTGCTAGTCAAGGAGATCAAAGCTGTCTCTATTATTGTTGCCAGGCGGGAGTCTTTTATTAAGGACCCGCTACGACCGTCACACAATGTTCTGATCTTATGAATAAAAATGGAAGTGTCCCTGAGGTGCATTCCCAAGCCTCGGTACGTAACACTTAGTAAAGTAGCAGAGAAATCAGCGCCGGTAGAAGACCATATCAAGATGTTACACGAATAGATCTTCATCAAGACAAGCACCGGTTCGACCGAGTTGATCGCTCTTATCGAGGATGATGCAACAGCACTCAATAGGATCCGTGCATACGATCCTTTACTTATTAAAAAAGAAACGAAATTTAATCGTCCATCGACTGCCACCACAGCCAGTCAACCTCAGTAATGTCAAGCTAACAGGCTTAGTCACTCTTGTTTTTACCACTGGCTACTTCACTCATGATGAGGCTCGTACGATATTCTCATTATGCTTTAATGTTTTATATAGTAGTACTTTATCAGCAATGGGATGCGTACATTAGTCTAAGATTCAGAGCACTCAGATATTTGTAACTTAGCCCCAAGTTTGTGGGGTTGTCAGGCATATATTTGTTGATGAAGATATCTACATTCTAGAAGAGATCATAAATTACTTGGTGACACGCTCCTAATCGGATGTTGATTGCAATCAATTTCTTAGTCTTAGTATCATCAAAGTTTTTAATAAGGGATTAATCTATTTGGCAGCCCATACCAATAGTAATTTTTGCCTCTATTTGGCAGCCTACTTCTGGGGGCTGCCACTTAACTTCGCACTCTTGGGTGGCAGCTGGGCTGCCAAATACAGTCTTTTTTTTTTTTTTTTTTTTTTTTTTTTGATAACAGGGTCATAACATCAGTGGTAAAACAAGCAGCGTTCTGTGGATATATTGCCTTGCACAGCTAATGCCGCCGGAGGTACTAAGGGCAGCGGCGATGACATCTTCACAAAACAGCCTTCAATGTACACGGTTAGAGAACGATTTATTGAAGACGTCTAGGTAGCAGGTGAGACGCGTTTGCTCCGAGCGAAAACCTCTCATAGGCATTGATCTCCAAATAGCACCTCCAAAGCTGTATGAGCGACCTACTTGAAAAAAAAAAAAAAAAAAAAAAGTCATTAGTTTTCTAAATGAGACAAGACAATGTCACTACACATAACTATGACGTAGAGCTTTATTAATTTAAAATATGAGCGTTAAATACAATACGGTTCCTTGGAATGAAAAAAAAAAAAAAAAAAAAAAATAGTTACTGCCAAGTAAATAATGAATGTTATTTGGCAACTAGGCTGCCAAATAGATTAATTCTTTAATAAGAGATGATCCCCATGTAGGAATATCGCCTTCATCATTCGAGTTTTGCAAAGTGGTCAAGTAAAATTTTGAGGAGATAATACATGATTAATTGGTAGCGTCCTAAATGACCCAAAACAAATTTTCTTTCTATTTCATGAAGTAAAAAAAGACTCGATGGAGAATGAGAGACTTGAACTCCCGACCTTCCGCTTTGGAGACGGACGCGCTGCCAATTGCGCCAATCCTCCTTCGTTAGAGGACGTGCAATTATTACTATATATTATTAATATTCATACTACCCTTAATTATCACGTGACTAATAATGCTTCTCAATATGCTTGTAAACCAATCCTCCCAGTTTTATAGTGTTAAGTTCAACGATGTACCAGCGGAAGATGACTTAAGGCAGATCCTTAAGTTACAAACAGACGCTGCAAAGTCACCGTCAACTGGGAAAGAGAAAATGGTATCACCTCTGTGAGCAAACGCGCCAGGGGACGCAACTGTGTTGGGAGGCACAGACGTAGCAGAGGTGAATTCTTTGGCTCTCACCAGGGACAACGACGAACAGCAGATGTGAAGGCGATCAGGACTGGGGCAGACCGGCGAGTGGTGGCAAGCTACCGGCAGCAGGTGGAATTGGCGATTATGGAGCGCCTGGAAAGCTGTAAATTTTTGATGATTGAGGACAGCGGCTAAAGGATGACCTTCGCGCACAACAGGCCAAGTAGGGAGTAGAGCCGTGCCACAGGTCCTCTGGGACCAAGGAAGTCTACTCAATGCTGACGTGGTTTATGAACAGGATGTAGTACTGTGGCAGTATAACGATGCGGCTTCGGCCGATTATTGGATACCGCTTTATTTGCGACCCCAGTAATGGGGCAACCCATTTATAGAGCTAACATCAAAATAAATCCTACATGACCTCGTGGGTCCTTGTTATCAAAAAAAAAAAAAAAAAAAAAAAAAAAAACCAGGGACAACGACGAACAGCAGATGTGAAGGCGATCAGGACTGAGGCAGACCGGCGAGTGGCGGCAAGCTACCGGCAGCAGGTGGAATTGGCGATTATGGAGCGCCTGGAAAGCTGTAAATTTTTGATGATTGAGGACAGCGGCTAAAGGATGACCTTCGCGCACAACAGGTCAAGTAGGGAGTAGAGCCGTGCCACAGGTCCTCTGGGACCAAGGAAGTCTACTCAATGCTGACGTGGTTTATGAACAGGATGTAGTACTGTGGCAGTATGACGATGCGGCTTCGGCCGATTATTGGATACCGCTTTATTTGCGACCCCAGTAATGGGGCAACCCATTTATAGAGCTAACATCTAAATAAATCCTACATGACCTCGTGGGTCCTTGTTATCAAAAAAAAAAAAAAAGAAGAAGGAGGGAAGAAGTATAGGAGATGTGAAGTAAGGGCATCTACGAGAGATGGGTGCAGGCGGTGCCCGAGATGCAGGCAGGGAGGCGTTTAGAAAAGCATTGAAGATGGCAATGGATTGAAGAGAGATGTGGACAGCTGCTCATGGCGACAGGACAGATGATAGATAAACTCCTGGGTAGGAGACATGGAGGAGTCATACTGGTCATAATTTAAGTATAGGGCGGTGGCGATACCTTTAACATCCTTGAACCAGAAGGTGTTAAAAGACACATCAGAGAATGGTTTCAAAAATGGCATGATTCTAGGCCAGCAAAATCTCTGGAGCAAGGATCGTGCTGGGAAAGGTAATACACCCCGCGCGAGAAGATCAAGAAAGAATGGTATGATGGCTCATTGCCCCACCTTCATGGGGGGGAATTTATGGTAGTCCTCCAAGATACAAAGAACGGAGCATCAGAAGTATCAGGACGAAAGATTTATTCCAACATCAAGGCCAAGTCGGACATAGCATTCTTTTTCCAGATTATTGGTGCACAATAGTACAAGAAACAATACTAAAGGGATGTCCGTCTCAAAGGAGCATATGCAGGAAATACTAGATATCGTCAGGCGAGAAGTGGATAAATGAGAACATATTTACCCCTTAATCATGGCCTTTGGTGAGGCCTTAAATAGTAGTAGACTCGACTTAGCACTAAGCTACTCGTGTATTGATAGTTATAATATAGCGGTTAGACACCACAACAGGACCAAGATCGATGCAAAAACAACGTAGATGCTGGTGCTAAGCAGCAAATACAGTGGTATAGGTAGCCTCCATTTCGACACATTGCCAGAGAAAATTCACTGACTTGGTAAAAATGACCTTGTACGGATATTAGGTGTCTAGGCAGTAGTCCGCGGATCGGTAAAGACGACAGAAATATTAATAACCGACTGCCAGAAGTTGATTTCTGTGGCACACTACATACATGAACATGAACATTAAAAAACGCCAATTTAATTAAGCCTCATGGGCGCAGCATGCCACCATTGCCATAGATGGTCTGGACTTTTGGGCAATTTCAAGGTTCATTGCCATCTGTCATCATTAAAACTCATTTGCCAATGATCATAACCTGACTTCCTCTTTTTCTCTCTCTTACTATAAATATCCCGACTAAAGCTAGCATGCTGCCCGCACTTCCTCCCGAGGTCATTGAACGTATCTTATCCTTTGTAGGACAGGCTTCACTCCGCACCAATATCCCACTGGTGTCACATCAATGGTATCGAATGGCTCGGGTACTCCTGAAGAGAACAGTCCACTTTTCAGCCATCCATCTGAAGGAAGGTGTAAATGAACAGGTAATGGCAAAGAAGCTTGGACTAGCCTATACTCTGGCTTGCCAACGAGGAAGTTATCCTAAATTCTACACAGCACGACTGCCTCTTGGCCAAGAAGAAGCGAGCTGGTCTATTCTCCGGAATGCCCTTGCGTCTTTAGCCTCTTCCTCTGCTACTTCATTTTACTCCTTTGGTCTCAAGATCCGACAGTTTTTTTTCAGTGCTGACCTTAATACCGATGTTTGGTCTCAATTGCTCCCACTTCTGCGTATCCTTGGTCCTGGCCTGACTTGCTTACATTTGGACAGTGTTCCTTATTCTGCGAAAATTTCTATGGCTGAGACTAGGCGCCTATGCCCGAATCTTGAAGAACTATCTGTTGCAACTGTCGCAGCAAGTTATGCGCCTTGGAGAGTAGACAGCATAGCTAAGCTAGAGGAAGAGCAGGATCTCGATATTAAGCAAGACGATTCTACTGACCATTTGGCCGATGTTCGCGCTCACATCAAGCAAAAGCGGCCTTGGCCATTGCGATCTGCTACGTTTGAAAAGCTAGGCTTGACAGAGACTGCCCTAGAGTCATTCCTTCGATCTTGCCCCGAGTTGACAGAGCTCCGAATTGTCAATGCTCAGCCAGTCTCGGAGAGGGGATCCAATGACGGCCCTATGAAGAATTTTCTCCTCACAAAGGAAAGGAGAACAGCGTTTTTTGGCCGCCTGTCGTCCTATTGTCCAAAGTTGGATAGCCTTCATGTTTCTGTGTGCGAGCCCTCGAGCATTCATGAAGAGGCTGCGCCTATTGCGCAGTTCCCGTTGGTGGAGCATTGGGGGGTTTCTACCGCCAGTATGGTCAGGCATCCCTTGTCATCAGCATGCGTCCTCTTGGATGCGCATCGAATGGTAAATCGACTGACGACAGTTGAAATTATAGGCCCTTGCAGAGGAAGCACCGCGGCGGACGAACGACGCATTGGGGTCTGGGTCCATCAACTCTTGTGTGAAAGCCCATTATTGGAGCATTTCAAAGCCTTAGAGGTAAATCTCCCTCTGGACCTTCTCTACGTGACCAAAGCGCTTTTTGGTCAGCCATGTGTTTCACAGTCCTTCCTCTCACCCTTGGTACCCTTAAATCAGCGGGTCTGGGCCTGTCGAAAGTTAAAGACACTGCACATCCGGATTGATGAACAGCATCGAGTAGGCATGACGGATTTCGCGGAACAATTGCGTGTGGTTCTCGGATATATCAGTCGGGTGTGTCCTGATCTTGAAAAGCTGGCTATTAATAGGACCAATGTATTTATCCGTGGGCCTGTCAGTTTGTGTTTATTGTCACGTTTGAAGCGTCTGAGGACCCTGCAACTGTACTTGAGAGGATATCCTTTGCCCTTGAAAGAGAATAGCATTGACTGGATGAAACGGCAGTATTATTATGATACACAGGAGCAGATGAAGCAGCAATGGGAAAAAGTGCATAAGAGGCAATTTAGTGCGGTTAAAGGGCTGCTGCGACTTTGGAAGGCTGTTCGGACTATAAATGATTTATACTGCAAAGATGATAGTGTCAGTCTATCAGAGCAGAGCCTTGGAGTATCATTTCCTTTAGTTCGTTCAAGGTTCGACGGCAGTATTTTTAACAAGAATAAGGAGATAAAGCTTCCTGACATTGCGACTGATCAAAAACATGGACAACGGACATACGAGAAGAAAAATGAGAAAGAGCTGTCCGAGCATGGAAGAGAAATAATTGATGGCGTTGACATGACCCATCTTGGTCAAGTGCAAGATTTGATCAATTATTTCCAAGGACGACGTGCTCACCGGGAAGAGTGTTTATGGCCAGAGATGGAAACGATTGATATGCGGTTTCAAACGAATGAAAATAGACATGCGCAGAAACACTATGCTTTGAAAGAGATTCAGAGAGTTATTAACAAAATCCGGCCCGAAATTGAGATTATCATGCCACCGTTACAAGAAAAGGCATGGAGATAGAGGTATCCCTTCATATTTATTATAAATAGTAGTTGTCCAATCGCGTTTTCATTTCGACGCGATATCAGGGGGGTATCCCTATACACTTCTAACATTCACATGCACAAAAGATAAAAAAAAGAAATCGGAGGTATTGTTCCTTATTCAGCAGCCCAGTAGTATGAATCTGCATACTGGAGCTAGCATTGTTGGTAATGGAGACAAAGTCTAGAATAGATGAAGGGGCATGAAGAAACCGAAGCAGAGAGAGTACTCTGCTATGCTTTGTAATGCAAATCATATCGCTTGAGTCGAGATCGTCCAAGTGTAAGAGAGTAGAACTCAATTTTATACTTTTTTGCTTTGGCGAAAAGGTTATCTTTACGGACAGATGGGTATTTAATATATATATTTATATACATTTCTCTCTTCTGTTGAGCAATTTAAAACAATTGCATGTAAACATGGTAAACATGGTAAACATGTCTAATGAAGGCTTTTTTTTTTTTTAATATCGTTCGGTATATAACATTCGGTAACGTTTGGCTTTGTATGGTTGGCCTCAATGAAAAAGTGCACAAAGGATTTCTTTTTTTCTTTTTTGTCATTCCCGTCATTTGCCAATACGGAAATCGATATCCGGTTTAATTTATTTCATGTATTAATGATGGAGCATGCAAACAATAAAAAAAAATTAATGCACAACTACACCCTTGTCTGTTTATTTGTTTTGTGCGCAATAGCGCTTTGTGAAAACACCCAACTTTGCCAAGAATGCATTGCAGCACATCTATACAAATAAAAAAAAAAAGAAAAAGAAAAAGAGCCGTTATTGGATTGAATTGAAGGCTCAGGAACAAACACGTTTACCTCGTTCTAAACATTCTCTTCGTTTTTTTTTTTTTTTTTTTTTTTTTTTTTTACTTTCCACATTCCTCTCTTCTTCATTCTCATTTACATTCTTTCCTGTCATTCATTCAACCTGTTCAAGGAAGTTAAAATTAAAATTAAAAATTAAAATAAAATAAAATTAAAAGACCCGCTCATGGCTTCAACATTAAATGCTCAAGATACACACGAGGTCAAAGATGAATACTCGCCCGAGCCCATCTTTAAATCCTTCAAATCGAGTGAATTACCTCCACAGATCTCCAATAGCCCCCCACATGTAATCATTTCTGGTGGGGGTCTTGCAGGCTTATTCTTGGCAAACATCCTAGAAAAGGCAAACATCCCATACCAGATTTTCGAGCGTGCAAAAGAGGTTGTACCTCTTGGTATGTATACACATTTCTTCCTCTCTCACCTTTTGTCACTTTGTAAATATATAGAAACTCACAATTTTAATCTCTATTTTTGTATTGGACTGTAGGCTCTGTCATGAGTTTGACAGCGAATATCCTTCCTGCCTTCGAGCAGCTGGGATTATATGAGGATCTTCGCAAAATCTCGTTTACATGTTCCATGACCAGGATTTTCTCACACGACATGAAGAAGATTGGAGAGTATAGTTGTGAAGAAGATAACAAAATGTGAGTATATACATTTACTTTTGCATAGATTGTCGCCTCCTCTTTTAGAAAGCAATACAAGATACATGATACACAATCATTTACTGTATTGTTATTTTATTATTTGTTTGATGCAGCGTTGGTTATGAGAGCGCACTTTTCCCTCGCCCCGAACTCTACAAGTTGCTGTATGATCGCATTCCTCCTCACAAGATCCAAATGGGCAAAAAAGTCATGAGTTTTTTACAGAACCAAGAAGGTGTCATGGTGCGTCTCAAAGATGGAACATGCGTTCATGGTGACATCTTAGTAGGAGCAGATGGAGCCTATAGCGCGGTTCGCCAGAATTTGTTCAAAGAGCTTTCTGAACAAAAGAAATTGCCGTCTTCAGATGAGCGTGAGATATCAAAGGGTTATATCTGTCTAGTAGGCACGACTAATGCGCTCGATCCATCTAAATACCCTGGTTTGGGAGGACCGACGTGTGACAGTAACTTAATGGTTGGCGACAAGTCAACGCCATATGCAGTGAGTTACACCAGTTCCTGAGAAAATATGTAATTCAGAAACTTTTTTCTTTCTTGATAGTTTTAATATTCACATCATTATTATAAATAACCATCCTTGTAGTGGAGTGTCATTCAAGTGCCTGGGAACAGAATATGCTGGGGTGCTGTCTTGCAACTAACTGCCGATGCATCAGCGGATGAGCAGTTTCGGAATTCCGAGTGGACCTCTGCACACAATAAAAAAATGATCGAGAGGGTATATCACTTCAAGACTCCATATGGTATCCTTGGCGACTTGATCGATGCTACACCAAAGGACCTAATCAGCAGAGTCTTCCTTGAAGATATCCTATATGAAACTTGGCACCATGGTCGGACAGTGTTGATTGGCGATGGTATGTGTCTCATGAACTAATGGATTGTCTTGCAAAAAGTTATTTCTTTTACTTAAAGTTTTTTTTTTTTTTTTTGTCTAAATCGCGTCTCTCTAAGCTGCACACAAGGTTAGTGCTGGACATATGGCAATTATCTTTAATGAAAGCAAGTTATTTTGTTACTAATTTTTTTTTTCTTGGTCACGATAGATGCTTCCAAGTGCTGGCCAAGGTGCTATAAATGCAATGCAAGACGCTGTAGTTTTAGCAAACTGCCTTTATGACCTTAAACCTTTATCTTTTGGAAGAATTCAAAAAGCATTCAAAAGTTATCATGCGCAACGGTATCATCATGTAAAGACACAATACGAAGCAAGTCAAATTGCAGCTAAACTGCAATATGGTCATGTAAGCCATTTAAAGTTGAGAAGAGGAGAAGGGTATATGAAAATCCGGTTGACATAGTTTTACAACAATCGATTAACGCTTGTATTTTTGTAATCAATAGACGATGTTCGAAAGGCTGTTTCGACATGTCGTCTTCCATTATCTACCCAAGTCAGTACAAAAGAGTCGAGTAGTCAAGGATTCTCAATATCGTCCACAGATTGCGTTCCTTCCACCTCCTCTTAAACATGAAATAAGCCCTGTAAATTCACAAAAGCCTTCAAGGAAACACAAAGAGGAGGAGCAAGCAGTCCCTTCATAAGTATCATATCGTCTCTATAGTGATAATAAAATATCAAGAAGCCCCACTTCCTCGATATATATATATCTATATTGTCCTCGCTTCTGGCCATCAGTTCAATCAATATATTTTTACACTATGTTCGTGACCAAATGGCGACGATATCCCAAACTATTGCTTCGGCTATTGAAATAAGATTAAAAGAAGAACAATTGTATGCAGAGATCCACAAGCGAAAATAAAAAATTAAAGTATAGATATATATATATATTTATACTGTAATAGTTTATTAAGTCAAATTCCAGTGTATGCCCATTAATAGGCAAAATGTTTCATAGGTTTCACGTACAGACACAGAGACACAGAGGTTAGAATTCAGGCACATGTCTTTTCACTACATCTAACTGAAAAGTAGAAACTAAAAGTATCTTTAGTTACACGCGCGTAGCGCGCTCACAAAGCGGTCTGATCTGATCAACACCTTGCTTCATACAATTCTTCATTCCCGCATTCCATTCCACTCATTCCACTCATTCCTCATCTGTACTCATTCCGTACTCAAAGGAAAATAACGCGCTTGAGGGAAGCTAACAATTGATCAAGCTCACTAAGATAGCGATTGAACAATTGAAATATGAGGAGAGTATATTCTTGAACTGGACTTGACAATATGAGCTAAAAGTATAAAACCATGTTCGCTTACATTTTTCTTTTTTATTCTTTTCTTTTATACATTATACATCATCGCTATTTATTACGATAACCACTACTTGCAACACTTGATCGTACTCACAAATATCTACCCAATTCCCTCAACAAAAAATATAAAGTAACCTATCAAGATGCCCCGCACTATCGCTTCTTCTTCTTCTGGCAACGCTGCCTCTTCATCAATAAACTCAGGTCCAAGCGGGACCTTCTTCGAATTTAGCGTGAAGCAAGGGAAAGAAGGAAGAAGTGGCTATGCACGAAAGGCTAAGGAAGCCAGAGATGAAAAAGAAAAAAGGAGAGAGATCCGCGAGGGCAAAAGAAGGGCCTGTTCTGTAGGCGTCCACAACGTCTCCGAGGAACACACCCCTCGCAAGCGGATCTACTCCCAAGACACGATTATCGGTGCAACAACTGATAACTCTTCCAGCCACCTTCAGTCGCCTTTTTCGTCTGAAGAAACAGCAGAGCAGAGAAAAACCTGTGCTAACCATGTTCTCGAATCTCTCCTCGCCAACAAGAATCCCTCAAAGACATTGCTGCAGTACAAGACATACTTGAAAGCTTGGCAGGTAAGTTTATTATTTTGTTTATTTGTTTATTTTATTTTTTAGGACAGTCAAATTTTTTTTTTCATGCTTCGTAATACAAAATATGCAAATACAATATAAATGATAGGTGTTCTGCAGCACAAGAGAAAAAGGGGACTGCAGCGTTGACGCAAGAAAAATGTTAAAGTTTTTCGAGGAGGTTGTTTTCAAGCGCACAGTAAAGAAATATATTGATTCAAACGCGGGATTCAGTGGCGTCGTTGGAAAGGCTTCATCACAAGCGGCCAGATCAGTGTTAGAGGGCAAGCTGACTCGCGAAAATAAGAGAAAACCAAAGGCTTGGAAAGCAGAGACAGAGGAAAGTATTTTTCAGGATGTTGTCCATGAGCTGGAGCAAAATTATAGCCAACGTAATTCACAGCCTTATGAGACTCCGGCATTTGAGGGGTTTGAGGAAGCCTCCCAAGGTGACAAAGACGATGCAGGAAGCGAAGACGAGGAACAAAATCACTCGCAACCAGCTGAAGAAGAGGCCCTCATGTCTGCTGAACCACAAGCCCTCATGGTCTCCTCCATTGCGGAAAGAGCAAAAAGTAAATCTAGTGTAATCATGTAACCAAAATAACCTTGTTCAAAGCTGTGGCTCACTCTTAATTGACATTCTGACACTTCATTTTAATCCAAATATAGTTCTTTCGCATCCGCAAACTGATGAGACTGGCCGAAGATTCATCTATGCGCCTATCTCGATAGAAACAGTGGATTGTGCCAGGAAGGCATTAATTTATCTCTACAAGGAGCAAGCGTCATCAAAGGTGGATTGGCCAAACCCTGCACCTCATCCGCGCAAGGATATCCCGCTGAAGGAGGCTATCGAGGAATACGAGGGGAAACTAGTGTACGACACCTCATTCCAGGGATCGACGCGCACTGATACCTGTTCTATTCGCGACCCCTATAATGAGAAGCAGTTCATTCGGATGGCCCTCCATACGTGGGGTATGAAGCCAATGCTGCGGCTAAAAGGGAAGCGAGTGTACCATGCGGAAGGTAGATTTCAATATATGCGTGAGCGCCTTTGCATCTTGGCACGACACCATATGCTGCTGCGAGATGAAGACATTCGCAATCTTAACCTATCTGATGTGTTCAGTATCATGTCTTCCCATCCGGCAAGTGGGTCCCAGCCAGCTCTCGGACTTACGTTTTGCATATCTCGTGGCAAAACAAATAAAAAGGGTGTTAAGCTTTATGCAACCGCCTTTCGTCATAAAGTTTTTTACAGGTGTACTGTAGGAGCGTTTGGCTTCTACATGTTAGAACGATTTATGGTAAGAGATTTGTGCCATTCTTGTCTCTTCTTACTGCAATATAGGTTATGTACTTTCCTAGCTCGTTGTTAAATGTTGGGTCGCGTACCATTCCTATAATAGCTGGATAAGGAGGATGTCCCAAACTTCGCTGATCCTGACGATTGGTACAACATCAAGCTTTTGGTCGCGGCTAGTACGATCGAGAAGCGCAACGCAGGCCTTCGCAAGAATGCTGTTGCACCAAAGACTCAAATCGATGCCACAGCTTCTGTGATGCGAACCTGTGGCGTTTATTCGACCAAGGTCACTCACGCCGGTCGACACGCAGGAACATCAGATGCGTACCGTCTGGGCTTAGGCTTGGAGCATATCCGTCACCTTGGGCGTTGGGTAATGGGACAGATGGAGAGTTTCTATGCTCCAAAGAACCCCACCACTGGCGCGTTTTATATGGCTCATTTCAACAAGGAACAGGAACCTTATATCCTTGAGCGTAATCTCGTTATCCCTGACTTGGAGCTGCAGAGGAAAATTTTCCCTTGGATCGAAGGGAACTTTAACAGCAGCGCTAGAGAGAATGAGGAATGGGTCAAGGATTGTAATGATGCTATGACAGATGTAAACCCGGATCTCATCACGGAGGACGACCTGCACTGGGGAGGCTGGCAGGAGCGTATGCGCCATTCGACAGCGGCTAGGGATCAAGATGAAGAAACTACGGGAAGCTCCGCCGCAACGGCCAATAAGCTCATGAACAGCGCAATGATTGATCGAAGAGCTTTCCTACTATTGCTGGTACAAATGAGGAGAGTTATCCTTCAAGACGCCGTGCTGTACCTGAAGCCTGACAGCAAAGGAAGGACTCTGAGCAATAAGCTTTTAGAATCACTTCCAGAAATCTTTGAGAGTCAGCTGTTCCTTGACTTTCAGAGAGAGCTCCTTCGTGCGATCGAAGTGCATCAGCAGAGCGCCAATGTTGTCAATCCATTAGTCCCAGTTGACAAACATGTGGTCTCCAACGCGCTAAACAGCCTTAGTCACCAGAATGCATCTCTTGAAGCAGCTATTGCTCGGCAAGGAGCACAAATGGCACAGCAAGAAGCACAACAAAGGGCGCAGTTGTCTGCCATGAGCTCAGAGCTCGCGACGCTAAAGCAGCAAATGGAGATAGTGATACATTTATTGCAGGATCCGTCAGCTCGCCAAGCTCCAGCGCATCCCTTGAATTCAGCCGGTCTTCTTGGGCCATATCCCCATACTATGCCAAGCTATCCTGCTCTGCGCAGAGTCCCTCAACAGCAGCCGTTTGCGACGCGTCCCCCACAGGTACCTCAACAGCACTCATCGCTGGTTCAAGCTCCTCTACATTGCTTCCAACGAGCGCCAGAGCCATCGCATCACTCGTCCCCAGGCCCCAGCTCATCAAGCGCCACTTTCAAATGGAAAGCAGACCGCGGAAAGCTCACAGTGGCAGATGCTTGGGATGAGTTTCATGGGCCCCTTGCAGCATTTAAAAGATTGAACCCGAGTTGGCCAGTGAATACATCAGACCAAAGGGCCTACAATCGACGATATGAGTTAATTAGGCTGATCAACGAAGCAGCACGAAGGGAAGGTCGCAATCCTGAAGACATTGTTGCTGAGTGGTCACAGGCAAATGAGGGAAAGACTATTAACTCACTGTTGATATCCATGAAAGCTAGGGAGCAAGAGGATCCTGAAGATGACCAATAAATGACAATACACTTCCCAGGTAGGTAACAATAGCATATATAGAAGCATGTACGATAGTAACATATATAATAATAGATATAGTAATAAAATACTAAATGCATTAATTGCTTTGCCAAAAAAATAAAATAAAAAGAAATTGGTATGTTTGTGAGTCGCGCGTTTGCGATCCGTTTGGCGTTTGGTAGCGTCTAAACGCACTTTCTCCTCATTTCCGTTGAGGGAAATAAATGGCGAATAGTATGGAGTATGGATAAAGGGAATGTTAGTTTAGATTAACTTGACCAGATGTGGTCTGTAAAAAGTTAAATAATACCAGAATAGCAAGGTATCTGAAATACTAATGATTGAAAAGGAAGGAATATACGCCGTTTTCACTACATTTTACGCATTCTGTGGTTTATATTGACTACATTATACGCACTTTGACTTAAATATACGCCAAAATGGTTACACAAACAAGACACAGAGCAGTGACAGTCACATTTCAAGACACAGAGCACTCCCTGTCTTAATATTGATTCAGATTCGCTCTATATACTGCACATGACCTTTACAGAAATTACAAATGAATAAATTTATTTGGTATCACGTGCACTGGCCATCGATTATATTGCACTACCACTTACGTATCATGCATTCAGCGTCCCAAAAAATGCACTGTATACCTAGGCTATTTTTATGAAGTTTTCTAGGTACTCAGGCACCTTTTTTTTCACCTTTAATGCTGATTGGCGCAAATGAGATCACGCCATGCAAGA